CATCCCATAGCATCCCATAGCATCCCATAGCATCCCATAGCATCCCATAGCATCCCACACTCTTCTGTAGCATGCCATAGCATACCGGCACCTTACCCACTGTGGAGCGTAACGTGGAGGGCAACATCAAGGTGGAATGAAATGAAATGTAAGAAAGATCTTCACATCATATCATATCTCGGCACGTCATCGCATCACGCCCGCCATCCTTCCTGGCCGCCGCAATCTCATCAGCGTACAGACTCTTCGCAGCAATCACGTCACGGCCGCCCATCCTTGGTCGCCACCACTATATCTCATCGTACAGAATCTTCACGACACTCGGTGAATGAGTGTGCGGGTGGGTGAGCGGGTCGGTGAGTAAGTCAGGCAGTGGGCGAGTGAGTTGGTGAGTGAGTGAGTCGGTGAGTGAGTGAGTCGGTGATTGAGTGAGTCGGTGATATGAGCAGACATTCGTCCCCCTGATCGACAGGCAGGCCATTCATGTTCGGCTCAGTTCACTCATAATCGACGCCCCACTCCTTTACCTTTTCCTTCTCGCGCACCCCCATCTTGGCCTCGATCCAATCTTCCACGGTGACCCACCCCCTGCGGCCCGACAGGACGGCATTGCGGACAACGACGTGCCATTCGCGCCACCACGCCTGGGCCACCGCCGCTGCTGCATCCGTCGTGGAGCCTCCCACCGGGCCACTCTTGTCCCCAGACGGCGTGCTGGACGCCGACGACGCCTCCGCCTCCGAAACCACAGACACGTTGGTATCGTTCCGTTGAAGGGCGGGGCGGGCGTTACCACCACTACCACCCGTGTTCGCATTAGTGCTGCCGCCGAGGGCCCACTCCACGCTGACGACCTCGTACTTCTTCGTCGGATAGAGCCGGAGCATGTTGGTGAACCAGTTCGAGGACTTGCGCAGGATAGTCACGCTAGAGTGTTGCACGGGGAATGTCACGGTCAGGGTGCCCCGGTATTTCGTGCTGGCTAGGAGATTGCGGGCGTGGCCTTCCAACAGGGCTGTGGGGAGGGACGGGCACGTCCGGGAGAGGGTGAAGCTGGATGAACACACTGTGTTAGTTACAAATGGCACATGAAGGTGATAATCTCGGGCAGTAATACGGACTCACTCACCTCCGGTTCTCTGCTTTGTCCTCGCAGAACTTCTTGGCCCATAACTCCAAGGGCGACATGGCCTGTTCTTCTCTACTCAGTTGTTTGGGCGATCCGGTGGTTGAGCCGGGTTGATAACGCTTGATTTTAAATTTCCCCACGGTACTTCGGCCACCTGTGCTGCTAGGCCCGGCGGTTTCGTCTGAGGCGGCAGCACCACCACCACCACCACCGGTGTCACCGCCCAAATCCAACAGACTCGTCAAGTTGAACTTGAGCTCGAAGTCCACAATCGTGGACCCGTGCTGGGTCCCGCTGCCGAGATGCGTGCCCCGGATGATCATGATTGGTTTGGGCGGCAGGGAAGCTTGCTCGGCGATGAACTTTGTGACGTTCCGTTGTATTTGCGCCGCGGTCACGCCGTTCGCGTTCGAGCCACTCGCCGTAAGGTCGGGGCTTGTGGTCGTCAGGGCGGTTTGGTCGTCCGAGAGCTTGGAGTCCCGGACCCGGTATTTGGAGAAGGGGATGGTGGTTAGGCGGGAGAGGGCTGAGAGGGGGTTCTGAGACGGGATCGAGGGCGGTGGGTGTGGCTGGGATTGTGATTGTGATTGTATTTGTGGTTGATGTCGATGCTGGATCTGGTGGGAGGGAGGTTGAGGTGCCAAAGTAGGTGTGTCTGTCCATGGATTTGAGGCTGGGAGGATTGTGTTTTCGTAGGATGGTGGTGAGTCGATTGGGATGGAGGTGTCTATGTCGTGGGGCTGAAGGGCTGGTTTCTCTGGGGGTGGCATTTCGGGATCCAAGTTGACGGTTATCTGTGAAGTGTATGCTTATGATTGTGCCGATATGTATGTGTATTTGTGCGTATGTATGCGTACAGATAGTTCAGGTCAATTTCAAAGTTAATGTGCAGGATTCTGGATCTGGATCTGGATCTCGGTTTGGCCCGGATCTCGCTGGATAGATGGTTCTCAGAACAAACGAGAAGGCCAGTGGTGTGGTGTGGTGTGGTGTGATGTGATGTGATGTGCAATGTGATGATGTTCCAACTCGAGATGCTGCAGTAATGATAATACCGTCGTTTAGAAAATCCGTGTTAAGAAGACAATGTCGAATGAAAGAGTATAGTGGATTGAAATTTTCAGAAATACAAGCAGGACCACGACACCAGCAAGAACATGGCAAGAAGATGGAAGCCTGTCGCAACGTCAACAAGAAGACGAAACATGTGCTGCGTACCGTGTGTTCATTCACTCAATCATCAATCATCATTCACCAGGCGTACGCCTTTTTCCCGGGTCGAGACCTTGCTCATTCCGCAGAATGGACCGGATGCGGCAAGGTCGTGTATGCAGGATGAGATGTTCACGGATGTTCCTGGTCGTGCCTGGTCTGGCTCGGGCGGAACGGAAGAGCCACTGCAAGTCCACAAATCCGGCCATGCAGGCCTCAAACAGGCGTGGTCTGCTCAGGCACCAACCATTCGGACTGACCAGTACGAATTCGGAGCAACAGAGGACGGCCGGAGTGCGAGGTACCGAAAGAGAAATTGTATACGATGGGTGAAGTCCGAGGTCTCGAGCTGAGCGAGACGCAGGCACGTGACAGTTGATCGTGGCTGTGGCTGTGGCTGAAGCTGTGGCTGTGGTGGGGCTGTGGTGGCAGACGAGGTAGACTGAGCGAGTATGGACGCTGCCTGCCATCTCCCTTGACCGAGTGTGCATACGGACACGGTAGCAGGTCATACTATGTGAGACTGCGACACTGCGGCACGAGATCCCATCGCCTGAACCACCGGTACACACCTCGTTCTGAATCAACTTGGCTGCTGCCTCACGTATCATGGCTCGAGAGCTTGCCCGCCTGAACGGCACTCATGCGGCGAGGATAGCTGTTGACCACGCCAGCAGGGGAGCAAAAGCGCCACTGACTTGCTCGCAAAACGTCTCTATTGCTCCCCACCTCTCCTTCTTCCACTTCACCAATTGCATCTCTCGCTTGTCGTCCTCGGTCCGCGCATCCCAATTCTTCTCCCTGGTCTGATCCGCGGCTCTTTTGGCTCGACCTCCGGTTTGAGGCTCGGCCACAACCGCCCAAGCGACCTTTGCTTCACACACGGGGCACAGATACGGCGGCTGCCTCATATCTTCCGCCATTGACGCCGTACCTTGCATCATGCAAGCCATGTACATGCAGTGATCAAGTCCAAAGCAGTGGCCCAATTCATGTGACGCCGTGCGGCAGAGACGAAATAGAAACACGCCGTTGATGTCGACAGCGGACAGACTGGCTGCACTGACCGCTCTGGTCAAGGGCTGATCTGTTGCCGCTGACTGAGCTCCCGAAGCTTGTCGGTCGGCGACCGTGCGCTTCTTGGCACCGTTGCGCCTGTTCCGCTGGCTGTGATCAAGACCGCTCAGCCTGTCCACGAAGTCTGTGCAATGGCTAGCGGGCCAGATGTGTTCTCGGTCAACGCCGTGGACGTCATCAAGGCAAGGCTGGTATCTGGCACTTGAGACAATGGCGACCCGACTGGCGCCCCATGCTCGGCCACAGCAGAAATCATCGTCTTCAGACTCGTACATGTCGTGCGACGAGACGAACAGCAGTGCATAAGCGTCGGAGGGGAGCATGCTGAGTGCCATGTCCGTCATGTCGTTCAGGTTCAGCTGATGGCTGTACGGGAAGGCACCTTCTGAATTTGCATTTGGAGGCGGCGTTCTGCGAACTCGGACACGAGTGGCCTCGGTGCCGTTGGACAGCGCCACAGCCTGGATATCGCGCGTTTTACGACTCTTGGAAACTGATTTGGATTTGATGGACTCGTCCCAGGTGGTGAATGTCAGAGGCACGGGGAGTGGCTTAACCTCAAGGCCGTAGTAGAAGGCTTGCAGGTAGGAGATGAGGCTCCGAACGTCAACATCCGTAACAAAGGCTGCCTGCTGCTCCTGCCTGAGTTAGCGAGGGGAAGGGAATCAGCCAGCGTGGCAGCCTACTGCCATTGATGACTCGATATTGGGACGACGCCAATCATCCATGAATTCCACGCTTCGGTCGATCTCTGGTGGAGCAGCGACGTAGATGACATGTCCCTCAGCGGTAATGGGGTTCCTCTCGCCTTCGTTCACCCACGATCGAAAACTCTGAGAAGGGTATTTCGGATCTAGGTCGATGGCGTCACCGGGCAAGACGAGTGGTGCGGGGAATTTCGCGAGATGGTACTGCGACGCAGCATCGGCAACGTGCTTTCGCTCCCCGGTTATGGCGGTCAGAAGTCGATGCTCGGTATAAGGCTGATGTCCTGATGATAGGGCATATGGTGAAGGCGAGGACGTCAAGACACTATGTGGACAGCCCGTCTGGGAGGACGAAGATCGAGGCGGCGCCATGGTGTCGAGAACAAGGATAACATGGGAAAGAAGGAAGGGTGTTGTAACGTCTGGGGACTTGGCACGTATTTATATTTCTGCGGTATGGCTGCCTGTTGACTGGCAGCTGCGAGCCAATGCCTTTGGCGCTTTATCATGTCCTTAGATTTCTCAATACCAACCATCGGTAGTGATCCGAGAAATGTAATGGGCAGCCTATGAACCCGGACCGAATGCCGCTCTTGAACGTGTGTCGCGCGATTGATAACATATAAGAAGAGGCTGATAGTCAAGGTAGCGCGAAAAGTTGAGCAGGCCCTGACACCGGCACTGACGGTACAGCACTAGTCTTGTAGCAGGAAGGCATAAGCAAAAGCAAGCATTCAGGTAATGCTTGTGTTGTGCTATTCCACCTTGTCTACCTAGTGGAAATGATGCCTGTTCTCCCTCGTATCTCAAAGGAGTTCGTCCCAAAGGGACTAGCGCATGTTATGATGGGTGTTGGCTGGGCGGCAGGCAGAAACCGGTCACGTGCAGATGGCAGGTAGCTATTGTTCGGCATCTCGGATCCCTTCTCGTCGCAGGCACATCCGCTTCCTGTTCTGCCAATCAACTGCTGGTGCGAAGTCAGACGCCATGAATAACATGCCTGGCGTAACCAATCTGCGTTTGTCATCGTGTCTCGTCGAATTTCCAGTTAAAGCAGTCGACGCACTCATCGTCGGCTTCACGTACAGGAGTGCTGTTGTAGGCTTCCAGTACCTGAGGGATCACCACATTAATGCGATGGTTCGTGATACTCCGTCGCCAGCCCTGGTCCTGAACGGTGTCGTAAACACAGAGCTTTCCAGTATGGCATTGGCTTTCGAAGGCGCAGCCGGCAACCGAACACGATGAGAAATCGCCATTGCATGTACCCATGAACACTGGGTCAGCCGTATTTCCAATGTGAAAATCTGTGGACCGCGGAGGGGGGGCGAGGCCGAGTCTCTCAGCGGCCAGCTTCTGCGGCGGAGCCTCGAAGGACACGGAGGGGATGTTGAATGTCAGACCCATCAGGCTGACCAAAGATCCACCGACGGAATGGCCCACCGTCCAGATGGAGGCGTTTGGATACCATGTCGAAAAGTTGCGCATGATGGCAAGCGCTGTGGAATAATCTCGGTCTTACTGCGTCAGCTTCTGGGTTAGGCATGTCGAGTTACACTGGAGGTTGTCCGTCCTGCAGTCACAGACACGACCATACCAGAATGGATCTGGTCGTTGCGTAGCACAGCAACAGCTGACAGGAGGTTGTCATTAGCCTGTCTTTGCTCCTCCAGTGATGAGTCGGGTCTAGTCGCGTCGGTAATTTTCGTGGGAAAGCTCCCGTATACAACCCTACCGACGGTTGTCCCTTTGAATGCGACAATGACATTCTCGTTCGGCATGTCCGTGAAATGTGCCCTCGGAGACCGCCGCCCTTCCAGCCGAAAGAAGAGGAATGATTGAATCCGAGCGTTGTGTTGAGCCAGTCAGGTTGGGAAGGTGCAAAGACGTAGGCACCCAGTAGGCATCGCTGCACATTTCGGCAAGATTGACCACTGTAGCTTTGTCCTTAAGGTCGGGTCCTGGGACTGGGACCGTCTCCCATAAACTCGAGGCATTGGCGCGCTGGATATCACCGAGCGCATGTAGATTCAGATTTTGCAGCAAAATTGGCGCAGCTGAATACCTAGGCCGGCTGATTTCCAAGGGTCGGACCCGAATCGATAAAGTAGAGGATATATTCTCCGGTCGTGCATGTACCCTTGGCGCATCTCTTGCTGAGGAGCGGTGCAGCCGAGGTGTATCGGCGGAGCTAGAGAACTCGCGGAAGAAAAGTTCTTTGAGTATCTGTGTCCTCGAATCAGCTTTGTAACTTGGCTCAATGGAACGAGCGTACAAATTCCTACCCCAAAGCATCTTGATTGTCCTTGAACGGTTTGGCCAGCCGTACCAGTCCACGTGCTGCATCTGACCGGGACAACAATCCTTGCGCTTCAGCGGCGACGAGCGGAAGAAAGGAGAACCGAATCAAACCACACCGGAGCATCTCCTAGGTGATATATCATGTTCGGTATTGTCGTTGTTGTGTCTTACCCCCAAACCTTGGCTTGCGAGCTCAGCTATCCGGTCGCGGCCTACAGGCACGTAGCTCAGCAGTTTTGACCAGTGCCTGGTTGTCGGACGCGTGTGTGTTCACGACTTGGATGTCAAGTCTCATCAGTGACGGCAAATGAAGACACGAAGACGACCAAGTCAAGCTCGGGGGAAACGGGTGCCTAATGAAGAACCGAAATTCGCCCGGATGTTTAATTGTTTAATTGTTAGGTTGTTAGATTGTTGAATTGTTGAATTGATTATTGCTTCCCCATCCAGAAGATTGACATCGCCCCATGCGTGCCTCGCTCCTCAGATGTGGCAGGATCATGCGCTTCGTAGATAGCAGATAGAAAGTCATACAAGTCGCTGCGGGTACCCCAGCAGACTCGAACATCGAGGACAGCAGCTCGAGGCCACTGGTCAGCCTACGGCGCATTCGAGTGGTATACCAAGCGAACACGAACTAGCATTGTTCGATCATCTCCAACCCGTCTTCGACTGCAGGTCTCCTGGGCTGCCCTTGGAGACCATGACATTAAACTGTGACATCCTGCCAGTACGACAAGATAGATTTTGTCATTTCTGGTGTCCAGAGGAACTGGAAGCCCAGGGCCAATACCCTCCCCACAGACCGGAACTCTGGATACCGGAGCTGCAACTGAAGCATTATGGATTGTGCTGCCCTGGCCGTTGCTGCGCGTAATTTGGTGATCGCCCGGCCTTTGCGGCACAGCACAGCCACGGAGGATGATAAGCATGCTGAAGCCATTGACTCCCTTATCGACTGCAGCACACAGAGCATGACCTCATAAAAGCTGTCTTGGCCCACTATCTCCAGCATCCCGGCCGCCATGTTGGTGACGTTGAAGACCCAGGCCACCGACTCGTTGATCACGCCGATGTCATGGGCGGAAAAATCAATGAGTACGCCGTCCTCGGGCTCGCCGGCAGGAGTACACAAGGCAGGCCTCGTATTGCAGGTCGAGAGGCGTGATGATCCTACACTGCGGAGTCGTGCGCGGGACGTCGAGTGCTAAGGTTTCTTCTGGCCGTGTTGTTTCAGTAGAAGTAGTGGTACACTGTGACGTCGTGCGGAGGACGTCGAGTGCTAAGGTTTCTTCTGGCCGTGTTGTTTCAGTAGAAGTAGCGGTCGTAGACTCTGTAGATGGTGATTTCTCCATTGAACATTGGTCATCCGAATGTCCATTAACGCGTTGAGATTTCGTTCTTTGTCCAGATTTGGACGAAATTGCCGACAAGGTGGCATTCTCTCGCGGTCGCAGCTGTGCCGCCGCTTTCCTGGCCTGCCAGGTTCGGTACGCCGTATACGCGGCCTGCGATTGCGCTTTACTTTTTGGTAGACGAAGCGCGAGCCTGGATGCCTTGGACCGCGACGACACGGAAACGGGTTGCCGTGGATAATTGTGTATTCGTTGAGTGGTGTGGCCATTGTGGCATTGAGTATGTATATTACCGTCTCAGGGACATTCACGTTGAGTGCATTGACACTCCGCGGATGAGCTGAAGTGTCGACCGGCTGGGCGGGCTTTAAATATTTGCTATGGCAATTTGCTGTACCGAAGAGATTGGATTAAGTGCGTGCATAGGAGAGGGGGGTATGTGTGGTGTTGCCCTATATCGAGCATAGGTATATTCCGTACGGTGTACTATGCAGATGCTGTTACCTCTGTAGCGTACATATGCAGAATGGGACGTCTGATCTTGGCCAAATCATATCACAAGGTACTGTTGATACTCACAACACGAGTAGTTTGGACAGAGTGTGGAGCGCGTTGGAAGATCGAAGTGCAGACGCCAGTCACAGTGACTTACAAACGGGACGCTTGAACTTAGCTCTGCGATGGCTGGTATGTATTAGTCCATATGCTATTCATGCAAATCGCAACATTCCCGTACCACTGTATGATCGCGTTGTTCCGCGCACGAACTCTGATTGGTAAGACCTAATAGCCTTCAGTAGAGTTGCTCCCTAGGAATACGACTCTTAGTCCATGGAATATGTAAAGGGCCCTCTACCAGTGACTTAGGCTGGTAGTCGACGATACTGATCCGCCCCCAGCCTCTCGCTGTATTACTGTCTTTGGCATCGCGTTGTTCGGGTCGCCTGCCTTATGTAATGATGTTCTGGCCTTGTGAGAGCGAGCCGCTGATTATACGAATTGATGAAGCTGTAGTAGTGATGGTGGCACCGTCGATCTTGATATGGAACAAGGTCGGAAATTTCAGTATCGCTCATGGCATCCATCCGTTGTTCGAGCTCTTCACTGATACCTGTCCTGCACGTGCTCCGGAGCGACTGTCTTCACCAGGTCCAGGGCATACCAGCGTGATACAGCAGCTGACTTCAAGGTCTGGGATCTGGGTAGCTTCGAACATATCAGCTTGTTCCGAGTCAAGCGACCATTTGGAGTCGCCAGGAATAGCTCTTCGACAGACACGATGCATTCAAGTCCAGGCGCATTTTAGCGACTTTTGTCGCGTAAAGTGGCAGTAACCTCTCATATTGGAAGGCATGGTCTGAGGTGTTGACGGCGACGTACAGGCACTGGAGGTGGTGATGTCGACCTTGTAAGATGTAGGGGCCAAGCCAGCAATGTTCCCCTCGCTTGTCTGCGGCATGGGGGACGTGTGGGGCCATCGACTTCCCCTTCCCCCTCTTCTCGATATGTTCCCTAATGTTTTGGCCCCTCAGAACACCTCGGGAACCAGTCGATATAGCTTGAGCGAGCTAGTCATCTCGTGGGGAAATATTGCGAGACCACAGACAAGCTATCGAAGTCCAATCTCTTGCGACCGTATCCAAGATGATTACCGACGCCATCGTGGTGTCCACACCGGGAGCACCATTCAAATATCAGCAAGTCGAGCTCAATGACGAGCTGCGACCCGATGAAGCACTAGTACGGATCAAAGCTACAGGCGTGTGCCATACGGATTTGAACTTCGCAAAGGAGGCTTCTATGCCAGACTTGTTCCCAGGCGTCCTTGGTCACGAAGGTGCCGGCGTTGTGGAACGCGTTGGCTCGGAAGTCTCCAAAGTGGCGGTGGGAGACCACGTCGTCGTCGTCTTCTCCTGCTGTGGAAAATGCAAGTACTGTGAACGCAAGCAGTCGTCGTACTGCGATTTCTGGTTCCAGTACAATTTCGGGATCGGGAGGCTCGACGGGTCAAAAGTGTTTTCCGATCCGAAAGATGGCAAACGAATCACAAGTCACTTCTTTGGACAGAGCAGCTTCGCGAGGCATATTCTGGTATCGCAGAACGGGTTGGTAAAGGTCGACAAGAGCATCCCATTCGAGAAGCTGGCGCCACTGGGATGTGGAGTGATGACCGGGGCTGGAGGTGAGATCCCTCACATTTCTTGAGAGTAGTCGGATATTGTGCTCACCTCTTACTGTAGCCATGCTAAACGTGGTCAGTCCGAGCTCGGACGAGTCCGTCGTCGTCGTGGGCGCCGGAGCCGTCGGGTTATCAGCGATAATGGCACTCAAGACAGTTGAAAAGCCGCCAAAGAGAATTATTGCTGTCGACATAGTACCTGCGCGTCTGGAGTTGGCCCGGTCCTTTGGTGCGACTCACGGTGTCAATTCGAAAGTTCGGCCGGAGCTGATGAAAGTGCTCATGGACATAACCGACGGGCGAGGCGTCGACGGGGCAATCGAGACCACAGGGAGGCCAGAAATCATCAAGGAGCTGATCCATGCCGCTGCGCGTAAGGGGAAAGTTGTCACGGTCGGTGTCGGCGATGTAAGTGTCTTCACTTGTCGCAGAGCATAAGCATGTTGACTCGTTCTAGCTCTCCGCCGAAGCCTCGGCCAACATCTTTGAAATGGTCAATGCAGGATGCAGCTATGTCGGCTGCTGTCAAGGCGACTGCTACCCTCAAGAATTCCTGCCTACATTGTTGGCAGCAAACGAGCAGGAAAAGTTCCCCTTTGATCAGCTCATCACGACATACCCTGCCAAAGACATTGAACAGGCGGCGCACGATATACATAGCGGCAAGACAGTCAAGGCGGTATTGCTCTGGGATTGAGGTCACGAAATTCACACAAACGGGCAGAGTGCAGGTGTCGTGTCTGAGAGCATGAGCTGGCACGCTGACAAAATCAGGTCGCCACCATCTCACCAAGCAGCGCAGCGCAGTTTGCGACAAGGCTGATGCCCAGCCTCGGCGCGGGGAAAAATGAGGCCGCGGCCTTTGGCTTCTTGAAAGTTCCAGCCCGAGCCTCATCCTTCTTCCGTTCACATCAGCCTTAGTTGATCGTCGGTGACGACGCTCCCCTGCCTACGCAGTGGCGGCCGTGCGATACCACTGTACACACTATCTCCCTAGACTAGTCAAATATTGTGCCTCTTATAAGTCTTGTCCCCCATCTCGCTCGCCCAGCATGTCGTCCTCCACCACCGGCCCCGACGCCTCGTACACGGCCATGGACAAAGACGTCGAAGCCATCGGCGCCCACTGCGAATTCGCCTATTGCCACCAACTCGACTTCCTCCCCTTCCGCTGCGACTCGTGCCATCACACCTTCTGCCTCGACCACCGAACAGAAACCGCCCACAAATGCACGCACGCAGGCGAATGGGCAAAGAACAGACGCCTGAACAGCGTCGGCGGCAGAGCCACCACTCCCATACAAGGCAAACCCACGCTCACCAACGCCACGCAATGTAGCGAGCCAGCATGCAAAACCTTCGTCAACACGTCCCAGAATCTCGGCGTCCACTGCCAACAATGCAACAGGACGTATTGCCTGAAACACCGCATGGGCGAGGATCATGATTGCAAGAACTTGGTACCGCTGGGCGCGCGGCCGCTCGACATGGCGCTCCAGAGCAACAGGGACAAAATCAAGCTCGGCTTCGGCCGGTTCAAGTCGTGGGGCAAGGAACGACAAGAGGCACTCACGCCCAAGCCGAAACCGTCGAGCAAGGCCGCGCAGCTGGCGTCTCTGAATGCGCTGAAAAAGACCGCAAAGGGCGATGACAAACTACCCGCGGAGAAGCGCGTATATCTACACGTCGAGGCCGAGGCGGCGTCCACGACGGCCAAATTGCCCAAGGCCGACCTGTTCTTCTCGAGCGAGTGGTCGATTGGGAGGGTGCTGGACGAGGCGGCCAAGAGGCTGCAGGTCGCCAACGTGAACAATCGGGTGGAGACGGAGGAACAGAGGTTACGGATGTACTTTGTCGAAGGCGGGCGGTTGCTGGAGTTTAGTGAAAAGGTGGGAAGTGCATTGGCCAGTGGCAATACGGTTGTGTTGCTTAGAGGAGTTGGCCCAAAGCAGGCCAAGTGAGCGTTTTCTGCGTGTGGGATCATGGATTGCATAGCGCTGGCGTTACTTCGGAATGGTACGAGCGGCCAGCTGCCAGCGTACAGAATGGTGTTATCAGAGTGCTGGGATGATAGTGGCTCGTGGCCTGACGCTCGGATGAGACATAAACACAAATTTATTATCATTGACTTCCTCATAATCATACTACTCATACACTCATCTTCATCTTGATTCCGCCATGAGGCTTATACCCCACGACCTCGAGCTCCTCGACCTTCCAGCCGTCCATTTCACCACTGCCCCGATCATCCCGCTTGATATTCAGCGTCGGAAACTCCCGCGGCTCGCGGAGCAGTTGCTCCTTCAAGGCATCGATGTGGTCGAGGTAGACGTGCGCGTCGCCCATCGTGTGGATCAGCTCGCCGGGCACCAAATCGCACGCATGAGCCAGCATATGCGTCAGCAGTGCGTAGGAGGCGATATTGAAGGGCACGCCGAGCCCCATATCGCAGGACCGCTGGTATAGGACGCAGGAGAGATGGCCTTTGGACGTCTGCTGCTGTTGTTCGACTCCATTCGCGCATCCACTCTGCACCCGTTGCAAGGCGGCCTCCCCTCGCGCCGCATCAGGGTAACTGACGTAGAACTGCGCAAACATGTGGCACGGCGGCAGCGCCATCTTGGACAAGTCCGCCACGTTCCACGCGCTGAGGATGATCCGCCTGTCGTAGGGGTTTGTCTTCAACTTGCGCACGATCTCCTTGATCTGGTCCACGCCCTGGCCCGTGTAATCTGTCCGCCAGTCCTTGTATTCCGCGCCGAAATGGCGCCACTGAAAGCCATACACGGGGCCGAGATCGCCTTCCTCGCGTTCCGTGAAGCCCAACTTGTCGAGAAACTCGCGCGACCCATTGCCGTCCCAGATGTGGATGCCCGCGTCTGAGAGCGGTTTGGAGGTCGTGCAGCCCGACACGAACCAGAGGAGCTCTGTGGTGACGGCCCGCAGGAAGACGCGCTTTGTGGTGAGAAGAGGTAGCACGGGTATTCGCTCGGCGGCGGGTGAGGTGGCATCAGCGGTCTTCGAGAGACTGAACCGCAGTTGAGGGGGTGCGAATAGTGATAACGTGCCCGTCCCTGTTCGATCTGGTCGATGTTCGCCGCGGGACAGAATGTCCCTGATCAGGTCGAGGTATTGGTATTCTTCGTGGGGCGTCGTTCTCGCAACGCCAGGCTGGTCTGGCTGCGCTGGTCGAGGTTCGTGGACAGTGCCGTTCTGGGCAGTTTTGGCGTTCTCCTTTAAAAAGTTCAATGCGTCGCCCGGCGGAGACATGTCGGCCGTTTCGACGGCAGAGGGGGACATCGCGGGATCGTAGGACAATACAGAGTACTCGTTATCGTTACTCCGGACACGGTGGGAGCATACGAGGGTTGAGAGATCGCAACAATCACTTCGAGACGCGCATGAGACGCGACTTGACGCGTCGAAAAGTATGACGCAATCACATTTGACAACTGAAAAAGACATGCAAAATATGAGATGGATTTCAAATCACATCCTCCTACGTTCACTTTATCGCTCTGCTTTTACACGATTTGTGGACCGACTCAGTGCCTAGGTATGTAGCTGTTGTTCAACGTCGACCTCTTGCTCTTCCTCTCCCTTTTGTTCAGTTTTGCTCATCTGCCCACAAGATGCGAACTCGGCTTAATAGCGTTATTCGACCAGCGCTTTCTTCACAATCCTTCTGTTACTGAAGTGTCGGACCTACCCTGGTCCCATTCTCTTTTGGCTGAAGCAAAGCTGTAAGGTCGGGAAGGGGATGATCCGCAAACTCCTGCAGGAGGGCTTGAGCTTCTGTGCGAATGTGCTGCGTCGCCGGGAGTAGCGATGACTTTTCGCCGTCATGCTCAGCAGAATTGAACCAGGACGTTCTGGTCTCCTGCTCGAATGCGGCCATTAAACGACCCTGAAATTTGATCGACTCTAGGACTGCAGCTTGCTTTTCACGAAACACCAGCACGTCTCTCAAGGTATTTGTGCCTGCGGATTTGATGAATTGTCTTGGTGGGTGCACCTCGCTTCGATTTGCTTGTCGACTGTTGTTATTGTGTTGGGCATTTTCCATGGCTGCTCCTGGCGGTGCCACAGCGGGTCTGCCGTGCATTTTCATCGGTCTGTGGCTGATATCAGCCACGATATTGAAGAGTGATGTCTCGTTCGACTTACGTGCGTTGCACTCCGCCATATTCAGATTGTAATTGGGGCCTCTCGCGTGGGCAGGATCAATCCTACAACTTGCAGCGGCGCTGCGGTTCCGGAGCCACCAAGCGGCAGGGCAAGCAGAACTGACTGTGGCAGAGGGTTCAATCGCTGCGGAATGCAGTGGCACTCTGGAAACACTGCCCGGGACGTCAAAGCACATTATCACCGATTAGCTGGGTTGACGTGAAGATCAGCAGCTTGTGGTGATGTATGCCAGTTGGGAACATAGTAGGTTGTTACAATGGCCTTTGTCCATCGGGCTGGGCCAGGCTAACAATGCCCCTTGTCTTTTTCGTTGTTGAAGACAAGTTCTCCAGCAAGAACAAAGACGGTTGAAAGGCATTCAGAGAAGGAGTCCGACACAGCGGTCGCCTCTTCTCACAATGGTAAATTTCAATCAATTGTTATGAAAATCCATCAGTGATGGGTTGGAGAGAACCCAAGCGATTCATGAGGTCGTGTCAATCACCAGGCATCCAGATGAAAGTTCATTTGATACATGCTCCTCTCGAAGAAATTGAGCTTCGAGTGGCGCAAGTCCAAATGCATGGGCAGCCTCGCCGTTGGACCACGACCTCGGCGGACTAGGCTCATCCTAGCCCACTGGTCTCTACAGAGCATCATCGACTTGACGTGGCATTCACCTACTGAGGATGGATAGTCCTTTCCATCGTGGGAAAGGACCGTAACTTGAGGACGCGAAGCAGACCATCGTTCACCGACAATGGCCTTGCTGACAGATGGTTGCCTTCAGGCCGGGCTTCAACCCGCTTTACATAAGCGCGTCACGGTCCCTTCCTCTTAGTTAATCGACTCGACATGGTAATTGTGACTTCCTCAAGCAAGCACCGTGGCAACTGAAGAGACTCTAAACAGATGATATAGTATTACAAACGAGTGTTGACGATCATTCTCTATACTCATGATTCCTCAGCCTTGGCCGAGATGGATATAAGTAGTCCTGTGCCAGTCTTGGATATCACCGGGTGGGGAAACATCCTACGTATCCGAAATGTGTATAGACGAAATGTACATAGACCGTTCCCAGCCGAATGAAGTGTAGCGTTCCAGGCGGCTGCCGTCCGTCGACCATCACTTCTTCTCCTGGGCGCCCGAGTTCACAATGACGATCCGACTTCTCACCGAGTACAACAACGCTGCGGCGATTCCAGGATGAGACGGGATGGTTCGACTTTTGAGATCTCGGTCCATAAAACCGTTCGCTGGATCACCCAGGCGGGCATGGCAGGTTTTAAATCAATTGCATTTTCCGAGACGTGTAGGCCGGCATGTTAATTATCCATGGCATGACTTCGCCACAAGTCCTCCAAGAGTAACAGGAACAGGTTTCAAATAGTTCGGCTACAGTACACGGGACTAGCTGTGGGCTTGTGGCGGATCATCCATAGAGAAAGCCTGGCCCTGGAGCCAGCGCTATCGCGAGAACCCTCCCCTGCGTCGAGGTTGGGTCCGAGAAGATGCATCGCATTAGCACCGCGGCCCGCGACAAGGGTAGCGGAGGTACGAACCACGATGGTGGACGTCATGTGTTGCTTCAGCCCACCTGCTGCCTTGTTGTGCACGGTGGCTTCAGACGGAGCGACAATGACAACATGTTGCTCAGTATTCACTCTTGGTGGGAGATCGAGACCGAGCAATGTGAGAGTGAGCGAGGGTGAGATCGATGGAGCTGTCCAAGACGGAAATGCTGACTTGGTAGGCCGTTGCCCAGGCTTGACCTGCGAGCAGCTGGGATCGAAAGGCACCAGCTGTGCTTGGGGGTGAGCTGAAGGGGAAAAGAAGCAAACACTTTCGCTGTTATTGTCACGGGCGTATGGGTCTGTGTTCATGCGTGTCCTGTGAGACTGAGCCGGACTGTCCACCTCGATTGGACTGCGGCCGCAACTACGGCTGCTACGACCTGTCTGCCTGCTTTGAATGATCGTTTCCGCGAGCATGGTTAGCTGAGGGCGAGAAGGAAAAAGATCACGACCAGCTCAGAATTTCAACCAACAGGCGAAAGCAAGATTATGGTTCATTACATGGTAGATTACTGTTATCGTTATGACATAGTAGACCCAGTGACAAAACAGCATTGCCTCGGGCTACAACGGAGACCACTTCCCTCCCTTTCCCCCCAAACCAAAAACGCATGAGACCAACTCCATGTACTCCGTAGCACCCCTGGAGACAAAGACGTTGGGCGACGCAAGGGTACTTTGACCCAAGCAACTGTTAGGCATGTCCACGTTGAGCCGGCGGTCTCTTCCAGCGGTAGCCTGAAGCGTACCATGGACGGTGGCACCGTTATCGTTGCCGGACCCGGCGTTGTCGTGGTTGGCCTAGCAGGTTAGGATGAAGGCCGGATCTTCTTCCAATCCATGCATAGGCTGAGGAGGAATGCCATGCCGCAAAGTGGCACGGCGGCGATGAAGGCAGCCTGCAGCGACTCGTTGTACAGGTTGATCAGCTTGGGCAGATCCTCCGCGGGGACGATATTTCGGAACTCGGTGGCGCCGAGCTCGACGATGGCGCGGATGTTGACGCCCGGGATGGCGTCCTGCTGGTCCTTGCTCAGGAGATGGTTCTGCAGCAGCGTGTTGCCGATCGAGATAAAGATCGCGCCGCCAAAGGACTGCGATGCGATGACGGCCGCGGTGCCGATGGACACCTGGTCGGGCGGCAACGTCGCCTGCACGGCGGTGAACCCTTGCTGGATGGCCATGCCCAGCCCTGCCGAGATGAGGATCTGGAAGCCCGCCCACTGCGCGGTCGAGCTGTCCGGCTTCAGGGTGGCGAGCAGGCCGGAGCCAACGGTGCCGATGGCACAGCCCACAACGGCTGGGATCACAAAGCGGCCGTTCTTGGACACGAATATGCCCGCCATCAACCCGAAGATGGCGTTGGCGATCATATAAGGGATCATGTTGACGCCGGAGGCCATGGCAGACTTGCCGAGGACGGCTTGGAACCAGATGGGCAGGTAGTATACTTGGATCAAGAGCGCGCCGTAGATCATGACGCCTACGCCGCAGCTGGCGGCGACGGTCCGCTGTCGGATGATCCGTGGCGGGATGAGGGCGTCATCGCCGCGGTACAACATCCACGCGACAAAGGTCACAATCGTGAGGCCAAACCCGCACAACAAGCCGATGCAGCGCGCGCTCGACCAGGTATGGTTCTGTTCGGAGAATTGGAGCGCTAGGAACAGCATTGTGGTGCCACCTAGCATGATCGCGTTGCCAATCAAGTCCAAGCGAAGGACTCGTTGGATGAACGACCGGAACGAAGTGTCGCTGGGAACAGACTTGTTCTCGAAACAGAAGAAAACCGTGACGAAGACGACCACCCCGATTGGAAGGTTGATCCAGACTATACCACATCAAGACCACTGTTAGTCTCTGCTCGAGGAACAAAGGGGACGCCATTCACCACTCTCTCCTGGGATCGACGTGTCTCCGAGCCAACTCCGGGGTACCCAAGAAGAAGAGTCAGTGGATAGAAGAGGGTTCACTTACAGCACCAGCGCCACCCAATTGTACTGACAAAGACACCTCCGAGCAGGGGCCCGCACACGGCGCCCACGCCGTACAGCATGCCGACCGCAGAAAACAGCACGGGACGATGTTTCATGCGCACGGACTGAGTCGCAACCATGAACGCGCCGGTCAAGAGGCCTGCGCTGCCGACGCCCTGGACAGCTCGGCCCAGGATCAAAATGGTGGAGTTTGGCGAGAGAGCGGCCAACAGGCTGCCGACCTCGAACCAGCCCAGCGAGACCATGAATGTCGACCGGGTCGCGAACAAGCCGTAGATGCGTCCGTAAAGCGGTTGGAAAGCTGACGACGTCAAAAAGTACGCGCTGCCGTACCAGCCGATGTCGTCGTACGAGTGGAATTGTGATGTGATTTCCGGGGTTGCCTGAGTAAGAAGGACAGGGTCGCAAGTCAGCTCTTAATTGCTCCATCCCTACCGGGATGTGTGATGGGTTTTGTCTCGCTACGTACCGTGGTAATGATGTTCCTGTCCAGCGAAAGTGTAAAGGCAGCAAGCGAGATCCCAAACAGTATTGCCCCCAGCGCCAGCGGGCCTGGATAGTCGGTCCCATCGTCACTGTCGGCTGTTTCAATCCCCATTTCCGTCAACTCCCCAGCTCTTAATCCCAGCGGCGAGGTGTCCTCTTGCTCTCCCTCCTCGAGCTTCTCGTCGGCCCACTCGCTGGACGGTCTCCTTTCATGGAACCCCGGAGGATACTGAAGCCGAGTCGTTGAGGCGGAGGGGTCGACAAATGCAATGCCTGTGGCGTCGACAACGTCGCGGCTCAAGCCCGCCTCGACAGTCTTCTTCTCCTCCGCGACCGTTGCGGGAGCCGCGACATGCTCGGCGGCCATGGTTGGGGATTGTGTTAAACGAGTGACTGTGGTGAGTGTTTCCAAACCAGGACCGTTCCCAGCAATAGTCTGAGAAATTGCTTTCTATTAAGAGACTTGGGAATGGTTGTGGGAGCGCGGTTAGTGTTGTCAAAACGAGAGACGAAGAAGCAGTACAACAAGGAGCAAGATGTTGGGGAGTACTCCAGAACGCGTGGGCTCGTTTCCTGCAGGGGCCTCGGTCCAGGAGGCCATAACAGAAGCGAGAGACGGAGAACCGTAGTCTTTGCCGTCATTCCTGTGCATGAACGCTGTAGGAACCCTTGGCACCGTCCGCAATTGCGTAGCTACGGCCCAGTCGCCGACCTGCCTGGAATTAGCATCGTTCCGAAAGGAAGAGTACCTTGCAGATCGCAATCGAACGCCCCTATCGCCGCCAGCGAGCTTGACTCGGGGGCGGGCAAGGGGGGGGATGTTTCCGGTCAACTCTCAAGAGCTTCTGGCTTTGGGTAGGCGCGACGTTCGTCTGCCGTCTCGTGAATCTCGGCCCAGTGAGCACCAGGCACCCTTGAATTTCCCCGACATGGGACCCACAAGGAGACCAGGGACGGAGGCACCCGAGGGCGGGAGCGAGGTGGAAGCGAAGGTGGAGACCGAACTGTCCATATTTCCCGAAGTGGTACTTAGGTTTCCTGTCAAACTGTGCACACACGGAGTTGATCGGCCTCTCACGTCACGCTACTCTGGGCGCAATTTTACTGCGTCCTTGTCTTTATGTTTTGCGTTGAGGTACATAGTAGAAACGAGGTTAGAGCAAGAAAGAGCGGAAGAACCGAAGATTTGATCGCGCAACCGTGCAACGGAACTGCTCTCACATGACCTGGTCACATGACAGCCTGTACTAGGCCCTATCAGGAAGAGCCTGCCCACGAAGCGAACCATTTGTCGTCACTGTGTATGACTACGCGTGCCACTAGATCGTCGCTGGCCTTTTGGCATCGGGGAACTTATATACAATGAATTCAAGGCATTGCTGCATTATTCGGACTGTCGTTGTGACGCTCCCATTTTAGACATTACGACCCGGGACTCCTGTAGCTTCTCGGGCAAGGCAAATAAATATGTACAATCCAACAAAAGGCTCCGTCAAATGAGCTGGTACGAAGAGAGCTTGAATAGCTGGGCCAGAGTGGCTACGACGCCCTCAATGCCCAGACCATCATAGTGCCTTCCCAGGGCCACGTCGCTGTGAAACTCCTGATCCAGCTCTATCTGACCTGCAAGCAGCGCCGCCTGCCGCAGTCCCTGCTGCCGCTCGGCTTCAATGGCTTCGGCGAGCCTAGCTGTTTCGGAGCTGCTGCCGCCACTCTGGCTTTGCTGCTTTTCATCGCCGCCATCTGCCGGGCCGATCACCGGTAAGAGATCACACGCCTTTAGCATCTCGTGCGGCGGAATGGTGATGCGTCCGTTTTTGAACACGACCTTGCTCAATGCCGAAGCCACGACCGGAGATTTGGCGGATCTGAGTTGCTTTTCCGGCGAGTAGGGCTGCTGGGCGTAGAATGGATCGTCGTTAACGTTGTGGTGGCCGTCTTGCGGTAACTTTTGCTGCTGCCGTGGGTACAAGGAGATTGATTTTGGCTCGATCTGGGCGCCCTTGCTGACAAAATGGGTGACCACGTACAACCACTTCTCGTCCCAGCTGAGGACCCGGGTCCACATGTCGTATTTCTCGTAGGGCATGATTTCCCTCCTGAAGGTGCAGCTGACGGCGCCCAGTGCGACGGTGAAGTTACTTCGAGGTCTTTTGGTCAGGAGGTTCGGGCTGGTGTCTCCTCGAATGCGATCGATGCCTTTGCCAAACACGGTACTGATGAGGTGAGCACGGGCGACGTCGACGTCGGTGAAGTATGTGCTGTTGGACTTGTGGCCGAGCGCGTCGACCTCCATCTGACAAGCCCTAGAAGACATGACCAGCGGCTGAAAGAGCTGGTCCGGCTGGATATCTGGTTTGTGGCGTTGAGACCGGAGCACAAACCGGACACCATTGAGGATGCGGAGGTGATAGACAAGCGGGAAAGCTTTGAGGTTGAGAAGCACCACGACCAGCAGAAAGAGCTTCCAGGCATGGCTCCAGGTGAGTAACTGGGCGGCGGACGTACCCCAGGCCGTGAGGATTGAATGATCAAAATCAACAAAGGATGCGCTCGTCGAGTTGGGTGCCATACTGATCAGGGAGAACCCCTCGGCAACCGAGGGTGTGAGCTTATTCATCGTCGCTCTCGAGACCGGTGGTGTACTGCAGTCAGGCGTACCAAGAGGATGAAGCTTTTACATAAGGGGGCAGTAACGACAATATATTCATTCGGCAGAGTTCCGAAGTTCTCAGGGGGCTCCCATGATGAGCCCCAGCTGTCTCCATCCGATGACGACCGCGAAATCTCGATCACCAGGGGGAGATGAGGTGCTGGTCGCGCGTCGCGTTATAATGGCCCATAAAGTGGCAAGTTGAATCAGAGACACGGCACACGTCAGCCCCTAGGCCCGGGCCCTCAAATTAACGCAGGTCAGGTACGTTGCTGAAACGACTGACTCAGAAGAGAGTCTGTTACACTCCCTCTTGCTCTTTCTACCATGCGCTCACCTGTTTCTTCTGCTACATCAGGCCCCAGTTGGAATATTTGTGTGATTCATAAGTCGCAGCCATATTTACATCTCGCTCGTATGAGAAAGGACGATCTCAGCTCACCTTGTCTCCCAATGCCCTTTCAAGCACGTCGGACCTTTCATTCTGCGAACTATTGTGACACCATCGCTAGCGTGGTCCACATCGAGAGAGGCGGGGCAACCTCCACTCGTAGATTATATGCCCTAGACCCAGTACGTCCTCAGTGTTCGAGGTACCAGGGGCCTGGCCGATTGCTTTGCAGATACGGCGCGCGCTAACTTGGGCCAGGCAGGATATAGTCCGGACAGATCGGAGTGGGTGATCTCAATCCACCTGACGTGTATCACAGTACGCTGGCAGATCCATCAGAGCTGTCACCCATCGGAACTATTGCAACGCCAATGCTGATGGGATTCCGCATCTGCAGGAGACGAAAAGCTTAGTTGGTCACCCTGGTAAGCTAGGTACCCTGTCCGCGCCCGACCTCTGAGGCGCCAGGGGGTCGGACGATCGTCCCACACACAAGGTTCGTTAACGCGGGCTTAGCCAGACAGGATCCGGCGTTGTTTATTTTGACGTTGCGCCACGAGTCGCGAAGACGACCATTGCTGTTGACTGGTGTTTGCACAAAGCCATCGTTCGGTCACACCCAAGATCAATCAGTGTCCTCGCGTGAGCGTAGTAAGATTTCTTTGATTGTATATCATTGAGACTATATACCATTCTGGACAACATAGGAAATATTATCTTGTATCAAAAGTACTCAGTACTCGGTACTCCGTACCCCATCCTGCATATGTTGATCAATGTAGCCAGCACCCAGTAACCCCATTCTGCGCCCCAGTGATCAATGTAGTCAGTACCCAGTGCATGTTCTTGCGTTTGGTTGATGATTGTACGCCACTTTCAACGTAAAGTGCAGCCTAGGTGCATTTGGCCTCTTGGACGCTCTCGATGACGGCGGCGGTGGCGGACTTCAGCAGGTCCGTTGCCAATGCGGTGGTCTCCGGGATTGCGGGAAGATCCTGCTTGACCGCTCGTCGCATAGTCTTCTTGGCCGGTGGGTTCTTGTAGGTCGCGAGGTAGAACATGATGAACAGGACCAGATAGGATGAAATAATGGCACAACCCATGGCGGCCGCAACTTCCTGGCGAGGATCGCCACATGTGCCGACGTGTGGCATCCACGGCGCATAAGTGCTGGCATAGTAGTTGTAGCAGGCGAAATAGATAAATCCTGCCAAATATTATTGCTTGCGCTGGGCAGCGGAGTCGGATATGTATATTTACCTAGGTCGAGGACGAATTGGGTGATTTGGAACATGGTAATATACTGCTTCCACCATACCTTGACTCCCCGCGCGGCTTGGAAGTAGTACCTAGACTCGGTTAACGTCGTCGTCCAAGGTGAGCGGACCAGCGATATGCCAAACGTACCAGTACATAACCACATGCACGCCCAGGTTCAGCGTGATGGGAACCCAAGAGACCGAAGTCTGACCGACCAGCTGGGTGTAGCAGAGCAAGGCCGTGGCACCGTGGTGGTAGGTGTGCAAAAACGTCAATGGCTTCTTCCTGACCACCAAGAACACGGTGTCGAGCAGCTCGACATATTTGGTCAGATAATTCAGATAGTAGAGAATCACAAGCTTGTCTGACCAGCCCGTTGCACCACAGATACCGTCATACAATCCATTTTCCCACAGTCCAGGCGCCAACTGCTGGGTGAACAAGACCAGGAGCGCTCCCGAGATCATGGTCAGACAGAAGTTGTGGACCATGAACAGGTTGTTCAACTTCATCGCCGGACGATTGCGCATCAACTCGCGACCGCCGAAGATGACTGCGTAGTAGGTGACGATGAACATGGCCGTCTCCTTGAGCGTCGACATTGGTGTGCGGCCCTGGACGAAACGAAAGTTTTCCGCCCCGACCCCCTTGATCCCTGTATACATTGTGTCGAAAAGAGTCCACGGATCCGACTTGACGAACATGCCAGGCATGGCGGGCATGCTGCTGAGTTGGTGTGCGAGTGGTGCCGAGGTGGCATACGGCAGGAAGTTTGCCGCAGCATTGTAGGTGACATTGATGAACTCCATGGCGGTCAGGTGTGGAAGAAGCTGTGCGGAATGGGGTTCTTGAGCGAGGGTATTATCCGCAAGCGACGACCTGAGCCGCAAAAAAAAAAACACGTAGCGAGTGACAAAAGAGGGCGTCCCGGAAACGAATGAAGGGAGTAGAGCACTGGCCGCACTTACTCGGAGGATGTCGTGCGGTCGATGGGGGGTTTTATGATGGCGGGAGCAAAAGGGGATCGTCGATGGAACCGCCCTGAGTCTTCACGGGGCCGGACTCCAGGTCCAATAATGACCTCATGCCGTTTCAATTTGAGTGTGTATCCCGCATGTCAGAGCAACAGGATAGAGGTCCTTCTTGGAGAGTAGCAATCTCATCGCGATCTCAGCTCCTGTCAGACCTTGTTAAGGAGTTCCCCTGGCCGAAGTTTGTCGGGGACCACAGTTCAATGGGTGTACCTGAGTACTCTCCGTCGAGGACTCTAAGTCGCTCAGACGACAGCTCCATCTGAGCGCGCAACAATGCAGGATCCCAGAGCGGCCATGTGCCGTCGAGTCCGAAGGCGAGTGGGTGGTCCAGAAGGGAGCATTTGAAGAGTGGAGCAAGGTCGCCTCGTCCAATTGCCCGGCAACGGATCAGGAGCACCTGCGCAAGGCTGGTAAATCCTTTTTGTCATGTCTGTCAAGGATGGGTACTCTCTGTCCAGGGTGAGTACTCGCTATGCAAGATAAGATAACCATACTTGCGTTCATAGGTGTTAGCATCGATAGATGGACTGTGGCGCCCTTAGCAAGTGTTGAGGTACCCCGCAGCGACACTAACCGCAGATCTTAGGGCTTGTCACGAACGAGCTATGCCGTGCTCGCCAAGCCGGTCCACTCTCGCCGAGTTAGTCAATGTTCGCCAAGCTTCTCCCTATTCAGGAGTCAACCGAACTCGCCTCTTAGCCGAAAGAGATCTTTCCGGCTGTCGATCTCCCGTGTCGTATTGACCAGGGATCAATAGATTGCCGAAACTGCCCCTGTTTGAGAAATTCCATCTGGGTGTCGCCAAAAAAGCCATTCTGCTACTCGTAAGGCACTCCAAGGCTGGGCACTTCTGAGAACGCCTGGCACAGGGATTCGCCTGCTTGACGTAGGTGCTCTGATGTGATGGCGATGCCAAGTCTCGGATCCCCTGTGTGCTGCCGGATACCAAAATCCTCGTCCCAGAGAGGCCTGATCCTTCTGAGACATACATTGTGGATCGGCGCACTCAAGCCTCATCCACATGACGCACGGCCGGGTCAGGAGAGGGCATACCCGTAAAACCCCTGTCGTATGCAGCGTGTCAATCGTCTCGTTCAGTCGAGCGAGGTAGGGTGCAGGGGCGTCCAAGGAAATAAATCCCCAAACATTCGACTGACACTTTCGCTGGCGGTGTTGGCAATTCGATCTCAGCAGTCATATTTCCCCTTGAGCCCGCCGTTTTCTTTCCTTTCCTCCATCACGGCCGACCCTTTGCTTTCGTTGCCTGCCGCCATGTCTTCATCTGTTGGATTCGTGCCCTTGATGGGCGTCACCGGCATCGCTGCCCTGTTGGTGGGCAAGTACTCCGAGAGCATCGACACAGCTACGGCTCTGCAAGTGGCCCTGCTCGTGGCAACTGTTTCGTATGTCTTGTACTGCAGCTGGATCTATCCCCTCTACCTCTCGCCATTGAGGCACATTCCCACCGTGCCCGGGTTTCCTCTCTGGGGCCACTTCTACACCATCATCACGTCGGAATGTGGCGTGCCGGCGCGCGAGTGGCACCAGAAATATGGCCCTATCGTGCGCTACTTCTTCCCCTTCGGTAGCGAACGGCTGTCCATTGCCGACGACGACGCCATCAAACACATGACGGTCCGGAACCCGTATAATTACCCGAAACCTGAGCGAGCCCGGAAATGGATGATGCCAGTCTTGGGCGAAGGTGAATTCCATATCCAACTCAACCCGGCCTTCTTGGCTTTGGGTTATCCTTGCGATGGCTGTTCTAATGCGATAGTAGGCGTGCTCCTCGCTGAGGGCCAGGCCCATGTTACACAACGGAAAGCGCTGACGCCCGCCTTTTCGATCACGTCCATTCGGTCTCTAATGCCCATCTTCTGGAACAAGTCGTTGCACATGGCGGAGCTTTGGGAGCAGGAGATGGTTGACGAGAAGACCGAGAGCAAAAGCTTCGAAGTTTTGGAGTGGCTCAACCGGACAACTCTGGACATTATCGGCCGCGCCGGTCTGGGAACGGACATCGACTCGCTCGATAACCCGGAGACGCCTCTGAGGGATGCGTATCGCCGCTGCTTCAGCTTTGACCTCGAGGCTCGTATCCTCAACGGCCTCGCGGCGTTTACGCAGCTCGTTCGCATACTGCCTGCTCGCACGAACCGTGACATCGTCGTGGCTAGGAACATTATCTTAAGCCGCGCCGAGGCCATCATCAAAGAGAAGCAAGCCAACGCCGGCACCGTGCAGAAGAAACCGGCTCAGAAGGATATCATCGGCCTCATCGTCCGGGACAACATGACCGCGAGCAAGGAGGACACATTGACAATCGAGACCATGCGGAACCAAGTCATGACCTTCCTTGGTGCCGGGTAAGCGCCAATCCCCCTCCCCCCTCTTTCTGTTTTCGTGTCGGTGCAACGTGTAGGCTAACGTTTTGGGTCGATAATGATTTCAGACACGACACAACCGCAACGTCTGTGGCATGGACGCTCCTGATGCTGGCCAAACACCCAGATGTGCAAGCCAAATTGCGCGAGGAGATCCGCTCTCAGATGCCCTTCCTCTTTGACCCAGACGCCCGACAGGACAGCGAGACCATCGAGAAAGCCGACGTCGACCTTCTGCCCTACCTCGAGGATGTCTGCAAAGAATCTCTGCGCTACATCCCGTCAATACCCATGACTGTCCGTCGCACGATCGCTGACGACCATCTCGGAGGGTACTTCATTCCTGCGGGAACGGTCGTGTATCTCATGGCCAACGCCATCAATCATCTCCCCATGTACTGGGGCGACACCGCCAACAAATTTGACCCGTCTCGCTGGAAGAATCTCCCACCAACATACACGACGAATGCTTTCATGACCTTCCTACAAGGTAAGTCTCTGAAATGCAAATCCCAGCACCAACCTCACTCCTGTTTCCCACTTTTCCACATGTCAAGCTGTGCACAAGTTCCTCGCTAACTGTGCTCTCCTCCCCGTAGGTCCACGAGGCTGCGTCGGGCGCAAGTTCGCCGAAGTGGAGATGAAGACCATCTTGTGCTCTCTGTTGAGCAAATTTCACTTCGAACCGGACATGTCAGTCCAAGATCCCGAGGAACTGAAGATGTGGCGCCTTGTTCTGCGACCTCGCGATGGCATCAGCTTGAAGGTGACCAAGCTGAAAGAGTGAGCGCCCGAAATCAAACCATGTGATGGCTGGGACTTTCGACGGGAAAAATCTTCTCACCACTTTACTACCTTCTCCCACATATTTTTCCTTTGTCAGGCAGGCGGCGTTAAATTTGAATTAGGTGTGTAAGTCAGAGCCTATATTGAAGCCAGAACAGAACACAGCGCCTAATAAACTGCTTCTTTTCTCTGCCCAATCCCCGACACACCTTTTGCACTGCCTCGGCTACAGGCTCGAACTGCGTCTTTGATCCCAGTCGAGAGAATGATCCACCATTCTCGTCACCCATTCTCTCGGGAGTGTCTCAACCGGAATGGTGCAGTGGTCGTCGACGGACGGAGATCTCTTTTTCTTCTCATTTCGCTGGCGGTGGGGCAGTTGAGCTCGATCAGGGATCCCTCACTCTGGGATCAAAGAAGAATGCTCAAGTCGCTATTGGGAAAGAGGATTCGCCGAAGGAGCGCCGTCCTAAGGATCGGAGGACAGGCACTGCTCTGGCTATTGCTGTAATGTCTCGACGTGAGTGAAGTCAAGGTTAATTCTGAGAACAATAAGAAAGGGTGGCGGGTGAGGGAGTGTGAGTTGGGGGTGAGTTGAAGGTGAACTGATGGCGAAACGTGGGAAACTGCGAGGTGAGAAACGTTGAACTTTAAAAGGGGCGTGCGGCAGGGAAGGTCCGCGGTACAGTACTCGTACGAGTACTCCGTACCTTCACCGTCAATTTACTCTCTATGAGGATGAAATGCTTCAAGCCCGCCATAGACCCTCGCCTTCACCAACCATGCATATTGCTTTACTGAATACCTTCGCTGCCTCTCTGTCCTCGCGGCGCTTGATATTACCCTGGAGCCTACTGTGTACAGCTTAAGCTAGCAGAGATGAAGTAGGTCTCAATAGGTGCCGCGGTTCATTGGTCTACTGACTTGCAATCTCTTGATCAACAATCATATTTAGCTATGATTTGCGCACTCTATCCCGAAGCCTCCAAAGACGGAGAGGTGTCCAATGCGTCCAAGGCTACTCTCTTGATCAGCGCTGGCAATGGCTTCACATATGGTGATGAGCAACCGAGGGCCCTCTTGCCTGTGGTGAACGCGTGTCAACCGTGCAGTCTTCGGAAGCGAGAGTGCGACAGAAATTGCTTATCCCACACGGCCTGTACTAGATCTGTGACATAGCATTCTCACGCTCACTACGCAATCCGAGTCCTCTCGTTGGTAGATTGGGTCGTATTTGTGTTTATGAGGGCGATAGGGCATCAAACTCAATTCCGGCTGAGACACAATACACCAGGGCTATGGCTGGCGGTTCTATACTTATGCTCTTTGCAGGGTCTGGACCGCCGTGCTGACAGCACTGTCTACAGTGGTGGTTACATTCGCTACCGCTATCCCGGCGTCCGAACCCATCCTCTGCGTCGCTGCACTGCTTACCCTCATCGTGGCTCTCAAAGGCACTTCACGGCTGTCATGCTCGCCAGAAGGCATGTCAGCTTCGCAGACTCGAACTCGCACATGACAACAACTCGATCGCCGCGCGCTAGAATAAATCAAAGTGAATTTCGACGATGCCGTCGATCGGGAAAAAATGTTACACGGCGCGTCAGAGATGTCATGCCGCCCCCGACACGGCGATTCGAACGTCATATCCGGCCTTCAGATAGGGTAAATCATCTATGTGACATGGCCTTTCAACTTCTCAAGACAACATCAACGATGTGCAGTGACGTGACGTCCGTTAGTGGAAGCGCCTGCATATCTATAGTGATTACTGTACTGCGATTCCAGAGACTAGAGCTTTGACTCTGGTCTGATCTGTAGGTCGTGCCGGCTGAGATCTGTAACGCTCTTCTTGCCCATATTACCTAGCATATTGTCGGTGTCGGCTAGCAAGCACTTGAGGACGTGCTCGACACCTTGCTGGCCTCGGATGGCGAGGCCGTACATGTACGGTCTGCCGATACAGACGGCCTTGGCACCCAACGCCAGGGCTTTCAATACATCGCTTCCCGCACGAATGCCACTGTCGAAAATGAGAGTGAGATTGGATCGCTTGACTTTTTCGTCAGCAGCGATCTCAGCAAGAGCGTCAAGCGAGGCAATGGCACCGTCGCATTGTCTTCCGCCGTGGTTGCTGACAATGATGCCATCCATGGCGTAGTCGATCGCTCGGTGGGCGTCATCGACGGTCTGGATCCCTTTGAGAACAATCGGGCCGTCCCAAAGCTTCTTCAGGATCTCTAGATGCTTCCATTCTCGGTATGTCCCCGAGTTCAGGACATCTAGCCAGGCCCTTGACTTCTGAAGCAGTGACACGTTTGTTAGAACTTTAGCCGCACCGTAGACGGAGCCGGGTCTCCTCAGGGTGGCCCATAGTTCGGCGAGCTTTCCCCCGTAACTCCTTGTATCGTTCCTTTGGATTTCCTCGTATCTCGCATTGAATACCGGGTCGGAGTGGCCGATCTGGCACCCGTCGCCCCAGATGAAAGGTAGGTAGGATGTGTCGAGATCTGTCGGCCGCCAGGCTAAGTTGAACGTGTCGAGAGTGACTACCAGCACTGTGTAACCGTTGGCTTTTGCCCGATTGAGCAAGCTGACTGTGACCTCTTCCCATTGCGGTCGCGGCCAGTACAGCTGATACCAGCGCGCCCCGCTCCCATTTGCTTCTGCCACCTGCTCGATGGTCCGTGTAGCGGCCGACGAGAGAATCATCGGAATCCCGACCTAGGATTCCCCGGAGGATATCAGCTATAGAACCTGACACCCCTCGCCACGGCGGCTTCAAGCAGTCGACCGCCAACCGTTTCAGTCAGCACAACGCAGGCATAAAGAGGCTCTCACCTTTTCGCAAGCCCAGGCAGTGGCCTCTTCGGCATCCTCATGCATGATCTTCTGGACACCGACTGGTGCCACCAGAAGCGGGCTGTTATACTTTTTGCCGAAAAGCTCGATGCTCATGTCCCGCCGAGTCGCGTTGACCAGCATGTGAGGTCGGATTCGGTAACGATCGAAAGCTGCGATATTAGCTGCGTGGGTGCTGCCGCTGGAGGCCGAGCCATGGACATAGCCAAAGTTAGCGGCTGGAACCCTTGCACGAGCTAGAGCCTCCCATTCAGGCGGCTTGGTTGAGAATATAGGTGCTCGGAGAGAGGAGTAGATCTCCCGTTGATATGCAGAATAGTTATTCGGGTCAGGTTCTGTATACGATTGATCCAGCTTGGCTGCCTCGTCTTTGTTCGCCATGGCCGTTTACGGGTTGCCCTCTGTACTTGCTTGGTTCAATTCTCGTGCGAAGGAGGCGGAGGCGGACACATATAGAGCAGCGGCGACATAAAGCCAGAAAGACTATGCAATGTTTGTCTCCGGCTGGGGGTTGATTAGCCGTGGGTGATGTTATGACTGGGAGACGGGGTATCGTGTAAGAGTATCTACACCGATACTGTAGCTTCCAGGTTGTGAACGGTTGATACCGAGGTTCATGTTTCGAATCATGTCACGTGAGCCCAGGACAAGGTTTACAGGGAAGGAAGGCCTTTGGCGATTGGTCGATTACCGAGCGAGGCCTCTCCGTCCAGAAGGACCAAGTCTAGACCTATTCGGGACCGAAGCAGATCTGCGTGACGTCGTCGCGTTTCAACCGATGATCAAATGCTGGTGTTGAAGCTGCACAACCGCACTTCCAAGTTTCTTCACCTTGGTTTCTCGCTCGTTCACCTTATCTCCCTTGCTCGTCCTGACCTGTGCTTGTCTCTCCTGTCAAGAGCACAACTTTGCTCTTTCCCTGGCCATTGACTCGCTTTCTCCTCAGCTATCAGTATGGCGCACAAGTCACTCCAGACGAATTTCGACGTGGACTATGTTATCAGCTACCGCATGCCCCAGGATGAAGGTTGGCTTCCACTGACCATACCTTGTGATCTGATACTGAGCCTTTACAGGCAAGGAAGCTGGCATCACGCAGTTTAGAAAACTCATTCGAGCACTGGCCGAGACTGGATTGACTACCGAAGTCCGACGCGGCGATGAAACATCCTTACTTGTCTTCGTCAAGGCTGCAGACGAAAAGATACTTGCCGAAGTGGTCCATAGGTCGAGGATCAAAGATTGGCTGCATGGGGTACGACAGATCCAGCCTTCAAACGATGTTGCCAACATCCTCACCTCCGAACCCATGACGGACGCCGAGCGACTTCGACACATCCACCAAATGATATGTTGTCCTCGGGAAGAAGGTGGCGCTGGTATAACGACAAAACATGGAGAATGGAAGAACGTCGAAGCTGTCTTCCCACTCCACGATCACGTCAAGAACAAAAAGTGGCTGAGCGAGTTTACACGGAAGACATTTCTGACTCCGGATGATTTGGACGAAATCAGAAACACTGTTGGCGAGAAGGTGAGATGCATGACACATGTGGCGGAACGCAAACTGACGAATCCAGATTGGCTACTATTACGCATTTCTCCAATCCTACTTCTCCTTCATGATCTTCCCTGCCGCTTTCGGCTTCTCTTGCTGGGTTCTCCTGGGCAACTTCTCCCCCATCTACGCAATCGTCAATGGTCTGTGGTGTGTGGTGTTCGTTGAATACTGGAAACGTCAAGAGCAGGAATTGGCCATTCGCTGGAACGTGAAGAACGTTTCGCTTATCGAGGACAAGAGGAGGGAATTTGCACCTGAGAAAGTTATTAGCGATCCTGTGACGGGTGAACAGGTTTCGTTCTTTCCAGCGAAGAAGAGACTGCAGAGGCAGCTCCTCCAACTACCTTTGGCAGCCATGTGTGTTGTGGGCCTTGGGGCTATCATATGCACCTGTTACGCCATTGAGATCTTCATCTCAGAGGTGTATGACGGCCCGCTCAAGTCCGTGCTTGTCTTCCTTCCCACAATCTTGCTCACTCTGGCTGTTCCCACCATGAGCAATTTCCTCACCGGGTTTGCCGAGAAGCTCACGTTCTACGAGAACTACGAAACACAAGACGCTCACGACAAGGCCATGATCTCCAAGGTTTTTGTCATCAACTTCATTACCTCTTATACGGCGATCTTCCTCACGTCTTTTGTCTATGTCCCCTTCGCCTCGATCCTGGTGCCTTATTTGGACGTCTTCAGCATGACGGTCAGACCTTTTGCCGAGAACGAGAAGCAACTTCAAACACCATCACCCGCCACATTCAGCATCAATCCCAACCGGTTACGCAACCAGATGATCTACTTTGCAGTGACAGCGCAAATTGTCAATTTCGCAATGGAGACGGTCATGCCAGTCGTCACGCAGCGCGGTACCAAGAAATTTAGGGAAATGCAATCTCAACGTGCAGAGAAGAATGGTGGTGCTACGCCATCGGTTGCTGACCACGATCCGGCCGAAGAGAAGGAATTTCTTGCTCGAGTGCGTGAGGAGGCTGCTTTGCCCGAGTACGATGTGACGTCCGATCTACGTGAGATGTGTATCCAGTTTGGCTACCTCTCCTGCTTCAGCGTCATCTGGCCCCTCACGCCGGTCTCGTATTTCATCAACAATTGGATCGAGCTCCGTGGGGACACGTTTAAGTTGGCCGTTGAGTGCCGCCGACCCAACCCCGCCCGCGCCGACAGCATTGGACCGTGGCTGAATAGTCTCGAATTCCTCGCTTGGCTAGGCAGCATCACATCCGCGGCCTTGGTGTATATGTTTTCTGGTAACGACGGGCACGGTCCGGATGGCAGGCCACACCAGATCAAGCTTTGGGCGTTGTTGCTTAGCGTTTTCCTATCGGAACACATATTCCTCGTGGTACGTGTGCTGGTACGGACAGCAATAAGCAAGCTTGATTCAGCGGCGATGCGCAAAGAGCGGAGCGAACGGTTCATGGTGCGCCGCAAATATCTGGAGGACGCCGGGCTAGGACATGCTGTCAAACCACTCGCATCGCCCCCCAATAGCCCGCTGAAGACTGAGTCGGGAGAACAAGCCTTTGCAAGCATCACGAGACAGAGTCTTGAAGAAGACGCACGGAATCAAAGCACCTCCACCAAGGGTGGCGTGGAAGGCGCGACTGAAAGATTCTGGCTAAGACAGCGAAGCTGGGCTGAAAGCGAGCGCGTCGGTTTGGGAATGATTGAACTCATGGAGTTAGGGACGAAAAAGGCGAAGAAGGCGCAATGAACCTGAAGCACTGGTCGAACGGTAGGATGGCTTTTGCCCTAAAACCGGATGCATGGTGATCAGAGTAGAAGTTGCTCCAGAGTGTATGAAACGTGGGCTACGAATGAGCACCTCAGGACAACGATCGTTACACCTCAGGTGTAATTATAATGCACGTATGGTCATGAATAACGATGGAATGCGGTCACGGGTCGTAGAGCAGGGGAATTCTCTCAGACATGATGATTGTACTAGACACTGAATGGAGTTCGGTACTCTGCCCACCGCATCCCACGCCATGAGGGAGGAAAAGCGGGCAGTTTCCCAACAGCGTCAACTGGGTGTCGACCGGAGATCCAGATCCGGAATAGTGGGCATCTGCATTTAGGCATCTGGGCATCTGGGCATCTGAATCATCTCACCGTCAAGTGAGTGAATGGTGAGGCGACATGCCATCAATTTCAACACATCATCAAACTTGCGCCAGTATCATCCAGATCTCGTCGTCCATCGGTTCTTCTTCTTCATTCCTCCATCTTTCCCATCTTGCAATCAGATCGGATCACGCTCCTGCCCTTAAACATCTCCTCACCGCGCAGCCGCGCTTCATCCATTGAGCATCCATTATGATCGACGACGTCCCATCCACAACAAATCAACTACCCCCATCACTCCTCGATATTCTATCCAACTCGATCGTTCTGGATGGTACTCTCCCTTATCTATCCTTGTCGACCATCTTCGCCTTGGCTAGGACATCACACGCCCTGCGAGACTTACTCTTGAATGCGCCAAGAGCCTTCCGATATGTTGATTTGTCGAAATGTCGGGGGGCTTATGTGCCGCCGAATCTTCTCACCAGGATAGACTCTGGTGGCCACTCTTGGCGGGCGGAACGTATGGATGAGAACCTTACCGAAGACGAATTCTACGCCGGACCGCTCCGCGGCGTGTTTGGGAAGTTGCGACGCATGCACGTGCTGCAAAGCGTCCACACTCTGGTACTGGACGACCTCGCCTCTGTTACCGTCGACTTGATCAACGATATTGTCACTGCCCCGGAGTACAACGTGCGCTTGCTCAGTATCCGGCGGTGTCTGAACGTCAACCAGCCCAAACTACAGCAACTTCTGTGCCACCTGTGTCGGCCAAGCAGACCCGAGGGCACTCCTCGCTTGCAAGGTCTCTATGTTTTCACCCCACCAGTTCAGGAACCCTTTGACTATGTGCATGCCTTTGACTACAATTTCGACACCATGGGCGTCTTAGGGTACCACGGCGCTCAGCTCGGAGCCCAACACAAGACAAACTGCACCACTAACTCACGTACCATAGAACCATGGTATGCAGCCAGTGGTCAGGTCATTTCCCAGGGCCATGCACAGCGGAGCTCCTGGGAAGAAACCATACAGACCTGCAAAGGCATCATCAGCTTTGATGCTGTCCTGTGCAGTCACATGCATGCCGATATGGCACCTGTGCTTCACGTCGCTTCCAGAGACTACTTGTCAAAGAACAAACCAGGCATTCCTCCCCTAGCAACCGTTGCCCTTGGGCCTACAGGATGTGCCGGCTGTGGAAGGCACCCTCATGACGCACCCGTTTGGGGCGAGAGCGACATTCGAGACTTTCCTCTTCTCTGGCCTCCACCGCACTCGGGGAGACTTGTTGACGCAGTCCGACCTCCACCACGTGTTGCCGAAGACGGACAGATCCTCCCTGCAAGATTGATCGTCTCGTGCACCTGGTGTCTCACCAACCGACATTGCGACAGCTGTCACCGATGGTGGTGCCCCGACTGCTATAATCCCAAATTGTCAAGGCAGCTCACCACAGATATAGAACGGCTCTCCGGTACCTCGGCCGGCTTCTTGCCGGCTAATGCAATCAAAGGTGGATCTAGCGAGGGTGATCGCGTCAAGGTATTTAATGGTCTCTGTGTTGAAAATTGCCTTGTCGGTGAATGGATGGCTGGAGCAGGAGGTGGCGGAATGTGGGGATAGTGAGGGCTCGCGTCGAGGAACACGAAGGCCGCCATTCGCACATATCGACTGGATGGTGTTCGAAGCCCAAGATGGGACAATTTGTGATTCTAAAGACAGGAGGGATGCCGCCAGCCCGGACGCCGACAGATCCCATATCCCCTTTCACAATCCACTCAACGACTCTGCCTTATCATTTCACATGGAAGCGCTAACGTCCTCTCTTTTCTCTCGCACGCAGCTCCACTCCAACCTCCCGAGCCTGAAACCCGGGCAAGCAGCCGTGACGCTGAACTGCTGGGAGTGCGGCCGTCAATGTCAGGATTGCACACAACAATGGGCCAAGATCTGCAGACGATGTAAAGGCAGCTACTGTTTCGTCCACAATACTGGTTGTGACGAGAAGAATGTAAACGTGTTTCCTTCTGTGTTTTCGAGTCTCCGGCTGACCATCGACCTCAACAGTGCGATTGGTGCATGTGAGTCTCCAACGAAGTTGTTTACACCACCGCCGCTCTCCAGAAGAACTCGAGATGACCAATGCCGTAATTACAAAGCTGACATCCAGCAGGCATCGCGGTGGGAGGAGGACAAGAGAGCTTTACTGATATGGGAGTGTGTTCCTCCAACCTCGACAACAGGCAACTTCACAGCATGTGTTGGTGATCCTCCAACCTTGACAATAGGAGCTTCACAGCGTGTAGCAGCGACCTGTCTTCTACTCAACTCTTTGTCCGGTCCACTGAAGCCAGGCCACGGAGCCCTCCCGTACGAGTTCTCATGTCCAACGCCCAGCACTCAACTCAGTCCGCCACCACTCACAACTGTCCACTCACCTCTCTCATCTCAACCCTATACTTGTCCGTCTCTCTCCTCCAACGCCATCTCGACCGTTACCTACATTCGACAACAGCACAGCAGTGAAATTCGACCTGCAGCTGCGTCACTGTCGTCTCTTGTGCTTGGCTACTGTGCGATGCTCAATGCATGTTAGACGGTGTACTCTTCCTCGTTAACAGGGCTTGACAGGGAGGACGCGTCCACCCACCGCGGCGTTCCTTTCCCCCTGAGGTTATTTTCCTTACCCTACCCGGTGTCGGCAGAGCAGGATCCACCGAACGGAATCAATAGGGCATCATTGAGTATATTGCCTCTAAAGGAAATGAGCGGGTGGTGTCCACAGCCGGGGTTGGAAATCACTGGAGAGAACAGACAGGCTCCATTATTGCGTCTACAGCCTGGGAAAATTCAGCTTAATTCGTTTCCCCTCCAGTATCATACAATAGACCAAGCTACCTGGTAGCTTATGGACCCGTCAGATTCAGATTCAGGTTCAGATTCAGGTTCAGATTCAGGTTCAGGTTCAGGTTCAGATTCAGGTTCAGATTCAGGTTCAGATTCAGGTTCAGATTCAGGTTCAGATCTTGGGTGTCCGGTTCAGCGTAGCGCCACTACTTAACGTACCATTTTTGCCTATACCTAGGTAGACAGTCCATCTCCTTCGTCATGAGTCCGCGACTCGGCGCTCCGAACCACTATAGCAACTCCGAGACTTGTCGAATCTTGTAATCGGCAATCTCGACTCCCATGCACACAAAAAAAATGAGAGATTTGACTCTCCTCTCGCTTTTAAGAAGGTCAATCGCAAGAATAGGAGCGGGTCTCGGCTCTGCTCTCCATTATACATACCTTTCAAGTTCCGCGCACCTAGGTATGCGTAGTGTTCTTATTTACTTATTGAGATCTTGAGATCGCCCCTTTACCTTTAGAGCCAGCACCCTCCGGGCCACCACCAGCCCTCAAAGACAGCTACATACTTATCGCCGTAGTAAATCTTAGCATATCTCCAACCGTATAACAGCGAGAAGAGTTATTGAAAGAGTGCGACTCAGCACTCCTAATCCTCCATGAAAGAGCTGAGAGTGCGGGGTCCGTTAATTCGAGAACGCTGCCGTGAGTAGCCGCCCTTGTCTACAGTATGATTTCCACCGGTGACACACACATACGTAACCCCTCTGTGCTCAAATGAATTCGATCGAGTCGAGTCGACAGGGAGTGAAACCGTGAGGCTGTTTGAAGTGGCATCACATAACGTTCAAGTCATTGCATCAGTGCGCCTTATCTTAGTCTACAGTATGATGCTCACCAGTGACACACATGCGCTTTGGGCTTGGGATTGGGATGAGTTCGCTCGAGTCGAAGGGATAATTATCAAAGGTGAGGTCGTTTGGAGTGGCGTCACGTTCAAGTCATTGCGTCGTTTAGTCATTCACTCGCGCGCCCTTTCAGTACCAAGCAGCCATCGACGTTGACCTACAGTAGCGACGACATCGTCTAGAGTCCTCCGTATTTCGTGCAAGAATTCGGTGTCTCTGTATCTCTGTATCTCTGTCCAAGCTGTCGATTATCAATGTGTATACATTAAACAGAGCCCTTATTGAGACGCCATCGCTGACCCAAAAACATGGATGCAAGGCCCCACAGCGGGTCTTTTACTGTGCTATTCTTTTCCCCCAAAACAACGCGAATATGCAATCACAATTCCCTCCTGCTGATGGCCCGAGTGGTGGTGACCCCTCCAGGCACATGCTGCTGCTGCTGCTGCCAAGCCATGCTGGACATGATGGCCAGTGTATCGTTCGGGTCGGCGCCCATGTCTGCCATGCTCGTGAAGCCCGAGAAGTAGAAGCCCAATACCACCACCAGGTAGGTCATGACCAGAATGCTGCCTTTGAAGTAATTGCTCTTGCCTTCTCCCGACATGTAGCTGAGCAGGAAGACGCAAAGAATGATCGTTACCATGTCCCACTGAGGGAAGATAAGGTTGAAGGTGTGGTCTATCAGTCGGCTGGGGTCGATAAATTGCCAACGCAATGCCGTGAACAAAACGAGAGCAGGGAGCTGAAGCAAGCACACCTGCAACGCGTATGCCGAGCCAATCTCCATGCTGAGGGCGATGTTACCGTTCATCGCAAAGGATATGCCGTTAAGAAATTCGGTCGTATTTGGTACGAGCGCAAAGAGGGTGATACCAAGGAATTTCTCGTCAATGTCGACAGAATCGAGGACAACATCAACAGTATCGACTAATATTTCTGCCACAATGGCGTAGGCCAGTGTTGCTGTGAGAAGAATGATGGAGGACTTTGCTCGCGACCAATTGGGAGCATCATGTCCGCCACCTTCTGCCGCAGGCTGCGCAGCTTGCTCAGCTGCGGCATTCGCGTAGCCTTCGTCTCCTACGGTATCCCTGCGAACTACTGAGGGCTTCTGACCTTTCACAGTATCTGTTTTGTAAGCATGTGTTGCTTGGTATGACGCGCGATTCGGATGATTGACGGCATCCCGAGTCGCGATGGTAGCGGCAGTGGCTGCCAGTTCTGCGACCTGGCGCACAAGGTTGTTGTTGTCTTCCTCCGACAATCCGGGAACCACGGGATGCAGGGAGGGACTCCGAATGTCGTCGGGTCCGTGACTCGATCTCGGGGGAACAAGATGGGGCAAATCACCCTTGTTTTGATGGTCGAGTGCCGAGACTTGCGATGCGGTCTCGTGAGCCCCAAGTCCATCTCGGTCGGCGTTGCCGTCACCGTCTGGCAGCCCTGCTGACCGTAGAGACTGGCCAAGGATCTTCCTGTACAGCTGGGATTCTCTGATAGCAGATCTGGGCAGATATCCGTCAGGTTTAGGCAGAGTCTGCGAATTGAATACGCTTTGGTGTCGAGTATCCATTGGGCTCACATCAGCAGTGGGTGGAGCTTGCGGTTTCTTTTCGTCATCGGTGCTCCAGATGATGGCGGCATGCGTCCGCAAAGTGAAGAGCAGTCCAATTATGTAGGACGAGAAGAGGAGGATGGCAGCGATCCAACAATAAGGCCGTACCGCTTTGACGAAAAAATCGTCTGTAACGGCAGGAACTTGACGAAAATAGCACTGTCGACAATCCCTCGGCGCCTCGATACCGCCTGGTGTGCATGTCCGACAGATTAGCTCATGACTCCCGTAGATCTTGTAGAAGAGAGTAGGGCCGAATGCTGCTATAACAGCGAACAGCAACATGGTCGAAGTGGCGCTGGCAGATCTCACGTTAAACCGTTGGGTCTTCCGCTTGATTGCGCCAAAGCACATCGACAGCCCAGGCAGTAACAGGATTCCCGCCAGAATGCTGCCAATAATGCTCCCCTCGACCAGAGAAGCTTTTCCCTCGTTGAGGGCAATGCAGTAAAGGTACACTTCGACAACGGTGGAGAAAAATGCGTTGACTGCGGCTCCCATTCCCATGGACGACTGAGCCGAAATCGATGCAACTGCCTGGCCGATGAAATATGCCAGTGGGATGATGGATATTAGTGCCAACGTGAACATGAGAGCTGGACTGGTGAGCCAGAAATTCAAGCCAGCGGCCACCTTCAGGACGAAGTAGTCGAAGATGACAAAAGCCACAACTGCCAGAAAATTGATGAGGAAGATGTTGGTTCCATCGATGGTGTACTTCCAATATTTGATACCGACCGCTCTGTAGGTACAGAGAAGGATCGATGTGGGTTTCGTCAAGCCTCTAGCATGTGAAACGTCACGATGGAAAGTCAGAGCGAGTGGTCGCTTCCGTAGGTGGTAGAAGAGTATCAAAGTGACACGACCCATGGGAATCCAGAAAACCATCAACCAGCATATCAGCGACACCAGGAGCATCAACGGAGCGACGTTGAAATAGTAGAAGATGAAGAAGATGACCCGGCCTAAGGTCCACTGGCCACGGCCAAAGAGTCGCCGCTTGGATTTGGCGCCGACACCGGTGTCATGTACGTCTGTCCTCGCGCTTCGGTCCAGCAAGCTGTCGTTTTCACTGGCAGAATCTACACTGTTTCGATGTCGGCCAACGATGGACCCCGTGTGGGTGACAGTAGGTCCGAACATGAGTCGTCCATACTCGAGATCTCCGCTCTGCCATCGTTCGTACTCACTAATGCTTCGACCTTCGCCTTCGTCTTCCTCCGTATAGTTTTCGTCTTGTTCGAGCCTGACGAACTTGCCGAAAGGCCAGAACAGATAGTTGGCCAGGCCCAGGAATACCCTGCCGTATTCGACCGCGCTAGAGTCGAAGGCAAACAGATAACAGAACAGGGCTCCAATGAGGGCAGCAGCACTCAGCCACCAGCCGAAGAGAACTGTCCACAGACAGTTGAAGAACCACAACCAGCTGCTCACGATCTCACTGGGTGAGGAGTGAATATCTTCTTCAGCTCCTTTTTCGACAGACCTGCTCTTTTTGTATAGGGCAGGCTTCCATATCCTTATACCGAATGGATGCGTCTCATTGATGGCTAGCTGCCGGTCTTTCAACGTGAAGCTCTCAGTATCACTCACTTCCGCATCTTCCGACTCTTCGAGCGGTTCTTCCTCTACCTCGGGCTCAGCCTCATCTTCTGCCGGGACTGTCGATTCCTGTGGAATGAGCTCTTCTACCTCCTCTTCAGCAGAATCGACACGCGGTAATAACGGAGTAGCCGCAGCAGTCCGGCGACGGACGGTGGACTGTGATCTGCTTAGAGTGGGAAACGACTGGGTAGTGGGTGTATGAAGCTCTCGGTCTTCCACGACCTCGTCAGGGTCATCGTCGACCGAGAACTGCTCGCCTCGATGGGGTAACTGTCTCCGGGTGGAAATCCTTCTCATCATCGGTGGAGGCTTCCGCACTCTCGTGGTCTGAGGAGATAGGACTGGCATGGAGGAAGGTGTCTCTGGAGCCTCGTCAGAACGGAAGGCGCTGCGTAGTCTTTGACTGCTCGAACCAGGAGCATTACTGCCGAGAGTCCCTGCTTGCTGTTTAGAAGACGCCTCATCCTCGGAGCGGGCGCACATACCGTAGTCACGCCGAATTGTGGTGTCTCCTCCGAATGGTTCATCTTGAGACCGTAAGTCTGCCGCCGCCGATGCTGCGATCGACGATGACCTTGTAGTAGATTGAACATCTTGCCCTAGTCTATCGTCGGAGTTTCTTTGAGGAAGGTCACTAGATGACATCTTGACTATTCCAATCTTCTCTCACGCAGGTGCTGGATGCACCAGCGGCTTCCAGGAGGCTGCGCTATAAAGTTGCAGGGGCCGTCAGACAGGAGTGCACACAGGCCGGTAGATGCCTGGTCGAGGCTCGAGGACGCATCAGATGAGCGGCGAGAACATAGTCATATGATCGGTCGACAAGATGGCACTGTTTACATTAGGTCAAGAAGTGGCCGAGGTCGAGGTGGTGTGGGAACAAGGCCCGCTGGGAAACGAATGTGGTGTATGCCCGGAAATATTGATAGCAGAGCTGAAGTTCTCTATGGATGAAGGGTGGTAGGTGATCGTCTACCCGCAGTCGCTGTGCTGGACCAAAGTGTGTATCTTGGCCAGGATAACACGTCAATTGGCGCACGTGCGATATACCGCCGCAAGTCAAATACGAGGCGATGGAGCCGAGCAACCCCAGACCGTGGAGGTGTCAAATGAAGCTCCAGGTGCTTGCAGCTTGCATCAAGGTATGACGGATGGTGTTGCAGCAGTGCAGTGGTCACAGTGGTGCAGTGGAGCAGTAAGAGAGCGTGTGATGGTCAGTGGCAGGCTGGTTGCTGTTGTGGGCTGGCACATGTTGTCCTCCCGTCTACACAGTAGGCACTGAGGGAGGCGAGCCGGCTTCCCGAGAGCCACCCACGGACCGCCCAAGTTACTGCCCAGAAGGAAATTGGGTCAAGCTGGAGTTGGCTAGCCACCTACCTCGTACTGTAAGTCAGGCTCGGCAGCCCCGGAAACCTTCACCGTATCGTAGCCGCGACAAGCGCCAACAGCCGCCGTCCGCCTCAGGCTGCGAAGCGCAGTCGCGTCCATCACTCCAAGTTGCCTTTACCTATTGATCATCGTCGTCCGCGAGTTTCTTCCAACACCACATCGGCTCAATCCATTTCTTGGTTTCAAAGTGCATACCAGCAGGCGACACACAGGCAATATTATTCGAACTCTCCGGATTCGCACACCATGGCGCTCGATAACTTCTACCATAACAAAATCGAATCACTCAAGCTCGAAATCATCCAAGGCCAAGCAGTCTTGCGGCGGTTAGAAGCACAACGAAATGACTACAACTCGAGAGTGCGCCTACTACGAGAAGAGCTGGGACTGCTGCAACAGCCAGGCTCATACGTCGGCGAAGTGGTCAAAGTGATGGGCACCAAGAAAGTCCTCGTCAAAGTGCACCCAGAAGGCAAATATGGTATTTGGAACATTTCACCTCATCTCTACCCGGGCTAACAAATCGGCGCAGTTGTCGATATTGCCGACAGCGTGGACATCGCAAAGTTGACTGTCGGCAAGCGGGTGTCCCTTCTATCCGATTCGTACAAGCTCGAAAAGATGCTTCCTTCATCAGTCGATCCCCTGGTTTCTCTGATGATGGTTGAAAAGGTGCCGGATAGCACATACGATATGATTGGTGGTCTAGATCAACAGATCAAGGAGATCAAAGAAGTCATTGAACTCGGCCTCAACCACCCAGAACTCTTTGAATCACTCGGCATCGCTCAACCAAAAGGCGTCCTGCTGTACGGCCCGCCCGGGACAGGAAAGACCCTGCTTGCCCGGGCCGTCGCCCACCATGCCGACTGCAAGTTTATCAGAGTCTCGGGATCGGAGTTGGTACAGAAGTACATTGGTGAGGGAAGCAGGATGGTCAGAGAACTGTTTGTCATGGCAAGAGAACACGCACCCAGCATCATTTTCATGGATGAAATCGACAGCATAGGTTCTAGCCGTGTTGAAGGCAGCAGCGGCGGTGACTCGGAAGTGCAGCGAACCATGTTGGAGTTATTGAATCAGCTGGACGGTTTCGAACCCACCAAGAACATCAAGGTCATCATGGCGACCAATCGACTGGATATCTTGGATCCCGCCCTACTACGACCTGGCCGTATAGATCGCAAGATCGAATTCCCTCCACCAACGGTGGAAGCAAGAGCCGACATTTTGAGGATCCACTCGAGGAGCATGAACTTGACTCGAGGCATCGATCTAAAGAAGATCGCCGAGAAGATGAACGGTTGCTCCGGTGCAGAGCTGAAAGGTGTGTGCACAGAAGCCGGCATGTTCGCCTTGCGAGAACGACGAGTGCATGTCACGCAGGAAGACTTTGACCTGGCAACGGCAAAGGTCCTCAACAAGCACGACGACAAGGAGGTGTCATTGGGCAAGTTGTGGAAGTAGTTGTGTGCCGTTGGGTTCCTTTTTCTGCATAGCGACCAGTGTAATACTACCAAGCAGCAAGGCAACCAGAAAAAGCACAAGGGGATAGAAGAACTGCTCCAGCAATCACAGCCATGGAGTTTTAGGGCATGTCTAATCGTCTATATCTGGTCTCGCATCTGCTGAAACGTTTTCATTCCTCGTGCCCTGTCGACACTCTCAATGCTCATACTCCATCCGTCCCTTGACAAACCCCCAGAATTCCTCGACCAGCTCTCTCTGTCCCTTACTACCCTCAGCCCCCCTGACAGCAAGATACTTGCGATGATCGACCGGGATCTCCCACCGCCCGGGGTTCCCATCGACAATGACACCTCCCGCCTCCTTAAGCACGACCCATCCCGCGCAGACATCCCACGCCCAACACCCTCCCTCCCAGTACGCGTCCAGCGTCCCCTCCGCCACCCCGCAGAGATTCAGCGCCGCCGACCCCAGCGCCCTGGCAGAGTGCACCATGGCGCCGCCTTCATCTTTACTCGCTCCCAACGCAGCCCACGTGTCGACCTTTGTCCGCCAATTCTCGCCGCTCCGATCACTTCCGTACTCGATCGCCACCACGCACTCGTCCAACCCAGTCAGTGGGGGCGCGGGTTGACGGAGCGGGAGCCGCCTGTCCTCCTCCGCCTCCCCCGCCACTTCGGCCGCTTCGGCAACTCTGTCGCCGCGAACGATCCGCACAAACGACCCCCGCCCTTTCACCCCATGGTACAGTCTCCCACTGAACGGGTTATACACCACGCCGACGACGGGTTCCCTACCCACCGCGAAGCCCAGGGATACGGAGACATACGGCCAGCCGTGCACAAAGTTCGTGGTCCCGTCGATGGGGTCGACGATGAATGTCGGTTCAGGCCCCAATTTCTGGCCGGGCACGTAGGTCTCTTCGCCCATGAAGTGGCAGTTGGGGTACGTGGTCTTCAGGTCACGCGAGATGAAGTCCTCGACTGCCTTGTCCGTTTCGGTGACGAGGTCGGCCGAGTTTTTCTTCGTGGATGGGTTGTTGGTACCGTCGGCGGGCAATGAGGCTGTGGCGGATGAGGAGGCCTGTGTGATCATTGCGCCGGCGTTGAGGGCGATGGCGATTAAATGATCGCGTAGGGCGCCGAGGTTGATGTTGTGGTCCATCTTGGGTGGTTGTGGTTTCTGTTGTTCGCCTGCAGGTAGGTGTGTGTGTGTGTGTGTGTGTGTGTGTGTGTGTGTGTGTGTGTGTGTGTGTGTGTGTGTGTGTGTGAAGCGCAAAGTCGACGAATTATTTGTGATGTATCATTGTTGATATTATGACTAAGAGTTAGCTATATATTGAGTACCAGGAGAGTTAACAGTTCTGTCTTCTACTCGTATCGATTATATTTATCCACCGTGCTTTGTATCATGTTTGGGTGAATCACCAATCGAGCTGGGCCTTGTGTCACGGAGGAGGCCACCATTGGCTCGACGCCACGCTCCATCCCGCGAGTGGTAAACGCAAAATTTGTAGACATCCGTCTGTGGCCCTCGTCGACAGGCGTATACAGCAAACTGCTCTATCAGAGTAAGGGATCTGGGTGCGCTCTCCTGGGGCTGCTCGTGTTTTATCTCCGACAGGCTCTTTACAGACCCAAGATACAGTATGGCCTACGATGTGTAGCTCTAACGAGCGACACTTATGCTTCATCTCGTCGCCTCATAGTCGAGCGGGAGTGAATCAAGTCCCGGGAGGGTAGTCAGAAATTCACGGTCATGGAGCTCATAGTGCGAGATTGAAGCGTGTCAAATCGACATCCATCCACATCGCGCGGCTGCGCCGATGTCACAGTACATATATACAAGTCGCTCGCTTATCCGAGGCTCATCGCATCGCTTGCTGATAGACAAAGACGTTTCTCATCGAATACCCCAGAAGAAATTCGTCACGTCATTTCATGAAGTCGCATTGTCAGGCGACACCTGATTCGGTCGAGCATCCTGATACTGAGACCTCGACCCGGGCCGGTCATCGCCGCCACCACCATAGATATCACTGTCCTCCGACACCTCACTTGCACTGCGGCTATGCTGGCCCGCGGGCAGCGGGACTGCCATGCCAATAGCCGACGCGGTATTGCCTCCTACTCGGCTTGGATCCCACTGCAGGGGTTTCCGCTGCTGTCGAGGAAACGGTCTTCTGGGGTCGCTGAAGCCAAAGGACAACGGTCTGAGGGGCCGCAATAATTGCTCGACATCGCCCATGCCGAGCCCTGGGTTGTTTTGCTGGCGCATGCCAAATGAAAGGATGGGGTCGTCAAGCGCGCGACGATATGCGGCTCGTTCGAGTCGCGTTTGATTCCAGGTGGAGTGTTTTTCCCGGAGGCGCTTGTTGTACCGGAAGAGGAGGAATAAAAGGGCAAGCAGGGCAAGGACAGGGAGGATCACTGCCGCGGCAATCTCGCCAGCTGAGAGGCTGGTTGAGGTGGTTGATGCAGGCGAGGAGGGTGAGTCGGAGCCCGAGCCCGAGCCCGAGCCGGACCCGGCTCCTGATGAACCGCCAGAGCTTGATCCTGATCCTGATGCTGACCCAGGTCCTGAATTCGAACCCGAACCTGAGCTTGTGCCCGTACTTGAAGCACCAATGCTTCCGGTGGTCGTTGGGATTACCCCGTTTGATGCTTCGTTGGACCCTGGCGAAGAGTTTGCAGAGCCTGCAGAGTCTGTTGTCGTCGCGGCCCCAGACAAGATCGCGTCGCCGGACGAACTGGGTGAGACACCTCCTGTGGATAGTTGGGTAGCGGTGCCGGATATTGTGATGCTTCCCGTTCCGGAGTTCCCTGTAGCTTGTGTTGTGGCTGTTGATATGAATACATTTTGCGTGCCGCTTGTGCCAGCGGAAGCTGCTGGAGTTTGTTGGGTATCTGTAAGGGACGCTGCGGGAGTCGCTCCAAATTGTTTGCCGGTCGAATCTGGTCCAGCGAATGCGGTCGCAAAGCCGAGGAGGTCGCCCGCGACGCTTTTGAGAGGTTCGAGCGGGCTGTAGATGTCTCGGTGCTGTAAGGGAGCAGACCTGACGGCGTAGCGGGTGAATACTAATAGTAGAGTTAGGAGCTCCAGAGGCGGCATTCTTTTCTGCAGTCAAGTCACACGTCGACCGCCTTGAATGTCGCAATATGTCCAGGATAGGTCGGCGCAGGGTTGCGAGGGGGAAAACGGCGAACAGGCACGCAGTCGTCGCTGGTGAGGTTCGTCGAGAGCAACCCACGGCTTCTACAGAACTTACCATGACTGGGCTCATCTGCCTTAAGATACTTCATCAACACGGAGGGTCTGTAATGAGGCCATGTACCTGCACAAGGCTTGCCAGAGTATCCCGGGATATGCTCAAGCGAATCCATCGCGCGGTGGCTGAGCAGCCGCGAAGGCTCCCACCAATACCAGGCCACCAGGCTTTTGGCCGTGGTTTGCACCAGAAGGGAAACGACAAGTGTTTCAGGAATTTATAGCAAGGCAGAACACCGTTCGTCGGTAGGATCGGAGCGGCATAATCGCACAGCTTGACAGGGAAGTGAGCTGTTTGGTGCTGCAGGCTTGGAATCTGGCTTCTTGATCATCAGTGGTTCGATCACAGATCGCTTGAGATTTTTCGAGATCATGAAACACGCGTTGAAAGAGTAAATTGGATGCCCACCGTGATTCCAGCGGAAAAAGAGGCATATCGCGTTGCCGTTGAAGAGGACGCTCATGCTACCCAAAAGAATATGATCTCGAGAAGCCGTCTTGACAACGACGAGACTGTCAATCAGCGTCGGGCATGGACCGGAGCTCGAAGCTTTGATGAGGCGCCCCATGCTAGCGTCAACAGACGCCAGTCCTGACAAGAAAGGCCATCTACGTAATGCTTGTCCAGCCCTTTAGTAACTGTTTACTCTGTACCAACCTACTTACCTAGGTAACGTTGCGTCTTTCTGATATTGATGGTCGCCAGCAATGCTGCAGCCTCATCATGTAGGAAACATTCGCATCACGCGTACCATCAGAGCATCAATCGGCAGGCACGTTCACCAGAAGTTACAACCTCGTTTTGGGTGGACATGTCTGCCTTATCCTCCATGGCACGCCTCATCTGCGCGCAGGAGCCTGTGCCTTTCCCCTACTGCTCCAATCCAGATCCCTCCTGATCGGCAGACCATCAACATCAGTCTAAGAGATGGCAAGGTCATTACGCAGAAGTTCTCCCCGACTCCCAAAGCCAACCTCGACAGGCTGGGAAAAGCGCTCAGCGAGCTGCTTCAGACCCCAGAACACCATACGGTGGTTGAAGCTGTGAACCAGGAAGCGAAGGACAAGGACACATCCACCATGTCGTTCGGCACGGTGGAATGGCACCTTGATTCCGAAGGGGATGCCATACATCGGCACACAGCCCTGCCTTCGACCACTGAACTGAACGTCATACAGGACTTGATCATGCGCCGAGCCGACGAAATGGGTCACCACCCACACATCAGTCGCGGGACGATTGAGGAAGAGGCAGACACGTACATGACCATCACCTGTACGACGCATAGTCCTCGCGGATTAAGCGTTCGAGACATGAGATTGGCGCAGAAAATCAATGAGGTTCTCACTGGCTTCGACACCCTCACGCCGTCGAATTTGGATTCGTCGCGGGACATGGAAGATGAAAAGCTGAGGATTGCGGCCCTGCGTGAGCGCATGGTCGCCGCGAATCGAGCGAAGATCAACGAGGCCCTTGACAGTTGTGGATGCGAGGCAGCAAAATCGAGGTCGACAACTCCGCCATAAGTCTCTGCGAAGGAGCCAGAATAGGCGCAACCTCGACGCCTGGAGATGCTGGTCAGAAGAATATCTCCAGGTGCGCGACGGAGGCTCTCCCGGCGTTCCCCTCCGTCTACATGCCCGCAAACACAACGTTGTCAAGATTGCAATTTGATCGTAATACCGGAGCACCACCATGGCAGGGCCAGGAATTTATGTCGCCACATCCTATCCTTGTCTATTCCGTGCCATCCAACGCCCTTTGTGCGTGACAATGCCGCCTGACCGGTTCTCCCATATAGACGTGTGTCCAAAATATTTACAGCGAAGGCCGGTGGACGCTTCTCCCCCTCCGCGATGCGGCCGTTTTCTGCCCAAAAGAATTATTTCACTCCGCCTTCACGTGGACGGCCTTCTTCTCTTTCCTCTTGTAACCCTCCGAAGCACTACCGACATCAGTTCCCATTGTGGCATCCCACCATCTGAACGAGCTGGCATAATTGCCGAGGAACTTCTCGTGATGGACATCATGATGGTCGGCACCCGCCCAGAACGGCAGGAAGTGATGCAGAGACCACGGGAACTCATATCCAGAATGTGCATCGATAGCCTGGAAAAGCCGACCCACGATCCACAGGTACATGGTGATAACATGCAGATTCTTAGTCAGTGCGCAGAAGGCAATAGGAATGCCGACACTTCCAAACGCGAGAATCATGGTTTCCAGCGGAGATGCGTACTCTGCCGCAAGCCCGAAAGGGGCGCTGTATTGATGGTGCAGTTTGTGGATCATTTTGTAGAGTTTCGGGGTGTGCAGGGCTCGGTGGAGCCAGTAATGCCATGCGTCCTCGAGGACGAAGAACAGTGCGATTTGCCAGACCATGGTATACCACGAAGGAAAGGGCACGGATGTTGACAGGCCGAAGAACTGGCACGCTGGGTGGAAGAGCCATATCTGAGGAAGTTCGACGGTGAAGTGGGAAAGTAGGACGAGTTTGGCGCAGGCCCATTGTTCGGCCAGAGTGGGCATTTTACTCTGTGTCGCCACGATATGTCAGTCTTCAGACGCCCTGGAAGCCAGGAGATAGGAGCACGAGCACGTACAGCCTGGATCTTATACTTCCTGAAATACGGAATCTTATCCATAATAATAAACGGCAGCGCTCGACCAAAGTAGACCACCTCATGCATGGTGAAGGACATTATCCCAGTGGCGAGTACATCGTTCTGCATGTATGCATACCACGCCGCCCATGCCTTCTCGAAGACATTTAGGTGCACGTTATAGGCGGCGATGTCGTTAAAGTAGTCGGCGTAGGTTGTGGGTGCACCACTGACGAAAACACTCGTGGAATTCCTGTAGAGCCAGAGAAGCAGGGGTTAGCTCGGGCCAAAACTTCGTATTTCTCGGAGAGATCTTGATTGCAGTGAGGCATAGTACGTACATGTCGAGAACGATGCAAACCCGTTTGGTTCAAAAGGATGCAGAGAACGAACCTGTTCCCGAGCAGCAGAAATGAATAGCAAAGTGAGTCCGAGGGGAGCAGAGATCAAAAACGCTCAGATCAACAATTTCATTATCAAAGGGACGATCTGGATCTAAAGCCAGGGACCGTTCTTGATTGGCAAATGTGGATGCACCGAACAATTTCATTGGGTCGCGCACAGTGGTGTCACTCGGTGCTGCAGCGCGGATTTGAAGCTTCCCGGTGGTGGAAGTGCGGTGGACTGACGCGCAGCAGCCGGGCGGTGAAGGCCGTGCGTTGAGTGGCGTGTCCAGCCAGGAGGCTCAGGAACCAAAAGCTTGAGCCTGAGCTGCCTTGGGACCTTGGGCGACCCACCAAGTGCAAACAAACCAAATGTGCCGAGCTTAAGGCGCTTACTCCGGACGTGGCTGTGACATCATTCGGATATCAACGCCCTTCGATGAAGCGTGTCGACGTCCCAGTGTAGAGGAAGTCATGCTTGGAGAGCATGGCTACAGGATCCAGTATAGGGCTCTGTGATCTCTGCTTAGATCCATTCTCTACCCAGGAAAGCAATCGAATCAGCTCGAGCGGGAGGCAGTCAACATGTCTGTAACTGCAACTGATACCATTGAGCTTACGCCTCCCGCACAAGTCGTCTCAAAGGTGCAGAAACAGTCAGTCCCGGACGATCAAGCGGTGCCATGTGAGGATGAACAAACTACACCTGAGCAGTCTCCTCTGAAGAAGGGTACGACGGCAGTTATCTTCGCTTCTATAACAGGCGTCACTGGCATCAGCTCTCTTCTTGCCGGTTTGGTAACGGTCGTTCTCCCGCCCATGGCGAAGGATCTCGGCCTCTCTGATGCTGTGCTTTTATGGTATATCTGACCCTAAGTCCGTCGCTGGGTGAATGTGCTCAATGGATATTTCAGGCCCTCCTCCATCTACGCCCTCACATGCGGATGCTCGCTTATCCTCTCTGGTGCTGTTGCCGATGTGGTGGGAAGCCGGTTTATGTACCTGCTCGGCTGTTTGCTGCAAAGCATCTTCACGTTGGCATGTGGGCTGGCAAAGACCAGTTTCCAGCTGCTTTTCTTCCGCGCACTTGCTGGCATTGCCATCGCATTCTGCCTACCGTCAGCAGTCAGCTTGATCACAACGTACTTTCCACATGGGCAGCGCAGAAACTTTGCATTCGCCATGATGGGCGCTGGGCAGCCCATAGGTTTCTCCATCGGCCTTGTCGTGGGCGGTATCCTTGCTGACGGTCCCGGGTGGCGAGTTGGTTTCCACATTGCAGCGGCTATTAACACCGTGTTTCTGGGTTTAGCACTTTTTGGTTTACCGAAACCTGCAGATCCGACACGGCTATCACTTGGCCGATTGCGGACGGATATCGACTGGCCGGGGGCGATCATCCTCAGCACGACACTCGGTCTGCTGTCATATGTCTTTGCGTAAGTGATTCGATCCCATCCGGCAGGAGTCTGGAGCTGACAGGTCTTAGTGTCCTGACTGGGAGCGTCTCAAGCATTAAATCGGCCACCAACATCGCCTGCCTGTCGACAGCCATAGCACTGATCCCAGCCTTCGTCTTCTGGGTCGGGCGGCAAGAAAAGCTAGGCCGTCCAGCAATTATTCCCAACTCACTCTGGCGCAACAGAGTATTCACAAGCATCTGCATCGACGTCTTCCTTGCTTGGGGTGCCTTCAATGCGACCGAAACCCTTCTTACATTCTTCTTTCAAGATGTTCAGCACCTCAGTGCCACACAAACGTCTCTGCGTTTCTTGCCAGCTCCAGCATCTGGCATTGCAACAAACATCGTCATGGGCCTCGCTGTCCACAAAGTCCGTGCCGACTGGGCGGTCATAGTCACCATGGCAGTTTCCTCCATTTCGCCTCTCCTAGTCGCCATCATGAAGGTCCGTGCGCCTTACTGGGAGTACGCCTTCCCAGCCATTGCTCTGAACGCGATCGGGCCAGACGTGCTTTTTACCGTTTCCAATCTTGTCATTACCGCGGCATTTCCGGAAAAGACTCAAGCATTGGCGGGAGGCGTCTTCAACACTGTGGCACAGATTGGTAAAAGTGTTGGGCTGGCGCTTTCTGCTGTTATTGCCGGGACTATCACGATGCAGTCAGGTTACCCGGAAAAGCACGGGCCAAAGGCTCTGATGGAGGGATACAGGGCTGCATTTTGGTTTATTCTCTCTGTCACTGCGGCGACGCTCGTGGTAAGCTTGTGGGGGCTAAGGAATATCGGAAAGATTGGCCACAAACGGGAGTAAATACGATACCGACTGCATTCGCGGCTGGTTCCTAGGGATCCATAGTATCTTGTGCGAACTTCCATCTCCCTAACGTGTCATTGGCGTGGCCATTCGTTTTAAGGCGAAAGTGGTAGGTCGCGAGGTACGTTCACTCAGCATTTCGGCCTTCAAATGGTTCGCAGGATTGATTCTGCGAATCATATGCCCGCTGCGGCGCAGATGTCGTCTGTCAACCGAACTCTCCGGCCTCAGTGGTCCATGGCCACGGATCATCTCGATTTCGGCACGCTCCCGTGTCAGTCGACTGAATGTCACTTCGGACACGTGGGTTCCTCGAGGACAAGCATTGGCATCTCTCGGCGCGCATTCGTATCCCCTCCCAGTACCATACATCATTGCGCGGCGGGACCACGGACCATTGCCCGGTCATCTTGCACAGTTCAAGCGCAGCTTATCCCTGGCCCCGCCACACCCATTATGCTGCCACGGGCTTGCAATGCGGGTTGAGGGGGCGGGTGGTTTCCTGTTGAGCCTGTCAGAGTGCCTCAGAATGTCCATCACCACGGATATAAAGTGGCGAAGCACCCATTCTGTCCATGTCTCAATTCCAAAGGTGATAAATGAAGAGGTCTTGACTATCGCTGACCTAGGACGCTCATTATACCCGGGCAATTTGTACTTGACCCAACGTCGACTGCTCAACATACATAATTAGTGCCCCGTCGCGAAAAGCACCTCGAGTTACCCCGTCCTCTGTACGAGTAGCATCTCAACAACATGTCGGTCAAAGAGCCAAGGTCCCTCTTCGACCGGAACCCTCAAAGCCAGCCGTCGCGACCTGCGAGCATCTTCTCCGCCCAGTCGATTGATACCGTCGTGGCGGATCAAAGCTACCGAGGCTTTCCCTCGGAGCAAGCATACCTCGACGCGTTAAAGGCATGGGCGCAATCGAAAATGTACTACGAGGCTGATGAGCAATTGAGTGGCTTCTACGGCAAAAGCACGGTCGACGATATCCTCAGCAAACAAGGAACAAGCAGGGGTACGAAGAAGAGCGTTAGAGAACAGAGGAGGGCGACAGTGGCCCCTCAGCTCGGTACTGTCGCTGAACACAATGGTAGTGCCGCAGCGCTGTCACGACACAGTTCTGCGAACGCAGCCGTGGATAATTCGACTATGCCACCCGAGAGCAAGGGGAGCAGGTTGAAGCGAGTCTTTGGTCGGCGGAAGACGATTGTATAGGTTGACTCTAGGAGAATACCAGTGCCCCCAGCAAATCATCTAGGCCCTGGAGGTTTCAGATGTTGAGCACCGGAACAAAGATTCATTCCTTGAATTGACGACGAGGGATACAGCACTTGACGAATCAACCGAGGCTTGACATGTATATATTGCGGCATGTCTAGACTCCACGCTCGGCTCTATCGAACATCTCCTTCCAGCCCTGCGAAATTCACCTCGATCCACTTCTAAGCTTCTTGGGCGTTGTTGCGTCTATCCTGTCTATCTTGCCATGATATTCTAAATGTCGCTATTCCGAGCCATGCCACCAGCGCGATCTCTATCTTTTCGAAGGTAAAGCTCTTGAATATGAAGGCCCATCCCATGCTCATCCTGCGACAGCATTGCGTGGTCTTCGGACTCCACGACCACTGTCTCTAGCAGACCTGCTATGATTGCCTCAACTACTCCAAGCAGCTGTTTTCAGGCCCGGCGGCTAACGTGAGAATGGCCTCGCTGTACTTTGGACGTGGTTGATCAGGGCTCAGAGAGCTCAAGTAGAGCCAACCCATCACGCGCTAGCATGGACACTATCGTGGCTTTCTTCGTCGAAGGCTGAGACGCGATGAAATTCTGTCATGGTCACGTTGGGGACACGACATGGTTTATGACCGCGGCCCAGTGCCTGACCAAAGCCGGCATGCAAGTGTCCGGCTGCTTCCCTAGGACTCCACTTCGTCCGCCGTTTGAGCATGTCCTATGCAATGTGTCTATGACCATAACCGCAGACAAACACAAGCCGAGCGTCTCCACGGACCTCTTATGGGTCAATCACGATCCCAGAACATGCAAGCACAACCTCACCGTCAAAGTCCCATGAGCGCAAAACGGCCGAAGCAGAGAATACGCCATGACAGAAGGTTGCATTCAAACCACCAATGTTGGGTCTATCAGCACGCTGGCCCTACCATCGAGACGAAATATGCTTAAGCTCTGTCTACACAAACAATGGCAAACGGCGTGGGGAAGCTGGTCAGCTTGTCTCTAGCCTTATAGACATAGCTTGGATCTTCCAATGAGATCTGGTTGAGACGCTGGGTTAGCAGTCACACGGTTCGCCGAGCGGGTGAAACTCACATCAAACTCCATCAGCAGCCTCGGGATCGCCTTCCTCATCTCCAACGCCGCAATATGTCGCCCCATGCAGACGCGCTTGCCGCCACCAAACGCGAGCATCGACCTCTCCATCGATGCTCTGTGCTGATGGTCGGCTTCCAACCATCTCTCCGGGCGAAATTCGTCGGCATCTTTCCCAAACACGGCAGTGTCACGGTGAACGTTCAATACCGAGATTGCAACCGTCGTGCCGCCAGGGAAGGATCGGCCAGCGATATCGGCACCACCCGCAGGGACTTCGCGTTCGAGCAGAGGCTTCAGGAAGGGTTGCAGACGCATAGTCTCCTTGAAGATTGCTTCGAGGTAGTCGAGCTTGTCTACCTCATTAAACCTGGGGCGGCGGGAGAGTCGGCCAGAATCAAGAGCGTCGTCGAGCTCGGATCTCAACTTCTTTAGCACTGCTGGGTGTTTCAAGAGGTAGTAGAGGGTCATGGTGATGGTGTACGCGGAGGTGTCAAATCCAGCGGCAATCGTACTCGAAATCACCCGGACGATGGTTGTTTGGGACACACTATCTTTGTGCTGCTCCGCGCCGGAGAGGTACTTTGACAAGAGATCCGGTTTCCTGCTTTCTCTACCGCCGGGCTTGTCTGAGTGCAGCTTCACTCTCTTGTCATATTCTGCGGAGGCCATGGCTGTCCAGGCCGGGGGCTTTGGGGGGCTCCTATGCCATGCCGGAGAAAGTGGCGATTTGAAGAGCAGCCACTCAAGACCAGGCATACTCTGCCATGTATACCAATGCTTCACCCTTGCGTCGCCGGAGATTTCATACGTGGACCTATTCGTCTCAAGATAGTCGGTGTCCCTGCTGAAGGCGGCCTTCATGAGGAAATCCACCTGGAACTGTTGCATAGCGTCGAGCAGTGAGAAGGTCCGGCGCTTTCGTATCGCCTGGACAAGTCGGTCTAAGGTGTGGTCCACGTCGGGCTCGTAGTCTAGCAGGTTCCTCGTCGCAAAGGCGCTACCGACCGCCCGTTTCAAGGCCGAGACCTCGTTTTCATCCTGCAAGTCGACCACGGTGCCGATTACCTTGCCGTTGAAGAGGGCCCGGAGCGTCGAATACGAGTCCGCCTTCCTGAACTCCCCGTGCATGGAGTGAACTGTCGGGACTGCAGCAGGGTCGGAGATACTGACGGCGTTTGGGCCTATTCGGACAAATGCACCATAGCGGGTGTGCAGGTCTACCAGCGTGTCTGAAAAGTGGCCGCTTCGGGTGAGAGAGAAGCGCCATAGATCCGTCAGGGCAGCAAGGAAAGGTCCTGGCACCGGGGACAGACGGCGGTATCTGAAATACACCGCTGCCAGCACGCCAATGGCCAGAGACCAGAGCCAGAAGGACGAGGAGGAGATCATTTTCGCGAGGTGGTGGTGTCAATCCGAGGGAGACGTATGGGATCGAGTTAGATCACCGGACTCACCTACTTAAGTACCTCTTTCTGGGCTTTACATTCTCTTGTATCCCACGGCAAGTGGATGAATTGAAGCTGACTCTCAGTGGACCTGCACCTGGTGGTCAGCCCATTGCTAACGGTATACTATCCGTAAACCGCCTCCCAGGAACAGAATGACTTGTGAGAATAGAATCTCACACTCTTTTACGAACGAGAGGGGGCCTTATAGTGGTTACACCTCAAGTACGTTGCTCTTCACAAGCGATGATGCCCTATTACTCCACCGTCGCGTTTGCCTAGGCGGAGCTAGACAATGTGTTGCGATTGGTACTTATTGCCAACGGAGTACGGATTCGACTCTCCTCTTTAGCCCTCTACGCCGAGTCGTCGAGGTTGTCGCTGCGCAAGAACGAAGTGGTACCCCAGGGGAGGTCCCGCTGGCTCGCTGTTTTGTGCATCTCGTGCTCCACAGTCATACTCGACGTATACTCACCGATCATGTAATACGCTGACCCGTACAAGATGAGTGGAGTGCAAGGTGATGACGGTCAGTCAGCTCAGTGCTTGACCTGGATAAGCTGTCACACCGCAGCGTCGCTCTGAGCAAAGAAGCAAAAGTGGACACTTCCGGGAAAGCTTGACATGTTATGCTGTGTCCCGTACTGTGGTATACTGATTACTCCTCGGTGAGACACCGAGACCACTGATCTGGAGCTCGGCCAATGCGGCGTCCTGCTGACCAGACTCGTGAGCTACCTATGACAGGCCCCTATGAGTACTGCCTGCCTAGAACAGCCGACGTAACGACAGTGACAGTGCGAATATAATCCTGCTAGTCGGGCGTGTAGCCGACTGAAAATCCTGGCGAGTCTCGATCATTGTATATAGAGCATTGTGTGTGGCGAGACTGGCAACAAGGAGGACGCGTCGAAGCTCCAAGGATACAAGTAGGTGGCAAGGCCTGTCAGCTTTTCGTGAGAAGCGCGGCCCGCGGCTTTGTCGATTACTCGAGAAGGTCTCCGGTGAACGCGCTTGCTCTGTGTGGAGGTTGAGATTTTGTCTCATTGCTTAGGGTCATCTTCATTGACATCGAGACAGCTGGCAGGCACGCGCATGAGATGAAAGCACATTCAGTAAATTCAGCAAACACAACAAACAACGCGTATCAGCCAAGGTCGACCAATGCGTCCACATTCCTTCAATGGGTTGAATGCGCTGCCGGCCGAGCCAGCCAAGGATCAGGTTCAAGCTAAATCCTAGCCTCGAGACAATGCTACCTTCTCTTTTCTTCAGCTCCGATAAGGTCCAGTACTCCTGATTCTCGCACGGCATCAGGATGAGCAAAAACGTCGGTGCTGTTTCTTAGTGCCGCGAACACAGGGGTACGACAGAATAACAGTAGTTCTTGATGGGCAATGGTACCTGCGAGCTCGATGCGCTGGCTGATGGTTCTGCGCTGGTGCGTGACTATCGTGATTACCAGTTATACGGCGTCCTTATTTCCGGACCTGGTGGGTGCGAATGGCACAAGCGGGAGCAATAACGGTGGTGGCAGTAGCGTTAGCAGTGCCGGCACCGGCAGCGGAGGTGACAATGGAGGCCCCAGCAGCGCAGGCTCGTCCATCCATGGCAACTGGGCGGCGGGTTTAGTCGTTACTGCGGTTCTATGCATGGGAATCAGTTGGCTGTAGAGAGAAAGAGATGGAATCGAAATGGAATGTACTTGACGAGGGCACGAAATGCGTTCTGTTCAAATTCGTAAGCAAACCTTGCTTGACATCCTGATGGGCAAACTCGTATGCATAGAGTATTATGTACAATGTTTTGTGTGTGATGATCGTGGTCCCAGTGTGGAGTCGTAAGTGTAATTACTCGCTCGGTCCCAATACCCGTGCTGACCTGCGTAGACACGACTCTGCAGCAATCGTCCACCACCTTTGGTTCAGAATCTCCTTCGCTTTCGATCGGCCTACCAGCAAGGCAGCCAGAGAGTCCTCCTACACGCCACAGTACATGGCACACACGCCACGGAATTCAACTGTGCATTCAATTCCAACCCTCACCCTCATCCCTCGTTCTTCTTCCTCTCCTCACTGCGATGATCCACCCCGTCTCGCTCTCGCTTCTGCTCAATCGTTTTCACCGAACTGTCCCTCGGGTCGCGGCGCTCGTTGGCTGGGTTTCCTTCTCTTCTCGCCTGCGTCAACTTGGCGTTCTCGCTTCCGCCAGGCTTGTCTGTGTGCGAGAAGTAGTAGAACGGGATGTATGCAGCGACGCCGGCGAGAAGGAGTCTATGGGGCGCGGTTAGTATTGTTCTGGTCAACCAAGTGCGATACGATCTTCGAACGGGGTGAAATAGAGAAGTTGGTATTGTGCGTGGGTGGTGGGCTTCTGTGTGTGCGCGTATCCAACTCGAGGAGTATCTCTGCTAAGAACCTCCTACATGATTGTCTTGTAGCTCGTGGCTCACATATATAGAAGCTCATACAGCAGTGCATATCATTCATGGTTGGATGATATGCTAGGGCAGATTTAGACCACTCACAGAGGTAACCTGCTCGTCCAGTCTCGAGGCTGGTCTGATCGCACTGGCGCTGCTTTCTCGGCGTATGTTCTTCGTGACTGAAATTGCAGACGCTGGGTCTGGAGGAAGTGGTTGGATCGTGCGGCCGGCTTCAACATCTGTATCGGCAGCCGCATTTGCAGTGCTGAGCGTGGAACCATGATGATTGACTGAGGTGTCAATTTGAGGAAAAGGACACAATCGGCCTCTCTGACCGAGGGTGTCCTGTGTTGGTTGAAGTAGTGCTGTATCAGTGTATTGTGGACGCAGCAGTACTGAACTACGTATCCAACAGCGAGTGCGATACAGGGTGTGAAACTCGGCAAAGATCCTGAGAAGTGAGCAACAGTGTCAAGTGATGAGGAACTGAGTGTCAAAGTAAACACAGGAGGAGCTCTTTCGTGGAGGCCCTAGATTTTTGAACCGTGCTTCCCCTTTGACACACACTCGCGTCATACAAACCAATTGGAAGCAAACCCAGTGACACAACCTCACGCAATGTCCAGGCAGGAATCACTCCCCGTGGAGCATTCTGAGCATTTCGTCAGATTGAGCTGGTGGAGGGCTTTGAAGAAAGTGGACGTCATTTCCTTGCCTCCTGAATTCTCCGGAATTGTCGAGCAGTCGTTTACATCATGACAGTCTCCTCTCCTCCCCGACTGACTGTCAGAGAGAATTCACGGAGTGGTGGCCCCTCCGGACTTTTGATCCCGCGGAACGGAATGAAAATCAGAGCCGCGTTGCGCGTCACCGTCGAGGCCTACTCGAATGTGTTACTCGATACTTTCAAGGGACCGCCATTAGCCTGATCAGATCGCTCACCTCTCCCGTCCAATGATTGAGTGATTACACGCAGCGTCAACGGGGTACCTCAATTCCCCCTTACGAGGTCTAGGCAGGTCCCCGCATCAGCACATCATGCCGGCAGCCGAGCTTCTGGAGTTGGCCGGCGCAGGCGCTACCCTACGCTGGTAAAGCGCAGGCGTAGATCTCTGGTAATCATGCTTGTGAGTTACCAGTAACAGCTCAACAGCTCATGGTTTGAATGCTAACCTGGGTACCTAGGGTGGACTGCTTATTGGCAGATACATCCCTCCGCCACGAAACCTCAAATGGGCTCCCCAGCCGCATACTGTCAAGAGAATAGCGGTGCTGCGGGATACGTCGAATCAGTTGCCTCTCAATCGACTTGTTGGGTATCTGCAGACTAAGTGACAAAGGAAATGGATCGACTATGGTACAGTGGAATCAACAGTACGGTACAGACAACGAAAAGACAAAATACCTCCTTCATTACCCTCGTCCAACAGAAGGGAACCATTGCTGAAGCGACCGAAAGATCTCACTCCCAAAATCAACGCCGTGCAGTGAATCCGGGCGTTCTGTGTTACTTTTCCGTCCTTCCAGTCATCTACTCGCCGGGCTTCCCGATCGACCGAGCAAGATATTGACGGCTTCGTCCCAGCCGCGGTCTTCCACGATTTCCATCACCGTTCTGCCCGAGTCGTCTCGGACTTGCAGGTCAACACCATTCCCTTTCTCGACAAGTATTTTCAAAATCTTGGCGTCGGCCGATTCCACCGCCTGGAGCACCGCGTTCCAGCCGCGGTACATGTAGTTGATATCCGCCCCCTTGTCCAACAACATTTCAATCATTTCGGTATCGTTGGGTGGACACCTGCGAATGGCCTTGATGATAGGCAGGTGCTCGCCAGGCGCGTTGACATCGGCGTTGGCTTCGTAAACCAAGAACCGGACGATTTCCTTGTTTTGTTCTCGCAGCGCAGTCGTCAGCGGCGAGAAGACACCGCCGGTCTTGTCTTCGACGCTGATGCCCGCTTTCAAGAGGAGCTTGATGCTCTCCAGCTGGTTGGCGACCACTGCCATTTCCATGACACCTTTGACCGCTCGTGGATTGTGCATTGCAGGTAGGATCTTGCGAAGAATCTCCGGTCTCTTCACCGCCATGCAGATAGGCCAATCCTGACCTCGGATTCCTGGGTCTGCGCCATTCGCAAGGAGAAGGTCGACGAATTCGATGCGATCATCACGAATCGCTGTAGTCAATGGAGTATAACCTTCGGCACTCCTGTCATTAGGGCTGACGTTTTGATCCAGTAACCACATGAACGCATCCCTATTGTTATGCGCGACGGCCTTCTCGATGATGCCCCGAGGCTTGTTCAGATTGGCACCCGCAGCCAGAAGCTGTGGAAGGAAATGCGTGCGATGATGAGTCACGCATTTGAAGGCCGGATACTCCGAGGCCATCACGTTGGCGTCGGCGCCATTGGCGAGGAGCAGTGAAACCAGGTCGCTGCGGTTGTCACGGATCGCGGAGCAGAGCGGCGTATAAACGCCATCCTTCCTGGCATTGGGGTCAACTCCGGCCTTGAGCAGGATATTGACTGACTCTATGTTGTTGAGACTGGTGGCGAGCTCGAGGAGGCCTGGACACTTCTTGGTATCAGCACCTCGCGAAAGCAGGAGTTGAAGTGCCTTGGGCTGATAGGTCGATGGCCACAAGAGGTGCTTTGGACCTGGCAGATTAGGATTGGCTCCGCTGTCAAGGAGGACCAACATGAGATCGAGCCTTTTCGCCTGAATGGCTGCGAAAAGAGACGTTTCTCCCTCTGCGTTCTTGCCGTTCACGTCAGCACCATATTCAATGAGAAGCTCGGCTAGCTGCTTGGGGTTCTTTTTGTTGATGGCTTTGTGCAGAAGAGTATCATTGTCGGAAGTGGTCAGGTTGGCATCCCCGCCATACGTGAGATAGAGCTTCACCAACTCCAACTTGTGCTCGATGACGGCAAGTGCTAGAGGACTTTCTGCATCCGGGCCCGCTGGGAGGTTGGGATCAGCACCGTACTTGAGGAGCAGCTTAACGGCGTCGAGAAACGACAGCTCTGTTGCCGTCAGAAGAGGGCTGTGTCTGTTCCTGTCCAGCCCATTCGGGTCACCGCCAAAAAGCAAAAGCAGTCGGACGCTCTCAGTATCCCGCTGAAGCACGGCTTCCCGAAGAAGGTTGTGCCCGTTCTCACCGTCGGGAGAGACGCCGCAATCGAGGAGCTGCTCGACCAGCTTATGCTTCTTTTGCTGGACCGCGTTCAACAATGTCGACTTGAGGGCTGCGGAGTTGGCCCCTGAAGTCTGCTTGGGAGTCCAGCGCGGCACCGAAGCTGGATCCGCCTTCACGCGGGATCCGGGCGAGGAGGGCTTGTCCTGCCCGATTTCGTGGATCATGTCTTCGATCTGGGCGAACGAATCCGCTGTATTGACGGACAAGTGGTCATCGACAGCAGTCTCGGTCCGCGAGCTTTCATCCTTGAGCGCAGCAAGATCTCTTGTAGCAGAGTTCACCGTCATTTTGCTGGACCTGGTACTCGGCGCCGGTCGGCTGAAACTATGCCTAGAATTGCCAGGCAGAGCCGACAACGTGTCTGGGTCCTGCTCGAGGCGAGCCAGCAGATTCGAATCGGATATCTTCTCCGACAGTGACAATTTCTCCACCATCGGCAACGCTGGCAATGGTGGCAGCTGAGTCGCTATGTCGGAAGATGGTGGAGGAAATGCAGACGGAGAGAGTGCAGGCTTCACCGCCGTTGGCGATGCTTGTCTGACGGAGGAAGGGCTCATACGCTCCAGAACGGCAGCAAGTCCTGTGTAGCCGATCCCGAGAGACTCGTCGGCTTTTGCGTCCCCAAGGTACCATCTGAATACCATGGCGCTCATGCCCAAGGCGTCTCGACTCTTGGCGAGGGAGTCTCTCATCTTGTGGATGTCCGTGTCGGCGAACATCATATGCCATCCTTTCTTGAGCTTCCCAAAGCCTCCCTTCTTCTCGTACTCCAGGAACTTGACGAGCATCTGGTTGAGAACGATGAAGTCATCGGCGGTTTGCCGGAACTTCTTGTCCAGCTCCAGTTGCATGTCATTCGGGAATTGACTGTGTGCCCGTGAAGCCGCAGAGAGACCGGCCTCGATGGAGTAAAGCACACGGCAGATGTCGAGGAAGTTGATTGCCAGCTCGCGAAAGCCATGCGGAGGTTCCTTGACGGTACTCAAGTATTCGAGCATGCGCACCGATATGCTGTTGCCTTGTGTCGTGGCGCGGTTACAGAGATCCAAAAGGGACTCTTTGCCCTTCTTGGGCGCCATTTTGCAGTGAGCTGAGTGTAACAAAGCGAGCCCTCCGCTGCAAGGATTGAGGTAGGTAGCAGTGCAAAGGGCAACAGGCAGGCCCGACCTGGTCGGTTCAAAAGCTTTTGGAGAGGAAGGATGGGCGCGCCAGCCCTTCTTTATCTCTGGCCATTCTGCAAGACGAATACTTCGACGACCCAACGGTCGCCGAATGGAAGTGGGTGGATTCCAATCGTCGATCAAACACAGCTCGGTCTAGCCATCCAAGGCGGATACCCATACCATGCCCATGGTACCACATACACGAGCATCTCCACAGGACCCAAGTTTGTTATCATGAACCACTGTGCCGGGGTTCCATCGAACCAAGAAGCAGGGTTTACTTGTTGCACCTGAAGTTAGGCTTTTTTTGACACGTTTCTCGACGCAGCCACCACCCTGTACCAGGCTTTCAGGAACGATTAGCGCAGACGGTATGCAAACCCATTGTACCTGGGAGCGAACCCATAGCCAACATTTGTCCTATCAGAAGCATCTTCCCGGCTGGTGTGCTTCGATAGTCGAGGAAGGCTCGTGCTCCCCGGGCAAATCAACCTCATCTCATTCGATATTCCATGGTTAAGCCCTCCGGGGCAGCGGAACACGTTGGGACACCAACCATGCAATCCATGCGCAGGTACCAGCTCCTCGAACTCTCAAGGCGGTTGGTGCGTGGTCCAGAAGCTGCGGCACTACCATCAGAAGATTCCGAATGTGGAAAGAAGCCAGGCACGATTTCGCAGCCACGCGGAATGGTGCCAGTATGGGGTACCTAATCGGCTGCCCCTGAGGAGCCCGGCGTCTCGAACAGGACCTGCTCCGCCAAGGATTGACCATTCGACAATGCTCGAAGCATATGGAGTAATAATGGTTTCCTTCTTGGCTCACCATTCTGCAGCACCTAAGCGAGCAGCAGAGCTCTTTGTCTTTTCGGCGTCTGCATACGTAGTTGCAGGCTAAAGCGGGGGCCAAGGGACCATGCGCAGATACGAGACTCATGAGCCGTGTGCATGTCTGTAACTGACTCGTTGGCGGTTCATGCTCTGGAGATTTCAAACACATGGCGCACGTGGCACACATGGCTTGAAATCTCGACCAAGCGTCCACAGGTCGACCATATCACCAGCCTGGACTCATCCAGCACAGGCCATACTCGAACTTCCTGCCCTTTTGGCCACATTTGGTGACATTGAACACGCAGCCTGTTTCCCCAAATGGTGCCATCGGGCATGCGCAGGCGGAGTGATCTTTGACCCATGCTCTGATCAGAAAGCGTGTGAGCTAGCAAAGTCTAATTTGCCCTCTAACCCATCCCCCGGGCTAGGGATTTTCCCACCCCAGCTGCCATGCTGGCAGGTCTGATCCATCTGAAGAATCAGGGTTGCTGGTGCCGTCTGCCCCATATGCAAGGCACCGATACCTGGCCTTCCTGACGCTCCGTCTCGATCGCTCCGCACAAGCGCAATTTCGGATTTCCAAACCTCGACCCTCTCTTGATTTGACTTTTGTAGGCGTTCAGAAACCAACCCGAAGCTACAGTACCATTTTGGGATTCGACCTGCTTTGGTGGTGCGACTTGCGCCAGAGGTCCAGAGGTGGTCCTGTTCACAATCTTCTTCCAGCCACTCTAGTCCAGGGTCACAGGTTGCACAAGCAAGGGCTCCAGACTCTTCTTTCATCCTAAACACATCCTTTCTCGGCAAACAGTTTTGGGGATCCTGTCCACAACGGGCGCTTTTTCGTCCTTTGCACTCGGCTCTTGCGATCTTGCGATCCTCAATCGCTCATGTGATCCGAGAGACGTCTCGATCGCACGGCCCTAAGCGATGCAAATGTTCTGTCTCGGGACGATGCTCCTGTTAGTGAAACATCGCTTGGATAGACCTCGTGTCGCTTCCAGCTGGGCAGACCGCTTCCCGCTTCGAGTCATCGTCTGCCCGGCGACGACCGGGCACAGCTCTTTGGCGAGATTGTCCTCGACCCGTGTTGCAACTTACCGGCCGCTTGCTGGTGAGTGGGCAGCCCTGCCAACCAGCCAGTCAGATAGCGAGCTTACAGGCGGGACTGCCAAGCGATGAGTTCGATCCAAGCTACTACGTACTCCGTGCGGAGTACACCTGCATCCATCGAGGGGTCTAATTCGCCCTTGTCCTGCTCGACTCTCCCATTCTTCAGCAGCACGTTCATGTCCATGGTTCTCCCACGAACATCTCTTGCTTAGTACGAAGTCTTCTTCGAGGAGCAGACCATTCTTCGATATGGCCACGCGACCAGTCTATCTCTTCGAGAAAAATGCTTCCTACCCCTCAACCCCTCTGGAGCGTCATTCATTCGTGCGTGGCTGCCGTGGTGCATGCAAGTCCCAAACTCTGTTGCTTCTTCTCCGTCTTCCTCCGTCCTAAAACCACACTTACTGTCCTCAGACTGGTCTCCAACTTAAAATTGATATGACAGATTCTACTGCGAGAGTCGTCCAATGACACAGACCCGTCCAGTGGTCAGACCCGGCATTGTACGTAAAGGTACAGCGTCCAAAGTACAGGGTACCTCCTACCACGTACCTAGCCAAAACGATGAACGTCTGGGAGATTTGCAACTCGCTGGGCCTTGACAATTAATATCGGGACAGCTTCAGGAGGCAGAGTATGGCGATATAGGTCCAGTTGAGGCCGTCCATAACCCATCAGTACTCCAATCTGTGTACCAAAGTACACAGTACGGGGACTGAAAATGGCCAACACAGGAGCCAACAAAGCCAAGCCGGAGGTTCCACGATGGTGTGGATTTCAGACCCCGTCGAGTTTTTGAGTTTGAATCTGCAATCTTCAAACTAACCCACCCACTTATGTAGCTGCATCTTCTCTCCCTCACGTGCAAGCCATTGATGCGTGCCATCCTTACCTCCACGGCCATGTCTGCAGGGTACTTGCACGTTGTCAGTGGCAAAGTTGCCACTCAGAGATATCGCCCGGTAGTCACAGGAGATGATCCTGCGAGCGTGGTGGACGTGCTCGACTTGGACGACTATGAGAAAGTGTGGATAGGGCACTTCCGTATGGAACGCCCCCAGCAGTTCCGTCGCTTAGTCTTTGTATCGAGCACTGTGCTCGTAATGTGCTCAGGAATACGGAGGAGACTTGGTTTTAACACGAAGATTGTCAAGCTAAAGTGAATCCCGCGGGTCCTTCAACCGGTAACTCCAGCTGTGGACTGCACATGCAACTCCCGCGGAGACTTCGATCGAATGATGCACGCGTGCTTGTACCCATTGTACTTGACCAATCTGGTTACGCCTGGATATGTACAGCCTTTGGTGGGGATCAGGACGGTAGATCCTGTGTAGGCCAGTGGCACCATGAGCGTGCACCCAAGCAAGTGGGGAGGTGTCGAGGGGACAAGGCAGGAGGGAAGCTCGCGTGCATTGCAGACGCTCCACGCACTGATCCTTTCAGAATCAGCGCTGTAGTCGGCAGGCGAAGAGAGGAGAGGGACAACTCATTCTGGCCAGCTCCCCGGCCTCGCTGAACCCATCGCATTTTGACGGTCAAAAGCATAAATTTCGACTGCGGGACTCTGACTCTGCGGGGTAGGAAGCCATTACAGTCGAGTATTGAGACATGCAGCGACGCCTTCGCCGCGGCTAATCATAAATGCACCGCAGTGTGCATTCATTCATCTCATGCAATGTCGACTTGGTGCTTGGGTCTCGTTCGTCTTCAGGACAGATTCCCACCACTCTTGCTGTGTATCGCCTGTCCCCAACTCCTGTAGCATCGTTTTGTATCGCCCCAACCTACGACTTGCCCTGCCATTTAGACCTGACTATGACGCCGACTGTTGCCAGATCCAGACGGCCTCGGTCCTCCACTCTGGATGATCGGCCGCCCATTCGAGATCGAAATGTCGCAGGATCCGGGGGATGAATTTGCCCATCTCGAGGATGGAGATGTTTTTGCCGATGCAGGTCCGTGCTCCGGCGGCGAACTGTGGGTCGTCAGTCAGTATCACTCAATCGGCCAGAATACTTCGCTGGGGGTGACGAGGGCGTCAGTCCGCCAGAAGACTCCTTCAGGAGTGACGGTGATGCAGAAAGGACAGCTTCCCGAGTGCGAATGATGCGTATCTGACTAGCGACTCACCGCGAGAAAACTCCTTTCCATCAGTTTCAGCCGCTCGGGCTCCGCTTCCAGCCACCTCTCTGGTCGAAAGACGGCCGCATCTTCGTCATACACCGTCTTATCCAGGTGCACGACCGGCGCTGTGATGCTGACGTTCGTGCCGCCGGGTAGTGCGACGCCACAGACCCTTGCACCTTCGGGCGGGACGTATCTTTCCAAGGGGTACGCCACCTCGGGGTGTAATCGCATGGCTTCCTTCATCACGGCTTGTCTGGTGGAATGATGTTCGACGTTATGGCGACAGCCAGCCGGCAGTGTCACCGACTGCGCGCCGATCACATGGCCTGCATTTCTGTCCAGCCGTCGGTTCCAAGTAAAGACCCTCGGTCTCGTGGTGATACCCCTCAAAGACCTTCATTGTCAGTCCCTTATGATATGTACCAGATCTGCGGGGTGTACACGATACCCATCCCGGACGGCTCTTGGGTATTGTTCGGTCGGCGCGCGAGCGTACGGCATGCGTCTCCCTCCATGTCAGCAGCGGTGGGCGTCGAAAGAACGACTTGAGAGATGTACTTGCAATGGAGAGCATTGGCGTCCTTGCTGAACATGTCCTTGAGACCCGACTTCCTCGCCGTGATCAAGACGAGAGCCGCTGGAACTTGTTGGCCTCCTACTCCTTGCCGGATGATCTCGCGCTCTGGACACAGGATGCCGAGTTTTGAGGACTGGCCTAGGTCAAAGGTCCGCGATGACGGCGTGGCTCTATCGAGTGTTGCCCTGTACCAGATCTTGGTATGGACAGACTGGAACAGGAAGTAGTTATCGCGCAGCGGGACCGCCTCTATCTCGAAACCCTGGAACTCGACGCGCAGACCAAGTCCCTCTCGGATCTCAGCCACCTCGTTGAGCTCATTGAAGGTGAACTTGGACTTCCAGAATGAGGCGCAAGCCCAGCGAAAGCCATCCTCCTGCAACTTGACCCCTGGCGAGAAGATAATGTTCTTTGGCAGATACCGGACGCTTGAGAGCAGCTTTCTGGTCCGCTCCTGCACGGGTGTCGCATCAAGATCTTTGATGATCTCGCCTTCGAGGGCCATCATGCCGGCGAGGCATATGTATGCGTCACCCTCCTTTGATGTGGACCGGCCGTTCAAGATGCGCAGTGAAGCAGCCATCGCAGGGACACCGTCCCGCCAATAACTCTTCGAGTGAGCTTTGCGCAGCTGCTCAAACTCCTGGAAGAGGATCGTCGTGTCACGGTCGACTATCGCCGTTGCAAGGCTCCCGGAGCTGGAGAGCTTCTGCAGTCTTTTAACTGCGTCTGAAATGTCCACAAACCCATCTGCCAGCTTCACATGCAGTCCGCTGGAGCCGAGCGCACCCTCCTGCATCGTCCACACGCGACGGTCCCAGCTGCTACCGATCAGGCGAATGAGAATGGCTCTCTCAGACATGTGTTTGGTCAAGCTCAACAGCTCGGAGTCCAGAATCAGGACTTTGGCTGCCCCAGCGTAAGTGGCCGACATGCGAGCAATCGCCAGGCGACGATGCGCTTTCTCTCTTGGAATACACAGCGTATCGATCCATAGACCCAGGGGACCCTCTGCCCGGCGGAAAAGCCGCGACGCTCCAGTCCGTTCGGGATACAGGTCGCTGCACATACGGTGGAGGCGGCGCAGTTGGCACGTAGGCAACGAGTTCCCCGTCGTACAGCCCAGACCATCCGCCCAGACGTGCGAGATGGCGACAAACTTGGTCCTCCGGGCGGATGAGGCCTCGAGGCCCAGACCGTCGCCCTCTGCATCCTCCCGGACCAGCATGACGGGGATGTCTCCTTGTTCGAGAATTTCTACCACTCGATCGCCAGGTGCGGCGACCAAGTCGCACTGGCAACTGGGATCGACGTGTTTGGTCTCATACGTCGACTCGTCGATGTTGCGTGCGATGCACCCGGCCGGGGAACAACCGCTGTGCATCTCCTTGGAGACTACTTCGTGCCTCACAATATCGGCGGCCAGCACCGCGGTGGGCGGACTGACTGTGTCGCACAGGCGGTGCACGTCGTTGATACACCAGCCGTTCTGCACCAGTCTGTCCCTGATGAGAGGAGACACGCCCCAGTCGGCTATCACGGTCTTGTTCTTCGGCGGGAAGCTCTCGATCTTCAAGTCGATGGCGAAGCTCAATGTGGCCCCGAGGACCATGATCGAGAGGACCACTTCCTGGGGTAGCGGGCACGCGTCACCGGCTTCGAGCAGACAGAGCACGAACGATCTCGCTTCCTCCAGGTCGGCTTCCATCTGCTGGACGTGTTTGGCCTTGACCTTTTTCGCCCACGCCTCGAGGTACATTGGCAGGTTCCGCCGGGTGGTTATCGTCGGCCGCGGTGTGGACATGCGATCCACAAAGTCCTCCGTCGGTACCGCCACGCGCAGCACGCGGCTCAGCAGGCCAAAGTATAGCCATGTTTGGAGGAAGGCGGCTGTCTGGCCTGGTGGTCTTTGGCTGAAATCCAGACCGAGGAACTTGTGTTTGTCGAAGCCCTTCCGCCACGGATACTCTGTAAACGCGCAGTCGTGATCGTATTCGTACTCACATAGGAAGGGGACCGCAATGCTGCCTTGGCTGCCGGTGTCACTGTCGTACAGATGATCCATTCGTCGGGGTATGTAGTATTAAGATGGAGTATGGAGATTGCTAGCGATGCACGACTGAACAACCGATATTTAATGTATGGAGAATGATCTGGACTGTGGCTCGTCTACCATTCAGTGACTTTGTGGCGTGATGCTCCTGCAAACATTGTACAATTACCACGCAAGCATTATTCTGGCGGAGTTTGTGGAGGTGAGGTCAAGAAGCAGCGTAAGAGTGGGTGTGTCGCCTAGGGGAATCTGACCCCACGAACCCATCAGTCGCAATGACATGGCAGCAAGGCTTCACTACGGGCTGAAATGGCTAAGTTGTGTGATGGTGACACATTCTGCGTCGTGCTCTGACACTGGGGCCGTTACAGATGCCAGGTCTCTTCAAGGTACAGCACCTAGTACAGTGCTTAAAACATTTGCCACAGAGAGCCCAGCGTGCCCAGGGGGGCCTGACTAATCAGGGGTGAGGGCGCCCGTGGTAGCCTGTGGTGACGAAGGGAACCTTTCCCCCTGAAAGTAAAGCTCAGAACTGTTCAAATTCGCTCGGAAAGACGCCGATATGATCAAGATTCTTCAGACAGGACACGACGCATGAGATTACAAACAAATACTACAATGGACTAGCTAACATGCGTGGTTCGGCCGCGCTCGACTCGACACGTACCACCTCTCAATGTCTCCGACAGCCTTGACTCAAACCTTCGCAGCCCGCCTCTTCATCTCGGCCTCCAACTTATTCGTCATGATCCACTCGGCCGCCTCGTCTCCCCAAGCAGGCTGCTCTCTATAGTGGATCTTGTCGACACTACACTCTGCAACCTGGCCTGACGCGGCCTCGTCGCCCATCACAAACCCCATGACGGCCCGCACGATGGTCGTCTTGGGCGTCACATACTCGGGCGGCGCGACGGCCATCAGCGCCGGCGTCAACCCCGTGTCGACTAGCCCGGGACAGATACAGTTGACCGTGATGGGTTCGCCGAGGGTGCGTAATCGGCGGGCCATTGCGCGGGTTAGCCCCACGATGCCGTGTTTCGCGGCGGTGTAGAGGGGGATGTTGTCGCCGGGGTAGAGCCTGCGGAAGCGTAAGTGTGTGCGTGCGTCTCTCTATGCTTGACTGCTACGACCACGATCTCCCAGGGGAGCGAACTGATTGGGATGAACACAAACGAGTGGCGTGCTCGCAGCATATGTCTTCCTTACCCGCACATGGAGCTCGTAAACACAATCTTGCCTCCCTTTCCCGGATTTTGACGGAAGAAATGCAACCCCAGATACGCGCTATACACCATGGCGTTCAGACAGATGTCGATGACCAGCTCGTCCGGCTTCGCAGGGATCCCAGGCAGACTTGGGTGCCACGTCGTGGCCGGCGCGTAAAAGTCCATCCGGTCACCTATACCCGCGTTGGCGAACACGAGGTCCAGCCTGTGCCACTTAGCCCACGTGGCCAGGAATGCTCGGCCTTGGGCTTCATAGTCCGTCACGTCGGCGTGGATGAAGATGGTATGTTCCCCGTCAAGGTGCTTTTGCGCAGATGAGATCGACGCCGGATTCAGGTCGACGATGGCGAGGTTCCATCCTTTGGCGCTCAGTTCTGTAGCCACGGCAAGGCCCATCCCGCTGGCGCCGCCGGTGATATAGGCGACAGGGGCGGACGAGGGCGAGCTAGTTGTGTCTCCATTACTCTGCATGGTGTTTGGCTTGCAAGGTTGTGGAAGCTGCGGTGAGTGAATTCCTCAGGTGGGCCGACTGCTATGTCTCTGAGGATACGTCCTGTGTAGCTGTGTGGTCACATTTCTACCTCTACGCGGGACTACTCAAGGAGGCCATCGAAAGCGGAGTGTCATGAACCGCGGCACCCTTCCCTCGGGTTCACAACAAGAATGTAAGCTAAGAGGTCCAGTAATCCGGTCTAAAAGTGCTCGGATTCTCAGTCCTTTTGGGCGATCCCCAGCGGCTTGGGACCCCTCCTCAACACGGAAAGACACGACAAAATGCGGAGTAACTATTGGCCATGACGGAGTACAGTACGTGAGAACCGAGCCTCCAAAAAGCTGGAGCGAGGTCAGCCTGACGGGCACTCGCCTACTGTTACTGGGTACATACTGTACATAGACTGCCGAGGTAGGGACTGCATTGGCATACGAGACGACGTCCAGTCATCTCCTGTCCAGTCATCCTTTGCCCAGTCACTCCTGCTCTCCCAACACCATGTCGAGGACACCCGGTCAGGATCTCTCCACGCCGTCTACAAGGCTCGCATACAGGCCTCGGTTCGGTTAGAGCTGGAGGCCTTGGCCCATTCGTCTACAAATACACAAGGGCGGGGGCGTCAAATGCATAACCGCTAACACGCCGCGGCATGATTCAGGCGTGGCCTAAACACATATCTATATGCTCGCTTGACAATACCTGAGTGTTGTACATCAACCCTTCTCCTGCCGATCGTGGGGTACGAGTATGCCAACATTGACCCTCCTGGTATTTTGACATCCGACACAGAGTGGCTGACAAGACTAGAAGACACGCTTCGTCTTAACCCTGTTGCACCGCCCGCAGGGAGCTGGACTCAACATCTCTCCGTGACCGACCAGGTGATTCGAGGACTCTGTAACAAGCCACCCTTGCTGTCTGCATCTCTCCACCAACATGGCAGACGTCAAGACCCTCGCCCCATCAGACCTTTTAGGACCCAAGCCTCCTGAGACAGCGCTCGACTCTGACATCTCGCTCGCCGCCAAACCCAAAGATCTCCCCTTCGACCCGGACGCGCTGCGGAACAAGTATATCGAAGAACGCGACAAACGGCTCAAGTATGGCCAAGCGAAAGGCGGCATTGCCCAGTACCGGCTGGTCGAGCACGACGGGCCCTTTGCGCACTACCTCCGTGACCCGTGGGTCAAGCCCGGCTTCACACGAGATCCCATCGACGAGGAGGTCGACGTGGTGATCATCGGCGGCGGCTACGGCGCACAGCTCGTGGCCGTGCGGCTGATCGAGGCCGGGATGAGCAACATCCGGATCATCGAGAAGGCCGGCGACTTCGGCGGCACCTGGTATTGGAACCGGTACCCGGGCGCGCAGTGCGACATCGAGTCGTACATCTACATGCCCCTGCTGGAGGAGCTGGGGTACATGCCGACCGAGAAGTACGCGCGGGCCAACGAGCTGCTGCGGCACGCCGAGATGATCGGCCGGCACTGGAACTTGTACGACAAGGCGCTCTTCCAGACGGAGACGCACAGCATGCGCTGGGACGACACGGCGTGCATGTGGACCACGGAGACGAACCGCGGGGACAAGATCCGGTCGCGCTTCGTGATCCCAGCAGCGGGGCCACTGCACCGGCCCAAACTGCCTGGCTTGCCGGGCATCGAGTCGTTCAAGGGCCACGCCTTCCACTCCTCGCGCTGGGACTACGACTACACGGGCGGCGACACGACGGGGAACCTGCACAAGCTGCGCGACAAGCGCGTGGGCATCATCGGCACGGGCGCCACAGCCGTCCAAATCGTGCCGCACCTAGGCAAGTGTGCAAAGGAGGTGTACGTCTTCCAGCGGACGCCGTCGTCGATCGACGTGCGCGGCAACAAGCCCACAGACCCCACGTGGGCGGCAGGGCTACAGCCCGGGTGGCAAAAGGAGCGGATGGACAACTTCAACATCATTGTCAACGGCGGCATCACGGACGTGGACCTCGTGCAGGACGGCTGGACGGATATCCTGCACAAGCTGCTCGCGCGGGCCGCGCCCACCAAGGATGGCGAGCCCGTCGATCCCGCCCGCGCGGCCGCGGAGCGCCAGATCGCCGATTACGAAAAGATGGAGCAGGTGCGCGCGCGGGCCGACACCCTCGTCAAGGATCCCGCCACGGCCGCGGCCCTGAAACCGTGGTACAACCAGCTGTGCAAGCGGCCGTGCTTTCACGACGAGTACCTCCAGACGTTCAACCTGCCGACCGTCCACCTGGTCGACACGGCGGGCAAGGGTGTCGACGCCATCACCGAGACGGGCGTGGTGGCCAACGGCCAGCTGTACGAGCTCGACACGCTCGTCTACGCCACAGGGTTTGAACTCTCGACCGAGTACGCGCACCGCGCCAACATGCAGATCTACGGCCGCGGGGGCCGCACCATCACCGACGCCTGGAAGCAGGGCACCCGCACCCTGCACGGCTGGACGAGCCGGCACTTCCCCAACTGTTTCTGGGTGCAGATCGTGCAGGCCGCGCTGTCGCCCAATTTCTTGCACGTCACGGGCGAGCAGGCCGAGCATCTCGCGTACGTGATTTCGGAGTGTACGAGGCGCGGCGTCGTGGCCGTGGAACCTACGATCGAGGCCGAGGAAGCGTGGGTCGACACCATCTTGAAGATGGCAAAGTTGAGGGCTGACTTCCTCGCCGAGTGCACGCCCGGGTATTATAACAATGAGGGAACCGTGGATCCCGTGGTGGCCACCAACGCCAGCTACGGAGCTGGCGCGCCAGCGTTCTTGAAGCTGCTGAAGGAATGGCGGGATCTCGGTGACTTGGAGGGCTTGGACTTGAGGTATGCCGAGTCTGCATCACGGTCAGAACCAGCGGTGCAGGAGGCCATACACGCGAATCTGTGACCAAAGGGACAACATGGGCACGGGCAGGGACTCGCCGCGGGTGTAGATGTAGGTGGCGGTTGCTGTTTTGATGCATCACTGGTGTTGGCGCTGATTAGTGCTTAGGCCAGTCGCGTACGTGTTTCTTACCCAATAGCCGGGTCCTGTGTACATAATTGCAAACCGGCCCCAAAGGAGCCGTTGGTCCGCTGGGAGACCTCTTCGGGGGATGCTTTCATGGGACCAGACGGTGAATGTCGAAAGCGCGGCCATTTCCCGGACGCGACGGGTAGAACCGCGCGCAAGTACGGAACATGCAGGATGAATAAAGGTACTCCGTACTGTACAGGGACTCGTACGAGGTACAGTATCCGGCTTCAACTCGATCTGTACTTGGAATAACCGTTGCAAGGAGCCCGCGGAGCCGCGATGTCCGGTACGCGTTGAGCAGCACAGACACCATGAATAGAACTGAACACCTGATGAGAAAACCAGCGATTGTGCACCGTACAGTATTCATAATACTTACTGCCAACGTGCGCACCGCGCCGTTTCCAGTATTCGTATGCTCATCCTCCAGGCCCAAACCGACCATGGCAGTGACGTGTCGGTTCTCAAGTCACACAGTTGATGTAGCGACTCTGTACTCCGTGTCGAATGATCCACCGTGGGTGATGTAAGAGGCCTCCTTTTGGGCGAAAGGGCGAGAGGGCCGAGTTTGGACCGCACAAGCACCACGAGCGTCTTTTATCCCATTGGTACGCTGCAACGGGGACGTGTCCTGCCCATTGTCCTCCTGACCCCCATGGGGAGGAGGATATCGTCGACCACGCAAGTATAGGTGATGTATATATAGACCGGTGGCATACTCCGGTTGAAAGGTCCAACCACAAATACAAAATATACACAAGCAAGAGAGATTCAAGACTTACACACTGCGTTGTATATCACATATATCGTAACGTAAGATACCAACAACGAAACAAGATCCCTAGCTAGTACATCTTCCAACTCGAATACCGAGACTCGTATACCACCCATGCATTCCACGTCCAGAACAGAACCCTCGTCGATCGCCGCCCGCAGGCGGTCTTCCACGAGTTCGACTTCCAGCCTCCCAGTCCCGCTTCAGAACCTGGTAGACGAGGCCGAAAAAGAACGAGAAGTATACGAAGATTCGTGGAGTCGGCTGTAAGAAACCTGAAACCCTTGCCGCCGTAGAGCGCATACTAATGAATTCGCCATGGCATTAGACCAAGAGGACTTAAAATCATTATCAGACCGTCAAAAGCGATCAAACGGCAAGAACAAGGACAACTGACCAGCACGCCGTCACTGATGGTCAGGAAGCCTCACCTGCCAGTGGCGCTTCAGCATCTCGTGGACAAGGAAGAGAAAGAAGAGGCACTGTTTCGAGACTCGTGGGCCAGAATCCCGAAGGCGCTTGGACTGGGAAAGTCGAGCAAGAAGACGGCCACGAAGTCTTGAGAGGGGGACAGCCGAGGAGCCATGCATATGAGCATTAAGAGTGGTGTTCTTGACGTCTTCATTCTCTAGGAATTGAGAACCCTGTCACAGGCCGTGGATAGTTACCCGTCAAGTGCGATCGTAACTAGGGCTGGTCGATGGACGATATATAGCAGACGGCTCGTGTATAGAGGATAACCGAGCATTGATAATAAAGTTAGTTATCATTTCGACCTGGAGAGCAGAGGCTGCAGCGTCGCGCTACAGCGGCAAGTTAGGAAAGGGCTGTGGATGCTGATGTCGCGCATTGAGCGTAGGCGTTGTTATTATAGGCCACTAGAGAAGCGCGTAGCTCGTCGATGGAGAGCGACCTGTTCTGTAATATCGATACCACGGACCTTTGATTTAGCAGGAGTGCCGAGGTCACGAGCTCTTATTCTCTCACTTTCCTTCCGAGTCCCAAGATGCAGACAGTGCGCTATCTTCATTCCAGTGGCAGTAGACCGGGTCAAGATTGTAGCGTCCATGACACTCGCGCTGCGATACAAGTCGCGGTGATGCCATCTGATCGAACCCAGACCGTTCCCATGAATTCGCATCATCAACGTCCGGTCAGGGTACATGTGCAGTTTGGTTCAGGGACAGAGACAAGCATTGGCAAGGGCCGGGGGTACGGGGCTGAAAAGCTTACCTCTTACCAGGCACGCAGGCTATCTACCCCAGTTACCCCGTGTCTTGTCATCGTGGTGCGTAAGTGGTACCGTGTCAGCATGGTTTACGAAGAATGGAGCGGATCGAAGTTGCTGTTTAACGTAGAGTAGCCGGCCAAAGGTCGCATCCAGTTCTGCGTAAGACGGTAGCACGTCAGTTGTCCGGCTCTCATCCCATAGACTGAAGGACTATTTGGCCATTCCGCCGCTCGGTCGTTCAACACTAGTCTGGCGGCAACTCGCGAGCGCGTGGCAAAGGTGCAGGAATGATGCACACGTCACACGCATGTGGACTCGAATGTCGGCGTCATTGGTCGTCTCGACTCTCGACTGTTGAGTCGCGGCTCGAGCCAGGTGCTGCTTCACACCCCAAGGGGAGAGATTCGAGAAGGGTCCAAGCTGCTGTCACCACTGTGGCCGCACATGGGTGGCCCGGCGTGGGATGGTTTTCCTGATGTCTTGACTCATACAAGCACAGGACGACCGGCGCGTGTGTTGATAAGCATGCCGGTGACCAAGCCGGCGCTCGATCCACCTGCGCAAAGAAGAAAAGTAGAAGCAACGGGAGGAAGCTCTGATAGTCGTGCTTGTCCCCAGCCCGGCCGTGCGATTGGCTCAGCGGCAGCGATACGGGGCTTGGCGTGGATCTTGGCTCGACTCCACTGATAAGGGAAGCAACAAGGCTCGCTAATCTCAGCGGTTGACCACGAGGGAGCCAGGTACGGGCACTCACCAAACCCTTTGTTCCAAATAGTATTTGCACCATGATACTGCGCCCAGCCAATCTCATGGGCTCCCACGGCCAGTATTATCTCTATCGATCTGGTCTAGTCCAGGGCAACTCGGCTGTCGCGGCCCCGTTCGGGGCGTGGTCGCAAAGCCTCCAGCATCGTTGGGCGGCCAGAACTGACCGTCCTCCTGCGACTCGCTTGTGGTCAGGGCTTGTGGTGTGAACAAGAATGACGGATTGTTGGCGACGGTGGGTAGCGTGGAGACGGTGGTCTTGCTAAGGAATTTCCTCGCTTGCGTGGTCGCGGTGGCGCGCTTTCCACCCGACCACCTTCGCGCCTCGACGGTATATAGCAGACCGTGCTCTGCAGAATATCCACAGCTCATCCCCGAACACTCTTCCTATACCGCAGGGAGCACTTTGGAGCCCGACACTTGACACCACAATAGCTATGGCGTCTGTAGAGGTTCCATCATGGGTATGTCCTCCTGGCTGATACTGTTGACCTTTGCGTCCCTTTACTGACCCCCAGTTCAGCCGGAGTTCAACTCCAGCATGGCCAACGGCGGCGACCCCCAGGTCATCGATGTCAATCTCCCATACACCGGACTTGAGTTCCACTACGTCTACCAGGTCATAATGGGCATTCTTGTGTTTGTCATCGTCCCTGGTATCGGTCTGCTCTACGGCGGCCTGACCCGCCGGAAGTCTGCGCTGGCAATGGTCTTCCAGGCCTGGACGGTCATGGCCGTTTGCACCTTCCAGTGGGCATTTTGGGGATTCTCCATTGCTTTCTCTCGCGACGGAGGTCCCTTTATAGGTACCCTGACGAATTTCGGCATGATCGATGTAAGAGACACGAGCCCACCACGGTGACATGGCAGATTGACAGTTATTTTCAGGTCATGGCTGCGCCATCCTGGGGCTCAGCGGTCATACCCGATATCGTCTTCGCCTTCTACGAGCTTATGTTCTGCGCTTGCGCAACCATGATCGTCGTCGGCGGCTCGTTCGAACGTGGCCGCATTATTCCGTCCATGATTTTCGGCTTCTGCTGGGCGACCATCTGCTACTGCCCAATCTCTTACTGGACCTGGAATGCCAACGGCTGGCTTTACACCTTTGGTGCTCTTGACTTTGCTGGCGGCGGGCCCGTCCACATCTCGAGCGGCACCGCTGGGTTGGCGTACGCTCTCGTCCTGGGCAAACGTAGCCGCTATGGTGACAAGCACGTCTACAAGCCTCACAACGTCACCATCGTCTTCCTCGGGACCGTTCTGATTTGGTTCGGTTGGTTCGGCTTCAACGGCGGTTCTGCCCTCAACGCCAGTGTGCGCGCGATGATGGCAGTGTGGAACACCAACATGGCTGCGGCGACCGGTGTAGCTGGCTGGGTCATGATGGACTACATCAAGCACCGCAAGTTTTCCGTTATTGGAGCGTGCGAGGGGGTCATCGCTGGCCTCGTCGGTATCACTCCCGCCGCCGGTTATGTCTCAGTCTGGTGTGGAGCAGCCATTGGTTTCATCACGGCCATTGTCGTCAACCTTTTCGAGCCAGTCAACGACTGGCTGCACATCGACGACGGTCTTGAGGTGTTCAAATTGCACGGAATCGGCGGCATGTGCGGTGCCTTCCTCACTGGAATCTTCGCCTCAGCCTCAGTTTCATCTCTCGACGGCTTTACGATTGTGCACGGAGGCATTGACGGCAACGGCGTCCAGATCGCCAAGCAGCTGGCCGAGATTGCCGCCATTGCCGCCTGGTCGTTCACGCTGTCTTACATCATGCTCACGATCCTCAAGTATATCCCTGGCCTGCATCTCCGTGTCAAGGACGAGGTGGAAATGATTGGCTTGGATCTGGACCAGTTCTCCGACGAGCTGATTGGAGAGTGGTCCTTGTTCAATGACGAGACAGGTGGCACCCATGGTGGTCGTCGGGGCTCAATCCAGCAGATCAACGCTCAGATCACCCAAGGTGTCAATCCCGAGGGATCAGCCACCCCGCCATCTGAGAGCGCAACACCGGAGAAGGAGGAGGCCAAAGTTGCAACGGCATGAGGGACAAAAGCGCTACTGTGCATGTCACAAGTTATTTGCTTCCATGCGTTATTGCGCGCTTCTAGCCATGTCGGGCTGTACCCAGAGAGTGACGAGTTTCTCGGTACCATTTTATCCTACTGTAATGAAAGATAGCCAATTCCAGTTTGGCCCTCAAATCATGTCAGTGACCTTCGGGAGCACCAGAAAACCTCCGCCTGGCAAGCTCTGATAAAGCCAGGGAATTTGTTGAACACAGACTTCTAAGTATGGAGTAGGGTCATCATCACCACGTCCTTACTCGCTGTGACCAGTGAGTGAAGCAAGAGTGAAAGATCCACGAGGCTGAAGCAAGGTGGGCGCGATTGGTGGTGCGGGGTCTGATTTGTCTGCCGCACTGCATCTCGCATCTCGTACATATCTTCGTGATCTGCCTCTCTCGTCACACGCCAATTCCAACAGCCAACAGCGCGCTTACAAGACTACAAACGGCTATCTCAAGACGCAAGTACAACTGCAGCATTAGATTTCTTGACCTACTTCCAACTGCGATCTGCACCGACCTCTTCTGCTTCCTCAACCGCTTCAGCCTCGCATCTCAACCTCGGCGCCTGCCTGCGCTGAAGACAAAACATCCGCTACACCACACCATACACCATGTTCGCAGCAAAGAGATTAGGGAAGGTGAGTGGTACACCCATACTCATTCCTGTTTGACCACCGCTGACCTTCCGCCAGGAACTGACGAAGGTAAATCATCCACCCACCACCTACCTAGGCACTCTACTTGCTCGCTTCCCTAGACTGTTCGATATATCTGCGATGCTATTTCCTGACATAGCAGGCAAACAAACAAGCCACGCTGACACGTCTTCTTACAACCCATAGGCCAAGCAAAAACTGCCCCCCGGCATCGACCTCGTCAAAGCAGACGACTTCCGAGAATGGCTCGTCGACATCCGCGTCCTAGACTCCAACCCGCTGTACATGAACCAGATCTACCGCTTAAGCTTCCTGTTCTCTGACTCCTACCCCATCGGTATGTTGCTCACATCCTACTTCCTACTTCCTACTTCTGGCCGTCCCAGCATCCGGACGCACCGACCGAAGCTAACAAGCCGACCACGCGGCGTAAGTATAGAAGCCCCCGAAGTCGTCTTCATCCGACAATCACCTTCCGCCACTGACCCCTCGAATCCGCAATCGACCGAGAAACCCTTCGCCGGCCGTCCCGTCCCGATCCACCCGCACATCTACTCCAACGGGATCATCTGCCTGGACCTGCTCGGCACGGCGGGCTGGTCGCCCGTCCAGTCTGTCGAGAGCGTCTGCATGAGCATCCAGAGCATGTTGACGGGCAACACGAAGAACGAGAGACCGCAGGGTGATGAGCAGTTTTGTCAGAGCATGGGCGTCCGGGGCCCGGATGGGTGGAGTGGTGGCGGGTACAGACGAGGTAGGGGGCTCAAGGACGTGAGGTTCGCATACGACGACGATACGGTTTGAGTATGAAGATCACAGTCGAGAAGAACTTCCAGGCGCGTCCCACGTCTATGGGTACCCAGGTACAAAAGGTGTACAGTACGATCTCGGCGGTTGGAGCTGGTCACGTCATGAAACTCTGGGTACGATATCACCTATCATTATCAGAATCAGCATCGGTATCAGTATCAGGAATAAGCATATCGGAAAGTGGGCGTGAGGGCGTGGATGGGGGCCTATCGCATCTGCCGAGTCCGCAAACCACTTGGCCGATCTTACCACAAGGCAAGGAACTGGACGCGGCCCCGATTTAACCACATCAACTCACAAGCTCTTCCGCTTCCGAGGTTCGCTCGGCGTTGGCGTTGGGCGTTTGGGCTGAACGTCACTCGATTTGGTGTTTCCGAGGCGACATAAGGATACCGTGTCAACAGTACAGGGCAGGACACGACAGGAAAGCGAGCTGCAAACGACATGATGCACGATGCATGATACACCAACCGTTGGTACGATAGGATAGGACAGGACAGGATAGGAAATCCTGAAACGTCGTCATGAGACCAACGATCACAGATACAGTATTACAACTCCCATTGGGCGGCACCTGCTTGCCTGCTGGTTTTGGCTTGGTCGGTACAGTACATACTCGTACATGTACCCGCGGGTTCGAGCAGAGCAGGGCAGCTGTCTAGATAGGTCATACTAAACAGTGATGAACCACTCGACTGAGTTGAACCCTGGCTCCGTCTGAGGGAGGTTTCCGTCAGCCACGCGGTTGAACACTTCGCCCCCCCCCTCTCTAGTCACTCTCACTCCCAGATTCTCTTCAAATTCTAGGTGCATTGCTACGCTCCGTTCTCTCTTTCCTCGGGTCTCATTCAAATCCTCCCGGCCAATCGTGACATCAATCGAAATCCGCAGCCCGCGCCCTCCCAGCTGCCCCACCACCTCGTCCCACTGGACTAGGCGAGTATCGTCTCCCCTTGCCCTTGCCCCCTCCACCATCCCGTCTCGGCTGAGATCTACTCCTGCTCCTGCTCCTGCTCCGGGACCGACTCCACGACCTCCCACTCGCACTACTCGAATTGCGTCTGCTCGCCCGTGGCGGCGGAGCCCTCCTTCTCGGTGGCGACAAACTTCCGCTTCGGCTTCTGCTTCTGCTTGGTGCGTATATACCCCCCTTTCGCCGCCGAGGCGGAGATCGCGGCCGGGAGAGAGAGCGACTGAGACTTCGTCTCGCAACGGGACGAGTATATCGTGGTGGGGTCCGAGAACGTGGTTTGGTTGGCTCGGCAGGTACCAGGCGGCGGCGTGAGGGGTGGACAGCGGGACTGGCAGCCCTCCGTGGCGGCGGGGAGGGGGGTCGAGAGCGAGAAGGTGACAAGTCAGCTTCTCGACGTGGGGGCGGAGCGCGCCGCGGAGGAGAACGAGAGCGCGAACGCGAGGAATAGCTACTATATGACAAGGAGCGAGTGCGGGCTCTCCCGCGTTTTGGTGGCGGACTCCGCGAAACCGAGGGGGACGGAGAGCGGCGCCTCGTTGGCGCGGGGCGACGGGGTGGACGGGATGGAGACCGCGAAGGAGATCGACTCGGGCCCCTGCCCCGTCTCGCCAGACCACGGGCTGACGGAGACCGAGATCTTGAAGGAGAAAGTGACCGGCGCGTGGCTCTTCCCTTAGGCCGAGGACTTAAAGATCTCCGCCTCCCCTCTCTGTCCTTTGAAGTGCTCCTCGATCTCGAAGAAGACCTGCTCGTCGTATAACTCGAATAACTCGAGTACGAGCTCACGCTCTCGGAATCTGAGACATCATCCTTTACTGGTGGCAAAGCAGGAACCTCTGGTTTGGGGAGGTTCTTGAGGTGTTCACGCATTTCCTCTGTCAGAGCACCCATACCGATACTGGTGAAGTAATTGATCGAGAAGCGAGTGTTGCGCGGTGTATCGGTTGGGAACAAGCCTGTGAAGCTTCCCCGAAGAATATCGTCTTTGAAGCGTCCCTGTAGTTTGGGGATGCCCAATGCCTCGGCGAGATCTTGGAACAGGATTTTGATGAAGATGCGACTGCTAGAGGTGGTTTCTTCCTCATTGAGATGGACGACAGAGAAGACGTGCCAGCCAATGGCATCGGTAGCCAATAAGTGTCCGAAGAAACGCGCAATGTTGCGTAGCCGGTTTGTTTCGTAGCGGTGGATTGTGTCGTAGTAATGAGCGAAGGATTGTTCGAACAGATCCGTCCAAAGGCGATTCAGCTTGGCGAATCTTTCACCCACAAGGCCGAAGAACTTCGAGTACGTCTTCTCCTGAGAGCAGCATTCCACGATCATGGAAGGCAACTCCGGTTCCTGACCCGCAGGAAGTTGAATTTTCATCAATTTGTGACATGCTTCTTCGAAGTCCAAACTCGACATAATTGTTAGATAGATAGTTCTTCGTAAGTTAACCAAGTCGGTGTTTGTCTGATCCTTGATTTCCACAGCCCGTTCTTGCTCGGCTTCTTCGTCGTCGGAGCTTTCTTCGGTACCGCTGCCGTCGTCGTCGTCGGCATCGCTGTCCTCGCCCAGAATCTCGGCTTTGAGCTTCCTGTACGCTTCTTCGTGTTCTTCCCACTCAGGGTCAAACTTGAAAATGTTCAAAGTGTCTTGAACGTCGAGGTCGTCGTCCACGTCGACTTGATGGGTGATTTGATCTTCTTCTTCCACCAGATCGAGCTCTTCTCGAATGGCGGGATTGTCTTTGTATCGATCCTTTCTGACCTGGAAGAGCACTTCGATCATATATTGCACCCGTTTGTCGATATCGGCTTCGTGAAGAATACTGCGGAACTGATCGAAGACAATCAAGGCTATCGGTGGACTCATCTCTTCCAGATGCTGGCCAACTTCTCTTGTCAACCCGACCGCAATTTCTACCGAGTCGTCTGACGGTTTATGGAGGAGCCGTAGAAGGAGCTGGGCGGCTACAGTTTCGTGAGCGACTTGCTGATTGCACAGGTGAGCAATAAATGTCGTGGAGGACAAGCAGACCGCTTTGTCATTTCGTCTGAAGGCCTTCCGGAACTGGACTACCAGTCGATGCAGCAGCAGCTCTCCCACTTGCGGCAATTTTGTGTTGACAATTGCAGCCATCGCTGCATAGATCGGGGTGAAAGGGAGAGAAGCCGCCTGGGCTTTCATGATACTCCGACAGAACAGTCCTCGACCTCGGACCAGGTTCTCGCCAAACAGCTCTGGAACAATGTGTTTAATATTCGACACATTAACCTTGTTGATGAGGCCATTGATAGACTTCTTCAGAGCCTCCCACGCCATTCGCTGATATTCTTTGCTCGTCTTGTCTGTGATCTGGGACTGTAGAGCTCGCAATTTCGCGGGTGGGATGTAGGTACCGCCTGATCGCATTGTGAGCAGTTTCTCGTACTCTGCCTTTGCGGCAGCCTGCTTCTCTTCGGCGGTCAACGGCTTCCGTCTCGTATCTTCGGTCTCCTTCGGTTTGAACCTGGCGAGTAGTTGTTGTTCCCGCTCGTCGATTTCACGGTCCGGTTCTGAGCCATTCCTTCTTCTTTCCCCTCCGTCCGCGGGGCCAGGCGCCGGTCGACGACGCTTGGGCGAAGGCGACCGAGATGGGGGAGACCTCTTCCTGGTCGTCGAAGGGCCTGGAGAGTAGGAACCGCCTGGAGGTGGGGTGGGCAGGCGAACGGCTGATGAGAGCAACATGGTGTCTGCCATGATGGATGTGTCCAAGCAGGATGAACTGATGAACTACCGGAATAGGTGGAGGATTGGACTATTACGCCCACCGCGCCAGCGACCTGTCGCAAAGGCGAAGGTGTTTGAGAGACGAGGTATCGGTATGTTGTGGCTAAAGGCAATGACAGTGACAGGCATACATGCATGGACAAGTTTGAATCCCAGAAATTTGGAGGCGCGGAATCGGAAAAACTGTGCCGGAGCTAGTCCCTTTTGTGCTCCCTTTCCCTAAGCGCGACTGCGTGTTCAATTTACTGAACAGTGAGAGCAATCGACTTGTCAAGTCCTTTCTACTGTTACTGTCTCAACCAGTGTCCATCACACCGCAAGGCAAGAGCGGCCTCTGCAGAAATGGTACGAACTCTCACCTTGCGCCGCGACCGTCTGCAAGAAAGCGCTAACTCGCGCCAAGTTGGACAAACTCGTGGGCATGGCGATGCTCGTGGTAGCAACCACAGTCTTCTTGTATTACACTCTATGGACGCTGTTCATGGTATGTTCGCATTCCAACGTGGCATCGTCCCGCATACTCATCTTGTTATAGCCGTTCGTGGATGACGACCATCCCCTGCAGAGCCTCTTTCCTCCTCGCGTTTGGGCAATTCGAATTCCGGTGATCCTCACCATTCTCGCTTCAGCAGTCGTTGGGACATTCCTCGCCATGGTGATGATCCGGAGCAATAGGAAGAAGGCAGCAAAGGCACGAGCTGCTGCTGCGAAGAAAACGAAATAAGAATAATGCTGTGGGTTCTTGTGGTTCCCAGGAAAGTAGCCTGGGTTTTGTTTTCGGACCGTTCAGGAGAGGATCAGACGTCAAGAAGCGAGCCACCAAGATCATCGTGTTAATATCGACGAGTACACGCCCCTCGGGTGGTAGTGAGATTGGCTATGGGCTTCCTGCTGAATCGTGGTAGAGACACCAATACCGCATCTTGAGTGCGATATACTCGCGGCTCGACAGGCACCTGATGCGTGCTTCGGAGCTGTGTCTGCACGAGATGCTGCACATACAAGGCACGGCTTCCTCAATAGGAGTCTTCTCCCATCAGTTTCTTTCATCGTTCGTTGCAGGCCATTTCTCTTTGTTTCCTTCCGGGTTCGATTTGAACGGGGACGCCGGTCTGGCTGTCGAGCACTCGCGTCATGGAGGCCATTTGACGAGCCTGAGGTGATGTCGGACTCGGAGGCTGCAAACGGAGAGTCTTGCTATTTTGAAGGCTAGTGACTCGGCCAGTGCTCGCCCCAGCCACCGCCCGCATCATGAGCGTGCCCCGCACCAGGCTCGACCAACCACGCTCGGGCACGCCCAACCAATCCCCGGGGTGACCTCGTGGTCCTCAGCAGCCCCCCATTCGCGATAAGCAAGTCATCGAGAGGCCTCCTGACTCAACTGTTTGATTGCTGGCTCGGGCGGTGCTCGACTGCCACTTGCACCTGACTGCCTCTGACTACATCTTAACCTTGTTCTCCTCCACGTCCGGAGTACTCGTCCAGACGCAATCCACAGTCATTCTATTAACGTGTACAAGCTCATTCTCTGCCCAAATCTGCTCGGAAGCTCATCTCTTCGTAGACGATCGATCAACCATCGGCTCTCCACAACACGCGTCGAGCAACCCCGCGTCGGCAGGGCTACTTCCCTGCGACATTCACACGCCGCCTCGACGGTCATCCTGGCAAGATCCGAATCCCACCGACCGTCTGGACCAGCCTGAGGACGCGTCAGGCTCGACCGTACCATAGATCTGCGGCGTGAGGTCTTGAATGCCAGCATCCAACAAACCAGCCTGTACCGCCGACTCGAGATACCCAGACATAGGAGACCCCAAAGCCGTGGCCGAGCAAGACACCATTCCTTCAAGAGCAGGAAAGAGGAAGACAAAGAATGCTGCTGCCCGACAGCTGCCTAGCGTCGACAATGCCGACAACAGCACGGAGTCAGCGCCAATGGGTCAATCTCAGCTCCCGTCTTCCTCGTCAAACCCTCCACCTTCGATTCTCGGCCAGCTACCGCAGACATTCCCCCAAACCAGAAGAAGCAATGCCTTCGATGCCTTGAACGACACGAACTCTTCTCAGAAAGTCTCCGACGAGCATACTCCGCCAGTCGACCTCTGGGCTCGGAATGATATTCATCGCAGGACCCCGCCAGTCGAGCCCATTCCCGGCCTAAACTCAGGCACTTCACCGCCGTATGAGCCTGGTTTCAGCACTCGAGTCGCCTTCAATGTCAGAAGTCCGCCGATCTCCCCTCCCATGCGCAACGCTCGTCCAGTGAGCTATGGTGGAGGCAATGCCGCCCTCCCGAGTCACCATAGAATGTCGACCTCACCTTACGGCTATGGCATTACTGCTTATGGGTCTCCTCCTGCGCTGCCTCATCTGCCTCAACAACACTTCTATGGCGCCCACGATGTCGACTTGGGTGTCGGCTCTCCGCACACGCCTCTACCAGAACCGGCTCCCTTGAAGTTCGTCCGCTTACCGGGCTCAGGATCTGACTCGCGAGATGCTATCCTTCTGACTGTGGATGGGGAGCTGCATCTTGTCAGCTACAATGGCGAGAAACTAGAACATATTGGAGCCCTTGTCGGCGTGCAAGGCACCATAGTTGATGCCACGCTGCTTCCATGGAATACTGGCGAAGACCCCTTCCCAGGCCTGAGGCCTTTGGTGGCACTCGTTGTTCATGGATCCAGAGTTTCAAACCCGGGGCCATCCCCAGCCGAAGACCGTCCCTTCAATGGGACTCCCCACGATGTCATGGAGACCCGGGTAGTGGTGTTTTCTCTAAGCAAGAGCTGTGAGGTGACTGAGCTGTTGAGGGTGCCCGCTGCTAGCTTCCCAGGGGTCGCTACGTGTATTGGACGTCCATCATCCCTGAAGGTTCATGCCAGTGGCAATTTCATTGTCGTCTTTTCTGGGGAGAGCGGCGAAATCTTTGTTTTCGCCTTCCGAAGAGGCAAGGAATCAGTCGTCTTCGAATGCCTGGGCAAGTACTGGACCACCCTGCAACCTCATCTACAGAGAAGAGATTCCTCCTCTCATGGACCAGCGTCTGATGCGGACATTTCCCCCGCCGACCTTGCTCGCGGAAATGACGCCGAGAATCCACCCATCCTGAGTCTCAATGGGCGCTGGCTGGCACTTTGCCCAGCAGGTACCTCTTCTCGAAGGTCTATTGGTGCGATCCTGGGTGAATATGTGATCTACGGCAAGAACTCGGATGTCAACGCCGGTACCGCTCCCGCAAGGCCTCTATCGAACTGCGAGGTGGATTCCCCGGATGTCGATACCTTCTTGAGCAAAGTCGCGAAAGGGTTTGCGCAAGAAGCTGTCAGAGGTGCGAAGTGGATCAGCGAGAAAGGCATGCAGACATGGCAAAACTATTGGAAGAAGGAAACAGGCAGTCCTAGCCAGCCCACTCTTCAATCCGTCAGCCCTCCAGCCTACTCGCCGCACATGGCCCTGGCTCAGTTTCCTCCTACACATGCGGGTGAACAATATGGCGTACCCAGAGACCCAGAGCTGGTTAGCATCCTCGACTTGAGAATGCTTCAAGAAAGCCAAGGTCGAAAAGGCGCAGAGGTCAGTTCAATGATCACCTTTCAACCACCAGGTGGCTGTAGCTTCTTGTCTTTCACTCCAACTGGTCTGGGGCTTTTGACCGCAAATCATAAGGGCGATGTACAGTACATTTGGGACTTGATGCAAATGAAATACACGCACGGTTCGCCAACTTCAACCTCGACTGAAAGCAACCGAGTGCGGCAAATTGCACGGTACGAACGCTTGAGCCCGTCTACTATTGTCGACGTCGCCTGGGACGGCCCGACAGGATACAGATTTGCTCTTCTAACCAAGAATCGCACTATTCACATCTTTGATTTGCCGAATACTTGCTTTCGCTGGCCACCACCTACGGTCAAGAAGACTCGGCCACTCTCTGCCCCTGTCGACCCGGCCCAAGTCAAGATGGAACACGACCCTCCACCAGCTGGAGGTTTTCTTGCCTCGGCCATGAGCCTTGCAGGCAGGACACAACCAATGCTTGCAAGTTTGCGTGGAAGAGCGCCAAGTATCAACGGCGGCCTGGCTGGAGCAGCTCCAATGGGTATTGGCTTCGCTTCGACAACCAGCATCAAAAGCGGCGGCAGGGCAGTAGCAGTGGGCCTTAGCAAGTCCCTGGGTGCAGCCTCTGAGACGGTTACCAGCATCCGGCACGCGAACCAGAGCAGGCTTCACCTGAAAATCCTTGCACGGCCCGGTATGTTTTGTTGGTTGCGCCGTGAGGGAAGGTCTATATTGTCCATCCTGGATGACAGTCATGTCAAAAACTACTACGTCCGCATGACCAAGCCTCGAGAGAACCGCCAGATGGAAACCGTCTCCGTCTTTGATGCGCGAAAGGCGGTTGCCGCCAAGTTACCGAAGGCTGCGGAAGTCGCCACTGGGCGACGACAGACAGCCATTACGGCTGAAACAGAGGACAGGAGCGGCGAAAGACCTCCCCTGCTTGGCTTTTGGAAACCCAGGCCCAGCAGAGACGCGGGCTCGAGAACGCCCCATCCGCTGGCGTCGGCGGAAATTGAAACCAACGCTCCCTATCAGCCATTCCATTCAGATCGGAGAGTTACCATATCCTTGCACACGGGCCAAGCATCTTCAATGGTTCAAGTGCAGCCCTCTATCCATCAGAGACGACGCTCGAGTCCAGAGTCTTCGGACAGGTGGATGTTCGGCGAAGATATCTCGTTCAGCACACAGAGCATCATTAAATCGAACCTAAACAGCGCGGATGACAGCGCTACCATTTACCGCGAGACGACAATAGTCTCGAGCCACGCGAATCTAGATACGGCTCCAACACAAGTCTTTGATAATGACATTCCTCAAGTCTTCAGCAGCACGAAAAAGAAAAAGGGCAAAAAGAACAACCGTGCTCAAGCACGCTTACTCGAGGAGCCCGAGGACAATACAGTGAACGATGTGTCTTTCGACCCCAGTGAAGATCTGCTAGGCGAGGAGCCTCTTTAAGCATGCATTGCTCATACAGTATGCAGATGTATGTTAGGCACAGGGAGCTGCACAAGCATAGCCGTATAGCCGCGCACAAGTATTTCAATATCGCACCAAACTGCGTGCATTGTGGTGTCAATTCCAAGCACAAGCAAATCCGGCCAACTTTCATCAGCGCTTGCTTCATGTGCCCCATGTACTGCTTGGATAATTAATAGCGATGCTGCTAAGAAACTTACCTCGCTCATCCAGCACGGACGAACAATGTCAGAAGGAGCATAGAAACCTATCAGAGCAGAGCGCCCTGACACTGCAAGAGCGGTTGTTGCAAACATGTATTCTAGGAAACCAAAAGACAAAAAGACCTCAATACGCCGCTCGGCTCTCGTTACCACAGTTTTTGATACGCTATCCGTCTGTCTTCCTCCCTATGGGTCCAGCTACTCGAGGTCTTCGCGCTCTGGACCTCTTTAACTCCTTTCTACCCTCCTCACGATCCTTACGTCTCCTCTTAAAATCCTGCCTCCCCACCTCCCACGACGGCCAAATCACCCCTTACATCCCAACCACTGCCTCCGGCCTTGTCACTAGAGCTCGCTCTTGCCTGGGTACTCAATTCCCACCACCGCCTGACGAGATCGCCATCGATGACGGCGCGCCCGCCGATCCCGTCCGTCTCGATCTGTCTGTACGCCCGGGGGTTGAGGGCCGCGTAGTGCGCGTGGCTGTCCAGCGCGGACGAGAGCAGGACGTTCTGCAAGGTCGACAGGCGGCGGTACGTGGGCTCGGAGAGCGGCGTGAGCAGGGCGACCGAGCCACTCGCGCCTGTAAGAAGGATTGTGTGCGCCTGGGACGAGGGCGCGTCGTCGAGATCCATCGACGACATCGCGGCGGCGGCGGCGGCGGCTGGTCGCGGTGGCGGCACCAATGTCATACTGGTCGGCGTGTCGCCCGTGTGAAAGGTACTGCGGAGCAACAACTTGGCGCCGCGCTCGGTTTTTGGGTCCTCGGGATCGTACTGCAGGATGCGCAGCACGCCGTCGTCGCCGGCCGAGACGATGTACAGCTGTTTCGCGGCCGGCAAGAACTCGGCCTCCAGGACGGGTGGGTTCGCGAAGTCGCGGCCGAGGATTTGTAACTTGTAGGGTTCCTCGGAGTAGCCGACGAGCCAGAGGCCCGAGAATGCATCGCCCAGAATACACAGGCCCGTGCCGGGCAGTTCTTTGGCCACGTGCACGTAGTACCGCATGTCGAGGAAGGCAACCGGCAGAATGGACATGTCTTCCTTGAGGCCGCGGACCATGCACTTCTGGCCTTGCGCTGCCAGTAGGAAACCCTGCGATCCGACGCCCGAGATTGCCGACACGGCGCCGCGCACTTCTTCCTTGGTGATGAGCTTCAGCTTCAGATCCGTTTCGGGCACGCCTGGCTCGGGCACGACGTCGACGACGTCGAAGAGGTAGATGTTTCCTCTCGTTGTGATGTTTTCGCCTTTGACGACGGCCGTGCCCACTACAATCAAATCCTTGCGTTCGTGCGTCTCCTCGGAGACTTCGAGGTTGATGGACTTGACGCAGAGCACGCGCTCGGACGCGTCGAAGCGGAATTGGCTTATGATGCGGTGGGATCGAGAGCTGAGGAGTTTCAGGGTCGAAGACAGGGTGGTGGGCAGAAAGGTCGTGGATTCGGCTTGCCATTCCGGGTGCCATTCGTCGTCTTGGGGCAGTTGGAACTCGGTGCTCGAGTTTGTGGCCAGGATGTACGAGTCTGTCGGCGAGAAATAGGTGAGCGAGGTGATGTCTTCGTTGAGCGCGACGCGGTCGATGATCCAGTCCGAGTGGCCCAGCATGAGGGTCTCAGGGAGTTGACAGAAACACAAGTAGTCTGTGTCGTCGATGAAGACGAAGCCGCCAGGGTTGGCTGCGCTCAGAGATTTGATGTTCTGCGGCTTCAGCTCGTACACGTGTGGCATGGTGGACGCTTCGCGGAGGATGAGCATAGGCTGTGCCCCGGGGACAAATACCGAGGCATGCCCTGCTATGTCCCTGATCACCTGCATCGGCTGAAGGGAGGACTCTTCGCCTTCCTCCTCGACTGTATCCTCGGGAGCTTCTGCTGGCTTTGTTGCGATCTTCTTGAACCTGAAGCTGCCTACGACGTTGAGCACGGCGAAGGGTTCGTAGATGACGAGATCGTTGGTGGTATTGCGAACGACGAGATACGGTCGTCTGTCATCTTTGTTTCCGAGGTCAACAAGCAGAGCCTCTGCCAGTTCGTCCTTGTTTCTCCAATGCTTGGGTAACTGTGTATTTTGCAACAGATGCGTGGGCAGGAATGGCAGACTGTCACACTGAAACACTTGGAGGTCCAGGTTGGGAAGAGACAACAGGCAAAAGTGGCCGTCTGAAGCCATCAATGCCAGGATCGGTCCAGCTGAAGTCGCAGCGCCTCCATAGAGCCTTGAAGTCCGGAAGAAATCGCCTGGGTCGTGATAGAGCGATACTGATAAGACTGTCTTATCCTTGAAGGCTGTTGGATGTCCGACTTCGTCAAGCTCACCGGCCTTATCCGCCTTGAGCAAGGCCATCGTACCGTCATCTTTGACCAAAGCAAGGTAAGGTTCGGCAAAGGCAGCCTTCGTCGCCCTGGCCAACTGGCCTTCTTCTTCATCGACCACGGGAAATATCTGCGAGAGGCCGAAGTTGGCATCGTAGACACGGATTTCCGTAGGCAGCACCTGGATCGTGTGATTTGTAGCTTGCAATCTGAAGACCGCAATTGCCGAGCCAGCGGCTTGGTCGAAGTCGCCTTCGGCGATTGGCGACATATCGCCATCATTTAGACGATACAACGAAGATCTGCCAACGCCATCCGCGGTCATATGAGAAACAATGACCAGCTCATCTGCCGGTCTGTGGTCTTGAGATTTCTGCGTGGAGCCCAAGCACCATATACCGATAGCATCTTCATACCTTACCCGTTTCGTCGTCTCTGGCTCGAGGTGTCGGCTTATTGTAGCCACTCCGTTGGCACGACCTCGACCGTATGCGACCATAATCTCGGATGAGCGGCTGCCTGATAAAGCAGAATCATCGTTTTGATCGCGCTTCCGCTTCCGGAGGTCACCGAGGGCCAGGTCATTTATAGGTGCTATTGATGGAAGCCGGTCCATAGTTCGAAAGTTCTGGCCACTAGAATCGCTTGGGGCATGCCCATTTGGCTTTTGTGTGACCTCGCCATAGAGGTCATCATCGTCCTCTGGACCGTCTTCGTCGTCGTCCTCCTCAGAGTCCACTCCATTTGACTGAATCTGCGCTCGTGAGCGTACACGTTTTAACTGGGCTAGCTTCTTGTCTGCTCCAAGCAGAACCGAGTCGGCCTCTTCGCTTCCGATGAAGAGACAATTTGTTCCGAGATTCGCGGTGCAAGACGCAGAACCCTCCACGTGATTGTGGGCGAGCTTTTGCAGGGTCAATCCGGAGACCGAGCGTCCATCCATTCTGAAGCCTAGAAGAGCAAGCTCTCCACTCTTTAGTATCACCAACATGTCTCCGGTGGCATTACCCAGGTGCTCTACTTGGCACCCTTCCAGCCTCAATCGAGCCTCGGACTGGTCTGTCATCGGAAACGAAGAAGCTTCTTTTGCGAATTCATTGACCGCAATGGAACTTGATTTTCCACCCTGATCGACGTGGATCACTTCATTTCCGCCGATCAGCAATGCGCCCCCTACGGGCAGTGGCAGCGGGACAATTCGGTAGAGGTCGTTGGGAAGTTTTTGCACAGATTGCAACGTTGTTGAGGCCTTCTGCTCCAAGTCGAGAGCATAAACTGCATAGATTGTGACATCTTGGCGATCAGGACTCATATTTGAGGAGCGCGCGGCTGTGGAATATAGGATGCCAATGGTCGGGTCGCGGTACTCGTGGAGGAAAGCCATGTCGACGGGATGTAACAGCCCAGGGTCAAGGATGGTTAATGGCAAGACGAACGATGGACTGTACGTTGAGTTGGCATCAGCTGCCTGGCCCTCCTGCTGTGGACTTGTTTGTGTCTTCTCGTAATGTTCGTCGTCCAAGTCGTCCATTGCGAGATCATCGCCCCCTTGATGGAATGGTATGATGGCGAGATTACTTATGCCGAAGTTGAAGGCAGCACATCTACTCGAAGGGTCAACCGTGAGACGGCTGACGCACTCGGCAAGATCAGGCTGCCATGGTGCAGTCTGCAGATCATCATGCTCGTAGTAATGTATTGAGAGCGTAGATATGCTATGCAGTTCCGGGTCCCATTCGACAAGGCTCAGTTTGGCATCACGGAGGGCGATGAGAACTGCATCACCTCCGGCCTTCGAGTCTGTGATTTTGACTCTGCCCAACGATGTGACTGTGCCGGCGAGATTGTACTCGGCGACCAAGACGAGCTTGGTGTCCTGTCCCGCGTGGACCGACTTGCACTGGAATATCTGCACAAGAGAAGTCCGGGCAATGATCAAGTTGTCGGCATGCGCGGATGTGAAGGGGAGCGAAAGCGCATGAGTGACTCCAGAAGGGGGAATGAGATCTGAGTAGCACTGCATGTTGAGTCGCGCTTGTCAAGAGAGGGAGGGAGCTGGTGGTGAGATTGATGGCAGGGAGGGCTACTGTCCCCAGCACGCTTTCGAGCACTCTATCTCCCTCCGGCGACACCTCCTTTGCTTCATCGCCAGCAGAAACAAGACAGGGTGTATCTTGTCAAAAATAGACCACGGTGAAGTCGCGCTTAGATCGCGCTGAGGGAAGACTCAAGTTTCGGAGGTGAACCAGCGACTTACGTAATATACGCTAGTCGCTTTCTGATACACCAACACAAACCCGGGAAGTGTAGCGATGACGCCGCATTGCAGCAAGTGACGCTCATGACCATCTGCTGCCTGCTTGCGTGGTACGGCTTCCCATGCTGCTCTCGCTTCTCGTCGACCGCCGCTCACGCATCCTCACTGTTGAACTTCAGCTGGTCTGAGATTCAGTGGTCAAGTTGGAGCGCAACAAAGATGCTGTCCGGGCTCGCTGAGCCAACCCTCTCGGCCATGGCTTCCGCTGGCTACGTGCAAATCACGTTGATCTGGGTTGTCTATGCCATTGCGGTCGCTATCCTACTTTCCATCGCCTGTCTGTTCGTCTACCTGTACCAGACCCATCGAGAACGATCAATCTTTGTCACCGTTGTGTGCATCTTTACCATCACCTCCCTTCTAGCAACGGTGCTGTTGCTGCCCGTCGACGTCGCCCTGGTCTCAAGCACAGCGAGCTCCAAGACGGGACAGCGCAAGGACTGGGCGAACCAAGACAAGGTCGACAACATCACCTACACGCTGCGCATCGTCTATTATTTGCTCTACTCGCTCGATGCTCTCCTCTGTCTCTTGGTAATCCCTTTTACCTACTTCTGGTACGAAGAGTACGATGAGGTCGCTCAAGAGGAGGGTACTCAGACGTTCGGGTCCAGGTTCTGGGGAGCCTTCAAGTACACGATGGTCCTCATCTTCCTGTGTGTCGCCCTGTTCCTGGTCGGCTTCTTCGTGCCGGTCGCTCGTCACAGGGAGGGTGCGCATTTTGACCTGGACTTTTTCAAGAAATTGCTGTCTGAGAACCACGGCGAGCGTGCATTGACATTTGCACTGGGGTTGCTGATCACAATCGGGGTCATCCTGTATTGCTTTTACACCGCGGCAGGTCTCGCCCTACTGCCTTTGACCATGATCAAATCCGCACCGAGCATCTCTGCGCCAGCATTGTCTGAGTCGACGGCTGCCCAGCTTGATAGCAATTTGGAACGGCAGAGACAGCTTGAAGGACGCGCGCAGGGCAACCCAGATGGTCTGTCCTCCAAAGACCAGAGGGAGCTCGATGCTCTAGTCCGGGAAGAACGTACTCTGCGGCGTCATCAGCGCATGGCTGAAGAAGCTTCGGGCAAGGACCAAAATGTCTTCTGGAAGATCTGGTTCAAGATTGGCGCAATCCTTCGACCCATCAAGCTCATTCTCGGTCTCCTGTTGATGGTAGTTGTCTTGGTCATCTTCGCTAGCATGCTGATCACGGGCATTGACAAGGCAAAGAACTCAATCTGCAAGCGGCACTGTGGCTATCTGCTCGCCCATATCAATATCTTCCAGCCGATCAACTGGGTTCTGGTCAAGTCCGCCAAGGTTTTCCCGATCGACTATGTCATCTTCATGGCAATAGTCATGCTCTTCTTCAGCGCCAGTATTCTGGGAATAGCGACAATCGGCATCCGAGTTCTGTGGATAACCATCTTCAGAATCCGCAAGGCCCATACCTCGCCGCAGGCATTGCTTGTGGCCACGGTTCTGCTCACGCTCATGACACTAGCCATCAACTACTCAATCGCTATGATGGTGGCGCCACAATACGCAACCTTCGGTCCCCAAACGTTTTGCGATCACCCGCCCCGGCATCCTGGGGAACAGCCTGACTGCACCGATCACAAGCAGCACATCATCCCCTGCACAGAGTCAACTGATAATCCGGCCGCACGGAACGTCTGCACCCCCTCCGTGGTCTCGACATTCCTAAACCGCGTGACTGTCAACTTCCCATTCTTCGGCGTGGTCGACTTCTGGGCTCAGTTCGTCTTCTTGGGAATTTTCCTGCTCGGCTTCGTCATTCTCCTGTTCCGGACTCCTAAGTTGTCGGACCCTGACGCAGAGGAGGACGAACTCGAAGAGGAAGAGGAAGGGCTCCTAGCCAGCACCGGCAGGAGATTCGACGCTACGTGGCAAGATATTACAGGGAGAGTAAGTCATGGCGGGAGGCAGAATCAGCAAGGTCGAGGAACGAGGGATGGGAATGCCGACTGAACTTCACGGATTGCTTGGTGGGAGGGCGCAAGCTTAGTGAATGATGATGCGTTTGGGCAACTTTGGGCGCTTGCAGCCGTTGGTGGTATAGGTTCTCGTCCAATCACGACTAATCGAGGCAATGGAACACGATACCAGGGGGGCGTTATGAGAGTTGAAGCTGTATCAGCTCCACACAATTAATCAAGCATTCGTGTGGTTGGTAGGAATTGTAACTCAGCCGTCAACATTCGACGACAGCTCTTTTCTGCAGCAATAAATGTCTGTCTAGCACGCCCGCTTCTGTAACTAGACGTGGTCTCTGCGCGAGTCTCTTTGGTGCTCACCGCCGCCGTCGGAGTCGTGGCACGCGTGGTCGTGATAAACGATGGAATCTTGCGCTTTTACACTTCACAAAGAATTCAGCGCTTTAACCCGAATCATCTCCGTCATTTAGCATGATGCCACGAATTTAGGCTCCCCGTCGGCTACATTATGAACAAGAAGCCTAGGCAGAGGGCTCGTGATGCAGAATCGCGATCTAAGTGCTTCGCGATGGGCAAGCCCTGAAGTGCGGCGCGAAAGACAAACACATCCCTCGCCCCGGGCAAGTCAAGCTGTCTCACCACATCACCAAGATCCTTCAACAAGCAAGCCATGGCAGCAGCAAGCAACGCCTTTGACCACCACACCGCCGGCAAAGCCACTCAGCTCCGCGCAGCGCCAATATATAGCTCGCCACAACGACTTGCAACGCTTTCGCAGGCTCTTCCGCCGACTCGCATGGAAAGCAAACAGTCTCACGCACTGGTCACACCGCGCACTGAACCTGGCCCAAGAATACCAAGCTCGATTGTCAGAATATCAAACTTTCTACTCTGGTGGTAATCCCCCAGATCACGTCCAAGGCAGGCTTGTCGACAGCCCGCGAGCTAGACTGGGAACCTACGACATGGTGATCGACCCGGTCGAAGCAGAACGACAATTCAAGATCGACTTCTACGAGTTCTACGCGCTTCTCGAGCGAGGGCTCGTCTGTCTCCTGGGAGTCTGGGGCGTTGTGATCACCGCATCTGTGGGCGTTGCGCCTGCCTCCCAAGCGGCAGCGAATGGATCCATCATTGGTGATTCTCTATCCTTCCACGGCTCGGCGCATCGCTTCCACGCCAATGTCATCTCTGCTCTCGAGCACCCTGCGAACCCGCTGCACGCGACCCTCGGCACAGGTCCTGTCCGAGAGTACATAGGCATTGCTAAAGAATTCCGTAACAAGTGGAAAGACGTGGAATCGCGACCAGAAGAGTCGTTCAGTGGGCACGAGCGGGCGCAAGAAGAGTGGGACCCAGGCAAGATGAGGAGGTACGAGAAAGTGCTGAGAGATCTGATGTTAGAGGAGTTGTTGGGCTGCGTGTTGAGCGGGCTGGAGGAGGCTGGGCGACTGGCGGAAGCAGAGGTTCAGAGGTTGGAGGCCCTGCTCGGCAGTCGAGGTAGGGGGCCGGTTTCGGATATCGACTTGGACATGCAAGATGCGCCGTTTGAGACCATGGCTGAGCAGGGCAGCTTTGATCACGAGATGGAGTTTTGATAGCCTCGGTTCAGTCTGGAGAGTACCGTCCTTTCAGGTGCTAAAGACGAAACATGGCGACCACTCAGTAGGGAATTTGTATCGCCACTTCGCCCGGAAACCCGTCGAGAACCAAGAACACTATCCATCGCTCCGAATAGCTGCCTTGGGTTTAGAGGCACAAGAGATTCAGGAACAGGAGTATTGCTCCGATCGACGAGCCCAAGGCGCTTCCGGGGTTCGGTATTACAGTAGCGTCGATCTCCACGTCGCCTGTCACCAGATCTTGCCTCCGCCTGCGATCGCGAGGTGATCCCGCCGTCGCCGCTAACGTTGCCATGCTGGAAACAACGCATCATCAGGGACAAAGGACAGCTCTTCAATTCCGCCCACATCTTCACGCCACACCACGCACTTGACCAGGGTGGTGGCGATCGCCCAGGGGGAGTCCATCTCGCGCGTTGAGGAAAGCTGCCATGGACCACGAGTCAGTGCCAGTAAATGCCAATCTCCCAATATCAATAGGTTGACAGCGGCTTGCAAAGTTAATCTCTGGGTCCCCCACATTCGACGGCCATCGCAACATACCTCGTACTGCACCGGTAATCATCGCGTCCAGCCTAGTTGGCATCGGTCAATTCGACATGGAAGAAGTCGTCACTGGACCACAATAGCGAATGCACGACTGCATCCGAAAGCCGTCGGCATGAGTCTTGGTCTTGCAGATTGCATGCCGACCCCTGTCTTGCCCTGATGGTCTTCCAGCTCTTCTTCAGCTGTGGCGACACCTCTGTGCTAGTTACTGGGTACTTAGCCCACGGCCCAGCCCCTGCTCGCCTGGATGCCATGTGAGTCCTGCGATAATCCCTGCCGCGCAGGATGACTTCCAAAGCCAACGTGGATCTGCGGGCGAGCCGAATCTTTCTTCCAAGTCCTTGGTTAACCTTTCAAACGGTCTCCTCGTGCATGGCGGAAGGACGTCCCCGTCTGCTACTACGGCCATGCTGCACCGTTACGAAACCTAGATGTCCACAATATCCTACCTGGATGTAAATAGGACGGTACCTGACCCGTGTTCCAAGCTGAGGCGGGTTACCGTGCTCCCCTCTGGTGGGTTCTTCTGCTTCTTCTACTCAAACCTACTCCGAGACGAGCTCGTGCACGATGACTCCCACCAGAGCGCAGGTAACGAGTCGTCCAAGCGCGTCGATTTCACATTTCCGTTTCTGACTGAGAACCCTCGAGAGCGGGCGCACCCGCCAAATAATCTGGGTCAAAAATGGAGCCACCTGTGGTACGCTTCAGCCCGCGCAGTCGGTTGACTCGGGACTACACGCTGGATGACCACATACCCAGCAACCGCGTAAGCGGAGGACCGATGGGTCTTGATCCCGACTTCAGCCTTCCACTTCAGCGCCCCGGCTTGGAGCCACGGTCCGACACGATCAAGTCGACGGACAGCAGAAACAGTGGGAAGCATGAGCATGGTACAAGAACTCCGACAGGACGAGAATCTGCTGAATCTCGCGACTTGGAGTCAAGCGGACACAATGGTGACAAAGAGAACCGAGAGCAGCTGCGCAAGCTCGATTTCAACCTCGAGGCCATCGAAGAGAAGAGCACGTATGAGCCCTCGGTCAGCGAGACCGTGTCGCGAGCGTCGCAAAACACCAGCCTCACAACCACGTCGGCCAACAACCGGCTTCCCGACTTCTTCGCCCCCGACGTCTTCCAGGTGGTGCTGCACAACCCTACGACGGCGCATCAACTACTCAAATTCAGCCGGTCGAGACTATGCGGCGAGAACATGGAGTTTCTCGACAAGGTCGACAAGTACAACAGCCTACTAAACGAGGTGGCCAAAGCCATGTTTGAGATCCACCGCGACTACATCTCGGTCAACGCCGACAACCAGATCAACATCCCCGAGAGCTTGCTGATCAAGGTCAACCGCGACCTCAAGGCCGCCCTTGCCTCGACGCTCCCGAAGCTAGAGACCGTTTTTGTGGACTCGCAGAACGAGATCGAACGCCTCGTCGCCATGGACATCTATCCGCGGTTCGTGCGCCACCAGATGACCATGAGCGCCGCCAAAGCCCTGTCCGGCAATCGGGCCAAATACGCCGGACTCGGCGACTGTTTCGTCCTGACCGACCCGGCCAAAGCCGACAACCCCATCGTATATGCCTCGGACGGCTTCGTCAAAGTCACGGGCTACACCCGCAAGGAGATCATCCCGCGAAACTGCCGCTTCCTGCAATGCCGCAACACGGACACATCGGCCATCAAGAGGCTGCGCGAGGCCATCCACGCGCGCCAAGAGTCGGTCGAGTTGCTCCTGAACCAGAAGAAATCCGGCGAACCGTTCTGGAACCTGCTCTACACGACGCCGCTATTTGACGCGGCGGGCAACGTCGTCTTCTTCCTCGGCGGCCAGATCAACTGCTCGACCACCATCCACAGCGCGTCGGACGTGCTCAGGGTGCTGGCGCAGACCAACGACACGGACGAGGATGCTGCCAATGGCATTATCTCTGCCGGGGCGTCGAAAAGTTCGTCATCGCTCAAGAACAGGTTGAGGAACCCTTTCCGGAGTAGAGCCGCGGTCGAGCCCTACCAGTCGCCAGGCATGGAGGACGGCCTGCTGAACAAGATCGAGAAGATGAATCTGCGCAAGCAGATGGACACGTTCTACACGGCTTATTCGAAGGTGGGTACCCGCATCCGCGCCAATATGTTCTGCTATGCTATGTCATGTTCTGCCATGTCTGGCGCATTCCCTATCCCCGGGTATCAAAATCTAACTGACTTCTCCGTCGCGATTTAGTACCTCGTAATAAACTACACGACATTCTACATCTCATTCCACTCTTCCGGCATCGCGAGCATGCTCTACCCTGCCAAACCGAACCCTTACCAGACACGCAACAACACCAACAGCCCAACCCCCAACGTCAATACTCTCTCCAAGCCTCAACCGCATCCCCTGTCCCCATCCAACTCATACTCCGGCCCAGGTGGCGGTGCACGCTCAGGCCCAGGTTCTTCAATCGCGGACCAAATCATCGGCACGGACATCTTCCGCTTCCTAGCCAGCCACTCGGCCGGCTCGAAACTCAGCTCGGACTTCAAAGCCCGCGTCCGCGCCGCGCTCAAGCACGGCAACGCCGTCAGTCTGGACGTCACGCTGTGTACGAGGCGGTATATGGGGTTTGAAAAGTTCGTGTCGCATTGGACGCCGTTGAAGGGGGAGAAGGGGGAGGTCGGGTTCGTGGTTGTTGCGTTGGGGGGTGGGGGGGAGTAAGCTTGCGAGCCCGGGAGCAAGCGCGAGAGAGGGGGAAGGAGGGTGTAGAGGAGGGAGGTAGGGAGTAACGGAGGGAGCGGGCGAGGGAGTAATTGACGACATACTTGAATTGACTTGACCAGCACCAAAGGAACAGGGTGACTTGGAACCAACTGATGGGACCGAGGCAGGGCAGGCCAGAGCAGGCCAGAGCAGGGCACGGCATGGCATGGGATGGCTGAGCTACTGCAAGCAGAACCCAACCGAGCAGCGAGCGTGTTGTGTTGTATTGTGTTGTATTGTATCGTGTGGTGTTGTGTGTTGTACTTTGCGAGAAGCGGTGCGTTTACCCCTATTGTATAATACTGTACCTTATCGCGTGGGAGAGGGAGAGGGACGGGAATGAGCACCGCCGTCATAGCCTTGTGTACTAGCATGTATACGATCGGGCCGTTGGTCCTGTTCCTCCCACGCACAGTACACACAGTATCCCTACCAGGGACAGGGACAGGGATAGGGACGCGCTCCTGGATCATTCCCCAGGTACAGTAGTTAAGCCACTAAGTACAGGTGTCATGGACCGCGTGCCACCGCGTTCATGACAAGCATACCTATAAGCTAAGAGGTCCAATATTGCAGCGTAAATTCAGTCTCTTGTCGTGATCCCGCGAGGCTGTGGACCTCTCCTTAGCAACGGGACCGTAATCACTGCCTAAGGTATGCTCTGTGGCTTTCTCCCTACCTACTGTAAGTACCTTTGGTATGTTCTAGCCGTGGGCGGTCTACGTGACCTCGCTGTCCTTTCGCGCGATGTAAGACAAGTAGCGAGTACAGTCTTGTGTCGTGTCGTTGTTGCGTTCCAAGGTCATCTTGTTTGTTGTTGGTCTCAAGTACAGAGTATATTAGGGGTTGGTTTTATCGGTCCTGGTCTTGGTTCACCAGTATGAGGATGCCATAATCAGCATGCATGCATGCATTTACTCATACATTCATCCACCACCGCAGTACTCAAGGTACGATGGATCTTCAATAACGAAGCCACGATGGATCTGAAATCGGTAAAGCTACGACAGATCCGGGGCTGGGTCCCCCGCGGGTACTTATACTACTAAGCACACTATACCTTACAGTAGAAGAGACTGTATCGACCGACTCTCCGCGGGGCTTATCGCCTGCCCTGTTTTCCAACTATGCTGCTGCTGTAGCGAGGTTGTCACCTGCCCTTCAACCCAACTATGCTGGTACTGTCGCCAAGCGAGGTCGGTTGGTTGCACTCCCCAACATCAGCCGCGCACCTACATCACATCCACAGACATAACTTCCCGCTCGCAGTCCCTCCCGCGATCCAGTCGTTGGAAGGATGAAACACTGCGACGGCAGGCACGGCTGTGATGCCCTCGCCGCCGAGCTGGGCGAGCTGGTCGCCGTTTGCCGCGTAGACGTCGACGAATCTTGACGGCAGGTCAGAAAATGGGAAGGGCTCAGATAGTGGCGACGCTCAACTTACCGGTTCATGTTTCCTACGACCAGTTTCTGGATATTGTCCTGGGGATACATCTGCCAGCGTGGCTTAAGGATGGTTGTCCACCGGCCGCTGGGATCAAATGAATAGTTCAAGTCAGCTCAGCTCAGCTCGCGACTCTGACAAAATCCAGGGGGACAAATGTTCAGGCACACGAGGGACTTACGTCTGGTTATTATGTCGGATGACGACCTCGGGCTTCATGGCCTCGTCCGGCAGTTGAAAGCCAGCCTTCCATTCATTCATGTTCATGCCTTGCGTGGCCACGTCTGCAGTCGGCTTCGCACCCACGCCAAAGGAATGGATCTTGATGGTATCGTCGTAGCTGGTTGTGGCCACCTGGCCCGCCGTATTGAACGCTGCATGGCTGACACTCAATCTACTCTCGTGCTCGCCCACCGGCGTGGGCATCTTCTTCGTCAGTTTGCGCAGATCCCACAGCCGAAGGAAGCGGTCAAGCGACGCCGTGGCCGCGTAGTGCGGCAACAACGGGTGTAAGCTGAAGCCGCCGATTTTCTTCTCCGACAGCTGGAAGAGCTCGGCCGTACTGGGGGCGGCGCGCGTGTCATACCGCCCAAACGCGCCGTTGAGGGTCGTAAAGTACAGAGTATTGGGATCCGTAGAGGACATGTCCACGCCGGAGACGGGCTCGTCTTCCTCGCGGGACGAGGGCCCGTACACTTCCACAGCCAGGGACTTCGTCAGGTCGGTAGCTCGGATGGACGAGTCGTACGACGCCGTGTAGATCGTCTCGGGCTTGGACGGGTGTGTATGCATTGCGGAGATGGTCCTCGTATGTGGCTTGATGTGCGTGATCTGGGGGTCTTGTACATCCTCGTCCTCATCTTCATCCTCTTTTTTAAGGCCAGTCACATCCTGCGACGCGTCCACGATCCCCAATGTGCCTAATTTGTCGCCAGCAAAGACGATCGGTCTGGTCGTCGTGGGGTGGAACGCCATGCTGTAGATCCTCTCCGGGGTGATCTTGATGCGATTCGGCTCCCACGCGTCCCAGAGCTGCAGGCCGCTCATCCTCTGCCTGAGCGCCTTGAGATCCTTGTCGCTCGTCTCGTGGATCTGCCGTTCGTCGAAAGTGCGTGCGTACGGCGTCGCCACGCCCTTGAGGAGCACATCGGTGCCAATCAGGCTTGAGCCGTCTGTGGCTGTCCCAGTGCCGGAAAAAGATAAATCGCCCGTCACGCGCTGCCGTCTCGCCCTTTCGACTTCCTTGACCTTCTCGTATTCGACTTCTGCTTTCTGCTTCGCGACTTCACTGTCCGCCTGCAGGCCGGCGAGTCGAGAACTCGTCCGTCGCGGCACGATTTCCGCCGCTTCCTTTTTCACCCTTTTGGCTGGAGGGCCCCTGGGTTTTGCTGTTGCCGTGCGTTTCTGTTGGACGACAGGGGGTTTTGTATACAGGCCTGCGGACTGGGCTTCTTGGGTCAGTTTCTTGAGGAGGGCGTCGCGCTCGGCGATGTTGGCGAGGCGTTGCTTTTCGAAGTCGGAGGGTTCGGCTTGGGTAGTCTGGGCGCGAGCCATATTAGAGGAGTCGGCGAGCCTGTACGGCTATGCGATGGCGGGCGGAGTGTGCTGTGTGATTGCTACAGACGTGTTCAATGTGTGGACTCGAAGGATGCCGCGATGGGACGCGAGACCGAGACGCGGATCGTGTACATAACGTGGCTGACGGTCATTTATATCTGCCAGCACAGCCCAGAGTCCGCTTCTTGCCCTCCACCACAGATAAGTTCAAGGATATAGGGGAATATCTGAATTTATGTTCCCTTCAGACGCATGCTCGGAAGCAGTGAAATTAATGTCGGACGTATAGGCGATGGCTATCTTCTGAATTATGCGGCCACAAAATCCACATTTTCGAGCGAGAGCATATCCGACCAGATCACACCTTCTATCTGAGCCCAAAACTCCTCCCGAACACGCACCAGTTCGTGAGCCTGAGGAATCACCGATTGGATCCTTGCCCTTACCGTCTCGTAGGAAAGTATCCCGTGTCGCCAGCAGATTTGGGCAAGTCGATCCGTGAACCAAGTCTGCCGTTCGGCGTCCTTGTTCGAAGCTCGCCACCCGAGGAAGAGTGACCATAAGAGGACGGCGAGTCTGTCCTCTTCCACGCTGATACTACCCTCTTGTTCAAGGAAGACGAGCAAGGTTCCCAGATGTCCCTGCAACCGGCCGCAGAGCCTCTTGTACACAATGGGGGCTGCAAGGTCTCGAAGAGTCAGGTAGGAGAAGATGAGCGATCCAATGCCAATGATTTTGGACGTAAGATCCTGTTTGAAGTTGTCATTGCGTGAGCTTGTCCTTGTCCCAATGTCGAGCTGGGGGGTTTCCGAGCGATTCAGAATGGAGTACTCGAGCTTCCAAAGCAGGTTGCTGAAGATACGACACAACTCTACATTGCGCTTCATCAGCAGAGAGACTTTCAGTGACGACAGGATCCGGAGTTGTCGAATCATGTCGCCTACATCTGGAGGCAGATCTTGCAGCACGATTCCCGTGGGCAGCTCGCCTAGTTCATCACCACTAACACCTGGGTCGATTTCTTCGGCCGAGGCTTCCTGCACAACGGCTGGCATTTCAACCTGGAGGCATGTTCCATGCATGGCGGACTGGAGCAGGTCAGCCCATCCTGCCACCCTCTGAATGTGTCGATTCGAGGTCAACATCCCCATGCCGTCGCGCATTGCGATGAGATGGCTCAACGCCTGAGAGTGCGCCGATTGGGTCTCGGAGGACCACTCGAAATGGTTGTCCGAGCTGGAAAGCAGCGCCACCGCGCCAATGGTCTCATCACTGAGTGACTCCCTCAGGTTACTCAACCTGCGGGCAACGATCCTCATGGCCTCGCCTCTATGCTTGAAGTAGACATTCGACAGGTCGACTGAGAAGCAATCCCTTCGGTGGATCGCCACTAAGCTCAGGGTGGCGTGGATGATGGCTGGATCCATCAGCGCGACGGAAATCCACTTGGCTTCGGGATTGCAAGCGTACGAGTTGGCCCAAAACGCAGTCTGATAGTACTGGAGAAGGTTTTGAGTATCCGAGTCCGAAAGATCGACTTCCAACGTGCAGAAGGGATCCGTCATGTCTAGATCGTGGAGTGATGAGCGTGTTGAGCTTCGGTCGTCCGCGACACCAGGTGCAGGAATCAGTGGACGTGGAGTCCTACTTCTCTCCTCACTTCCTCGCTGCCAAGCCGTTGCTATCTTTCTCTTCCTCGGCCGCGCTGCTGATGCGCTCCAGCTTGTTCGAAAGCGTGATAGGTGCGACCTCATCTGATCACCAACCTTGGCCGGAGTAAAGCTCCATGTTGGGTCGCTCTTCTGCCTCAGGTAGTCTCGCATCACAAACGCACGTACTGAGCTGCGTTCTTTCTTGTCCGAGCTTGAATGCGACTTTCGACCGCTGACGGCCACGAAGTGAAGTTCACGAATCGGTTGAACGCTGGCAGCCATGATGGAGAGATAAATGTAGTCACTCGGCTCAAGCAATGGTTACATTGTGATCGCCCTCAAGCGCCGAGACGAGCAGCAACCTGAGTTCAGCAGATCAAGTATGAAAAACCAAGGAAACCGTGCTTCCAGAGTGTCAACGGCACAAGTCAGTATTTGAGCCCGCAATCTGCACCCTGCCCCGTTAAAGAATAAAACGCCATCCCCACAGAGTTGTAACCGTACGAGGTGGTAATGGCCGCAATTCCACGGATCACTCAGCTCTACCAGCGCCCCTTTCGAGCTGTCCGTTGCGGCTATTATCGTACTAAGGGACCCGTGGCTTACTCCGTATGGGCTTACCTGACGCATGCTGGCGCCTGATGAGTAAACAGCGCAGGCCTCCACCTCAGAAGATGAGATACGAGTCAGGTCATGCATCAGAACAGCCGGTCGCCGGCTATAATTCGAACTTCTACCGGTACCTTCTGGCACGCCTATTGGTCAGTTGGGCGATGCAAAAGGGACATGGTTGCGACAGCCTCCACCACCTATACGCCAATAAGTTGACTGTGAACATACCTGCATGAGGGGAGTATGTATGTCTCCATACTCACTACTGCGTGCGCGAAGGCCCAGGCACCACGGCCGTCCTCTCACAACGCCATTTTGACACCCCCAGAACGGCTAAGCCTTTTGTCTCTGGACCTCGGCTATCGCAAGCACGCATCGATTCCTTGTGCATGGGACGCAGGGATTGCTGAATGCTTGTACAGACGTCGCATCGAATATCTGAGCGCCTCTGCCAGCTTCATGGATTTGCGGGGTTGACTCGGTCTGGTTGAGCAAACCGGCTTTGGCTGGTCGCTAGGATTAATTAGGTTCGTAGGTCTCGCCACGCTGCTTGTGCCCATAAGGACCATGCGGCTGCGTATCCGGCGCCCAAAACCTGTGCGGTGATCGATGCCTCTGCCTTCACGCACACGACACACATTTTCCAAGGTGCAGATCCGTCGGCTATGAGCCGTTCCAAAGAGTTTCCGACTATAATCATAGAGGATGAAAGAACATGGGTTGACACTGCATCGGGAACGTCGTCTCCTTGGGGTCCGAGAGAAAAGTATTGAGGGCCTCAATATGGGGCACAGAGTTCCAGGCCACAGCTATCTTATATCGTTAGACTGTTAGCTGCAATCGGTCAACACGCGCCTGGAAAGTCGCATACACCAGTGTCGTATTATCTGTCAAATCTGGCTGTGGCAACTTGGTGGAAGTAAGCTAATGGCATGACCTTGGGACGATGTTCCTGGCTCACGACCACCGTGTACCCGCTTCACGAGCGACAATGGGCCCTTCCGTGTTCGAGCATGATCGAGAAAATTGCTGAAGCAGGAGTAGCCCCGGATATTCGACTTTGGTTGATGCAATATATACTTAGGCTTGTGGCATAATGTCTGGAGATGCCTATCGGTTCACTAATGCTTGATAAAACTGCACATCCAAGGCGAATAGCCAGGAAAATGGTTTCAAAGTATGTGTGCACACTCAGTCACAAGCGCATTGCCATAGAGATTGTCTGTATCACGCGAGGGTTGCTGGACAATTGTGGGTAATCCGATTGTTAATTTCAATCCACCGAGCTGTCAAACCGAAGGACAGAAACTGCCGATGCTCGTCGCTTTTCGTTGGAAACACCAGGACTCAAGCACTTCAACCGATCAAGCTTCCTTCTGGCTTTCAAGGTTACTGACATGCGCCAGCAGGAACTTGCAACAAGTCAAGGCATATTTGCAAGCCTTGGTGAAGTTTTCGTCCTGATGAAAGCCAACACCAAGCTTGATGGAGATACCGCCAATCTTATCACCTTCTATCGCGTATGGGAGGACTCTTTTTGTTGACGGGGCGCGAATGACCGCTGTTCTCGTGGAAGTTTTCGTGTTGTTGACATCAGTAGTGGATGCCTTTTCAACATATTTCCCAAGCTGTCCTAAGCAGTCGAGGAACGCCACCATGCCGCTGTCGAACCGACGATGATTGAGAAGACGCCCAATAGCCAAGTCACCGCTGCTGAACAGGTCCAAGGGCGTTACTTTGGGTTCAGGATTTGCTGAGGCTGAGTGCAGTCCACGATCCCGGCCTGTGGTCTGCCTCTGAACATCTGGAGACAGTTGAGGATATTCCAACTTTTCTATGCGGGAAGTGCTGCCTTGGGGACGTAAACGATAGCCTTGAAATGTGAATCCGAGTCGTTCTGCGACAGTGGCCAAGAGCAACAGGGTCTGACCCCATGCTGCATTGATCTCGGACCAGTCAACACTTTGACTTGGCAGTCGACCAAGGCGCAGACCGTTAATGGTACCAAAATAGCCGTCATGGCCGATGCAAAAGGTGTCGTTGTAGACGTTTGTACGCTGCAACCGCTCGAGGTGCTGGAAATCATGAGCCTGTTTCTCTCTGAGAAAGGTCAGGTGAGTCGTTGTTTGATATAGGGTGTCATCCGTGAGGTTGCGTGACGCCCAGTATGTCTGTTCCTCCGACTCTTCTTGTTGTATCTGGTCTTCTAGATCTGCTATCTCTGCCTCCAGTTTCTTGAGTTCGAGCTCTGTTTGTTCAAGCTGCTCGTATAGTGATGTGCCCGCCTTTTTCGCATCTGACTGTTTCTGCTCCTCTGGGAAGACAGTCTGTTGAATGGACTTGAGGAAGCCAGCATAAGCATCTCTTTCTCTGTTGGCGCTGCCTAGCCGCGTTGCATAGTGGGTCAACATTATTGAAGTGCACTCCTGGCACATTGGATGGTCAATGTCCGAATGGGAGGACAGGATAGCGAAGAGGTCTTCGACTTGATTTTTCTTTGTAGACATCTTATCGGCCTCCCTGTGATCCTCGTGACCTTCGCCAACTCCATTGCGCTGATCTCTAGTCTTTCGTTTCGCTTGATCACGGTGATCCCTATCTGTTAGAGCAACTTGCGACTGGGTGATCTCGATGAACGACATGTCAGTGTTGCCCTTGGAGTAGCCACCATTTCGAAGTCGCACTCCATCCTGAGGGGCGGGGATGGAGCGTTTGTGAATGGGAGAATTTGGCTGAGCAGAAACCCGGTCGTAGAGATCTTTGCGCTCCTGTGGGTAGTTCAGGCGCGAGATGGTCGTAGTCGAGCTGTTCGAATGAGATTTGCCTGCAGTGCCAACTAGCAAATCAAATGAAGCTGGGTTGAGCAGTGCTAGCGACGGGTCAACGTCAATCGGCTGTCGACAATTCTGGCAATATTCAGCCATGTTGGTATACCAGGGATTGAATGTATTGAGAGACTTGTGAGGGTCGAGGTGAACTGCAAGTGACGTTGGTGTGATCGCGACCAAAACGCGTGACGCGGCTACGGGGAACACTTCACTTTATCTTCACTTTATCTTCCCCTCATTCTTCGATTGCTGACTTCCATACAAACATCCACATTTAATCCATTCCGCGTCTGTCTGACTTGAGTGGCGCCATGGATGCATGCGACATGGACGAGCCCTTTCGGAAGAGACCGCGTCTCTCCATGTTTCCCTCAGACGATCAGCTGGACGAAGACCTTGGTGGCAGACGAAAGCGCAATGATCTGCTTCTAAAGTCGCGTTTCGAGTCTATTTTTGAAAAGTACTCCCACGACTTCTCCAGCATCGGCGATGAGATCGACATGGACTCCATGACTATCGTAGTCAACAATGGCCATCTACAGTCAATGGAGAACGAGACGGATCCGGGTGGCTTACACAACGAGAGAGGCCAGACGCTGTTGCGAGCCATGACCGAGACTATCAATGACGATGATGAGGTTCGCTACCACAACCCCGATGCGGATGAGGTCATGAACAGCATCGAGGAAATGGCTGAAAGTGCTGCCATGGCCGAAGACCAGGAGGAGATGGTTCCGATGGACAGCGATGAAGAACTGTTTCTGCCTGTACATGCGCGGCCTTCCTACATGACGCCTCCAGAGTCGACGGAGAGCCAGAACACCATCCAGTCCGACCTGACTAACTCCGATCACGATTCATTGTTCGAAGCGCCGCGGCCTCGGCATTCTTCCAGTCCTGATTCACTTTTTGAATCCAAACTCGAGTCAGGAGACTCAGATGCAACAGAACTCCATCGTGACTACACAAGTATGGACGGCGACGTAGACGACAATGCTATTCTGCAAAAATTTGGGCCACAAGTCGGCCGAGAAGTTCTCTCAGTCATACAGAGAGCTAGAAATGCTGCGTACCAAGCCCACATCGAACCAGCCTGGCGCATCCCGGCAAACGTCGCCCTTCTCGAGCAAGCTAAACCGAACTCAACATCCAGAACACCTCCAAGCACCATCTTTGCAGCTCCGGAAATACAGCGGAGTGGCTCTCCAGACCACAGCAAGTCATTATGGAAGGGCTCACGGTTTCGGTCTACTAGAAGAGCCGTGCATCAGGCTCGGGCGATAAGACGTATCCGCGCCGAGTCGGAAGACCCACTTCAAGAAGACTTTAACGACGTCGAAGAAGAGGATCAAACAGGCTCTAGTGACGAAGACAGATCAGACTGGGGAGACCAGGAGACGCCGAAGCAGAAGCGCAAGAAGGTCAAGGTGGACGAGCAGGTCCTACAAATGAGGGAAGCAACCTGCTACTACTGCCAACGCCACTGGAGTACTCGAACCGGCATGTTCAACCACTGGACCAAGTTAGCAACTCGGTTCGATAAAGGCGAACTTGATGAGGATGATGTACACGACCTGGAGTATATTCACGCTTACGTGGCAAACAGTAAAAGAGCACCCAAGGGGCCTCGACTGATTGTCTCTGACTTCAAAACCCTGGTCGAGCTGCATGAAGGTGCCGGTATCTCATTCGACGAGATCGCAGAACTTCGAGCACTACGGACCAGAAAGACAGGCATTGCTTTGAACGACGTGTATGACCGATATCGCCTCATGACAGACAACTCTCCGTCCGAGTCAGCAGACTGGTCGAAACAGGAGCTACAGACTCTGCACCAACTCTGCCAGAACCCCAAGCGAGACATGAGTGGCTTTGCCTCTCAGTTTGAGAACCGCAACAATACAGACATCGGGAACAAATTGGCTGAGATCTGGTTGGCTGAACTGATAAATTCAGGTCAGGTAGATGCCAAGGCCGTCCAGGAGCAGAAGACAAGCATGTATGACGGTATTGATGGCGACCGCTCGAAGCATCGTCGCAGAGCACTATCGGTCGATGAGCTGTTCATCAAGCAGGAACCCGGATCCGATGAAGAGCTTTTCGGCCAGAGTTGATGCCCAGAGATCTTCAGTCCAGCTTTCTGCCCTCGAGGATGTCCTCGACAGTTGTGCGTCCTTCTCCCCCGATATCACCTATCTGTCCCCAGAACTTTGATAGATGGCGATTGCCGGAGTCGCACAGGATTGTGACCACTGTATGGCCGGGGCCAAGTTCGAGTGCTGTTCGCAGGGCTGCAACGCCTATATTCGAGTATCAGCGAAGTTTCGTCTAGCTTTTTCCCTGGGAACATGTGCCCGAAAGCATCTGGCCCTGAGAAGCGAGCACGGAACCAAGGGAAATGGTGGACACTCACAGTTCACGGCACTACTGCTGCCGACGAAAATGCCGTCCCGCTCTACCAACCACCGCGCCATATTCATGGCCTGTTGATCAGTAACTTTGATCGCATCATCGATTAAATCCCTTCCCCGCTCAAAATTCACGGTCGAGCGCGTCAAGCCTATCCCCTCAACAATGGTGTCTACTTGGTCTCTCCGTCTTGTGCCCTCTCGTTCCAACGTGTGGAACATAACCCCATGCTTGATCTTATTAAAAAGACCGCTGCCCTGCGGATCGGCCAGTATAACTCTGATATCTGGGTTCTGCTGCTTGAGATATGCCGCCACCCCAGAAATCGTACCTCCAGTGCCGGCACCCGCACAGAAAGCGGTGATGTTTCCAGCACACTGGCTATAGATTTCTGGGCCGGTGCCTTCGTAGTGGGCGCGCCAATTCGCCTCTGTTTCGAACTGGTTGGCGAAATAGCCTCGGCCCTGTCTCGTTGAGTCTGCGGTATGCTGTTTCGCCAAGTTCCGTGCGCGGTTGACGAAATGCTCCTGGTCGACGATCGGGGCAGGCGGGACTCGCTCCACCACGGCACCGAGTTTAAGCAGAAGATTTGATTTCTCGTGGCTCTGATCGTTCGGCATGCAGATGTGCGCTTGGTAGCCTTTCGCTCGGCAAAGCGTGGCGAGGCTGATGCCTGTGGACCCGACAGTTCCTTCGTAGATGGTGTCCCCTGAATGGGGCGTGAGGAGGCCGTCTCGCTCAGCGCGCGTGATAATGCTGAGCGCCACCCGGTCTTTGGGCGAGAAGCCTGCGCCGTTGAGGTGTTCACACTTGGCGAGGATTGTGCACTTTGTAACCTCACTGAGCGAGGGGATTATGATCAGGGGTGTCGAGCCAATGGTTGACTCTATGCCGCTGCCGATCGGGGACGGAGCAATCTTGTTGATCCCGGTGGAAGAGATGGTGTCTTCTGGTTGGGCTTGAAGCCGAGTCCTGGAAGAAGACCTGGATTTTGAGGTGTAGTATTGCCGGACATGGTCGACGATTACAGCCAGCGCGATGCCAGAGGCGATGCCGACCAGTAAAGAGCGTCCGGACCATTGCATCGTTACGAGTTTCTCTTGTTGCAGCAGTGTCCCGGGCCGGTCTTACATGCACAAGTGCTAGACTGATATATAACTGGAGTTGTCCGTTGGCCTTGTGAGATTATTCGCTAGCACTGGCTCGTACCGGACGAGGCTGACAGCCAGCCTAGAGATCAAGATAGAGTTCTGTAGCTGGACCCCTCCTGCTTTCACTGATGTCTCATGCCAGCATGCAGGCCGCGGACCTGTTTTCGATTTGGTCGTTCATTCCTGTCTGTTGCACAGCGAACTCGGATAATCAGCCACGACTAGCCTCTTCATACCTGCGTTTTTAATGTTCCTCCGTCTTCATCACTCGTCGAGTTGTGTATAAGCCTGTCGCACGATAGGGTTTGCAATGACACCACAACCAATATGAGAGCCTCACAAGATCCCTGCTCCATCTGGGAGGACTCGGCTCAAGAGCCGAACAGCAGCATGGCTGAAAATATCCGCCGTAGCAGCTTCAAAGGATCCGCAGTAGATTTCGACCTTACCGAAAACGCATCTCTACCACTTCTCCGCATTCGATTCCAATCCCGGTAATGCCAGCAGGCCGTTGGCAGAGTTCCGCGCAGCCCAATTTCCTGGCAGCGGTGCCTAGGGAGTAAGGTGGCTATTGTTCTGGTCGAGTCCGCAAGCGGTCGACCGCGCTTCTGATCCTCCTCCGATGGACTCGCCCGCCGTGACCCGGATCTTCCAACAGCTGTTCGCGAGACCATCACGGAAGTGCCTTCGCCTACAATGCGCACACCAGCAAGCACGGCTGCGTCCAGCATGCCAACCGGCTCACCAAATGCGGGCATACTCTCTCCGACGGAAAGAAGACGAGCCTGGAGGCGGTAGTACATGGCAGCAGAGGATCGACGCCTTCCCCAAGGACATGTCGAAGCAGCTGAAGGAATACCCCCGAGTTACCGCCCATGACCTACGGCACAGGACGCAGCGTCCGCGTAGAGTGAAGATGCTGACGAGGGAATTCATCGATGGTGGGCAAAACAAGCTATATTATCCAGGTAGCAGACTAACCAGGCACACAGACAGCCTGTATAATCCAAATTACGGCTACTTCACAAAGCACGCTACAATCTTCAATGCAGGCCAGCCCTTTGACTTTCGCTCGATCAAGGACGGCGCCGAATTCAATCGTCTGGTCGACCAAGGATACATCGACTTCGAAGATGCCTTGGACGAGATCGAACCCGACGAGACCCGCCAACTCTGGCATACCCCCACCGAACTCTTCCGTCCCTACTACGGCGAAGCCATTGCGCGGTACCTGGTGACAAACTACAAAATGACCCTGTTCCCCTACCATGACCTGATCATCTACGAGATGGGCGCCGGGAACGGGACCCTCATGCGCAATATCCTGGACTACATCTACGAACACGAACCCGAGGTCTATTCGCGCACGCAGTTCAAAATCATTGAGATCTCCTCCTCGCTTGCAGACTTACAGCTCACCAGTCTCCGACGGTCACCATACGCTGCAGATCATTTAGGCCACATCCAGATTTTGCACCGGTCCATCTTCGACTGGACAGAGTACGTCCACTCGCCGTGCTTCTTCCTCGCGCTCGAAGTCATAGACAACTTTGCGCACGACTCCCTACGCTATGACCCCGAGACCGAAACCCCGCTCCAAGGCAGTGTCCTCATCGACGCAGACGGCGAGTTCTTCGAGTTCTACGATCGAAATCTGGACCCTTTGGCGTCACGATACCTTCGGGTTCGAGAAATCGCGGCTCGGTCGCCCATTATCACGCCCATCACACAATATCCTAGGTTCATACGGCGGCTTCGGCATGCCCTACCTTTTGCCCCGAATCTCAGCGTCCCGGAGTATATCCCGACACGGTTGCTCCAGTTCTTCGACATCCTCGCCGCCTATTTCCCTGCCCATCGCCTAGTGCTATCCGACTTCAACTACCTGCCCCCGTCCGACACTGTGCCGGGCTTGAACGCCCCCGTGGTGCAGACCCGCTATCAGCGACGCAATGTCCAGGTGTCCACGCCGTTCGTGCATCAGGGGTTCTTTGACATTTTCTTCCCCACGGACTTTGCCATCATGGAGGATGTCTACCGAGCGGTCACGGGCAAGTTGACGCGGGTGTGTAGGCATAGGGACTTCCTAGAGAGCTGGGCGGATTTACGCGAGACGGAGACGAGGAATGGAGAGAATCCCATGTTGAGCTGGTATGGCAATGCTAGCGTCATGACCACTGTGTAGTATACCTGTTCTCCATTAGGCGGAACTGCGAAGGAGACCACGAGCTTTGAAAGTACCAGAACATGTGAGTCGGGATATGCATGCACAACCGCATGCTTTTCCATTGACCACATTTCTAGTGCGTTCTAACTATATTTTGGACCTCATGGGGTGGGCTGCGCGCTGCACTGACTTCTAGAATCGTCCAGGCGTAGTTGTGGAGAGCCACACTTGTAGAGACATCTGCGCAGAGTCGTCGGAGAGTGGTATTTGTCTTCTGAAGGAGGCCTCATCCGTCCGGTATCGACTCGTAAGTCGTCGTGAAGAGTCGACAGACGCTCCCGTAATCTCAGCCTTGAACTCTAAATGTCCTGCCGCTCGCGGTCTTCCTCTCCTTTTCTTCCGTCTCGGGTCTGGCACGGTTGAGAACTAGTGCACGCACCGTGTCAGCCGAGATGCCGCTCCACATACAGATAGGGGTCAGTATGTAGCACTCACCTTGCAGGAAATCAGCCGTCCTCCGCCGCATGCGCGAGTGGATGTACGCCTTTGACGCCTTGATATGGTAGTGGAAATAGTCGCGGAACGTCTGGATATGCGAGATGACCTCTTCCCGGCGTTGCCGCGTCAGATGTCGAGGGAACAGCACTGCCAATGTCACATCAGCGCCAGCTCGCGGCAGCCCGCCCGCACATATGGCTTGCAATGCTTACCGAACGTGATGAAGCCCATCTCGCCTTTCTCGCCCGTCTTGCCCACGCCCCTCAACCCCTGCAGCTCCAACGGCGGATCACTCCTGAACAGCACCTGCGGGGCGTTCTGGATGGCGCGGCGCCTGGCGTCCACAAACTCCTGCAGAAACACCTTTGCGAAGATGCGGTCCACGGCGTCCGTGAACATGGTGGAGAATATCACGGTCACGCGGTCGTGGCTGGCCTTGATGTAGATGGCTTCTTCCTCGCGGTAGTGGATGGCCATGACTTGGCCGCCCTCCGCGACGCCCTGGGGTGCCGACTCTGACGTGTATTTCGCGGCTTCTTCGGCGAGGGCGGCGAACTCGTCATACGCCCGCTCGAACGGCGCGGCCATGACGTTGCGCTTGAGCAGCGAGATGCGGCGGACCAGGTCTTCTCGTTCTTCGGGCGTGGGGGGCAGGTTGTCGAGGTTGACGAGGATCGAGAAGTCATAGCCCGCTTCCGTGGTCGTGATGTAGTGGCCGTACTCGCGCTGGAGGACCTGCTCCGCCCCGTACTCGACGAGTTCTCGGTAGCATTTTATCGACAAGGAGATGAGGATCTCGGATTTTGAGGTAGGGGTCGAGATGTGGAATGTTACGCCGTCAAAGTCGGACACGACCTGGTCGATGGTCGAGGGCGGGGTGGTGCCGGAGAAGCGTTCGGTGAGGAGGGACTGGATCAGCACATTCTGGTAGTCGAGGAGAAGCATTATGCCGCTCAGTAGCTAGGGCGCGGACGAGGTGGGCATGTAATTCAGGTCTACAACAAGGCTGCGGGGAGGTGCCTTGTGCCTTGTGCCCATAACTGGCGCTTGTCAGCAGCGGCGGCAGCATCGCAGTCAGTGAACGCATCGTGGGTGGGTCCGTGACGGCTTGGCGTTTATGTAATCGTGCTTCTCCGCATTCAGTTCAAGAAAAAGTTGTCCGACTTTCATCGAGTTTGCGCCCGCAACTGCTGCACCATGGTCAAGTCATATTTGTAGGTTCTGGCTCGCGGTATCGGCTCTCTGCACTGTCGCTGACTCGTCTAGGAAGTTTGAGCACAGCAAGACCTTCGGACAGATCTGTACCACCGCCGCGAATGTTGTCTGGGATCCAGCGTCCGACCATGAAGACTCGACGACGGGCAGAGGCGGCGCGGGTTGTGCATATGTCGGCGCAAACGAGGATGTCCTGGTGTGGGAGCTGAAGAAATCAGAAAAGATTCGGGAATGGCACGTCGAGGACAACAATGCTCTGGTCACCGTGATACACCGGAGTCAGACGGACCCAGACATTTTTGCCGTGGGCTACGACGATGGGAAGATTCGAATATGGGACGCCAGGACTGCAACGGTCATCATCACATTCAATGGACACAGGACGGCCATCTCGCAACTCACCTTTGACCAGTCCGGAGTCCGGCTGGCGAGCGGCTCGAAAGACACCGACGTTATCGTATGGGATCTGGTGGCAGAGGTCGGCTTGTACCGCCTGCGAGGTCACAAGGATCAGATAACGTCCCTCAATTTTCTTTCCGCGGAGGATGCACAAGACACTACCGACGAGACCTCTACTACGCACGGTTTCCTCTTGTCCACTAGCAAGGACGCCTTGATCAAGGTTTGGGATCTGTCGACGCAGCATTGCGTCGAGACACATGTGACACAGACCAATGGAGAATGCTGGGCGTTAGGCCTCACAAAAGACAAGACTGGCTGCATTACCGCAGGCAACGACGGAGAGCTCAAGGTCTGGTCGATCAATGAGTCCGTTTTGCAGGAGAAGCTGGGTACGAACATCCAGGAAGGGCGCAATATCCTACAGGAGCGCGGGGCATTGTACCGTCACGGACGTGATCGCCCGATAGCCGTGACTTTCCATCCCACGCGCGACTTGTTTGCTGTCCATGGAGCAGAGAAAGCCGTCGAGTTACTGCGAATCAGATCAGAAACTGAGATCCGGAAATCCCTTGCTCGCAAACGGAAGAGAAGAAAAGAAAAGGAGGGGCCAGCCGACGCGGACTCGGGCGTCGATGTCGCTGATGATGCAGAGGAGGTGGCTGACATCTCCACAGCTACTGTAGCGGACGTTTTTGTTCCGTACGTTATCGTACGAACGGGCGGTAAAGTAAGGTCAATAGACTGGGCAGGCGGTAAATCCGGCAAATCGGTACAAATACTGGTCTCTACGTCCAACAATCAATTAGAGCTCTTCGATGTCTCAGCATCCGAGAAGAGAAAGAAATCCTCCGAACCCCCAGACTACAACAGAACACTTTCAGTCGACATGCCAGGTCATCGCACCGACATACGCTGCGTGGCTCTCAGTTCTGACGACCGCATGCTCGCCACAGCATCACAAGGGAGCTTGAAGATCTGGAACACAAAGACTCAAACCTGTCTGCGTACCCTGGACTGCGGACATGCCCTCAGCTTAACATTCTTGCCCGGCGATAAGATCGTCGTTGTGGGCACCAGGGAAGGAACCCTCGAAGTCTTCGATATCGCGGCCTCAATATTACTTGACACAATCGATGCCCACGAACGAGACATATGGTCGATACAGGTCTCGCCCGATGGAAAGTCGCTGGTCACAGGTTCGGCCGACAAAAGCGCCAAATTCTGGCAGTTCAAAGTCATCCAGGAGGAAGTGCTGGGCACGACTCGAAAGACATCCAGACTCACCCTCGTGCACACCCGCACGCTCAAAGTCGCCGACGACATCCTCTCCGTGTGCTTCTCGCCCGACGAACGCCTCCTTGCCGTCTCAACTCTCGATTCGACCGTCAAAGTCTTCTTCGTCGACACGTTGAAACTCTTCCTGACCCTCTACGGCCACAAACTCCCCGTCCTCTCCATGGACATCTCCTACGACAGCAAACTGATCGTCACGTCGAGCGCCGACAAGAACGTCCGCGTCTGGGGCCTCGACTTCGGCGACTGCCACAAGGCCTTCTTCGCGCACAACGACAGCATCCTCGCTGTGAACTTCGTGCCCACCAACAATGAAGGCAACGGGCATCATTTCTTCTCCGCCTCCAAGGACCGTGTCATCAAATACTACGACGCCGACAAGTTCGAGCAGATCCAAAAGCTAGACGGGCACAAGGGCGAGATTTGGGCCATGGCCGTCGCTCACACGGGCGACTTTCTCATCACGGCAAGCCACGACAAGACCATCCGCACGTGGACCCAGACCGACGAGCAGATCTTCCTGGAAGAAGAGCGCGAAAAAGAACTCGAAGACCTCTACGAGACCACCCTCCTAACCTCTCTGGAGAACGACACCAACGAGCTTGCCGACAATGTTACAGAGGCGGGTCCCGCAGGCAAACAGACCGCCCAGACGTTAATGGCCGGCGAGAAGATCACGGAAGCCCTCGACCTCGGCCTGGAAGATCTGCGCACGATGCAAGCCTACGACGCGGCCCGCAAAAGCGGCCAGAGAGCTGCCGTTCCGCAGCGGAACCCGGTCTTCCTCGCCAACAACAACGTCTCGGCCTCTTCGTACGTGCTTTCTGTGTTTCAGAAAATCCCGGCCGCCTCGCTCCAGGACGCGCTTTTGGTGCTTAGCTTCAGCCAGATCCCCGCGCTGTTCACGTTCCTGGCGCTCTGGGCGCAGGAGGAGCGCGCCATCCCACTGACGTGCCGCATTCTGCTGTTCATGCTCAAGACGCATCAGCGCCAGATCGTCGCGTCGAGACAATTGAAGGGCATGCTCGAAGACGTGAGGGGGAAATTAAGGCGCACGCTCGTCAGGCAGAAGTCGGAAATGGGGTTCAATCTCGCGGGCCTAAGGGTGTTGGGCCGTCGAGTCCGGGAAGCTGCGGGGGAGAGTGAATTCGTGGATGAAGAGACGTGGGGCAGCGAGGCCCAAGATGCCGGCCAGAAGGGCAGGAAGAGGGAATTTGTGAATGTTGCGTAGAAACGGCGTAAGCCGACCGTGTAAGGCAATACGGTGATACGGAGGCACGTAGCCGCCGGTCTCGGGTGGGTGGCAGAGCAGGTCGGAATTTTGCCAAACCCGTCCATGTACTGGGTACCTAACACACCTTCAAATCTTCCTCGCACGACTCTGCGTCCATTGCAAATGTTGAAGCTTTCGTCAGTCTGCTTATCTATCTGGTCTCCGTACAGCATTGGCACCTCCGCGTTCGAAGATGCGCAAGGTGATTACTCCCGCCTGTTAACGTAGGCCGGTGCGAGACTAGGCAGCCGACGTGTCTGAAAATTAGGCATCCTTACACAAGGCAGCCTAGATAAACGGTCAATAGAGGTTCTGGCGAAGGCAGGCAGACGAGCGTCCAACAAGTCAAGCATATCAACAGGCAGCAGCAGGCAGCAGTACCTATCTCAAAGTCACACACCGAGACACCTCGTCACCCTTGCTTGCAGGTACCTCACCCCAAAAAGGTATAAGAATCGCTTCTTTATCCTCCTTCACCTTTTCTTTTCTTCCTCTCTCTCAACCTAGTGCTCGGGCTTTATCTGTGCGCGTGAGGCTTCCCGCCGATGCCAGATGTTTGCTACTTGAAAACTACCTGTTTGACCTAGCTTCATGTGGCCCTTCTGGGGCCGCGTGGGAATATTTGGATACCTATGTGTGCGAAAGCCCTTTTCATCGTGTTCGGCGCCTCGAGCGCTGAGGTGGAGAAGAGGAATTAGGTTTGTGAACTGCATTGAGGACGGGCATTCTGCAGGACCGTCTCTTGTCACACTGGATGGCTTGTATAGAGAGCCTGGAACGGAGACTTTGGCTGGAAGGATGAGTCAGAATGGTAGTTTGGCATAAGGATCCTAGTACGTCGAATGAGGCGCTCTTCTGTTGTCTGTGCCGCACGCTGGGCAAAGAACGCATATGCTATGGTGAGGACAGCTGGCCTACCAGCGAGAATCACCTGGAGTCCTTCGCGGAACTCTATGGCATCGGTTGACTCCTTGTTTGCTGTTTGAAGCAGGTGGAGCTCTCGTCTCACCGCCAGTCCGATAGCGACCGCGAATCTTTGCCGACAGGTCTCCGGCTCAGAGGCATGTTGTGGCGTATATCTCGATCGCTTGGCGGGTTGTTGAGCATCATGCGACTCCGTGACACAGCTGTGATGTAGCGATGGTTCGAAGTAGTTCGAGGTAGTGCTTACCATTATTGAGCGCACGCAGCTATCTACTCGTTTGATATGTAGGCTTTGTCGGAGGATAAGTCGGCAACTCTGTCGAGAAACGAGCGACGGCGTCGTTACAGAGGCTCGACGGCTGCGCATGCATGCAAGCTGGGTACGCTGTGTGCTTCGCCGCCTAGAAACCTCCCTCTCCGGAATAGCCAAGATGAGGAATAAATGGAAGAACATACCTTGACCTCCTTACAGATCCCGCGGCGTTACCGGCAGACGGCAGTGTCATCGGTTGGCCATGCGAAGGCTAGATACGCCGCATGCGCATGTACTTCCGGGTGCAGCTCGTTTGTGTGCTGAATCATACACTTCTGGAACACGCATATGGTGGACGAAGGTGCAAAGTCTATGACGTTGTTCCAGCTTAACACTTTCGAAAAGTGCGCCAGCGAACCCAGTTTTGGGTGGTGCCCTGTGCGGGGAGCGTGACTTCAAAGGATCTCAATAGGAAGAGTATGAGCTCGTGTCAAGTTCTGGTGACAGACAAAATCCGGATTCGAGGCAATGATCACCTGCTATGACTAGTCTTGCTGGCATTTCCAAGCATTGGGAAGTTCCCATCGAGTAAAATGGACCGCCAAGTGAAAAATCTAGAAGTTCGAGATCAGCGTGCTAAAGCTACAGTACAGTACCTTGTTGTCATTCGAGCTGCAGCTGTCATTCGAGACTCGTTTGGGTGGTCACTCAAGTCATTCGTCGACCGGGGCGGACACGGGCAGGGTGTATGGGAGACAGCATGGAGAGTTGCCATCCGGAAGTTGGGGCAGTAGAGAGGCTGTGGTGATAAGAGGTCAACATCTTGGGAGGTTCTGTCTCCACACGTCAGTATGACTGTCGAATGATCGCCAATCCTTGATTGAGCAATCGCCCAATTCCGGGGTTCCTTGTGGTCAGTACTCCGTATGGACTCCAAACACGCGGCTACTCTGCAGCTCTCACCAATAGACCGAACACGTTTAAGTGTCGGTGAGAAGGAAGACCGTGACGAGAATTGAGAACATGACAGGGACAAGCCCAGTTATGGCGGTTGCAGCCGATGTCAGCCACGGTCACACAAGGGCATGCATTCCTTGAAGATCCAGTACCATGGATAGTCGACGGGAGGCTGCATCGGCAGAAAGGTACTGAAGCAGCTGTTGTGTGGGAGGAGGGGCAGCGGTCGTCCCTATTCGAGCCTCATTCGAGCCTCATTCGCGCCTCAACAGCCAGTGTAGCACAATGCAGCTGAGAAAGGAAAACAGCCGCTGCGCGACTGTGACAAGAAGGGGGAAGGTGCGCCGGAGGGAATGAAAGAGCTGAGGTCGCCCGCGTAGACGCAGGACCTGGTATACCAAGAACCTGTGACTAGCCAACGCGGGTACGCAGTACCGTGCATTGTGCATGTGCAGCGGCGACGATGATTCTTGCAGGTTGACTTGACACCTGAAGCTCGTCGGGTTCCGGCCTGTGTAGTCCCACGTTCGTCGTTGCCTTCTGACTTGGCCATCACTCTCTTGTCACTTGATTCTCTCTCATTCACCTCTGCGCTTCTTCCATGTCCGACTACCCCCCGAGTGTCTATACAGCATCCACTTCTCGAAGACGACAACCCCACACTCCTCCGATCGCCCAGAGCAAACGAGGTCCAACAGCTTCCATTTGACCTCTATGACAAGAGACAAAAACTTGGCTGCCATATGACTTGTGCCAGATATTGCTGCGCCTCCTTCAAGCACCGGGACTCCTCCGTCAGCGACCATGATTAACCAACAATGAGGGCCATTCTCCAGCTGGATTCCTTTACTGCGTACTCCGTACGCCGTATCAACCTGCAATAACAACTGCATCGAGATACACAACCCATGAGCCTCCGCTGGGGAAAGGAGCGCTACCAAACAACTCGAAGCTGGTGTCACAGCTGGACAAGGGTCTGAGCTCCCGGCTGCACGTAACCAGATCTGGCACTGACCTCGGCCGAAGTCATGATCTTGCCGAACCAGAGTTTCGTTACCGCAGTCGAGACTGCACGAGCAGCGGGCCTATAACAAGATCTCCCCCTATAGAGGACCATCACCACCGCCTGTTTGTGGTTATCTCCACGAATGTGGCGCAAGGTCGTCCTGGTCGTCTGATGTCGCCGCTAACCGTCTCAGTCTACTGTGTAGAGTAGCTTTCCTGTCACTGGGCTCCGCCCGCCAGATCCGGAGAGATCGTGATCCCTGTCCGCCGGGCTCCATTGGCTCCCACTCTCGCCAAAGCCATCTGCAGCTAGTTGTGTTGGCCCAATCGTGAGAGGAATCGGCAAGGCCCCAACGGTCAAAAACCGCCCCAGCTGCAAGCCGTGGCATTCGCAATTTTAGTGACAGAGAAGTTTGACGTGAAGACCAAGATTTCGACCACTCACATTTCAGCGCGTCTCGAGCTCTCTGATCAAGCCCGCTGGACACGATGATTGTGTTTTTGCTTACAGGTGCTGTGGCCGTACGGGGTACCTCAACGAGCGATAGTTGCTAACTGGTCGTTGATTTCGTTGGTGATCGGGGACTAGCACTTGCCCAATTGCAGCAGACGCTCTCGAGGTCCGGAGGATACCTACCTCTATTACGGAGTACCTCCACCTGGGTTCAGCTGTGACGGTACCTTCGGCATATCCCGTTGGTAGTAATACGCGGTACACCTTGTCCGATGATTCTTCCCTTGGCCGCCTTCACCCGGCTGATCACCGTGGAGCATGCCATAGTTTCGCCGGCAAGACAACACCAGATTATTGCGCGGCCTACTGCAACTGATCAAGTATACGAAACCGTCCCGTACCTTCGAGGGGTAAAAGCACAAACTCTATCGCCCAGGGCTGTGAGGACGAATTTGTCAAAGCCTTAGTTCATCCTTGTCCTGGTCAGGTCGTGATCAAATGGGCTAGTCAAACATCCATGCACCAGATCGATCTGGTGGAGCTATGGCGTTTTGGCAAGCTCAAACTTTGCATTGCCTTTCCTGCGCATCAACCTCGCCCCATCTGGTCTCTGACAAGACGAAGAATATGGGTCTCAGACTCGAGAAGGGCTAGCGCTTCGTTCGATTCAGCGGCGTTGAGCAGGCTTAGAACTCTTTATCCTCGGACTGGTACTTCCTCCCATCCCTATCCGGCGCGACGCGGACTTTAGCCTGGCAGGTGCACTGACAGACTTAGGCGATGAACGGCACACCTGAGCTTAACCCTCTAAGGCATTCGTTAAACTTCGGGCTCGACACATCAGCGAACTTCTGGCACAACTGTCCTGGATCCGACCTGGGTGCTTTTCACCCGCCATCCCTAAAGAATCGGCTGGCATTCCGAAAAAGGACTTCGATGTCTCCTCAATGGGCATTGATGGCGCTCTGCTAGCTCGTGCTTCCAGCGCCTCTTCCCTGGACCCGGTGTTCGACTTCCATCCATCCCTCCAGGGCACCAACTAGAAGGACAAAACGTACCGGGTGTTCAGCTCTTCTATGTCCTTCGACCCGCAACGATTTCCGCTGTTCGTTCATCGGTCCAAGTCAACATTCACACTCTTGAGCCTCTCAGCTAGGGGGTGTTGCTCCGAGTAGGATATACAATAATAGCCTTTACCTGTTGTTGGAACAACAGTGCATATCAGGAATATCAGGAACGCCACTTTTTCTTACTTAGCCAAATCAGTTCTCGACCTCTTCAGGGAGCCGTGTCCCCGCTTCTATCCGACTTGGAATCCATCCTGCGCCTTGTCTGCGACATCCACCTGTGGGCAACAGGCAGTCCCCAGTATTAAGTTCTGCAGGCTCCCCCAGCACCGTCGTTACGAATAATAAGGTTACCGAGCCCAAGGAACGGGCCATTTTCCTTCGCTGGATACAACATACTACCTATATTGAACAGCGCCTCTTGAACAGTCCTTGTACACCTCTGTTGTACAAAGCTCCCAGTCTAGACTCTCTTCTTTCCTGCCTGAGGACGCTCTTGAAACCTCCCGCTAGCCATCAGCCAGAAGAGAATCATTCAGTTGCCACAATGTCTCGGTCCAGCCGGCGTGGGCCATGGTTGCCAGAAGAGGATGCCACGCTGCTGCATCTTGTCCGCACGCAAGGTCCGAACAATTGGGTACGAATCTCTCAGCACATGCAACATCGATCGCCGAAACAATGCAGAGAGCGCTATCACCAGAACCTCAAGCCCTCGCTGAACCATGAGCCTATTTCTGCCCAGGAAGGTGAACTCATCGAGCAACTAGTCCAGGATATGGGCAAGCGATGGGCGGAAATCGCAAGGAGGCTAGGGAACCGCAGCGACAATGCGGTAAAGAACTGGTGGAACGGCAGCATGAACAGGAGGAAGAGAAGTACCGTACCGCCAGGGGTCGCGTCGAAGGCCGTGGGATATCGGACGCAACCCATTCCTGCAGCCCCTCCTCCGTTGTCACTCCACGAGCATTTGTATTTGCGCAAGCAATCGGTACCAGAAATGTTCTCGGGCCCACCTCAATCTCACAGGCAGGGGCTCAGTGTATCGAGCATCTTCGCAGAGCCTCATCGATACAGTGTGCCTCCGCCGGCCGAAACTGATGGTCTCAAGCCTCGCCATGAGCACAGGCTCCTGTTTCACCCTCAGCATGAACAGCACAACACCAGCACAGGTTCTGATCAGAGTACTTCCTGGCTCTTATGCCCTGAACCGAATCCACTCCAGCGGCTCAATAGCTGGCCATCCTGTCGATCGGAATATCAACTGGCTCCGTTGAATCTTCCAGACCCGCCCGCACCTTCTCCTGCAGCCACTGAAGTGTCACAGGCGTCATCGCACCAGCAAGCACCGTCTCTCATCTCGGACAATCAGTCAAACTGTTCTATTTCTCCTAAGACGGTCACCTCTCTTCGAACAGGAATGCCTGCGACCAAGATCCCATCAATGGATAACTGGCCGGAGTTGCAGCGCAGAAATAGCACTGGAATCTGTTTAGATCATGACATCGATGGCAAGCGGATTCGGCAAAGTGAAGAAGACGACCGACAGACTCATCGCTCTGTGGAACCTCAAGAGCCTTCACTAGAGAAGGCCTCCTTTCTCTCACACTTGCCACGCCCAGTGCTACTTCCAGACCCTAGGAACCGTCAGCAGGGGCGGGAGCCAGTGAGTGACAGTGCGGTGACCAGCAACGAGAGGGCAATCTCTCCGCAACAGAAGGATTCTCGAATGACGGTCTCGAGTTTGTTGGACTGACGACACCCTCTCCGGGACACAAACAAAACGTCTCAAACGAACGACTTGTATCATTATTCCGCAACTCACACTGGTGGTGCAGGTTGTCCATTATGCTATGTGCTTCTATGATACCCAAAAAGGAGTCGGTGGCCAGGATGCACCATATCAAAGTCCTATTCATCTTGGAAAAGCTCCAGTGTACCAAAAGCTTCTGTGTGTGGCAGGATGGTCTTGTTTATATACGGAAATGCCTTATTGGCAGGGAATGGGCGGCGTTTCTCTGGTGGGCAAGCTGTATAGTGACTGCCTAATAATGACGCCTAGCAAGGTGCGATGGCCTGTACAGAGCCAACTGGCAAGTCCGACACGGCAGGTACGAGGAGAGAGCAATGCAGGACTACCTGAAAATTACTACATGTTCCATGAAATCTGCGTTTTTGTGCCATTCTGTATGTCTCTTTCTCGCAGCGTGGCAACGTTCAAAATTCCCCAGCTTACTGCCTGCACTGAGAACGCAGTCTTGATGCAGGCGTAGTGCGAAGATGTCCATACTGGACGGTTATGGCAACGACTTCCGGGCCCATTCGTGCCGGTCTTCACTCTCTCTGTATCGTCTGTCACCGGATTGGCCATCTAACTGCATGATTCCCAGCACTCATGATCAATGTCCAACGAGCAGACGACAGAGGTTGCGCAACCAATGACACACCGGACCAGGGGCGGCCTCACTAACGAGCGACAGGGGAGGGCATCGACAGATCGCCAAGCAGCGCTACGGCACATAAATCTTGGTCTAGCAGGCATTGAAGCGACAGTTTGACAGGCTTCAGGCTAAGCGAAGATCAAACAGGGCGCGAACGCTTCAGCGCTTGACCCTTCTTGAAAGAAGCAAGCCACCACCACCACCACGGCCTCCCCACCACCAAAGAGGCCCGAGCGCATGACGGGTCGCCGATCGGGCTTCAGTAGTTGGTCCCCGTAGCGGGCAAACAGACGGACGTGAGCCCCGTACTTGTGAACGTTGAGCTTTACTAGAAGCGGTCTGACATTTCGGCAGTGGCACGAGCGGGCTAGTACCCTCCTCAGTAATGGGGGGGCTTTCATTAGGCTTTTCGCTTGTTGCCCATGACGGTGGCAGGGATGCCACGGATAGGGACCGGAAAGTGGGCGGTCATCGAGCTGGAAGAGTACTTGGTGCCTACCCAATAAGTGACATCAGTACATTGTGAGTACACAGTCTAGCGGGATCCAAGAGTGCTCAGAAAGCTCCTCGCTGTGACAGTCAAAGGAAACTCCGAAGCGCGGGTTAAAAGTGTCGAGACAGAAGCCCCTCAGGCTTTTCGGCATCGGATGCGGAACTTGAGCAAAGCCTGAAGAATAATTAGGCGCAAAATGGCCCATCGGACCGTTGGTCGATCTATGGGAGGCGCTCAAGCCCGAACAGTCTCCACGGCGGCTTGAATTCTTGACTGGAGGCTTTGTTTCAGTGGTTCGTCTTACTGCTGGTCTAACACCGTCCCTACCATACTCCTAGGTAGTCAGCCCTCACGCTCGTTGCATCAGTGCAGGAAGGGCGGCGTGTGGCTTGAAGCCCATAACTTAACGTTCTATCTGTCAAATGTACTCCGTACGGAGTACTATTGCGTATTATTTGGCCCGTTCCACCTGACAGCCCTCAGATTTCCCCCTGCCGGTTCCATCACAGCCACTGAGCACCCTGCCCTGACTCTGACAGTACGTGCCAAAGTACAGAAGGTTGCCGGTAGTGAGAACGAGCGGGATGTTGCAACACGATAGACGCTATCAACCAAATGAAGCTCAGCTGTCATGATGCACAGAGCGGATCATCATGTATGCAATTAAACAGGGAGACGAGACGGAACCTTCCTGATTCATCGAATACCCCTCTAGGTATAAGTCACGACTCGATCTGCATTTGTCGTCAGCTGTGGATGGTCTTTCTCCGTCGGACCTGCGCCTTTCATGAATTGATGATGATTGGATGATTTCCAGAATCTGATGGTTCCGGATTTTATCGCCGGTCTTTCCTACATTTCCATTGGCAAGAACACCGGAGACTGATTTCTTCAAGCAGCAGACGCTCGAGAGTCCTCCGTCTCTCGAGCCTCTGCAACAACCTCGCTTGTTCCCCCTTCGGATACGAAGAGACTTTCCATCCGACGATCTTCGGACACGAAACAAGATGGCCGAAAGATTGCCTGTGTATGTGTCGGAATTTGAGACCGGGTGCTATCACCTTGCTTTCCTGCCTCCCACTTCTCGAAACTCGAGGGCCTGACACCCGTCGATTGCCTACCTTGTTTTGTTGCGTATGGAGTACCGGATACATAAAATCCTTGCGCAACAGTCACCGACGAAGAGCCTCTTACTGATGAGAGCTTCCGTCGACACTTGACCACCTCTGCGACACTAGGGTTACTCGACTCACTCTCTTCGTGCCGTGTACGATCACTCCACACTTGGTGCAGAGTTGAGCAAATAAACTTTCGCAAGAGGTTGCGATGGGTGAGGCTGACAGCCGACAGCTCGCCGCCAGTGAAGCAGCACCGCTGAGCTAAAGTTCCTGATGATCCTGCAGATTACGTTCACGTTCACCTTCATTTCACTTCACATTCAGTTCACTTGCCTAGAAGGTCATGTCCCACTTGATGCCAACTTTGCTTCCGTATTCCGCAGTCTTGCACGAAGTCGCTATCCTACAGTGTACACATTGCTGAGAAGACCCGACCAACTACCTATGCGGCACCGTGTTGCTATGCAGCAACTAAGCAAGCTTTGCCAACGAGCGAACAGGCCAGAATGGTTGATGTGCAGCGATCGTCATCCACGAGTCGACCGGGTTCAGGAGGGCGAGGTGGTGATGGTCATCAGTTCCGTCATGCAGCTTGTGCATGATGCATACTATGTGCACGCGCGTCAGGGTGACACCTGAAAAGGAATGCGCAGTATTATGTATGTTGTGCACTTACCAGCATGCTCGCCAATCGTGTTACAACTAAACAAGGCGATCCTGATCGTCAATGTTGCTGGAGGATTCTGCCTGCTGCACACTGCAGCTCGCACGAGTCCTCCATGAGTGTCGTGGCTCAGGGATGAGACGAGCCTACCAGTACCCTGGTTCCCATAACGTGGCATCCAGGGCTCAGTCGCTGGTTGCCTGCAAGGAAAATTAAGTCACCCTCGGGCATTTCGGCAGGCCTGGCGAGCCTGGCAGACATCAAGGCTTGCCTGCCTGCTTAGGTACATAGGTACACACCTCGCACAGTAGCGTCCTACTACATAGGTCCCCTGGTCAAAGGTGACCAGTGGTACAGTATCAGTATGAGACCATGATCTCGGGCTCGTACGATATGTACAGGCTTGCCCTGCCCGCCCCGCAGCGTCTACCGTGCCACATTCGGACCTTATTTCGACCCCCGGCTTTAACTAACCGGCGCCTGCCCTGGCGGTCCGAGAGCGTGGCCAGTGAACCGTGTGTGACTGTGCCCGTCGACTTCGTACTCGCCTACATAGTACGCCGCAAATTAGCTAGTCCTCAACGCCTCGTTCACCGGCTCGTCTTCCCGCTCGCCGGACAAACTACAATCACCCCCAAGGATTTTGCCCAAACTACTACCAGACCCCCCAGTGCAGACTAAGTAGTAGGACTCTTCTCATAATTCCCGAACTACATGCACAGGCCGATTCGTCGGATCGAGGTACGAAGTACTTCGTATTACTGTGGTACATCGGCAGAACGGAAGAAGTGGCCGTTGAATGAACTAGCTCGCCCTCAACGACTATGTGACTAGGTACTTAGGCATCAACGAAGTCCAGTACTACGTACCTGTATGCTGGACTGTTTAATGCTCGAAACCCAAGTTCCTTTCCTCTCGGCCGCGATGTGCATGTAGACACAGTCAGTCGGTGAGTCCTATTCCAGTGAGTGACGATGGACGGAAATGAAGTCAGTGCCCGTTGGATTCTAGCGAGACCAATGGCACAGGGCAGCCCGCGCTGATGGACTTGAACGGCCAAGCGAAGACTTCTGCCCCTCTCACCCACCCGTGGAATTCATGTCCGCACTCGGTGCTTATCGCTATGTACATCAATCCCTTGCATCCGTAATCGGTCCTGTGCTGTTCTATGAAATTCACCGAGGATCATCCTGCTGTAGCCTCGCCAATCCCTTCGCTTTGATTCGCATCGCTTTGCATCGTATCCTAGCCGAACATAACATGGCATGAGAGTTCAATGTCCCTTCTCAACCGAACTGCCATGGTACTGCGGAGCGCGGCGCTCGAGATCATCTAGACACATACCACAGTGTTGCACATCATGTTGTACTGCGTAGCTGCTGTGTACTGCACGCACGCCTCGTGTCCTCTGTCCTCCCCCAGATTCGAGAATCAGCATGTCACCAAATTTATCCTTCGTGCATATTCGGGATGCAGAATTCCGATAGCCCTCACATTAAGAGCCAGTCGAGTTCCCGATCCACTACGTGCCTCCGAGGCGCTGCGTTGTGAGATGCGGGCATGACCCTGTACAATATGAGTGCTGTGGACGAACATACTGTGTACCGTGTACATCCGCGCGATGCAGCATGACGGTCGAAGACTGATCTGGCCTGTGCTTGCGAGTACAGTAGCATGTACGCAGGATGTCCAGCCTCTCCGGACTCCGTACTGGGTGCTGTACATGAGAGTTCAGGAAAGTATCGTCAGCAGAAAGCCTTAGTTTGCTCGAAGCCGCGGACTATGTATAAAGTACACTGCAGCGCAGTGCGGTGCAGTATCCACGACTTCCTAACGCAGCTGGATTGGCCATGCCATCAACGACACTGCGCTCCCTTGGGCATCGACGGGGCTTGAAGGTCACTTCCTCTCGTCTGAACTCCTGCAGTCAGTCATTCAGTCAGTCGTCAACAGGTCCTCAGCTGTAGGATACTGGTCCCTCTTGTCAGGGTCAAGAGACACATACCACCGAAGGAATTCTCTGATGTCGCTGTTGAACGTCGATGTCCAATTGGCGGCTGGATACCCGGCGCGCAATATTTTGGTCTGGGCCTCGAGCCGATGGACTCTGATTTGAAGTGTAAGGAAGTCACGCTCGATCTCATCACATCGTTTCTGTACGTCTTCAAAGCGGATTCCAGTCTCTCTCTCATACTCTGTTCCAAGTTTTTTGTTGAGGTCTTCAAGACGCGCCGTGACTTCCTGTTCAACAGCGTGTCTGGTTGTTTACGGAGTTGTGGCATCTTTTTTTTCTGCGGCTGAAGCTGCTGATGCTGCTAATGCTTCCATGTCTTCCGCATTCAATACCGTGGTAGGGGCTTTAGCGGGCATTGACACTTTCTTGGTGGTGATCACTCGTGGTTGCTTGAGGGTTCGTTGAAAGCAGCATTAGAAAGCGTCACGTCTCATAGTGTTACATCCTGCCCGCATAGCAGTGAAGAAACCCTGCGCCGGTCGAAACTTCCCAGGACAAACAGTACCCCTATCTCCATATCATTGTGTCCACGAAGATCCGTAGACAACACACGGCGGACAGTCAGTCTCCTCCTGCCCACATATGGCGCACTCGCCTAATCCAAACTCAATGCTGCGTAGATGCACAACCCAACTCCAAATCGACCCGACCTCACTCAGCAGTTACGCTGGCCTTACTGTGGTCGCTTCGGTCTCCTGTGTACAACACCTACCTCTACGAGGCAATCCCATTCACCGACCAAGGCACAGTATACCAACCAGTACCGCAAGTGACCGGCTACCCGCGCTGATTGCCCCACGCTCAATCAGCCATTACCCTATTTCGTCCTCAAATGCGCTTCGGAAAGCCTAACTTCCAAATGCTATGCCCAATACGCTTCCGAAGACGCCACGATTTCCTCATCCGTAAAGATCGTCGTCGATACGGATCAAGACGTTCGCTGGAGGCGATTGGCCCTCGTGCACGGACGCTTCCTTGAGTCGCCGGACGGGGAACAGAATCCAGCTGGTGGAAAGTCTATCTTCCGCACGGAGTACGTAAGTCCTCAGGACGGAGTATCCTGTGCTCCATACACGAGCACACAGGACTCCGTAAACTCACATTGGCGACTTGGAAGTTGGAACAAGAGCGGTTGCGGAGGGTCTGGAACATCCGTCACGATGGTCTGGCCAGTCGACACTACAACACTAAAGATCTACCCGTTTGGTCGGATGTGAAGTTTCATGCATGAGGTCTTGTCCTCAATGGGTGTTGCGGTTGATGTGACTCGGACAGGAGGAGCAGATCGACTCTCTCCCTTCAACTTCCGCAAAGACGCCCTTCATGTGCCAACTACGGCTAATCCGCTGCGCGAAGGGCGAGACGGTGTCATGTGCGCGGTGTTCGCAAGTTCCTGGCATAGTGGAGTTGCTCTCCTGAAGCAGAGCGCAATCCTCCACAAGGTCCACAGGCCTCCAGGTCTTATCGTTGACGCTGGGAATCCGTTACGCACTGTCCACCGTAAGAGAAAAGCAGATGGTAACACCTGTTGGTGTCAATATGACATAGTCTCTCCCCAGCCGGTTGACCATCAGATACAGCACACACACCGCAGGTCTTATCGTGACTTCCACAGCGCTATTCTACGATGTACTTCATCTGCAGCCTGGACCGCCCGAAGAGCACTTACACTTCATCGTGTTATCGCTGGCGCGACAAAGTCCGCGTGTTGCTATGCGGGCTCCCGTGTGCCATTGGCATCCTGCTCACATGGGCCTCGCAGGCCTGACAGGACATTATACAACATGGTTGACTTGCTCGGCCTCGACTGGTTTGACTAGAGGTTACACGATACCATGCATACACACTAATCGCTCGTGCTCTTACATAAATCATCCGCAGCATTCTGCAGCAGGTTTACACCCCCGAGGACGTCCTGCGTATACCGTGCGTTATATTTGATGACCTTCTTGACTGACAGCCACGTCGGCACATCGATGTACAGTGACTCAGTGCTGATAAGCCAATCCACATTCTCGGTGCACGGCGGGGTGGTAAGTGAGCCACCATATCTGTTTCCGGCCCTCAGCCTCGCGTGAAACGACTTACTGACACTCCGAACGTACCTGTAGACCTGAGAATTCTCAAACTTGTCTATCAACTGCCCGAACGCAAGCGGCCCCGTCATGGCAGCCTCACCCGGCACGGCAATATCATCGATGGTCGAGAAAACGGCGGCCAACACCGGGTCAGTACAGCCAGGAGACTCGCACAGCTCGACCAGAAAGGCCACCACGGCGAACTGCCTGGCCGTGCGAGACACATCAGCAACCCGCTCATTCAGTCTCAGCAACGGCGTGGCGGTACCCTCTGACTCAAACACCCAGTGCATCTCCATCGGGTAGAACTCGTCCTCGACGCGATGTTCGGCCGGAGTATGAAAATGGAATTGAGCCAGCGAGTACGCCGCCCCTGAGCTCATGTCCACGAGCGAGCCATCAACGATGACCTCGACATTGGTGCCGAGGTTCTGGAACTCCGCCCCGTCAGAATAGTCCGGCACCGTCCAGTTCAGAGTCGACCCCTGCACCCTGGAAATCGTGGAATTGATAACAATAGGCGATTGGGTCGTGCCTTTCTCGCACGCTGCGTTGGCCGTCTTGTTGAGAGCGTACCAGTTCAAGGGTCCCTTTAGGGCATCGTACCCGAATGTCGAGACCGTGACGTTGGGGAGGCGTGGAAAGACGGACGTGCCGTGCGCGCAGTTGGCGGACACCTTGGCTACTGCTGTGAGGGAGGTGAGGAACAGAGACGCGAACATGATCCTGCCGGAGCGTAGCGTAGCAGGTATTATACGATCAGTACGCTCCACAGGTTATTATACGATCAGACGAGTCAGAAACAGAGAGGCAACAAGCTCGGGAAGGTCATTCAGATCATATCATATCATATCATATCATATCGGGCGGAACCATGGGACGATGGATGATGGACGGCGATACACATAACGATCCGTGACGGATTCGTGAGCCGTGATTACATAGGTAGCCCTATATCATATCATGGACCATACGTAAGTACCTCGTAGAGTAGACGGTTATTACCGTTGATTAATATCACCTCTGTTCAAACATTGACCCGGGGACTCATGGGACTGGCTGCCGAGAGTGTCTACCTGAATAGGCCTGGCGGTCCGGCGAATTGTCGCGCTACATACCTGGGGCCCGCACCGTCACGCTTCCTTCCATCTATTCAACATACCCGCGTGTAGAGTAATGTCAGCCTGCACCGACGCGTAATCAAAAACACTATGTAGCTACAGTAACTTAGAGATGATACTGCCGCGGGATGCTATGGTACTGTAGATATCAAAGAGGATTCGGGAGACGGAGAATGGGATCCGTTCGACTGACTGACTGACCGACCTCAATCCTACCCAAGCACCACCAGTAAGGTGATTAATTAATTACTGGATTGCAGCGCGGAGGACGTCACCGCGTGGAAGACTGATACAGGTGATGAACGAGGATCCCGTCGTCAAGGCAAGGCGCCTCGCCGCGGGGAATAGTTCGGGTTGAGGCTCCGTGAGTGGGTGAGTGGGTGAGTGGCTGCATGAGAGTGATCGTGGAGATGCCTCGCGCAATGAAACTGTGGCCATCCGGGCGACTCCATGTACATACATGACAACGAGCGCGCGGTTGAAACGCGCTTACAGGACGGCCATGATGTTCTGGACCTGGTATTACCCCTGTACATGATGTATTCGTACTGTGAACGACACAAAAGCACAGTAGATGGGAGGGGCGTAGCGCTGACTTCCTCATCAGTGGGCGCGGCATATCGTTTAGCCTGGTTGGGTTGGCTGACTTACTGTAGGTTGAAGGTGCTTAGGCTGTCTGGCTGTTCAGCTGGTTCTATGAGGGATGGTGTACCCGGGTCGGTGCAGCGGTGGTAAAAGGTCCAAGTCGACCTATCGTACAAAACACTTCACACGAAACATGGAATAGTGATGCAGAACATACTCCGCAATTAATTACTGATCGGTCGGTCAGGAAAGAGCCAGAGAAGGAAAGCTGAAATCAGCGAGAGTGAGAATAACGATGACAGTGGTGACATCGATGGTGACAGCAGCCGTGGTGAAAGGAGATAAAGGGCATACACAGCGTGCACCGAGAGCTCACTCGCTGTGGACATGGCCTGAAGACAATGGCGGCACTCTTTCCAGCGGAGGTAGGCAGGAAGGAGAGTACTGTAGGCGAACGGACACGATGGCCATGATACCTATCTGGCAAGGCTGAGATGAACATCAAGCGGGACAAGAAAAGCGAAGGAGGCGCAGGGCACTGTCCACTGTACTCCGTACGGGTATACACAAAGTTAGGAGGGTCCTGATGTTCATTCACCCAGCCATCCATTCCACGCAGCGCCACCACGGACTTGATCTACCTCCAGGTAAGTAGCCCAGGAGTGTGTGGACATCGCACGGTAGACTCATCACCTTCAGCACACCCTGATAACCTGTACTGATGACGAAACAAAACGCACGGGGAAAGGAAGTGAATTCGTATGGTGCAGCATGCCGCCAGCGCTGTCTAGAAGTAATCTGTCTCGCAAACAAGCCAGTAAAATGCCTGCGTGATGGCGACAGATGAAGCGGATGACCCATGCGTCTGCTCGCTTGCTAAGAATTCATAAACGCCAACACAACGCACAAGAACTATACCATCCCTTTTGCTTGCGAGGCAAGAAATTCTTCGCTTCACCCAGTCAGTCGCTTTGCGACAGACTTAGAGGTATCTTTCAATGCGCATCCCAACGCCATGTCTCTTGGCACAGTAAATGCGTGCCTTGTCGACCCGGTCCGATACTGTGTGCCCGGGAGGCTTGTCCCATGTCATAACTCATTATAGGGTCTCGTGTCTCTCATCTCGATAAACACACTCCCTGTGGGCGACAGTTCATAACCAGATGTCGCCACCTTCACCTTTCTCCCAATTACTCCAGGCAGACCAGTACGCCGTCTCCAAGTCCCTCACCCAGCGCTTCGTATCAAACAGCCGACTTGTCCATCTACCTTCCCAGAGCATGCGCCTCAAATCCATTAGTCTTCCTTTACCGCGACCGAGTTTCTGTCCGTTCAATTCGCTCGACGGATATCGCAGACCCTGAGCCAACTCAATTGCAACATTGACATATTGTCGTTCGCTTCTGACGAGCAGATCCCTCCTTGCTTCGTCGCCCTCGCGGCCTTCAGGCAGCGCGCTTGCCACGATGCTGCCAGCCATACGACTGCACATCTTGTACCTCCACTTGCCCCACGTAATGATAGGCGTGCCAGACCACACCGTGTCTGCGGCAGTCGTGTGCGCATTGCATTCCGGCGTGTCGAGGAAGAGGTCGACTACCGACGCCCGTGTGATATGGGCTCCCTTCGCGGCCACGTCGGTAAATATGATCCGATCGGCGACTTCCTTGCCAGCCCATTTCACGGCGTAACGTTTAAGATTCTGTTCTCCAAGGTCTGGGAATCGCAGTAACCACAATATCGCGTTGGGCACGGCCTTCAGGATTTGGAGGTACATGTCAAAGGTGGCCGGGTCGATTTTGTACAGTTGGTTGAAGTTGCCCAGAACCACGGCTGTGTTGGACAAGGATGGAAACAACTCTTTCCTCAATTTCCAGCGTTGCGTCTGTTCTTGTTCCCAGGATGCTTCGCGGCTGAGAGGATCGTTGAGATTTGGCGGACCCTTCTTCACGTCAGGCGCACTTTGCTTGTGATCCACACAAAAGAATGTGTCGCGCGCAAAGATGACATTCTCGGAGTAGACCCAATCCTCGGCGTCCTCAACACACGACTCTGGCCGTAGTCGATCTTCAATGTCCACATTCCGCCGCCACGGCGACAGTGTATCGGGTGGCACAGATATCGTGTCGGCGAAGACATAATCGCACCATTCCGCTCCCAGAGTGCCAGCGAATCCCATGAACGACATATGGATCGGTGCAGGGCGAGCTGCGAACACCTCGTTGCGCGCACCTCGAGTATACCCGTTGAGGTTTACCAAGATGTGAACGTTATCTTTGACGATTTGATTGACCAGACGTTCCACGCTCCATGACGACGCATCACGAAACAGTGGGGCTTCCTGTTGTATCTGGTGTCTGTGGATGGAGCCATCAGACGCCGTGGTTGCGTAACATATAGCTCGTACCCGAGAGGCGTCGTGCAGGCCGAAGACTGACTGCATGAGATGTGCGAGAGGATGGTTGTTGAAATCCGAGCTAACATAGCCGACGTTTAGGCACGGGCTCGGAGGCGACGGCGGGGGAAATACGGTTGCCGGAAGCCACGCAGACCGAAGTGTACAAAGAGAGATCCGCAGAGCATTACGCTGCGAGATTTGTCGAATCTGCTTCGCCGAAAGAGGAGCCGTGAAGGTGTGAAATGGTAGGACTGTCGGAGCGGATGGTGGTGACAGGGCATTGGGGAGGTATGGTCGTGCATATTTCCGCGCAGGATACTCCCTTCGATGCTTGTAGCGATCCTGGTACCATTGCCAGCCAATTTGACGAATGGCCCGTTCGACTAGCCGCACAATTCGGGACCCTTCCCATCTTTGTCCGGACCAGTATCGCAGCGCTTGTCGCACGGTTTCTAGGGCTTGAGATCGTCTGCCATCACCAGAAAACTGTCTGTGTAAGGTCACTTGATGTGCCAATGAGTCGATCACAGAAGGGGTCAAGGTGCCGCAACCCCAAGTTTCCCCGTCCTTGAGCTGCTTTTCGACGATTTCCACCACTCGGTTGATCCATCCATAGGGTCGTGTCGGCTCTTGCTTCATACCTCGCTCGTCCACGTGTAACCGGTCGCGCATAAAGTCGCTAGCACACACCCCTCCACGACCGTCCCAGCTGCACACCGAATTCAGCGCGGTTGCCAATCCACATACTGCTTCGGCAAAATCCGGGTTTGCTGTAACTGCTCGCTTGTAGTACGCAATCGCGTCAGCCACCCGGCCTTGATCCTTGACGGCATTCGCCAGGTTCGCCAACGCGATGTCGAAGTTACCGTCGCAGCTCACAGCCCTTTCGTACATCTTGATCGCAGCACCTAACTGACCGATGTCTTTGAGAAGACTGCCCAAGTTGGTAAAGAGATGGGCGTGCTTCTGGTCGATGTTGAGGCCGAAATTGTAGTACATCAATGCTAGCGAAATACCCGTGCCAGCGACGACGCCCGGTATATTCGAGATCTGCGAGAAGTGCGAATCCACAAGATGGTCTGGATGCACACTCTGCTGTACGCCAGCGAGGAGGATCCCGACGTTGTTCGCTGTCGATGGGCTCCTCTGGAGCGAAAGTGACAGGTAATACAGGGCTAAAATCTCTCTGGTCGTGGGCGATTTCAGGCTCCCAATTTCCATTGCGTTGGACATGCCATCCTGATATATTTTGGCAAGTGAGAGCAGTGAGTTGCTCGTCGTCGAGATTGCAGCTTGTACGGCAAAAGGAGGCGTCACGTATTCGAGTCCTGGTAAGTTGCCCTCTGGCGGGAACATATGCCTGGCAGTGGCTTCTGCCTGATCCGGGGTAAGGAGAACAGGTTCCTTGCTCTCCAGCTTGGCCCGGACATATTCCCGATCCCGGATGTTGCAAAGACAAGCAGCCAGAATGTCGTTGATTAGTCCTCTGATTCCATGTTTTCTCCGGCCCGTGGAAATTAAAACAGCATCTTCAAACGCGGTAGCAGCCGCGTGATTTTGACCCAGGGCATAAAGCATGTTCCCTTTGGCATGAACAAGAGCCAGCATCCGCCCATTGTCGACCCCGGGGATAGCGTAGCCACTTGTGCCATAACCCGGAGGGTGGCATTCAGTGGTAGAATGGATGCTTGGGTTACTTTGGTCGGCGTCGTAGTCGTATTGTGCGTTGTCGTAAGAGGCAACTGTATTGATGCTGGAAGCATAGCTTTTCGTGTCGCTTTCGGCGTCACTCAGTTCCGCCCCAGTACTGTGAAGATCATCAGCTCGGAAGCGGAGCGTATTCTCCACATATTCGATCACACTGACAGCTTCCCTCGCTCTGTGACTGGCGCACAGCAATCCGATCAGGTGCTCCACGGCCTCAAAGTAGCTGGGTCGCAAGCTTACTGCTTCTGACCAATACTTGAGAGCGTCCTCGCGGCGATGAAGAGCGTGACAGGTCGCAGCCAGGTTGGACATCGCCTCAATATGGCCAGGATCATGCCTCAAGACAGCGCGGTACCATTCTTCTGCTCCAACATAGTTTCCTAGTCCGTAGGCCAGGCAGCCTGCAAGGAGCATACCATCCAACCACGGTGTCTCAGCCTCTTGGCACAGCAGCTCCATTGTCTGTAGTGCCGTTGTAGCCGACTCGTAGGATGGTAGCTGTGGATAAGTGGCCGGTCGTGTACTCAAATGCTGCATCTCCGGAACTCGATCTAGAATTCCATATTGCTGACCGGATGCGATTGGGGACTGTGGGTTTCGTTGGAAGGATGCGAAATCCGCTATACCGTTGGCCTGCTGCGGTCTGAATATGGCTGTCTGAGGTCTTGACGGAACGTCATAATTCGACAAATCACCGTCTGCGCCGAAATAAGAGCTAGACAACCCTTGAGGTCGAGCCGGCTTCGACCCTGATACATCGTGTTGAAAGTGCGATCCAGACCTCTTTGGTGGCTTTGGGAAAATGACGGGCTTCACGACTGACTTCGCTCCTGCGACACCGTGTGCAGCACCGCGCTGATCCTGTGAGGTACATCGGATTGTCTGTAGTAGGTCTGTGTAGATTTTGTTGGCCCACGTGAATGTCTTGTCCCTAAATGCAATCCGTTCTGAGCGGGGGCCGGGTGTCAGTGAAACTAGTGCCGGGCGTATCACAGCCATCATCGGACCTGTTGTTGCTTGGGCCGATGGGGAGTAAGCGAGCGAAAAAGCGTGCTGGGGACCATGGTAACTGTTCTGGGCCAAGTTCCATGTTGACGCCGCCGGCTCTACTGGTCCAAAGTGGCTGTCCAGCGTCGGTTGAGGTAGATTCGATAAATACGCATTATTCTGGACATCGGGAAGCCGACCGGACCGTCGAAGCGGAGGTAGATGTTCAAAATGGTGGTCCAAAGGAAACGTCTCCGCTGGAGCGCGAGGAAAGAAACGGCTATCTCTGATGGCAGCAGGGCGATAGGGATTGTATGTGCCATCCGGCCAGTATGGCCCGTATAATTCCTGCCCAGCAGACGCCGTGGGGCCAAACTGAGAATGAAGAGTGGCGGGAAGGACTGTCGGGATGTTCGAACCTTGCTGCATATAATACCTCTGCGTCGGATGTAAAGGGAGGTTCTGGTTCAGCATCGAGTCAAGTCCGCCAGGGAAGTCCCACGCTGGGCGGTATGGCTTTCCCTTGGTTGTTCCATAGGGCTGAACATGCACGTCATGCCTGCTGCCCGTGCCGAACTCTGTCCCACCAAAGGTTCCTCTCCGCTGCGTCTGTTTCGCCTCTGGCCATGTCGAGGAGCTGCTCAGCGACGGGATGGTTTGTCTAAAGGCTGGTGAGGACGACAAGAGCAGATGCTTGGTGGCTGGGATCTGAACATTTTTGTCCAGCGCAGCTGTGTCTGGCTCGTACAGTCTTCCACCATTGGGTATCTTCCGTTGTCTCAAAATCTCATGTTCAGCGTAACTCAACCCCGTCGAACGTTGGCGCCCGTGCTGCGGGGTACCGGAACCGGCAGGAATGGCATACTGTCTGGAAGCGGCACCGATCGGAGGGCGTTGGTAGATATTAGGATCCTTGATTGGATCCATGATGTTCGGTGGTCGATAAGAAGTCGTGAGCATTATGTGGAGGGTCTCAAATGAGCTCGGGTATGAGAAAGAGTGGGCTTGTACTCTGTAGGGTTGGTCAATTTCAGCCTGCTTCGAAGGCTGTCGTAGGAGGTCTTCTCGAGGACTTCAGGTCACTTGAAGACGAAAGAAGGCAACTGGGCCTGCTGCTGTTCCCATAGCCGTCGCTCATTGTGTTCCGCCAGATTTGCTTCTACGTAGCAATCCCTGCACAAACATGAGTGATAGGTGTAGATGTAGCAGCCCTCCAGCTCGGGATTTGAGAACGGGAGTATCTGACTTTTCGAGGAAAATTGGCTCAGGCCAGCCCGAGGTCCGTGCCTGTCGGCGCAAGGTATCAGGGTGAAGGCACGATGCAAGGGATGATGAATGTTGTCCACAGGGAACAGCAAGAGGTCGGATCGCTCTTGGTTTCAATCGCGCAGCGGGAAGCCGCCAGGCTGCGAGGTTTAGGCTCGACGGGGGGCAGCGGGCAACGGATCTGCGAGGATTGGCGACGTAGTCTTGGAGATGGAGAATATGGAGTCCGGCGGACGGATGCGTATGAGTACACAGTCATGGACAGTAACTTGGCACTGCTGATATGCTATCGGTCCGCTTGATATCCGCGTCGAGATACTTTCGTTAGAGGAGTGAGACCTGTGTCTCCAAGAGATAGAGAGACCAGCTACGACAGCTTCTTGTTGCCCTCGCCAGACCCAAGCAGCAGTCTGCGAGAGACTTTTTCTGGCTCCATGGCTGCCGCAGCTACAGTACCCATTCATACGAACGGGTTGAACCATGGTTTTTCATTAGACGCCAACCCTGCTCAAGGGGTGTGGCTTGCCAAATGGGTCCCGTCCCTTGTCGGCGGGATGCCTCCTGGCGGTCTGTGACTGGTCTCAAGGCTCATGGGCCTTGATGGCCTCAGCAACCTTGAGGGGCGGAGCGAGTCTTGGGTGTGTCAGTGGCCCGCAGCTGGCGTGTCACGTTGGTGGCTGCCAGCTTTATTGGTTCATCTACGGCACTACGACTGGGCTACCACAGCCTGGCTCAACGCCCAGCTGCTTCCTTCAGGCGCCCTTTTGTGCCACCTCGGCGCCTTTTGGGCTTAGTGATGACGATGAAGCGGGCGGCGATGGGTCAGGTGGAGTTCGTGGTGGAGCTGGGCGTGCTAATATGAGCAACTGCTGGTCGATCGATGAATCGTGGTTGTGGTTCAACTGGAGCCAGAGGTTTCCTTTCAGACGTTCACAATTCGGTCAGCTATGCGATTTGCTCACTGAACCCTCTCTTGCTGCGTGACTATGCAGCAGAAGAAATCATCAACTAGGCTATTGAGAGGTAAGCCACCGGGGTGAGGTGAGGCAAAGCGGTAAGGGACAAGGGTCAGCCTGTTATGGACTGGTCGTCAAATAGGAACATGCGAAGTGTCGCGAGCCACAGATTTGGCGTGCGGTAGAGCGGACAATTGGGTGAGTACACTTAGTACTGTGTAGAGGTTCCTACGCCGGGACATGGTTTTTCTCAACGGAGCCAAAAAGCGTGTCATGATATTCTAGGTCGTACAGCAATATCTTCGTTGCCATTTTTATCGAGCGCCGTCCTACCCCAGTCACGGAAACGTCAGTGTTGTCAGATGTGTCGTTGGGCTCCATCAATGGCAGGAGCCCGAGCCGGTTGGAACCACAGCAATGGTAAAAGATGGATCTGGGCAAGCCCGTGCGAAATTCTGCTGAACACATTGCGGTAGCCTGCCGCCGCGTTGCGGGTAGATGCGCACGTCTTCGGCAAGGCCGGTCAGGTTGATAACTCGGGTGGCACCATGTTCTAAGCCAATCAGCCTGTCACAGGAATCAAAAGTATTCTAGAGTCAACCGAGGTTTGGGAGCATGCTCAAACACCTGTAAAAGTCAAGCCTGCGACGCCGTTGATGTGCCGGCATGTGAGTGACCCGAAGCGACACAGAAACAAAACTGCGATGAAGCGGATTTGTGGCGTAAAGGAAGTATATGATACTCTTTAGGTCCGAGAGCTTCGCAGACTGAGCCCGCCGACGTTGGATTGCGGTCGCATGAGATCGTAGTCAACTTTCCAAAAGAATATGCATGATGCGCCACTGGCGCATGCTGTGTCACACTGAAGCATCGTACTCATGAGTCTTCTCCTGCGCAAGGTCGATTTGGTAGCGAGCAGTGGAATCAAGTTTGTCCCAGTACATAGTAATCTGAGGTCAATGCCACAAACATGCCAAGGCTCCACCACAAGCCACCGGCACTTCAACTCTCTAGCCGTCCGTCTTGCTTCTCTTTTCTCTTCTCTAGACATCCGCCGACAACCAAAATGCATTACTTACATCGCCAGTCTCAGCCATTCTCTGTGCTGAGGCTGTTTTCGCGTCGAGCGCAGATTAACACATTAACAACCTCTGGCTGGGCATCTGGGATTTAGACTCATCTTGAGTGCAAGGAGTCTTGGAAAATCAGTTGGGGTTACAAATATCTTCAGAGCCGAATTGTCCTTCCAAAATATCTATTCGCTCAACCAAATCGCTTCTCAACTTCTGTAAATATCTGGGGCGAGATCTCGTCACTGCTGTTGCCCTGTACTGTGACCACCAGATCTGGCTGCTCGCGGTAGAAATCGAGCAAACTCTTGCTGGTCTCCTCGAACTTTGCCAGTCGCTTTCTCCAAGTGGCCTCGCTGTCATCATCCCTCTGCATTAGGGGCTCTCCAGTCACGTCGTCTCTTCCAGGCACTTTCGGATCATTGAATCCAACATTGTACACTCTTCCCGAGGGTGCGTGTGTCCAACGGTTGGCCATGCGCGAGAGAATGATGTCGACTGGTGTGACAAGTTGTAGAACCAGGTTGATGGGCAGCAAGTGGGCTAAAGCTTTGCCTTGAGTCGCTGTACGAGGGAAGCCATCAAGAATGAAAGAGGTGTCGGGTGAATCAGAGGCGTGCACTACCTTCGAGGCAGAGCCATTGCCTCGTGCGAGGGCGGCTATGACATTCTCGTTGGTATCAGAAGTTCGTAGCCATTTTCTCGAGGTGAGCTCGGTGAGGATGAGATTGAGGATAAGAGGATCTGGGACGAGGCCGCCGTCTTTCATATGCGCTTCGGCTTGCTTGCCTGCATTATGCAATGGTTAACAGCATTCAATCTGATGGTCTAGGGCGTATGTGTACCGAGCGCAGTTTGTCTCTTGACATTATCGCGCAATAGATCTCCCGTCGCTATTGAACACAGTTGCGGGAATCGTTTCATAAGCCTCTCGGACTGAGTGCCTTTTCCAACTCCTGGAGCCCCAACCAAGATGATTCTGGCAGCTCTCTTCAGCTTGCGGGTGGCAGTCGCGAAGGTCATGGTACTGTGTACGAAGAATGTCCGGCGCGTGAGGTCGGTCGAGTCGTGGGTGGCCGATCGCCGTAGCGCCCCTACTAAGTGCCCATCATCTTGACGAGGAAACAAGAGTCCGGTGCCCAGGGGAAAAGGAAGAGAAACAAGAATAACAGATAGAACGCAATGTAGCTGGCCAATGAACCCCTCAAAGAAAGAAGAGCAGATCAAGAGCACGACCCGAAACTGCGGAGAAGGAGCAGATAAAGAACGTAGTCGTACAAGGTACCGGAGCTATTGGATGCCTAGAAAAGATGGAAGAAAACGTGGGGAAGGTGAAAAGGAAGGCCCGAGTCTCGGTTGAACTCTGCCGGTAAGCACTCCAAGCTCGGCCTCTACAGTACGGAGTAGTTGCTGTGCGGATCTCCGGTCGCCCATTGCTTCCAACAGTTGACAGCTTGGGAGAAGGGGTGCACATGATTGTCAGAGCATTATGTGTCAGAGAAAACAAAAAGAGGGCATTTGTGATAAGACGCCGACTTGGTGTTCACCATAGAGGAATTATTGTGTTATACTCCGTACTTCCTCCGTACCGAGGAAGTACAGACTGGAGTTCCAGGCGGCCGACTCTCAAGGAATGGAATTGCAGGTCGAGGAGGCATGAATTTCCGATCCGTGGTAGGTGCATTGGTGCCTGCACCACCTGCGCTCGGGCTCGCGACGTCACTGCCGGACGCGTCAAATCGCGGTCGACGCGTTCTTCGCCCACCTCAATATCAATGCCTCGCATCCTACAACACCTGCGCTAACACACCTGAAGATTGAGACCAACGACGACATGATGACCCCAGAGGCTCGTTTCGACCCGAAGCGGAAACTGATCCACCATAAGAAAACCCAGTTCGCAACAGCATCATATAAGGAGAATGAGTACCCCAGTCGACTCTCTTTATATGATGTTCCCCCGACGCAGGAAATCAGCCTGGAGGAGTTTGAGACGTGGGCCATAGACAGACTGAGGAGTAAGGAAACAACATTACTATGCACTCTGCCGTCCACTGACTAGTCATCAGTACTTGCCGAGATCGAGGCATGCTCGTTCAGGAACAAGTCCTTCGAAGAGACGTCCGCTCATCTGGAACCACTGCTCAAGAAATACCTACCACTATCTTCGAATACTGCTGCCGCCGGTGGGGTCGTAGACCAGAAATTGAAGAATCAGCGACGCAAAGACCACTACTCGCACTACATCCTACGACTAGCATTCTCCGGAACGGAGGACCTTCGAAGACGGTTCGCCAGGGTTGAAACCATGCTCTTTCGTCTGCGATTCCAGCAAGACGACACGCGTGAGCGCCAAGCGTTCATTGAAAGCTTGAACATGAACTGGGAACGGGTGCAGGAGGAGGAGAAGCGAGAATTGGCGGAGCAACTCCTGGCGGCGACACCAGGCCTCCGGCGAACAGACGGGGAGAATTGGTTCAAAGTCGACTGGACATGTGTGCCCGAACTTGTCGAACATCGGACCGTCCTCGTGCGGAAAGGCAAGGCCTATGTGCCTATGCGCGAACAAACGAGCATGGTCCTCACCGAGTTCACGACCCGCCTGGAGAAGGCACTAGAATTGACCTCTCGCGCGCTGCCTAGACTCGACGAGGACGATCGTCTAACACCCATCCTCAATCACCTGTCCAAGAACTTCGCCACTCCTGATGCCGGATTCTCGGATTCAGATTCGTCTGTGCCAGGAGCTCCCATCACAGCCGCCAATGTGGACAATTTATCTCAACATTTCCCGCTCTGCATGAAACACTTGCACAATACTTTACGCAAGAATAACCACCTCAAACATTTTGGTCGTCTACAGTACACACTCTTTCTCAAGGGCATGGGGTTGACGCTGGAAGATTGTCTACTCTTCTGGCGCCAGTCGTTCAAACTACTCACAGACGACCAGTTCAACAAAGAATATCGGTACAACGTCCGCCATGCGTATGGCGATGTCGGAGGAGACGCCAATCGTCGGGGTCGAGGCTATGCGCCCTACTCCTGCCAGAGGATCCTGACTGAACACCCACCAGGCACTGGTGAAGCGCATGGATGCCCTTATCGCCATTTCTCTGTGGACAACCTCACCTCCATGCTGCAGGCAACGGGCGTTCACGACCGAGACGTCCTCAGAGGAGTGAAAGAAGACGTTGAGAAGAAGCGATTCCACATCGCCTGTAATCGAGTCTTTGACTGGGCTCATAAACAAGAGATTCGCAAAGTCAAAGACGAAGGGATCTGGGGACCTGCGGAACTCGAAACAATCGTACATCCAAACACGTACTTCAAGAGGAGTTATTTGTTGAAGAACTTGGGCAACATGCCGAAACAAGATGTCAAGATGGAGGATTGAGACGAGCATGACACTGACGGGCACGTGTGGTGTTGTTTTGCATTGTATTGCGTCACAAGGAGGTGCAACATCTCAAGGAGAGATTGATGGGCAGCTGTTCCCGGTGATGATCAGGATGGCGTTTCAGCTGGACAGCGCAAATCTTCTTAGATGGATTGAATAACACAACCTCTGCTGTTTCTCACTGATCGACAACTTATCATTGATTGACTGCTGCATTCCGGCTACCGTAGCACTGGCACTAGCACTAGCACTATTTCTTGCGCAGTCCAAATTAGCGAGATCTCCATGACCTCCTACTCCTTCCTCATCACCCTTCCACGGACGGTTTCGAATGGCTACAGAATCAGCCGTGTGTTCCAGTTTCTCCATATGCGTGGAGTTGCAGACCAGAATCCAGCTACGAATAGGAGACTAGCCGACTACAGCTGCATCGTAGAAGCCAAGATAACCGCCGGAAGTGGCTGATAATATTCGCTCGGGCCGAGCGAGAAATGCTCATCCCATCGCTGCAAACAGGCCAAACTCCGAAAAGGAGGTGCAAATAGTGCAAATAGTGCAAAAGATGCAAACAATGTAAACAATGCAAACTAACGTACAGGCATCAAACTCGTTCGCGTTTTGTTTCTGCGTGATAATCTCAAATCAACTTCTCCTGTTCGCATCCTCGTCTTATACCTCACCGATGGTGGAACAAGTGCGTCCAGACCCCGGGAGAGTCCTTTCTGCAACCACCTGCAAGCGATGGTTTAATTCTTTCAGGCCATTCGGCTTTGCAGTTTTTGGGCTTGGCCACAGAAACAATCATGTCATGCATTGCTACGTGTGGTCCCCGACGTCAGTGCCAGAGCAGAATGTGTGACCATGTTGGGATCGACAAGCCTTCTACTACTGCCGCCTTGTCGCTTCTTTCGTGAAAGATGTTTCTAACGTTAGATACGAGTGCTTTCGCTGGACTTTGGGTCTCAAGCAGTGTCATTGCCTCACGTGTCGCTTCAAGATAAGCAACGTACAAAGAACCAACGGCCATCGTGGGAAGAGAACTGGCCATCGGAGAAGCCAGCAATGTATTAATGCTCGAGTACGGAGTATTGATCACCACGATGGTATCATGCACTGAAGAAGCACGCCTTACCCGAAGAAAGCACGCCATCATGCAGCCCGGTTGGCCGATTGTTGACGACCCCGCACTTTTGATAGCCGATGCTTATATTGCTTGAGTGTGGTTACTGTTTCGATTGACTGATCGTTTCGCAGAGGAACCTCGTGGAAGGAACGGCACTCGTCACCCAGGCTTGCCACCCAACTATCCTTAGAACATGGCTCCATCTGCTATCGACGTCGAGCCACCGTCTCATGCGGCTCAGCATGTCCTGGTCAAGCCATGGACTCGCCCACAATACACAACCGAGGATCTGGAATGGGCACCGCTCACCACAATCGATCTTTCTCGCTTCGACGAGCCCGGAGGCAAGGAAGAGCTTGCCGAGCAGCTTTATGATGCTGCCACTAGGGTTGGCTTCTGGACTGTGGTCAACAGCGGCATCGATGATAATAAGGTTCTACGACAATTCAGTATCGGCAACACGTTCTTTAAGCAATCACTTGAAGAAAAGCGGTTCTTCCCTTGCAACTTTGCTGAAGGGGAGTATTTCGGGTATAGGGAGAACTCTCGTTGGATCGGTGATACCGGCGTCAAGGACAACGTTGAAATGGTAGGCCATTGCTACTACAACGCTTCAGGCGCTTACACTCCACAGCTCAATATCCAAAAGCCGATAGAGGCCTTGAAGGACGTTCCTAAGCACCAGATTGTTCGCGAGAACTGGGAGGAAATCTCTGTTTTCCATCGAGAACTGTGGGACAAAGTCCTCCGGAAGCTATTTGTCCTGATTGCCATTATCCTTGAATTGCCAGAGAATTATTTTGTCGACGCTCATGCTTATGAAGAAGAATCGGATGATCATCTTCGATACATGATCTACAACGTGAGGACTCAGGAAGAATGGAACAAGGCACAGAACTACAGCAAAGGTGGCCACACCGACTTCGGCAGTCTGACTCTGCTGTTCTCTCAGCACGTCGCCGGCTTGCAAATTCGAACCCCTGAAGGAGATTGGAAATGGGTCAAACCTGTCCAGGGTGGAATTACCTGCAACGCAGCCGATACCCTGTCTTTCCTTACCAAAGGTAAGGGTTTGTTGACGTACAGACTGGCACACCACTAACGAGTCCCAGGCTTCATCAAGTCAACTATTCACCGAGTCGTCACCCCACCCAAGGATCAAATGCACATCCCCCGTCTGGGATTGCTCTACTTCTGTCGCCCTGGTCCGCACACACCAATGAGGGCTGTGCCATCTCCCCTTCTCGATCGCCTTGGTCTTTTGACCAGCGAAGACAAGGATCCCAACAAGAAAGTGCCCACTGGGACTGAATACGTACGAGCTAGAGTCAAGGATGTCCATCACAAGACCGTTATAACGAAGCGCGAAGGGACATCGTTTGATTTCCACGGGCTCAAGGTCCAGAACTACTATGATTAGGCTATAAGCCGTTAGACTCTCGGAGGCCAAGACGGAACAGCTAATTAGCAGCGATTCGTCTTGCTTGACCGAAAAGCTCCGGGGGAGAGCTGAGATAATAGCTTCACTTCAACATGACTCCCGGTATCATGACCCGGCTACTAGGATCATGGACCTAAAGGGTTCTGGATCTCTTCTTCCTTCGTCCGGAGTGCTGTGCATGCGGCGTTGCCGACAGCCACTCTCGATCGCTCTGTCCACGCTCTCCACGGAGTATGTGCCACGTGTGGTATGCATTCGAAGAATCTCTCAATTTTTCTTCTCGGCACTCCACCACGTGAGGAACCTCTTATCGATGTAAGCGACCTATGAGACTGCAGTCCACGTCGCCGCAAGCGAACATGTTAGTCGCGGGATAAGATGCCCTTCCAAGGTGTGCGTGATTCCTCGCACCTGATTGGCTCTAACCGAAGCCCACCTTAGAGGTTCCCTTCCTCATCCTGTATGTTGGAAATCATGCTACATCGATCGACGTCCGGGAATCAATTCGTGGACAGGTTTGTGGCGGTCGCGAGAGCGCCTCCCGGAGGTGCCTCGTGTCGGCAAAAGAGCGATATAATGCGGGACCGCCAACAGCCGGATGCTGACCTCTCACTCCTGACCATCTCTCGACCACTTGGGTGAGCACAACGCAGAGAACTATTCCATCTTAGCCAAGGGCCTCGACGCGATGGACTACGACAAGAGCGTACAGGAGTCGAAGCTCCCTGCTTCCAGCGACCACGACGCCGACCACGAACGAGATTCAGCCGTCTACTCCGGTCCCCTTGCTGAAGTCCCCAAAAGCCGATGGGAGCGCTCGTGGCCCGTTATCGCTTGCGGAGCAGGTTTGTTCTCTGATGGCTATCTCAACGGCGTTATCGGGTCGGTATCGACCATGCTCCAGCTCATCTATGGCAAGCAGTATACTGCTTCGTCGTATAGGAGTGCTGTTCCTAGCATCGCGTTTGCCGGCACAGTGGTTGGACATCTCTTCTTTGGAGTTTTGAGTGACCATTGGTCTCGGCGCAACACGCTGCTCATCTCAACGATCAGTAAGTGCGCTTGGTTGTACCATTCATGACTGTCAATGGACCTAACCTCTGATACCAGTCCTCATCCTGTTCTCGATCTTGTGCGCCGGCGCGTATGGTGCAGGCGGGAGCACGCAAGGTCTCTTCGCGGCGCTCTCAGCCTACCGGTTCCTGATCGGTCTAGGTATCGGAGGAGAATAGTAACACTCCCTGCCCCTTAGTCTTGCGCGGTCGCTAACGGCATTCATAGCCCTGCTGGATCAGTCGGCGCCGCGGAATCCACCGGAGAGCTGAAGAAGGGCCACCGCAACCGGTGGTTCATTCTGGCCACAGACTTTCAAATCGACCTGGGGTTCGTCGTTAGCGCATTCGTTCCCATGATCGTCGTGCTTGCCACGGGCGAAAACCATTTGCGTGCAGCGTGGAGGATTTGCCTCGCATTGGGTGCCATCCCGCCTTTGAGTCTCATCTATCTTCGGTACGCCACTCTTTACGGAGCGTTGCCCGGTCAAATCACCAGTTATGCTGACTTTGTCCCCCTTCACCTTCAGAGTCAAGCTCCAGGAACCAGAACAATACAATCGCAATAAAATGCACAAGTTCCCCGTCTGGTTGATCGTCAAGTTTTACTGGTGGAGATGTACCGTGATCTCGATCATCTGGTTCGTCTACGTGAGTATCCGCCCCATTCCGTGGGACAAACCCCCTTTGTAACGCGAATTCGCAGAACTTCTCCGCCTACTCATTCGGCATCTTCGCGTCCTCGTGGCTCGTGTTCATCCTTCCCAACGACGCTCCCCTCTGGAAGTCCTTCGGCATGGCCACTGCGATCAACAGCTTCTGGCTCCCCGGAGCCCTCATCGGCGCTTTCCTCGCCGACTGGATCGGCCCCAAATGGTGTCTCATCGCCGGCGTCTCCCTGCAAGGTATTGTCGGTTTTGCCATGACGGGCGCATACGGCGAGCTGAACCAGCCGTCCCGCGTCGCGGGCTTCATCATCCTGACCGGCATCTTCATGGCCCTCGGCGAGGTCGGCCCAGGCGACAACATCGGTCTCTTCGCCTCTAAGCTTTCCTCGACGCCGATCCGCGGTCAGTTCTACGGCGTTGCCGCCGCGTGGGGCAAAGTCGGTGCTTTCGTTGGCACGTACGTTTTCCCGCTGTTGATCGATGCCGCCGGCGACGACCCCGTTAAGCAGGGCCAATATCCCTTCTGGGTCAGTAGTAGCTTGTGTATCTTCAGCGCCGTTGTAGCCTATTTTGGCCTACCGACCGTGGGGCAGGATATGATAGAGCAAGAGGACGAGAGGTTCAAGCGGTATTTGGAACAGCACGGGTATGATACGAGCATGTTGGGCACCAAGAAGTTCAGGGAGGAGGCCGTGTCGGCTATTTAAATAGCATCACGAGCGAGAATCCGCTTATCGTGGCGCCAGTAAAGAGATGACCACACATGTTATTGCATCAGCCAGTCGACGCCGGGAGAGTGTTGTGCCCTGACTTGTTTAGTAGCGAGGCTCATGGGGAAGGCAGCAAGGTGGTGCATCGCAGTCAGTCTGCCGGATCAGGAATCAGAAACTGAGGAGTGCTGAAGTGAGGATGATCGTCGTCTGGTAGTCGCCGAGAATTGAACAAATGCAAAACATGAGGTTGTGGGTCAGCATGCCATGAAGAACCCTGTTCATAGACAATTCGACCACTCCATTTGGAGTACGGAGCACGGAGGCGGAAATAAGGTAGAAGATACTCCGTACTCCGTACCGAAGCAAGAAAAGGCACGAAGCCTCGTGCTCTCTCAAAGCTTAGGTGCCTTGTAGGTGGCTCGGTAGGCGCTAGCAAAACTGACTCGCTCGGACTACCTTCTAGCTGTAGAAGGTGGACGCCCCGCAAAGCATGTGCGTTGGGCGGGTCGCTGGCTGGGGAAGGTTCCTGCAGAGTGTGGCCGTCATGCTCAACGCTCCAGGCTGCATTGTGTTGCCGTGTTTCATGTTCGTCACCATTCCTTGATGTTTCACCACCACCTTCCCGCGCCGTTGCTTGCTCGCTCTCGCCTGCGCTCGTCGATGTCCCAAAGTAGCTCTTAGGAGCAGCTGCCTGCACCTGCTCATCATGTCTTCGCGACAGACGTCCCCGCAGTCCTCCGAAAGGACTCCTCTTCTCTCGAGGCCGGAAGACGATGCACGATCGAACTACTCGCATCAGGCCAATGGCGAGGTTCTGCCTTCGATATCGGACTCTTCAGAGACACCAAGCGCAAAAAAGCAGAAGAAATGGCCTACCATCGTAGCGTTGACGGTGCTGTGCCTGGCCGTGGTGTTGATATGTTTTGGACTTACTCTCCCATCGGTCATCGAGGAATATGCGAAAGAAAGTGTCGTTTTCGAGCCGACTAGACTGTCGATCGACTCTTTTACCAGCTTCGGCGTTCGCGCCAGAGTGGAAGGCGATTTCTATATGGACGCTTCGAAAGTCCGCAACGCAGCAACGAGGCGCCTGGGAAAATTCGGCACCTGGATCGCAAAGGAGGTCAAGAGCGGACAATCTGAAGTCCACGTATATCTACCACAATATGACAACGTCCTGCTAGGCACCGTCACAATTCCTCCGGTCAGGCTCAATATTCGCAATCATCATTACAACCATCTTGATATCTTTGCTGATCTCGAGCCTGGCGACGTGGACGGTGTGCGCAGACTGGCGAAGGATTTTATAGATCACAAGCTCGACCAAGTCATCGTCAACGCTGTGGCGACTGTTCCGGTCCAGAGTGGTCTGATCAAACTGGGCAAGCAGACAGTATCACAGACTCTGCAATTTCAAGGAAAAGATGTGCCGAAAGTGCCCCAACCTGATCTTCACGAACTTCGATTCGCCGACTACGGCTTGCCTGGACACCCCGAAGGCGTCAAAGCTATGGCAGTGGTGTCTGTGATGAATCGTTATCCCATCAATTTTGACGTCCCTCCTTTAGCCTTTGAGGTACTCCTACCCGACTGCAATCAAGATTATCTCCTCTTGGGGACGGCCAGTACCGACATTATCCATATATTGCCCAAACAAAATATCAGCGCAAGTGTGGTCGGTCTAGTCAAGCAATTACCAACTTCTCTAACCGAAATTTGCCCTGGCTCGAAGTCGTCGCCGTTGGATAGCTTCGTGGGCGATTACCTTGCTGGACGGGACACCACTGTTTACATCCGTGGTGCTCAACAAGATGCAAACACGCCTGCATGGATTGGCAAGATACTCCAAGACACAATGGTGCCATTTTCCATGCCTGGTCACCCTTTCGACAACCTGATCAAGAACTTCTCTCTGGCCGATGTGCAGTTTTCCCTCCCCGACCCGATGACAGAATCATATCCGAAATTGTCAGCAGTCGTACAGGTTCTGGTCGGATTACCAGCTGAGATGAATGTCAATTTGGATGTTAATAGAGTGAAAGCAGATGGGCACGTCTTCTACAAGGGTGAATTGTTAGGAAGACTGGATCTATCTAAGTGGCAAGCGGCGAATGCCACTAAAGTGGATGGGGATCTCTTGATCCAGTCGATTGTCAAGGATGCGCCCCTGGAAATTCAGAATGACAGCCTCTTCTCCGAGGTGGTACAGGCCTTGGTATTTGGCCATGGAGCGTCGCTCGGAGTGCAGGCGACTGTCGACGTCGACACTTCCACTGCTCTCGGAGAGTTTGAGGTTCGGAGGATCCCAGCCAAAGGCGAGATCTTCATCAAGCCAATGCGTGGCGGCGACTTCGAGATGCCGCAACCCGAAGTCAAAGGTTTGGAAATCGTCGACTCAACGGAGACGTCATTAACTCTGCAGGCAAGGGTTAATGCGACGAATCCTACCGACTACTCGGCAACCATCCCCTATTGCAACGTCAGCATTTATGTGAACGATACCCGGGTTGGATATGCATGGGTATCTAATCAACACATCGTCCCGGGCGCCAATGATCTCACTGCAAGAGCATCTTGGGAGACGGGCAAAATTGGATCCGAATGGCTCTCTCAATATATTTCTGGATATAACACCACTTTGACCATAAAAAGCCATCCTGGATCGATCCCGAATTTTCCTGATATCAAGATGGAGATGACGGTACCGACTCCACACATGATATCCCACCCTCTAAAGGAGACCACGGTACGTACCCCGGAATCGTCGAGATCTAGCTGACGGGATAGATGCATCTGTTTTCTTCCACGGCGACATTTATTCTGGTGTCGCCGCTTGCGTTTTACGTCACGAGCATTGCTGCCTCTGCCTACTACAATGGCTCCGAAATCGGCACAATAGAATACGAGTATCCTTTCGCGATCGAGCCCGGCGAGAATCTGACTCCTAGACTGCCTGTCGAATGGGGCGGCAATGCCTTGGGCACCATCAGAGACGCTCTCGGTGGGACGTTAAAATTGGACGCCAGAGCCGACATGGGGGTACGGATGGGGCGATGGCAGGAAAACCTCTGGTTTGAAGGGAGAGGGCTGGGAGCGAAGATTAGACTATAACGGGAGTTTGAGATATGGTATGTAAAGATGGACGGTATTGAACGCGGCGCTGATCATATAATGGCTAATAGAGCTTCTGTACAGTAATCCCCCGGAACAGCCTCTCTGGCCGGATTCTGCCCCGACGTCACTTCCCAAACAGGCATGGTTTGCGATAGCGAGAACGAGAATTTTTCAAGCGATTCGCTTCGGCCAAAGTTCGGCTTGGCGCTGATACTTGGAACGCCGATCACGTGTCACTCCAGCATTGAGGGAATATATACACCGGTCTGTGCTCCAGCGCTTCAGAGCTTCACCTTTCATGAGCTTCACCTACAATTGCAGCTTGCCTCACTCTCCGATAAATCACCAACCTCGATAATTCACAACATGCCACGTCGTTCGACCAACCCAATCCACAGCCTCAGCAATCAGCTCCGTAAAAAGGGCGTAGAAATGATTGCCGAACCTGTCCTCGACCCAGCATTCGGTCTCGTGTATACGTTCAAATCCGTCAAGCCAGGCATGAATAACAGTGACGTCGCTTACCGGTTATATTATGCCGGAGAGGTGGCGAAGTGGAGTCCAACTCGTCGGAAGGCGATAGATAGGGCGACCGCGCGGCTTAAGAAGCAGGAGGAAGACAGAGCGAGGCGCGAAGCTAGTGGGAGTCTGAGTACGAGTGCGACGCCAAGTGACAAGGGGAATTTGAGTGGGAGTGAGTGAGGACGACGGGACGTTGGAGGATTGAGGATGGATCGAAACGACGTTCAACGTTCGGATAACGATACATCACAACCTATCACGATACTGCTGTTCCGATTTCGATCAGCCTGGATAGGCTGTCAGTTCGGAACATGTCACCTCACATCCCGGCACTGTTGTTCCCACTTGGATCAGCCCGGAGAGGGCGTCGAATGCGTATCAGCTGTTATTATCTGTCTTGAGGCAATGCTAGTTGTGAGGGAGCCGGGAGGAGATTTCGTCTACCACTGCTCGAAAACACAGCTGTCTTTCACGACCGGGAGCTGCACTAAACATGCTACCCATGGCAACTGGCCTGCGTCGAGTGTCGAAGGAACGAACTCGAAGATCTCGAGAATACGAGCGGCCGGTCACCACATGCCATGATTGATGCCGTGATGATGTCCAGAGCTTTTACCAACCCAGCGGGCGAAGTCTTGCACAAGGCTAGCAAGATCGACTACCGTTACGCTGCTTAACATGGACAGAAGCTTCAAGCTCGACTTGAGACGATGGTTCCAAATCACAGGACTACGAGCGTCAGATTGGCCTCTACCACAACATCACATCACGCACTGCACCTAACCTTCGGCAAATGAAGCTGCAAATCTCATGGGGACTGAGTGCCCCAAGCAGTGCTCATCACCCCGCGGGTTGCGGGGGTCTAATCGGAACTTTGATTCCAGACTCATAGGGCAGCTCACGGTCGAGTGTCAGGACGAAGTAGTGCGTGCTCTGCCCTTTTGTGACCGTCCTGAGACTTCCTTAAACTGTCGAGGGAGAGATTAAGATTGTTGATCGTGACCGACCCGAGGTATCTCCCAACCATCGAGGGAGAGATACAGCTTGGTGCGGACCAGAGAAACACCGCGGTACAATAACCTCTTCAGAACCTAGGACTGTGGGACATGTGTTCCAGGGATCGGGAATCAGCGGGGGCTTCATGAACTCGGCGAGAACTTGAGCCCCGAGAATACAGAGTCCATACCCGAATCTGTACTGACTGGACTCTACTGCGTTGTCGTTTTCGCAAGTTTCAACGTCGAAAGACAACAACGCCCTTCTCATGCATATTACCTGATTTAGTCACGCGATCAACCCGTACAAGCCGAGTATGTACCTGGATCCGCTGTCTTTGTATACCCTTACCGTCGATGATGGCGGACAATGATAAATCCACAATAGGTACTTTCTGTTGATCGTCCATGTGAGAGGATGGTGTGCACAGACATCACTACCACAGCCATGGTCGCAACCACATCGTGACCAGGGGAGGGCATCGTCAATGACAGTGGCAGTAGCCGGTAGCAAGCAGTAGCAGTAGCAGTAGCAGGCACCGAGCATGAATACTACCAATACCGTTACCGCCCCAATTCACCAATGCGTGTGATTCACTTACTGCCACACCCGCGCGTGTCTACCTCACTTCCACCCCGATCTCGAGATCATGACTTGACTTTACGGTCACTTTGTCGATTCCGGAAATCAAAAACTGCGAGTACTGTATGCGAGGCCGACTGCGCAACCTTGGAAACAGAAATGGACTGCTCAGTCACCCACCCACCCAGGCAGTGATTGACGGCGCCCAACACCAGTCAAACTACTTCTCAGTCGTTCTTCGCACCAAGAGCCACGTTCAAATCCGAAATCAGTCGCGCCCGTCCACGACATCTAGCGCTGGCACGCGTGCAGGTACTGTAGCTAGCCAGCCATCCACCCATTCGCTCGAGTCAGTCACTCACTCGCTCACTTACCACTCGCTGACTCATTCACCCACTGGTTCAGCGATCCAGACACGCTCGTTCAGCGATCCAGACACTTTCGGAAGTTCACCACGCCATCACATGCCGACATTCCGAGACCGAGGACAAGATCGACAGCAAACCGGACGACGACGTGACTCCCTGAGAGGATTGCTCAAGGGATTCCACGCCCGACGGATGGCCACCAGCCACGGGCACGAAGACGAAAGCGAGAACAGGGACGAGACTCACGCTGAGATGGGACCTGAAAGCAATGGTGATAGCAATACCAAAACCGACACCAACTTTGACGGCAACACGGTCGGACAAGTCTCTGGCTTGCACTCGCACTCGGCGCCAATCTTCATATCAGGAAATGAAGCCGCCAAAGCCTCTGGCATCTCTGGCGAGTTCGTACAACGAGGCTCAGAGACTGGTGAGTCGCGTGACAGAATGATCGACCACAGCCATAACCACACCAACACCAACAGGAACAGAGACAGCGTCGACAAGAACCTTCAAATGTCCTTTGACATCACGCGTACCACTGGGGCCGAGACAGACACGCAGACCGAGACCGAGACCAAGACCGACCCCAATGTGACGAATGGACCAGGTCCGGCAATCGACGCGGTGTCATCTTCATCTCCATCTTGTGAGAGTACATCTCCACTTCCATCTCCACTTCCATCTTTACCCTACATCGGAGCAGGGCCTCGGGACACAGACACGCCTCGGCTTGCAGCTACAATCGACACATCTTCTTACACCACAAACACAACTTCATACTTATCTGCCATTGAGTCGTCTCCTCAGAACGGAAACACAGCCTCATATTTGTCGGCCGTCGACTCGGCTTCTGGCAACGACAACAGCGGCAGCGGCGGCGGCCGCGCCTGCGAGGGTACCACCAAAACAAGACGTCCCCGCCGCACGACGTTGGGAAAGCTGGAACAGAGCGTCAAGGTCACCTTGGAAAACGAGTGCGCGAGAGCTGAGCTCGAGGAGGCGGGGATTCATGTCGTGGATTTTGCGACAGGGTATGCTACCAAGCGCGCCCCACCCACTCACTCGACATGCCGTTGTGACTGATGGAGGTTCGATGAGAATGTGGATGTGGTAGCGCGTGCCGGGCATGAGCGACTCCAGAAGACATAGAACTACGCCGTGTGGACGAATGTTGACTGCTGTCCTAGGATGTCATGTCATATTATGTTCTGCGGGATCGTTGGTTGAATGGATCGGTGGATGGACGTAAGGATGGCGGCATAGCAAAGCAGGGCAGAGCAGAATTGTTGGAAAAGCACGGATGGAGCGACGTGAAAAGGTCGGAGTCGTTGTTCGTCAACCGAGCGAGAACGCCGTTGACGAGGAAAAGCGAACCGAACACGCATTCAAATCCAAACCTGACGGCTCATCCGAAGCAGAATTGCACAAAGTCTCCCTCCTTTGCGCGCCGGGCATCAAGCTCGTCTCCCCACCAGAAGTCTTCATGCCCGATATCTTGTTCGGTCCACACCGCTTCCATCACGTCCAGCACAGTCATGAACATCTGGTATCCAAACTTTCGGAACCACCGCCTGCAGAATTCGGCGGCGAACTCGCGGTGCGTCACGGTGCGCATCTCGCAGCCGGCGATGAACACGGGGAATAGAAGCTGTTTCTGGATCAGCGAGGTAGATCGACAGGCTGCTACATGGTCGAGGCAGACGCGTGACAGGAATGATATCCTCGATTGAGCTGTGGCCTGTAGTTGCTGATGCCGGTGGTCGTGGTTCTGCCCCTGCTTCTGCTTCGGGACGGTGAAAACGCGTAGAATGTAGATCAGCAGGGCGTACCGAAAGCCCTCGCAGCAGTGATATTTGTCACGTTCGATATGCATGGCTTCTTCGTCATCGGTGTTGGCGTCCAGATACAAACCCCTGCCCGCACCGGGATATTCATAACGTCTCAACGATTGTTCGATTTGGGAAACAAGGAGGGCGGCAGTCCTGCTCTCTTTCCGAGCTGATAGGTTCGCTAGCTGGATCATGGGAACGAAGAGTTCACGCGGACAGCCGTTCAGTTCGTAGAACGTCCACGGCTGGCGGCCTTCGTGTCGCAGGACGGCTTCGAGGTATGTATAGGGGAGGATGCATTCTGTGCGGGCGAGCATGGCTACCATGGTGTCCCACCTTGGACTTTCAGCACCAGAATTGGACTCTTCAAGAGAGGGTTATTTCCGGAGAGGACTTACCAGAGTATCATGGATACCTGTACGTTCGCTCGCTTGCTTGAAGACCATATTCCGGGGCCGCCGCAGAGCTCGAGAAGTTGGTATGCGTCTGTCAGCCGAGATCTCCAGATGTTGAGGGCCGAGATGGTCGCCTGCCATGTTAGTATTGGAGTAGAAGTCCACTGGCTAAAGCGTACCTCAAGTTGCCAGAGAGCCAGTGTCGTGTCCAGCAGGCTGAGACCGTTGTTGTACAAGTCGGTCCTCGTCAACGCGCTTTGGTAGAGCACCATGGCCGTGTTCTTGTGATCCAGCGCTTCGGCTGGGGGCGTGGCCTGGGTAGGCGACCGAAGCGTGAAATGCGACGTGATCGCCAGGATCGCGTGTAGTAAATGCCGCGAACCTTTGGCCGTCTCCGGTCTGTATCGGTAAGGATTTACACTAAAGTCGTTGGTGATCGGATACTTGGTGAACTGAATGTCATCTACAATGCCATGTCAGCCAGCTGACGACCCAGTTACTGTGAGCCGGGACGTACACATGTTGAGCAGACCCGAGAACTTGTCGTGGAGTGTTGGGAAGCATATCTGAGAGATATAAGCGGGAGTCGTCTGATAAGCGTATTCGGACTCGGAAATGTGTCCGGCCTCAGACCATGAGTCCGTGGTCCTTCCTGGCGTGAGCTGGCTCCATGCTCCAGGAGAATTGGTATACTGCTGAATTTGCAGACAGTGCTCCAGACTCTCAGTGTCCGGGCTATGGACGTTCTGAACCTCGGGGACGAACTCCGAATCCAAGACCGTGGATTGCCAGATGCCTGCGGAAATGGCTGCTTCTGACTGAAGCGATAAAGCATCGGGCGGCAGATCGAACGAATTGCCAAACTCGGTCAGAGAGAGCGATGGGCTGATGGACATTGGCAAAATCTCTGAGCTTATAGAATCCCCTGGTTCGCTAACGGCAAATGCGTACTTGAGCTTTACGCCATCTTCAGCTGTATGGCTTTTCTTCCGTCGTTTCGTCGGCCGGCCGGCAACAAACTTGAACTCTCGTAAGGCCCTGGTAGCACTCGACGGTCTCTTGTTATTTGATGACAGTCTAGCTCTATCGTCGTTCCTGGGTTGATCTGGAGTGCCTGCTTCAGAGATACTGGTCTTGACCTTTGGGGGTTTGTTGTCTGCCGAGTGATGTCGCTGCCATGTCAAATTCATGGAATAACCCTGGCATAATCGGCCTGCATCCTGGCACTGTGAGCATCTTGGTCTTTGCCTATCACAATGCAAAGATAGCGAAACACACGTATGACAATCAGATTTGGCGAAGGCGAGGGAATTTGTTCTCCGAGTTGGCACATGTCCAGGCGACCGCAAGGGCGACAGGATAGAGGCCATTGTTAGAGTTGGCTTGGGCACCGCAGTCGGTTATGGTCATGTACTGAAGAGGAGCATAAAGACGTCTTACAGCCATTCAAGCCAAGGAGCCAGGGAAGAAAGCAGATGGTCGTTGGAGCAGGAAGAGCAGGTGCACAGCTGCTAGCTTGCTTCTGCCTCGGCCCAATTAGAAGGCGCGATCTGGCGCCGTGAGGCCCTAATTATCTACCGTCTAGGCTTGTTACCCATCCGTCGTCTCCGCCTTGCCCGCAGCAAGCGGCCGCTTATCGTGCATCTACAGGCACGGAAACACGAGGACCAGGAGATGGCAATCAGAAGCACGATTGCGGAGTTATAACGACACTATCTCACTCAGACATGCCTAGATGCGCTAGCAAATCAAGGCTTGGCCATACAGTTCTGCTGTGTTCTATCCCGAGCCTAGAGCTTCTTATCCTGAGAAATGGAGCGCTGCCTGAGTGCCTCGAGAATTCCATCTTCATCTGCCACAGCCACCCCCTCGATCTCCCGGTGTCCAAGCAGCTCATCGTGACGTGCCGCTTGAAGCAGCTCCAGATTGAGACTCGGGCCTTTGAAGACGTGTCGCTGGTAGACCACCCAGTTGAGTAGGAGGAAGGCCACCAGACCCACAATCACCACGCTGATCTGCTGTCAGTAGCCGTAGTCCCAGGAAGCTTTCCAACTTACCTGATCCAATTCATATTTTCTGTGAAGATACGTCAGCGTGTGCTTGTACCAACGCGCAATAGCGATTAGAGCCTCTACAATGAAGTTTCCTGAGATTGAGAAGGTAGAACTTACCGACTGTGACCGGCCGGAATACTGGGATGCAGTAAATGATATCGATGAACACGACCCAGACGCAAGCGAGGACATTCAGCGGAAGGCCGAATTTGCCGAGATTCAATGCTCTCGGAGGTAAGACTTTGTCCCTTCCTCGCCACGCCAGGATGCCTTGCGGAACGACGTAGCTGGTCGTTTGGAAAACTATGCAAGCGCCCACCATGGAAGAGAATGCAGCTGACGACCCCAGGTAGATCAATCCGTAAAGCTTCGGTTTTGTCAGCACATAATAATCTCCCGAGATCCTCACTTACCGTAACAAAAGTGCCTTCGAGACATACTGCGTTCACCGGCATCTGCCACCGAGGATGGATTTGTTTCCAATATTTTGCAAAAGGGAAACAGTTGTCCCTCGAGGCGGACCACATCTGACGGCTGGCACTCGTAGCACTAGCTGTGGCACACCCAAAGAAGCATATCGCAAATGCCACCATGAGGATTGTAGTGCCAGCTTTACTACCGGTCGCCTGGTAATAGACTTCGATGAGTGGGAGGCCGGTCGGCGTGGAAATGACTTTTTCAAAATCGGTAATCACGAATGACAGTGAGATCGCGTAGGGGAAACCTATGTTTCGTCAGCAAGTCTCAGTACCTGGTGTCTGGAACTTACAAGTGACGAATCCCATCAAAACTGGGTACATCTAAATCCGTGAGCAGATCTTCTCCAGGACGCAGATCCACTTACAATCACTTTGGGCACATTGACGGTAGGTCTTGGAATCTCTTCGCAGAGATGCGCCCCGCAGTCTACGCCGAGAAAACCATAGAGAGCATTCACAAGACACAGGAGGAACGCGAACCCGTCGTCAGGCCAGCCCGTCGAGTTGGTCGTGTCGGAGAAAACAAATTTGGCAGACTGGAATTTGGGAGCAGCGCAAGCCAAGATCGTGATCATCGTGACAACCAACGTTATCGCCGAGAAGACAACTGGTCACGAATCAGTGCTTGCCCAGATTGCCGAAGGGGAAAGTCGGACGGATAAACCTGTTCCACAGAGGAAGCCATCTCGTCCCGAATACGTTCAACCCAATGGCTAACCAAGTGACAGCCACAAATAACAACCAGATATGCCACCTCTCAATGACATAATCTGGATGGTTGAGAACAGCAATTCCTGTAATCATCTAGAGTTCCGGGGAAAGTCAGCAATGTCCACCGGGCTTCCGCAAGACAGATCAAGACCGAGGCTATAAACCATCAATGAGAACTTGAGAGGTGCACAACGTACCGATGCAACGAAGTTTGTCACGCTGGCAAGGCCCAGCCACCATCCCAATGTACTGATACCCGCGGAACTAGTCACAGTCAGCTAGCACGGATAGATGCGAGTGCTTCCACCAACATTTATGAGGCGAATGGGCCCCACTCGGGAGTCGAAACCACATAAGACCAATAGTACTGTGCGCCGGCAACAGGGTATGCGCTGGCCAATTCAGCCATGCCAATGCCGGTCACGGCTGTCATCAACCCAGCGATTGTGAGGGTCCAGATGGAACCGGCAGAAGAGGCCTCCGTAAATCCAGTCCCAAAGGCACTTCCAAAGCCGTTCCAGGTTGCAAGCAGAGCGTAGGACATGGCGATCAGAGAAAGAAGATTGAACCGCCGAGGCATGGCCCGGTCGTAGCCCTGCGCCTTCAACTCGACGTCATCAATGTCGATATGCACATTTTCTCGGTCGTCCGCTGAGCTGAGGACGGTTGCGGTCGTAACAGCCATTGTGATGATGGGCGTTGGCCTCCACGTGTCGGAGAGAGTAGAGAAGAGCTTGTTGTCCTCGACCGAAGGTAAGCCGTTTTTTCATATCCTTTCAGTTGGCAAATACAGGGCTTGAAAAGATAAGCTTTGGTGAACAGTATTGCCATTCTGGGCATGAGAGATGATAACTGTGTTGAGTATAGGTGAGCTTACGATAGGTCATTGAGGAGAGACGGGACAACGATCCTCGAGATATCAGTGGTTAAGCTTCAAATCTGGCTAGGCATCCGGGCCAAGGAAGCTTGCAAGGAGGATGATGCCCGATCGGGCAACAGAGTTGGTGGAGATGGCCGGCCTGGACCAGACCCGGAGATAAGAACTGACTAACAGAAGTTGGGACTGCCTGTTTAGGCAGGGGAGCCCCGCCGGGCGGCAAGGGCGGACTCATATTAAAATGGCATAGTCGTTCGATCGGGGAATGCAGGGAGAACGGGGACCTGAATCAACCTAGCTATGGCGACAACAACGCTCGCGGCCATAGAGACGGACAGGCAGTTCTTGCCCATCAAGGCGGAAAGTCTTCCACCGGTACCTACATTCGAGGCTGACGCCAATCCGGAGGAGGTGATAAAGGCTTTGAAGATTAGCGGAGGATGCAAGGTCAAAGCCGCGGTCGGGAAGGGCGTGCTAGCACAGGTCGAACGGGAGTTGCGCCCCCATATTGAAGCTGACGTGGTATGGGAGGGAGATTTCTTCCCCATCCAGACTCGAAGGGTGGAAGGCATGATCGGCAAATCTCCCATATGTGCCGAGCACATCATCAACCATCCGCTTTATCAAGCAGTCTGTAAGGAGTTTTTGACGACCAAGAATTGGTACTGGAGTGGAAACAAGAAGGTCTTTGCGACCTCGGATCCTCAGCTCAACAACTCCATCTGCTTCTCGATCGGACCTGGGGCATGGGACCAGCCTCTACACAGGGACAGCTGGTGCCATCAGACCAACGAGCAGGAGGTAGATGTATACCCGGACAACTATGACCGAGACGTGGGGATCGGCTGGTTTGTCGCAGGCAAACCTGCAACAAAAGAAAACGGGGCGACAAGGTTTATTCCAGGAAGTCACCTATGGTCCAAAGACCGGCCTCCTCAGGACGACCTCGCGGTGCATGCGGAGCTCGAGCCAGGAGTGAGTTGCTTTCTGATAATACCATGGTCGAAGCTGATCTTGTGTTTAGGATGCTTTCATGATGCTTAGCTCGTGTTACCATGGAGGGTCCGCCAACAAGACAAGTGACCAAGAACGCCTATTGTTTAGGTAAGCTCCTCAAGAATCGGATATGCACGAGACTAACCGGTTCAGTTGCTTCATGACAAAAGGCTGGTTGCGTCAAGAAGAGAATCAATACCTTGCAATTCCGAGGGAGGTAGTGTTGAAGATGCCGGTGCATATCCAGCAGCTGATGGGCTATAAGTTGAGCCAGCCCTTCTGTGGATGGGTCGAGAGTGATGATCCTCGGGTTGTGTTAGACCCATCATTGAAAGATGATCCATCGGGACATTATGATGAAGAATAAAAGCACGGGGCTCTCGGGTGATCCTTAAGCCGGGGTTATTGCTGTGCGTGTGTGGGAAAGATAAACAGGAGCTGTCTTCAACACGTGGGAGATCTGGTAAAAGCAGACAGAAAGACGCCCGACTGTGTCCTCGGATGCAAGATTTGACCTGACGTGCTATTGTAGACTTTTCATGGGCTACAAGCGATCGCTCGACAGACCGGGTGTGACGTCCATGGGACAATATCTCTGTATTAGAAAGGAAATGAGAAAGTACTTGAGTGAGGTTGTAATGAAAAAAAATTGTGAGATTCGATGTGAAAGGACGCGTTCGTAGCACCGGCAACTTAGCCGACAAAGCCTGAGTTCATCCTTTCCTTCCCCCTGCCATCGAGGTCGTTTAACCTCAATTTGTATGTTTTTCTTTTCATTGAGGATGCCCGGGCAGAGCAGCGTCATCATCTGGCCGTGCTCCGCTGAGTGCATCGAGTCTCGAGCAAGAAGCCCGCCATGAGCTGAAGAACCACGCAATTGTCAATAGCGGCATGAATCACACCTGACCCCAATCTGAGCCTCCACTGACTAGCATCACAGCAGTAAATCCTGGTGCTACCACTATCTCCGCCATGAATACACGTCTTGCCATCAGGTCTCAATGCAGAAAGACAATGTCCAGGCAATCGCTTCGCAGTAAGATGGACGAGCTATGCGCTTATTTGACCTCCGTCGTAACATCTTGACCACTCATGCCTCCAGGCTGGGTGCCAGGCCCGTTCGAAAAAACGTCAACACGAAGGTTTCGGGACCCGATCCCGCGCTATCCTAAAATCCAGCTCAATGCTGCACTGGAGGATCAAACAGCATGCCACCCGGCGTTCGTTTCAGCTGTTGTAATACACGTGCTGTGGTCGATCTTAGTTTCGACACGACCTTGATCTCCACCCCGAGAAGGGCGGCGTGAGCACCAAGCATACAACAGGCATTTCAACATCCTGATGCATGATCTGCAAGCATCCAAGTTGACAGAAACGAGAGAACTGGAGTGGGTCGGCTTATGTCTGAAAGCGGGTTTTTTGGCCAGCCAGTGGAAAACCAGGACCAACAGAGTCAGCAATTCAAGCAGTTGGGTTTTCGACATGGAAAGACACCTCTTGGACTGGACGGGGAGATCAGCATTTGCGCCGAGCATTGGCAATCAAGTCTGTCAACACTTGATTGGCTGCCAAGCAAAACGAAGGTCCGCTTCCAGCAGCATGTCGCATGGATGGTTTCCGTCTGACGCTTCGGGTCCCGTTGCCGTTGGGGCCAGCGGTACGTGGGGCCGAGTGGTAGGAAATGGGTCTGACACGACCGTTATTTCCCTTTAGCTACTTCGGCACCCCGTTCGCGCAGGCTTAGTGCAAGGAGATCCACCAGATCACATCTCTCCTTGATGCGGGGTTTGCTGCGCAGATCGACCCGGGGTTTGCTGTCCTTTATACCACGTTCTCCGGCGCATCTCGCAACGATCTGTTTTCTCATGGAAATTTGTATAGACGCAGCAACTCCGAGGGTGACCGACTCGAGCACCGACGCGGTCATGGCGGAGAAAGAAGCATCGATCGCGACTCCCAGCCTGGAACTATCGCCTCAATCGACAGAGCAGTCACGCGTCGACGATGAACCCAATCTGTGGAAGTCTATCAAGAAATGGCCGCGCATGCTAGGATATTCATTTGGCTTAGCGTCGGGCATCTTGCTCTACGGGTTTGACACGTCCATCGTGGGAAATGTCTCTGCGATACCTGAATTCCAGTAAGTCACCCGAGTTCCGACCCTCGTCTGTCCCTTGTGCGCAACGTTAATCCCGACCAGAGGCGACTACGGTCGCAAACTGGATGACCGATACATCATCCCTTCGATGTGGATGGGCTTGTGGAACGCGATAAGTCCGATCGGCATCATGATAGGCAGCATAATGGCCGGCTGGCTGCAGGATCGAGTGGGCCGACGTCTGTCGCTTGGGCTCAGCAGTGTCCTATCAGCTGCGGGTGTCGCGGCAGTGTTCTCCTCTCAGTTCCTGGACGACTTGGAGTCACGCAGAGGCGCCTTTCTTGCCGCTAAACTGATCATGGGACTGGCCATAGGAGGCGTCCTCTGCACCACTCAGACGTACCTCAGCGAGATTCTCCCGCCAAAGCTGAGAGGGTCGGTCATGGCTTTCTTCCCTGTCTTCACACTTCTCGGCCAGCTGATCGGCGCGGTTGTCGTCTATGCCTCGCTGGATCTTCCAGGGAAGCGGCCGTACACCACTCCCATGATTGCACAATGGCCGTTTTCCGCTGTTCCGCTCGTGATAGCGATAGTATTGCCAGAAAGTCCAGCGTACCTCTTGCGCAAGAGGAAGTTCGACAAAGCATTCAAGGCACAGCGACGGCTCGACAGTGCCAAGACAGACACACAAAGAAACATCGACAATCTGCTGTTTGCATTGCAAAAGGAGGAGGAACAGGACAGACACGACCGGGCGACTTACCTGGAATGCTTCCGGGGGACAAATCTGCGGCGCACCCTGATTGTGATATTCGCAAATCTCTTGCCTCAGCTGTTCGGACTGTCCTTGCTTTCTGACGCGAGCTACTTCATCCAAGTGGTTGGCATGAGTGCGCACAATGCTCTTCTGTTCCTTCAGCTCGGTGTCGCTCTGGGGCTGGTGGCCAACATTGTCAGCATGTGGATGGTTACCAAAGTTGGACGCCGGCCCCTCGGTATGACTACCCTGGCTATCAGCATCCTCTTGTGGGGCGCCATGGGGATTGCCGGCATTTTCGACGGCGTGGTGGTAATATGGTATGAGCGGCCTCGTGCTCCCTTGTGCGCCTTTGCTGATTCCGCGCAGGTATACTGCAGTCACCATGATGGTCATTATCGTGAGTATCCCGTCTCGGATGACCCCATGTTTGGTCCCACGTGGCAGTTCCCAGGTTGTAACTTTTTAAGCTTCAGTCCGGGCCGGCTCGGCCTGGGGATAGAGAAAGATCCATGCTAACACACATACCTAGATTGTCGTCGGAGTTGGAATCTGGCCCGTCGCCTATGTCGTCGGCGCCGAAACATCCTCACTTCGCCTGCGCGCAAAAACCCAAGGCATAGGCTGGTTCAGTGGCGCCTTCGCCCAGGGCGCATTTGGCATCAGTCTGCCTTATGCGTACAATATCGACGAGGGCGATCTAAGAGCCAAAACCGGCTTTATCATTGCCGGCTTCACCATCATAGCCCTGGGGCTTACTTGGCTGTTTGTGCCAGAAATGAAGGAGCGGACCACCGCAGAGATCGACACCATGTTTGAGCGTCGCTTGCCGGCCAGGCAGTTCAAGCATTGGAGAGGTACAGTCGCCGGACCTGGCCACGACAACCCTTTTGGGTCGGAAGCCCATCTCGCCTAACATAGAGCGCATCCTGCCCACTGTAGAATGTGGTTATAACATAATGTCATTCACTCACCAGGTGTTTAGGTCAGCAATTCCGTCGGAAACATCCCGTCTTATGAGATTCGCACCACTCGCTCCGGGTGGATGCCGTGTGGAGGCACCAAAGGGACGCCCTGCTTTGTCAGTCCTAACGTAATAGTCGCACATAGCACATACGTGGTACTGTACTCGTACATATCCGAATGGCGGCAGAAGTGTCACCCGACTTGATTCGGGTAGTGCATGCACCCCGATAACATGGACTTCCCGGTGCGAAGCTTCCCCAGATCTCAGGTCAAAGCACATACAGAGACAGTACCAGCTCTGTGCAATCTGCTTGTGTACTGTACTACACAGGGAGCAACCTCGGCTGTGGCCCCAGATCTCAGGCCTTCACGGCTAAGGGTGCTGGGCCCCCCTCCCACAACCCCTCACTCCACAAATCCAGCACGGTTCCACAGACAACACAGCCATCACAGGGCCAGGCCTGAGACGCCGAGTATCCATCGCCCGGACTAGTCAGCTTACTTTGACTCATTTGTCGAATACGACCGTTGGGTAGGCGAATCAGCACGCATCAAGCAGCGGTCTCGACAGATGCACTCGTCAACAGCTCCAAGTCACGCGAGGTATCATAAACTCGGTCCTCAGTAGCTATAAGAAGCGACACATCTACCCGGTGGGCGGCCTCCGCCTTGACCTTCGAACTGCAAGGAATCCTTCCTCCCGGGCTACCCCATCGCACACCTCAAATACTACTTGCCGCGTCTGGTTCTGGTTCCCCACGGCACAAAATGGCCGACACGAACATCAACCCGTCCGTCGGGGCCATCGTGCACAGCGATGTCCTCGTCATCGGCGCCGGCTTCAGCGGCATCTCCATGCTGTACCGACTGCGCAAAGCCGGGTTCAACACCAAGGTCTTCGAGTCTGGCGGTGACTTCGGCGGCGTGTGGTACTGGAATCGATACCCCGGCGCGAGGGTCGACTCGGAGTGGCCCTACTACCAGCTGAACATCCCGGAGGTGTACCGCGACTGGGAGTTCTCGGAGAAGTTCCCCGGCCACAAGGAGATCCGGGCGTACTGCGCACACGTGGACAAGGTCCTGAACCTGCGCAAGGACGTGCAATTCAACGCCCACGTCGTGGACGCGCGGTACAGCGCGGAAGAGGGCCAATGGACGGTCAAGACGCAGCAGGGCCACATCGCCAAGAGCAAGTACTTGGTCCTGTGCACGGGCCTGCTGCACCGGCGGCATATCCCGGACTTCCCAGGCCTGACGTCCTACAAGGGGGTGGTCCATCACACGGGCTTCTGGCCCGAGGACATGAGCGTCAAGGGCAAGAAGGTCGGCTTGATCGGCGCGGGCGCCACGGCCGTGCAGGTCGTGCAGGAGCTGGCCAAGGAGGCGGATCAGCTTACCGTCTTCATGCGCCGGCCGAGTCTGTGCTTGCCGATGGGCCAGCGGCCCGTGGGGTCCGACGAGCAGAAGGGGTGGAAGGCGTATTTCCAGACGCTTTTCAAGGCAGGTCGCCAGTCGAGAGCCGGGTTCCCGGGTTCGGTTGAGGAGGTCGGTGTGTTCGACGTGTCTGAGGAAGAGAGGCTGCGACACCTCGAAGACATTTGGGCGAGAGGCGGGTTCAACTACCTTATGTGCAATTACAACAACGTGGTCCTGGACAAGGAGGCCAACAAAGTGGTGTACGACTTCTGGGCCAACAAGATCAGCCAGCGGATCAAGGACCCGAAGAAGACGGAGCTCATGGTCCCCAAGGAGGCGCCCTATTACTTTGGCACGAAACGAAGCCCACTCGAGCAAGATTACTACGAGATGCTGGATCGGCCGAACGTCGACATTGTCAACTTGAACGAGACGCCCCTGAAGACCTTCAACGAGACTGGCATGCTCTTGGAGGACGGCAAACAGCTAGACTTTGACGTCGTCGTCCTTGCCACGGGGTTTGATTCGTTTTCTGGATCGTGAGTTTTGACAGCAAGCGAGGATTGTATGTTATGGCTAACAACTACCCCACCAGGTTAACGCAAATGGGCCTCAAGAACAGAGACGGCATGGATATCAAAGACGTCTGGCGGGACGGCATCCGCACATACCTGGGCATGACGTTCAATGGGTTCCCCAACTGCTTTATGGTGTACACTCCCCATGGTGCGTCATTGACCCCTTTTGCTTCTGATGGGTGGAAATGGCTAACCGTCTCGCAGCCCCGACCGCTCTGTCCAATGGTCCTACCATCATCGAAGCACAGGCCGATTTCATCCTCGCGGCGATTGAAAAGCTTGAAAAGGAGGGCGCGAAAAGTATAGAGCCCAACAGAGATGCCGAGGACGAGTGGGATAACATGATCGACGCGATGAACAAGCATACGCTCTTCCCGTTTACGAATTCGTGGTGGAACGGGGCCAACATCCCGGGGAAGCGGATCCAAATCGTCACGCACCCGGGTGGTATTCAGATGTATGAGGCCCAATGCCGAGAGAAGCTGGACGGCTGGAAGGGCTTCACCGTCGAGCATAATAAGAACGGCGCGGCTGAAGAAAATGGGGTTGCAAAGGAGAACGGCGTGGCCACGGAGAATGGCATAGCGGCCCACTGATGGACACATCTAAATGCCCCGAACCGAGCCAGCACAGCTCGTGGCTCTGTATAAAATTCTTTCGTGGTCTAAATAGTCACTTGCCGAAGATGGCAATGTTCAAGTCCAACACAAAACGGCCTTGATGGCCCTTCCTGATCTCGAATCCTCAAATGCCCTCGCATAGTCCTTGGCGTCATAGTACGACACTATCTCCTCGAGCGGGAACTTGCCTGCCCGCTGCTGCTCCATGAGGTAAGGGAGCATTTTGCTCGGGACGCAGTCGCCGCCAGCGCAACCGACATATTCTTGTCCTCGAAGTAGATGCTGCAGGATCTTGATGGGGACTGTCTTGTCCGGAGCAGTCAACCCGACCTGTGCAGCTCGGCCACGGACAGCCAAACACTCCATCATTGTTTCGATGACTTTTGCAGCCCCCGTGCAGTCGACGGCGTAGTTTACGCCATTTGGCACATGTTTTTTCACCTCTGCAACGACATCCGGGCAGTTGCCATCCACGATGTGAGTGGCGCCGAGGTTCTTCGCGACCTCTAATCGTTGGGCGCTGAGGTCCACGGCGATGATGGTGCCCGCGTTTTTCAGCTTGGCGGCCATCACGGCGCTCAGGCCGACGCTGCCGACGCCGAATACCGCCAGGCTCGAGCCCTCTTTCAGGTCGAGTGTGTTCAACACGCTGCCTACTCCTGTGGAGATCCCGCAGCCCAGAGGTGCGAACAATTTTAGGTCTGTGTCGCGTGGGACCTTTAACACGCAGGACTGATCCACCACGGCGTGTCGGGAGAAGGAACTCTGTCCGAAGAAACTGCTGAAACAAGGGGCCACGTCGCCTTTCATCCCCGTGTCCGCATCGATAGACATCGTCGTGCTTCCGTCGGATACTCTACAGCCGCCAAAGTTCCGAGGCATGCCTTGGTCACAGTAATTCGGGTGGCCAGCCACGCAATTCGGACATTTCTGGCACACGTTTATGCTCAGCAGGACTTTATCGTGTGGCGCCACATGGGAGACATCAGTTCCAATGGCGAGGACGACACCCGCTCCTTCGTGACCTAGTACTGCAGGGGTCGAAATGGGGAGCATGCCATCCATGCATGACAGATCGGTGTGGCAGATGCCCGTCGCATGTATTTCGACCAATACTTCATCTTTCTGGAGAGGGGACAGGTGGACCTTTTGCAGTTGCAAAGGAGCTTTGAGCGCTGGGAGCACTAATGCTTCAGTAGATGTCGGTGTGACCGCCATAGTTCCAAACAGCCCAATGCAATGTCGAAGAAGAGGTATTTTCTCGGATGCGCGCAAGTCAGTCCTAGTCCTCGTCCCATGGAGTTTGTGTAGAGCCCCCGTGAACCCCACATTGGGGTCACAATCTGGGGCAGAAGACATTCGGAAATTTGTCGTCACCGACACAACTTTACCGCGGGCTGAATTTCATGGCTCTGCCGACACGCATACCTGGGGCTTCTCATCTTGGTGCAGAATGCGTTGATAGGGCAATTGGCGACCATAGGAACTCGGACATCAAGAGACAAAAAACGGCGGGCCACTTGCCAAGCAAATCATCTTGTCTTGAGGCGGAGCCGCGTCTCTATCTCGACCCATCCAGTTTCGCTTTCAACTTCTTGATATGCGTCGGCGTCGTCTTGCAACATCCTCCGACAATTATCCCCTTCCACTTGCCTCGTCGCTGCACTTCCTTGACAACGTCATAGACCTGTTGCTCCCAGGGCGGTTCCTCGTGGCCGCTTCCCACCCATCTCTGCAGGGTCGTGTCATACACTTTCCCTCCGGCGCCATCTGGGTATATCACCAGTCGTGGAAGGGCTAAATCGTGTGCCTGAGCGGAGTCCTCAAAGCTCTGAATCAGGCCTGGCAACTTATGGACCTTCGTGCAGTTGATACCGATCGCGTACGGAGGTCGTTCTCCTTCTAACATGGTGGTCACTAATTCCTCGACTCCCGTCTCGTCAGGCAGTCTTTCATCATCATTGGGGAAGACGCAGGAGATCCAATACGGTTTATCGTTGATGATTTGCACCGCTTTCCTTGTTGCTCTCACTTCATCCAGCCGTGGTAGTGTCTCGATGGCGACGAGGTCTACTTCCTCCCGCTCCGGACTGTTTACAAAGCACGAGAGCCTCTTGGAGTGAAAGTCGAATAGGTCTTGTTCCGTCATGGATCCATATTGCCCACTGTACTCGGTGCTTGGGATCATGGTAGCACCGTAAGCTCCCAAGCTGAGAGCCACCAATCCTGCTCGTCCATTGAAAGCATCGCGAGCAACTCCCACTGCAGAGAGCATCAATCTTCGTGCCTCGTCTTCTTCAATGCCACTTCGGCTTGTGGTCTTGGTGTTTTTGAAGCCTAGAAAGCTGGCCTGATAAGTCGCTGTCAGGATGATGTCTGCTCCGGCGTCGGCAAAGTCTCGTTGGACTCTTTTCAGGGTCTCTACATTTTCGACCAGCAGGTGCGACGACCACAACGGAGTATTTGACGAGAATGTGACGCCGTGCTCATCTTCCAGTGTCGTGCCCAAACCGCCATCCAGCAACAGAGTTGGCTTGTCCAGTAACGACCTACTCATGATGTCGGTTCTGGGGATCACAGTTGATCTCGCCCGTAGTGCGATTGTGGCATTGTAGGGCTGACACCCCAGCGCGGAGATGGACGAACCAGAAGCTTCAATCTGCGGAGGTCGAAGCTGCACTCACTACTCACTGTGACTCAAAAATTACTGGCGAGGGTTGAAGAAATTTCTCCCCCTGCTTGAACTCTGAACGGCGATGCGTCCTGCACACTGGCAGGTCCATTACTAGGTCTCGCAGCAGCATGGCGGCCCTCAGATCGCTGAAGCGGTCACGACCCTTCCTCCAACAATATGCTCATGCTCGCTCGCTCTCGACTTCGGCCTCAAAATCTCCCCGTCACTTTCTGTCCATATCTGAACTCTCGCCCACCGAGCTGAGCACCCTAGTGAACAATGCGACGGCCTACAAACACTCGGCACTTCAGCCCACGTGGCCCCAGCGCAACGCGCTCTCGAACAAGACCATCGCGTTGCTTTTCTCCAAACTGTCCACCCGGACACGAGTATCCACGGAGGGCGCGGTCGTCGCAATGGGCGGGCACCCGATGTTCCTGGGAAAGAACGATATACAGCTGGGCGTGAACGAGTCACTCTACGACACCTCGGTCGTCATCTCCAGCATGGTGTCCGGCATCGTGGCCCGCGTGGGACCGCACGCGGACATTGCGAACCTCGCCAAGGACAGCTCCGTGCCGGTCATCAACGCGCTGTGCGACACGTACCACCCCATGCAGATCGTCGCCGACTTTGCAACGTTGACACAAGCGTTCGGGACGCCGGCCGAGAAACTGAACGGATTGAAGATCGCATGGGTGGGCGACGCCAACAATGTGTTATTTGACATGTGCATTGGCGCTCGGAAGTTGGGCATCGAAATGGCAGTTGCAACTCCCAAGGGGTACGAGATCCCCGCGAAGATCAAAGACGAGGTCGACGCCGCAGGACGGGGCACGATCTTTGAAACGAATACTCCGGAAGAAGCCATCAAGGGAGCAAACATCGTTGTGACGGACACGTGGATCTCCATGGGCCAGGAGTCCGAGAAGCAAAAGAGATTACAAGCGTTCGCGGGGTATCAGGTCACAGAGGAACTGGCAAAGAGAGGAGGGGCCGCTGAGGATTGGAAGTTCATGCACTGTTTGCCCCGACACCAGGAGGAGGTCAGTGACGAGGTATTCTATGGACCTAGATCGTTGGTCTTCCCCGAGGCGCAAAATCGGTTGTGGTCGGCCATTTCGACGATAGAGGCTTTTGTGGTCAATCGAGGCGAGATCAGGCCGCCGAAGTGAAAAAGAGGGTCTTGAATCTGTGTAACCAAGGTGGTCGAGACATTACGGGGAACGTATAGAGGACGAAGTACGATAGCTTAGAACTTGAGCCTCATGTTCCAGCATCATTATGAGCGACGACAGAGCACCATGGGGCTTTTGACAGGAAAATTGCATACTTCAGTGACATCTGTTTTCCTTGCTCTATCTCTAAGCTTGGCAAGGACCTCTTACGCAGGCAACGCACAACATCTGTACCATGAATCGTAGAGACACGAGTTGAGGGTAGGTCGAGCGGGAACACCACACCGCTTACTGTGTACATACCCCGAACTGCTCGTTGTCGGCAATATCACCTCCTATTGGCCAAGTCCAGAAGAGCACATGCCACACATGCCTCGGTCTTCGAACGTTCGAATGACCCCAGCTTTTGCAACACCGAACGACATCATCTCCCCACGCTTGGGTTCTGGCCTCCCTCCGTACACCGTCCTTACTTGAACATCACCTTGTCTATTCCGCGACAACTCAGCCGGTGGATCAAGCCATGTCTACGCAGTCTCCGACGACGCTCTCGCCCTCCTCATCCTTCGCCCCGGGCTCCCACCGCCGCAGCCACCCCAACCTCCAGCATCTCTCGCTCGCGCCCCTGACTCCCAAATATCCCATCGATCCAGCGGACTACGCTGCGTACTTTGACCCATCCACCTCGGAACTCCACACCTCGGCCTCGATATCGCAGATCGCGTCGCTTCCGTCCCCGGGCGGGATTCTGTCGAGGAGCGGCAACAACAGCGCGGCAAACTCGCGCGTGCAATCGCGAGCGAATTCGCGCACGCGGTTGCACAGGGCTAAGAAAAAGAATCAATCGTTTGTGACCATTCAGACGCCCGGCGGATACGGTGGCGCGTTGACGAGCGAGGGACTGGGCCACAGGTCTATCTCCGAGGAGGAGAAGGAGGGGGCGAAACGACTCGCGGCTCTCGCGAGTCCGAATACGCACTCTGCCTCGAATTATACGGGTCACGCGCTGTCGCTGCACAAGGCTGATTCCTCGTGGCTTATTCAGACGGGCCTCACGCTCACGGAGGGATCGCGGGAGTCAAAGGGCCAGAGCTGGATCTCCAAGCGCGACAGCTCGACCTCGCTAGCTACGCCGCTTGAGGAGCGTCCGTCTATGGCCTTTACAGGTATACGTTCCGGACGAAATACGCCTGGCAACTTGAGTAGGCGGGGCAGTTTCCAAGAGAAACGCCGCAGTCGGAGATCATTGGCCATGACACCCGTCCCGTCTACGACGCCGATGCTGGAAATGGATGCACCTGACTGGGCGGACGAACAGTCTCAGGCAGAAATTGCGGCGCAGTATCACGAGGACTTTGGCTATGATTTGTCAGATGTTGGTGATCCATATGGTGTTCTGGATTTTGAAGGACAATTCGACAGTGAAGATGAGGACGAGTTGAGGAGGAGCATCAAGGGGTATCGACTTGGCGCGTGGATGGACGGGCTTGTGGATGTGTTTTTGAGGTTAGAGGACGAGTTTCCGGGTAGTCAGCTGGATGCTACCAAGGCTGTGAGGGAGAAAGGGGAAGGCAAAGATCAGACTGGTGGTCCTGCTGCTTCTGCTTCTTCTGGTGCACCAAAAGATGCGGACTTGCACGCTGGACAGAGTGTCAGGTTTGACGACGCCGTGGAACCGCCGCCTGAAAGACCGAAGACTGTGTGGGATGACGTTGCCTGGTTTGGGCGAATGGTTGCCAGAACACTGCGGTCATAGCTCTTCTCCCAGGCGAGTTGACCACTCTCTCCTATCCAAGCTCTTGCCGGTTTGTTCGATTTTGAGCCTTCGCCAAAGTGCTTCAGGTGTCCCCCCTATTCTTATGACACAGTATCTCCCTGAGCGCCTTTGCTTACCTTGTAGAAGCAATGCATAGACCAATTCCATGCGCCACCTGTAGTTTGACGGCGAGGACCCGCATGGGCTAAGATTCAGTCCAACAGCTCCACGACAGCCACCTCACGCCGAGCTTTCTTGGCTAACTGGACTACGATGGTGACGTCCTCGTCATCCTGGCCATCAGCCTCGCGCTTGATTCCTGCGAGTTGTCTCAGGTTCGCCTCAGCCTTCTCCTGCTTGATCTTCACCTTTTCCGCCTTTCCTTCTGCCTGCCGTATCGGTCAGTGGAACGTTTGCTAGACGCATCGAGGTGACAAGATTAGGCATCCAAGCCAGAATGCCACTTACCTTCTGTTGGCGAATGAGCTCTAGCATCTCCGCCGGGGTCAGTGTCTCCTCCTCTCTTTCTTCCAGCGGGACTGGTTCCGGGGTTCGAGGAATGATACCCAAGGTTTGTAGTGCATCTGTAACGATCAGCTCCGCGGAGTGCGGCATAGAGGGACGTACTTTTGCTCCGATAGAAGAAGACGAACGTAGCCAACGGTTCCCTATCGATCGGGTCAGAGTGGGTGGAGTTCACATATGGGATTTGCTCCGCGTTTCTAAAACTGTGTAGTATGAGAGAATGATGCAGTAGCCACCGAGAGTATTGAGCGGTACCTGACTCCAATCTCCACTGCGCGGCCTTTCAAGGCGCTTTCTGGGATGTCGCTAGAGACGATAGGAGTAGCCCTATCATTTGCGACGCTGGGACGTTTCTGCTTCCGCCAGACATCAACCCGAATAATCCCCTTGCTGCCATACTTTGCCTTCAACTCTGCCATTGTCATTTTCGGGTCTTCATCAGCTGCAGCATAGTCAGCGCGTCAATTTGCAGGAAGCTCAATGGTTACTCACTGGCCCGAAAGTGGTGCCCAGCAAAAGCGATGTAGATGCGCCTCGAAGCCACACCTGCTCGTGTCACCCTCTTTTAATTTTAAAAAAGTGCCAGACTTTTGGTATTCCCCCCTTCGAGCTCTAGGTGAGCTTATATTGTGTCCATCGACCGATGTACGAAAGGAAATATGACTTGCACAGCCAAATGCTTGTTTCCCGCTCATTTTGTAGCCGGTCTCGAAGTTGGCGTCTGGAGTCGCTTCGACATATTTGAAGCAGTTCTCACTCTTCGCGGTTGACACCTTTCCCCCATAACCGACGCTCTGAGCGTTGTTGTCACCTTCAGGGTCAACCTGATCCTCTTCAGCAACGTCATACTCTCGAAGGACTTCGCCCGCGCTGGTGATAGTGACTTCGAAATTGCCAATGATGGCCATTTTGCCGGTATCGAAGGTGAGTCAGGCAGGTGAGATGAGTTGACTTAGGATTCAGAAAACACAAAGACTGGAGTGAAAGTGGGAGAGCGGAATTAAAAACGTGTCTCCGACTGACGGACAAGTAAGGCACGGGTCATTGGCACAAGAAGCACAGTGAAGAGCAAGCGAGGGAAAGGGAGGTAGAAGGAGCCTGCCAGTCGACTGAAACTCGTTCGCATGTGCGTGTCGATAATAGTGTGAAGAAAGCATGCTAGGTCTTTGATCAACCCCATCAATGGTTCCATGGTTCTTTCCGTCATGCTCTGATGAGTAAAGTACGAGCGTAGTGTCTGCTCCAGCCAGGCAGTTCCTCATTCCAACGCTTGTATTTCGCCCAAGCATGCCCCATCCTATTGCTAGCAGACACGGTTCTGAAACAGGAAGGATGAGACAAGCCTTGCGTCAAAGCCAGATCATGTTGTGGGAATTGAACATTGTTGCGAATCACAGGGCCGGTGTCGGCTGAGGAGATGAAGTCAGCGGGGGACAAAGAGGAATGGAAAGCCGTGAGCAACCTGCAGCGTCATTCTCATTTGGAAGTCCTTTCTCTACGTCTTGAAAAGCTTTCGAGCCTCCGAAACAGTGGTTTGTGTAGCGAAATTTTATGATCTGCAGCTCAGACAGTATGACTCTGCCTTCTCTGGCAATTCCAGCATCCGCGTTAATACTCTATCGCAGGTGGCTAATCATCTGTCAAGTCGATGACCTCCACCTTCTTGCGAACCCGGTTTTGTGGCACTGGGAGAATGGCCAGGTCGTCGTCCTCATCAGTTGCCTCTCTCTTAATGGTGTCAGATCGTGGCATGTCCAACTCGGCTTCCTCCTTCTTGACCTTTGCCTTCGTTGCTTCAAGCTCTGACTGCGACACAGGTCAGCAAACACAGATTCGTAGCTGTTTACTGTCCGGGACGACGGCGCGTACCTGCTGCCGGCGAATCAGCTCCAGCATTTCCGCAGGGCTCAGTGTAGCAGGGTCTCTCTCCTCCAACGGTATGGGCTCGGGCGTTCGGGGAAGGATGCCAAGGATCTGCAATGCATCTGCGACAAGTCAATAAGAGCTAACAAGACCCCAGCTTCGTGGCAACCTACTCTTACTTCTGTAAAGGAAAATGAAGGTCGCAAGCGGCCCCTCATCAAGGATCTCGCCGCGGTGTACCTTGACTGGGCTGTGCTTCGGTCGCGCGGATTGCAGGCTATGTCTCTTCGTCAGAGAGGCGTCCAGAAAGCATCGCAGTATCCTACCCAACACCAAGATCAAGCGCTTGACCCTTGATAGCCTTCTCCGGAATGGGTTCTTCATTCAGCGAGACCGGCTCAAACTCGTGAGCGAACCCCAGGTGCTTCTTCCGAGAGAATTCAACTCGGATGGAACCGATTTCGTCATATCTTGCTTTGATATCGTTGACTGCCGCATTCGGCATCTCGTCCGCTATATTCGTCAGTAAAGGACACTACCTAACATCGTTGACTTGCTCAATGAAAGTGTTGCCCATTTGAATGGTCGTATCTTCCACGTAGAGCCAGCCCCACTGCTTGAACCATCCCGACAACCGCTCCAGTCACCGTGTCGCAGGTGACGTGGCTCTACAATAGGTGCGAGAACCTTTTGCCCATCAACCCAGGTATTAAGTGACAAGTAATCGGCATTTCCGAACTCTTGACCCTCCTTTATCGAGTATCTGATCTCAAAGTTGGCACCAGGGACCGCTTCTATGTAGCACTTGACGATCTTGGTGGCATCAGACTGGTTTCCATGGTCGACACCAGCGTCGTCGTTGGCTGGTACAGCGTACTCCTGAAGAGCACTGCCGTTGCTGCTGATAGTAATCTCCACATTGTCAATGACAGCCATGTCTGAGGCGAGATAGAGAAGTGAAATAAAGTGTATAGAGTGAGAAGTTCAACTGAGAATCGGACCGTAATGGTCAGAAACACAAGAGTGAAGGAGAAATGGATTTGCTTCTGAGACAGGCTGACCACGTACCTGTCCGCGGCTTCTAGCAGAGGATGAGGCAGTAGCGATACAGTGCTCGTTCCATAAGAGGAAGTCGCGCCACTGGCTCATCCTGTAAATTGCTCTCTTGCACGTTGCAGCATGTCTGCCATCCCAGCAGCCACCTCCGTCTGTAACAACTTTGCGGAGGTGTCCTTCATGTATCTTCCAGCCCGGTTGTCGTTGCTCAGCCAACTACGCGTTGTAGCTGAGACGATGGAAGGGTCTATATCATGATCTCACAAGGACCCCAGTTGACATTGACATCTTATCGCAGGGTAAGCTCGAGTGCCCGGCGAATTCGTATTGTTGGCGGACAATTGATGGACGTATCGGCATGATCACCATTTATGCACCCTCCTGCCCTGCCCATCTTCTGGGTGCGGGTTGATCCAGTAGCGTAACTGAAATCTCGCTCGAGGAGTCACTTCGACGTACTTGACAGCTTTTGGGAGATAGAGCATCAGCCATCTCGGTGCTGAACCCCTGGGTAATATTCCCGGGGCACGTCGTCCTAAGTGAGGCTCTCGCCGCCACTTCAGACGGTGATCTTGCCTTTGTCAATGACACCATGTGCAGGAAAGGAAGTAGACAATCTAGCGGCAAGAGTCGCGGTGGAAGGTGGGTGGCCGGTAGATTGAGGTGACAATGAGCTCGTAGGAGCTAAATGCATGGCAATTGTTGGATCGCAGAATCTTCGAGGCATGACTTAAGCGCAGCATTGAAGATAGCCATAACGATAACGCGCCCGAACCTGCGACCGCCTCTTTGTATGGAAACTCGTGCCGAGGCCTGACCAAACCGTGTGCGGTCTGTCCCATCAGCTGATAGTTTAATCTCTCGATACTTATTGTCTCATATAAGGCTGGCTTTTCGCTGTAGCTCCGATTTGTGTCCCCAGTGCCCGCAGGTTCGAAGCTGACCCGCTGTGCATTTCGCACAGTCATCTGTCAAATCGACAGTTTCTATCTCCTGTCGCGGTCTCTCCTTCTGTTCAGCAATGATGGCTAGGTCACCGCACTCTTCTGGTGCTTCCCGTTTGTTTGCTCGATTTGGTGTCGTTTGTCTTCGACGTTTTTTCTCTTGGACTTGGTATCAGCTTGAAGTCGTGTCTAAGGATGGCGGTCAGCGAAGGACGAGAGCAAGCGCCGACCATGTGTGGAGCTGTGGTGGTGACTGTAACGCATACCTGTTGTCGATGAATCAAGTCCAAGGCCTCCTCCTGAGTAAGGCTGGCCAGATCGCGGAGCTCTAGCGGAATAGGGCTCGGGGATCGTGGGAGGATCCCGAGGACTTGCGGAGCATCTGTGTACAGTCAGGTGTTGATCTCCCCAGATCTCGCTGCGCAAGCTATACGTACTCTTGCTTCTGTACTTGAGGATCAATTCTGCGATTGGACGGGAGTCAAGGTACTCGCCGACAGTCCTAGTTCGAGGCTTGGTGGCCTGTGGGGTTCCTCTTCTGTTCTTGTCAATCTGGGTCAGAATAAGTAGTGTAGACCTGACTGAGTCGCCAAATCGATTGCCTTGCCCCTGAGTGCCTTCTCTGGGATTTTGGCGTCTGCGGGTGAAAGAGCCCTAGGTCGTGCTGGCCGCAATTCATCCCCTTTTTCCGCCAGACTCAGACCCTGATTGTACCCAGTTCTCGATATTGCTGCGATAATTCAGCCAGCCTTCGATCCTGCTGTTCTTCGATTGCAGCAGTCAGATCAAGAAGACATACTGATGGAGAGACTTACTGGTGATTAACTCGCCCCAATGGAATGGCGAAATCTGCCAGTTTCCATCTGCGAAGTGCTTGAATCCGGTACAGGTGGTTATAGCTTTCGATCTTGCTCGGTACTCAGCTCTGGTCGATGCTTGCCTGTGACAAATTTCCCATCAACGTAGATTTTGAAGGAGAGGTTGTCAGATTCGCCGAATACGAAGCCTTGAGTTACTGTACACTGTATCTCAAAGTTGACGTTAGAGACAGCTTCGAGATACTTCACGACTTGTTTGTTTGGAGGTGGCTGGGCTGTTGAGTACCCGATGACTTGTTCGTCTTCCGGGACATCATGTTCTCGCAGCGTTTCGTTGCGGGACCTGACCGTGACCGCGAGTTGATCAACCACGGCCATGATGGTGTCGCGTTGGAAGGGGCAGGGCAGTAGTCTGATAGAGTGCGTGGAAATGTAAAGAGCGATCAGTAGCGGAAAGAAGGGGGCATGATAGCGCAATGGATGATGCTGATCACGAAAAGCACGATGCTGAATCAAGTACTGGCGGAAGCTTCAACTAAACTTCGCTATGGATTCACTTTCACGGAATATTCCATGGAGCGTCGAGAAAGTCGATGAGGCAGCAGCTGGCGAAGCTGTAACCTCGAGCGCCGAGTTCGAGTTGCACGAGTGTTCCAGAAACAGCAGTATCCCTGAGCCGGCGGGTGTAAAGACCGTGTTGTCCAGTTTCCTTTTTCCCCTGTGACTATGAGGACATGAATATATTGCGGTGACTGGCGAAGTCATGGGTCTTCTGGCTTACACCCGTGATTGATCCACGGTTGACCGGTTTACTAAGCACGAAGCACCGTAGCCCCTGCTGGCCATCATGCCTGTAAAAGCTCTCGTTACTGGTATCGCTCAAGTTAACAGTCCAATGCCGACGCACCGCTTGCCCGCTCAATCATCCGAGCCCAGCGATCAGTCGATAATGCCTCCGACGCTGCAGACCTTCTTGACGGGTTGTTGACTGAGGAATTCCACCTCATCGTCTTTGTCGTCTCCATCTTGCCGAACCCTCTTCAACTCCGCGAGCTGAGCAAGGTTGGCCTCCAACTTCTCTTGCTTGACCTTGACCTTTTGTGCTTCTTGTAACGCCTGCAAGCGGTAGTCAGTCTTGATGCTGCTCCGTCCGCGATCTATATATACCTTGAACCGACGGGCCAATTCTTTCAGCTCGTCCGAAGTAAGAGTTTCCACATCCCTTTCTTCTAGAGGTTGCGGAGACGATGGTCGTGCAAGAATGCCGAGAGCTTGCAGAGCTCCTAACTGCTGTCAGCACTGCTCCAATGACCTCGGCGATTTCATACCTTTGCTTCGATACTTGAAGATGAATACGGCGCAGGGCTCTTCTTCGATCTTCGTGCTCTCCCAGCTCTCAATTTGGTACTTTCCCATGATAATTGAAGAGTCTAACCTTTAAAACAGTAAGCTTAAATAACTTTCAGAGTCAGCAGCAGCTCACTTGGTATAGATATCAAGAGCTGCGCCTTTCACAAGCTTCTCGGGGACGCTCCCCACAGTGTCATAGTCCTCATCACATTCTTCGGGCTTAGCAACTTCACCATGGCATCGCCAGACCTCGACTTGGATGGTACCAATGTTGTGATACTTCTCCTCCTCTTCGGCTGTGCAACTCTCGTCGGCTAGAATCGTTAGCATAATTCAGTGATCATGAGGAGCACTAACTGGTAACGAGGTTGCCCCAACGAAAAGGCCGTCTCGCCCAGGTTCTCCCTGCCCAGAAGTCCGCTCCACTGTAGCTTTCTCGCCATCCATATCTGCTGGACTTGACCTCCGACTTCTCGCACATCGTTCCCACGATCCGCTGTCCATCCACCCAGATGTCAAAGGTGAGACAGTTTGCACTTCCGAATTGGAAGCTGGGCTTGACCTCACATTTGATCGCAAACTTAGCATCGGCGATCGCTTAGTTGTACTTCACCTCTGTGAGCAGAGGCCACTCCAGCTCGTCGGTCCCAATACATGACGGGTCATCCTTGGGCGGATCATGCTCCCGTAAGTGTTGGCGTCCGCTCACGATGCTGACTTTGACCTGGTCCTTCACTGCCATCGTGGCCGAATTGCGATTGAACCAGGGAGATACGGGAGAGAGGATTGAGATGGAGGAGGGTAAAAACTAGGAGAGGAGATCGAGTTAACGGGTCACGATAGCAGAGCTTGGATTGCTCAAGAAGAAAAAAGGGAGAAGAAGGTGAATATGCATCATGTTAGACTCCGATTGCAGAGGATTCAGAGCCTGTCCGTGACCACATGCATTCTGATTAAGTGTCAGGTATGAGAGAAACATTGCTCGTGTTTTATAGGAGAAGCTTGAATGGCAAGTAGGGCCGAAACGAAGTCAGGCCAAACTGAATGAGCTTTGAGTGTGCCGCATCTCGAAGTTGAACAGCAGAGGTGAGAAGTAATTACAACAAGGAACAAAAAGACAAGTTCGAGCGGAAGAACTGACGAGTGGCAGCCAAGCCATCCAGTGCCATCCTCGGCGTGAGATTCCCCGAACAGGGCACGACGCGTGAACACGCGCCTTCGCTCATCAGCCCCCACTAGGCCGCAGCGGCCAGAGCGGCCAACGTCCTCCCATGACAACGACGTCAACATCAACACCGAGACCAACCACCCACAACCTGGGTGCCAATGCGCATCACTTGACCACTCCGCCGACCATGTGAACACATACATAGACAGTACAAATAGAACTCGAGCCCATCATCTGTATCCCATCCCTTCCCCTCCCTTTCGCACCTCCTCTTCCAAAGATGCACCACCCGCTCCTCGTCCTGCTTGTCCCGCTCGGGCTGCTCCACCTCCCCAGCACCCTCGCCTGGGGGACCCTCGGCCACCGCACCGTCGCATACCTAGCCTCTCTGTACTTCACACCGGGATCTACGCGCTTCACCAACCAGCTTCTCCACGGCCAGGACATCTCCGAGGCGGCCCTCTTCCCGGATAAGATCAGATATATTCCCTCCTTCGCGTACACCAAGGGATGGCACTACATCGACGCGCAGGACGACCCGCCCACAACGTGCGGCATTAACATCACCCGCGACTGCGCGTTGGAGACCGGGTGCGTCGTCTCCGCGATAGCCAACCACACGGAGCGGGTCAGCAACGCGAGTCTGCCCACGTGGCAGCGCGGACAGAGCCTGCGGTTCGTGCTGCATTTCTTCGGTGACGTGCATCAGCCGCTGCACACGGAGGCCGAGGACCGCGGCGGGAATGAATACGCGGTGGTGTTCGAAGGGCGGGCCACAAATCTGCACAGCGTGTGGGATACCTTGATTGTGAACAGGCATGCGGGGATGGGGCATGAGGATGAGGCCATCGCGGCGTGGACCTGGGCGCAGAGGTTGGCTGCTGCTGGACGTGGTGGTGGTGGCCAAAACGAGGACGAGGACGTCTGTCTGCGCGACGCGGCCGACTGCGCTCTTGAGTGGGCGGGCGAGGCGAATGCGTATGTGTGTTCGTATGTGCTGGCGCGGGACGTTCACGGGCAGGACCTTGCGGGTGAATACTACGACGGGGCTGTTCCGATCATTGACGAGATGGTCTACAAGGCGGGACGGAGGCTGGCTGCTTGGATAAATGCCATTGTGGAGGATGTGGCTTTCCAAGACTTGGAACGCTTAGATCCGGAACCGTTGCTACAGACTCAAATGAAGTGAAATAAAAGGGTATCGTCGCGCATGTCCCAAGTCCGCCTGTATACTCCGTAGATCCGATCTTCATCATTCCGGCGTTCCTCTTTTGGCGGCCACTTAGTCGTCTTCCAACAGATTGATGATCTCTACTTTCGTGGGCTTGGGTCTGGAGGCTGGTTCTTCAAGTGCACCTTTGCCCTCTTCGTCGTCGGAGTCAAGGTGATAGATCGTCTCTCCACTATTCCCCTTGCTTGTTTTGAAAGGCCGCTTAAGCTTGGTGCCTGTGACTATGATGCTTCGTTCACGCTTCGTTCGGGGTTCCTGTTTCACGTGACGCTGCTCCTGCTAATCGTCAGCACCCTACTCTGGTGTTAACAGATGTTGATTACTCTTTCCCTCCTCAGCAACTCGAGTGCCTCTTCCCTGATAGTTCCTCCACTGGCCGGTCCTCCAAGGGTACCGGAGTGGGAGATCGTCCCACGATCAGCAGAGATTGTAGAGCACCTGTTGCCAGTCAGAAGAGCGGATAACGTAGCATCTAGGAACATACGCCTAGTCCGATACTTAAACTTGAAGGTCGCTAGTGGCTGGTCTCCAAGAAACTGCCGTCTTCGACTTTGAATCGTGTCGGTCACCGTGACCGGAGCCAGCCTAGCAGAGTCAGCTGAAACCTGTGGACAGCAATACTTGAACCAACCGCGTTGCAACGTCGAGAGGTCGTCCTTTCAATGCTTTCTCTGGGACGGTTTCGAGGTCCTTCCTAGAGTAATCTCTGGCAGGGTGCGTATCTAACAGCATGATCGGCCACACCTCAACCTTGAGCGTTCCGAGGTCGCCATATTTTTCTTTGAGATTAGACACATCATCATTCAGTTCTAGGTCTCCTGCTAAATGTTAGAAGGCATCATAAGCTGCATTTGCGGGCTCCGAACTAGTTTCGAGGTCTGCGAACTGGAACTTGTAAAGCTTCGAGCCGGTAGAGTCCATGGAGTATCTGCCACTGCAGCTTCCATCTACCCGTCTCCCAGCAACTGTGGCGCCTCGAAATTCCTCGTCCTGCATATATGTCCCTATGATGTGCTCGCCGTCAACGAACACATCGAAGCTGATCGCATGGTCATAGAGGAATTTGTAATTGGCTTCCGCGAAGAATTTGAATTCGAAGAAAGCTCCAGAGACTGCCTCGATGTACTTTGTGGTTTCCTGGCGCCTACCGGGCAAGACTACCCCTTCTTCGTCATCATCGAACTCCTCCGCTCGAGTGCCGTCGACAAATACTTGTACTTCGAACTTGCCCAGGATTGGCATTGTGACCGAGAAGTGAAAGTCAACCTGATTTCGAAGCTGAAAAAGCCTTGACTAAGGCGTCAAGGGGGTACCGAGTATCGAATTGGATGAGATACAAGGGAGCTCACGAAGGGCAGTGCTGAAGTGAAAGAAAAGAGGCATCGGGCTGGCGGTTGGTAGTCACTACCAGCGCCTGGCTGCCTGATGAAGACTAGACTCGAACCTTAGATCCAATTAAGCCAACGCGCGACTAAGTAGATCGTGACACGTGCTCCAATCAAGCCTTGCTCAGCCTCGTCTGTCGTTGCATGATCCTGTAGTGATAGTACAAAGTACACGAGCAACAAAGCACCTGTTCAGCACACCGACCGCTAAACACCATTGCGCTGCTCTTGCTCCAGAGCTTGGCGAGCCACCTGCTCGCCCTGCGCATCGATCATATCCCTGACGTTTCTCTGCGCTGCAGTGATCAACCCGCCGTAGTGATCCTCCAGTCTCCCCTTCTCGACGAAGCTCTTGAGCCTTGCTTGTTCCTTCTCGACATCTTTGCGAATGCCTTCAATCTCGTTCTCCGCGAGTTTATCTTGCAAGCTTGCTGGGAAGGGTTCTCGGCTGAGAATATCGCCTGGAGACAGCAGGTGAACTGGTGTCCCCTCAATCTGCTCCATCACGAAAACGTGTTGCACGGCACGGAATAAGCTTGACTGCTGCATCTCCTCTTCCACTGATTGATCGTCTTTACCGCTAGTCTCATTCAGCATCAACCAATCATCACGAACCATTGCTCTTCTCCAGATAGACGCTCGAAGATCCTCTTGCTTCGTCTCAGGCAGGCCGGAGAGATCCACGACCTTCAGCGCAAGGGCAAATTCCTGCCCACTAACCTCAGGATCCTCCTCGGGAAGCCCGGCCCACTCGATAGGATCCATCAAGGTCAACAGGTCGACGAGCTCCTCCGCCGTTAGTGGCAGTTGACGCAACAAGGACTTGAGAACCTGCTTCAGCTGCCGTTTCAAGGCAGGGCTCTTGGCTACCACTCGAGAGGCGAATGTGTCTTGAGCTAGGTCGAACGCCGCTTTGTCGTCAAGCGCAGCACCAACAGATGCCATAACGTGGCTGTAGACTTGCTCTTGAATTGCAATCACTGACAAGCCATCGTCGTAGGCTTTCGGGTCCCGGAGGTTGTTGGTGCACTCATCAGCTGCCAGGCCAACCAATTTGGCAAGAGCCAGTTCCGTCTTCTTATTCCAGACATCGTTTTGTTCTTCAGCAATGACCTCTTGGAGTGTTTGTTCTGCGCGCTGGTAATTGTTGTTTGAGATCACATCATGAATCCAGCTGAGCTTGCCCAGCCGTTGGTGAGCGACAGGGGCCATCTTGAAGAACCATGTGAGAAATTCTTCCTTCTGCTGATCTTCCTGGCCCTTGAGCAGTAGACTCCCACACTCGCCATCAATGAGCATCTGACTATAAGCAGCAAAGGCCCAGCCTTTGCCGAACTTGGCATAATAAGACTCAGCCCGGTCTCGCATTTCTTCCAATTCGTGTTGATTCTTTTCAGCCAGTGACGGATCAGCCGCAGCCTCAGCGATTAGTTTCTTGTAATATTCGAGGTGCATCGTGACTAGATCGCCGTAGTATTTCAGTTTTTCTCCTAGCTGAATTGCACCTCGCATGTTGAACACCGAGATGGCTTGCAACGCTTGCCCTAATCTGTTTTGCACTTCGCGGTCGATATTCTTGATCTCGTCCTTCAAAACATCAGGATCTTCCTCATGCTCTTTGTGTCTGATCTTCGCTTGGATTGACTCTTCGAACACGAGTCGGGAAAACAAGTCCAGTTCGGTTGGTAGACGAGCGGCCAATTCCCGAAGTATGGCCTTGCTGGGACCCTCGTATGGCTTTCCTTCGTCGTCCGTCGGCATCTTTTTCTTCTTGCTCCTCCCGTGGGTAAACTCCCACCACTCGTTTACGAACTTGCAGATGTCATAAATCAGCCTCTGACTGAACCGCAAGGGCTCTGGACTCGACGACCAAGGATGAGGGATGTCAGTTGGAAAACCCTCAACGAGCACACCGTCCTTGAAGACTTCGTCTCCGAGTCCATAGAGGGATGCGTTGTCCTCTCGAAACTTGAAGACGGCAGAATATGATGCAATCCACAAATCCACGGCTTCTTTCAAGTAGTCAGCCACCACTTTCGGGTCTGTAACGTCCATCGGCTCGAGCTCTGGAATACAGCTGACTAGTTCAGACATCAAGTGGCCAACGTTCTTAACACTGTTCACAAGCCAATGTCTAACCCGGTCTTTCTCTCCTTTGTCTGGGTCTGGGTACTTTTGCCGGGTTTCGTGCAAGGCCCGCAGGGTAAAGTCGAGGTATGGCATTTCGCGATCAGCTTGAGGATATTTTCGTTGAATTTCTTCTTGAACCTTCCAGATCGCTTGAGCAGCTGCTAGCTTCTCGGCTTCGAGCAATAATTGAAACCGGGTATTCCGAGAGATTGACGAGGGATAGTGACTCATCAAGTACCCAGCCAGGTCATCGAGGGCTTTAGCACGTAGTCGCATCTGCATGTCGATGGAAGGCGCACTCTTCGGCAGGTGTTTGGACGATGATGAGAGGATTTCTGATGTGATGTCCATTGCAGCTGCTTCAATCTCTTCGCGCGAGAATGAGTGATCTGCCTTATTGAGATCCAGCGGATTTTGTTTGATGGTGCCGAAAAAGACCGCTTGCTCGATCTTGCTTTTCGCATTCATTCGATCCCTCTCATCTGCTTCGTCGACGTCAACTTCCTCTTCATCGCGCAGACGTGAGGTCATTTTCACAATGCCAAAGCCCTGCACTCCAAATACGACAGAAGACTGCTTCTCTGACATTTCAAGTGCATAGCCAAGGACTTCATAGGTAGTGTCCTCTCGAAATCTGACGCAATCCTGAAACGGCTCCGGGAGTGCTTGTCGTTCCATCAACAGTTGGGATGAGGGTGACTCTCGGATCTTGACTAGCGAGAACAGGACGATGGCTGTCTCGAAGAGAATGAAAGCCGCTGGTTGATTTCTGGACACGCAGAGCCGAGGTCGCCAAATCATCTGGGAGGGAGTTGACGAGGAATAGCAGCTGACAGGGTGCACTACCTTGATTCTGGCCTCCTGGTCGACGAGCATCTCGATGATATAGTACTTGGTCTCTCCTTCGATGGTCGTGGAAAGTAGGGCCATCATGGGGATGCCATGACTATCCCGTCGATTTAGTGCCGTGCTTGGCCCTGCTGAGAGCTCCACATCCAGGATCTTGAAGTCTGTCACATCGGGCAGAATTGATCTTAGGGCCTCCAAAGCGTCCTCCCTGAAGCTGAATGATTTCTCAAGCGAATTGCCAACAAGGAGGTGCGTGCTCCAGAACTCCAGAACTCCATCTTCCGTGGCAATGACCACATCGCGTTGACCCTTCCTAGAGCCGCCAGCCTTCACGATCGGTACACCCTTTCGCCGATCTGCGCCAAATACATTTTTGATACTCCCGAAGAAGCCACTTGTCGCACTGGGGTATTTGCGCAGAAATTGCACGCCGATGCCAGGCCTGCCCATTTGATCACGAATCGTTAGGTGAACCACGCGACCATGGCTTAGCGAGAGGATGAATCCAGCGGGTTCGGCATTCACTAGCTCTTCCACAACTTCGGTGCTCGTCAAACCAGGTATCGAGCCTTGCACTGTTGAGCTTTGGCCAGGTATAACAGAAGAGGCGCTAGACAAGGTCTCCCAATACACAATTTTGCCAGATTTTGCTGACACTGCAACGATTCCGGGCTCGCCATTAGCAGCCTTTGCTGTAAAAGTCCCGAGTGGCAAGGGATCTCCTGTCGACGCCTGTGGAAACGGTAGTTTAAACGCGACGACATCTCGCGAGGAAGGGATAGAGGCGCTCGAATTGTAGGGCCAGATGATCGCATCGGTGTGGGTCAACGCGAGCGTGTATCCATACTCGGGGGAGATGGTGCAAGAATACGGGATACCTGGCTGATTTCTGATCAGATCAGGTAGTGCCGGCAGCTGAGTGACAGTGTAGAAGTCGTTGCTTGAAAGCGTCAAGCCGGCGTTGGTGTTTGCTGCTCTTTCGGACCTCTTCTCTGCCTTCTTCGCGCCTCGCAGGGTCAATTCTTGGGAGGGCGCAGCTGCGACGGCATATCCATTGCTTTTCTCTTCAACCACATCACGTCCTGCCACTTCATTGAGGCTTGCTTCAGTCAGGGGTTCGAATGTGTCTCTCCGGAGGGCTGAACGTTTCCGCTTCGCTTGAGGTAGCTTGATTGAGTCCTCCGATCCAGCAGCTGGGCGTGTTCGTTTCGGACGGAGTGATTCTCTTCGTGATGCGTCAGTAGAGAACATGTTGAGCAGGCGAGGCGGCGCGTAGGCCGCTGTTCTTGGGCTAGAGCGAACAAGTGGATGACTGCTGTTTTGTTGTTCAATGACGCTGAAATTATTGAGCCGCCTGGTTTAAGGCCGCTAAACCCCGAGCAGCTGCTCCTTAACAACACACGCTAATGAATCATGGCCAATCAAACAACGCAAGGCTGATATGCAAGGCTGCGTCCGATGGCTTACTGTTTTGCTTGAACTAATCCGTACTAAGTACTTTGCCAAAGATCGTGTTATTGTATCTCGCTTCGACTATCTCAACGATGAGGGCTCGCTATTGGATCTACTGCGGCCAGCCCAACAAACCAACTGTCAATAGAGTTGGGTCATTCTCGAGGAGCTGCTTTTTCTGTAGCAGCTCTTTCACATCCCAATTGGCCCAGACGAATCGTCCCTTCAAAAACGCCGCCTCTGGCGAGCACAACCACACCATGAAGTTGGCTGGTAGCTCAACTGTAAGAGATGAGTCAGTAGTTGGCCGGAGAGCATGGCGGAATCGGAGGAAGCTTGTCGACTTACCAGTATCCTGTTGTGGAAAGGATAGTCCGCTATGCAGGGTAGCCTTCGTGGCGATACTGGTGGACTCGATGATACCGGGTTGCAGGTTGAAGACTTTCAGGTCTGGATTCTCGTGTTGCAAATATTCAAAGGCTTTGGCAGATGCGATCTTGCTGGTGGCATAGGCCGAATAGCCAGGCACATACTGCAGGTGTCCGGCAGCGGAGCTGACGTTGATGATGGTTCCGCCCTGGGTATTGATGTTCTTCAAGACGGCTTGAACGACAAGCAAGGATCCCTTGATATTGGTCTCGTAGACCTTGAACCACTCTATTGGGTCTGAATTACCAACCGTACCAATGGATAGGTAAGCTGCGTTGTTGACAAAGACATCGATCAAACCTCGGCCTGCAATGCTCGCAAAAGCCTCTGTCACGCTTTCGGGCCGCGCAATATCGGTCACAAGGGGGACAATGTTGGCGTTTGGGTGTTTGCTCGAGATGACCGACTTGGTTGCTTCTAGAGTCTGCTTTGTTCGGCCCAGTATCACGACCTCCATTGCACCCGCGACAACGAATGCTTCGACAGTCGCTGATCCAATGCCTCCACCACCTCCTGTAACAACGACTCTTTTGCCGTTGACAGAGAGTTCCGGTCGATACGCGTCAATGTCTGGATACACATCGTTGTGCCATTGCTTGGTATATGTCGGTAGCTCCATCCCGCAGTCTAGCAATAGTTTGCCTAAAACAATTTGGCTAAGGCGAAAGTCGGTATGACGGTCAAAGGTCGAGTCTAATGTCCAGTCAGAAAGGACGCAGTTGTTGTCCTGGATACCGTGAAACAGCTGGCCACGAGAGATTAAAATAGGTGTCTACCTCTCATTCTGGCCAATCCGTATTGTTTAGCTCATTATTCAGCACTGTTCCTGAATCACTCCGAGCTGGAGAGTTTTGGTAAGTCTGCAAGACGTTCTTGTGGAGAGTTTCCCAGAGAAATCGCACTCACTTACCTAGTTCCAGTCTTGATCTGCAATATCAGTTCACCTAATTCCGTAAGCAACACGCACAGGAGACATCCCTAAGTAAAACAGTCTCGAAAGGAAGACATTGAGGCCGTATCTGGGTTGGGAACTGTTCTGTCCGCCTTCTTCGGACGAATGTCAGCCAGTGTAAGCATATGGCATGACCAGTGAAAACGAGGGCAATTTCTAAGACATCAGTACAAACGTCCTTCGAGAGGGACTTGCGAAGCTCCGGGAGCCGAATCTTAGCAATCAAGGTCGCTTGGTGCTGGGGAAGTAGGACAAAAGCATGAAACCGTTCTCCGTGATTGTGAGGTTGCGGGACAAGACGTTGAGGGTCCGATCAGAGATCGCAACAGCTCGTGCTGAGCGATAGTCACCTTGACTCTAGGGCACGCTTCCCTTGCTGAGCGTTACTCCGATTGAGTTGTCGACCTACGCATCAGACCATTATGCCTAGTTGAATTGCCAAATTGAAGAGATCAAATACAAAGGATGGAGTAGAGGTGAAGTGATAGTGATGAGGACATGAGGAGAAGCTACGGTGGCGCGCAACACACCACGACTGGCGATGGTCTGATTTCTCAACCTTCCGGTCTGTCAGTCCCAAGGACTCGCCGGCAACCAACTTCCACTGAGTTTTCTACGCATATCCGTCACCCTCACCATGGTAGGCTATTAAGGGACATCTATACAGAAGATGCTAATACAATGTCTAGTCTCTGTCCGACTCGAAGAAGCGCCTAGCGCTGTCGATAATAGACTTCCTGTCCTCGATGAAAGATGGCACTCTCAGCGCAGAGGACGCAGACAACATCGATATTGCCAGCAATTGTATTGCAGAAGTCTTCAAAGTTGATCCGTCGGACAAGGCAGCAATGTCGGACGCCGTCGGGTCTCAGTCTCTGCTTAACATCTTCTCTGTCTACGAAAAACTGAACGGAAAGGGCTCGTCCGCAGGAACGCAGGCGCCTCCTCCGGCGCAGTCTGCAGACACCAAGACCATAAATCCAGAGGCTGAGAAGCTCAAGAGCGCGGGCAATGCCGCGATGCAGCAAAAGGACTACAAGACTGCCATCGAGAAATACACCCAGGCGATCTCTTATGCTCCTACCAATCCCATCTATCTTTCAAATCGTGCGGCAGCATATTCCGCAAGCGGTGATCACGCTTCAGCGGTCAAGGACGCCGAGTTGGCGGTAGCCGCTGATCCAAAATACACAAAGGCATGGTCAAGGCTGGGCCTGGCCAGGTTTGCTATGGGTGATGCGAAAGGAAGTGTTGATGCATACCAGCAAGGCATCAATTTTGAAGGCAGTGGAGGCAGTGAAGCTATGAGGAAAGGATTGGAGACCGCAAAGAAAGAGCTGGCAAGGATGGAAGCAGAGGAAGATAAGCTCCCGGAAGACGACGTGGACGACGCTCCTGGCGATACTCGTGGTGGCGGTGCTGGAGGCCTGCCGGACCTGTCTAGCCTTGCCGGTATGTTCGGCGGTGGTCGCGGCGGAGGAGGCATGCCCGATCTGTCGAGCATCATGAGCAATCCTATGTTTGCCTCCATGGCACAGAATCTCATGAGCAACCCCGATGCACTAAGCGGACTCATGAACAACCCTACCATTCAAAACATGATGAACAGCCGGAGAGAAGGTGGCGGAGGTGGCATGCCGGATATGAGCCAAATCCAACAGATGATGCAAGATCCCAACATCGCAAACCTGTGAGTGTGATATGCTCGAGCTTTGTACACCTTACTGACAATCAACAGCGCACAACAATTTATGGGTGGAGGTGCTGGAGCAGGTGCGGGTGCCGGCGCCGGCAGAGGAGGTCAACGATAAGACTGCCGTGGTCTTCATCCGCAGTTCCTATTAGTCGACACGAGAACATGATACACGGTGCACGAGAATGAAATGATGGCCCGATGCTCTCTTCAATAAATGCTGTACCTTATCTTTCCAAAAGAATGCGAAGCAGAACGCCAGCACACCTTCGATCAAATTGTTCACACATTCAACCGTCTGCCTTTACCACTGTCGTCCCCCCACCTGGATCACCCTGAGCACCAGAGCTGCAAGACGTGACACTATGCTCCCTTGCCTGGAGAGAGTCGCGGTAATGGTGACCTGGTTGTTGGGCGAAGGACCGGCTCAAGCCGACAGCGCCAACATCTCCGTAAAGGGGCGGATCTGTCCTGAATTTGCACTTGCCAACTGCTCAGTGTCCCCGAGGACACAGTGTACTGGGTGAGTCTTTCCTCAATTTGACGTGAGAGAGACGCTCGATGAAGCTCCGGCAAAATAAGATCAGCCGATGTGGTTCCTGTCACCTCCAACTCAACTACCTCTAGCTTGCGTTGACATCACGATGCAGCTCCTTAGACCACGGACTTTGAGTTGCAGCTTCATGCAAGGCATTTCCGCAGCTTTCCTTGCTCAGGAGTGTTGAAATGAGCGTTGCTCATTGGACCGAATAGGAAACAAGAACTTGTACACGAATCCACCCCTCGATTGTCCACGAATGATCTCGTCCTTCCCTTTCAGCCATTATCATGCCGATAAGACCATTTCGTGCCGCACACCACCATGAACACTGATGCCGCAAACTTTTCCGGATTTCTGATGCGACAACGGGTCCATTGCGGGGTCAAGCCGTTGCCTTTTGCTGTCGCTAGGTTGTCTCTACTCGTACAGCTTCCGCCAGCTGAAAGCAGCTGCAAGGAGCTCCGGTCGAGCCTGGAAGCTCTGAATGTGCCCACTTCAGCTCGTCGACTACGTAAACCACGAGCGGGTGCTCGTGTTTCTGAATCATGCGATGTAGAAGCTTCTAGTATATGATTTCCTTTTCACATGGTGGTTGCTTGTTGCTGCCTCTTCTCCATACCCTACCACTTCCTGTTTCCGATTTGCTGTGACGCCACCTGGGCAGGCGATCATTATGTATTGGCCTACAATCTTCATCCTCAGCCTATTCCTAGGACCAGGCTTGGCCGGGTAGTAAGTATACAAATATACAACAAATCCGTCGGCTCCGATTCTCCCAGGATCTGACGAAGGCGCAGTGATTCAGGATACTGGACGCCATCGCCAACCACGACGCAGTGGTGGACACCGACGACGACCTCATACTGGTCGACCTGGACACCTACCTCGACGTACACCACATGGTACACGCAGCAAAACGTCATCGTTACCGTCACTTCCTACATCCCCTGCCCGATAACGTCGACGGTGGTCTATTGGGAATGCTGCGACCAGTGCCAGAACAATTGCTACTACCCTCCCACGACGTACGTACCAGGCGGCTGGGTGGGCACTACGACAGTGACTTCCTACACGACCACGACACCAGGACCTCAGCCTCTATCGACGATCACGAGCAACGGGTTGGTCATAGTGATGGTCAATTCGGACGTTGTCACGCAGAGCCAGACGCCGAGTATCGTGTACCAAGTGAGCAATCAAGCAGCGGCGCCCACGCAGGAGGGCGTCTGGCCCAGTTTCTGGTCGATGGGCATGCTGTTGGCGGCGACCGCGACGATCATGATCCTGTTATAGCATGACATGGGCGGCTTTTCGTACAGGGGAAACTATACGCATCCCCGATGTAAATATCTGCATCTGTTTACGATTAAATGAGACACAGCATATAATCCAGGTGGCTAGCAACACAGGACACCCAGTACGAGTTAGTGGATGATTAATCGCCCAGCACCGCATCGCCAGTTTACCTTATTGGAGGACCTTTCCCCTCCCCCTCCGCAACTGAAGCTTTTCCTTCTCTTCCCCTGACGTGGTAAGCTTAACGTCACCCGTTCTCCGATTGGCCACGCCCTCCTCACTGCTGATATCAAACCCAATTCCCCAATATCCAAGGCTCCAGGCTCCCTACGCTTTCTCCATATCTCCAGCTTTCTCGTGTGCTCGAGACTCATTACTTGGTACTCGTAAGCATCCGTCCCGATCTCGCCCGGACGGATCCGAATACCCATACCAAGATCGCCGACAATGCCGTCGGTAGTCGTACTGGTATTCGGACCCTTAATTACGAGCACAATAACCGACTAAGTAACTTACCCACCCCGAACCTTGCCAGCCGTACCGAGTTAGAAGCCGCCGTCCCACGTCCCACCAGACCAAAAGCTTTCGCGATGCCCGCGCCCAAAGCATCTACATCAACAAACACAGGGGAAGGCTCGTCAACCACCGCGATCTCCCGGACCACGTCGCGCAACAAACTCTCTTCGTCGCCGCATTTCCGGCTGCAGCGTCAAAGGACCGAGACTGACGCCCTGCTCGCCGAGCAGCATGACGAGGAACATTTCGCCGACAGCGACGGTCTTTATCCGCCGCATTGTACGTGGACGAGCCATGATCAGAGGGTGAGTGGTGGGAAGCCGCCTGAGAGTGCCGACCCGTTCGGGAACGGGAAGTGTAGCGTGTATGAGAATATTCATCGGTGGGTTTTTCAGCTTCTTCTTTTTCTACTCGGTTCACGACATTGGATGTGGCGGTCGAGGAGTTAGGACGTGCGGAGTCCTAATGAGAGGCCAGAGCCTGCGGATGGTACACCCTCTGCAGTTGAAGGACAGATCGTGAGTGTACTGAAAGTGCTGACGCTCGAGTTCGAATGGGGATAGGATACGCAGAGATATCATCACGAGTATTGGTGAGTCTCTCCGTCGAGCAGAAAGGCGTGGCGGCAACGGTTAGAGGCTAATTTACCGTGTGCCGCACATCTTAGATGACCCGTACTCTCTCGACCAGCTGAAAGGGCCGCGGATGAACATCTCGGTCGTGCGCCCATTAGTCGACTCACTTTACGAGACGCAGGATCTGTCTATCGGTCCGTCTTGCCGGCCGGGCTATCTCTGACTCAAGCTAACAGCCCCAAGTATATTGCCTCCTCGTCAACCGCATGCAATTTATCCGAGAACAGTCCTTCGCTACACACCACCAGACAGTAAACCTTACTCGCGCACTGCTGTGCGAACTGGTCGCGGAAAAGATCCTTCGTCGCTACAACGAACACAATCCAGGACCACGCGGCCTACTCAAGTTGGCGAACATCCTTGTTGCGGGCTTCGAGCCGTTTCAAGGCGCCCCTGACGAAGTCGTAGACCAAAGCAAACATGCGATGCACTACTGGGCAACACAGCATCGTTCTCAATCCGGAAAGGTCGAGAGAAAATTGACGGCGCTCGAGGTCGCCATCGTCAGTGCGAGTAAATCCTTTCTGGCGAGTAGCGCTTGCCAAAAAGTCGTGGATGCGATTTATCGTGGCAAGATCGTGTATACACCATCAAGCTTCATGGATATCATCCCCGATCACTGGAAGAAAAGGCCCATTTCTCTGTATGACCCGAGGAGGGCGCCACTGTTGAATCAATACCGACTCGTTGTACCGCGGACACGGAATCTGATCGAGGTGGTGCAGTTCATGGTGTTGTTGGGGTTGTATATTGCCGTGATGGCTGAGAGGGAGAACCGCTTGACTCCGAAGTTCGAGGTGGTGGAATTAGTGTTTTGCGTTTATGGTGCAGGATGGGTACGACAAAATATCCGTGGAAGGTACGTGGGCCGCTGACAAGGTTCTAGGTACTGGACCAATTCGCCTCGATTCTGGAACACGGCTGGGCCGTATATACCCAAAACCTCTGGTCGTTTTTGGACGTCATGTTTTCGACATTGTTCCTCGTTTACCTTGGGCTGCGCATGCACGCTTTCACAATCTCCGATCACGACAAGTCCACCATTATTGCGCGAACGGCTTTGGATGTTCTCAGTTGTGGAGCACCGGTGCTGGTCCCTCGTCTGGCGTTCAATGTCATGTCGGAAAATATGCTTTTCCTCTCGCTGAGAGCAATGATGTCGGATTTCTTGACCTTGACAGCGTTGGCAGTGTGGTGTTTTGCCGGATTCCTACTGAGTCTCAAATGGTTGCACGCAGGAGCACATCATGCTGGTACGATTGGGAAATGGATGATCTGGATCTGGTTTGGGCTTGATGGAACGGGCATCGGGCAGTCGGCGGACTTCCACTGGCTTCTCGGGCCTGTGTTGATGGTGCTATTCGCCTTCCTTGGCAACACCCTGTTCCTAACCGTGCTTGTTTCAATGTTGACGAACACATTCAGCGGTATTGTAGGCAATGCCGTCCAGGAGATCCAGTTCCGTCGGGCCGTACTCACGTTCGAAGGAGTCAAGTCTGACGCGATCTTTGCATACATGCCGCCATTCAACATTCTGGCTTTGGTTATCTTGGTTCCCCTCAAGTGGATTCTTTCGGACAGGATGTTCCACAAAGTCAACGTGACGGCCGTCAGGATCATCAACTTACCAACATTGTTGCTTGTGGCGTGGTACGAACGGAGAACTCTGTGGATGTCTGATAGGCACAAAGGGGGAAGAAGCAAGAAAATCGACTGGAAAAATGCGACCGGTCCGAAGGCCACCGCAACACAGTACTGGGCAATTTCGAGATTCAGTGTGCACGGTGACATTCATGCGGTCTTCGACATTGATCCTCCTCAGTCGGTGTTGGACAAGATTGCCGAGGAAGACGACTTGAACCACAGCGATGACATGGGCATCCTCTCCAACACCCGGTTGAAGGACCAATTTGCAAACCTGGCCGAAGAACGGCGAGCCAGCCAGACCAGCAATGCCGATCGCAGACTATCAGTCAACCCTAGGGCCAAGAAAAAGCGAAGAAGAGACTCCCAGTTTGGAAACACAGCGAAACAAGATTCTCAGAATGATCGAAAGCTGAAGAATGAATTTCGGGATTCTGATGAGGATGGAGACGAGAATGGCGCTCCATCGGGATACCGGAAGCCGAAGAAGGGTGAACGGATGGATTCACTTGTTGATTTCAATAGCGACGGTGATCGCGATGTGCGCATCCTGGAAGCCTTGACCCGACTGCACAAGATTGAAGGTGCGATGGAGAGGATGGAGGCTCTGCTGGGGCAGTTGATCGACGGCGACGCGACCAGCGAAAACAGCGAGGGAAAGGAGGAGCTGGCGCAAGAGCTGCGGTCCAACTCCCTCAAGTGAGTTGAGATTGTACTATGAGTGTTCTAGTATGCAACATACATGTACCTTAAAAAGTAACCAAATCATTACTTTTAGAGACTGCATCTGGATTAGGTGAGGCAGTGGTAAAGTCAAGGTCAGGCTAACATGAAAGCAAAGTTAGGGTAGTCTGTTGTGAGCTTAGCAAGCCGAGGTGGTTGCCCGGTCGACCAAATGGCGGTGGTGATGTGACGACTCTCACCAACACCATCACCCCTTCTCATTTCGACTTTGCCTGCGCTCATACAACACGTCTCCCATACCTAAACAAACACAAGATCGCAACGCAGCCATGTCTACCACAATTCATCAGTCGCAGTTCTCTACGAGCACGTCCTCATTTCGCGCTTCGCAATCACAGCCGGCGCCCACGATGTCATACTCGGACACGCCTCTCACGCAGCTACCGTCTGTGGATTTTAACTTCGACGACTTGCGAAAGCGTATGGCGGACTTCACCATCAAATTCGATGCATTCATCGAGCAAGGGAGGAAGAGAGTCCTAGAAGAACGAAATGAGTTCCGAGCGCGCTTGGGTGAATTGAGTGGTGAGTTAGCCACAGGCGGACGTAAACAAAATCGCGGACGCAGACTGACCCAAAATTCAGAGGAACGACGCTCGACTAGCACACAAATCACCACGCTCCAATCCACGCTGTCTACACATAATCAAGTATTGGCACGCGAGCAAGCCGAGAAGAATGAAATGCACTCGCAAATCAGCAGCCTCGAATCTCACGCAACACAGCAATCTGCGAAACGCGACCGACTGAGGTCCGCCATCGCACAGACACAACGCCAAATTGACGCGAAGGTACAAGCGCAAAGGGAATATGCAGCGAAACAGGATGGACAAAGTCAACTTAACAGGCCTGAATTGAGTTTTTGGGAGACATATCTCGGATGTAGGATTGAAGGGAGCGGAGACGAGAACAAGGTCAGAATTGTGTTTATATTCCCACCGTCGAAAAATTCTGGCTCTGGACTTGACGACAGAGAAGCCCTTTTTGAACTGGCGGTGCCGCTTACAGGTCATGGAAAGTACGAAGTCACCTATATGAAACCCAAGTTGGAGCCGGCGCGGGTAGAAAGAGTCGTGGATCGGTTGAACGCGACGAGGGAGATTGGCACCGTGCTGAAGGGAATGAGGGCGTTGTTTGTAGAGGCTATCCAGTGATGACAATAGACATGCTCATGACCACGACCTGTTACATGGCGTCCCTTTGAAGTGAAGCTCCAAGGTCCATTCCCTCGGTGCTCAACCCTTGTCATTCTGTAACCGTTCGGCTTCGGGGGAAATATAAGCGAATGGGGCGATCCGGGGCAAACATGTGGCATGCCAAGCATGGCAGTGGACACCTTTCGAGATCCATTGTCTCGAGACCGTGGCATGGGAATAGACCAACACATAATTATGTCGTCGACGAACAACACATCGATCCCTTCCGGAGGTAGGTCCTGAGATGGCGGCAGTCGCATCGTTCTTGTACTTACCTCCTCTCAGACCAGAAGTCGAAAAAGAAAAAGAAGTCCAAGAAGAAGGGCACCGCGCAACCCGCAACCGCAGATGTTCCCTCGACCCCAACCGAGACCAATGACACAAATGAGGGTCTCGATGATGAAGATGACGATGGGGAACACGGCGAGCGGGAGGTCGAAGAGACGCCAGCCTCACCGGTGAAAGAAGAGTCGCTGGATGCAGAGCCACCAGCTACAATGACAACCGTAACGAACGGAGTAAAAGACCTCGTCGTCGAGAGCGACAAAGATGATCCAGCTGCGCGCTTTGACGCTCTTGTCAAAGACCGTGACGCTCTGCGACAGGAAGTCACGCAGCTGCGGCAATCGCTCGAGGAGCTCCAGGCTAAGCACAACTTGGAAATCGAAGCAGTTCAAGGCGAGCTCGCAGACACGCAGGCGGAGAAAGAGAGTGCAGAGGAGCAATACCAATCGTTACTAGGAAAGGTGAACACAATACGCTCTCAGCTAGGCGAGAGGCTGAAGGCCGATGCAGTACGTACATACAGGCTTCCCCAATTCCGGCGCGACACGTTGACACGGTCGACAGGAAGATCTAGCCCAAGCACGCACACGAATCGAGGAACTCGAAGAACAAAAGTCCGAACTACAAGAAAGATATACAGCCCGCTCCGCTGAAGTCGACGAACTAACTGCCCAGACCAAAGACCTCACGCAGAAACACGTGGAGCAAGCCAAAGAACTCTCCAGCCTGCGCAACCGTCTAACGCTCTCACAGCAGAATTGGCTCAAGGAAAAAGAAGAACTGGTCGAGTCGGAAGCGTACATCCGGGATGAATTCGAGAACGCAAAGCAGGCGATGCACGACTGGGAAGTGTTGGCCATGGAAGAACGAACCGTCCGCAAAGACCTGACAGATCGGAACGCCGACCTGGAAGAACAGCTCGCTTCTCTCAAGGAGGCGTATGAAAAGGCAATTAGCGAGAGAGACACGCACTCATCGACGGTCGACGGCCTCCAACGAGCCCTCCAGGAGATTCAGACCGTGCGGAAACAGGAACTCAAGGAACTGGTCGAGACGAATCAAGCCGAACAGGCAGCGTTGCGGAAACAGCTGCAAGAACTCCAGGGGACGCACGATACCACCGTGTCAGAACTCGAAAAAACGAAGAGAGACCTCGAGCGCGCCCTTCCCTTTGAGAAAGAAGTCAAAGAGAAGAATCTGCTGATCGGCAAGTTACGGCACGAAGCAGTCATTCTCAACGACCACCTCACGAAAGCACTACGGTTTCTGAAGAAAGGAAAGCCAGAGGACAATGTCGACAGGTACGTTTTGGCTAGCGCCAGCATGTCCTTGACTTCTCATCTGATCCCCGAAATGCCTGCCCTCAAATGCATTGGCAGATTCTCCAACGATGCCCGGCTACACTTGCTGTCTCCCTACTCCGCATTTGATGCCCTTGCACATGCCGAAATCTAAACTTAGCAACCCCCGTCCGGCCTTGTTCTCCTGTAAGGCCAGTTATACGCCCACCTTTGTTGATCACCGTTCCATGCGAGCTCCCGTCGATCATCAAGCCTTGCGCGTCGTTCTTTGCCACCTTACATATGCTTTCTGCCTCATCACTCCTTTCTGCCTTACCCTAAGCAAGGCTGAGCTCTCCCTCTCACACCACGCTACTACGACTTGACATTCCAAGCACCACTTCCCCGTTTTCCTCCCCCTTTCGACTTTTCCCGTTCAGTGATCAGCATCAGCTTTGCATTCCCGATATTCCATTCAGACACCAGTACCATTATCTCCACGCTTTCCCTTTCCGCGACGTCTAAGCGCAGCCCAGCCGCAAATATGCGAGCACACGGCCGCGGAACCCGGTCCTTTTCTTGACAGCGACGTTGACATTAACACCGACGCTGACATTGACACTAACGTCGTTCCTTGCCCCCAGACAAATCGTAACAAACCACCTCCTCCACTTCCTGGCGCTCGACCGCTCCGACCCCAAGAAATTCCAAATCCTGCAACTGATCGCCGCCCTACTAGGCTGGACAGAGGAACAGCGCGAACAAGCCGGTCTTTCCCGCCCTGGGACCACGACCGGCGCGCCCGCCCCGACGAGCAGTTTCGGCAGCCTCCGCGGCTTGAGCGGGATGAGCCCCCTTGTGCATAGGACCCCGTCGACACCCGCGCTGAGTCACGGCCCGGAATATTTTGGCGGGGAGGGAGTCATGAGTCCGAACGGTCGTGAGACGTTGGCAGAACTGTGGCAGAATTTCCTGGAGCAGGAGGCCGCTTCAGCGGCTGGAGGGGGCAGTAGTGGTGGTAACAGCAGCAATAGGAGCGGGATGCCTCCAAAGTCGAGGCAGGGTAGCACGAGCACCGTTGGAGGAGGGTTGCCTCCGATGCCGCCGATGCCGACGTCCAAGTAATACCAACAATGTGAGATGATGTGGTGTGAAGTACCTAGGTATGAAACGAGCAGAGACGATGTGGCGAGATGGCGAACAAGTATGAAGACGACGTGACGTACAATCTGTGGTCACTAGTCTCGAATAGAAGACATGTCGCTGATGGAAGTAGACCTTTCTCAGCTGGTACTGTTTGCAGTACTCGATTTATTGCGCGTTCCAGCCCATACCCAGAGGAAGTCCTTATTCACCTAGATACTTGAATCCCTCCGGCAGAATCGTCACATATCATAGATCGTATACCATTATACCTGCACATCCTAGGGTTAGGGTGGTGTCTATTCACGCACGAACCTGTCCGTGTCCGTACACTCGTATCCATGTATCCTCGCAATCGCGTACCTTGTATACTCGCGATTGCATACATATGTACACTTTCATTTCGAACCGCCCTGCGGAGTCCATTCAATTCATCCAGCTCAACTCATAAGAATGAGATTCCAGAAATTGTTCGACAAATGATTTGAAAATCGTGGCCTTTGAGGCAACCCACTCGTAGATGTCCAGAATTCAAACTCCGGTCTCCGATCCTGCGCCATGGCCCTGATGCACCCGTTCGTCGACGTCCGAAATTCAAAATCCCCAAGTCCTGCCCTGCGCAATGTGTAAGAACGATAAAGACAGACGCTCAGACAGATCCGGCTCAATTTGATGTCTTGGTCGGCGTTTGTGAGGGGTACAGTAGGTATAGGTGAGGTAGGAGGCGAGTGCATCCCGTGTTATGCGCTATAATTGAGAGAGGAACCCCCGATACCCATATCGTCGAACAAGCTCGTGGATATCCTAAATTAGGGAGGCGTCAGCCTTGTGTCACACGTACTGTGTGCGTGTAAGATCGATATGACGTTACGCAAGTGACCTACCCGTCCAGCCCAGGGCAAATCCGATGCATCTATGCGTTGCGTTGATATCGTGGCTGTGTCTTCTGCTTCTGGCTGCCACTTCATTGTGAGCGTTTGGTCATCCTCGTCCAGATCGAAGGTCAGATGCTGGATGTCGACGTTGCCTGGGGCCAGATCACACTCGTCCGCCATTTCAAGGGTCGCTTCTGCGATGCGCGCGGCGTACTCTGTGCTCCACGAGCCCTCGTCCACGTTGAGCCATCTGAGTGCGTTGATGGCTTGACGGCGGGTTTCCACGTTTTCCCCCGACATTGCAACGAGGAAGATCGGGGCGATGAATCCGAGGGACGGAGGGTCCTTGCGACATGGTTCCGTGGTGGTCAGCGGGTCGTGGCGCAGCACGTCCTCCACCTCCACGACTATGAAATTGTGGCGGCAGTGTTCCGGGCCGGTGCATTCAGGTGAGGAGTCGCGATCGCGCTCTTGCTCTTTCTCCGATTCGGTCGTGTTGTATTGTGCCTGTCTCTGTAGCTGGTCGAGGAGGATATGAGCCGCGACATTGTGGACGATCAACATGCGGCGCATGTAGACGGGGCCCGTGGTCGTGAGGTTTTGAAACAGATGCATCCATCTGTAGAGGCGGGCGTCGAGCTCGTCGAGCTGTTCCAACTCTCTGATCAGGACGGTACGTGTGCTGTGAAGGGCAACTTGTGCCTGAACCTGGCTCTTCAGGACGAGGATATCGTTGATACAACTACCCAGGTATTCCTCTGCGTCACCTAAATCGTCGAAAGCAGGATGCTTGAAGTTCATGATCCGAACATCGCGGATGGTGAGACACAGTGCGCTCATCTGATCCGTCAGTTCTTCGACGCGGCATTTCGAAGCGAACTTGACGGCGTCGCGGATGGTGGGCTCAATGTACTTTGAGATGAGGTCGTTGGCAGGGTCTTTTGAGCGGGGTTTGCTCTTCCACTCCCCCAGGATCTTGATCGCAGCTTTCATGTGGTCAACGGTGGATTGGCCGCTCCCACTAAAGTTCTCGAGTGCCCAGAAGATGACGCACGCCGCCAGGACGATGTCGATAGGTGGCTTGTCGACCACCAGGGCGCAGATGGCGGCGTTATAGTGGAACATGAAGTTGTGGTTTGCTCTCTGAGATTGTGAGCCGAATGTGGTGAGAGATTCGTGCAATGAAGCGAGCGCGATGATGGAGTGCTTGATAGAAGGTTGGTGCCAGGTTGCTTGAGGCAGGAGCACAGTCCACAGATAGGGTTTTGAGTATACAGATATCAGATTAGACGTCTTTTCAAGGAAGAATTGAAAGCAACGATATTCTTCTTCTGTGCCGAATCTGGGAACAAGGGCGAGTTCTTGAGGATGAGGGTACGAGTTCAGGTAGGATTGAAATTGAGGATCGTTGGGTGGTGCTAGGTCAGGCTCTAGTTCTGCCCGAGGCGCTGCCAGTGCTGTCGTCGGCAACGCTGCTGGTGGGGGAGTCGGCGTTGACGATGATGAAGCAGGGTCAAACAGTCTGATCTTAGGTGGCGCATCTGGATATTGGTTAGCCAACACGGACATGGATAGAACTTGGAGAATAGGGCCGTCGTGTAAGACTGGTCGGTCAGTGATGAACAGAACTTACACCCGCCACACCTCATGTTAGATTTGATGCATCTGGCTCGACATCAGTAACTGCGGTGACGACGCGTTGAGACAAACTTACCTCTGACACCCCGGCTTGGCCTCGTCACATTTAATTCTTCGTTTCCTAGGAAGGGTTAGCACTCATAGGGACCTCGAGACTGGAGCTGCTTGAACCTACTTGCACGTTAAACATCCATTGAAAGTCTTGGGGGCCCACTTCTTCGTCCGGACTTTGTCGCCTGGCATAGCGCGAGGAGGTTGTGCATTTTCGTCAGAGTCGGTGACATTCGTATCAGCACTCATGGCAGTCACCGATATATCTTCGAGCATTTGATAGTGTGGTCTGCAGTGAAAGTCGTTGCAACGTGTGGGCCTCTTCAACTCGGCGAAGCAAAGATGCTGGCCCTTAAATCAAACTGAGTACACGGATAGCTTGACAAAGAAAATAAGAGTCAGTGAATGTTCGGTGGATCGTTTGATTGCGGTCCCTCCATCGCTTGTTGATGTGAGAAATAGGACAGGGTCCTAACCACGAAAGTCGATCAGGTATAGGTTGCCCTCCACCTCTATTCGCATTTATGCGAGAAGGGGTAAGGCGCAAGAGCGGGAATGCCGGGGAAAAGGGAAACAACGGACTCTCGTTCCGAGGTCCAGGTCCCAGACTCTCCAGGAACATGGATTTCAGCGTCGTGGGATTCCTAAACGCTTTGTCCTTTCGTAATGGCGTGCTTGGTTGGACTTACAACTACGCGGCTGTGCCTGCAGCCCTGTGTGCTGGACGATCGCCCCACAATAGGTTGTTTGTCCATATGGTACCATCATTGGTCCACAGCTGGGTCAACGTGTTGGAGCTGAGTTCGATGGTCGGCCATAGACAGGGAGAGATTGTGTAAGTGACCGTGTTCTGTTTGGTATTGTAGGATGAAGGAAGCGTAATAAGGTAGCTGGGATGATTCATATGCCCATTCGACGACCTGGGCAAGACAGCATGTGGCTCAGCAATGGTGCTTTGTATTTTCGTGTTCATGTCACGGCTGTGTATTCGACCTTGAAAGAGACGAGAGTGACTGGAAAGCCATGGACCAAAAGGGCCAACAGAGCCGTTCATTTTTGGAGTCGAGATCTGATAGTCCAAGGCGCCGGGTAGGTTCTAGGAGGTATGATTGGGAAAGCCTCGCAACGTAGCTTTCTTCGTCGTATGCTCTTGCTGATGGAGCCTCTTGTCCCTCTAAGCAGAACCATAAGCCATCTGTGTATTCGTGGGCCCAATATGGTAATATGTGGGTACTGGAGAGGACCTAGCAGGAGATTCTAGTAGACGCAGGTCTTCCGTTGGGTGGAGAAAGCAAGAGTCCACTTTGGTTAGAGCGGTGATAGGGCTGAACAATGCCTTTGGCAATAGGAAAGTCCAATGCAGCGCTTCAACGGCTTCCACCGCTGCTTCACAACTGAAAGGACGTTCAGGACGACGTCCTCGGTTCTCGCAAATGCTTCCACGAGCGGTAACTGTGGCGCAGAAACAAGTAGTCTGATGTCGCACCAGCTGAGCACTGCTCCACTTCCGCCCATGGCATTGGTAGATCGAGGGTGGTATTTCCCTCTCAGAGCCGTGGTCCGGTGGGCGATCCTTGGGACAATATGACCACTACGAAACACCGCAACGGTGAGCGCGAGGACAAGGGCAAGCAACCAGCACCTCTTTTCAGCTCGTGGGCCCAGCTCGCGACGGATCAAGATAGGATCTGCAGGGCATACATAATCTGTCCTGCGTCAGCTGTTCGCGGTTTCCAATGTCGGCGGAGGCTGGCGGCTGCAAGCGAACGAGAGGTCGGATATTGTACGGAGTACGGAGTAATCCTAGTCGGATCCGGTACCAAGTCTCAGCGATACCATTGTCAATATGAGCCAAGGATCGATTTCGGTGGAGTTTGCGAGTTGTATTTGTAACTGACGGTGGCGGTGCCTGAAATCTAAGCTTGAGAAGTTCTGGCCTGGATGTCGCGGTCGAGTGTCCGTGTGTGTGTGCCGTCGTAACATTGTACCTGTGCTAGGAATGACGCGTCTCGGAGGCGGGTTGGAGCGTGTGAATGGGTGGCTCTAGCAAGCAATGTGCGTGAATTTGGACAGGTGACAGGCCGGGAGCGAGAGATCATCGTCTGCAAAACGCCAAAATACCATCATCTGAAGCCTACATGCGGCATGACCAGCCGATTGATCAACCGCGCAAAGACGGGCTGGTATGTACGACGATCTCTTGACCCCGCGAGTAGTTTGGTGGTGCGATACCATCACTCGAAAAGTCCGCTGTCCAATTGTCGTTCTCGCAACCATCGCACCCGCTCTCTGCATCTGGGGGCAATCAAACTCGAGTCATGCGCGTGTCGTTTACGAGTAGTCGGCGATGAACGCTCAATGAAGGACTGAGTCAAGCTGTGATGGCGGCCCGCGGCAGAGTCTTCAGCCCTATGGCTTGGGAGCGGTGGGTAACGCCTCAGGATGGCCTCGCATTCAGACTATGCGCGTTCATAAAACAAGGCAAGCTTCGAGCCAAATGAAAGCTAGGGCAACGGTAATGGTTGGTGGTGCACGAAGGGAGACTAATTACGGAGTATGGCACTGAATTTGGGATGAAGGGGGCCAAAGGTCGCAGGCAAAATGCGAATCGCAAATTAGGGGAGTGAAGGCTGCTGAGTGCCCTTAGGTAATCATCACGCACCAAACCACCGCCACTGGAGCACCTAACGGCCCGCCTACGGCCCACCTGCTGCCACAAACTGTTTGGGGCCTGCCGCCTGTGCGCGTTCTGGAACTCTGGCTGTTGGCCTAAGGCCGATTTGCGTATCCCAGTCTGCCTGAAATTATCCGACTTGCCGCGACAGGCTGTACCTAATTAGGTACTTTTGCGAGTGGGTGCTTGCACGACATCTATTCCAGCTCTTCAGTGGCTCGTATTAGCGGTCGCTGCATCGAGCCTATCTAGGGTTCTTTCATCAGGGCTCATGAACACGGCCCTGCTTTCGTATGCTCGACAGCGCCCAGACCGCTACTGCTCGCCAATTGCACTACATTGTCATTGTCACTGCCCTTCTTCTCCAGCCACAAGCTATCGCCGCGAGCAGCTGTCAATTTAGTCCGCCGCTTCGTTTCGTGACTGCTGACTACGGAGCACTACAGCAACCTGCTTGCTCCGGCTCGGTTCCCTTCTCGTTCTTGGCTTACGAATGTAGCCCGCGGCCTCGTTTCTAACTCGGCTGTCACCCTCGTTGGCTTATACCGTCATGTCGCCCTCGAAACGGCTGAGTAACCGACCAGGCCTATTCGTCGCGGCCACGCTTCCCATCATTTATGCACTCATCATCTTCTGGCTGAGACCTGCAACTCGTGGTCGAATTCAGCATGCCTTCCCCCACATGTCATTGGTCCAGCATGAGCGGAGCACCGCCGTTGAGTACGAGTTCTTGCACGCTTAGAAGGCATACAAAGACCGCGCCTGGATGGCCGATGGACTGACACCATTGTCTGGACAACCCAGACAACACTTTTGTGGGTGGGGAGCGACGCTGGTAGACTCTCTCGACAGCCTATATCTCATGGGGCTAGAAGACGAATTTAAACGAGCCTTAAACGCCAGTCTGATGCTCGACTTCACGAAATGCCTGGACGATGCTGAAGTGAACCTGTTCGAATCCACTATTCGGATCCTGGGAGGGCTGTTAGCAACATATGACCTGGCCAACGACGTCAGATTGATTCCCAAGTTAGTCGAACTCGGCGATGTCTTGCATACCGCTTTCATGACCCCCAACGGCATGCCCCGAACCCGGTACAGACTGGGACAGAGTGAGGGACGATCTCGAGCGCCTAGTACCGCTCCGGTGGCAGAGGTTGGTACTTTGAGCCTGGAATTTGCGAGACTCTCACAGACCACCGGGGACCGCAAGTACTTGGACGCCGTCGACTCGCTGAGTCAGAAACTTGCTCAGACCCAACAAGACTCTGGCATCCCGGGACTCTGGCCGGAGACAGTCTACCCCGGTTCGGTGGGAGGTCTAGGGTCCTATTTTGCGCGGGGAGGCCTTCGCTGGTCTCTGGGAGCTGGCTCGGACTCTGCATACGAGTATTTGCTCAAATCTCATCTGCTACTGGGTCGACAGACAGACTTGTACAAGACTATGTGGAAAGCTGCCTCGGAGCAGATTAAAGAACATCTGCTCTTCCGGCCAGCAATTCCTAATACAAACAGAACAGACGTGCTCTTCAGCGGCACTGCTGTCAAAGTGCCCGACCGCGAATACATAACCCTGGAAACCAAGGTCCAACATCTCGCCTGCTTTGCTGGCGGCATATTTGCACTTGCATCACGAATATTTGAGGAGCCACAAGACCTTAAACTTGCGACGCAGCTCACCAACGGCTGTGTATGGGCATATCTCAACACCCCGACGGGGATCATGCCAGAGTCTTTCTCCGTGATGCGATGTCCGCATGAAGACCCCCGTGAATGTGAAGAAGCTTACCGCGTATTAGAGGGTCATGGCCAACCTGTGTGCCTAAACGGAGTGTGCACCGACATGCTCCCGCCCGGGTTTCTTGAAGTCAGCGACCCGACCTACCGACTTCGGCCTGAAGCAGTCGAGTCCTTGTTCATCATGTGGCGCGTCACTGGGGACGAACACTGGCGAGACGTCGGCTGGCCGATATTCCAGTCCATCATTAAACATACTCGTGCTCCCTACGGTCACGCGTCGCTTGCAAGCACTATCCAGCTTGTCGACCGACATGCCTGTGAGAACGACCTGTGGGTGAACAAGAGGGGGCCATTACAGCTTGATGAAATGGAAAGCTTCTGGTTCGCGGAGACGTTGAAGTATTTCTACCTCCTCTTCAGCGAGCCGGATCTCATCAGCCTGGACGACTTCGTGCTGAATACCGAAGCCCACCCATTGCGCTTAACAGATGAAATACGAGGCTTCGGGTGACGACTATGGAAGAGAGAGTTCAATCCAAAGCTCCTGCTTGCGTGGTTTACTCCGCTGTCAAGCACACGCAAAGCTCACCAGTTCAAGGTCGCAGTCCCGCACCCAGTCACCACTTGGCTCCCTGCGGCCGAGGAGTTGTCATTCCAGACGGGAATCACAGTATTTCCGGACGTTCTGTCCGACACTTGGACAGATCAGACATTGGGTACATGGGCAAGGAGCAAGCGTGATAGGTATTTATCCAGATTTGGCAGAGATTGCGGCTGCTATTAGCTTGGCTGGTAGTCTGAGTGGTGAGAAACAGAACAATTCAATACGAGAAGTCAAGGGTTGAGCGCATTGGCGAAATAATGAGCCAGGCCAAGAGGGAGGAGACGCAACGAGGCATAGCCCAGCACAGTAGCAAAGTCCTGGGGACGAGAAGAAAGGGGAAGAGGGCTTTGCTCTGATGTATGACGTGCGCTGACGACTCGTGGTGGGCGGGCTTGCTTGCTCAAGTGTACAAAGCACAGCAGTCCAAAGTGCAAAGACTCTTTACTGTAGGTATCGACATTTTGTTATTCACATCATAGCTCGTCACGTCGTTTTTGGGCCCATCTCATGCGTGTCCATCTATCGCTCACGGAGTATCACCCACCCAGTTACTCAGTGAAGGCGAAATCGATGGCTGTACAGGAAAACAGAGAAGGTGCCTTTGGGCTCAGGCTCGCAGGGTCCTCTCCCTCCGGTTCTTTTCATCTCGCCCGTTCATACACACAGTCACTCATACGCTCAACCAATCCAGAAACTCAGGCGTAAAGTAGCTGACTACAATTCCTGCCCCGGCTCTCAGGATCCCTTCTGTGCTCTCGAACGCCATGGTCTTGAGATCAAACACGCCGGCCTTGGCGCCCGCATGAATCATAGCGTACTCGCCGCTCACCTGGTACGCGGCAATGGGCATGTCCTTTGCGATCTCCTTCGCATCCGAAATGATGTCGAGGAACGACGACGCGGGTTTCACCATGATGATGTCCGCGCCTTCTTGGATGTCTCGCGCGATGGCCCGTCTCGCGAGCCCGCGACCTCCAGGAGGCAGTTGGTAGCACTTCCGATCGCCAAAGCTGGGGCACGAGCCCGCGGCGTCGCGGAAGGGGCCGTACAGACAGCCCGAGAATTTCGCCGCGTAGGACATGAGGTTGACCTGGTGCGAGAGGCCCGCCTCGATGAGTTTCAGCTTGATGGCCCGGATGCGCCCGTCGTTCATGTCCGAGGGGGCCACGCAGTGGGCGCCCGCGTGCGCGTACGCCATAGCCACGTCCGAGATGCGCTCCACGCTCATGGCGTTATTCAGGCTGCCGTCGTCGCGCAGGATGCCGCAGTGGCCGTGCGACGTGTATTCGCACAGACAGACGTCCGCGACGACAAACAGTTGCGGGAAGTGCCGTCGGATGACTTGGATGCCCTTGATGACCGGGCCTTCAGGGTCGTCGGCTGCTGTGCCTAGTGCGTCTTTTGCGTCTGGGGCCAGAGGCACGCCGAAGAGTATGACGCTGCGGAGGCCCTTTTGTACAAGTGGCGTCAGGAAGGAGACAAGTTTGTTGAGGCCGAGCCGGTTCTGGTTCGGGAGTGAAGGGATGGGGGTGATTTCGTCGGGGTTGTCGGTGATGAAGAGAGGGTAGATGAGCATGGACTGGTTACATGTCATGTCAGCGCTTCGAGATCACTGTAATAGATGAACGAGCTGCTCACCTTGGTCAATTGTCTCTCTGCTTGCCATGCTCGTGACAGAGGGTGGCTGTAGCCGGCGTGGAGCTGGCTGGAGATATCGCCTGCGATGCTCACGCTGGTGGCGGCCGTAGAGGTATATGAGCGGGCCATGGATGGCCGCGAGATGGTCGACTGTGTGTCATTGGTGCTGATGTTGCTGGCGCTCGTTCGAGCATTGTTGGCCTGAGACGGCGAGTCGCGGAAAGCGATGTCTTGAACGAGGGATGAGAATGACATTGCGAGTAGGATGAGGTGGGTGAAGGGGGGATGTTGCGCTCAGTGTCGTCGTTGGAAAATATATCTTGCAGCGTCGAGTCGAATACAGTGGGAACGAAGTGCTTTCTCAGCTTCAAGTGGAATACGTCGTCGGTGGAGAGCTGAGGCGAACTATTTTGCGCAATCGCCAGCAAAGTCGGTCAGCCGAAATAAAATGCAGGCGAGTTGACGGCGGAGAAATCCGAAGCTTTGGATTCGCTGGCCGGAAGATGCGCCTCGGAATCTGGGCGCACGAGAGAAAAAAGTGAAAAGGGCTTGGGAGACACTCCAGGCCCATGGCCTGCACGAGCAGTCTTGGGGGCTGTAATATGTTTCAAGGGTATACGGAAAAGGCGCCTGTAAATGACCTCTAGCGATCCTCTATGGAGTGATACAAGTACTGGTTTTACCACGTGGGAGAATCATCGCCATCACACTCACGCCTTCCTAATGCTAAGACCTCATGTCTCTATAATTGTATGTCGTTGTTGAGAAGGCGGACCTCTTCGCCAGGCTTGAAAGCGGGGAGACCGATATAGGGGCATCCGTCACATCGGAATGCGTCTGATTTCGATTAGCAAACATACCACCGACGAAGAGCATACCAAGAGCTTACCTCCTAGGCTGCAATTGCCACAGCTACCAACTTTTCCTGGCACTGTAAAGTCCACCTCGGCAAGGTCGTCGGCTTGCAATTTTAAGGTGTTTAATGCGTTGTCGGCGTTCTCTCTTCTCGCGTTGTCTTCGGCTTCCAGCTTCTGTGCGAGGCCACAAGTGCAGTCTTTGCACGCGCGGCGCCGTTTGGCCTTTGGCTTGCATTCAGTGGCTAAGTATGGTCAGTAAGGAGTCACCACCGGTCCCCCAAGTGTTCGACTCACGAATTTTAATAGGTCTCTTCAAGTCGTCCTCGTCCAGCAAGGTATCTTCGTCAATCAAGTCATCGTCAGAATCGCCAGTTCCATCGTCAAAACCCACGCCCGCAGGTATAGTATCATCCACACTTTTCCGCTTGCCGTTCAATGGAAGTGAGACAGATTCCCCATTCGAATTTCCGTTACCGAGACCGCCAGCAGCCTCCGATGTCTTTTTTTTTCCAAACTTCAGTGGCACAGACACCTGCGCACCATAATCTACCTTCACAAATCCAAGGCCTGGTTGTGGGGATAGGCCTGCGAGAATAGCTTCGTTCTTCTCAGGTCCATCGATGGCTCCGAACGTCTGATCTTGGCTGCGCAAGTGTCCGCCGTTCTTCAGCGCTTTGACTAGCAAAGATAGTATATCCCGATTCAACAAATTCTGGCTCTCACGCCGTGAACCATCAGCGTCACTGAGAATAATTATAACGTCGTAGGTAGTCTGGGGAAGGGACACGAAGCCAAGGGCGAGTCTATCCAACATTTGGAGGTCGGTGTGAGCGCGGTCGTGCATTTCAATGACAGCAGTCAGTTTCTCTTGGTGGGATGAAAGCGAGGGAGGCGAAAGGAGCAGGGTCCGCTTCGAGGACTGCGGCGCCTTCGAAATCGGCATGACAAAGTCGTCCGAAGTGTCCATTAACACGGAGGGCAACATGGCGGCGACGATGAGGTCCTCTTGCTGTCTCGATAGGTGGTGTGGAAACAACAAAGGAAATCAACCCAAAACCCTGGGCTTAGAAATCGGAATTTGTGACGTGCACCAGAGGGGCAGTTGTGGCGCTAGCCCTGCAGGATCCCGATGCGTCGCTTCTGCGTTTTTCTCCGGCCTGCGAATCTGAGTACTCTGCCCACGTGGGATGTTGATGGTGCCAGTTCCTGAATGCCTGAGGCAGGAGTACAAGTATTGACCTCTTAAGACCAGTTTTTGTATGTGTTCAAGTCCCAGGATGGGACCTGTTGCAGGGTGATGATGATTGAAATCAGTGCTCTCACGTGTCCCAGTTTCCCGATATTCTCCACTCTCACACCACCGAGGACGAACATGGATTGACAGCGAGAGGCTACCTACTGTGTAGTTTACTTAAGAGGCTCAGGGCCAGTCGTGCCTACAGCCTGATTGTTTGCATTGCAGTGGATCCATTTCGCGATATTATTTCCCTTATCTTTGACTGTTGCTCAATATTCTCTCATGAATTGCCTCATAGGGTATCCACTCTTCGGCCTCTGACCACAGGCTGTTCGTCGCCAGACATGCGGCCCGCCGCTGCCCAGTACCACACTTAGTATGGCTTCATCACTATGCTACGGATCTCCTACGCAGCACTGTGGTACACAGCCTTGCTAGACTCAGGCAAATTGGTACCTGAATCGAAGCTCCTCGATGAGTGGACTAGCGTCTAGTGGGTACCCAGCCAGCAACGAACCCCGCGCTAAGTAAGCCGAATTGGAAAGGCGGAGCGTACAATCCGGGGAAGGCGCCCCTGCAATTGGAGCGATGGGCAGGGAGGCCCGGAAAAAGCACAGGGTCATGCGAGCAACGGGGCCTTTCTCTGCAACTTCTCCCCAATCACGGTAAACAGTGTCTAGAGCTTTCTACCAGTAAGCCACCTCGTCTCCGGCTTCATCTTCCCTGACTTAATAACTCTCTCCAACGAGCCCCCTTCCGCTTAGAAGCAAGTCAAAGCTCACTCGTCCTTCTTCCCTTCCTTTTCCTTCAACCGTGATCTCGCATATCTCTCACAACCACCCAGCAAAGCAAGTAATCAGCGAGGTGAGTCGTATTCCAGTGCATTGGAGATCGATCATACCATTGGTGGTCCGAGCTTCGCTTTCCTTTGATCTGCAGGGTCGCGTGTCATCCTCGTTCCCTTGACTCTACCTCTACTCCAACTTCATCTCATTGACTCTTACTCTCTCTACAGCCGCAATCGACCAACACTCTGACTCTTGACTCACTCTATCACTGTCTATCACCTCTTAACCGTTCGCTGTAAACTCTCATCCGACCAGTAAGTCATTCCGGACTCTCCAAGTCGACGCTCACTGACCGTTGACCACCAAGTGACTCGTACAAACAAAGGAAACGACCGCAACCACAGTGCCATCGCCGATGGTACCGCCCTTCCTGAAGAACGTCTCCCCCGCTACTTCGCCAAGCACGGACACGCTGATGCTGATCCCAAGGGTGTCAAGAAGCAGGGCGGTGGTAAGGGTAACTGGTAAGACTTCACTCTCACAATTGACAGCTGCGCCTCGATACTAATGCCGATAGGGGCCGTGACGGCGAGGAAGTCCAAGACTATGACTACACTTTCAACAACGCTCGTCGTCGATCCAACTCCAGCACCCAAGCTCTAGGAGACTTTAAGACCAAGTTCGAAGCCATGGATACCGATCCCGTCTTCGAGGAAGAGTTGCACGGACCGACCGAAGAGGATATCGAGAAGGCTTCCACCCATGACAGCACTGATTCCAGCACCTTGGGAGGAAGTGTTGATGATGACGACAAGAAGATGTAACACTACAAATCCTTTACGGAGAGATGATAACATGAACCTTCACTCTCGACATACGGCGCAAGGGGATGGTGCTTTGTACGGCTGTATAACTGTGGCCCCATACAGCGAGGCTTTCAGCTGCTGTGCTCAACCAATTGTGAATCGAATGAGCTTGGACCAGGGATGGCACGAATGATTCAAACGTGTATTACATAGCAGGAATCAAATCCACCACTGGAATGTGACAACAGAATATCCTGCCGACAGATTACATCATAGTCCTCGTGGAGAGTCCTTACTGCTACTGTGCCTTTTGCAGATTGCCGGTTACGGGAGTGTCCGGTACGTCACCCTAAGATCGTGCTTGCTGTTGAGTGTACTTCCTCACCGACAAGGCACTGGTTGTCGCGCGACATATCGAAGTGAGACGGGCATAATTGCAGCTTCCTCGAATCGACAGCATAGGATCCCATATTGCTCAACAAGACACAGTGGCTCAGGGCTGTGCTCGCCCAGATTGCCCTCGGTGCCTCGCAATGGAATGCCGAAGGTCGGAGCATTAAATGCCGAAGTTGAACCTTAAGCCCCGTCGGCACCAGCTGTCCACGCGACTCTTTTCGTCTGAATTGCGTAACTGCCCTCCACACGGATTTAGAACCGGAAGATTTCTTCAGGAGATGCGGTACACTTTGATATCGCGCGTATAGAAATCGAGCGGAGAGGGACTACCAACCTATGCACAGTCGATTCGACTATCTTTCACGTCGGCGCGGATACCGACCATGGCAATGCTTCACAACTGCGGCGATCCAGCGTCTCGTGGCGGCTACTGACCGGCGGTGTTATCACATTGCTGCGAAGTTGAAGGGACAACTTGGTCGATGTTGTTATTGAGAGAATTCCATCACTGTCTACGGCTAAGCCCAACTAACATCAGCATGGAGCGAAGAATACATCTCCTTCGTACCCCCTGGACTCAGCCTTGTTGGGGAATGTGGGGTATTGTGGGGTTGAGGTATCGACGACAGGAAGTCCATCGAGCAAGACCATAGTCAAGTCGAGTGGGAAATCCTCCGTAGTATGCAAAGATGTGCCAAATCTGATCCTGGTCTCAAAGATCTACATATGCGAGCTTACCCGAGCCACTGAACACGCAGGTCGCTCAAAGCAGTCAGTCGGAGGTTATGGCAATCTCAAAGGTGAGTGGGCTCTGTAGTAGCCCAACGCATGTCACCACCACAAGACTGATCTGTCGGCGTTTAGATCATCATTGTTGGCGCTGGCCCAAGCGGCTGTGTCTTGGCACTCCTCCTCGCCAACGCAGGCATTGACGTCGAACTTCTCGAAGCGTCAGACAAGCTCGACGACTCGCCTCGAGCCAGCTTCTACCCCTGGCCAGCAGTGTACGAGCTACAGCGGGCCGGGCTTTTGCCAGAGGTCCGCGAACGAGGCTATGTCGTCTCAGATGGCGTCTCGTGGCGCAAAGTGGACGGCACCCTCCTCGCCAGAATGGACACCAGTGCCGTCCCATTCGACCGACGCCTGCACGGCCTCCCCCTGGGTAAGCTCCTTCAACTCACGCGGGAGCATCTCGACAGAAAGCCCAACGCCAAAATTAGATATCAACACAAAGTGACCAAGGTCGACCAGTCCGATGCCCAGGCCCACGTCTTCGTTGACACGCCGGACGGTGAGAAGACCTTCTCAGCAGACTACATTGTCGGGTGTGACGGAGCTAACAGCACCATCCGCCGGGCTCTCTTCGGCGACGACTTCCCTGGCCGAACATGGGATCAGCAGATCGTCGCCACGAATGTCTACTACGACATCTCCAAGTACGGATGGGGTCAAGGCGCATTCATCGTCGACCCCGAGTACTTCTGCCTCGTTGCACTTTTGCAGCCCGATGGCCTATATCGTGTCAGCTACGGCGAGACCGTCGGCTTGACTCGAGAAGAATATATTGCTCGCCAGCCCGAGAAGTTCCGCAAGATACTGCCGGGCAGTCCGGGCCCAGAGGACTACAAGCTCGTGACGATCAATCCCTACAAGATCCACCAGAGATGTGCCGACAGTTTCCGGGTCGGAAGGTTTCTCCTCGCCGCGGATGCCGCTCATCTTTGCAATCCTTTGTGAGTGCTACTGCCCTTGAATGCCAGTTGTCTCGGCAGGAATGAAACTGACCAATGATTCTATGTTGTCGTAGTGGCGGCCTTGGACTCACGGGCGGGCTCGTCGACGTCGGGAATCTCTTCGACTGCTTGAACGGCATCCACCAAGGTCTTGCCGACGACAGCATTCTCGACCGATACAGCACGGTGCGGCGAGATATGTGGTTCAAGATAATCGACCCTGTCTCGTCCCAGAACCTGCGCCACCTTCTGCAGGACCCAGATGTTGCCATGAAGGAGGATCCGCTGTTCCTCGAACGCGACAAGTTCTCCGACCCGGAGTTTGTCGCAAGCTTGGTTACGGTGAGTGCCGTCCTGTGCTCATGTTCTCATATGTTCACCCACCATCGCACGTGGTCGGTCTCGCACGGACCGAGGTCTTGTGAAAACTGACAGTCATCTCACCAGGGGATCAACGACATCATGTACGACTTCACCAAGGAGTATAAGCAGTCAGCCGCAGGTCACGATATAGGACCCAGCCCCCACAATGAAGCAGTGGTCAAAGGAGTGGCTGCTGTGGGAGCTGACTGACGCAAGCGAGCCATTTGTGATATCTCGCATCTTATCTTCCGCGATCATTATAGAACTTCAAGGCTCGTTCTGATACCCAGGCAAGAACATCACCCCCAGCTTGTACAGCTCGTACTTGTCCAGCGTCTCCCTGCCGAAGCTGCACACCCGCTCCACATCCTGTCTACAGTCAAAGTAACATCCTCGCAACGCCTTCGCGCGCCCCGCAGCAAGATATGCCACCGTATTCGCACACAGCTCAGGCACATCCTTGAAGATCGATCTGATCTGGGCCTGGACTTCGGGTGTCGTGTTCTCTGCAGTTGCCACAATCAGACTTGTGCTCTCAAGCTTAGGCGAGATATAGGTAGCAAAAAGACATGTACAAGTAGCATAGCACGAACTCACCAGTGACCATCTTCCCCCACACCCCGCCGGGATGCAAACAATACGTATGCAACTGCTCCCCCAGCCCAGCCTGCTCAAACTCCTCCTGCAAACTGTGCGTGGCCCGCGCGACCGCCGCTTTGCTCGAATTATAGCTAAGCCCACCGGCCATATCGACCGTCGCGGCCCGGGACGCCATGTTGACAATGCACCCGGACTTGCGTTCCTTCATGCCGCGCAACACCTCGTACACGCAAAGCATGGTGCCCTTGAAGTTGACCTCGATGGCCTTCCAGAAGCCCTCGAACGTTTCGTCAAAGGCCAGTCTGCCCACGGCGATGCCCGCGTTGTTCACGAGGATGTCCACGGGTCCTAAGGTCCCGGCGATGCTCGCGAACGTGCGCCGCACGGTTTCGACACTCGTGATGTCGCATTGATAGACCTCGGCGCGCACGCCGTCGTACTTTTCGCATGCGCGTTTCGTGTCCTCGAGCTCGTCGACCAGGATGTCCAGAAGCGCGAGGTTTGCGCCGGAGTTGGCCAGCGCGATGGAGATGGCGCGGCCGATTCCTACGGCAGTAGCGGTGTCAATTGACAGATGGGAACCACCAGGACAGGACCGGGCACAGACTCACCTCTCCCTGCGCCGGTCACCACGGCGACTTTCCCCTTATTAGCCCCGGCGAGGCGTTCTGGCAGGATCGGTCCGTAAGGCTCGTGGTTCAGGGGCAGTGTCGAGATGCCGAATCGCGTGGGGTTGTATTGTTCTGGGTCTGCCATGTCGGTGACGGTACACAGATGATCTTGAAGCTTGAAGGGTCGTGGATGTTTGGACTCAATACTCACAGCGACCAGTCAAGGCCTAATTAGGACACCCGTTGGATATAACACCGCAAAGGGAAAGCTGTGTATCCTCGTACTGTAACCCCACAGGTACCGACGTACCTTAGTCTGGACAGCATTTCTCCCTGCAAGTCGAGCCCTGCCATTCCCCCAATTGTGGAGTAGTTGCAGTCCTGTACGTATTTCCATGCTTGGTGGGCGGGCGGGCTGGAGTCGAGTTCCTGGCTTACCCCACAACGCACAATGGGCAAGACGCGGAGGCGGAGGCGGAGTCGGTGGATGAGCACTCACTCACTTCAGCCTCGTCCACCAGCACATCCGAGACTGTCAACGAGTGCGTATATGATTGTTGGATGGCCTTGTGCTCGTCGACTGCATTCGCCGATTAACGAGAAGCAACCCACCTTACGTTGAATCGATCTTCGGCTTCTCCTCAGCAGATTTAGCGATGCCTCGTTTGGATTCTCTACAGCCTCAACATGTTTGGGTGCTCGGCGCAGTCGGTGCATTAGTTTTACTGGCATTTGGTCTGCTCTCGCTCAAGTCGAGAACAAAATATCGATACCCGCCTGGCCCGAAGGGAATTCCGGTGTTTGGGAATCTATTTCAACTCCCACCAGCGTATCCAGGGGCCAAGCTCATAGAATGGGGCAAACAATATGGAGATCTGTGAGTGCTGCTCGTGATGCATTGGGTCCGTCTGTGTGGGTGTGCTCACCATTGGCATTAGTTTCTCAGTGCAACTTGGCGCAAGGAGATGGGTGTTCCTCAACTCCTCGAAGACGGCGCAAGAGCTCCTGGAGCGGCGCGGTAGGCTCTACATCAGCCGGCCCGAGTTCCCCGTTACGCAAGACATATTGTCCGGCGGCAAGCGCATCGTCATGATGGGTCATACAGAGCGCTGGAGGCAGCTCCGCAAGATCATGCACCAGCTCTTGATGGCTAGCAATGTAAGTCTATTTGGATGTGGCCGTTGGTGGTGGGAGCTGATATTCGCGGAAGTCGGAGACCTATAAGCCTTTTCAGGATGTGGAGTCCCGGGCACTTGTCTGGCAGTATTTCAAGCGCCCAGATGAGTTCTACCGGCATGGAGCTCGGTTTGCAAACTCAGGTAAGATGGGAAGTTATAAGATGCGTTGCTGCTACTGCTGACGGCTGTTCTGTGCAGTAATCTTCTCTGTGTAGGTGATACGACGAGCCGTGCTTGTGACAAGCTGACCTTGTGGTAGCGTATTCGGTCGTCGAACAAGCATGGAAGACGAGAACGTCCGCCTGTTATTCTCGACCATCGACGACTTTCTCGAAACTCAGACGTCGCCGTCTTCGAGCTTGGTCGAGCAGTTCCCGTGGTTGGTGAGGGCCATGCCTCGGTCTCTCCAGTGGTTTAGACCGAAGGCGGAGCGGTCGTATAGGAAAACACTTGGGTAAGTGACACCAACGGATACCTTCACACCTATCCATCAGGCAGATATGAAGGAGGGCAGAGGCTGAGCTGGCCCAATAGCGTGTACACTGCTTTCTTTGACGACCTTGAACAACGTATCAAGAAAGGAGAGAACCCTGAATGTTTCGCCCGTGGGATGGCGGATCTTGCCACCAAGTATGGCTTCGATAAAGCCCAAGCCTATTTTGCCGGTAAGACCAAGGAACTGCAGATTGGCTGTTCGCTTCTTCCACGCCGTGAGACTGTTGGCTGAAAATGGGTTAGCTGGATCGATAATCGAGGCCGGCAGTGACACGACTCGCAATCAGATCAATGTCATGCTTGCGGCAGCGGCCAAGTATCCTGCCTGGGTTGCCAATGCACAAAAGCAGCTCGACGAGGTTTGCGGACATGCCGCGAGGCTGCCCACATTCGATGTAAGGAGATTCTCATGTGATACCAAGGTCTTGTGTTGACGGCTGTTAGGACTGGGATCGCCTGCCATACATTGTCGCAGCGGTCAAAGAAACGCTCAGATGGCGACCGAACATGACAGCTTCAGGAGTGCCTCGAGCTCTGATCGAAGATGACACATACCGCGACTTCGTGTTCGAAAAGGGGACCATATTCGTCTACAACCACTTCGCCATCAGTCATAACGAGGAAGAATACGCGAGGAACGAGGAGTTCCTGCCGGAGCGATTTCTGAACGAGGATCTCCAGGAGTTGTTAAAAGGGCATTTGGGGTTCGGCACGGGTAAGTATCCCTCAGCCTGTTGTTGGTCCGATCCTGGTCTGACCATGAAGCAGGGCGACGGGTTTGCCCCGGCTGGCACGTCGCGACCCGGAATATGTTTATCGCGTTCTCTAGGCTGCTTTATTGCTTCGACTTTCAGGAAGTGCCAGGGGCACCCATTGATGACTGGAAGATCGACCCGCTGGCGCATGACCATCCGCCATTTCGGATTCGGATTACCCCAAGAAGCGAAGACCATGTCAGATTGATTGAAAGGGAGTGCGCCCTGGCTGGGGAGGAGTTGGAGTGAATGCGATTCGTGGATCAAGTGAATGTGAAAGGGAGGTGAAGGTTCGAAAATCAGTACACTGGGTCGCTGCCGTAAGAAGCAATTTGCTGCGTTCAACGGTAGTCCTATTCGTTAACCACGGTCAACTCAATATCCAGTAAAGATCTCTTCCGGCAGAGTGTTTCAGTTCATTCACTTTCGAGACCCGTTGACAAAATGACCTGACTTCGTAATCGGAGTTGAGTTTCGCAGAGCCAAAACCCCTTGAATTTGTACCAGCCACAATTGTCACAGCCTCACTGTATCAGCCTTACAGATCTCCCTCAGCTGCATTTCCACCCCGCATTGCGTCTGAGTTAGCCTCAAGCCATGCCGCAGCCAGGACACACAACAAGTCCATCTCAGGCTGCGCAGACCTATCTTCCAGTCATCATAAAATGGGGTGCTATCACGACGCTCATTCTCAGCATCTTGCTGTTCAGCTCCCTTCTCACCAGGATCATACCTGAAATGCCGCCTGTTCTGTTTGATATCGTCCGTCGCAACTTCGACCCTGGCGAGCCGTCAAGCGAGTTCTGGGCGCAATGGAAAAACCCTGGAGATGTCTTCTCGGTCCTGCTGATCCTTGGTGGTGATGTTGTTGGTCGTGCTTTGGCTCAGCTGGCAGGCTCCCGTCTGACCCCAGTTGCTTTCTCTTTCGGTAACATCTGTGATCTTCGTGGCTAGGAGAAATGTACTGACGTGTGCCAGGATGGGTCGCGTTTGCCGTCACTGCCGTTGTATCCGCCGTTGGCGAGAACAAGCTCATGCCCCTCCCTGACTGCGCCTGCAAAGTAATCAACGGGGAATCTGGCTACGTTCGGGAGAACACCTCATGGATCATCGGACGAATTGTCAGAGACTTCGATCACTGGAAGGATCCAGCTGCTACCTCAAAGGTGAAAGAGCTGGTTGAGAAGAAGTTCGAGTTCGAGAAAGCCCAGGCGCTGCAAGACACAGGCTCTTCTGCATCAGTGGAGAAATCTACCCAAGCTGGGCTTTGCGTATCCATCTACGAGGCCGAACCTGCTCGTAGAGGCTATCCCGGCTATGACTCTCTGTACTGGGTAGGTTTTCTCACCACTATCGTTCAATTGGGCATCGCCGCCATTCCAGCAGGCATCTTCGGAGATTGGGGGATCTTCCTGATCACAATTGCTGGTATTTTATTATCTGTGGTGACGGGTACTCTTCCACAGTGGGCCAAGGAGAAATGGGCCTGCAGAAGCAAGTCTAAGAAGATCGTGATCCTGACCAGAGGCAATGGCAGCCAGCACGCTGTTGTCATTCTGGGCAATGGGAACGGGCTTGACCTTGAGGATCTTGCGGCCGGTCAGACGAACGTTGACGTTTCGGCTTCTTGGTTTACACGAGTTACACTGATCGCGCTTGCCTTGCTCTGGATCCTCCTTTTGATCACGGCCGCTGGCATCCAGCAGAACACTTGGTTCTTGCTTGCCATTGGCGGCGTGGGCATCCTTCAGAACATCTTCGTCGCTGGATGGAGACGCGACCCGAAAGCCTTTGGTGTCCCACTCAAATTTCTCAAGGTCATTGGTGAGAATAAGGTGATGGAGGCTCTTTATAAAGTCGAAGAAGAGTATCACCATGTTGGCGCCAGCCTGATCGACACGTTCTTCCCTGGCAAACTCAGATCCGACGAGAAGACGAAGTGGGAGGACTACGAGAAAATTGCTAAACAGAAGGATGACGCGGCGAAGAAGGCGGCACGGGCATCCAAGCAGCAGAACGGCGGAAGTCAGAACACCACAGGGAACAGTGCGCAGGGAGCTACGACACAGACTCAACCAGCTGCCCACAATGCACAAACTATATCCTCGGGCACCACCTGAAGAGCCAGAAGTCATGAGTATGATTGCAAGACCACTAGAAGGGATCGGCTGGGCATATGATCATGTATCAACACGACTTATGAGCATACTTGGCGAGTAAGAGAGATTTTTTCGAACACCGAGATCGACACCTTCGTGTGCCAAATAAGGCGCTAGTTGGGTATGCGGAATGGGGAAATTACACCTCTGATGGAACTGGCACGAGACTCACACGAAAGATTTCAACCTGGGTCGGAAGGGCATCGTCGACAAAGCGACGATACCGACACGACCTCTACTTGCCTCGTCTGAAAATAATTTATGGGCTGGGCTTTGTTTGACCGATATCCTTGCTACACTCGGGACGATTTGGAAAAACCATGTGTGATGAACTTTCTGATACCCTCTGAATGGCCATTGAATAGTTAGTGAATGGATTTCGAGAACATCCGCTTTTAATCCGTTGCATCGTTATCCCTGCTCTCGTGTTCTACTGTGATTGTCAGCCGGTGGGATTGCACCATGTCATTTGACAGCGCTGTTCGCTGCAGGTTCCGTATGTGCTGCGACGACACGCTGGGTCATTTCCAACGATAGATCGTTGGTGAGTGCCCGGGTCGTGGCGGTGCGAGAACGCCTCATGCGGCTGTGCGCTTTCCTCCCAACTGGTTTCCCGTACCGCGAATGAAACTGGCAGGAACTGCTTTCGACCGGAGCAATTTCACCCGTGTTTCAAAGCGCTTGACACTTCGCTTCACTGGCTTCCCTCTGCTTTCCTGAAACGCTGCGATTCAACCTCAAACTCTTGAGCGTCTCGCGCTGGTTCGCCACGTAACCGCTCCCTTCTTTCCCCATGCGCTGCGCCCCGAAGGGGTCGACGCCACCAAATGCAATCGGGCCACGGACTACCTTTCCGACGCCTGGTCGCTGGGTCTGGGCGCTCATAACGGTCACTTTTCGTGACCTTGGTGCCTTCACCTCTCCAATCGGAAGTCAACCAGCCTCGCTGGCGATCGATGAGTCAAAGGCTTTGCTATTTCGAACTGGTGGCCACGAGCTCAAACACGGACCAGCCTAGAAGCGGAAGTCTTCACAGAGTGCTATGCTCCGGTTGTCCTCGACCCCGTTGCTCAGACCGGTTGGTACAAGTTATATAGCAATCGACGTCGCTGTGTGTGTTTGCCGGGATGCTCAACCCCAATTCACGATCTAATCTACACAGTACACTCATTACACAACATTAGAACGATCTGTATCGAGTCACTCACTATGAACCACTTATGCTCTCTTGCACTTCTAGCTCTTGCCGCCCTTGTCAGCGCCCAATCTGCGCCAGGGTTTCCCATCCAAGTCGATACAAACCTGCGTGCAGACTTCCAGGATACTTCCACCAGCATCAGTCCAGCCGGTGTGCTGTTAAATCGCGATGGTGAGCCTCGTCATGTCACGTCCGCAGCATACCGTCGGACTCCGTCAATAGATATCTCATTACTGACACGCACATTACAGATGTCCTCGAAGAACCCACAATCGTTGGTCCCTCCGACTCCACCAGGACAATCGACTACATGGTCTTCATGGTGGATCAGGACGTGATCTCGCCCTCCGATCCTTCCACTCGCATACAATTCCTCCACTGGTACCAGCCCAACCTCGCTGGCGCCAGCGAAGTTCTTTTCGACTTTGACAGCGATTCGAAGAACTTCACCTCTGCAACGCCCCTCGCTTACATCCCTCCCACACCGCCAGGCGGTGACATCGCTCATCGATACACCCTGATCATGTTCCGCCAGCCCGAGGGGTTCAACATTCCCAGTGGATTCGAGAGCTTCTTTGAAGAGAAAAGCGATCTGTCGAACCGCTTGGACTTTGATATCGCGGCCTTCGTGAGCGCATCTGGCTTAGGAGAGCCAGTAGGCGCGAACTGGTTTCAGGTGCAGAATAAAACGGCGTCAGGCTCGACTTCGAGTTCGACCACACAGTCAGCGTCGGCGACGTCAACGAGCACAGAGGCAAGTTCGACTGAGTCGGCGACAAGCACCGCTACAACTTCGACGAGCACGGAGACAGAGAATACCTCGGCGTCAGGTGCTAAGAGCACAACAACAGCATCTGCGGAAGTGGCCACTTCGACTGCCGTTGTGACGCCTTCGCAGACACTGGAGACTATCGCTTCGCCAGCTCCCAGCTCCAGCGCTACTATCAGCTCACCAGCTGCTGGCGCCGCCGGCATAGTGGCCAGCATTGGCAGAGGGCTCATGGTTAGCTTTGTGCTCACCATCGCCGGTGCGGGATGGTGGCTACTGTAAAATATACGACAAATAGAATGCGGAGTGCTCTGGCACTGTAACATTTCTGAATTCAGCAAATATACCACTGATTCTGCACATATTGTACCAATAGGGAGTCATGTACGAAGAGTCACGATGTTCGATACCAAATGAAATAGAGGTTAGGCAATTGAAAATTTCAGCAAACACGAGTCAAATCCGACCATTTGGACCAGAACACCTTGAACTTTGGGAGAGACAACTGTCTTGGTACCGTGGCGTACGGGGATGCCTCGTAAAAGGTTGTCGCCGCTGAGTCATACGAAGACCTCTCTAATTATGGCTCTCCTAACATGAGAGCACGTCAAAACGCCGACGCTCTAGCCGCAGATGAAAGGTATTGCGGATCGAGTATTCGTCGACACCGACGATTGTCCTCCGCCTCTCAATCATCTCCGTTCTTCCATCGCTATCGACAATACACATACAGGTGCCACACGCCACTTCGCTTTGCCACTTTTTTGTCCAAACCAAGGAGAGCCAGTGGCGCTGTAGACTTCATGTGTGCTTTGTTCACCCTGTCGACGACTCGACCTTGTCTATCGGATCAGCCTCAACGGCCTGGTCAATCAGTCATCTGGGAAGATCGAGGAATGACCTCGCTGGCTCGAACTTCCCCACTCAAACCCGCATGCTTGTCCTAAAAAGCGCGGTGTCGTCCGGTGGTCCTGTTTCTCTTTCCAACCCAAAGCAAGACCGCCCCCATGATGGCACTGACAAGGAAGAGAAGCATGCCGACGAGATCAATCCACACCTTATCATGCATGGCGTGCATGCGAGTCACGAAGTATCCATTGTCACCTTCAACCGCGTGCCAGAAAGTCTCAGTGACGAGCTTGCTGATGACGGTCCTCATTATGCCGAATGCCGCGCTGATACGATACAGAGTACCTTCGTTAGCTTGCTTCTGTGGACTGCGATAACGACCAAATGTGAGCTACCCAACTTACCTGTACAAGAAGAACATGACGAGGTCCCACGGGCAAGCGAGCGCGACGGGGCGGTAGGACAATTTGAAGGGCACGAGACCCAGAGCCAGACCAGTGACGATGGCGAGCGAGCCGAGCACGATTTCAAAGTTCTGGACCTCATGTTATTATCGTGTTGAAGAAGGTTTGAAGTCTGAGTCTGCGAGGTGCAGAACTTACGAGCGTCCTCGGCAAGCCATGGTCCTGCCAGTATCCTTTCTCGTGCACGTAGAGGTAGATGGTCAGCACGCCGGTCACGACTTGCGCGCCGCGGATGGCTCCGTTGGCGACCATGACGATGCTTTGGCCGACGGTTGCGTCTCTCCAGGCCATATTTGCGGTGGTGGTGCGGTGCGACAGGATGGAACAGAGGCAGAAGGGTTGCTGTGAGGGAGGCAGAGGTCCTTTGGAATTGTACAATGGAGAATAGAGGAGGAAATGGCACACGATTATCGGCTGGTGACTATGACGGTTCGTTCATTGTCGAGAAAGAAGGGATTTGTCAAGCGTGCGCGAAGCGGATCTAAGGGATGTTGATTTTGGCTACTCGCCGCGGATTTATTGTCGTGCGACCATTGGGGTACTGCCTCACCTTCACTGCCGGGGCAAAGTGAAGGGCGCCGGCAAGCAGCAGTTGATACGGTATCAACTGTGTGCGCTTCCGCATCACGCCAAGCGTTTCATGAATGTTGAGGCCCTTTGTGTGAGGCTGGTTGCGAATTGAGAGAGATATGAGCGATGAGTTGGATCTGGCTGTCGGGAGTGTCTGTTATTTGCACAAAGTTGTCGCGCCATGTTGGGGGTCTTTCATCGAGCAAGGCGCGGGTGTCATTGTGACCTCTTGATGCCGAAGGTCTAGTGGTTGCTTGCATTGTCTGCAGATCTCATGCTGGGTCCTTTGCCAGTCGTGTCTCATGGTGTTTTCGTGAGTTCCAGGTGTTCGGAACATATACTTGTCGCTGCTTCGCCATTGATTGTGAAGCCATTGCTGGTGGTGGACCTTCGACTTCTTTCCCGGCATGCGCAAGCAGCACTATACTCGGCGCAGACATCAAACAGTCTGGCTGCCAATGTCTGTCATGCCGCTGAATTGTTGACTTAGTAACTGGTTGCCTGCTCCGCGTGCGTGTGTGCACGCCCGGTGCCCGGCAGAAGAGGAGCTGTCACGGCCATGGTTACACGGACAGACACAGGCGGATACGTGCTGCGGCCGAGGGGTGGGCAGAACGCGAAGTACCAGTGTACCACCTCCGCAGGAGGACTCGAGGGAACAAGGGAACAAAAGTCGCTCCTCAAACAGGGTAGGGTAAATGCATGATCTGGGCAGCTTCTTGTGACTTCCCTGACGGAAAGTGACGAGCTCCTGCGCCACACCAGCCAGCTCAGCTCAAAACATAAAGGGCGCCTGGAAAGAAGGATGGGTAAGGACGATCTCGTTGCAGGGACGGCTCAATCCAAAGGCGCTCGGGGCGTTGTGATGAATGAACGTAGCATTACTGGTGAACCTTCGCGAGCAAGCTCAGGAAGGATGAGCTTGTCCAGGCGGCTAATTCATTGAGTCTAGCAGGCCAAAACATGCACATAGTTTGCGCAACAGCGAAGGGATGCAACAACATCATCGCCAGCATTGCACCATCACGGTACTTCTTCTAGTGCTGATTGATCGATTGAATGATTGCAGACGTAATTAACCAGGAGATTTAAAGGCAACACTGGTGCCAAGCACACCTGGTGCCACTTGCCACCACAGTCGTCCTGGCTGGGTTTCTTTAGAAGGACCGGGCCACACCGAGAACGGAACCCACCACCAGTACTGACACCGGGGTACTAAGGAAAGATCTATAGCACGTGCGTCTACGTTCCTACCAAAGGGGTCATCCGGACGAGGTTGCGAAACATCCCACCCCTTCATCTTGCCCTACCATACTATGGGGAGTTGATACATTTTTCTTAACATTGCTGGGTATGGGAGGTCCAGCATCTTGATGCGCGGGAAGTGCTTTAGATTGTGGCTCGGCGAAGCGAGCGACGTGTCGTGCTTGATCCTATGGTGGGGTGATTATGGGTTAAGTGAGGATGGATTGAACATCAATAAGCCCAAGAGTGATGGGGCCGGGCTCGGTGGCGGGCGCGCAGAACCAAACACAGGTAATAAGGCTGCGTGGGAAAGCGGGTCACTCGGGTTGGGGGGTGAGGGGCGAGCGTTACGGGCCTGGAGGCCAGCCGTTTTGAACGGTGGGAGGCGGATCAAGAATGGAGCGCGGTAATTATACATTTCGGATCGCCGTGTCATTGCATGCATGAAACGTCTAACCTACAGAAGAAGACCTGGATATCCACGGGCGTCATGCTCCTCGGCCTCCCTATCCATTTCATACTTATGGGTGGTGATCCCTTTGTAACGTAGCGTCAACTCATTAGTTCCGAGAAAAGTAGTTTACCTTGCCGAAACTCCGTACAAGATGGGTATATAACACCGGTCTCAATTAAGGAAACCCTCGACTTCATCTCGAATCGTGACCCACGTTCGATCCGCATTGATATCATTGTGTCCGCGGCATATGCCCGTACAGTGGATGTTCGTCTCCGTAATAATATGATGGTGCTTCGGTCGTATCGTAATCCATGTAGTTACCGCCATTATCGTCAGATCCGAACATCGGGGCAGCATATCTGGGTGGCTGGAGGCTGTTGGTGGTGCTGCTGCTTATAGGAGTAAGCTGTTGTGTCGAAATATTGGAGCTGGTCAGTCCAATCGCATTTCTTCTCGAAGAACCAGACGCCGAGTGGGAAGGACGATGTTGGTCTCGTTGCGGAGGGCGCAGCGTTTGCGATTGTTGATACTGACTGTTCTGCCACGACTGCACCTGTTGGCGTGTCATTGGGTCGGTGTTGGAATCGACTACCGTGTCCACGTCGGCTATGAAATGCTTGAGAAGTGATGGTGCGGTTGCAGAAGCATTCGGCCTGCCGATGCCAGGGTTTCTGCCACTGGAAGGAAACGGCGATTGTGATGGGAGCGTCAATTCTTCGGGGTCCGCAGCAGGTTCGTTAAAAGGTGTGTCAAAAGCAGCGTTCATCGTGCTCTGCCCACTGGTTGTTCGTTGCATTGGCGTCTCAGGCAATGCGAGCCCCTGGAGGTAGAGGACCTGGTTAGCTGCGGACAGGGTAGCGGTCGTCGTGATGTCTGGTTGATCAGTCGGAGGAACCGGAGAAACATCACCCATGCGAGCAAACAGCGTCGCAAGTTCTTCATCAAATAGACGCTGCGACTGCAACAGCTCAGCTTGCTCCAGTTGCGTAGCAACTGCCCTCGTCGCGTCAGCCCGAGCTCTCGCGGAGCTGTCGCGCTGCTCTCTCCTCGCCATTAGCGTTTGATATTCGAGTAGTAGTCTCACTGCTGTCGTAGCTGAGCCTGCGTCGGTTTCAACAGTGGCCGTGGCACACCTGATGAGCCAATTTATCGTGTCGTCGGGGTTCGCACCTCCCCAGTATGGCCGATGCATCTCGGGATCCTCCTGACCATTGTTGAAAATGACAAAGTATCGTCTCCAGCGCTCTTTGGGAGCAAGTTTCGTAGATAATTCCTTGATTCGCTGCCATTTGGCAGTACCCTCTCCAGCATCAACCAATGCATGCCGTGTCACATCCGCGATGGAGGCGTTGTGCCACTCCTTACAGTTTCTGCCGGCTTCTGCATTGGGATCTGCAGCAAACATGGGACAACGAAATGGCAGTCCCTTCGCTGGCTTGTTTGATCTTGATCCCTTACGCGAGTTCCGGTTGGGAGGTTGCCTCTCACTGCCGGATCCGCCCTCGTCTTCCGAGTGATCCACAGGCTTCCCTTTACCATGGTTTGTGTTATTGTTTGGCGCAGCTGCCACACACCTGGACGGTTGGCGTTCCTCACTGCGCTTCCTCTTGGCAGATTCACCAGTAGGGCGCCTATTTACGGCCGGCTTGGTATTGAAAGCAGGTCTTTGCTGCGTATGCTCGATTTGTTCAGAAGCTATCCTGGCTATTTGGGTACCAATAGCCTCATTGTCAGGCTGGACTTGCACATGCTGCTCGGGTTTCTCACGTCGAGTGACATGGGCATTTGCGAGATTCTCCGGAGCATCTTCGTATTGTCGCTTGCAGCCTGAGAATGAAGTTCTGACTTGGTTGCCGCACTCTCTCGTGGATTTGTACTTTTGGCAAGGTGATCGGGAGGCAGGTTGTTTCGGCGCTTGCGGAGCTTCAGCTCCTGATGTATGATGTGTCGTCGGCGTTAGGACTGACGCCGGTGGCTTGAGCGGGGTCGGCAGTCGAGGACGATAAGGAAGCGGCTGAGAGGGGTGTGTTTGGGAGTCAGGTACGTCGCCGAAAAAGGTCTCGGCCTGTCGACCATAATCATTGTTGAGGTGCTTGCCTTCTACATTCGGTATATGCCCTAGCCGTGCTGATTCCTGGCCGTTACGAAGTTCTGCATCAATCCTTCCTAACAGGCCTTGATGGTGGAGGTCGCAGCGCTCTGGGAGGTCCACGCGAGGGGGCAGCAGATAGGCGGTTTTCTTGATGTGCATCTTAAGCGGGGAAGTGATTGGAAGATGTGGATTCGAGCATCCTTTCACACCTGGCAGGCTCCTGGCCTCATCCTCGCCGAGCGCCTGACAAAGCCGAGATAACCACGATCGTAGGCTGAGCCGCCGGCGGATGCTAGGGCTCCGGCGAGGAACGCCGAAGTATCCACGATGGAGGACTTGCCCCCTTGTAGATTGGAAAGCTCCATGACTGGTTTGTTGCTGCTGAACAGGGTCCTGGTGGATTTGCCAGAGGTAAAAGCTGCGACTTAAGAAACTGAGGTCGAGACCAATAACGTGAAGCTTGAGTGGTAGCAGGGCGAGAAGGAGGAGAACATCGAAAGGCGTTTGCCTGAAAGGCAGCACCAACTCGAGAAGATCCACCTCCCCTGAGAGTAGTCCTCGTCCGTCGCTCGAGCCCCTGTAGACAGGTGCAGAAAGAGCCGCCATTGCGACCTAGTTGAATAAGACCGATCCACTGGATCTCGGCCAGGGTAAGGAAGAAAAGCAAAGACAGGCTCGCAAGAAGGCCAGGTGGTTAGGTTAGAGGCCAACAGAAAGAATGGACCGTAGGGTTTGCGAGATATTTCAAGGCTGTTTTACAGAAAGGATGATGCCTCAAGCATGAAGGGCAGAAATCCTCCCTCAATCCCTATATCAATTGCTGTGTTTGCAGTGGTGCTAAGCCGCGGCCTGTGGTGAAGTCGGCTCTTAAGAATTGAATTTGCAACGAAACCTTCCATCTTGCAATCGTGGTCGGTGCGATTGGTTTCCGTCTGGATCTTCCGTCCCCCAGTGGTAGCATTGATTTCTGAGGCTGAGCCCGTCAATGGGACGGATTGGAAGCCGCCGTCATACCCAGCTAAGTCCGTCGTAACAGCACAGCAGCCTGTTCGGCGCGCTGCATAGGTAATTGAAGCAGCAAGAGATACGGTACCGGCGCAGACAAGTGACAGCCGGCTACTCCGATCCGTCCGGCCGCCCTGGATATCGGTAGTAGGTACGGAGAACAGCGAACACCGGCCGCTGTATCGATGATTCCATGCAAGTCAACGTTAGCATCGGTTTGCTGCTCCTCGGTCGAAGTAGTCGTGACAAGTGCCCTGCACTGCCATGTCAACGTCCTTCTGAACTGCAACCGCAGCTCGCGGATGATTGAGGCACGGTCTGCCTGCTTCGTGCTGTCACGTTTCTCTAAGCTTAACGAGTGTCTTTGCACATGGTAACTCACTTGAGGCCAGCGAAACATTCGTGGACGGCCCAATCGTGGGTGTCTAGCGGTGGCGATTGCGGACCGTCCCCCCTTGGTCTTTTGCGTACGCTCTTGACTGATTTACCCCATATCTCAACCCCATTCTTCTGCAGCACTTACCACTGAAGGCCGGGGAAACCCAATGCAACCCAACGGTACCCCTGACATCTGGATGAGCAGCATTGCGCCTATCCTGCTTACAGAATGCGACGGACCCAGCGGCGTGCGGTCTTACCAGATTCTAGACGCCCTGGTGCTGCATAACCGGATCTGCAGGCCTTGCTTTAGACGCCGCGATATTGAGCTCACCGGTCGGGTTACGACCTATCGCAACTGCCAAACCAAGCTCGCCTGTGGATTCAAGATCTGCCAAACCCAGGAATCTTGAAATCCGTGCAAGCGGTCCGTGCATCCGTGCCCGTTGATACTGAATGCCTCGCGGCCGGAGCTGAGTCATTCGATTTTTTCGAATTGTGTCCAAGCTCCTGGAGTACACTAACTGAGTACCGTCTGGCCTGTAATTTCTGGCCTGTCGGGCACATGACCTATCCAGTCGTCATGACAAGAGGAGATGGTGCCCATCATCCGCAATATCGCAGTCTTGGCCTAGGCTGTGATCTCCTTGCCCGAGCAAAGCCTCCTTTCAATGTCAGATGTCATCCGCAACGAACGGTTCGGTTGTTCCTCATGCCTGACGTTTGTGAAGCTCCTCCTATCATGGCTGAGGGCAGCGGCTTCAATGCTCGCTCATCCGCCTAGGCTGACAACATGCGCCTTCGGGCAACGCTCGTGGCCTAAGTCAATGAGACACAAGGCACTCCAGTCGAGATAGTTGACCACGGCTCTTGAAAGGTGTCTTCACATGCGGAGACGCCTAGATGGTGCAGCGGAGAGATCTGTAGAGCCGACCCTTCAATGTAAAGAGGCTACAGTATCAGGAGAGGTTTCAATAACCAATTCCTGGTCCTGGTAACTCGTATAAACAGGTGTCGATCCTCCTGAGGCGCACGCCGCATGCGTACCCAAGGCCCGCCCTTTTGCACCTGACTGAGCCCTGCAAGCTGCCATTGTGGCGAGATCTTGTGCGGACTGTCATCTGTGGTTGTCGACAAACTTGTGAGGTCGGTGTGAGCTCCAAGTTTCTGGAGCTGGCAGGCGGCTGCCTATGACCATGTGGGATCGTAAGACGGTCCAGGAGTCAATTAAGGTAGATGGCAGACAAGGAAACAACTGAGTGATAGCCCATTGTCGTTATGCGATCGACTGCAAAGAAGGTATGACTGGGCTTTCAATGCCACTGCTGTGGGCAGCAGCCGGTCGAGCGAGCATGAGGAAGGCGGTATACTGGTGAGCGTCGTAAGAACTGCCATGGAGGACAAGAAGCATGGAATGTGAATGATGACGGCCAGGTCGAGAAAGAAGTCCGTTTCAGGGTCAGTGTCAAGTGCGACTGAGCAAGGGGTGAGAGTTCCCGCGGTTGAGGTTTCACAGATCACGCACCGACCGAACCTTACGCCGTTGTCTGGCTATTCGTTTGGCGGGATCGATATCAATCTCAGCTTCGAAACCTGACGGACGGGTGCACTGAGGGAGTACCTAGGTAGGCTTGAGGAGGCATCATCGAGCATTGCGGCCCAATACCACCATCGTTACGTTGAACCTAGGTATGGCCGCATCACGGACACGCCCTGTGACTGCCTCGTCCGATGGAACCTGCGAGGCTAAAATACCTAGGTATGGTACCTGCATCTACACTGGCGCGCCCTCAGTTCGCACTGGTCAACAAAGGCCGCACGACAATGATTTGGCGGTGAAGCTTCCCGAGATATTTCTGGCGCCTCACTTTGAACTTTCACGCGCGTCGCCCACGTCCCTGCCACAAGCTACAACGCAACTAGGCGGAAGCGAATGAGAGAGTAGTGATATGTCTGTCATGAACATAAATTCAGTCACACGGTGAATTTGACTGTCTGAACTAGAAGACTGACCAAGGTAGCTATTGGGTGGCTATTGAAGAGTATAAAGAACTTGTCGGAACGGCACATGACTCGAAAGCCTCCAGGCAAGTCCCATCGCTGTATAAGGGGATCCTGCACCTATCAAGTTGCTGCCGTGCTCAGCGATGCATTCACAAACAAGACTTTGGGAAACTACGGGCTCGGGCCTTCGAGCAGCTTGACCTGTTTCGACCCCAGGACCTCTTGGAAGAAGCCTCCAATGTATGATCGGATGGTATCGAACATCCTGACACCGTCGGTATTTCCAATGAACTCTGCTACCGGAGGAACCGACGTCGAATTGATGCCGAGGCTGTTAGCCAACACAGGATAGTCGACAAATGTGCCATGCATTGAGCGATTGACTTGAGAGGGCTTTTCTGGCTCTTGTTCGTCGCTTGTGCATAGACACTGCGGTCCATGTCCAAGCCTCCAACGAGCCTCGTGTCCAGCAGCATCGCCTCTGCGGCAGTTGCGGCGCCCATAGAGTGTCCAAACACTCCCACCCGCTTGGTCTTGAAGAATGGTATCCCAGGTTCCTTCGTCGTGGTTGAGTCGGAAACCGCCTTCAACACGGCTCGAACATCCGCAGTCCTGACAGTCAACATGTTCTGCAGATCATCCGGGTCCGTTATGTTCGCGGCTGGAAGGATGGTGCCGCCTGGAAATTCCACTAATGCGCATCGTAGGTATGGTCGATCGAAACCACGTTGAACCCTATGGAGGCGACCCACTTAGGGAGGAAGCTGTATACTAGGCGGGAAGTCCCCGCTCCTGTCGAGAACAGCGATACAGGAAAGCCGGTACTCTTTGGAGGCGAGCGACAAGCCTTGAAGCCGAAGGCTTCGGATGTTCCGTTTGGTATTACCAGAAAGCCGAACATGGCATCGTGGGCGGCTGCCGTCGCAGGTGGCATGTACGGGATTTGAACCGTCTGGCTGCAGTTGGCTAGCTGGAAGAGGGATAACATCAACCGACGAGATTTATTGCAGCACGGTGCGAGTGAGTCAACATGCGAATGCTCTGTCAGGGCAAATTCGGTGGTTTAGACTTTCGAGCTCAGGAGGGAGAAGGTAGAGAGATTGATTGACACCAGGCTGCGAGAGGCATGTCAAAACATGAGTCACAAGAGAGCCATCGAGTAACTCTGCCTCGCGAATCCTTGAGTGGTAGAGGAGGTGGGATGCAGAGGTCTTGTATTCGACTAGTGAAGTATAAGAGGCTCAACCGAGCAGCATGATGATTCTCGCTGGGAGGGCAGAAGTTCCTGCTAGGAAACTCAGTCAATGTGGTCCACCCAGCTCGATTGTCGATCGAGTAGAAGAGGACTGCGGTCTGATTATAGAAACCTCCACGTACTCGGACCCAGACAGGTGATGATATTCGTGTTTCGAACATGCTCGTCTGCTTCTTGCTTTGCTTAGCGCGTTTTAAAAGAGATGCAGTATTGTGGTTAGCTGGCTTCGTGTGCGGGGTCTCCATGAAGCATATCCTTAATATAGATACAGGCGACAACGACTGATTCGTCGCAGGATGCATTACTCGTGTTCGTGGAAGTCATGGGCAAACATTTCGTGGCAGAACAATCGTCTGTTTGATAGTCGATGAGGTACTGTCAATGGAACCGGGGACCCTACTGCTGCCATGTGGCCGCCAACGGTATCCTACGGGTTTCGATTGTCCGGGTACGTGATCCAGTGGAACGACGTATCGTCCCTGAGATGGATGTTCCTCCCAATACACACTGCACAGAGAGTGTCAGATGAGTATGAAAGTAAAGTTGAAAGTCTGATAACGTCTTAGAACAGTTGTGAAGTTGATAAAGGGATCAGGGAAATGGACAGGCACGACAGGGTGTGAGGGTCGCGTGAAGGTCTGATTCGGCACCCGCTTGATCTAGAAAGTCTACCGAACCCGCTCAACTCGGAATCTGCAGGTGTTTGCATCCTCCAACAGCTTTAGTCGCGCTCGACCACACGCATCTTTGCATCAGCCTGGTCAGACATCGCAGCAATGACGGCTGCGCGTCTGTCGCCAGCAGCGAATCTGCTCCGCACCTCCAGGCTCTTTTCGATTCCTGCTGCAGTATCGCTACCGGCAGTAGAACCTTCATCAGAACCCATCTCCTACTCCGACTCAGCCACAACTCCCTATCCAACAAGAGCAGCTATCGAAACGCCTCTTGCATCTCTGAACCAGGGAGATTGGGGCCTGAAACGACCACTACCTATCAAGACCACAACGAGATCCGGGACACCCCTGATCCGTTTCCGAAGAGGCATTGACACGCCTGAACATGTTGTCGATTTCGAGTCTGCGGCCGATCACGTCCTAACACTGCGAAAGTATCAAGAGCTCAACCTCAGAGTGACCTTGCCGGCGCCGAGGAGGAAATCAGTGCAGGATCAGCAGATTAGCCCCTTCGAGGTGGACCTTGACCATACTGCCGACCAGCCCCCTCCGAGATTGAATCGCAAAGCTCCCATATCATGGTTGGACCAGAGTCCGTCAGAGCGGGCTCAGCGCATGCCCGGGCATCTCAGGGATGCGTTGTTGGAGGTTGAGAAGGGTAGGGGTGAGTTGGAAAAGCAGTCGATTCCGCCACAGCCAACAGACTCTGCGCCCGCACCGCCTGTGGAGACTCTGCGAAGATGGCGTTACTCTGGTCCATATCTGGCTGGGCTGAATGGATTGGAGTTTGATGCCTTCCTGAAGACTATCACAAGGGAGAAGAGAGCCGCTTTCAGAGAACTAGTGAAGAATGACCTTGTTGAGAAACGTGCCCACGAACAGCGCTTGAAAGCACTTGATGAAGGACAACCAGATGTGTCCTCCCAGTCGCCCGTTGAAATCACAGAAGAAGATATCACAGAGCACATGCGCTACTTGCGAAATGAGCCGGGCAAGTTTGGTCCCTTAATCGCCAAATTTTTCGACCTCGCAGATGGTCCGAACCCGTCATCGGATATGACAGACCCCTGGTCCTATGGGCGCGACACGATAGCGGCAGACTTGTACCGAGAGTCAGGACCGCCACGTACGCACCCTTCTGCTGGGCTCTCCTATCTCAAGACGGAGGCTTCGACAGCCAACAGCCCTACCACCGGCCTTCGGGCAACCCGTGACCCTGTTGCGGCTCGATTGCTCAAATCGAGACAAATAATGCATAACAAACACGTGCCTTACGTGGGCGTCGCTGGATTTGTCGTCCCGGAACCCGCTGGTGCCACTGCGATAACTGAGCAGAATTGGAAATTTGAGCCTGTCAAAGATGGACCAAAGCTGGCGGTTACTCCAATCTCTACCAGTGTCTCACAAGCTGGCAAAGTCGAGATCAAGACCAAGAGGCTACAAGGCTGGGTTATAGAGAACGACTTACCAGTTGATCCTTCGAAGAGGCGGACAACAGCGACTACGCCTGCTCCGGCGAGGAGGATGTCGTCGCAACTACCGAGTCTCGACAGTATTGCGTCCAGAAGAACCAGGCCACCCCCCGAACCCGAGCGGGACATCAACGAAGAATTGGACCTCTTGAAGTCGATGTCTAGCCCCAAGTGGTCGAATCGCAAATTCAAATAGATGTACAAAAATGTATAGGCACAAATACTCGATTCTCTTAACGCTCCATAATATATTCTGGACCAAGTCACTCCAGGCTGAATTGCCTCTGTTATCCTTCACTGTCTGGAGTACTCTAACTACGCCTCGGAGAGAATGTACCGGATATAACAAGAAGACCCCTACAGATCGTGAGGCGATGTACTTCGTAGGCGTTCCAACTATTGAGCGAGAACCGTACCGGGGTGGTTATGTAGTGGGCTAGATCTACGGCCAATTGCCCCAAACTTCTCTAATTCGTAAAGTAAATGTGGTTCGTGCTGCATGCTTCGCCGCGTCTCTCTTGCACGTGTGATGCTACGAGAACAGCGCGAGCGGCAAGTACGGCACGCCGTATTTTAATCTTATCTCTTGGCGTCTGCCAAGCGTCCACAACCGTTTTGCAGCAAATTCAATCTGCAATACCAACAACCCTCCGAACGTTGCTACCCTCGACTTCAGCTTTCCCACCACATCCTCACCACGCCGTCAAGATGGGTCGCGTTCGCACGAAGGTCAGTACAAGTCTCTTCATTCCAGCCACAGTCTCAGCGATGTTTACTGACTCACCATCCGTCACCAGACCGTCAAGAAGTCCGCCAAAGTCATCATCGAGCGCTACTACCCCAAGCTCACCCTCGACTTCGAGACCAACAAGCGCATCTGCGATGAAATCGCCATCATTGCCTCGAAGCGTCTTCGCAACAAGGTACGCATGCGCCCACGCAAGATTAAACCAGTCCCTGGATCCCGCGTTCAGATTTCACGCACCCACGCCCCCTTCGGTACTCACGTGTCCATCTGTACTAACCACATTCATTTGGCACAGATCGCCGGCTACACCACCCATCTGATGAAACGTATCCAGCGCGGTCCCGTCCGCGGCATCTCGTTCAAGCTCCAGGAAGAGGAGCGCGAGCGCAAGGATCAATACGTGCCCGAGATCTCGGCCCTTGATTTCACGCAGAACACCGAGAGCGGCCAACTGGACGTGGACAGCGATACCAAGGATCTGCTGAAGAGCATGGGCTTCGACAGTATCGCTGTCAACGTTGTGCCGGTCAGCCAGCAGGCGCCGCAGGAGCGGGGCGGTCGTCGGGTCTTTGGCACCGATAGACCGGGACGACGAGAGTAGAACGTGGCATGAACAGCAGCGGTGGATAGGCGAGCGAGCGGCATGGTTCCACAAAGTGATGGAAGCTTGTACGCACGCATGCACCGGTCAGACCCTCGGTCCTCGGAACCCATTTTTCCAAACGTTGATGGGCAACTCATTCCTCACGTCACGCATACATCTACCTCGTTGAAGGGCACTGGTCTCGCCAAAACCCCAAGGGGTGTCGCAGAGCCGGGCATTCAGTCTACGCAATGGGCATTGCCATGCTTTCGGTTGAAGCAAGCTGCCACCAGACAAGGTGTCATAAAAGCTTCAGATACGCAACAGACGCTCCAGAGAAGCCGAAAAGGTATTGAACACATCCAAGGTGTCGCCTAGTCCGTCATGGACGAAGCTTGATTGCCAAAACCTCTTCCTTTCCCTTACATCCCCTTGCGTTTATTGATCGCGTAGTCGCATCGAGGATGAATTATTGCAGACCGGCCTGCCGAACCTGCCCGTCGTCGCCGATGTGGAAGTGCATACGTGCAGGCTCTCTCTCAACGTTGGCACTTCTCAGACTACGGTTCCTCTTGAGAATCCCCCTTCGAGCTAGACAATGTGCGTACTCGGTAATATTCGTTAAATCTTACTGCATGGTGATGCACAGAGATAACCAAGATTGGATTCAATGCATCTGGGTTATATTGTATATGGACCCCAAGTCCGATCATGTCCGTACAGTACTTCCTAAACGCCACTGCGATGCACTATACCCGTAGAATCCGCAACCAGAGGTGAGAAGTGGCGCCTAATCGGCCTTGCCATTCGTTGTCCCCAACAGTCCTTCCTTCCCGTCCAAATGGAAATATCCGCTCGAATTCCGACTCAAACTCTTCTTGATCGTCGCTCCGTTCTTCAAGACCCAGAAAAGCAAGAAGATACTGATGATGAGCACACCAAAGGACAGATACGGATGATACGTCCCAAAATTTCTGATCTGGAAGAAGATGTTTTCGAAGGCGCCAATGGTAGATTTGGGCGTCAGTTTGGGTGGGTTGGCGACGATGCGAGGGAGGGTTTCCAGAATCGAGGTCCGAGAAGGCATGATGTAGGCACCGGAGTCGGTGACGTCCCAGTAGCGGCGGTTCTGGAGAGCGATGGTTAGTTCAATTCGGTTGGGCCAAGAGTATCACACTCACATCTTCGTCGTTGATAATGACCCTTTCTCCCTTAGAGACGTCAACGCCATACGTGGATCGCAACCACCTTTCCCAGAAGACACCGTCGACCCAAGCAAAGGCGACTTGCTTTCTAAAAGTCTCCTCTGTAATACTGATGACTCGACTCTTCGCCTGTCTTAGCGCACGTTGATCATTACGATCTTCGGCCTCTTCGATCCGCAGCTGTTTAGAGTCGCGGAGTTCTTGCCGTTCGAGTTGGAAGGCTTGGGTCTGCTTGTCCATCCATTCTAGGGCGGCGTTCTTGAGCTCTCGTCGTGATTGCAAGAATTCATCCGGTCGTTCTCGAGAGAGGATACCCAGCACCACGTACTTCCCATCCATAATCTCCTTGGCGTTGGTGGCGGTGAGTTCGGGAACGATGGGGAGCCAATTTGATTGCATCCAGGTGAGTACGCGTCGGAAGTCTCTCATGTCCTTGGGAGCCAAAGCATTGTAGTAGGCCGGCCGTCCGTCTCTTGAGACAAGTAGCCTAGGCCACGTGGAGATTTTGAAGCGATTTGCCAGAATTTCTGAATCAGTCTTGACAATCTTGGCATGTCCGATCAAGCTGAGGGTCAAACGATCGAGAGCCGCAAAGTCCTCGGAAGTTGTGGCGTCATCGAAGAAATAGACGAAAATGACTTCTTCTGTCTCTTCCATCTCCTTGAATGCGGCTGCGTCGACATGTTTGACATCACTATCTAGGGCTTTGTTTGCGAACGTAAGCAAATCCCCTAGGCCACGAAGACCTTCGTACTCGACTCGCTCCCCACCACGGAAGAAGTAGATGGTAGGGTAAGCGTTGACTTTCGCATCTTTGCACAATCGCGGTGAAGCCTCACAATTGACCTCGCCGATATTGAGTTTCCCTTCCATCTCCCTGGCCATCTGTTGCCAGGTCGGTGCCAGGTGCTGACAATGACTACACCAAGGGACGTAGAACTTGACAAACCACGGGTCTTGGGAAGTAGTGACCAGTTTCTGGAATGATTCCGGAGTGAGTGCCACGGAAGTGCCTTTCGGATTGGGTTGGACGGCGGGCTTCGCGCTCAGGGTCTTCCCAGATTTGGCCGTCTCTGAAGCCAGCAATGCAGTCGTTGTCTCGGACTCGGCAGCGGCGACTTTGTTTTGCTTTTCCCCGGCCGCCGCTCCTGCAGCAGTGTCTTTGTCCTTTGCTAGAGGCTCGGCTGGGTCGGCTGTCCGGTCGACACCCTTCGCACCCGGCTGAGGAACATGTACACCTCCTCTTGGTCTCGAGCCCGGTTTTATCTGTTCAAGCTTTTCTTCGACATAGTTGCTGAAGTCGGACATTGACCTACCACCGGTATATTTCTCGACAAATTCGCCATCTTTGTACAGCAAGAAAGTAGGCCATGCTCGGACACCATTCTTGTCGCAAATATCACCAAAGGCAATACAATTTACCGACGCGAAATGGAAGTTGTAATATCCGTGGAAGCTGTTCGGGGAGAATAGATCGGGCTGACCAGATTTCGTCATGCCTTGGAGAGGATCTGAGGTCGCGTAGAATTCGTATAGTGTCTGCCATGTCGGTGCAATGGCTTTACAGTGGCCGCAGTAAGGTGAATAGTGTTTGACCCACCAATACCCGTCTTTGATCGTCTCGGCAAATTCGTCGGCCTGTATCTCCTTCATTGGGGGGACCTTGATGCCATTGAAAACAGTATAGTCGACAGCCTCTCCTCCTTCTGCCGGTGTTTCGCCATTGATGGCATCCTCTGATAACGTGGTGGCCCCTCCTTTTGACCCCGGTGGTGCGGCGGCGGAAACCGAGAAAGCGGCTGCAAGAGCCCATGCCAGCAAAGCCGGCCTCATTATGAAGGCTGCGCTTCCTAGGGTGAGAATAGAACGTTGCGCTTGACAATCGGGTTGTCGCAAGCAGGGAGACGTCTGAGCAGATCCTGAAGTATTGCGACAAGGTACCCGCAAGGGGAAACGAGGGTATGGGTGAATGTTCAAGAACAACCAAGTGAAATTATGTGTCTCGCTCAACAAGACAACATACGGACCGAGTCGCCAGATGGCATGAGACAGTTGAGAAGAGACGCATCTGCGACCAAAGTCCTTGCGCCCCTGTTCTTCTTTGGGTAGGGCGTAAGGAGTACGGAGGAGCAGTATTACTGTGGATCAGACAGCCAGGAGCTCTCTTCATGCCTCACGTGTAGCCGCACGGTGGCGGCACCAGGTGATAGCACGAATGACGCAGATGCCTGACATAATCAGCCGGGGGAAGGCACCGAAGGCAAGTGCAAGTCATGCGGGCCTAAGCCATGCTTGCCACCCAATTATGATAGCCTAACGATCCCCATCATCGCCCACCTGCCCCGAAAAGCCTCTCTTTGCACTGCTCCATATCGTTCGTCTTCCTGAGCGATATCAACAATCAACATCTTCCTTCGCAAACAGTAACTCGGGGTCGGTTCAGACCCATCCTCCTCACCCTTCTTGAGTCTTTCAATCGTCGGCTCAGACAAAATGAAGGTCACAGCGCTCCTTCTCTCCCTACTTAGCGCCGCATCTGCAGCGTCGTCGCGGTCGCTCTTCGGTGGTTCTCAGAATGCTCTGGTGGACGAGGACAAGTTCTCTGTTCCTGGCAAGAACCCTTTGAACGTAAGCAGGTTTTGATGGACGTGACAAGCTTAATTCTAACGGGTTCTAGTTCTGCGCCGATCCCAAGGACTACATCCTGTCGGTGGACTACGTTGACCTCTCACCCAATCCACCTGTACCGTATGTGTCTCCTGCAAAATTCTCTACGATACCGGACCTGACTGTGATACTAGAGGACAGAAGTTGACCATCACCGGCAACGGCACTTTCTCCAAGGACATTGACCCAGGCGCCACCGTTTTCCTCCAGGTCAAGTACGGCCTAATTACGCTCATCAAGCAAGAAGCCGACCTCTGCGATAACCTGCCCAAGATTGATATAACGTGCCCAATAAAGGAGGGTGTCTTTACTCTCAAGAAGGAGGTCGACATCCCCAAGCAAGTGGTGAGTTCCACTAATGCCGTATACACCAAGTTATGCAACTAACATTTTGTCCAGCCACCTGGGAAGTACACTGTCCTCGCCGACGTCAACACTGTGGACAAGGAGAAGATCACTTGCATGGAGAGCACTGTTTTCTTCAGCAGGCCCTCGTAGTGGATTGAGGCGGGAAGCGACAAGCTTGAGCCGCGATATCCTCAAGCGGGAAATTTTGTGGCAGCGATTACTGGCCGAGTTTGAGCATATGTCTGTTTGCTGTCTTGCTGCTGGGCGTTACAAGGATTATACTTGAGGCATTCGCCAGTAATGATTATTGGTGGCGCACACGCTGGTGCCTCAGAAGCTCTGCCAACTTGTCCACTTCGGCCAGATGATACTCTTCCGGTAGGTATAAATACTCCTGGCCGAACCGTTCCCACTGGATCGCCGTTCGAGTCACCCATCCACTCGGACATGCGTAAAAAGGCGTTAAGACCGGTCATCCATTGCTATGCTTGACCATGTTCTAGAGTGTCCTATTTGGTAGCTAACGAGCCAACCCGTAGCTTTTAGTAGAATCATCGTGACTGCGCACGCCTCTCCGCAGTCGTCACCCTCGAGACTCAGTGTCGAGGGAAGGGACCATTTGGCAACAGCTACGGGACGGTCCCCGTGGTATTTGGCTGTACTCGGAATGACTGTAAGCTTGAGATGGCCTTTACGTGTTCACAGCCACGTCCCAAAGCTCCTCGGCGTTCCCACGGAATAATCCGTCGATTGAAGTCTCGTCGCCACCGCACCACTCAAAACATTTCTCGATAAAAGGGACCGAATCAACGTTCTCAAACCGTGTATGCGGCCAGTCCGTGGCGTATACAACACGATGTCCACCTTTGATGACCAGCTCCAGTCCGATTGCGTCTAGGTCTCTCATCTCAGGATCTTTTGAGAGACGGTACGGTGCCGACAACTTGACGCACGTATTTCCAGCCTGCAGAAGATTCACCAGCGACGCGAACCCCCGCATATCGTACGGATATATGGGGCCGCCCGACGGGTCGAAATGCTCAGGCAGACCGGGCGATCCGAAATGATCGATACAGACCTTGACTCCGAGCCCGGGGACAATATTCACGAGCGACGTGGCCAGCACCAGGGGGATATAAAGCTGCAGAACCCATCCCAAGGGCTTCAACACCCGGGTGTAACTCGCCAGCTCGGCGCGCAGCTCGTCCTCGTTGAGTTCGCGTCCCACGCTGACGAGATTGAGTCGCGCCCCTCGCACACCCAGGGCATGCCACTTCTCCATCGTCGCATGGTCGATCGTGTTTGGATCCAGGCCCACCACGGCGCGGCCATGCTTGGGTGTCAACTCCTCGAGTGCGTGTAGCATGCATGAATTATCGGTGCCGTAGATTGAAGGCTGCACCAAGACCATGTTCTGGATGCCCAAGCGGGAGTAAAATGCTTTGGCGTCGGCTAGCGTGTGCGTCTTTGGGGTGTATTGCGCGTGAGCCGCCAGAGGGAAGCGCGCGGGATCAACGACGTGCATGTGGCTGTCCCAGGTGCCCCTGGGGAGCGGTCGAGACAATGTCAATGTCGATTGTCCCCGCCGGTGCGGCAGCGACGGGGAGGCACGTTGACGAGCTGATGCCCATTGACCTCGTACAGGCTGGGATACTCGCGCCAGTTGAAGTATGGGCTTCGGCCATAAAGATAGCATTGTGGATGGGCCTTGCGCAGAGAGAACGCGCAGCGCTCTCTCGTTATATCTGCCATTGTCCTTCGAGCATGATCATGATGGAGGTTGTTCAATCTACGCTACTACAGTACATAGCAATGAGAAGCGGTGCAAGCAAGGCACATCAAGCGTGCAGTTCCGACAGGGAGGGACTCGATCGACACGTCCGGAACAAGGTTTTGCCGGTACCGATATTCTAACTGAGTGAACTGCCAGCTTGCCAGCATTCACAAGTTGGCTCGAGTTTCTCATGGTGGTTCTATCTGGTGCTCTTGCCCTCCTGCCGACCAGTGACCTCGTTGTGGTGTTCCAGGCCTCACCATTCCATTAGAGGTGCCACCAAGTGGTGAGCTCCCGCCGCGTTTGGTGCAGCTGGAGTTAGGACATAAGACTGAGTATGTCAACCCCGTAACACCATGAGCACCATCTACCCTGATCCGAACCCGAAGCCGATGGCGGTAACACTTGCACCTTGCATATGCATGTCTTCCGGAGATATGGAGGACATTTACGACGCGAGGCTACCATGTATCAACGAGACAGCTTGGGCCGCTGAGGGTTCCATAGGACGAAGTCCCCATGCCGAGCATTGTATCCATGCACGAACGGGTTTCCGTACGCTTCGTGTTACCACAATGCTTCGTGAACGGCTCGCTGGTGCTCCGCTCTTGACTAGTCCTCACATTGGACTGACGCTCAAATGTCCTTGCTGCCTCGTCCGCCGAAGTCGTCCACATGCGGTTCGAGAAACAGTCAGATCTCTGACCCCCCGAGATCTCCTTCTTGGCCTCTTGGCTCCCTGCTAGACGTCAAAGGCTTCATTGAATAGAAAACCGGCTGGAAATATCGGTAATAAGAAGATATATAGTTTCCTGTCAATCCCCATGCCGGAAGGCATACCAGGCCAACAAGGCAACCCATCAAGGTCATCACATTTTATTGTCCACTTCCTCCCAAGATGGCCCCTAAGTTTCCTCACCGTAAAATCGGAGACAGCCTTGTCTCTGCCATAGGCCTGGGATGTATGGGCATGTCCCTCCCAGTCTCGACCGGTAGAAACGACGAAGAATGTCTGAAGGTGCTCACCCGAGCGGCCGACATGGGAATCAATTTTTGGGTGACCTCGGACTCCTACGGGCCAGAGGCCAACGAAGAGCTCATCGGCCGGTGGCTCAAGGAAACGGGACGACGAGATGAAATATTCCTCTGCACGAAATTTGGCCCCAGGATTGTCGACGGCAAACCCGTGGTCTCTGGCAAGCCGGAGGACGTGAAGCAAGCCTGCGAAGCCAGTCTCAAGCGACTGCACACAGACCACATCGATCTCTACTCCCAGCATCGCGTTGACCTGCAGACGCCCATCGAAATCACAGTCAAAGCCATGGCTGAGTTGAAGAAAGAGGGCAAAGTTCGGCACCTTGGCCTCTCTGAATGTTCGGCGCGGACGTTGAGTAGGGCTTGCGCGGTCCACGAGATAGCAGCGGCGGAGATGGAGTTCTCGCCTTTCGCGCTGGAGATCGAGTCACCCGAGACCAAATTTCTCGACACAGCGCGGGACTTGGGCGTCAAGATTGTGGTCTACTCTCCTCTGGGCCGTGGCTTTTTGACTGGCGCGATTAAGAGCCGGGCTGACTTCGACCCAATGGACCCGCGCATCATGTTTCCTCGGTTTGCGGAAGAGAACTTCTCTAGGAATCTCAAGCTTGTAGGCCTATTTGAGGACATGGCGAAGGAGAAAGGGTGTACTCCGGGCCAGGTTGCTCTTGCTTGGGTTCTGTCTCAAGGCGATGGTGAGTGGATTCCAGCACCCTTCCATGGCAGGAACTCATGACCTGCAGTCAATCAGCCAGTGATACTAACAAGGCAACCAGATTTCATTCCGATTCCCGGCACCAAGCACGTGAAGTACTTGGAGGAGAATGCTGGCGCAGTCAACGTTGACTTCTCCAAAGGTGACGATGAGAGAATCAGGAAGGCCATTGAAGCCATCGGTGGTGCAAAGGGGTCTCGTTATCCGGGCGCGTTTGCGGCCGTGTGCTTTGCCGATAGTCCAGAACTTGACAACGAATGAGGCGAGCAGAAAGGAATGCAGTAGTGCAGTTGAGTGCCATTTGCAGGCCTCTGCTTTGGTAGTCGGGTGGTACGAAACACTCGTACCTGGTGGTCATCGCGAGAGAGACAAGATTACTGGCCTGGGCAGAGTGTGGCTGCGCTCACCTTCGGCTCAGTCAATGTACGTCGACGAACACCGGGGTCGCGCGGTACTGTAGTAGGCCGTGGCCTCGTGAGAGGCACCCCTCACCGTACCCTCACCTCGTCCTGCGAGGCGACCATCCATCCACGTGGTGCAGGAAAGGTTAATAAAGGAGCCGTCAATCAGAAGCGAAGGGTAGCGAGGCGGGAACGCCTTCTACACAACGTTCAGCCCAGAAACGCTCCTCGCTTGATCATTATTACTCAAGCAGGCCCATTTCATCGGAAGCGGTCCAGTCGAGCCAGCCCACCGTCTTCTCCTCTAGCCGCAGCCAGCCGCAGGCGGACTCAGCTTCGGTGGGCTCTCTGTGTGAGCTCGCTTAAGGATGCTCCAAACTGCCTCTTCTTGTCACAAGCTTGTCGCCTGCTTGTCTTCTAGCCCCGGAAAACACACTGGGGGATCGTGGGGGCTTATCCGATTACCTCTGCTGGACCACCTATCCGGGGAATTCTGGAGAGTTCTCCACATCGATGCTGATTCTCCATGACAAGGCGGCGACAACTGGGCTCCTTGCGGATCTTGCCCCAGCCTAGACAATGGAGTCAACTCCACTTGTGAAGCCGTCGTGGGCGTCTTCGCCGTCAGATAAGAAGATCCCCCTCCCCCAGCTGGAGGAAATCGCACCTCCTGTCGGATCGAGGGGAGCCTACAAACTCCATCACACGAGACCACCACCCTACCCGTACCATGAGCGTCATGGCTGAAGACAAAGAGCTCGGCCAGCCCACCGCGGTAGAGGATTTCGGAGGCCTTCACGAGTTCAAGAACGCAGAGGGCTATGTTATCGACGCCAGCGACCCGGAGCATGCCAACCTCAAGCGAGCCCGCGACGGGCACACCATCCTCCTTCCCCAGCCGTCCTCGGATCCCAACGATCCCCTCAATTGGAGTCGCTTCAAGAAGCACCTCATCCTGATCATCATTTCGATGACCGCGTTCCTCCCCGACTACGGCAGCGCCACCGGCGCTGTAACGCTCCTCCCACAGTCGGTCGTATGGGACATGTCCCCGGACCACGTCAACCACTCGCAAGTCGGCAACGTCTTCATGTTAGGCGCGGGCGGCGTGGTCGTGGTCGCCCTCTCGGCCTACTTCGGCCGTTTGCCCGTGCTGTTCTACTTCATAGTCCTCGCGACCGCGACAGCGATATGGTGCGCCGCGGCACAGAGCTTCGAGTCATTCATGGCGGCGCGCATCTTAAACGGCTTCTTCAGCACCGTCGCCCAGGGCGGCGGCCTGATGTTCATTTTTGACATGTTCTTCTTCCACGAGCGCGCAAGGAAGATCAACATCTGGGCGGCCTTTATCATTCTGTCGCCGTACTTTGGTCCACTCTTCGCCGCTTTTATCATCAGCACCCAGAAATGGCAGATTCCGTTCTGGGTATATGTCGCCGAGGTAAGCACTTAGCACTGACTTTCCTGCAAGTCACCGACTGAACTGATTTGATTGCCTTCAGACGGCTCTGTGCCTCGTCCTAATAATCCTCTTCGCCGAAGAAACATACTACGACCGCCGCATCCCCGCGGCCTCGCAGCCTCCACGAGGATCGCACATCACCCGCCTCTTGGGCATCGCGCAGTGGAAATCGCGCCACCTGCGCAACACCTTCGGCCAAGCCTGCATGCGCCCCATCAAAGTCGCTCTGAAACCCACGGTCTTCCTGTCGTGCCTGTACTACCTGCTCACGTTCGCGTGGGTCGTGGGGATCAACACGACGCTCGCCATCTTCCTGACACCGCTCTACAACTTCGGCCCCCTCCAGATCGGATACTTCTACTTCACACCCATCGTGGCGGCCCTCCTCGGCGAGATCACAGGCCACTGGCTCCACGACTTTATTGCGAGCCGCTACATCCGCACACACGCGGGCCACTTCGAGCCCGAGGTCCGCCTGCGCGCCATGTGGGTGGCCACGCCCTTCGTGCTTGCGGGACTTGTGGGCCTGGGCTTCTGCCTCGAAGACGGGTACCACTACATGGTCACGTCGCTGTTCTGGGGCCTCTACGTGTTCGGCATCATGATCACCACGGTCGGGCTCAACGCGTATAACCTCGACTCGTACCCGGAGGCGTCCGGCGAGACCGCCGCGTGGGTCAACTTCTGCCGCACGACGGGCGGGTTCATCATCTCGTATTTCCAGGTCACGTGGGCCAACGCGCAGGGCACAAAGACCAGCTTTGGCATCCAGGCCGCCATCTGCGCCGCGGCTTTTGGCTTGATTGTGTTTTTGCAGGTCTTTGGCAAGCGCCTGAGGGTTTGGTCGGGGGCTTTGGATTTCGCCACGGCCTAAAGAAGCAATGAACCAAGAAGAAGCACCACCGAGGACCCGATAGCATTGTCCACTACGACTCAAAATTCGAGGCTTCTATCGTATCTTGGCATTGGATCCAGCGCGTGAAGTAAAGGCAATGAGGACAGCCGAGTGCTTCTCCCGTACAGCTACTTGTATCCAGGACAGAGGTACTGTAGATGGCTTGGCTTTGAGGTAGCATAATGCCACAAGCTACTGTACACAACTCAGGACTGTAAAGCAACTTAGTTTCGTAACTAAGGAAGAGATCACGGCTTCCCACGCACACCCACGTATTGATCCATCAACTACTACCCACCAGTCAAAGTCCAAATATAATTACTGTATACCAGGCGAGCGCCCGGGAGATGCCCGGTCAGTCATGGTCGTGAGGGCGATCGAGAGCAGTCCAACTCAACCAAGAACCAAGCACCTAGCAAGAGACCAGAAGAGGACGGTCAATCCAATCAACTTTGGCAAATACAGCAATAGCATTTATGAGATTGCTTCGAGCGCCCGCCCCGATCCCTGGCGCTCACATCGCCTCCAGCCGCCCGCTCTCTTCGCATATACACTGCCCGGTCGGATTGACCGATCAATCAACACCCTAGCGAAGTACTTCTCTCCCAGATTCAGTCACGATCATGTCTTCTTGCACGCGCATCTGCAGCATGATTCCTCAATCCCCGCCGTTGCTCCCTCCGCGCCACACAATTCTACTTTCGTCCCCCTTGCTCCAGTCCCCGCGCCCTCCTCGCTGCCATATCCTCGATCTCTTGTCGAGAGACGTTTGCATTTCGTCCCATTCCTCGTCTATGGGTTGAAGCGAACGCTCGGGCATGCTCATGATCTCCTCAAAGAGGTCCATCATATTGTCTTCGGACCCCCGTGCGCCGTACCACGTGACATAACCAGTCCTGCGAAGCGGGGCCTTGTCCAGGGCGAAGACGAACATGGCGGCGACCTCGTCTTGATTGGCCGACTTCCACATCTCGAATGACCCAGAGTCCTGATCCGCATCATCTTCTCTCGAACCGTGTAGACTGGCCAGCTCCTCCTGACTATACCGCTTCAGCGTCTTTTCCGTCTCGCCAAGATTTGCTCCATACAAGGTTGAAGCAAGGGCCGCACTGTCGCCTTCGATCTTTGACTTGAGAAGCTTGTTTCTCGCCATATGTCGGTGCATCAGCCAGCTGGCTAATGAATTCCAAAACCTTGGGACATCTGCACCTACTCGCCAGCTGGACCATGTTTTCCGGGGCGGCACGGGACAGGAGTGGGCAGGACACATGAAAAAGCAAATTGGGGGGACGCACAAAATGTTGTTTCACTATATCTTCTTTCCCGACAGTTAGATAGTCGACGGATAGCTCACCGAATGAGACATCGTGAGCGGCGACTTTGCGGAATCCTGTGCCGGAGACTTTTTGCTCGAGGAAGTCATGGATGCAGGCAAGTTGTTCGTTGACCCAAGGTGGATATGGATCAAAGAACAAACCGTTCTCCTCTTCGAGTAAGAGGATGTCTTAGTGGTGCTGTCCGCGCCCACGTAACAGCTGGAAGTAAAGTCCGATGATATTCGTGGGATGATGGCTGAGTGTTGGAAGGTGATTTGGGGTCACGGAGCTTCGTCGGGCTTGTATCTGCGAATTCGACGACTAGCTTATGTACTACGTCGTGTAGTCGGCCAATCTGTACGGCGTCTGATAGACGGATGAAGGCAATATGAGAGGCTAAATCCTGCCGGGGTGGACTTTAGTCGGTCAGGGATCCTCTGTACGGCTTGCGCGCTGAGGCAGCGTGTCTGCGATGCAGCATGAGCAGCGACCGCATACGGGATTAAGGCTGATGGGATTGGTTTCTCAAGACCTGGCTGGCAGTAGTCTTGGTGAATGAGGCAAGGAAGGCGCAGCAGCCGAGCAACGGCGGAAGCCAGCTGATGTTGTCCAGGCTGCACAAGATCCTGTCGACTACTTCGCGGAATGATCGCGTGAAGTAGTCTGGCTGATTCATGTTGCACAATGTACTGCGGAACAGACGGTAAAGCAGTAAGCCTGATGAGAAAATGAGGGAAGGCTGATATTGTTCGGCTTTGGCTGATGGAAGGAGCAAGTCACTGCAGGAAGGCGTCAGTGAAGAGAGGTCGCCTTCAGCACTGGCACCATCATGTGTATGCTCGCAAACGAGACGCGAAGATAAGGTATTGTTCAAGTTTCAGGAAGGATCATATCATATAGTATACTCCGTATTCAAGGCTCCTTCTCCGCACCAGTCAACTCTGTGAAGGCTGCCTCGGAGGGTATCATTTACTGTACTGTCATCCCGACGGTCCGTCCTCATGTACCTCGTGATGCAACAAGCATGAAAATAAGAAGTTCGAACAGCATCCTTTGCTGCAAAAGATGCCGTCGTTGCGCTTGCTAGACATGGCACAGTCGCTTTGAGTGTGAATCCTCCTCTTCCTCTGGAGGGGTACAACTCCCGTACCCCGAGACAGGATGCCCGATGGTTCGGTGGACTTCAAGAATACGCCTCCTCGGCGACCCTTGACCTGTCTATGCAGGTACTGTAATGGCTAGTCGCCTCGAACACCTTTTGGGTGGTTGATGGATGCTGTAAGAACAGTAGAGCGGCTAGATGTGATCCTGCGTTTCCCAGAATCACATACTTGCTTTCAGTCCGGTCCCGACGTCGCATTATTGTTTCTATGGGCTTCCCAATTGTTCAAAAGCTTGCCCACTTCTTTGAAGCTTACTGGCTTCGTCATGTATATGTCGCACCCACTGTTGAACACCTCGCTCTGGTCACGAGCGCTTGCGAGCCCAGTCAAGGCGATAATCATCGCCCCAGGTTTGGTGCCATACCCATCCTCGAACTCGCGGATCGCGCGAGTCGCTTCGAAACCATCCATGACGGGCATTGAGATGTCCATGAATATGATATCGAAAGGTTCTTTGGCTGCTTTGACCGCGTCCACCGCTTGCTGGCCGTCTTCGGCTTGTTCGATAGTACCATAGGCGCGTTTGTTCTTCAGAAATGTTTCGAGCAACCTGAGGTTGATTTTGTTGTCGTCGACAAGCAGGACGCGAGGGTCAATTTTGCTAGGAGTCGGCTGCTTTGCTACTGGAGATAGCGAGTGACCCGCAGACTCGGATTGGGGAGTGGCTGCATCACTTCCGGTGTCGAGAGGCGTTGATCTTCGATCGCTCTCGCGGCGCATTCTCGAGTTTGCCTGAGCGTGCATCGGGAATGGGAATGCATCGCCTTCACTCACATGATTCCGAGGAGTCCGCAACGCCGTGATAGGATCATGGAGAGCCATTTGGGCGTTGTGGCTTGCCTGTGATGCGGCAAATGTCTCGGTGGCTTGAACCAACTTTGCGTCGTCGGTTTCGCCCGGTAGATTGAGGTCCAGCTCCGCCAAGTTTTCGGTGACTGATTCCGAGTCTGCCAGAATGGGAGAGAGATCTGTTTCAACCAGCGGGAAATTGACTCTCTGGTCCACAGCCTGCGAAAATTGTGCTCGGACATTCATTTGCCTCTCGAGAGCGAGCCGTATACTGCGAGCCAGCTTGTGGGGTCCACACGGTTCTGAAACGAATTCGACCGCACTACATATCCGCTCTTCCACTGACTGTACCAAGGCAGCGCTGTGCCTCGATAAGACAGAGCACATCACCACTAGAGCGGGTCGCCGTCCTGGTGTGGACACCAGTCTGTTTAGCAAGGGGTCCAAGTCTTCCTCTTCAACAATCACAGCACTTGCGCTATCGCAAAGTCGCTGATCCAGAAACTGGAGACCATACCAATCCTGCACGTACGACCTGACGATCCGCTGAAGCTCGTTATCTGACTGCGGCTCAGATTGCCACAGTGTTACAGTCGCGTCAGACCATTGGTCTCGCAAAGTAAGGAGGGAATTGTCGACACTTGAACCTCCGGTGGAGTTTGCGCCAGCGGCTCCGTCGGAATATGGCGTGGTCTGCGTTGAGGTCTGCCCAGGCAGAGGTCTCTTGACTGGCAGAGTAACTTCGACGGTGGTACCCTCCTGCAATTTGCTCTTCACATCGATGGTGCCACCTAGCATCAGCACAATACTGCGGACAATGCTCAATCCAAGGCCAGTGCCCGGGGCAAGAGCATTTTCTTGCGCGAACGGAACGAAGAGCTTCGAGTTCAGAAACTCCTGAGAGATTCCTTTCCCAGTGTCTGCAACTGTAAGCACCATGGATTCCCCACCTCCGTCCTCTTGTGCATCGAGGAGTTGGAGGCGGACGTTAATGCTGCCCTGATTTGTATACTTTATTGCATTGCCACTGAGATTCATGATGATCCGGCGTACAGCTCCCGGCTGCGTCAGAAAAGTCCAATCGGCTTTCTGCACATCAAGAGTGATCTTGACTGGATCGGAGTGGGGCGTCTGATAGTCCAGAGTCTTGCCGCGTCCTCGGGCTTCGCGTGACATATCTGTCAGGTCCAGGCCGGAAGTGTACGTATGGCCAAGGACCAAACCGTCAACCACTTCTTCTAGGACCGCAGAGACGTCTACCACACCCAAGAGCTGTAGCAGTGCTGGCGCACCATGGGAGATTGACTTGGACGTGTTCTCAGGCCCTAGGTAGGTGTAGCGGCGTGAGCTATGGCTATGCTTTTTGTTCGAAGCCTGCCAATGCTTCTGGAACGAATTAATCTTGGAGAAATCTAACACGTGGTTGATCGTGTCGAGCAAGGTCCGGCCGCACGAGTCAATGGTGGAGATCAGGCTTCTTTGGAAGCTAGAAAGGTCCGTTTCGGCAAGGAACTCGACGCTGGCCAAAAGGCCATGTAAAGGCGAGCGCATTTCGTGAGAGATGGTTCCGACAAAATCGCTCTTTTGCTTGTCAGCGAGAATCGTGTCCAACCGCGAGCATTCACCCATCAACGTGTTGCAGAATGAATTCAAAAAAGGTAATTCAATAGAAGAATTGAAGGACCGTGTCTCCACGGCGGTTGCGACAAAGCAAGCGTAGGCGAACGAGCCCGTAGTAGCATCCCAAAGAGGAGTAAACAGGACTTGTCCCGCAGCGGGAAACATGGCATGAAGGGCGCCGAGCTCCAGCTGTTTCCGGCGGCTCTGCCTCAGGGGTTGATCTGACACCCTCCCGTATCGTTTCGAAATATTCGTGTCATCCTCAGACGAGGACGAGGCACTGGCGTCGAAGGTAAACAATCGTCCCCCTGGGTATCGCCCGATCAAGTCCTTCAGCATCTCCCCTTCCAGGATTTTCATCCTCTCATCCGTGCCCCTTTCTGGCATCAAATGATTGGTGTGCGTAGAGTAGGCCACGACTGACGGTTTCGCGACAGGCCTCTGAATATCGCCTTTGACAGCTCCCCCAGTACTCCCAAGAGTAGCTCCACGCTTCCTTCTGAGCTCGTTGAGGCTAGGCCCAATATTGAGAAAGACCACAGCTCCATCTTCGCCCAGATTTCCCAGACATTCTCGCAGTAGATTTGCGGCTCTCCCAAACGTCTTGGTGTGCGTTTTCAACTCTGAGTCCGAATCATCGCCCGCGGGCACGTCTTCTGTTTCTGAGGATTGCCCGGACGTGCTGACATCGTCGACGTGTTCAAGCGCGACGGCATTGACGCCAAAGGGCTTCGCTGGTGCTGGAGAAAAGTCACCCCGAGGAGGAACGGCTAGCCCGTACGTGGTTTTAGACTTCTGCTTTAACTGCATATATCCTGTTTTGTCGTCGTGAATGCTTTTGCGACCGGCAATGAAAGCCTCTAGCCCTTCGGCCATTCTTCGCGATTGACGTCCTTCGATAGCCTGTCTGTTCGTCTCAAGAAAAAGCATTATCTGTCCGGCCGTAGTGGCCAAAAAGGATTGCTCCGCGGGGGTGAGACCATCTGGGCGCGCCAGGGTGTCCATAACAGCCAGACTACCGATATTGATTCCGTCTCTTGTTCTTATGGGAACTCCAGCATAGAAGCGGTAGTACGGGGGCCCGGTAATGATCTCCATATTCGCGAATTGGGACTGGGTAAGGTCATTGATGACGAACAGGGGTGAAGGAGAGTCCTCGTTGTCGTCAAGTCTGAGCGTCAACTCACAGATCCTGCCCTTGAGCGGCAAAGAACTGCAGGCCAAGAATATGGGATCTTCGACGAACTGATACGTCCCCTCACCATCCTCGGTCGATATCTTTGTGGCCTCGCTCAGGAAATACATGATATCGCGGTCCATGACATTGATCATTGTCTTTCTGCAGTTCATGCGGAGAGTAGTCAGCTGAGCGATCGGCGAGAGCGCTCTGCTCAGGTCGGGGACCTCGCCGCTGGAGATCTCGAGGACAGAGGGGCGGCGGCGAAGATGAGGTTGGATCAGGTTGTCTGGTTGGAAGTAATGGTAGAATTCCCGAGCCCTTCGCGCATTGTCCACTTCATAGTCGGTACGTTGGGGCGAGCCCACACGGCCCTCTGGCAGAACAGCCATCGTGCCTGTCCTTGAAACTGTGAAGCTATCGCTCACGCACGCTTAGAGGCACCGATCACACCTCCCCGACAACAAGCGGAGATCAACATCTCACCACGTAAAAAGCGCAGGCGGTATCTGCTGGAGTGGGAAAGCCCAAGTCCAGAGAGATACAGAATGAATTCACAATTTGTCGCTCAACACAATAGAGCTCAACGTGCTAACAGGCGATAAGACCATGGGTACAGTCTCCTGCCTTCAGCTAGACACGGCGATGCCAGAGCCCACTGCACATTCTGACATTGCCGGAAAAGTTGGACATTTGGGTCTGGAACGTCCAGATGCTTCGGGAACTAACACGCGTTACGCACCCTAGTTAGGGACGGTAGCATGCAGCGTCCGAGTACTCCGTACCTGGACCGCTCTTGAACGCCCTGTGGGGCTCGATCGTCCTTTGGAGCAGTGGGAACCGAGAAAACCTGGCAGATCGACGCTTCTTTGGGTGGCTGCCGGCAACAAGCTCCGTGATAGGCACCTACAGGCCACTCCGAATCGGCTGTGCGTGGGAGACTCACCTTGGCGAGGGTAAAGATTGGGGAGACAAAGGGCCGCAGTTTCACTCAACAGTCCACAGTAGTGATACGGTGGGCTGCTTAGTCACTCATGCGGTTCGATGCTTGCTCAACGTCAGCGAATCAGTTCGAGCTCACATCACAATCGGTCGCAGGTGTCTTCATACACGGGAGTTATCGCACCCACCTTATTGTCCAACGTCCTGGGTAATCATAATGCGCGCGACGTCGCGACTTCTTGCGACTGTCAAGTCGGCCTCCAAATACCTCGAGCCAAATACTCCTACGGGCCTGACAGGCCTCACAACACATCCATCACCTCGTCCTGCATTGGTATGGACATATCGACAAACACTCAAGAAGCTCGAGCAGGTCCCTAAAAATTCCGTCTATCGCCAATCAGTCGAGGCACTCACCAAGCACCGCTTGGAGATCGTCGAAGCCACGAAACCCGAAGGCTACGAACAATGGTTGGAAAGAGTCAGGAAACAGATCGAAGCCAGTCCGAAGGCTTACAACCAATTGCTGAATGAGGAAGGGTCGCTGGCTAGCGAGAAGCCGCATGTTGAGCACATCGATAACTGGGACGGCCAAATTACGCGAGCTGATGCTCACCCTGAGGGTACAAATGATATGGCTCAAGCAGAACGCAAGACAAGAGCGGTAGAAGAGGAGGTCCGAGCCAAGAACTTGGAAGAAAAGGAAGGAGTACAGCCCACGGTCGAGGATCTGGAGGTTGAGCCACCGTTGACGAAGGAGCAGTATGTTTCCACTACAGGATAAAGTGCAATGCTGACCATGCTTCCCAGGATCAATGTTATTGAGACAAAGATCGGGGCTGGCCTGATTGAAGAAGTTATTTCTGTTGCCGAAGGCGAGTTGATGCTCGTGGATGAAATGTTACGACATCAAGTGTATGTTTCCTGCGCCTCCCACCCCTTTCGTTTGCTTCGTATCGCTGACTACGGTGCAGATGGGAAGAGCTGGAAGAGAAAGCTCCGTCCGGGCAATGGAAATACTTTGAACGTGGAGAGCGGGTGTAGGGCGATGGCCGATTAGATCGCACAAAGGAATAATTGTACATACTCCAACATGCATCCGCAATCCAACAAAAAGAACAAATCACTGTAAAGAAAAGGCCGGCGCATTGAGCCGGCGGTGCAGCCGCAAACTAACGTCATGTGCTTTTAGAGAGGCACTTAACGCTCTTGATCGAATCCCATTGCATGGTAATATTCTGTGTCTGTGGTAGGCAAGCCGCTTGTTGAGCACGTTGTTCGCCGCACTGGCTCTCACCAGACGACCCCATCTAATATGTACAATACTCTTCCGCTTCTCGGCCCCAATCGCAATAGTTTTTAGAACGGGTTGTCCTCCGGCGGCACCTCTCTGACCCAATAGCTTCCAATCACGGGCAATTTCGATAGAATGTCTTCCCTGACACGGGGCACTTCGCCAAAGAAGAAGACTGCAAAGACGCCCGCGGCGACACCGAAGCCTGAGGCAATGTACCCCAGTCGTAGAGCTTTGCCGGGAGTTAAGCCCATGAAGTTGGGGATGTGTCTCGTTCTAAGGCAGGCGAGTAAGCAACTCGTTAGCTCAATCCCAAGCAGGCATGAGAGTGAGGGCAGGATGAGCGTACTTTGGTCCGTAGGGTGAAACATAAGTTTCGTACGTTGGCTGCGGTTTGTACACGCGTAGGGGCGTCCGGCCGGAGCCATAGCCGGTTTCGAAGGCGGGTAATCTCAGGGCTCGTGTAGGAATCATGGTGGGCGAAGCTCTAGAGGGTGTGGGCGCTGATGTTTGGAACTCGAGAAAGAAGTTGAATGTCGTATGAGGCCGCAAATTGAGCTTTGAGCTCCGAAGTTGCGCAGTATTGAGTACGGCCCGGGGTAAGACGCAAGAGTGCAACATGCTTGTTGGCCAATCATATAGTCTGGAATAGTGACTCCCATCCGCGGAACATTCCTGACAAGTCCATCCTTTTTGCCGTGCGAGTACAGGTGTGTAGGTACTTGGTCGCTGTGTCGACAGTGTCATTATTATTACACTGGTCAATTCGAAACCAAGGGTCGCGGTGCTGATTGCGCAGTCATCGAAGTCAATTATGCTGGCGTTGTGACATTACGGCATCTCGATGAGTTCAGAGCTCCAGCCGAACGTTTGAATCCAGGGTGCTCACGGTCGCTCTACTGTGTAAGCTATGGTGTGGTAGGGCCATGCGCCCTAGCCGTCGTTGGAGCTCTTTGCTCTATTTGGCGTGGTGATCATCTCGGCGCGATCACTGTCCTTACTGTGTCCTACTGACGACTCTCACCTCCTTCCCACCTCTCCCTCCTCAGCCCCAAATACAGACTATCAACCCACTCGCTCCCAATCTCCCACGTCCGTTCTTTGAATCCTGTTGTCACAAACCCAACTCTCTCCAAAAGCCTGATACTCCTGTGATTCCGTGGGTCGACATCCGCGGTAATCTCTTCCATACCCTTTTCTCCGAAAAGATAGGGCAATACACCGTGCAACGCTTCTTGTGCCAGGCCTTGTCCCCAATACGAGCGAGAGAGGAGGAACCCGATCTCCTGGTCTTGCCAAACACCGATTTTTCCGATCGGAGACGCTGTGGCCTTATGCACGATAATGAAGTCCGAGACTCCGTTTTGGGCCGCGGCGGTCATTCTCTGAACCCATGTTGAAGTCTCGGAGGGGTTGGTATGTGGTAGTGTGCTCCTTCGTCCTCGATGAGAAGTGGTTGGTGGTGGTAACTTCTCCGTTGGAAAGAACAAGTAGGGTATGCAGGAAGGGAGGGAGAAAGGAAGGAAATTGCAACCATACCAATATCTCATCACCTCCGGATCGGAGAACGCTTCGTGAAGGCCCCTTGCATCGTCATGTTTGGCGCCACGTAGGAGAAGGCGCGGTGTCGATATTTCAACACGCCCGTCATTAAGCTGGGTTACTGTTGGTGGAACTCCAAGCGTCATTGTGGTCGAAGAACTTTCGGACATCTGTTCCTCTTGACAAATCGCGTTTGCCATCGTTCTCTGGGACACATTTGACAAGTATACACTTTCGCATTTTCATAGCGGTCCCCAAGTACAGCGGACAAATGTGGTGGACGACAAGTTATATATATATATATATTTGTGGCGTTCTTAGCAGTGCAACCTTGCACCAAAGGTCCGGCCTTCGATTGGGCCTCGGCCACAACTCCTGTGAAACGACAATGCTGTGTGTCCTTTTCCACCACCAACTGCATCATTGTGCTGCATTGAAGCGTTTACTGAGGAAGAGCTATGCAGCCATTACACGATTTGATGTCGACTTCCTGCTTATCGTCGATTTGGACATATTATGGCCTATTCAGCTATGAGCCTAGACGGCTACAAGTATGGCATGAGCGATTATTCCCTGAAAAGAGACAAGACATGTATCCCGAAAACAGACTTTGCAGTGTCAGACGCCGGCGAATCGCTGCAAAGTCATCATAGCGTAGAGGCTATATGTGGCGTGCTCCAGTTCACATCAAGCGTGACGACTGACGTAGTGGATACACATACACGCTTCGTGATGGGTTGATACCGTGCTTGTTCAGTCAGTACTTAGTCGACTCGGTAAGTTGCCCAGCAGGGCCTGTTCCTTTCTCAAGGCTGTACGGCGGAACGTTACTACGGGAGGTACCCAGTTCATCACGCTGCAACCCGTCCGTACATTGAAAGATTGAAAGAGAAGTTGAACTGAATGCTGCAACCGCGAAAGAAGGGCCAAACAATGCGAAGTAGTTCAGAAGCTCCAGGTAGAGATCGAGGTTGAAATGCTTTGAGTAGTGAGCTCCCGCAGTGCTCGAGAGCGTGGTCTGAGTCCAGCTTGCTGATGGTCATGGTTTTCATTCAATCGTCATAGGTTCGAGTATCTTATGCCTTAGGATAAAATAGACCTCGCGGAATGCCCGAAGACCCAGGTCTTCAAATCAACAGAGCTGGTACGTGTATATTTGCAGCAGTCCGGTCATGATGCTCCAGTTTGCGGCAAAGGCGAAGTAACCTCATCCTTCATTCTCCAAATAATCTCCTCACGCGTCGTAACACACTGTCTTTCTCTGGGTCATATGGATGGTCTTTGCTGGGGATCTCCAAAACAGCAGGGAAGGCATCCTGAAACTTGTCCACAGTATCCCGTATCTGTTCCGCAAGCTGTCTTACTGTCAGCGATATGTCCAGTGTGATTCCGCTGGCTGCGCCATACATGTTGGTTGATCAGGACGATGCCAATATCTTTACGCTCTTTCGTGAATCTATTGAACGCCTGTTCGATCTGTGATCTTTCCGTCCTTGCATCGCAAACCAAGAAATTCTTCTGTGAGTCCGGGGGATCGGTGACATGGCCGATACCAGCAAGGAGGAGACCTGTGACAGAGCTTGGAGAGCATTAGCCGATAGGACTTGCAGCCTAGATCGCCGACCTCACTCTTCGTCCCCAATGACAGCAATGAACTGCCGGTCCTGTGAAAATGTTTAGCAATGGGCCCGTGGTCGTAGGGATCCTCATGTACCTTGTACGCCGATACCGGCGCCGCCATCTCTGCTGAGACTGAGGCTCTACTTTCAGATGTAGATTGAATCTGGATCGAAGCTCACGAAGGGAACCTGCGAGGCCGAGTTGCAGTTTAGATTGTACCTGCGTCGGGGGAACCATCTCCGATTGGCTGCTATTTCGTCATTGTTTATTCTCCAGGTTCAGAGATTCGGTTTCACTGCCAATTTCACTTCCCCTCCGCCGCACCTTCACTCGACAGGCGCTTCTTGTATAAGCCGGTCTTGGTTCCCGAAAAGAGGAGATGCCGCAGGCGAGCTCAACCCTTGCTTCTCCTCGAGAAAGATGCCCAAGTTCGTGAGGCGCCAGTCTCTTGCAGAGCGGCTCAAAGGCCACCTTAACCCTTACGACTTTCTCCTATGGCTCTCGGAAGAACTGGAGGCCAATGGCTGGGATCAGCTGGAGAAGGAATGGGCGACTCCCATCGGCCTGGCTCTCAATCTTGTCTTTATCATTGCCAGAGCAAATACGAAACAAAAATCTACTGGTTATGACGACGTGTTTGGCGAGATCCCTGGAGTCGCGTGGACGACCTGGTTGGTATGAGCAAACGTTGTGGGAGCAGACATAAGATGGATCGCTAACTTTCTGCAGGCTACTTTCATTGTTCACTTCCTGACCCTGGTCTGCATGGTCAACGCGGTGTACACATTTTGGAGGAAGAAGCATTACCGTCTCTTCGAAAATTCAGTGGACGATGTTCCCAGTACTCCGTCTGCCAAACGCGTCCGAGTCGACTCCTCCCCTGTCTCTTCATCACCTTTACAATACCTATCGAGTATCATTGGCACTGAGTCGGCACAATCGAGAGCACACCCGGATCCAACAAGAGACGTGTGGGAGGTCGCAGTATGGGATCCGCTACCTATTGCTCTCCGCTTGTTTTGCTATTTCAGTCCTGGACATGTCTTGGTATATTGGCTCTTCTTGCCAACGGTACCATCTGATCCACGGCCCAGCGTCACAATTGCAACAGCCATGTTTGTGGCGGCATTGCTCACCGTCCAGCTCACATTCCTACAATCGAGCTATTCTACCCAGGTCAAAGATTCCGCTTTCATCTCGAAAGAAGTCCTCCATGAATATGATACCAAATATGTGAGACCACGAACGCAGCCTTTGTACCGAGATGTGGGAACCCAGTTCAGCGAGCAGGCGTCCTACAGTGCCGCGCGAGAGGAGCGATATAACAAAGTCGATACTTACACTCCAATGGTGGTAATCAATCGCGGCTTCAACCCCAAACCAAATCCGAACTACGTTCAGTACACAGACGCGGATACTGCTGCCTCTAACTCGAATTTACGGCATCGAGTATCAACCCCGGACTTCCGCTCACCCGTTCACAATGCTCAGCCTGGGTCAGTCATAAGACCTTTAGCTAGCATGCGTCAGCCGAATTTTCGACCGACAACTGCAGGCGGTGAAGGTGGAAGCCTCGGTGTTTACAGTCACGCTGCGTCTCCTCTTCGGAAAAGCGCATCGACAAACTTCTCTCGAGAGACTCGGCCAATGAGTCCAGAGAAGCGAGCACCAAGTCCAGACAAGAGAATGAGCGTGCCTTCTGGGGCTACATCTACATCTCAAAGATGGGCCCACCTGCAGCCAGATAAGCACCGCAGAGAAAGTGGTCGGTTTTAGCGCAGGCACGAGAGTGAATAATTAAAGATACCCTCGAATTTACATACATGACACACGAGATGTGAGTCGTTCTTCCACTAGCAATTGAACGGTCTGGTCGCAGTTTCCTCCCTTGGTCAATGACGCTCATCGTCGAGATCTCCGCAATGTGCGAGCCATGGTATGCTCAAAATTCCGAGCGTCACCGTTACCACCAACCCAGTGCACAGGCCATTATGTGGTATGAACTGCATAGCATAGCAACCACTCCGTTACCTCACGATGCCGGTCAAATATTCTGACCCCTCGGACGACTCGTCTGCTTCTCGCTCATCTCGTCTTGTTCATAGAGTATCGAATTCGGTGGGTTCTTTCCGTGTCAGGAAGCACACCAGACTTAAAACCGAAGACGAATCCGACCTTTCGGAAATTCGAAGCCCGCCACGGTATAGTACAAGGTCATTTCGCGACAGCCGCGGTCTCAACCCTGGCTCACTGAGAAGACACCGTGATCTAAACACCGACGGCGGTCGCGACATTCGGAGCCGTCATCCTGAGAAGACTTCGAGCGTTGGCACAAATCCATTCCGAAGAACGCACCAGTCACACAACTTGGAAACCGTCTTGGAAGTCCCCTCCAGCCAAGCGAGTCAACGAACCACCATATTCAACGACAGTCAATCACAGCAAGAGCTAGCCAAAGGACCCGGCGGCCAGTCTACATCAGTGGAAAGACTTCATGCGCAGCATTCCAGCGCATGTTCGGACATGCATCAATCTGTGAAGAGCGATGACTACCTTCTTGCTCGGGGAGCAAATCCCAGAACCGGTGTAGTCACACCTGCACACAGTGCTAGCAGCTCTCTTGATGATCACACTGCGAAGAGCCAAGCCCCACGCCGCCCTGCTCGCTGGCGACAGAAGAGTGATCAATGGATCAGTCTGGATCTAGGTGAACCTACACCTATTTCTACGGCCCCGTTAGACAGACTCCCTGAGCATCAGCACCAAGCGCTAAGAATTCCACAGAAACTGGTGGCGGCGAAGCCTGCAGACTCTATACGTGAATCTCGCCTGATAGAGAGCAGAGATATACCTCTTAGCTCTCCGGGACCCAAAGTGACCTTTCACGCAAATGAAAGACTGATAGAAAGCAGCGTTTCCCTGGATGAGAAGATAGACGCACATGGACACACTGTTGTGCAGCAATCCTCTAGATTGAAACCACCAGTAAAGCGCAAACCCGTCGGAAGTCCACCGAATCGAAGCCTGGCAGAGCGTGCCACCCACACCCAGGAAGGCAGCGATGAAAGTACAGATACCGTTCTGCGAACGCCCAGACTCAATGACGTCCTGAGCTCCTCTTCTGCGCCAGATGCTCTAAGAGGACGTTTCTTGAATCCCAAAAACGTCGATAAAGACCTGCCCAAGGTGCCCTACGACTCTGCTCTGCATGAGACTCAGCACGCTACTAGTAGCGACCCTTTTTTAGGGGCGCGTGGGACGGGCCAGCCAGCCAACGTCCCAAGTTCAGAAATCTCCAGCATCTCTGGGCCACAAATGGCCGAAAAAGAACTACCATGTCTGCTGATGAACAATGGCCCATCCCAGTCGACACGAAACAGCCCACCGTATCCCACGAGTCCCACAAAGACGACCGCGGATCTAGAGGAGCGCCACCACCGAGCAAAGCCCGAGGCACCCCAAGGACCGCGAGTAGGCGGCAATCCAGCATACCCGTATATTCGGACAGAAAGGCCGACATACCCAATAACCCCGGCAGCAGGCAGCCAGCACCTGATCGGAAAAAGAACCATGCCGGTACCGGTGTACGACAACCCTCCGAAGCACCCATCGCCGTTCGTGCGGACGACTCGGCCAAGAGTGGAGGGTCCAAGGTCCATGCCTCCGCAAGAAATGAGCGTATTGGAGAAGACGAGGTTGGCTCTCAACCCATTGTTGAATACCACTACCACACCCACCGGCACATTCATCAATGGAGCAGGCCTTCCAGGACCGCTGCAGGTTGGTCCAAGACCAACGAAGCCGGACTTGCACATGCATCGTGGCCACCATGGATTCCTCCGGAGACCGGCTCCACCAAGCGGTTCCGACATCATCATGAACACCACCATGAATATAAGTCCAGATTGCATGATGTCCATTCCGATGCCAAGAATCCGACCAAGAGCGATGGCGCGACCGGCAATGCCCACGAGAGCGGAGGGGATGTACGGCATTCCCAAAGTCGAGAGCCGAGGACGATGGGATCCGACACGGCGGGACCATCAGTCGCAGAGAATGCTGACACCCATCGACACCGTCTCCACACCAGGAGTCACAGACCCAGAGCCAGTATCTATGCCAGAGGTTCTGAGGCCGCCTGTGGAACCTTGTCGAGTTCTGCCATTCGAAAGCGAGACCCTGCCCGAGCAGGAAGAAGTGAGGTCGACCAGCTGTGGCCTGATGAGGAAGTGCAGCCGCTGCATTCATGGCTTTGTGGACGTCAAGCTTCACACTACCGATAGTGTCATCCATACGTCCGACCCCCAGAAGGACGTCCCCGAAGCAAAAGACGGTACTAAACCATTGCGTCCATATCGGAGCCCACTGCCAGTGCTGCCAGAGGATTCCACACTCTCAAAAGACGCCATTGCACAGCAAGGCGCAACGACTGCCTCACATGGAAAGGCTGAGAGCGACGAACGTGACCATAGCATCTGTTGCCCTCAGTGTTGCAAGCTGGACTGCCACGAAGGATGTCTGGGACATCCTAGCCCGACTTCTTCGCCCAGTCCAGTCAACAGCATGTGGTCTGGGGCTCAGACTCCCAGCAGCTCCAGCGATGTATCGACTCTTGTGACCGGGATAGACGCCTATGGAGAGGCCAAAACTGAGAAGCCGGAACAGAGCACAAAGACCAAGGGTTCCGATTTTGTCAAGGCTCCGCGAAAATTACCACCGAAGATGGCCCAGGCGTCCAAACCTCATGGCAAGCATATCCAAGCAGCACTGTCGGGGCCGCCGTTTGGACCGTCAGTGCAGACCCCGACACCCCCGACACCCGCGAAACTCGAAGTGCTCAGGCCCCAGGCCCACGCCATTGCGGCTGCCTCAAATGCTCTCAAGCCGCCAGCGCCTGCAAAACCGAGTGAGGCAGTACCAGCAGCAAGGAGTGCAATAGCATTCACTCAGCAGAAGGGTACTCTAGCGCGACCGAACATCCACAGGAGGCAGAGAAGCAACAGCTTACCCATCTTCGGCCTGGGTATCACTTCGCGGAAATCCAGTGGCTGTGCCGAGTCCAATCGAGCAGTCAGCGGGTCCCGTCTGCGGATTCCCTCACCCATGGACCTCGCCCTTGGCTGCTCTGCAACTAAAACCGACTTCTTTCGGAGCCGCAACGTAAGCGGTACGAGCATCAACACCATCGAAGTTCAGATCCCCAATCTTGCTTCATATACCGCTCTCTATGAACTTATCTTTGTTCCTATCGAAGCCACCACGATATGGGTCAAGACTCACCCCCAGATGCTCACCATAGGCGGAGACATGCTTCGTCGAGCCTGGGAGATGGCGCAGATTATGACGAAGACAGCGTGGAGTGTCTGGGCCGTCATCTTCGTATACTCCAAAACCGGGAGGGTAAGGCTTCATCTAAGTAAAGGAGAAACGGCTTGGGGATTCTTGATGGATATGGCCAGAAGCATGCTCTACCTTTTGGTATTTGCGGCAGTCGGTGCGTTAGTTGTAAGGATCCTCGGATTGATACTGGGCGTGTTGCGGGTGGGTGTTTGGTTCTTCAGGGGAGCTTTTTGGCTGGTCAGGGGTATTCTAGGGTTAGGGACTGTGAAATGAATCTGCAACGAATGAGAACGGGGTGTGGAAGGTACCCAAGGCCAAGGCGGACTGCACCGGACGCGAGTTCATTCGCAGGCGGTGGTGACTATCATTACGTAGCAGGCCAGTGATAGCAATAGATTATCCATAGAGATTACCACAATCCCAGGAACCTCGCGGTCTCTACCTAGGTACCTAGGTACTTGCGTTGTCCAACGTATGTGGTTGGGGCGGCAGGTGCACGCCTTGTATTGCCAAGAAGCGCTATACCCAAAGGGATGTAGCTCGAGAGAAGCCATCCGCCACTGCGACAGCTGAATGAATGAGACAAGTCGAGGGAGATCAATGAGCTGTGCTGGTGGGGACCCCAGACTATGTGCGGTCCAAAGTCGACTACACAGAAAGCGCGGTATAGCAATCCATGGCTGCAGAAGCCAATGCTTTCCACGCCCTGTGAGTCGGTTCGGAAGCATCTTGCATCTCCAAACCAACTCGGTCGTCTCTTCTTTCCCAGAAACATCTGACGAGGGACTCAGCCCCTAATACCTACCACATACTTTTTGTCGGAGCTACACCGTAATATGGCCTCCGCTTTACTTACCTTCCCTGCAGAAGTCCGAGTTAAGATCTACAAAGCTCTCTTCGACGGGCTCGTGCTGAGTCCAGCATGGAAATATCTCGGCGGTGGGTTCCACGCTGCATTCATCCGGGAAGGACAATCTCCACGCACCAGTCTGATCGGGGCCATGGGCCTTGACCACCATCCCAATTCGGATCCTGATCTAGATCTAGGAAGCTACCTCCCTACGCCACCTCGTCACCCTGTTGACCTCAGCATTCTGCGCGTATGTCGCCAGATCTATGACGAGGCCTATTCTGTGCTTCTTCGGATGGCCACCTTTAGAGTGGCCACCGTCGAGGACCACATTCGTTTCACGCGGCCAGAATTGGTTCCGACGCTCGGACGTATTCGCAGCCTGAGCGTTACAAGCTCTGTATTACCAGAATGGTCGTCCACGCTGGTGCGGCTCGTGCTGCCCTCAGTCTCGCATCTGGAGATCCGCGACCTCCAAGCGCAGATCTCGCACGACCACATGATATCTGTCGATTTACTCCAGTCGCACCCCAGTGAACTACCGCAAGCCGAGCCCTACACTGTGCCAACCCTTCTTCGGGAGCTGCTCTCGAGCACGATAGAGGGTGGCCGGATCGCAACCATTTTTTCTCACGTCGCGGCAGCGGACGACATGTATGAGTGTTTGGTCTTGCATTTTTGGGTTGAATGTGATTGGGCAGGCATGGCGCCGCACAGTCACACGGCCAAGAACATCGTCTTTGTGTTTGGAGAGCAACGTGCGTGGGCACAAGGAGGTCGACGCGTGAGTACGTTGGCCCCTGCGCAGTGGGATGAGACTGCTTTTGTTTATCGTTCGGGGTTCTCCATGGAAAATAGAGCCCCTTAATCGCCCGACGCACCTTTAGTTCGGAAAGCCAACAGTTCGGCCTCGAGCATGTTCTGGTGGAATCACGATGAAAATTGCCAGCCGAGTGCGAACGGCCTGGACGATGGGAAAGCGGGCTCGAGAGCCTGAAAGCAGTATCCGCGTACAACAGTCGCACTACTCTGACAGGATGTTCTGCGGGGTTGGCACCTGCTAGAGCGTCGTCCCACAGCACCGTTCGCCGAGATCAAGAGCAAGGCATCCGGACGGCTCATATCATGCAATTGAGGACTGCGGATCACTGTGATGTCGGAAGAACCGGAAGCACCTCTGGTATTTGTGTAGGTCATACCTTTTCGACATATCTCGAGTCAATCCCTTCGGAGGCAAAACACGAGAACCTCGCTCTATCCATGGACTGTCCGGCGGTGTACACACAACGGCACATATGATCAGACTACCAGGTTGTTTGGCACTTGGACTTGTTGTTCCCTCACGGCGGCTTCTCATCCAGTGCAGATCAGGCCGAGGCTTTCCATCAGGGGCACAGCGCCCAGCACAGTACTGTGTAGCAACCGTCAGCTCACGCTACGTGGGTCCACCGCAGGCCTGAAGCACTCCTCATTCGACGCTGATATGACAGAAAAGGACAAGGCTGACGTGGCTATGTCCCGTCCATGTACATTTACCACGCTGACCCTCGATCCTCCAGGCATGCACAAGTCACGGCATTCAGGAGTGCGAAGGCTCTAGCCATGCCTCGCGTTCCATGGCTTTCTCTCGCTTCGTCCACAGAGTGTACGTGTACCAGTCTCCGCACGGAGCACGAGGACGAAGACAGTACGAGGGGAAGATATATGTCGAGCATCCGAGGTCCTCCGAGACCACCAGATCCAGCCGCCCGGACATGCCGCTGCAAACGCACACAGCGAGTGCGATTGTTGATGCTAGGCGAGCGCAAATGCCCAGCAGACCTAACATAACGTACTGGAGCATAGGCGGGGCGTAGGGACGCAGCGCAATCCACTCCAGGGATGGCATAGCTATGAAAGAGATATGGAATACGGAGTACGTACCTAGGTTGGCCAGGTACTTGGCTTGCAACCCTGCGCGTGCAGGCCACAGACAGGCGCACGGGCACGGGCACGGGCACATGCACTCCAGCGTATGCAAACAGAAACCACGATACGACGGATGCTTTTTGTCGTCGCAGAAAATGACTGTATTGCATTGCTGACTGTGCGGCGCGGTGCAGTGCCTGACTACATGTGCTGTGCTGTGTCCAGGCTGGCAGTGCATTGCATTGCATTGCGTGCACGGCCGGTGGGGCGGACGAGGCGGGCGAGGCGGCCAAGGCGGGCAAGGCACCACATCCACATGCGGAAAGCACACCCATGGACCATAAGAGGCAGTAGTCATCTGCTGTGTACGGAGTACTGAGAACCGAGGACCTGTAGTCAACGTATTCTACGTTGTCGTCGCTGTTCGGAGTACGCAGATTCGTAATCAGGCATTTTGGTATGATGCGATCATTCCCCAAGATCGTGGTATACGCATGGTGCACGTGTACCGGGTTCGCCAGTTGACGAATCGGCTAATTAATTAATCACTTGTTCACATATCTGAAGGCCACAATGCGATAATTACGATATGATCTAGTATGCCGTGGTACTAATATGATTAGTGCGTACGGAGTACTTGGGAAAGTGGACGAGTACGGTACAAAAACTGATGCTGATGAATCGCGCCCGTGAGACCCCTCGGCTGACTCAGGCGCTCGCGCTCAGTCACCCAACTCCAAACACCATCAGACATGCCAGCCACGACCTGCTGCACGGGTACAGAGGCGGTTGCCTGGACACATGTAGGACCCGACTTGAAAGATACATACTCGTTGACCCGTCCTCCACCAACGTGGTGTGGCAATGCCCGGGTAAATGTAGTATATACACACAATGTACGCTTCCATGCAGGTGTACATCAATTACAAGATCCGAAACTATCAATCCGCTAGCGTGGTACGAACCAGGACAGGAATCAATAACCGATGATCGTTGAATGCGAGAACGCTTCAAAAGACCCGCACCTCAATCCGAAGGCGGTGTCGATCCACGTCCCCGGTCGTAGGAGAAGAATCATAGAACCAAAATATCGACGACTGCCCCGTCAACGGCCCAGCAAATTCTGCCACCCGATCCGTTCGTACGTCACGACGGCCAGACAACTCGCCAGGACTGCCTCGGTGGTGATTTTGCTGTCGTGGCCATGGGCGTGCCCGTGCCCATTCCCCCTGTCTGTTCCGCTCTCATTCACGTGCCAGAGGAAGACCGTCAGCGTGCCTAGGACGTCGTGGTCCCGTCGCTGCTTGTAGACGGCCACGGGTGTCTGCTCAGCATCCTCGAGGATCAGATTGCCGTGCCCGACGGGCGTTGCGTCGTCCATTGCTGGGCTTGCGAGAATCCCCTTCTTCTCCCCCAGGGAGGGAGACCGCCATTTATAGCCGCCTGGAGTGACGATGTACTCGCGTTTCCAGCCGGTGCGGTTGATCAGATACCGGGACCGGATATCCGGCGTTGAACTGAGGTCGTTGGCGAGCGTTTGGGTATAGTGATTGCGATAGTGCATCTCGGGCGTGATGTTGTACAGAGTTAGTGAGACAGACATGCCCGTGAGGCCTTGCCAGCCGCGGTACTTTATCTCGGCGACTGGGTACGCTTTCTCCTTCGCTGAGCCTGTCGTGCTGTGGGTGGACGACCGAGACTCGAATGTCAAGCTGTCGTGCAGTGGTGATGGTGGTAAGCCGCTGATCTCGCCTTCTTGGGTGACTCGTTGCCGGCCAGCAGTTTGCTTGAAGCTCCCACTCCCATGCTTGTGGGTGGGACCACGAAAGACCTCAAACGAAGGTGGCAGGAAGTACTTCTGCTTCCACCATTTCAGGTCGTTCGTCACAAAAATCGGCTCGTTCGAGGGAGTTGATAAATCGAAGATGGGCCCCGTTTGGGCAATCCCGGCGTCCACGTCCACTACGCTGAAGCGGATGTTCTGCGGACAAACCAGCCCCACGGGCGTGCTTTTGAGGATTTGGAATCTGCGGACGGGGCCATCGGGTTCCTGCGTGGCGTGGACCCGTTGCTCGTCGTGCTGCTGGTGCTCCTGCTGGACGTCGAGGAACTCGCGCTGCTCTGGCTCGCTGACCGTTCGGTGATGGTGGGCCGTGCGTGGCCGATCCATAGACAGTCGTGGAGCGGGTCTGGCTCAAAGGTGTTGGTCGCGGATTTCAGGCGGTCTTGTTTCGCCTTGGCCGCTTTCTTGCTCGGTTTTCTCTCCCGCGGATGGCAAGGACAGCCTCCTGGGTAGTAGATCTCACGCAGGGTGATTGTTGTGTGACGTCTTCGGCCATTGACCACCACGTTAGTCTCCTCTTCGGGGAACAATGCATTGTATGAGGGGAGAATGTCTGAATCAGCCATTTTGACCTGATCTCGGCACAAGGCCGAACGGGTTATACTGTTGTCGTGTGTCTGGGCACGAAACGAAGGGGAAGGGGGAGAGTGCCTGGATGTCCGCGGCGCTGACTGAGAGATATAATCCTCAACATGACCACGTACTCCCGTAGACTGACCTTTAAAACAACGGGGGATCCGCAATTACGATGTTGTGGATAAATGAATAGGGTATTGGTGCTTGAGGGAACTGGTCGCCGGAAGGCTGGTGGTTGGCTGGTCCGCTCGGATGCGCACGGAAGGCTGCGCAATGCTGGGCCTTATGGGCCCCGGCACCACAGACTCGCCGGGATTTTGCACACGATACCGAGAATACAGCCCACCCAAGAGGTAATATGCTGCTATGCTGATGTGGAGTGCTTGCGTCAGCGTTAGACGGCTGTCACTCCTCGGACCCCTTCGGGCAGCGTGCCACAGAAATCGCACCACTCAGCCCGCCTTATGTCGACTGACTGATGTTCTAGACTCGTGTTTGGCCCGGCTGCCTCGAAGGTTGTGCAAATTGCGGTGAGGTTATGTAAGATGGATAATACTCAGAAATGCATGTAACAAAGCAACAAATTGCCTTGCCTGAGGCTGGAAATCGAAATGGGTCAAACCCTCCGTCCTGGCCGGTTTTATATGCTTGGGTCGAGGGTCCGGAATAAAAGTCTGCCTTACCCTTCCGACTTCTCTCGACTGTTCTACTCAAGGTCATCGGAGCCTACTCAATAGCAGGCATGAGATATCTGCAGGACCTCCACACAAGTTTCGAGTATATATAGAACGTGATGGTCTCGTGCTTTCGACACATGTGCTTTTATTGGCCAAAACCTGGGGTAGGACGTATCCGTATTGTCGGAGACGCCTTTCAGCGCTGCTCCATAAACGCCCAGCAAGCCCAGCACTTTGCCGAGGCCAAGGGTAAAACGCCAGGCAGACTTCTCGAGTCCTCCGCCAATCAAAGCCAGCCAACGCTCGACTGGCTTCAGCCTCGCCTAGAAGGACAAGACTTGCGTTGTCATCGTATGACTATCAACATCGAGATCAGCGACCCTGGTCCGGGGAGGTCGTTGGAAACTCGGGTAAAACGTGGTCAAGTGGAAGTCCAGGTGATGGAGTTCGAATGAAAGTGCTAGTTGTCACATGTGAGTAAAGCAGGATAATACTGGGGAAGACCTGTTGGGCACCTGTAGAAAACAAATTTGGGGAAAGCCCGCACCGCACGTACACGGACGAAAGCCAGACTTCAACAATTTCATCCTAGCGCTATGGCCTCGTGGATTTGTAGCATATTCCTTCGACTTGTTGATTGTCGCTGAGAAGCGTTCAATTTCTCTTAGGCGGTCAAAGGGACTTGTCAGGACGGTTATCGCATCGATGCTGCCTTTCTGCGTTGATAAGATGTACCAGAATCAAATCACTCGGAGGTGCGGCGGAGTGTTGCAGCATATCTTTGCATACTTCACAGGGGCAAGAAGGCTTCATTCGTGGCGACTCGGCCAGTACCGTGCACCTTTTGGGGCTTTCTCCAGATTTACCTTGGAGAGGAGGTTGGGAAGGAGCTCTGGGCTCGCATTATATCGTGGTTCCGACTCCTGGTAATTCGGCACATGCAATACATTTTGTTCAGCCCAAACACCATTGTTGGCTGTCAGGCAGCATCGTTCCCACAAATACTGATAAGTTGCCATGATCGGTGGCCGGTGACATAATTGTCGTCCTAATGGGATCAGTATGGGGCGCTCTGAGTGTCTGAAGGTCTCCCGATGCGGCAACTTCGGAAATGTCCAGCGAAACGTTCGAGACCAGTGCAGCAAACAAGACATGATATGGTGATTCTTCTTCGATTCTGACTAGGACGGCATGGTCGTCAATCGCAGCTTCGTCATACTCAGCTGGTCCAACACGCTTGCCTCGCTTCAGAATCAATGCAAGACGCACAGAGCCTGGTACTTCCATCTTCGTCTGTCGTGTTCCGGAAACCAGCACCGATGGTTCGGGTGCATCACTAGTTCTGCAAACATGAAACACCACATTCCCGGTGGAAGTAGCGACAAGAATCCTTGCCTCTTGCTCTGTGCCTTGCTCAATCAAAAGCCCTGGCGCGTGCAGCATCAGTCCCCGCTCTGTGAAAATATGCCCGGCCTCGTTCTGTTCTTCTTCAGCAGCCTTCCGCTGGTCTAGTTTCAGGGTCAGATTGCCCCGAAGTGTTGCCGGAGCCCACCTGCGCCCTGGGGTCTTCAATCTGGGACCAGTCCAGAACGCCATCATCGAAGGAGTTGGTCTCAAACATTGCCAAAAATGGTACATCCTGTCTTCTTCCCTTGCAAAACGCGCGATATCTTCCATGCGTAGACCAGCCAGGGTGGCTAAGCAAAGCGCCTCGTCGGTGGCGTAGCTCTTGGAGCGATTGCGACCCGAGGCATGAAGAAACTGGATGAGACCGGCAGCTGGGATATTCATGTCACCATAATTCGCATGGCGGTAGTTGATCAGAGCCGCCAACAGAGAGCCCCCGAAATCCTCGGCATAATTGTCCTGCCGCAGGGCAGTTTCAATCTGTCCAATGTCGATGCTACGATCAGCAAACTGAAAATGCAAAGACCGTGCGAGGGCGCCTTCCTGCAAAGTCCATAGTCGGGTAAGCCACGTCGAACAAGTGATGTACAGGGCAATCTCTGGCACGAGAAGGTGAGAAGAATCAATCTGCTCCAAGTATGCGTCAACAACCAAGACTATGTCGGCTTGTCGATAGGTTCTCCTGAGATTCATGATCGCTAGAGCCCGAGCCTCTGGTGGGTGGGTGGGCACGCAGACGGTGTCAATCCAGTATGGCACGGTCCCCCACCCATCCGGATAGAGGTTTGCAACCATGCTCCCGAGCCGGGCTAGTTGACATCGCGGAAGCGAGTTTTCTTTTGGGTTGCCTAGTCCATGAGACCACACGTGCGAGATTGCAACATAAGCTACCGCGCGTTGACTATCAAGCAACTCGATTGTACTGCGCTCGGTGTAGTCGCTGTTCGAAACAAGGGGCAAATGACCGGCTTGGAGGATGGCGAGGATTTCGGCCTGTTGCGCTGTGACATTGACACAGGAGCTGTCCTGACACACATGTGTAGTTCTGTATGCCTCCCGGTCCACTTTGTTGACCACACAATCCACTTCACAGGCTTTCGAATGTTGGAACTGGGAATCTGGACGTCTGACACGGGAAATCATGTAAAGGCAATCCACAGGCAACGACTCTGTCAGGTACGCCACTTGCTTTAGGCACCAGCCGCGTCCGACCATACAGGTTTCCAGAAGGCCGGTCCGAAGACTGTTGGAGTTACGAGCTTCATTCCGGTCCAGCCTTTTGGCCAGAAACTGGAAAAGGACAACAATGAGGAGCTCTGTGGAACTTTGAGGAATCCCTAAAGCTTTGCAATTCTTCTCGCGTTCCACAATCACCATTTTCACCTGGGTGAGCAGCCTGCAAATGCTTCGCCACTCTTTGTTCCATTCCGGTTCCCACGGGTCCGATCTAGTTGCGAAGAAGTCGACCGTGATCCGCCGTAGTCTCTCTGTGGATATAATGGACGGCCCAGTTGGATTCTGCCGGATAAAGCGGCCACGTTGGAAGAGAGGGCCGAAGATGGTTTCGAGGAGGCCGAAGCAGAGCCAGGCCTGCAGGACTTTGTCGATTTCAGTTGCAGTCTTATTGCAGTGCCGTGGATTGACAATGTCGGTGATTGTAAAGCCTAGTCTCTCTGGATAAGTCTCGAAGGGCTCAGAATAAGGCATGTCATCACAGAGGTAGGGTACTTCGACAGGCGGGTATACGGCATGCCGCATCTTCAGGATATGGTCCATTGTCGCTAACTGCTGAGCACATTAGATTGTACGATAGATCATCACGTGTGGTGCCAGCCACATGCTGGATGGATCTGCACACGGTTGCCCCTTGAACCAGTAAAACTACCAGGTTTTGGGTCTTCGCTGACCTAGCTGTCGTCCAAAGAAGGAGGAGATGGCTGAGTTCACTTGTCCTCAGCTCGCGAGGCTTCGAGACTTGAGCATACGTCATTCTCCAGCTTCGGAGGCAAGACAGACTTGCTTCTGCCGAGATGTGTCCTTCTTGGTCAGGAACGATTCATGACTGAGATGCGGTCTTGGGCTTGATGCCCCGTACAGTCCAAAGACACGTTGAGGCAGGAGAGAAACGAAGTGAGAAAGCAGTGAAGGAGACGTGAGCAAACAGCAGCGGCAGGTTTTCCGACAACAGGCCCGCCAATCACGTCATCGGATTTGAAAGTAGTTTGACAGCATCATCACCATCATTCCGACGTGTAATGAACTTACAGATTCAACCCCGTGCATCTTTACTCACTTCTCTAGAGGTTTGACCCCTTCCCATACATAAACTTAGCACCAGCGCTTCTGTCTGGCAAGGCGTGATCTGGGTTGATCCAGCTGCCATGATTCGTTTCGGAGTCAGACAAGGCGCCACGAGAGAGCTCGTTCACACCCTGGAAGCTCGAAGAACGCCTCGATCGTCACCTCCGCTGTTGAGAACAGCCGTAATTTCGACGTCCAGGGGCCCTCATGGCTCGTTCCACTTCAGTCTAAGCCGTGCCCGGAGGTCCGACACTGTATTCAAACGCCATGCCTCGACATCTGCGGACGGCGCCCCCAAACCGTCACGGCTGCTCGATCTCCTAGTGGGTGCTACTCTTGTGTTGGGCGCCGGTATCTTCTACTTCTACATCACAGACACGCGTGCGAGCGCACATCGCTATATCATAATCCCGACTCTAAGGTTATTTTACCCTGATCCAGAAGACGCTCACCAGGCCGGCAATCACATTCTCAAAGCACTCTGGGACTTCGGACTCCACCCTCGCGAACGAGGCGATTTTGATGCGGACAAGGGCCTTGAAGTAGAGGTCTTTGGACAGCTTCTGCGGAATCCCCTTGCTACTTCCGCTGGCATAGACAAGCAGGCCGAGATCCCAGATGCCCTTTTTGAGATTGGCCCGGCCATTGTCGAAATTGGAGGCACCACCCCCATGCCACAAGACGGCAATGAAAAGCCTCGGGTGTTTCGGTTGACCTCACAACAAGCTATGATCAACCGATATGGTTTGAACTCTGAAGGCGCCGACTATGTTGCAATGAAACTTCGAAACAGGGTTAGGAAATTTGCGCACTCGCTGGGACTCGGTCAAGACGAGATTGCCGAGAAGGCAGTGCTGGACGGCATTGCAGGTGTGCCTCCGGGAAGCTTGACTCCGGGGAAATTGCTTGCTGTTAATATTGCTAAAAACAAATTCACACCAGAAAACGACGTGGAGGCTGTGACGAATGATTATGTCTACTGCGTTGAGACCCTCGGCCCATATGCCGACATTCTGGTCGTCAATGTCTCCAGCCCGAATACCCCCGGTCTTCGGTCTTTGCAAGAAGGAGACAAGCTAAAGAGGATTTTGGGCGGCGTGGTCGAAGCAGCCCACAAGGTTGAAAGGCGCACCCGACCTTTTGTCATGGTCAAAGTCAGTCCCGACGAGGACTCAGATGAGCAGATTGCTGGGATATGTGACGCAGTTTGGGCCAGCGGAGTGGATGGAGTGGTAGTTGGGAATACCACAAATCGTCGACCCGAGGCGCTATCCCAATTCAAAAGCTATTCACCCCTAGAGCAGCAAAATATGCTCGAGAGGGGTGGGTTTTCCGGGCCTCACCTCTTTGAAGGAGTCACTGCTTTGGTGAAGAAATATAGGAAGCATCTGGCAGAGAGACCTCCCGGCATTCAAAAACCAGATTCGCTACCTGCTAGGAAGGGGGCGTTGAAAGCTGATGCAGACGCTATCAGAGGCAGCCTCGCAGCTAGAACCGAGACGGGTGCCGATACCCCACCAGAAGCAGAGTCCAACAAGGTTACTGCGTCTGTCGACAGTGGTGTCGTTCCAGTCAACGGCATGATCCAGGACGGTGGTTCTGCCAAGCAACCGCTAATCAATCTTCCCACTGATCGGCTTTTCGACAAGTCGCCAATAGCAGATGATAAGTCGCCAGCAACAGACGACAAATCGCCAGCAGCAGATGGCAATTCGCAGGTCGAAAAAGTACCTGCTCCTGACCCGGGTGTGCGTGATGTAGTAGAGAGACGGCAGCTCAGGTCCATTCAGGAGGCTATCGAGAGGCTTCCGCCCAAGGCGCAGCGTGATGCTCTCGAGCGGCTTGAGTCTCCTGGGCCACATCTGGGTCTGCTAGATCAGCCCAAAGCCATATTCGCGACCGGAGGTATCACTAACGGCAGACAAGCACTTGAAGTGCTCAACGCAGGTGCGAATGTGGCAATGGTCTATACTGCCTTGGTCTATGGAGGTGTCGGCACCATCTCGAGAATCAAGGACGAGATGCGTGAGGAAATGGGAAGACAGGCCCAACCCAAGGGGGCAATGGTTCCCAAATGAAGTCGGATGTCGAAGCATACCTGAAATCAGCACTTCGGCCGCTGCAGTTCCAGCGTGATTTCATTGATAGTCGCGCCATTATGCTCGATGGTTTCCTTCGAGATGGGGCGGAAGCCTGCATTGGCCAGCATCCGGGAACTTGCGATGTTCCTGTCGTCAATGACAGCCTTCAGCACCTCGGGAACAGACACAACATCCTCTTCCGTGCCGGAGCCCGAATTTGCATCCTCGATCGCCACGCCCTTTGTCGGCAACTCCCACCAGGCCTGAAGCCAGCGCTGGAATGCCTCAGTAGCATACCCTCGTCCCCAGTATTCAGTCCGGAACATAGAACCACATTCAGGTGGCTCTGCGATGTGGCAGCCCAAGACCCCAATGACTGTTCCGGGGTTCGACAGCTCCTCAATCGCAAAGTTGAAAGTGGTTGCGTCATTCGGCGGCAGGGACCTGTTCATCCAGATTTGGGTTGCCTCCTTGTCAATATCAATCGTCCCTGTAGATGTCCACTTCATGACTTCAATCTGAGTACGCAAGATGTGGAAGTCCTCAAGGTCTGACTGTCGGATAGGCCGCATGAGAAGACGAGCCGTGGTCATGTGTAATGCAGGCGCCGGGAAAACTGGGCGTGTGGTTTTCTTCATGGTAGGCTAAAGCATAAGAATAGGGGCAAGGAAAAGGTTTTCGCATTCACAGGTGGCCGGGTATTGGGGATGGGAAACTAGGCTTGATGTACTCCGTACTCCGTACCATGTCGTGAATTGCCGAGTACAATGGGTCTTAGCTATATGTGCCCGCTTCCACAGAGGCTGTCTGGTGACTCAAATAAATCGCCCTCGCAGCCAAGCGAGGCCAGAGCCTCCAATTGTAACATTGCTAGCGCACGCTAGTCTCAATTCGGGCAGTACACTCTTCCAACCAATGACGACCCAGAGCGCTAAACCAGGCACTCGGCAGACCTTCTTTGGTTACGCAGTCTCGACATTTTTTTGTCCGCAGCAACTGGCGACCGCCACGACTGTTCCCCTCCATCGACGTTTCTGGCGCACACCGACAAGATGAAGACGACCTGGAAAGATATCGCACCGGTGCCGACGTCTCAAGAGTTCATTGATATTGTGCTCAGTCGAACACAGCGGCGGCTCCCGACACAGATCCGTGCAGGTTTCAAAATCAGCAGAATAAGAGGTGAGATTTTGCCGGCTGATATCGAGGCCTTGTGGTTGACTAGGTCGCCCAGGTTTCTACACCCGAAAGGTCAAGTTCACCTCCGAGACATTCTGCGAAAAGTTGCAGGCAATCCTCGATGGGTTTCCTCGGCTACAAGACATTCATCCCTTCCACAAAGATCTCCTCAACACCCTCTACGATGCCGACCACTTCAAGATTGCTCTGGGCACTTTATCGACCGCCAAACGACTCATCGAGACAGTGGCGAGAGACTATGTCCGACTCTTGAAGTATGCACAGTCCCTGTTCCAATGCAAATCCCTTAAGCGGGCGGCTTTGGGTCGGATGGCCACAATCTGCAAGAGACTGAAAGACCCGTTGGTGTATCTTGAGCAGGTGCGGCAACATCTTGGGCGCCTGCCCAGCATAGATCCCAACACCCGCACACTCTTGATTTGCGGATACCCCAATGTGGGAAAGTCGAGCTTTCTCAAGTCGATAACACGAGCCGATGTCGATGTTCAGCCCTATGCTTTTACCACGAAATCCCTCTTTGTGGGTCACTTCGATTACAAGTACTTACGATTTCAAGCCATCGACACACCAGGAATCCTGGATCACCCGCTGGAAGAGATGAACACCATCGAAATGCAGTCAATCACGGCAATTGCACATCTGAGATCAGCCATTCTGTATTTTATGGACTTGTCAGAACAATGCGGCTACACGGTACAAGCACAGATGGCCCTTTTCAGCTCGATTAAGCCTCTATTCGCCAATAAACTCGTCTTTATCGTGGTGAACAAGACCGATGTGATGAAGCCCGAGGACCTGGACCCCGAAACACAGCAACAGTTGAAGGACCTGTTGACTCAAAATTCGAACACAGAACTTGTGCAGTTGTCTTGCGTGACCAGTGAAGGCGTTCAGGAGGTCAAGAACGCGGTGTGTGATCGGCTGATCGCGGATCGTGTAGCGGCGAAGTTGAAGGCGGGACAAGCGTCGCAAGCAGCAACCTCAGATGCGCCAACGGGACGTCTCGGGGATCTCCTTGCTCGAATACACGTAGCACGGCCGCTGGAAGGCTCCGTCAGCGAAACTCACATTCCCGAAGCGGTCTTGAACGGGACGCATAAGAAATACAGCAAGGAAGACCCGGATAGAAGGCGGCTAGCACGCGACGTCGAAGAGCAGAATGGAGGTGCTGGTGTCTACAATATAAATCTACGGGAATTTTACGATCTTGCAGACCCCGAATGGAACAACGACCGGATCCCCGAGTTTTTCCAGGGCAAGAATATCGCCGATTATGTGGATCCAGACATTGAGCAGAAACTGGCCGAGCTTGAAGCAGAGGAAGAGAGACTTACGACGGAAGGATACTACGACGAAAGTGAAGACATGGAGGACGAGGACGATGCGGAGATCCGCATGAAGGCCAATCTGATACGCAACAAGAAGACGCTCATGATGAACGAGGCGCGCATGAAGAAGAGCCTGAAGAACAAAGCCCAAATACCTCGGGCAAAGAAAACCCGCACGCTCGGGCAGATGGAGAAGCATTTCAACTCCATCGGGCTTGATGCGTCGGCGCCCACTGACCGAGCAAGAGCACAAATTCGCAACGCCAAGCCGGCTTCCGAAGCTGGTGGTGAAGCGATGGAACTCGATGGGCCTTCTGCAAGGCTTGCCAAATCTCTTTCCAGAACTCCCAAGACGAACAGACTCACTGATGGGTTAGGCGTGAGCGCCACGGGCATCACCGATCCAGTCAGGCAAGACAAGGCGCAACGTATGGCGAAGCTGAGTCAACGGAAAATGAATCGTATGGCCAGACAGGGCGAGGCAGACAGGCATGAGACTGCATCTCTGCCGGCGCACTTGCTCAAGGGCAAGAGAAAGATGGGCAGCACCCGATCGAGATGATCTGGTCAGGTAGTCCCGAGGGTTGACGATATCATGCTCATGCTTTCTTTCGGAGTTGAGATGTCCTCTGGCTCAGACATCCCGGGTTAGATCGTTGGCCATGGCATGAGACGGCACGGCGGCCTTGAGGTTCAGATAGAAAAGTTCATGATACCACAGGGCGGTTAGACGACTGAAATGCCCTACGTTTCCCACAATTGCAAAGACAATGCATTCATTCCTCTGGTCTTCCCTCTGGTCGTTAGTCCTTGGGCGGCACGCCCATTGACAAACCGTGCCAAACCCCGCTTCCCAGCCTTGCGCCAAAATCACGTCGAAGTCAATATTTGTCTGGTCTGTAACCACTTATCCTTAAGTTATTTGACGACTTCGAGGAAGACGCCTATACCAAGGTTGGCACAGACAATTCTGATTTGGTATCTATGAAGCTCACATCGACGTCATCGAAATCATCGCCGTTGCGAATGAGACTACGGTAATGTCCAAGGTTGCATCTGCAAAGGTCGAACGCCCACATGGCATTCCAATTTCTGGTGGCCCTACCCAACACCCTCCTCTACACCAGCGCAGAGCAGTCAGAATGACGGCCATCGATATCCAGCAGGCAACCCAGGAACTGGCCGATAGGTTGACAGGGCGTTCTAAGCTTCACGCTGTCTCCCCGGATCCCCGGATTCGCCAGATAAGAAGGCGATGGGAATCTGGGGCGACCGACGACAAAATCCTGTGATATTGACTACGCTGGCGAGTGTCGTGTCAGCCGCAGCTGAAATCTGACGTCCCACTAGGCACGCTTTGAGAACTCTGGTCCCAGCTAGCCATTCCGCCTTGATGACTCTGGTCCCAGCTAGCCATTTCACCTTGATGACTCTGGTCCCAGCTAGCCACTTCGCCTTTGGCTTCAGCACGACTGGCTCCCTGGCGGACAGATGCGTGATAACTTGCACGATGCACAAAATGGACCATGACCAGTTGCAGCTCTACCAAATCAGGGTCGATAACTGCATGTTCTGGACCCTTGGTACCCTTGTCGTAACCAGATTTTCGATCAGAGTCGTGCATTGCATCGCTTTGCTTTTGGAGCCATGCACCAGCAGCGGTCAGCTGTGTCTGGATTGACTTTCCACGAAGTCCAAGCAAGCAGCACTGCAAGAACGTGGTGCAGATATGTCAGAAAGCGCTTCATTTGAAGAGGCTCGTGACCTGGAAGCTCTGCTTTGCAGTGCTCGGACTGTGTATATAAAGGTTCTTCAGCCCTCCCTCAGCAGCCTCTACTCTCATTTTCGCAGTCAACCCACCAATCTACAAGCTGTACTAGGGAGCGAATAATTGGCCTCGGGTATTCCATTCCCAACACTTTGAACTATCATGTCTGCCTACGTGGATCAGGTCTACCGTGAGAAGGGCGGAGTGCGCTGGTTGTTGACCGATGAAGAGCGCAAACACATTGTCGAGCTCCTCGATACCAACGGTAAGGATCTTTCGTTTGCGCACACCAGTCTAGAGTTCATGGACTGTGTAATTGACTCCGACAGAATCCACTGTCTCCCACCTCAAGGGAACGAACATGACGATCGCTCGAATGACTTGTGTCAAGTGTGGCAAACGATCCGGACTGGACGACCTCGTTCACAATGCCGTCGAGGGAGGCATCCACAACAAAGAGTTTATGGTCGACGTGCTGGTGAATGGGCCCAAGGGCGCGAGTCCCCTGCATCACCTGGACTGCTCGCGATGCTCTGAACGATTCAAGCAGATGTGCACCTGGCACAACGATGAAGACTGCGGAAGCTGGGACTAGGCCGCCCGCCGCCTGTTCGTCCTGCATACTTGATCTTGCGCATGCAGGGCCGGGCCAGTGGCAGCCACGGGAAGCCAAGGAAGCCAAACATGCAGACTGTACCAGCTGGGTGCCAGCACACGACATAAATCGTTGGCGTTTCTCTAAACGCATTGTAGCAAGTCAAAGATGAGAACTCGAACTTAGTTGTCCCCCAGGGTCTCGGCCCTCCTGCAATGTGCCATCTCTGTTTGTTCAGCTGTGAGCTCGAAGTCCGACCCTGGCGAATCAACTTCTTCGGCCACAAAGTCTAGAATGGCAATTAGCCGAAGAATTTCGCACAACGCTGTCCTGTGATCCGTAAAGTATCTCGGGCTGGTGCATGAGCCACATCAGCATTATCACCTCTAAGTTTCTCTCTCAGCTAGCCACATTGTGCCATTCCTCTGGCCGAAAGTTCGGATCTGGATGAAGCAACGACTTTCGCACAGCTGAAAGTAGTGCAGTTTCGCCAAGGATCCCAGACCCGCTTGATCCAGGTCGCTCGAAATTGGGACCATCTACTCCGTACCTTCAGCTGTGTACCTTTTCTTGAACCGATACCTGGCCGTTCGCTACAGATAAATGCCCTTCTTGCCGACAACGCATCATGCATGTGTGTGGCAACTCGAGCGACATACAGCCGAGTCTCGACTCAAGAGGACGTGGGGCAAGGAAATGGGCTTCGGGCTAGACTGCACGTGCAGTTGAGGACAGGCTCGAAGCTCTAAATCGTGCAGTAAGCGGTGCAGAGAGTCGGGCCCAACGACCGCTCCGGAAAGAGCCAAGGAGTCGATGCACCCTGCAGTGTGTGCGCAATCCCATTTCCAACGGTTGGTTGGTCGTTGATGTGTTCGAGCTGTTCATAACGTTACCGCGGGTGAGTCAGGGAGTCAGCAAGAACTTCGAACGCTTCAACGAGGGCCAACGAGCGTCTGTGGTACAGCCAACAGCTTGCTACAAGAGGTCACCGCCGCAGTATTGATTGTTTGTGTCTATATTGCCTAAACCTGAGAACAGCCGATTCGGCAATTGGAAACGGCGAATTTGGCACGGGGAAAGCCGATAAACAGGAAAATGAACAGCCACGTGGGGATAACAGATCAGACGGAGAGCAGACATCAGGGTGCTTCTGAGAATGGCACCGGATCCTCGACGCTGGCGAATGGCGTTGGCAATACCAATGTACATCCATCAGGCACCCAAGGACGGCCATTCTTGCTGCTCCATTCCGCTGATTCAGAGGAGGCTTTGAAGCAAGCCATCTCGAACCATCACGCTTACGCAGGTCAACACCCTGGATCCTTATCTAATTTGGCATACACGTTGAGCGTTGACCGTCCCCATCGATCGCACCGAGCGTTTTCAATTGCGAAGTCAGGTACTACATCTTCCGCTTCGGTCCCTATCCAGGCACCCTCCTCACGACCTGGGGTTATCATGATTTTCACCGGTCAAGGTGCACAGTTTCCAAATATGGGAGCCGAGCTGATCCAACACAACGAAGCCTTTCGCACTGCATTCCGCAGGCTCGATCAAACCCTCCAGACGCTACCTGACGCCCCGCAATGGTCGTTGGAAAGCGAGATTCTGAAGCCACTGGAAAGCAGCACCTTGTCTCGCGCGATGATCTCGCAACCAGCAAACACAGCCCTGCAAATCGCCTTGGTCGATATGTGGGCTGCATTCGGCGTTGGTCCTGCTGCTGTTATCGGCCACTCATCGGGTGAGATTGCAGCCGCCTACGCTGCTAAACTGCTCTCTGCTGAGGAGGCCATCACTGCCGCCTACTACCGGGGTCAGATGATGGAGGAAGTGACCGTGCCTGGTGCAATGGCAGGCGTCGGCCTGAGCTGGAAAGACACTGAATCGTTCCTGCAGCACGGCGCGGTCCTCGCGTGCGAAAATTCTCCTACCAGCACCACCATCTCAGGCGATTTGGAAGCCGTGCAAAGCACCATCCGCGCAATCCACGAAGCCAACCCGAACACCATGGCAAGGCAATCCAAGGTCGACCGCGCTTATCATTCTCCGCACATGAAGACTGTGGGCGGTCGCTACTACCAACTGATCAAGGACCGTACCCTCGCCAAGCCCCTAAGGGACGAGGTACAATTCTTCTCAAGCGTGTTGGGAAAGAAGATTGACCTCCCAACCGACGCACAGTACTGGCAGATGAATCTGGAATCCCCCGTCCGATTCTATACGGCCCTCGCCAGAATGATCGAAGCCAGGACTGGCCAGACCGATGTCTTTCTCGAGGTTGGGCCTCAAGGCGCCCTAGCCTACCCTGTTCGACAAACTCTTGCCGAAGCAGGCATCAAAGCCTCATACATCGCCTCACTGGCCAGGAAACAAGACGCTCTCGAAGCGGTACTCTCTGCAATAGGCAATCTGTACGCCAATCACGTCCGGATTGATTGCACGCCCCTCTTTCCAGGCAGTCCCGAGCTTCTGACAGACTTGCCCGTGGACCGATAGCTCTATTCACGGAAGCTTCGAACTCAAAGGCACAACGATCCTCGACGTGAATAGAGTTAGGACTGGTGTGCAGCTCTCTGTGCTCGCGGACATTGGACGCATTATCGTCGTAGGGGGGCGACGAGGCTGAGTTAAAGGTCATACGGAGCCACAGAGATGATTAATCGGCACGGTTCATCAGAGGAGGTCATCATGTGCATCCGAGATGTCGTATGGGCCGACCGCTTCAACGCATGCGATGCAATCAACCCACCGGTTACCAAACCATTACCATCAATGCAGTGTCATCCACAACATGTCATCCACAACAAAAGGCAAGCCTGCGCGCTCATGGCCGACAGGGTTAGCCAACGGATCCCATGTTAATGGCAAAAAAGGATGGTTAAGACCCAAGAACGTTCCGCAGAGTCCACATGGGCAGCCAGATCTGTGCAAGGCGCTCTAGGAACATGTGCCGCAGTATTTGAATGAAGGAGACCGGAGGCCGACCAAGTATGAGGTCGTCAGCTTGAAGGAATGGAGGCTGAAAAGGTCGACGAGCTCCTGGACCACTTTCGTCTTCTGGAGTAGGCCGTCACGACGATGACCTTCACAAACGGTGCTATTCTTGATCGACGAAGCAATGGAGTGCCTGTCGGATGTGTGACTGACACAGCTTCCACGGATTGTTCCCTTTCACGGGTCTTCACTATCAGATTCCCTGTCACTGCCTTTTCATAGCCTCTTCACTTTCACTTGCGCCAGACCTTCCACTGCCTTCTGTCGCGAGTCTTCATATGTCGCGGCAGGTCTCGCACCTGTCTTCCTGCATGACACAGACCATCTACCCACCTACCGCGCAGTCTTCATCGATCAAGCCACATACAATCTTCTTTGACTTAGGTCAACGACCATGCCGACGGGTGATCCGATGGATTCTTCACCACCATTCATGCCTCGCGTCCGTGCCTACCTCAGATCCGAAGGCTTTCCAGCAGCAGAGTTCGATCTAGAGGCCGAAACCGAGGCTTTCTATGCACATATCCAGCGGATCGCGGCCAAAATGCCAAAACTGGTGGAAACACTTGACCATCTCCAAGCAGAACTAACAAAACCACTTTGTGACAGCTTCCAGTCCACCGAGTCTTACGCCTTCTTCAAGAACAAGTACAACACCTTCCTCGAAGACAAGTTGCTCGACATCTACCACGACAAGCCTCCTCAACTGTCTGCATTCAACTTGTTCCTCTGGACACTGCAATACGAGGCGAAACAGACCGCGGGCCTTCTTTCGGGGAGAGATGACCACGGCCCACTGCCGCCCACCTTCAGAAGCTGGGTGGCGGTGATGCTTTCCAATGTCATTGTCTTTCAACACCACAAGCTCATCATTGAAAAGGAGCAAGTCAAGAAATGGATCCTGGATATCTTCCCCACCATCGACGATGAAAGCATTGCGTATGGAGTGCCAGGGACGCTATTGCATCAGACATGGAAGTCTGTGTACGACCGGCTGCAAGACTTCAACCGCATCCTCACGTTCATGTCGGTTGGCCACTCCAACCTGATGGCTGAGGTCGAGCAGCAAGGAGGTGGAGAGCTCAGAAAGGACGGCCCACGGATGCCTGTCCACGCGGTGTTGGGTGAAGAAGTCACAAAAGTGGATCCGAAGATCGAAATACCCGACCTTGCTATTCCGGAGGATCTCGAAGCACCGCCTGCCGACATTGAATCCGAGGGGGACAGGTTTGCGTGGCTGCCTCTAAGAGTTGTGTCAACTAGTGGTGATGAACTTGGTTAGATGGTGTCTACTGGGTTGACAGGTTCCAGCAAGGCTGTTTTGTTGTGGGAGGAGTCTGGCACCTTGTCTGCGACTCCAGTTACCACCAATGCGGTTCAATGGATTGGACGCGGATACGGCTTTGCGCACTGCAAGCACAGCACGGCGTCAGCAGGGAGCAGGAACAGAACACATTGGAAAGCGAGATGAAAGTGCGCTGTGCGCTGCGAATAGCAAACGCAACGGCGTGCGCTTGTGTCTTTGTATCAAAACAGTGGAACTTGGAATGAACCGCACATTGCGTTTTACTCCTCAACACATCGATTGTGCCCACCCTTGGACCCCTCATCGTTCTCTTTTTCGTCCTGTTTGCTTCTGATACATAGTATTCCTCCGTGTTGCCCTAGCAGCAAACAGCCCGTATTCCTCCCCTTGAGACATTTATCCCCGTTCCCCAAAGAGCAGGGAAGGAGGAACAATCATCAGGGGCTTGCGCCGATTTGCACGTGCGCTACGGTTCCAGTCATCTGCCTGCCTCTTCTCGCACCACTAACCGGAAGGACGTCGCCCCGATCCATTAGCCCACCGACCTGGTCCCAGAGATCCAACCTACCAACGGTCCATAACTCCCTCGTTCCCGGGTCTCCGGGTGGAGATACTCCAGCTAGCCGTCGACGATTTCCCCAAACTCTCAAGAATCAACCACGCCGCAGATCAGTCACCAGCTGGACAGTCTCCGCGGCCATGTCAAGAACACCCTCGACCGCCACCAATCGTCCACAACCACCTCTGGGACTTCATGACCTTTGTACCCATGGACCTGCGCAAGGTCAGACGGGCAGTGGCAAAAGCCATCAACAAGATCGAGGCCATAAGAGACAAGCCTAGAACAGACCATCCAGGACTCGACATCACGGTGCAAGTGGGGGCCGCACTTTATGAGATCAAGTACGAGAACATCTTGGCCGGAGAGTGTGGGTTGTAGGAGTTGACTCTGGCACTGGAAATTGAATACGAAAGGAAATGGGGAGTGCACCGAGTCTACAGGGACTTGCTCGCAGTGTACCAAGGTAACCCTGAGCTACGGGCAAAAGCACTCCGAGATCTTGATGCACACGGCAAGATATTCGACTGGATCGACAGATTCTACGAACTGGAAGAGTCGCTGTATCCCGTCGAGGGCTACTAGAAAGAGTATGTAGGAAAATGACACTGCAGTGACTACACCCTGATTATCCGCGGTTGAACAGATCCCTTCTCCGAACCCCATGCACGACACCAAGCCATGGCGCAGCACAGATGGCGGAACACAAGAGAGCGCGCTCACCTAGACGACTTGACGCGCCAAAGAGCCCTCCAGCCAAGGCCACAAGGCGATCGAGGAGCACAGAGACAACGACGGCCTTTCTTCCGGCGAAGTGTCCCAGGAATCACACAAACCCACATTCAAACCCACACCAAAGAGGAGGCCTTCAATGCCCAGCTCAGGCGCGACATCAACACCATCCTCGCCATCACGTCACGGCTTACGGCGCTGACGCAGAGCCTGGCAACCCCCTGATGGAAGGCGACGTGCAGGACTTGGAGACGTTCGCTTCCTGCCTGGGCCCGCTCCGCTGGGAGGGTCTAGAAATGCCGACCGAGCTTCTCCTCGCGGCATGCGAGATGTCCGCCACAAGTGTCACTGAGGAGATGCGAGGGATAGACTCCAAGGCAGGGCCGTTAGAGGACATCATTTCAAACTGTAGGGCCGTTGGCATGGTGGCTGCGGGAAGGGCTGAGCAGTGGCCTACTTGGGCGGGGGCTGGGGGCAGTCAGTTGGCGGACGCTGGCAGACGGGCGCGCTTGCGGTTGGGACTTTCTGGCGGTCTCTGGTGCTGGGGGTTTGGGTTCGCTGACGACGGTAACGGTGATGGGGAAGGTGGCTAGGAGGGACTAGGTTTACTACGAAGAGGGTAGCGACGGCATAGTAGCAAAGAGAACAAAGACAATGAGTAGTGCTCAGCGGGACGATAGCATTCCGTGATTGACTAATTTGACCCTGGAGAGAAAACACTGGCGGCTAGTCCACGCACCTCTATTTATCAGACTGGACGGCAGATGTTTCACGTGCTAATTACCGTACCTTGCCATTCTGCGAAATTGAGGTACGAAACTGAGTGGGTTTCGAGGAATGGGTGTCATCACACCTTTTCAAGCCATTTATTATTTTATTTACGTCTTTCTAAAGCTCCAAAGTACCAAAGGTGCCGACAGTCCCCTGCCAAGACTCAGCCTTGCTGCCACCATCAGCTACGCCTCCCCAGCCATCCAGTAGTCTCTGAGGTGTCTAGGACGACATCTTCGGCGAGTTTCCTGGGAACAGGTCGTCAGAGAGGACATGTCGGCTCGTGGTAGAAGCGTCAGGAGCATATCCGCGCCATCGGACCTGATAGCGACGCTCTGACGTGAAGATAACGCGGCCGCCAAGCACTGGGATGGCTCGTCGCCCTGGCGTCGTCCCCGGCGCCGTGGACGATAACGTGCACATTGTCCTGTCTCTATACATGAAGACATCTCTTCCCCTTCCCGCACCCTGGATGTTCCTCTGACCCTGAAAGAACCGCGAGCAAGACTGTCCAACGCCCTCTAAGACCTCTTTCAACGCAATCAGGTACAGCGTGCCTCGAGCCCAAGCATCACTTCCCAGCCCGGAACGACAACACCGCGCCGCAATGGCCACTGGACATGAGGAGGAGGCGACCCAGTCCACTGCTGACGAGCCCGATGGTCAAACAGGAGAACGTCAAGCACAGGACTTTCCCGGACTGAGGGAGCTTACCGAGTCCGTCAAGATCCTGCTCCCCCTGGCAGGCGAAGCTGTGTCCTTGGGGCGAAAAGTCCGGGCTCTTACCAAGAGATTCCGCACAGCAATGAGACTTGTTCGACCGCTCGTCATTGCTCCGTTCATAGAAGAAGATCTCCGTATGGGCATGCTCGGCATGGCCCTCGAAACTCTCATCCCCGAAAGCAGGGCTTTCTTCAACAAGTTGATAGAATATCGGCAGAAAGCGAATCAAGGCATGGAAATCTACCTCAGCATCAGTACATCTGACCTTGAAGACTTGATGCGCCAAGACATAGACGGCACCATCCTCTTGGCAACCGCTGTCGTCGACGTGTTCGACAGGACTCATGGGAAGCTTAAGGCAGATGTTGATGTCTTCAACGAGCTTTTCGCCGATGTGCAGTTATGGGCAGCTTTCCGTCGTGAGCAGATTCAAACGAGAGCCCGAGATGCGGCGAGAATGGCGATGAACGGTCAGTGATCGACAATTACAACGAAGATGAAATTGGACGGTAGTACTTCTGGAGCATCACAAGGCGGGTCATGCTCTGGCCACTGGGCAACCAGGAGGAAGAAGATAGGGGTGCTGAAGAGCGAGCAAGGAGCACATACCGCCTCTGCTTGTGAAAGACTGGCCCTGCCATCAGAGGGGAACCGTGGGCACACAATCAGGACGAGTCGAAGCTGGCTTTATGACCTCGAGGGCAAGCAGCCTAAAGGCACCAGAGCAGGAACGACCAAAGCTTCGGTGCCCACGGCTTGGGAGTATAAGCAAGGACGGGCATCGAGTTCTCTTGCACTGGGCTTTCTTCAGTTCTGATTCAGTAGTTAAAGATCAGCTGGCGGCGCTCAAGTGAACTTTTGCAGAGTCATAGCTAAACTGTCCGTGCGGACTCTCAGTCCTCTTTCTGCCACATCAAGTTTGCTTCTCAAAGTCATGAACTTCTCATTGAGATAAATCTCATTGTCTCCTTCCACGACCATCGCTTTCTTTCCTCAATCGATCACGCACGTCTTCATCGCTCGCCCAATCATCTTGTTGATACCCGGTAAAGACTTCGCGCTCGATGATCTGGTCACCTCCACCTCCTCCTCTCTGCAGATAACTAACGGCCTCAATTCAGCTCTGGTTCAGTCTCTCCAAGAGTACAAGGGTGCCCCTGCTCTAAGTTTTTTCACGACTCTCAGAATGCCGAAGCGCAAGCTCCGTTCGAACACCAATGAAGCAGCGTCGAACAAAAGACAAGCGACAGACATGGCGACAATTGAGCCACTGAACACGAAGTCGGATTCACCCGAAGTAACTCCTACCAGCGAAGCCACGTCACGGAAGATTGCTAAATGCTTGTCATTGACGCAGGACCGTCTTAATATGGATACTACAGACTTCATGGGATTGCTTCCTGCGGCTGAGAGAGAATATGCGGAGAAGGTACTCAGGGTTCACAAGGTGTACCATAAAGCTGCTCAAGTCCTCCTTCCTTTTGCTGCCGAAGCCCTAGCTATTGTGGATGAAATAGAGCGCATCGACCGTGTCATCCACAAGGCGTACTTCATCTACCAGACCAGCTTCGAGAAGACAGAAAACAGAGTCGTCGAGCGACGTTTCGTGGAAGCGGCTTTGAAGGCTCCAGAGAAAGACCTTTCTTTTTTGTTGAGCAAGAAGCGGGCCCTCCGCAGGGATACAACGGATACAGTCGACAGCGTTACTCAAGTGAAGGATGATATCGCGGACATCTTGGAAGAGGAGGGTGGAGCCAAGAAAGAGTTGTTAAGTTTGCAAGAGCTCGTCTCGGCATTCTTTACAGCGGAAGGAATGTTGAATTGCCGAGTCAAGACGTTCAACACGGATAGGGAAGTACTTGCAGATGCCTCACCGACCTTCGCCTGGGTGCGAACTCTGGATCACCTCAACTACGGCGGTTAGGAGCTTTTAAAAGGTGGCAGTAGTGGGCTTCATTGGTGTGACCGCTGTGCGATGCCGCGTGGCCTGCGCAGAAGCAACTAGCTTGGTGTATCTCCTGATCGCCAACATTGAGGAGATGGTTAAGGCGAATTGGTCAAACATTGAGAGTCCCCTGCCAATGACAGTATTGGAGGCCACCGGCCGTGGGCACGCAATTGGGGCTTCGGGAGGACTCGACTGAACAGAGCTTGCGTGGTCTTCTGCTTATGGGTAGCGGCATTCTACCAATGAGCAATGATTGTCAGCCTTGTTTAGGAGACGACAAGAAGCATGCAAAGTGTTCATGCAAAGTGTTCATGCAAGGTGTTCATGCAAAGGACAACATACCATAATGAGTCAATACCGACGTCTTTCTCGTCTGTCAGTTGCTTCAATCACTTGATTGAAGGGCAAATCCATCTGCTATTCTGCACGTGGTCGGTGAGCCCTTAGCGCCTCCTGGATATATATTTCTGCACCACTGTAACTGCAACCTCTTGGTCCGACGATTTTGAGGGTTCCATCCTGTCTTTTGACGGTCCATGCAATTTTATTACATAATTCATGAACCGCTATTGTCCAAGCCAGGCAACAAGAAGGGCATAATACTTACTGGAAGGACTGTCCACGACCAACAGTGAGCGCTCACAAGGCGAACGCCGACGCGTAGATTTCTTGTTACTCTGCAGACTGGTCAAGACATACCCATCCTCAGCGTCAGATGCGAAACGCTGACTTACCAAGAGTTCCGGTTCCGTAGTCATCCCATCGCTCGCTATACAAGCAGTGTAAGATGCCCCTGCAAAGCGTGCCAGAAGAAACGGTCATGGACCAGGATCGTGCGGAAGAAAGCAGCTCGGAAACGCAGCAAACACCTTCCCCTGCAAGCCCTACCGACAGCGATATAAATATCTCGGAGGACGACCTCACCATGGGTGGCTCGTGGGGCTTGCCTTTGAGGTGGAGTTTGGATGCAGTGATTGCCGCCACTGAACACTGCGCTGCAGAATACATCAGAAAGAAGCATGAAGCCCACATTATCATCAACCGCGCCACACGCACGAACACCCACATGGGAGTTGATGACAAACTCGAACTGTTGAGCTGTGCACAATTATCTTGGAGCAAGCGAGACAACTGGAGCCAGCCTTCAACCGGGACAAGTCGTCATCAAAACCGCAGCAAGACATATCAGAGCCTTTGTAAGAGTGAGACGACAATCGGACGCTGCAGACCCCGCAAACAACAATGAACTACCTGCACATCCCATCGAGTGGGCCGACATGGACTCATCCCGTCTGATTGCAGGTCTGGCGAGCTTTCAAAGACAAAAGAGAGATCTCCGTAGATTTGCCGAGAACGTTAACAGTCTGATGGAACATGCGCTTTCGACTCTTGGAGTCGATGGTGCACAAGCTGAGGATAGTGCACGTGCCGGTGGTGCTTGAGTTTAGCAGGCGCGATCGAGCATGGGCACCTACTGTACTTCACATCGGCGGAGCTGGAAACCAACGAGCGGGAGAGCTACCAGAATAGTCCTAAAACACTGAGTGGTGAGGGCAGCGGTTGATCTTGGTCTATGAGGCTGGGACTTGAAGACAAAGGCTTGATGAGGTCGTTCATCTATCAGTGAAGGGATCATGAAGCTCAGTCATCCACCAGTGAGAGCGTAATGAAGCTTCGTTCATCTCTGTAACAGAGAGAGACGCGCTTGCCAGCTGAACAGTCGTCAAACTAGCTGTCGGCTAATTGCGGAGATTGCGGCCTCTAATTGGCTGGGAAGGCGGAGTTCTTCGCGTGGTGGGGGAGCACCCGTTCTTTCCTGCCGTTGGGGAATGAGCTTTCGTGTTGACAGCCCAGTCAAAGTCAATTGACTCTTCCAATACACGCCGGCCATCGAATCGGTCTTCAATTCTGCTTGCACCTTCTGTCCACTTCCTGCCCCAGCGCATCCTGTAGTCCTGCTGTTGCCTGATGCATGCGTCGAGATGACCGACACCAAGGATCACGCTCAGCAGGCCCCACCCGAATCAAGTCCGCAACTCAGTCATGTTGCGCGCCAACCATCATGGACGGGCTCTGTGGCCGAGAGTCCGACTAATCAATCACCTATGCACAGTCGCAAGAGGTCTGCCGATCACCTGCCTTCGGAGCCTCACGTGTCGCGCAAAGGACGGGCCTGTCTCGCCTGCCGCAAATTGAAGGTCAAGTGCGACAGTCTCGAGCGGGGCGACGCCGGATGCTCCAGATGTCAACGCCTTGGTCTGGACTGCATTACTTCGAAGCGCATGAGGGTAAGTCTGGACGACGATGGCGAAAATCCACATCCGTCGATAGTCCGCCTGGACAGAGCCGTCGAGGACATCCTCTCGCGGCTGAAGATGCCCGCCTTGGAGTCCTACTCTCGGACGCATCCATCTCAACATTTACAGCCTCCTCCCCCGATGCTGGCGGTCCCTGTGCCCGCGGACTCGAATGCGCAAACAACGCGGGAAAATTCCCGGGAGCCGATGAACCAAGACGATGCCCATGAAGTCGCCCCGGCACCGATGGGCAGCTTATTCGAAGTCACCCAGCTCAACACGTTACGAAGCCGTCTAAAGTACGGTGATCCGGCACGGCGCAACTCGAAGAAGAACATGGAAAACGACCTGGTTTCTATGGGCATCATCTCCGTGGAAGAAGCGGAAGATATGTTTGACCTATTCAAGAGATCCCTCTCCCGCTATCTGTTCGACGCGACAGTGCACGAATCCCGCAGTTTACTCTCCGTTCGCGAATCGTCGACATTGTTCTTCACAGCCATCATCACAGTCACATCGTTGCATATCCCCGGAAAGGAGAAAATCCACGCCACGGCACATAAACAGCTCCGCGACTTGATTGCTGCCTCCTTCTTTGATCGATTCCATACCCTCGAAGATATTCGCGCGCTGTGTATCGCGGCCTTCTGGCTCCCCGATTTAAGCTGGAAACTGTCCGGCCACTGTGTGCGCATTGCCACCGAGTTGAACCTACACCAAGCATTCTTCAAGGCGCTGTACTCGCAGAAACAATCCCCGTCTGAACGAGAACATGCCTTTGAACGCGCGCGACTGTGGTATCTGCTATACGTGCTCGACCATCACTTCAGCATCGCGTATGGACGGCCGCCCGTGACGGCTGAACTGCAAGCCATCAAAGAATATAATGTATTCCTCAACGCGCCGGAATGCACGCCCTCAGACCGCCGGGTATTGTCTCAGGTGACATTGTTCATCATCCTGAGCAAAGCGTACAACCACTTTGGACTGGAAGCCGAACGATTGATGGACGGAGACGACGTTACGCTATTGACGCATCAGCGTTTCATCGAGGACCTGGATCGCTGGAGATACCAATTTCGCCATGCCTTGAACAGAGATGCCCACGTGGGAGACTATCCTGCCGTCGGTAAGCTACAGACCACCCCACCTAACCATCCTTTTCTGGCTCTTTATACTTCTATCTCGGCCCTTCTAACACGGGCGATGTATGCAGGCGTGGAGCTACATTACCACTTTGCCTCCATGATGCTTAACTCTCTTGCTCTCCGAGGTCGCTCCCTCTTCACAATCTCTAGCACCAATACACTTCCTTCGGCTCTCCGGCCCCTCGCCAGCCACGCAATCTCCTCAGCGCATCAGATCCTGACCATCGTCTTGGAAGAGCCCTTCATCCGCGATAGCATGGTCGGCGTGCCTCTCTATCTCCACACGGTGATCGCCTTTGCCGTCGTGTTTCTCATCAAGATGAGCAGTCGCTGGACAGGCATCGGCGTGACCATCGACGCGGAGACGAAGACGAAACCCCTGATCGAGGGCGTGATTGCGCTCTTCCGGAGCTGCCGCGCGGGCAAGGGTCACATTTTATACGCCATGGCAGATGGGTTCGAGCGGCTGTTGAAACGCAACATGGGCAGACCGGGCGAGAACGGTATGGGCGCCGGATACGGATCACTCGACGCTTCGGCAGCGAGTATGCGGCAGAATGGAGGGAGAGAGACCCCCTATTCGGCACAGCATCCAACTGCACAGGAATACTCCCGACCACCGGAGATATATGCCAGTTCGAGCCGGACCAACACGCCGAATCTCCTGCATCCGCAGCAAACCACGGCGAGTCCCACGGCGTTTACGCCCACGGGCTCCGGAGCGCAGCAGCAACAGCAACCCTCCAATGGGGCCGGATTCGACCCTTATGCGCTGTCACCTCACTCACAGCCAACTTCGGCGGGCACGTTCGGCGGCTGGCAGACGGAAGACGACATGCTGTGGAGCATGGGCATGGGGTATGACTTGTTGGCAACGGCGCCAGATGTCAATGCCCATGGGTTGGGCGCGTTTGTAGGGTGGCCGGGAGGGAGCATTGAAAGCGGTGGTGGAGGCTACTCTCAGTTATAGAGAGCGTATTGACTAGCTGGATTCATGGAATGTCAGATCATGCCAGGTAAATAATTGAAGTAGGATCAGCACTTGGAGTCAGACCAAGCCGAAGCGGGAAAAGTGGATGATGAAATCGGGATACTGTAGCGGATTTTCAGGCTTGGTACCTAGGTACGCAAGCAGTTCATGAACACCGCTTGCTGTCTGAAAGGCAGGGCGGCATAACCATCATGGACTCCTAGTGGAGCACATGGCAGCGATGCTAATGATCTCGACTCAACGGTTTACGCGGACATCATCTCTTCTCAGGTACGTCTGCGGCTCCCCTGGCTTCTCGCCGCCGCCTGTCCTTTGCCTCGAACAGTTGGATGAGGACATCCTAGGGCCCTACACTTTCAGTTCTTTCTAGCCCTTATCTGGCGGTCATATGCGACCCTGTCTCTGCATCAAGCTGAGGCGGACCGAACTGGATGGAGCTTGCGGCGCGTAGGCGAGCGGACTGGGCTCTCTGCTTGCGAGGAGCATATGTCTTCGTGCCGCTGCATGTCAAGCATGCTTATTGCTCAGGTCAGACATGGCATCGTGGCTGAGATGCATGGATCGGATCAATCAAAGTCAGACCGCGGCAAATTCGTCGAATATGTGCCCAGACGCAGTAGCGCTGATGTGGAGCGAAAAGCTCATGGCACGGGCATTATGTTGACCTCTCCGTCTTCGCATGTATCTTTGGTGTAGGCGACTCTGAAGTCTCTGGCGAGTATCTCTCAGACAGGTCTTTGTCCATGGAGAGCCGGTAACAGTGAAGCATTCAAAACATGCTTGCGCAATCCCTCATACTGGCAGTTCTGCATTCCGCCGACCACTCGAGATCTTTTGGAGGGCCATTTGTATGTAAGGACCAACGACGGGGATATTGCCGGCGAAAGATGCGATCGTAGCGAAGAAGTCCCCAAAGAGGACGAAGATGCCGTAGAGCTCAACCAGGAAGCCAGTGAGAGGCCACCGTATCAGGATAAGGAGAATTCCGGCGATAAAGGCAGCCGTGCCCTTGAGTTTTTGGCGTCGCGCGAAGAAGACAAACGTCTTCTGGATTCCGATAATGAGGGTAAGGCCGATCAGGAACAGAATCTGGAGCATGTCAGTCAGGATTCACTTGCAAGTTTCAGGGTTTCACTGGGCGCATACATTTCCCATTGCCAACATGGAGCGATCAAAGAACATGAGAACTCCCCCGAACAAGAACAGTCCGCCTCCGGAGCAGAAAGCCACACCAATCTTCTGCATATCTGTCAACCACATGCTGGGCATCTTGAGCTACTTGAGAGTGGTCGAGGAGGAGTTAGGGTGAACGGGAGGACAAGGACCGGTCGTGGATTGTTGAAATACGAAGCGCGTTGGGATGAGGAAATGCGCTCTTTAGATTGCTGCCTTGGAACCCGTAGTTGCCACGGTGGAAGCTGGCTTGATATTATTGAACTGGCCCTAATTGGAGCGAGGGGATGAATGCAAAGTGAGTTGCGATGCGCGTCGGGCGTGGGCTACGGAAGCCTCGTTCCGCTACGTGTTCCTGTCGATTCGCCGATGAGGGTTACGTTGCGCTTCCCCAAATACCTGTGACGCAGGCGGTCGTCAATAAGTGCACAGTGAAATCACGTTCTCTACCTGCATGCGCTTGAGACAACCCACAATGCCGTTCTCAAGAGACCTGAGTCTCCGTTGACAGGACCTCCGGTCGAAGTGGAATGAAACTTCCTCCGTCGCACATCCGGTCCTAGCACAAATGAGACGAGCCAGTATGTCGTGGCTTTGGAAGGTGAGCACGAGGACAACAGCATCAATTGCAATTCAACTGACAGCCTCCTCTAGGGAGATGCAAATTCCCCAGCCTCGTTCGAGAAGGCGCTCTCAAAGCTCGCATCCCAGATCTCCGCCGCGAACCTCGCACTCGACACCAGTCGCAGTCGCGGCCGTCGAGTCAAAGCCCTATGGACGCTCTACACCACACTCACGTATCTCCTCTATACCCTTCTTGTCGTCCTTGTCCTCGGGCCCCAGAATTGGAACCCATATCACTATGCCGGTCTCGTTGGTGCACCGGTCCTCATTTATGGAATTCGAAAGCTCATCGCTGCTCTCTTCGACTGGAGGGCAGGCCGGCAGCAAGCATATCTAGAACATCTACAGAAGCAAAGGGAGCAGAAGATTGCCGATCTCAAAAAAGCAACGAAGTACGATAGCACTGAGGAGCTCCTGCGGAAATATGGCGGCGCTCCGCCCAGCAAGACACCATCGAGACAGCCACAACAGGGTACGAAGCGGAAGGTCAATACTCCCTCTGACCAACCGCCTCAGCAAAGGACTGGAATTGCTCCTCCTCCTACAGCCAACATCCCAGGCAGAAATATGCCAACCCCGCTTCCTCATCAATCTAATGGAAAGACCAGCAGACCTTCTACGCCTCCGACCCCCAACACATCTTCCGTTATGGTAGACGCAATGGCAACTAGTCCCACACATATCACTCCCGACTCGCCAGGATTTGCGCCAAATGCGTTCTCAGAAATCCCACCGCAGACGAGCACAACCTATCAACAGACGCCTCATTGGTACGATAGGATCCTCGACGTACTGCTTGGCGAGGATGAGACAGCGGCCAAGAACAGGTTGGTCTTGCTGTGTTCCAGGTGCCGCCTGGTCAATGGTCAAGCGCCTCCTGGTATCAGATCCCCAGAAGAACTGGGCCGCTGGAGATGCAGTGGTTGCGGTGCCTGGAATGGCGTGGAGAATGAAGGGATGAAAGTGGTCAAGGAAATCACCGGAGCGTCGAAACCCGACTCAGGCGAAGGCTGGGAGAAAGTCCCTGGGCCTTCTGAGATTCAGGAAGAGCCTACCGACGAAGTACCTGCAGGCGTGGAAGGAACCACGGGACTCGAGAGAGCAGATGGGAGGGGTATGACCAAGCGAGTTACTCGCAGCGCCGGTCGGAAGAGCTCTTTCGAGTCACTCGAATGAATAAGATCTGTGATGAAGGCTTCATTGAGCGCGGCATCCTCCAGCCGTGCCATACTGTCAACGGTAGCAGCAATAGGGGCACACCGCGTCCTCCTCGCTCCCATTGAATAATCACGTGATAGGTTTTGCCAAGATTTGCAAGGCTCAAGTTCTTCGACTTTCACTCTTCAATATTTCTCCTCCAGCAGCCGCAATGACCTTGACCAATCCTTCAAATTTGCCAAAATGTCCATCTTCACCGTACGCCCTGCGGGTACGGATAAAGATCCGTTTAGGGTCCGGTTGACCGCAGTGTCCATGCTCAGCCTCAAGTTGAAGTCGGGCGATGTCTGTGAAATCAAGGCCGGGGAAGAATCCAACGGTAAGCGTAAATTGGCCGTTGCCTGGGAAGGCTTAGGGCTCGGCCTTAAAGACACCATCGTCCAAACGTCCAAACTTCTCCAACAAGCTTACGGATTCAAGCTCGGCGACAAGATCACAATTTCTCGCTCTTCACGCCCCATCGATGAGGCTGGGGTGGTGACAGTTTGCAGAGTGGACCCTCTGCTAAATGACCAAGAAATGCGCTTCTGGAGCAAGCATATTGCATCTAGCATTCCACCGGCTGGCGATTATCTTGTGATATCGCAGAGGCTTCGGCTCAGCGACGCCGTCGAATTTGTCGTAAAAGATGTAGGAGTCCATGATGCCATGATCGCTGGGGTAACGCCGACCACAACTTTCCGCGTTGTCGCGAACCATGGACACGGGGACATCATCAATATCGAGCTCAAAGCAGAGCGCCTGGGAGGTATCGAGACTCAGATCCAGGAGTTACAGGCTATAATCAACAGGGTATTACGGCCATTGGTGAGACGGGTTTGGTCCACATATGAGCCGGTGCAAGGTATTCTCTTATATGGCGCGAAAGGCACTGGTAAGACGGCCTTGATCGAAGCTCTTTCCGAATCAGGTTGGCCCTCCATTATAACTTGGAAACCGGGAATGCAGGTCGGTTCGTCGAAGGATCCTTGTTTAGTAATTGTGCCATCAGAGTACCTGCTTGCCAAAGCGGGGGCTTCAGGAGCATCGACAGCGATCTACGAACTCGAGTCCATGTTTAAACGAAGCATAGGGAGCCCCGTCCTGGTTATAGCCGAAGCTCGCCATCCGAATGATATTGACGAACGGCTACGGACAGAGGGCAAGTTCGCCGCCGAGGTCGAGTTGCCCATCCCTTCAGCTCCTCAGAGAAAGGACATCCTTTTGGCCCTGCGAGGTGCGGCGGGTTTCCCCACAGATGAACAATTACAAGAGCTGTCAGAAAGAACCCATGGCTACGTGGGCGTTGACCTCAGGCGCCTTCTACGTGTGACGCTTGAGCTGGTAAGGGACAGATTGTCGCCATATGGAGGGGAGGAGGATGGTGGAGTTCCTACGCCAGCCATCGAGTCCGCTGATCTGGACATCGCTCTGCAGCGCGTAAGGCCTTCTGCCTTGCAAGAAATCTTCCTCGAGACACCTAATGTTCGATGGACCGACATCGGCGGCCAACACGAAGTCAAACGCCAGCTGCAGAACGCTATTGAACGACCACTGAAGTTCGCCGACCGCATGAAGAAGCTCCGATTGAGGCCGAAGAAGGGCATGCTCCTGTACGGCCCGCCCGGCTGCTCGAAAACGTTACTGGTCCGAGCACTAGCTACTGAAGCCGGTCTCAACTTCCTGGCTGTCAAAGGCGCAGAGTTGATCTCAATGTATGTCGGAGAGAGCGAGAGAGCCACCCGGGAGGTCTTCCGGAAGGCCAGAGCGGCAAGTCCCAGCATCATCTTCTTCGACGAAATCGACGCAATTGCCTCGCGTGGAAGAAGTGGCAGCGATTTAAATGTCTTGACCACGTTATTGAATGAAATGGATGGCTTCGAGGAGCTGAGAAACGTGTTTGTGGTCGCAGCGACCAACAAGCCACAACAGATCGACCCAGCATTGATGCGCCCTGGGAGATTCGACAGTGTCGTCTATATAGGCCCGCCGGACCATGAGGCAAGAAAGGAGATCCTCAAGAAGCAGCTTGATGGAGGGCTCTACAAGAGCGAAACTGGTCTAGAATCGGATGTGGAAGAATTCGGGAAATGGACAGAAGGATTCTCGGGAGCCGAAGTCGTTGCCATCTGTCAAGCTGCCGGAGATGTGGCGTTTGATGAGAATCGCGAGACCATCTGCCTCGAGGACATCCGCACAGCTGTCGCCAACACGCCAAAGAGCATCACTCATGAAATGTTGGAGGAGTTCGACACATGGAACGCAGCACGAATGGCACGCTGAACTGGCAACCTCCGCCCCATGGAAGGGAATTTCCCATGAATCCACGAGACGAATATCTGCATCCTCGAGTCCTAAACACCGCTATACGTCGCTATTCGGCCTTCCGCCACTCTGATGGGCCAAGTCTCGTACGGTCTTCCACACGAACTGCTGCTCCCAGGGATTGACCACCTCATTATCATTGCCCAGTCCACCTTCATCCTTCGGCCTGTAATCAACCCTGCCGTCACCCATGAGGAATCTCAGGTATACGATAGCACCGCGATCCTCGTACTTGCGACTGAGGGCCTTGTCTCGATACGTGTCTAGCTCAACAGTCTTCAAGTCAATGTCCCCGGACCCAGCCGCAGACATTTCTCGGGCTATTTGGCGGCAACTGGCGTGTGATCCAGCAATACGCAACGCTTCAGGCACTTTCTCCCCTCGAACAGCCCGCTCAGCGAGCCCACAAACCACGCGAGCAATATCGCCTATGTCCGTATAGCTGCTGCTCTGATCCAAACTGCCAATAGCCTGGTATACGCCCTTCGAGGTATGGAACCCGTACCACGGACCGATCCCACTATGCAAGAAGAGCCCGACAAACAGTCTACACATCTGAAAGTCTGCCTCTTGCTGTACCTGTACCTTCTTGGCCAGCTCGTAATGGCGCTTCTTCCCATCCCACTCGGGGATATCAAAGCCATGCAGCGTATGGTCGACACCAAACTCGGACGGAAAATACAGCTTGACCGACGTTTTTGGCAGCGCGCGCGCAAGTTGATCCCGGACAGAGGCTCCCACCGTTGAAATCCTAACGAACATTTATCAGTCTTAATGTCCAGGTCGGCACCGTTGCTTGCTTGCTATTCCGGGAGAACTCACGCGTTGACGAGGACATCAACGCCGTCTAGTGCCATGATCAAGTCATTCTCGTCGCACTCGTCGTCGATTATCCGGATCTCCGCGTCCAGCTTCGTCCATCTCTCTGTGCTTGGGGTGTGTCCACGAGCAAGCGCCACGACTCCTGAGAGTCTGTCTCGCAGTCCTGGCGAGAGGAAAGTGTCTGTCAGGCGCGTGCCCAGGCCCCCTGTTGCGCCTGCCACCGCGATGACTGGTTTGCCTGGAGAGGGTACGAATGGCTTTTCCATAGTTTTCAACTACTATTGTTTCGGTCGCTACCGTGCTTTTGCTGGACAGGATCTCCGTCTAGACCTATGCTTACATATGGCACAAGCACCAAGGCTTCAGGCAGCAAAGTCACAGGGCGGAGCGTCCGAGCTGAGTTACAGTACATGCTGGGTTTGCCCTAACGGCCTAGGCGCCCGAGGCCACTAGCTACTACGGTGCCCTGTCGAGTAGCACCTCAAAAAGGTGATCTAAAGGTCTCGGATGTAGCTACCCGAAGACTGCAGTTCTTTCAAGAACTGTCAGCAGGCTCCCTCGTATTGCCAGAGCTCGAGCGACGCCTCAGTTTCAGCAGGTGACATTGGCGCGGAATATGATTTGTGTGTACCTTGTACGGAGTGAGAAGGGAATAATGATTCGTAACCAAGCGGCAAGGACGCGGTGAATCCTGCTGGTGTTCCAGCCTCCTGGATTGGTCCTTTCATTAATTACGTCATGGTAAGAGCTTACGGCATGTACTCGCATGGATGCAGCGAACAAAGTTACCTGTAGGTACTTGGTATGTAACTCGTACTCTGTGCAGCGTACCTCGTACGAACACTCCGCCAGCCCCGCCAAGGTGTTTGAAGGAGCTGTGACTCTCTTCCCAACTCGAAGCGGCGACGCTGAGACGGCAATGCTCTGGCCCAGAGCTAGACCTGCATGACATCCAGAATAGCAGCAGGCAACAATCTGTATTTTTCTGAGCTCTCGGCCGATGATTTGCAAAGTACATGCGATATACCGGAGATACTAGGTAGTAGTCGCGGGTGTTCCTGCTTTCTCGTGGACAAGCCTTCCCTTTCTGGAATGCAAATTTCTGCATTGACCTTACTGAGCCGCCGTTTGAAGAAGCCCGTCTACTCCTTCCAGCGCCCGGAAGCGTCAGACTACTCGCATCGACACAAAATAGGTGCACAGCATTGACATCGATGATAGAATCCGACATGCTTATCCCCTGACTCACTGCGACTTTGTTGGCTGATGATGTCAAGCCTGCATGTGGCAGCGGTAAAAGTTGGCTGCAACCTGGGGCTCGGCAGGCTCACGTTTCGCCAGTGGCGGCCCAGGGGTGCCCACCATGCCGATCGGGGGGCCCAACATGTGCTGTCGATCGCTAACGGCTAGCCCAAAGAGCCCACCGCTACTCGCCTATCGGCAGCCGACCGCGCGTCTTGTTGCCACACCCACGTTTCGTTGCGCCCCTCCGCAGGAGCAGAGTGCTGTGGCGCCAAACCATCCATCTTGTCGATGAGTGTGAAGCATGATCAACCCAGCTGCTGCTAGGCAAGTCGCGGATTGACCATTCTGAGCCCGTTCGGACATGGCACAGATTCTATTCTACAACGCAGTCACTCTACACGGCCGACACGACCATACCCTGCGCCGTCTTGCTTGGGATCGCACCAGCTCCCTCGAAGCCGGGACTGTGTTGGGAACTATGAGTTGAGACCTTCGACGCCGCTACCCGAAGCAAAAGAGAGAGAGAGATGAAATTACGCATATGAGACTCGCGATGACGACTTAAGGACAACAGTTTTTGATTGAAGGGACCCCGCAAACGTAGAGTTAGACTTCCCAAAACCTGTTCTTGGGCCTGGCTTGCGGCGGTGCGTCAAGGGTCAAGCCTCACGAGCACCCACTGTTACGCCACTAACGGACCGAAAGTCTCGCTTCACTTTTCAGCCACGGCGCACAGCAGTCCTCCACTTCTCCGAGTCTCCCGAGCACTGGAAAACTACCGAGTCTTCAAACGCCGGTCACGGTTGGCCTCTGCGAAATCTGTCACTTCTTGTCGAAGTTGCACGAGGCGGAGGTCGGTGTAGCTGACAGCCTCTGCCGTCGGATAAGACTGTCAGCATATCCGCCTGAAAGGTGAGCAGGCAGGCTTCAATCCCGTGATGGGCGAGGCACTGACATCTACACGTCTATTGGCTGTGCCACCGCTGCGTGAGTCCAGGGACCCCTGCTCAACCCAAGTTTCAGGCATGGCATTTCCCTGTCAAGAAACCTTCTTTTCTCTCATGCTATGCGGACGATTGCCCATCACCACTCGATCACCAATCCGTGGTGCCTCAGAACCCTGCCTGTCCAACCACCTCCTCATTGATGCTTCCTCTCATTCGATGGAGCGACCTTTCGATCATCTCCGGACTCCGCAACGTGAGAACTGTGGCGCCAACTGCCTCATTGCGGCTGACCTGGACTGGTTCAGACAATAATGTCATTGCGTCAGAGCGGTTGGTGGCAGCTCTCTGAGGAAGGAATGTGGCGCAGGGACAAGGAGCTCTCAGGAGCTCTCTCCATACCAAGGCATTGTTGAGCGATGACGTCGAGAGCTTTCCATTGTACGTGTACGGGGTACTTGACGAGATGCTTCTCCCTCATCCAGCGCGACTCTCTTTTCTGGTTCCTTCATGTCCATCCAAACAATAATTTGTACCCATATTGTATAACAGTTTATCCCCAAACGGAACAAAATACCTCGCGGAGCTGAAACTGACAGCAGACGCGACCAACCCATGAAATCTTACCTTTGAATGACCAGCAACCAGCACCGACTATCATCGGCTTCATACGCTTACTATTCCTTTCCGCCTACTCCGAGTCGGGAATCTCGTTCGTCGAAGCAGTCGACTCCAGAAACCGTCCGGAGCTACAGAAGCAAGATGCCGTCTCCAGCAGCAGGTAGAGCTACCAACGCTCCCGAAACCCCCACGAAGACCGGCAAGAGCCCCGCTTCGTCGTCTACTTCCAAGCTGACCGGTGAAGGTGGTACTCCCGGTCGCAAACCCCCCAAGCTGGGCTCCTCGAAAGCGACGCCGAAGAAGCTTGACACGCCTTCTCGTCCGAAGCAGGAAGACACGCCCAAGCCAACGGAAGAGAAGCCTAAGGACGAGAAGCCCGAGGAGACCGAGGAAGAGGACCAAGGTCAAATCAGCTTGAAGGACACTGAGGAGCCGGGCGGCAAGGTTAGCCAGCCGGGCGACGATACCGGCGCCAGCGAGCTCTCCGAAGCCAATCCGGAGCCTGTTCCCGATAGCGACGAGGAAGAAGACGACGGCGAGACTGCCCGAGGAGGCAAGGAGGCCGCCAAGGACGAGGGCACCGAGGGCGAGGAAGAAGAGGAGACAGAAGCTCCTACCGAAGGAGGCACCACCGATGCCGCCGAGGAAGCCGAAGATGAGGCGGAAGATGGCGGTAAAGGTGCCCTTGGCGGCGTCGGTAAGGCCGCAAAAGGTGTGACCGGAACCGGCAAGAAGGTCGCAGGCCGAGTCGGTGGCGCTAAAGACACTGTTACCAACGGTGCTGGCAAGGCTACGAAAGGTGACGTGCAAGGCGCTGCCGAGGATACAGCCGACGACACCAAGGAAGCGGCCGAAGACACGGCTGGTGATGTCCAGAACACTGCAGAAGATACTGCAGAAGGTGCAAAGGAAACCGCCGAAGGTGCTGCTGACGATGTACCTAAAGACACCGATGATCTCAAGGAAACTGCAGACGGTGCCAAGGATCAAACTGAGAAGGTGGCTGGTGATGTCGAGGAGACTGCAGAAGACGCCGCAGAGGATGCCACAGAGGATTTACCCGTCGACCTCTCAGCATTGAAGGGTCTCAAGGTCAGCGACACTGGAGACATCAAAGACAAATCCGGCAAAGTGATTGGCAAACTTGAGGAAGGCGACCCGGCAGACCTCGAAGGCTATGAGATCGGCGACGATGGTGAGATCCTCGACGAAGATGGCGACGTGGTGGGTCGTGCCAACGTCATTGCCGACAAGGCGAAAGACGCCGCCGGCGATGCCACCGAGGATGCAGATGCCGAAGGTGCAGTCGACGGAGTAAAGGAAACTGCTGAAGAGTAAGTCCACTCACACCCTGAAGCGAATGGCATGTCTCCGTTGGCAGAGTTCGTCTCGAATCGTCGTTCAAGCACTGACAATGAAGCAGGACAGCAGACGATGCCCAGGACCAGGCTGAGCAGGAAGTCGATGGCGCCAAGGAGGATGCCGAAGATGCAGCAGAGGATGTCCAAGACCAAGCGGAAGACGCTGTCGAGACCTATCTTCCTGACATCAGCGTCCTCGATGGCCTGGAGGTGCAAGAAAACGGCGACATTCTCGACAAGGAAGGAAACGTTCTTGGCAAAATCACTGAAGGTGACCCAGCAGACTTGGTTGGCATGACACTAAATGCTGAGGGCGAGATCCTGGATGAGGATGGAGATGCTGTTGGCCGTGCCGAGGTTGTTCCCCAGCCAGTCAAGCAAGCCGCGGAAGAGGCCGCCGGAGATCTGCCTGGCCTGGATGCCCTCGAGGGCCTCGAGGTACAAGAAGATGGTGCCATCAAGGACAAAGAGGGCAACACTTTAGGTAAGATCACGGAAGGCGACCCGGCTGACCTCGTCGGCCGAACTGTCAACGCTGAGGGTGAGGTGCTCGACGAGGATGGTGATGTCATCGGTCGTGCTGAGGTCGTGCCCGAGGCCGCCGATGCTGTGAAAGACCAAGCCGAAGGAGCAGGCGAGGATGCCAAACCAGAAGCCGTTCAGCAAGCGCTCGACAAGGTTGACGAGGTTGCAGAGCAATTGAAGCCCAACCTCACGATCGTTGAGGGCCGCAAGCTTAACAAGAAGGGCAAGATCCTTGATGACGAAGGTGAAGTGCTTGCTGAGCTTGTCGAAGGTGATTTGAAAGCATGCCAGGGCAAGATTCCCAACGAGAACGGCGAGATTGTCGACAAAGACGGAAACGTTATTGGTCGTGTCCAGGTCGTCGAAGGAGAAGCTGCTGAAGAAGCCATGAAAGAACTCCACCCAGACTTGGTGGAAGAGCTCGAAGACGCCCAGAAGGCTGCGGACGAGGCCGAGAAGCAAGCACAGGAGGCTGGCGACCAGGCTGATGCGGCCGGCGAAGCGAAAGAAGCAGCAGAAGATGCCCAGGAAGGGGCCGAGGATGCTGCTGACGAGGCTAAGGATGCAGCCGACAAGGCCGCCAGGCCTGATTTCGCTCAACTCGAAGGCCTGAAAGTCAACAAGAAGGGTGAGGTCGTCAATGAAGACGGTGACGCCATCGCCAAACTGTCCGAAGGCTTCAATATCGAGGACGTACGCGGCAAGAAGATCAACGAGAATGGAGAGATCCTTGACAAGGATGGTAATGTCATCGGCAAAGTCGAGTTCATCCCTGCGGCGGTTGAGGAAGGCCTCGTTGAGACGATTGAGGAAGCTGCTCCCGACGGTCCGGACACCTCCGTCCTCGAGGGTCTGAAGGTGAACAAAAAGGGTCTTGTACTCAACGAGGAAGGTGAAGAGATTGCCAAGCTCGTTGAAGGTGATCTTGCCGCTGTCGCCGGTAAGAAGTTGAACGACAAAGGAGAGGTCTTGGACAAAGACGGAAATGTCATTGGGAAAGTTGAACTCACCACTCAAGAACAGCCCGAAGAGGAGCAAGCCGATGAAGAAGCCGGCGAAGAAGTCGATGATGGTCTTCCTCCTTTGTCCATCCTCGAAGGCCTCAAAATCAACAAGTCAGGCAAGATTGTCGACAGCAATGGCAACATCGTCGGTGAACTGGTTGAAGGCGATGCCAAGAAGCTCTGGAAAGCCGGTACCGTCTGCGATGCAGAAGGTCAGTTCTGGGATAACAAGGGCCACGTCATCGGACGGGCGAAGACTCTCCCTCAAGAAGATGCTGAAGGAGAAGCTGAATTCGCCGGTCTGGAAGGTCTCACTGTTGTGGCCGACGGTTGGGTCGAGGACGAGAATGGTAACAGGGTCGGTCGCATCACAGAAGGAGACGCTAAGAAGCTTGTTGGGCGGGCTGTGGACGAAGACGGCGATATCATCGACAAGCGAGGTAACGTTGTCGGCCACGCCGAGCGCTACGAGGAGCCTGAAGCAGAACCCGAACCGGAGCCCGAGCACATCGACCTTTCGGAGTTGAAGGGTCTCACTCCCAACAAACAAGGCAACGTCATTGGACCTGACGGTGTTCCCATCGGTCGTCTGGTCGAGGGCAATCCCAAGGAGCTCGCCGGCCGTAAGATCGACGGAGAAGGCCAGATCTGGAATGACCGAGGAGAAGTCGTCGGCCGCGTGGAACTTATCCCCCCAAGCGAGCGCGAAGCCAAACCGGAAGGGCCCTTCGCCGGTCTCGAGGGTCTTATCGTCGTGAAAGAAGGTTTCGTTGAAGACCATGAAGGCAACGTCGTAGGCAAAGTCGTCGAAGGAGACTGGAAGAAGCTTATCGGCCGCGCCGTCGATGAGGACGGAGACATCATCGACAAGTACGGAAACGTCAAGGGTCACGTCGAGCCCTATGAGGTGCCTGAAGAGGAAGTCGTTGAAGAAGACCTCTCGAGCCTTGCCGGCAAGACAGTGAACAAGTCAGGCAAGGTCGTCGACGAACATGGCACCATCTTTGGCGAAGTCGCCGAAGGAGAAGTCAAGCGTCTGGTTGGGTGCAAGGTTGACGGGCAAGGTCAAATCTGGTCCAATGACGGCAAGGTCATTGGCAAAGCCAGACTCATCGCTGGCGGCGACGATGGTCGCGCCGAGGGCCCGTTCTCGAACTTTGAGTCTACAAGCATTGACAAGGAGGGCTACGTCAGAGATTCGGCGGGAGAGATCATTGGCCGTGTCACCGAGGGAGATGTCAAGAAGCTCGTTGGACGCAAGGTCGACGACGATGGAGACATTACAGACAAGAACGGAAATGTTATCGGTCATGCCGAGCGCTGGGAACCTGAACAGAAAGAACGCGAAGTCTCGCCAATGGCCGGTCTGCGCGTGAACAAGGAAGGTGAGGTTCGCGATAAGAACGGCGACGTCATTGGCAGACTCACCGAGGGCAATCTGCTGGCCTGCATCGGCAAGGAGATCAACGATAATGGATATGTCGTCGATCAAGACGGCAACAAGATTGGTGAATGCACGCTTCTGGAGAATATCCCCGAGGAAGAGGTCGAAGATGAGGGACCCACGCCCGAACAGATGAAGGAAGAAGAGGAGCGGGAGATTGCGAAGAAGATCTCCAGCATCATCAACCAGACGTTGGAGAAGATGGAACCTATCTGCAAGCAGATCACAGAGGTAAGTGCCCGTGTGCAAATGGTTGTTCGGCTCCCAACTAACTTGGCATACAGATCATCGAACGAGCCGATCGCACACCCAAGGACGAACTCGATGAAGAGAAGCTTGTCCAAGATGTGAAGCCCCTGATCGAGGAAGGCGGTCGCATCCTCGGCGAGTGTAACGGTGCTATCCGTGGTCTCGATCCCGACGGCCACATCGCCGCCAACGCGAAAGCCAAGGCCGCATCTGGAGAGGCATCGCCAGAGGAGCACCGCGTCGCCGAAGGTCTCAAGGAGTTGACCACCCAGGTTGTCAAGACTGTCGACAACGCAAAGAAACGCATTGCCGACATGCCACATGCGAAGAAGAAGTTGAACCCTCTCTGGGGATTGTTGACAGAGCCGCTGTTCCAGATCATCGCCGCCGTGGGCCTGCTTCTATCCGGTGTGTTGGGCTTGGTTGGCAAGCTGCTCAACGCCCTGGGCCTTGGGGGACTGGTCAACGGCATCCTCGGCGGCCTGGGTGTCGACAAGTTGCTCGGGGGCTTGGGACTCGGCAGCGTTGCCGAAAGTCTTGGCCTCGGGGGCGGTAAGAAGAAATAAGTCAACGCGTGGAAAGGACATGAGGGTGATGGACGTGCTCGGGATGCGTGATGATGATGCCGAGCAGTTTCTCTTAGCCCTGCAGCATTATATCTCAAGGCGGACAAGAATTAAAGACCGGAACGAGGAGGTGAATGCGAAGTGGCCGTTGCCGTTGCCGTTGCTTCTGGCCCCGAAGTTCAAACCAACACCGTCAGCTGCTCAGGATGGACACCTCGCACGTCGACGGGCTGGACTTGGACAGCAGGGCGAGATGCACGCGCTGATGGGGTCGAACGATCCAAAGGGAGGTTATGGATGGGCATGGGAACGGGAATGGACTGGGGCTTTTCACGAATGCGAATGTGTAAATTATTTGATGTTGTCTCTATTTGCGGTCATGATGTTGGGATTCCCAGCTTTTATTGTCGCGTGTTGGTGGACTGGCTAAGTAAGTAGGTCATCTATTAATGTGACTAGGTAATTGATGTTTCTCAATGGACTTGTCTGTATCCATCTGCAGAGAATTCGCCTGTCGTCTCCTACCCAACCTTGTCAGCAGCGTAGTTGTCGAAGGATACTTAGAAAGATCGCTGCACAGGAGCCGGGAACCTTACCGAAAAGGATAATGCCGAGGACCACAAGCTCCCATCGTACTCCCTACTGTATGGAGGGCGCGACTCTCTCTAGCCCGTGTACTCGGTCCGTGGTCGGTAACGGAGTCCCCAGACCCTGGCTGCATATTGCGCCGCATCCATGCGAAGTGAATCATTTCCTTTCCCCGTACCGAGTCGGTGGTCGAAAAACAGTTCTTTTCTTTGTTCTAATTATCCGAGAGGCGCTTTGTGCCCAAGTTGCGCTCCGGGAGTACGCACAGGAGACGATAACACACTTTTTACGGTAGCTAATTTATGTCGGATATCTGTGTTCTTGGGGTAGGTCTGGGATATCAAATATGACTGGACGATCTAGGCTGTAATTAATTAGTCCTTGCCTTAAGGCTTATGATAAGCTAATAACTCATGTTCTTGCGGCCCCGTGTACTGTATCTATCTATCTGGCTCGCTGATTTTGTGATGAGTAATTAAGGACCCTTGCAGTAGCGTCCCGCTTCAGCATGAGACTAGATAAGTGAGTGAGTGAGTGAGTCAGTGGGTAGGTGAGTCGCTCTTGTATGGATGCTGGAGTTCCTACGGAAGAGCCAAGAAAGTAATTAAGCAAGGGAATGCCAATGTGCGTGGATCAGCTGAGTGTGTCTTCGATTACTGGATAATGGCATAGTATTGCAATATGTTCGCGTCCGGATTTGACCCAGTCGGATCTAATTTGGGCCCCCTTCCATGCCAAAACGAATATATGGTCTAGTATAGTAGTACGACGTGCCTTTACTCGTGAGGGCAGGAGTAAGGACGTCCGGTCCAAAGATTCCAATTCAGTCACTGCAATAGCTCACGCGCTCGCCCGTCCATTCACTCACCCACCCGCTCATTCACTCGTCCACTCAAATCGAAGTCTCTTTCACGGCTTGGCCAAGTGAATGGACGCTCACACTCGGAGTAAACGCCTTGATTGGTCCGCGGGCAGGTTTTGCCGCATTGGCGACCAGCTCCTCATGAGAGACCGACACTTCCAGGTCCTTCAAGGGATAACCCAATGGGTACTGATACTTAGGGACGGTAGTGTCCACGCCGAGCTCGCGCCTGCTCCGCCGTCTCATACGCCAGAGCAAGCAGACTCCGAGGAGGATGGCTAGAAGAGCCGCTAGAGCTGCGCCGATGCCTGCTTTCGCGCCAGTAGACAGGCCGCTGGAACTGGCGCTCGGGATTGGCGAGGGCGAGCTGGTGGGTGTCGAGCCAATGTCCGAGGTAGGGAATGTGAAGTCCGGAGTGTATGTCGCGCCGGCAAAAGCGATTTCGGCGTCACTCGCGTCTGCGTCAATGGAGACGTTGCGGGGATTGAGGACTCTGCGGATCGTGTTAGCCGTTGACTTGATGGAGAGCCGGCTCTCTCGAGACGTACCCATAGATGGTGTAGATCATGCCTCCCCTGAAGATCCAATTCGGGGAGCTGACGACTCGAGCATTGTTGATGAACACAAAGTCGTTGGAGCTAAAGATGGTTACGCCGGTGCCTTCGTACGTGGAGTAGTAGCCGTTGGGTGGCGAATCCGGGTTGATTTCCAAGACCTCGTCGATGATGTGATATGAAACCAATCGATCGAACTCTGACTTGGTCATGTTCTCAATCACATTGCCGACTTCCTGCAGGGAGTAATTCATTGGCAAGAAGATCGTGACGCCGGACAAGTCATCGATCGTCATGTTCTCCAAGGTGCCAGGAACCGTAATCACAGCGTCGGCGAAAGGCTGCGCTCCAAGCATGGCCTGTTCCTCAGCGGTCTCCTGGAACGTCTGCGGCAGAGTCAGGAAGGAGTTGATGGTATAAATGACACCACCTGTGAAGTTTAAGGGTTCGCCGTCGCTCTCAGACGTCTCCTGGTCTCCAGACGTGAACGTGACGGCACTGGACCAGGATGAGCCTCTGGCAATGACCATGCTGCCACCGGTGACCATTGACTCGTTTGCGTCCGCATGGGGTAGCATAGCGGTAGGTACGTGGATGAACTCGTCGTAGCCGAAACCGTAGAAGGTCCCATCTAGCACGTGGTAACTTATCAACGCTTCTGCGTCGATCTCGTCGATTGGTAGACTCGGTACGGCTGATGAGTCGGCCAGTACGGCAAATGCATCATTGTTTGGAGCGAGGAATGTGATATCGGATAGTCCCTGAAGCCATGTGGTGAGGCCTGGATACTTGTCCAGATATGTCACGAGCTCGGAGAGTTCCGGCACGGTGTTGAGAGTCTCCATGATGCCTTCATTTTGCGCGGTTACGAAAGCAAGTAGGGTCGTAACTGAAAGTATCTGTCGAAGCATGTTGAGCTGTAATGTCTCTCACGCAGAGAGTGAATATTCCAGGCAGTGGAGGGCGGAAACCAGAAGAGCAGAGAAAGAGGGACGGACACGAGCATGATTGCATCCATCCTGAGCAATATGGTTTTGATGAGCTTCCGCGAGAGGTACCTTTTTCCGCAACTGCTCATGCCAGAATGTCTGATCACACCTGCGTCTAGTGCCGAAGGACGGTAGACTCGAGATCCTTCTGAAATGCAAGTAGCAACTTGATTCGCCAGGTGAATAGAGAGCACAAATGGCGATGCATCCCGTCAGTGAGAAGCATTTCGAGGCAGCCACGGTGATAGGTCCACGGAACACGCGACAGATAGCATGACGATATGAAGATAGGATGCGCAGGTTTCATGCGAGCCGGTGCTGCATGGAAGTGGTTAGCCCTCCAGACCAACGGTTATTCCTCCAATGGACTTCAACTTTTCAACTAGCGTAAGCCGTTGCTCAGAAGTCGTGATGTTCGCCGCTTGTGTTGAGGAGAATGACATTGCCAGCTGTCGCCCACCCCGCAAGGTGCGGGGTCGTCATGTCCAGCAGGGGGTCCTTCCAGGAACGGGACCCAAGGCTGAAACGAACGGATGAGCAACTGGACGCTCCAACGTGTGGCAACTGCAGGAGATGTGCAACGCGTCGCTGGTGCGCCGGAAGATCCGGGTCTGCCGACTCATGAATGCAGGAGCCGGGTCGAGAGGGCAGGTAACGGTAGCGAGGTGAAGTACCGTAGGTCCACGAGATGACGGAGCGTTTGTGACAGCAGCAGACCGAGCTTCCTGATTCGACAGCTCGGCCAGTTCTCAGAACAGCCACAAAAGCCCGAGCAAGTTCTTGGACATTGCGTGGCCTTCAAGGTCCTTATCTCAATCCGTATGTGCCCGGTCATTGCAACCAAGGGCGATATCATGCGCAGATGGCCAACGGCTAAGGCACATCAGTCCTTCGGGCAGCGAATGACTCGGTCTTGCTTCCTGATATTCTGTCCCTCATTTTCGAAGGATGCAAGTGCAACCATGGCCCCAGGCATCATTGCAGCGACGCGGTGACTCGATGAAAGCGAACGGCGCATTGATTTACACCGCAGGGATTCAGGTCGCGAGGTCTCCATGTCGCTTTGGTGCTGTCTCCATATTGTTGACCGGCCGTGCTGATAGGGGGCGTTTTGCAGTTGGGGGGGCGGGAGGAGGTGTGACTTGTTCTGTTTGGGCGCCATCATGACCTCGATGGAAGCAGCAGGTAATTAATACATGAGCCTCATCTTGTATTGTGGAAGGAAATGAAGCCGAGCACATTCCTCGCGGTTGAGGGAAGCGGGCAAGTACAGAGGTTTCAAGGCGCATGGTCTGGTCGCGTCGAGGTGTGACGCAGAATAATTGTGGACGTCAGACTTGTTGATTTAGGAATTCGAGCGCATCTCAAGCGTCGAAGCTCTTTAAGTCTTTGGTCAGACATGTACCACAACCACGCTCACTGTGAGGCTTCAATCCTCACCCGAATGATATCGCACTTGGGTTCTTGAAGCCCTGGTGCTGTGTCGGCGTGTCATAGAGGAGTCATGCGCCCAATCTCTATCCGCCAAGTGCCTAGACCGATTTCCAGCAGTCGAGTGAAATCCACTCTCGAAAAGATATCCGGGTTGACAGAGCTGATGCAGATACTGATGCAGGAAACCATAATGTTTTGAGAAATGCCCTTCCCCATGCCACTGACCACCGCTCAGACCACCTTATCTACATACTTAGAGCTTCGACCCGACCCGCAAGTACCCCTGCGCGCTCTGCAGCACCTTCACAGCACCGTCCATCATCTCCCGGACGATCTCCTCGGCGGTCTGGTTCGGCGTGTTCACCAGCCCAGACACCTGTCCCATCGGCCTCAGCGTGCTCTGGTCATCAATCTCCTCTGTGATGCCGCCGATCTTCTCCAAGTGATCCAGTTCATGCTGCAGCGGGATGATGCCGCTGCCCGTCAGCTTCCGGATCTCCTCGCTCCGGTTCGTCTCCCAGTTCCGCACGTACGGCGTTGCGAGAGCCCGCAGAGGCCGTCCCGTCCAGATGGTCGACTTGATCGTGCTGTCGAAGTCGGCGTCGATGATGGCGCGTTTGGCCGCTTCCGGGGCCCCGGATTCCTTGGCCGTGACGAAGCGCGTGCCCACCCACACGGCCGACGCGCCGAGCATGAGTGCGGCTGCGATGCCGCGGCCGTCGCAGATACCTCCCGCCGCCACCAGCTGGACCGGCTGACCCGTCAGTGGCGAGGTGTACTGCTTGACGAGGTCGGCGCAGGCGGGGACAAGGACGCTACAGTACATCCAGGGTTAGAGTGGCACAATGCAGACCGAGGCGAAAGCACGTTTTTACATACCTCGTCGCCGTGTCGCCCGTGTGGCCGCCCGCCTCTCCTCCCTGGGCGCAGATGATATCCGCGCCCGCCTGACATGCCTTGCGCACGTGCTTCGGATGTCCAATCATGTTCATGTACAGGATGCCGTTCTTGTGGAGCTTCTCGACGACGTGCTTGGGCGCAACGCCGACAGCCGAGACAAACAACTTCGCCCCGCCCGCGATGATGATGTCCACGAGCTGGTCGAGATTGCCCTTCGTGTAGTCGGTATTGGTCTTCCGGGCGTTTCCGCCGACTTGCGGGATCAGGAGATCGACGCCGAACGGCAAGGACGGATCCTTCAGACCGGCCTTCAATTCATCAATCATTTCCCGCAGCATTTGCGGCGTGTAGCCCACGCCGCCGATGACGCCCAACCCGCCGGCATTCGACACGGCCGCTGCGAGCGGAGCGCCCGATGTCTGGCCCATGCCTGCTAGCAGGATGGGGTGGCGGATCCCCAGCAGTTGGGTGACTGGTGTGGTGATTGACATTTTGTCCGTAGCGACGAAATGCGAAGTCGAGTCGGATGAGAAGATTTGAGCAACAGAACAGAGATTCTCGCAGAAAAAGACAGGCTACAATAAGCCTGGAGGTGAGAAGGCAAGTATATACGTATGTAGCAGTGGTCGCTTGCGCAACTGAATCAGACTGTCCCGATGGTCTTGTCAGCGTCTAGCAGCTCTGGCTCTGGCAACGGCTTCCGCACTGTGGTATCGTGGAACAGCGTGACGTGACTTCGAATTCAATCGCCCGAAACACATCCACGAACGAACTCGCGTTGATTCTGCGCACAGGCTTAAGTACTACCTAGGTGATATCCATCCTCTTCTCCCTGATGCATAATTGGGATGTCTATTTGTCGAACCGAAGGATACCGAGGTCTCCGTACGCGGAGATGGACATGGCGTGCATGGCCAAGGCTTCCCCACAAATGCCAAATGTCAAATGCCGCAAAAGGGATACTGCGTGTGCTCGCTCTCTCCTCTTCCCCGTGCTGACAGCCCGAGCCGGTCATCACGGCAAGCCAGGCGGCCCATAAGGCTTGCAGTGAAGCAGGCTAGTGTACCTCGCGCCCTTGATTGTGGTGGACGGACTGCGGACAGACACGCAGACGCCGCTAAAATGAGGCTGACACAACCGGTCCGTCTGTCGTTGGAGGATGCGGAGGCCATCGTCCCCGACATGGCAGCGATCGCACTGTCCTCGTTGACCATGACTCCGCTAGGGAAGCTGAGGTACGGATCGACTCCTGAGGCCGAGCTCTACAGCTGGCTCCAGGCGTGCTACCGATCCGAGCTGGCTGCAGCCCTAAACCCACCACGTATAGCAGAGTTTGATCATGACGGACTGGGTCCAAACGTGAAGCGGATGGAATATCTAATTGTTCGCGACCTCGACTTGGACCCGTTGAACCACGAAAAGAACCCCGGACACGCGAAAGCCGACGATGTCCGCCTGGAGGCACGTGGCGGGCGGATCGTGGCCTACGCGGAATTCGTGTACCATCCGCGCGCGGAGGACGCGCAGTCCGAAGCTACTGATACAGATGGCACGGCAACGCCAGGAGGCTCGAAAGACGAGGTCGCGGTGCCACCACCTCCGCCTCCGTCTGTCCACGGCGAACTATGCAAATATTGGGACGATCTGGTGGAGACAGCGCTGCAGAGTCAGTTCGGCGGTATGCATTGCTTTGAGGTTCGAGGGCTCTCCACCCTGGCGCCTTCGCATCTCCGCAAAGGGATCGCGAGCAGGCTGCTCGGCTGGATCTTCCCCTGGGCAGAGAGGCTGCATGTGCCTGTCGTGCTTGCCGCGACGCCCCCGGGCTACCCGTTGTACCTGAAGCACGGGTTTGTGCCGGTGGGGCCCAACGGCGGTGTGGTTGAATGTGATATGGCTCGCTGGGGAGGCAGCGGTATCCATAGGCATGTCTTGATGATAAGATGGCCAGAGAAGCAGGAAATATGCGCGACAGTCGGTGAACGTGGTAGATGATCGGTTGGTTTGTTGGCTCTACCTACCCCGTTATGCCTACACAGGACGCATGACGACAATCGAGGGATAGAGCGACTTCAGCATCCAGGGCACCTTCATGTCGATACCACAGAAATCCCCCGATACAATACCGGACTATGTGATATAGCTGCCTCAGGTTCGATCCGCTGAGCGGTGCCTACCAGCCTCATTCAACCCCGTGGAATCGAACGATCGGATTTACCCCCTGCCCGCTCATGAACGACCACCATGGCAATGTTTGATCAAGGGACGGATATATCAGTGACTCTGTAAAGCCGCGAGGGATGCAGGCCAAATATGAGAAAGGAGGATGACCAATAGACTCTCGAACGAGGAGCGCTCGGTGGCTTTACCAGTTGTCAATCAACCTCCGACATTGGTTCCACCTACCGAAATCAGCAGGTACAATACTTCGGCGGATGATCTAACCTGTCATTCAGATGAACTCAAACCGGGCTCAATCAGCCTGGGCCGGAGACGGTGCAGCAGACCGCTGAGACCGTGACCAATTTTGCCCTGCCCACTCAAAATGTAGCCTTGCAAAACATGCATGCGTAAAGGTCGACTAGGTGCTCGCACCAGCTCGCACTCCAGAAGCGACAGCGTTCTTTCCAGGTGATACGACTTCTTACCTTCGATTCCATGGACGAGGGTCGAGCAAGAAGCTTGATGTCCACCAGCTCGCAGCTGCAGGAGAAACGGACTATACCGTAAATACCTGGAGTTCTAACCAACGGCAATGCCTCGAGGGCTTCGTCGCCCGCAATCTGAAAGACCTGATTGGCGGGGAAGAATTCAAGGTACGAAAGTGATGTCTGCCAACGCGTAAAGTACTCTGCTTGTGCAGCGTCAAAGAAAGGCGCGCCAGTTCGGATCGTCCATCGTCCTTTGGTTCAGTCGAACTGAGAAAGAACAAATGCCACCCGGTGCGGCGTTGCTGATCTTGACAAAGGACGCTTGATGCCGATGAGGTTTCCATAAGAAGGTCTTGTGGGAGGCTGTGATTAATTACGGAGTATCCAGTCCACATTGTATTAGGTATGCTCCTCACCACGAGTTCGGAGGAATTACGGAGTCGGCTGTCGCCAAACTCAAACGTGAAAGTTTGAACCCTTCAGGTGAAAGAGCACCCACGAAATATGGCCGTCCTGCATGTTTACGCCAACGTAATGCTCCATCAGCTCTTTTGGTCCCCCTCCTTCCCCTCGGGTGACGCACATTTCCGCAAGCCGCTCCCAAAGATTTTCTTCTCCCCCCGGCCAACGGGAACCCACTACCGGCTCTACTCGCCTCTACTAGCTCTGCTGGCTCTTCTGAATCTACCGAATCTACATGCCCACCACTGTAGCAGCACAAAGCCCCCTACAACACTAGAGTCGAGACCTCCTGCACTCCGCCCACACACAAAACAACAAGCATCATGTCAAGCCGACTCTCGACGCGGCTAAGCATCCGCTGGGTTCCAGGCGACCCGTCGGAACCGACCAACACGCTGGTCATGAGCGTCGGAGGGTGGTACGTCGACCTGCGCATCACCAAGGCCGACGGCTCGATTGAATGGGGCATGGCAGGGGAGCGGCTCATCCTGTCACGAGAACCATGTAAGTGAAGGCGGTGTGAAAGTGCGTATACAGAGAGTGTTGTAAAAGAACGAGGAAGAAGCACGGACACACAGATCCGAACACAAAATACCAATGCCATGTCATGACATGCCATACCGTGCATACATCCAACCCCCAATTTCACTTCCCCTGATTTCCCACACCCAGGCTGACACCTCCTTGCAAACCCAACAGTAACATGCAAATGGACCCACTGGATCGACTCGCGAGGCTACACGGACCCCGACATCGGGAGTTTCCACCCCGTCGATCCATCTACGGCCGGGACAGACCTCGACCCGGCCACCGACACGGTCGAAACAGGAAGCATGCTCAACCCCGAAACCAATGTCGAGACGCCCTACGAAGAGGTATGGCGCGCCCTGACTGCATCGTATAGCGACCGCTTTCCCTGGGCGTGGATCGTGCGCAGCATGGATAAGCGGACCTTTCTCGCGCAGGTGGGAGGCGACTTTCTCGCCCTGAGAGGCGGGCCCGACGGGCCTGTTGGGGAGGTCGGGTTCTGCGCACGCAGAGAGACATGGGACGGTGAACAACAGCGCTGGACGGTCGTTCTTGAGGCGGGAGAACCGAAAAATCTGCCCGCTCTGCCTGGGATGGTTGCGGCAGGCAGTGCGGTAGGACCGGAACCGGCGTGGACAAAGAGTGCCAAGGAGGGGGATGTAGTGGATATGTTTGGAGAAAAGTACGTTTTATGTGCCCTTGAACGGGTGGGTTAGGACGGTACATTCTGTGTCTGCTCAAGAGGGTGGCTTAAAACAGTACGTTTCTTGTGCGGCTGAAATGGTGCGGGTGGCTTGAGGCCTTGAGGACTTGGGGGCGACCAGTAATTATATACACGGATGACGGTTATAGATACTTACCGTTCGGACTGAGTTGGGACAACACAACAGAATAGAACTAGATAGACGTCATCGCTCCGCGGGATCTCGAATGCCCCGAAAGCATGAGAACAGTCTCGAGCAAGCCCAATCTTGGAATGTTAGATATATACATATATGGTTAATCTCTGCAACAACCCTCCTGGTGGTGGGCGAGCACGGCCAGATCTCCGTATCTATGTATCTGCCCGCATTTAGGACGTTTTGATTGGCGGATGTCAGTCCGCATATATTCCTACAGTCCCTATTGAGTATATCATACTCTGTATTCGCGGATCCGTGTACCCGCACGATTACTGCAATTTACAAACTCTGCATCCACTTCGATGAACAGAAACGTTCTGGTACCAAATTAATCCATTTCATTAAGCCGGAGCAGGACCTACGACCTACCTACGTATTGCCAAGTGCTCTGTTTCGTCCTATCGTCGTCGCGTCACATTATCATCCAAGAAGTCAGTACGAGGACGCCCGTCTGGCAAATCGGCCCCTTGGAATGATGGGCTGTTTCGCGGGCACGGTTGAGCCCGTCGCGCTTGCTGCTGCTGAGCTCGAACTGCCCGTCGCTGGAAGCGGCACAAACGACTCGGTGTGCGTTGCCGATGGAGAACCCGATGTGCCGCCCTGACTTCCATTCACGGGCATGGTTCCTGTAGCGATGTCCAAACCATTGATGGCGCGGGTGAAGAAGCCCAACGACGCAATGGGTTGGTAGTAGGGGACCTCGTGGCCGGATTCGTAGATGCGGGTGAATGAAAAGTTACCGTACTCGCGGGTTTCACCGTACTCAACTCCATCAACCACAAAGGGCACGTAACCGGCCTTTTTGAATTCCGCCGAGTGCTCGTATTGGGTGGCGAGGGAGACGGCCTCTCCGCCGAACCAGTTGCAGATGTAGTCTGCGTCGCCGTACACCAACGTCACGCGCACGGACGAGTTGAGGATCTCTTCAATGTCGGAAAGGAAGTTGAGGTACACGAAGTCGCCTGTCTGCTGGAAGGCGTAGTACACGTCGTTGTTGGCGGTCCGCGTATAGTTTGTGTCCACACCGAGGGCTTGTTGCGTCGACGGTAGATTAAGGAAGTCCATAAAGTAATCTGGCGGGGTGGGGTCATCGGAGGGGTGACGGATATCGTATGTGCCGCGGCCGCCGTAGTAGTAGTAGGGAGCTTCCACATTATCACGGCACATGTCCGCGGCTTCGGTGCAGACCGCCTGTCCGATGAGTGTTGATGTATCGGCCAATGCGCACAAGGAGATTTGGTCCAGGCAACCGTAAACCATGTGGCAAGCAAAGTTCATGTAGTCGAATACGGTGTCGTTGACAGCTTTGATACCATAAGTATTGTTGTTGGCGAAAAGAGGATAGTACGGAGCTTGGATGTATTCGTCCACAATGCCGTTGATTATGCCCAGGTTGACAAACTCGAACGACTTGCCTGACTGGGTGCCGTTCAGAATCGCTTGATTTTGTTGATAGAAGTGGTTGAAGAAGGCTGGGCCATAGTGACCTAGGACAACTTTCAGTCATCTGTACGTTGATGATCCACAGGGCTCAACTCACCTCCGTACGACTCAGTCCACAGGTTGAACTGGGTCGACTGGACCTTGGAGTCGAGTTGTGGGAGCGCCGAATAGAAGCCCTGTAGCACCTCCCAGGCAGCGATAGCAGCCATATCAGTGGTGTCCAAAGGCCACATAAGCATCTGGGCAATTGCCATAGCAGTTAGGATCCGACCTACCAATCGCAGTCGCATTAACGATAGGATATCTCCCAGTCACCTTTGCCTCTGAGGCGGTAAGGAATTGACCAAAGTCGGGATCAATCGAGCCTGGACCCTGCATCGGTATGTCAGCCCCCCACTCTTGTAGCTATCATGCCTTGCTCCCCACCTTCGAGCCGTACGAGAAGCCCACACCCAACGGCTGGCTGAGAAAGATCATGTTTGAGGCCTCGTTCCAAGCATAAGGGTTCAGCTGGGTGATGAGGTCTTCGGTAACGTTGCAGGGCCCAAGCTCTACAGAACGCCATTAGCCCTGAATCAAAGTAACCTGTACCAGCCTGAGTCCGTGCTTACCTTGAAACATGCCGATCAAGGAGTCGCTGCCAGGTCCACCATTAAGCCATAGGGTTATTGGGTCATTGGCCGGATCATGTCTTGACTCAAAGAACCAGAAGAAGCTGTGGACGTCCGGCGCGAGGTTTATAAAACCTGCGTAGGAGTTGACGCCTGGCGTCGTCTCGCAGACACCCTATTCAAACCGTTAGCAAAGCACAAGGGCATGGACATAGAAGTGCTTGGGAACTGGCGTGGTGGCGCTCGAGTTCTCCGTGAGTTCTCACCTCCTTGCCTGGCTCTTTGTAGGTGATGTTGACGCCATTGGGAGTGGTAATGGTCTGCACGCCCGTGGGTTCCGCTGGTAACTGCCGTGGCAAGACTTGAAGCTTGGGACCTTTGGGGTTTCTTCTGCTGTGAACCACAGGTCCTTTGACTGCAGAGACGCCAGCAACGAGTGCGCCAACGAGGGAGAGGGCTTTTGCAGCGTGCATTCTGGGAGTTATTCAACTCGAGGGTGGGGCAGAGGAAGCCGCAAGTGCAAGAAGTCAATTTGTGCCAAGTACCTCGTCCTGCCCCCAAACTTAAGTGAATGCAGTGTAAATACTTGTAAGGAATCGCAGCTCCAAAGCGGACAGGTGCGCTCGGAAAGAGAGAGAAGGTGGGATTCGAGCACGCGCCCAGGTTTAAGTACTTGAATTCGTACCTCCCTACCTTGATCCCCATCTGCAAACGCCCGCAGCACATCTGCACAAACATGGCCGCCGAAAAATGAACCTGGCGCTGGCACTAGCTTGAACATCATTGAGCTCCATAGATAGACCGAGACGTGATCGCTGTCCATGTTATTCGGCAAACCATTTGTTGAGGGAAGAAGTTACTGAGGTCTACCGATGTTCCATGACGTCCGCCACGACCAGAAGTAGCATTGGAGCAAGGATACAGGCTATAGCCGAGTGTAAGAGCGGAGTTCGTCCGGAGGAGCTTCGTGGAGCTTGAGCTTTCAGATTGCCACTGTAGGTATAGGAGATTCGTAGACTTTCACTTTCCTTGCGATTTCCCATTCCATATGTGGCAGGTAACGTGAAGTGGAACGGCGAAGTGCATGGGGTACATAGTACGGGGAGGAGGCAAACTGCATATGCAAGTCAGAGATAAGATTGTGCCTCTCGGGGCATTGTACCGGATGAGGGAATTTTCAGGTGAAGCTGTGTCTTGTCAATGCGCCAGGAACAGCTTGATAGAGCCAGTCATGTTTCATGCACAGGATGCGGCGGATATTTCATCACGAGAGCTCGATACCTTTACCACCAATCGGCTCTTGATTTCTTCCACCCTCCGCTCAACGCATATAATTTAGCTTCTCTCGACAGATGCAGGTTGATTGGCAAATCTATGAGTCAAGTTCGAAGTCGTGCGCCTGCCCAAGTAGGCGGAGCGTGGTAGTGCCTTGGGCCTAGCAAGCATCGTGTAACAAGCGTCTGGTGGCATTGCTTCTGAGGCTTCTCTGACGCTTGGCTCTGCTTTCGGTGGTCGGGTGGTAGCCGGCGCGGCCGCCCTTTAGGAGCTGCCCGCGTGCCTGCGGACTCCTCCTGCGCCGTGTGACCAGCGACTTGGATCGCCAGTTGGGGGTGAGCACCATTGTCTTATGGTAGACTCCGAAAGGAAATTTCCAGCCACCATGAATGGCATCTTCTTATCGCTACCTCGTACTGCCACTGGTGGTGGCCCACGAGGTGACATCGCAGGGAGGAATCGTGCCAGGATAAGCTGATCGCCCAGTGGAGAATGTAAAGCTAACCCTTGTACAGAGCGAAGGGCAGAGATCCAGGGCGGGGTCAAAGAGCAGACAGCTGCTAGTTAATGGGTCAGCATGGTATCCCTATGAAATTGTGAACGGAGCTTCTCTTTCTAGGCTAGCGCACGCTGAGCTTCAAAGTGCAACCTCGGCAGATGGATGGCGTAGGATATGTAGGTGGGAAAAGTGTCAGCTCTTCCTCAAGCTACGGCGCAAGGGTGAGGAAGCAGCATCGACAACTCAATCAGTTGGCGGCATGAAGCGCGAAGGAATGAAAAAAGAAGGTAAAAGAGAAGTGAGGTTGAAAGAAAAGATATGATGGACCTCGTATTCACGTCAGCCAAAGCATGCGGTGGTGCCGGGCCTGCAAGCCATCCGTGTCTGCGCCCGTGCTTTCAGCTCCCCAGCGACAGCCACTTACGAGCACGAGCTGTCAAGAACCAACGAAAAATCGGTTGAAGCGGAACTTGCGGTGCGTGTGTCTCATTTCTTAAGCACAGATCTATTTAGATGCCCAGGCCCATACCGAGTTCGTCACTCACTTCGAGGGCCCGCTCCGCATAAATTGGTTCCTCGGCCTCTTCGATTGTCTGCAGCGGGAACTCGCCCGTGCCCGGTGAGAGCTTGTCGGCATCAAACCCCTGCAGCCACTGCATACTCAAGTCCATGTCATCTTCAGCCATAGCGAACAGATCCGTCCCGCTTTCCAGCTCCATGAGAGTGTCAAAATCGGCTTCATCCATCTGTCCGAGCTCATCTTTGATCTCAGCGTCGTGTTCCTCGGGCAGGTCGGTCAATGCAGACGCTGCTCCTGCCGTTGTGTGGGAGCTCAAACTCACATCCGAGCCAGCGGGCGTCCTCGGAGTATATGCGGCAATAAGACTCCGCTCTTCGGGCGACAGAGTGGAGTTCATAAGCAACAAGCTGGCTGTCTGCATCGCTTCAGGTGGCGGTGTCAGCAACAACGGAGCTTGACCAAGCTTCTGTTCGACTGTAGGATGATTGTGCGACTCTTTCATTGCCGGGGCGGCTGCAACGGCAGCTGAGACCTGCGCGTTTGTCTTGCGAACGGCCGCGTCCAAGAAAGAGAAGGCAAAGTCCGCAGAGGCGTACATCTCCCGCAGCCTCTGCAACGCCTGCATGCAAAAGTGGAATTTCCGGGTGCTGGCCTGACGGATGTTGCTGTCCGTTGACTTGATGTCCAGGAGATGGATGATGATGGCTGGGAGGAGGCAGGTGACACCAGTGTTTGGTAGGTACCGTATCATGTCAAGGGCGAAAAGTTCTTTATACATTTCGGTAATGTCGTCAGCTGCCTCCCGGACCTTCCGCTTCGATAGCTCTCTCAACTCTGGCGCGACCACGACGTTGGGAGCAGACGGTAGAATTTGTGGTCGATGCAGCGCGCTGATCGCTGTCAGGTATACCCCGTTCAATAGAGCACGGTGCAAGTGGACAACTTCTCCGTCGTTCGTCGCAACTCGTTCACCGGAGTTTGGAGCAAAATAAGGAATGCCGGCATCCAAGCCCTGGTGCCACTGATCGAATTCGCGATCGCAGTGTATCACATCAGCGGGCTCTGCCGCTGACTTCTTTGGGACCAATCTCATCGTGGTCTCTTGAGTCGCCCCAATCTTGTGACCCAGGGTGGAATATTGGACAGCGAGAACTTTGCTGATGCAAAGGCAGAGCTGCGCGAGACCTATGCACATCTTTGCCAACGTGACTCGCTTCGAGCTGTCTTTCACCGCCGGACAACCTCCGAGCATTTTGCAAAGTTCGGGTGATAATGACTCCGTCTCGAAATCACTTAGTTCAAGCATTTGAACATCGAAGTCCCCGTCGTTGATCCGCATGGGACGCCGCATACCAATGGCGATTAATCGGTCTCGCATATAACATGACCACCATATGCGTTTCCAGAGTCGACGCTGCGGTGGCGTCATGAGAGGGGCATTAGATGTGTCGCAGTTCAGTCCAATGGTTCTTGCCACGGAGGTCGCTATACCCAGCCAGTGCCAGACGTCCTTGGGATCGTCAGGACTCTCGTACCAGTAAGTCATCAACAGGGCTGCTTGCACGATTGTGATCCGGTCAGCTTCATAGTCGAAATCGTACAAGAGTTTGACTTTCTCGAAGAAAGACTTTCTGGCAGCCTTTCTGGTCATGTAGCCTTGAGCCAGCAGATAGCGCATGTCAATATACGCAGTGGCAGCGAACATGACAGCTTGAAATAGCAACAGGCTCATCGTATCCGTGGCTTGATTCTTCTCGATGGTGCCCAAGAAGTCCTGGAGGTCGATGATCGGCATAAAGGGGTACACGTATTGCACGTAACACCGAAGTAACTCGTTTCGAAAGCTTGTCTCCGGGATCAGGAGGGCTCCCTTCCTCTGCAGGAATTCAAGATCTTCCGTCATGATCCTGGGCGATATTTGCCGAATGAACGGTGGCAGGACAATATTTGGACGGCTCGGCTGCTGGGGAAAATAAGACATCGTCGATGGCAGAGGCAATGAGGGAGAGTTCTGCTTGCTGCTAATCACAGACATCCGCCGGAACCGCTCCTCCTGGCTCAAACGATGTCCCTGCGTTTGGTCTAGAAAAAGTTTTGTTGGCATGGTATGCAGAGAAGTCCATCGAGGACACTTACAAAGCATATGCGGCTTATGCTGGAATACATCTTCCGAGCTTTTCAGCGATAGGGTTGTCTCGCAGGAAGGTAGGCTCGGAAGAAAGTTGTTGAGCTCGTCGATGTCTTCAAAGATGGGAAATTGCGGGAGTTCCTTCTCGTCTTCGGCGGAATTGCACGGGGACTGGTGAAAGAGCTCCCCTTCTGAATATGTCTTCCTCCGCCGCTTTCCTTCGGTGACCACACACTCAACCTCGTCCAGTCTGCAGTTTGTGCATGGAATACCGCTCTCAACGACGTCACTGCGGACATCAGTTAGTCGCCACCATGGCTGCTAATGCAATGTTGCCGTCTGAGCTAGCACAGGGAAGAGGTGCTTACCAACGAACCTTCCTCCCACGGCAACAGTGGCAGGCTTTGGAAGCACGTCGTTTCACGGTTCTACCCCCAGCGGATAAACCTGCCGCTGCAGACTTTCTCTTCGGCGAGGTTTGGGTAGTGGTGGGTGGCATCATGGTAGCCATGGTGAGTCAGGAGTGAGTTACGGAAAAGATTGAGGATGTCGCGGGCGCTCGAATTTGAAGGGAAGTCGTGTCACACACGGACCATGTCAATAAAGTTACGAACAGCTTAACAGACAGGAAGACAACCTAAGCGATGACCTCGAGCGAGGGTCTGGGTACTGATATGGAGAAATTCTGAACGGATCCGACATGACCCTGGGCCCGTCAATGCGGACGAACGCTCGAAGTAGGTTCCTCACCCCTACCCCGGACTACCCCGGCTTGATGGAAAGCAGGTGTCAGGTGTTCAACGATTGGATGGCCTCGCGATCTGGGCCGGGGTCGCTCGAGACTGTGGAGAACCGAAAAGCTATCATCGGCATCATCCACTACCTTGGCGGGCATCTTCCACCGTTTTGCGTCAGTTTTGTCAACAGAGAAATGGGTGGCTGAGGGGAGGCAAGGCAAGAGGCTGCGAGAAACGAGAAGGGTACCAGGCACTCGCCATCTCATAGGCTGCCATGCTCAAGTGTTCGAAGGCAAATCCCCCACTAGTCCACACGTGGAGAAGGAAGGGGAAGTATCCCCACGAGCAGGGTCCTAGCTGCATTGGCAATGGCATCGCTTCCGATCTAACATAGTATGCATTTGGGGACGAAAGGGCCAGGCTCCGTCTGCGTAAAAGTGGCACAGTCCGACAGGAGAGCATAAGCGAGACCACAGACAGCACATCTTTGCGACATGTCACTACTGTAAAGAAGTCGCACTGGACTCACTACCTTCAGAGTCGGTTTTTAATGCATGCAGGAAGAATTGAGGTCCACCTGCGTTAAGGGCTGGAGACCTTGTGCCAAGTCTTCGCATACTCAGTCCCAACATCGTGGTGGAGAAGGCCGTAGTCGGAGGCTGGCCGTGTGTGCTTGTGCAGATCGAACCCCCGTATTGTGTATCGAAGCGCGCAATAAGACTTATGCAGGAAGGCTAGGAGTTATTCCGCCCAGCAAACAGCCCTCCGGCCGTTTGGCCGTGCCGACTTATCCTGCTCTTCAAGTGTCGGTGGGCAACGCTGTGCAGGTGGTATGAGCGTGTTCGGCTATCCAAGCGACTTCGGTCTCGAAGATGATTGATTCTCGTTGCCGACTAGGCGGGTATCGACACGACACGATGTTTTCGACAAGCCTGGGGGCGCCTCAGAAGAGGTCTGCAGCCAGTTAGAAGAGTTTCCCGCATGGTTGGGGAAACTGAGCTGGGATCAGTCCCCGCATTGATGGCGACAAAGTTTTCGAGATGAACGACTAGCGCCATGCACACTTTCCGAGAACCTGGAGCTGATTTCGAGACACGCTTTGGTTCTCGAGGGCTTCTCCAGCCTTGACCACTGAGCGCGAAGCCCGCGGGAATCAACTCCCCAGATGCGGGTATCAGTCGGGTGGCTAGGTGAAACAAGCGGATGGCGCAGGGTCTCGTGAGAAGAAAAGAAATGGTTGAAAGGATGGTGAAGGAACGAAAAAGACGAAGAAGTGGGGAAAATGACGAGTCAGTGGTTTCTGACGTCGTGCTGTGGACATGCTAACGATTCCTGTTGCTCTCGCCCTTCTGCACTGGCGTAGCTGGGTCTTCTGACTCGCCCTCTGCGAGTCCCCGGTTTATTTGCTCAAGATGCGGGCGGGACTTGGTCCGGCACTTTTAACCCTTCTGAGTTGCTTCGAGACTCCGTGCTTGCCTGACGAAGTCGACAACAGAGTCGTGGAAGGACCGATATGTGATGCCTAGTTCCCTTGCAGCAGTCTCCCCATCCAAATCGTGCGACTGATCAATTTTTTGCTCCGTCTCAGGCAGGTGGATACGATCACGTCCCCATTCAAACTTTTGGATGATGATCTCTGCTGCCTTTTGATAGGAAAACTTCTCTGGCGATGCGATGGTGAAACGTCTGTTGCCGACCTCCGGTCTCAGAAGCGATTCAACGTGTGCTTTTGCCAGGTCCCTAACGTCGATCCAGAAAGGCACTCTCGCAAGCGGCATGGGGTCAACACCAGAGGCCACCTCCCAAAGCTTGGCTGCACTGTCATTGAGTTCTTCTAGCCTGGCCACTGGGTGCACGAAAGGCCCAAAGATCATGCTGGCACTGATGTCAGAAACGCGTGAGGCAAAGGCAACGGATGCACGTACGGAGGACAGAGGGTGACAATATCGAAGCCAGGCTTCTCTTTTTGGACAAAGTCCCATGCAGCGAGCTCTGCGAACTTCTTTGACCCGCGATATGCGACTACCTCGGAGGTCTTGTTGTCTGCCGCTTCCTCGTACGTCAGAGGGTTCCAATCGGCGGCGGTGTAGGTGAAATGTGGTGGTGCTTTTCGATTGACATCAATGACAGAGGCAAACGAAGAAGTGATGACCACCCTCTGAATTTGCGAGGCTTGGGCTGCTGCCTTTAAGACGGTTGCAACGCCATTGATGGCTGGCAAGAGGAAGTCCCTCTCGTTGTCTTCGACCCCAAACGTCAACGGGCTGGCCACATGAATGACCCCGTCGATGTCCTTCACAGCTTCCTCGAAAGAGATATTTGCTGTGAAGTCGGCAACTTGAACAAAGTCAAGCTTCGACGCATACTGCGGTCTGGCATCACGCATGACATTGGCCTTGGCCAGATTGCGAACAGCAGCACGTACTCGTAATCCACGCGCCAACAGCTCGTCAACGACATGCGCTCCAAGGAAACCTGTAGCACCGGTAACAAGCACATAGTCAATAGGCATTGTGATGGCGGCCAGTCAACAACCCAGTACGTCAAGCTATTCTGCTCACAAAGGACTGTTCCGCCAGTAGATTTACCTTGCGTGCATCTACTGCTCTTCATACAGCTCAACAGATGCGCATATCAATTTCATAGCACGCTTGCTGGTGCTTGGACAATTGGCTTGACCCCCACATCGCCCCCATACGCCCGTCGGCGTCCGCTCCGAGGCGTATTGAGAACGAGGTGAGGGACCCTGGAGATCGTGGTGATCGCGCCTGGAAATCGGTGCAATAATGCCCGAGCTCGCCGCTATCACACGCAATCTATTCGTATCCCATAAGTCGAGTTTCGAAGGGGTAATGATGTTCCATAACAGTCAACCAGAACACAGAGACGGTAACTGAAGGGTGTACCTAGTACGTGACGAGTGAAGCGCAAGCAGTAATTCGTACGGGTAATCCCTGCAGGCTGTTCTTTGAACCTCGAGATTGGCCGCGGGGTATGTACGGAGTATGTAGAAGACCACTCCAGCCTTGCTGGGTCTCCAATTTTGAGCCTTGCGCATTTGACTCGCTCTCAATCACCGGCCGCGCGGCCAAACAAGCAGATGCGATAACTCAGTACACGAACGGGTGTGCCACCACGAAGTCCTCCAACCATGGACGATGTCACCACCAGTAACCACACGAAGGAAACTGCACAGCCAAGCACAGATTTGAGTGCCGAAGAAGCCAAAAAGGCTGCCGTCCTAATTCAGGTCCGACCCGTGTACTTACTCGCGTCAAATATATCAAGGGTTGACCAGCGCCAGAAAACATACCGAGGACACCGTACTCGTCGCGAGCTGAACGGATTTGGTCTTGATGCTTCGACGAGGTGGTACGAGGTCAGTGTGAGGCAGCACGCGCGACACAACCGCCACTGAGGCATGCTCAACAGGCCGTTCGAGATGCTCGATTCAAACAAGTCACCACACCCCGACCTCCCAGCCCAGGTGGGAGAAGCGGCTCTCCCGACAGCGAGGCGAATCGGACGGCTACCCCGTCTTCACCTGCACGGTCGAAATGGAATCGGGCCACAGAGATTGCACGCAGGGCTGGTGCCGACGACCGGTCTCCCTCCGTGTCGGATCTGTCTTCGAGCGATATGAGTGAAGAAGAACAAGGCTTTGGAACGATGCCCACACAGGAAGAGAAGGAAGCTGCGAGGAAGAGACGCGGCGAAGCCAATGCCGTGCGGAAGAAGACAGCCAAGGTGATGGACCTGCAATATTTTCTGGAGATGGTGGACCAGAAACATCGCTACGGTTCGAATCTACGAAAATACCACAACTACTGGAAAACCCAAGATACAGACCAGTCGTACTTCTACTGGCTTGACCAGGGCGACGGGAGGACCGTAGAACTCCCCGAGTGCAGTCGAGCACGCCTAGATAAAGAGCAAGTGCGCTATCTGTCCCGAGAAGAACGCCTGCAGTACCTGGTCAAGGTCAATTCTGAGGGGTTGCTCGTTTGGGCCAAGAACGGTGAGCTAGTGTGGACCAAGGACGAGCTTTTCAAGGACAGTGTCAACGGGATCGTCCCGATCGATGATCCTTCACCACAGTGGAAGTACAACGTGCCGCCAGCTGGGAAGAGTGACTCCAGCTCCAGCTCCTCGGACGAGCCCGACGATACGGAAGAGGGCGAAGGTGAAAGGTATGTGAATGAAGAGGTAGGTAGTTCTCGATCCGTACGATGGGACTCCGGTCCGCTGCTGACCTCCGCAGTTTCACAGAGCCAGAGGCCCGTCCAAGGTAAAACATGTCAGCGCGGGAGTGCTTTTCAATCACATGATCAGAACCAGTCTCAAAAAGGGTCACAAATGGATCTTCGTGGCTGATACCTCGTTTCGCTTGTATATCGGGTACAAGCAATCGGGTGCGTTCCAGCACTCGTCATTTCTACACGGGGCGCGCATCTTGTCCGCTGGTCTGATCAAAGTAAAGCACGGGCAGTTGAGAAAACTGTCGCCTCTGAGCGGACATTACCGGCCCCCAGCGGCCAATTTTCGAGCCTTTGTGCACAGCTTGCGCGACGCTGGTGCCGACATGTCCCACGTATCGATATCCCGAAGCTACGCCGTGCTGGTTGGCCTGGAGACGTACACTAAGGCACGCAAACAGTTGAAAAGTGCAGAAGATTCGGTAGTCCATGAAAAGGACGAACTGCTTAACCCGGATAAGGTTAGAATGGAGGAAGAGGCACAGCGCGATAAGTCTCAGAGCGCGGAAACAGAAAGGCTGTACCTGAAAAAGCAGCGTGAAGCTGAGGACCGGGAATTCCGGGAACGCAAAGCCAAGCGCAGTCTGACAGGGAGACTGTCGAATGCCATCAGCAAACTAAGGTTTCGTGGGGTCAGTGGCGACAATGCCCCAGTAGGAGAGGAACAGGCAAAGCGAATCATGGGGACAGGGCCAGAAGATGGCGTACCACCACCAGAAGGCCATAGGTGATGTTGAGCGTATACAGAGACAGTACTGAATATCGGGCCTACGCTGCACACGGGTTGCAATGACCTGTGTCTTCAGCAGTGGCTTTCGATAGTTGTCTGTACAGCAATTGACAACTCGAACACAGCTGCATCTCTCCGTAAAGCGCATAGTGCACCCACCCTGATGACATTGGCTGCGTCTTGTCGACAACCTCAGCCTTCCGCGCCGGTCAAGGGCAATCTGGTCTTCCACCGTTCTTGACTGTTGGACCTGATGACGGCATGAGGCGCTTGGTCTTCGATTCGCCGCTCATAGATATCGCCATCGGAGAATGTGAGCAAGAGGAAAAGATCTCGAGGCGGCCAACAGAGTGCCTCCACCCTGGCAAGGTGGTCAAAGTCTCACAAACGAGGTACGCTTGGGAATCGCATGATGCAGCGTATCATCGAATGCCGACATGTTATGCCACAGTGCCATTAGGCGGCACATGGCCATTGCGATCTGCAACCTTGAATGTAGTGAGCTGGCACCATACATAGGTACCGGGTAGCGGAGATGGATGTCTCAGTGGTAAGTGAACCATCAGTGAACAGAAAATGAAGTGGCTGAATTGAATCCGACGTATCGAATGCCAAGCTCGTTAGGCGACAGATGCTTGGCCAATCAGAAATGACCGACCACAGGCATCAACATTTTCTTCATTCAATTTCCACCACCATCGAGCACCGCATATCATGTCAAACCCAAAGACGAGCCAGCGTGGATGGTGTTGCACATCACAAAGATCCCTACCAGGGAAAATATTCTACCTACAAGTCGGCGCGCTCGCGCAGGCACCGACATTTCCAGTCTGTCTGCTGGCCCGTCATGGAATCGCTCGTCCAAGCTGCATATATTCGTCGATCCCTATATTCCCAACCCTACGGTAGGCAAAGACAGTAAGTAAGTCCTCTAGTCTGCTGATTTGTCCATCTTTCGGCTCGCTTTCGAGCATACTCATCAGTAGTCACCACAATCCAGACCCCCTCTGTGTGTGAAATGGTCAAAATCATTATCATCGGCGCCGGCATCTCCGGGCTAAGCACCTACCTCTTCCTGCGGAAGCACCTTCTTCACGACCGTCACACTGAGACTGAACACGAGAGAAGCTGTGGAACCGAAATCGAGATCAAAATCTACGAAGCCTACGACATCCACGCCTCCAACTTCAACGACACTCTACTCGCCACTTCTGCCCATGGTGCGAAGGGCGACCAAGCCCCAGCCCTCCCCACAGACGAGACTCAGCCGATCTTCACGCCCCAGGCGATCGGTTCCGCAATCGGGATATCAAAGAATGGACTGGGCGTATTGTCTCGTCTTGATGACCAGGACGATGCCGAGATCCCAACCGGAACTTCACACAAGCTGAAGTCAAAGCGAGGCCCATCTATCATGCACCAACTAGCCACGCACGGCCATCCCATTGACTGCTGGCAGATCAGCACGGCGCGGGGCTTTACCATTGTGGATGTTGAGCTTAGACCCGCGCACAAGAGGAAACCTCATGCCTCAACGAACGCAGATGCCCAGATGACGAGAGCGGGAGGTGCCACCAAGGAGACAGATCTCTACCACGGGATCATGATCGCGCGGCAATCGTGCTGGGAAATCCTGCGTGATCGCGTCCTTGATGTTGCCCCAGATGTCATATACAGGAAAAGGGTCACGGATGTGAAGATCGGCGACGAGACAAGCCCCAACGTCATCATCTTTGAGGACGGAAGTCGCGAACTCGCCGACCTGGTAATCGGTGCGGATGGTCTGAGGAGTGTTTTGCGAAGGGCCATGTTTCAGGGGCAACAGGAGGATCAAGCTTCACGGCCTCGGCGTAGCGGTGATGGTGGTGACGATAGTCGCGGTGCGCAGAAAAGAAGCTGGGCACAACTGCTGAAAACGTACTTCCCGTTCTTCCGCCCTGTAGCGCCCACCGTCGCGAAACAAGACTTTATCTCCCCCCACTACGAAGGGCTAGTCGGCGTCGGCGGGTTCATCCCCTCCTCGGTGCTCGAATCGGCAGGCCACAAGCCAGGCACAATGGCCATCGTCTTTGGACCGAACGGCTTCTTCGGATACGGGTACTTGAGTTCTGCTGCGGCAGCCGTGGGGGAAGAGGAGGAGGAAGAGCCATCACCGCCATCCGCGCCGAGGGACCCTGAATCGGGAACAGAATCAGAACCAGGAGATACAACGTCGAATGTGGACGCACACGCAGACCCAACACCTGGGCCCCTCGCAGTCTGGTGGTCCACCTTCTCCAGCCCCACGCCATATCCTTATTCCAAGTCTGACTTTGATTCTTACACCAATGCACACGGCACAGAGAACAAACCCCCAACACGACCGCAACCCCAAGCACAGCCACGAATACACACACAAGCAAAAACACAAGGACAGACACAAACACAAACACATACCTTCGACAGACACCTCGCCCTCGCGGCCCTCCTCCACCGCCACTCGACGTGGAAGAACGCCGCCGTGACCGCCATCTTAAAATATGTCGGCACGCACGCTGTTCCCTCCCGCGAGCACGAGCACGAGCACGAGCAGAGCGCAGACACCAACACGCGAGCCCTCGACGCGTGCTACCCCACATGGACGACCCCCGAACTCCCGACCTGGACGAAAGGCGGTCGGGCCGTGCTCGTCGGCGACGCCGCGCACGCCTTACAGCCCAGCAGCGGACAGGGGGCGTGCCAGGCTCTCGAGGACGCCGAGGCTCTGGCGCTATTTCTGGGACGGTGTCGAGTGGGTGCGCCCACCACTGCTCCTGCTGCCAACACCGTCCTCGAAGCTAGCGGTGACGGAGCAGGATTACACGCCCGACTAACCCGTGCTCTCGCAGCATACCACGCCCTCCGTGCCACACGCGTGCATCAGATCCACCAGCGCTCCCAACGGATGGCGGGTGCCAAATCCGATATGAGCATTCTGATGGAGTACGTCGTGTATTTCTCCATCTGGATGATGACGTGGCGGTGGCTGGGTTGGTGTCTCACTCGATTGGGGGTTAGTGATTGGGAGAGGTATAATGAGGAGTTGTTTGGGTATGATCTGCCCGCTGAGGTGGAGGAGTTTCTTGCGAGGGAGGGCACAGGATGTAATAAATAGGAACTGAGGTCGATGGGTAGATCTAGGATGCGGCATGGATACAGAATATTCACGAGCATTTTCGGTAGCGGTAGGCGTGAAAGGTGGGTTGAATGTAGGCCTTGTGATGGGATATGTGACTCACGGTTACAAGGACTTTGGGACTTCAATACAACTTCTGCAAATACATATCATTGAGCCAGGAACTCGGCAAGTTACCAGTGCCATGTTTTTACAGTCAGGAACCGCCTCGAGACCCTGTGCCGTGTCATACAGAGACGCAACTTCCCATCCCTTAAGGCAATGCCATTGGACTCCGCGATCGAAAACGATCAGCATCACGGGACCCCACGTCCTCCAAAATATCAGCTCGCCGTGTTCCTTCACACCAAGAACCCCCACAGAGTGGCCGGCCGCTTCTCAACCTGCTCAGCTTCCTCTCTAGGTTCCGTGCTTCCAGCTCCTTGCTTGGCGGACTCAGCTGCGCAATCAGGTCTGTCCTCATTCTCGGTTTCACTCTCCCAATCCCAGTACACCCAGCCGTCTTCAGACCCACATTGGCTCAGAACCTCGACCTCCGAGTAGTGTCCGCTAGCTGTAACATATCCTTCATCATGTCGCGAACAATGCATTGCCTCGTCATCTGGGTGTAGAGTACTGGGCCAGGGCGCACACTGTCTTGCACTGGCCTCGGCTTCGGGCGTCGGGACGTCCCCACAGCATTGATAGCCAGCTTCTTCGGTCGGAGCTTCGGGTAATGAGTCCGACACGATCTGGTTGTCCTCAGCTGGGACTTCCAATGACTTGAATTGACATAGCCAGTCGAACAGCTTTTGTACATTCTCGGAGTCACTGGAAGAGTCCTCGATATTCGTAGCCACAGCCGCTCCCAAGTCAGGAACCGCAGCAGGCATAGCTGCAGGCCATGTGATGTATTGATGCTGGTACAGTCGAGCTGGGACAACATCCATGTACAGAGGTAGAGAGGCTTGGACTGCCGCGCCAATATGTACATTTGAGGAGACAGGGTCGCTCTCTTCGTGATCATAGACGTTCTCCAGAGATTCCGTAGTATAACTGTTTGGACTGGGGAACATTTGGACCATAGCCGGAGGAGCAACCATGATGTGATCGTCGGGACCGGTGAGCGTCCGTATGGTTTTCGCGGAGGCCTCCCAACATGCGGCTGGGTCATTCCTCCAAGCTTGAACAGCGTCGTTGATGCTGCGATGCGCTGCCATGATATGTGGAGCATAGCCTAGGGTCGGAAGAGTCGGGTAGATCAAGTTGTCGCCCGTACTGGGATACACACAGGGCCGGTCTTCCGCGTGGTAGAAACGCCTGCGTGCCACGAAATCTCCGGTGCATGGTATTTCGGGAGCGACCAGATTATTACCCGTATTGGGTAAAATGAGTGGCGGATCTACCACGTGGTAGAAACGTCTCCGTGCAACAAAATCTCCATAATATGACGGTTTGGGGCCGACCGGGTCATCAGTCGTGCTGAGAGGCTCGTATGGTTGATTAATCACGTGGTAGAAGCGCCTGCGTGCCACGAAATCTCCAGCCGAGGGCCATTCGGGACCGTTGAAGATGCCGAGTTGCCAGTCGGCGGCGCTGTCAGTATTGCTTGGCCCGCAGTGAAGGGTGACATGCGTCTCCTCGCAGTCTGAGCAGTCCAACAGCTCAGGCAACGGACAACCATGTGTGGAGGTATCATGGCTCTCATCTGAGATGCAGCTTGGTTCAAGCCTGTGTTTTGACGATGTAGGGGCACAAAAGGCTAATCCTAGACTTTCCTTGCGCTCGAAAAGTGGAGGTCGAGCCTGAGGAGCAGTCGACATGGATCGATAGCTGACAAAATCCGGCTCTGGTTGTACTTGGCCACACGCATACCCGAAATATGGAAAAGCCCAGGCTGGATCGACAGTGTTCGAGGGAGGGATATATCCGTATTGCGCATCATGGTAAAGGAAAGGACTGGGGATTTCGACGCTAGCGGCGTATCCAGAGCTGCATTGGGAAGAACTGTTGTTCATAGAGGACGGCGGGTTCCCATAGGGCAACTTGACTCTGGGTGTGGCGTCAGGTGTGGTGGGGAACGAGGGCCCTGGCAGGGAGACGGATCCGGTGAGGAGGTCCAGTCGAGGGCTGTCATGTGGCTGCATTCTCTTGCCGGGGACCGAGTTCCTCTTGGTGTCTGGGTAAGCAGAAGACAGAGGTTCAGGGAATCCATCAGAGGGAAGTGGCTCAGCAATGTTCACTGTTGGGTCTGTAACGTCTGTATCTAAGGGCCAGTATTTGTTCCCTAGATTCATGTTAGCCTGAGGTCATGATGAAGTACAATATCGACAAACCATCGAGAACAGCCCCATGACCAACGTGGACATCTGGATCGACGTGATAATCTTGGTCCTCGCAAGCGTAATAACAACCTTCGACGTTCTGTGAGTCACTGTCACGCAGCTTTCGTCGCTTTGGTGCACGGCGATTGGCGCCCTTCGGTGACATTGTTGGAGAATTGAGGCTCTGGCTGCGGTGGCTGACTTTGCGTTTCTGGCGTACGGACTTGCCGACCATTGTTTTCGTGGAGGGAGAGGTGATGATAGGCATAAACAATCTGAACAGCGGTAAAACAGGTGTATAGGGCAATGCTTAGGGAAGAGATGGTCAGAGGAGTGTGTATGGTGCAAGGAGGATTGAGTGCTGAGAGTCAAAACTTGATGCTGACGCGGACAGCTCGAACAGCTCTTTCCATTGCTGGTGTGCGTGAAGCTGCGGCAAGCACGGTTGTGAAGGATGAATGAGGAGGCGCAGGCAGGCGCCAATGAGTTTGGGACTTCGGCATCGTGCTGTCTACCAGGACCCGACACCACAGACCCCAGATCTTTGCTCTCAGACAACACTTCCCGACTGCAACGGGGGCTCATGGGCCTTCCTCTTGACTTTTTCGACCAGAGTCTCGTCGTGGTGGTGGGCTTCCGATCCCATCTCGCTCTCGTGTATCTGGCGAACCCGACGTAGTGCCCAGAAATTGTACAAAGCGAAAAGCAACCCTGCGACAACCATGCAAGATCCGATTACGACAGCAGTGATCCTCGCCGTGATACTCCAAACACCATGCTGTGCAGTGTAGACATTGACCAAGGTGGTTATTAGACCGGCAATAGAGTTCATGGTGAGGGGCCTATCAAGGAATGGTTAGTTGGGCGAATTTGTTGCAAAGGAAGGATCATACAGAAAAACCCTGTTGATCAGCCAGACATAGTTCTCTCGCCAACGAAACACCAGCGCAAGGCACCCCAGCGCCCCGACAGTGCAGAACGCCCCAGCGACCCAGAGAAGTCCGATGTTGGCAATGGAGCGGATAATAGCATGGGTGATTTCGTCATCATCGTTGTTGTCGGCGTCCTGAAACGCTTCTGACTGCTTAAAGGTCGTGAACGTTCCCGGTACGACGAGGAAGCCAGCAAGTATTATCCAGCTAAATAAACTAGCCAGGATGTTGTGAAATCGAGGTATCTCATCAAGGTGAAGTAGCATCTCCATGTACCTTGTCCGAACCGACGGAACCCGGACCAACGGCGGCTTGGACGAGTAAGTATCGGAACGGCCCAAGACGCCGGGTTTGGCAGACTCTTGTCGCTTGAGAAAGTGCAACGGCTTCCCTCCATGCAGAGGAGCGGTCTCGGCGCGCTTGACAGGTTCAGGTTCTCCATACCAGCGATTATTGTCCGGGTGCATAGTCGAGAGCGGCGGACGAGATGTCTGCGTGCTTTCCGCTCTCTTCCCAAACATGCTGGACACTGTGTTGATGCGACTCAATGGTGGAAGGACCGTTACCGGAGGCTCTAGGGATTGAAAGAGCCAGGCAATATAGACAGGCCAGGTGAAAACCGGGACATAAGATGAGCGGAGAAGCAATTATATCAACGAACGAGGCAGTGTAAGAAAGCGCCGAACGTGGCAGTAAGGAGGATAAAGGTGTTGCATCGATACTTGCCTGGCAAGACACCAGATTATCAGCTCGACAGAGGCCGTGGTAGCATATCGGCGACTGGCTCGTGTGGCCAAGGGCAAAACAAACTGCGACTATTCTTGGAACGATACCATCTTAATGCGGGGTGATGGAGTGTTGCAGAGTACGTATATGGGAAGACAACCATCGATGTCTGGTGGATTGTGGCTCTGCTCGCCGGATGGACGACAATTCCACCTGTGACTCGCAAAGCTGAGAGGTTCACGATGGTTGGTGTTGGAGGAAGCAGAACAAGGTTCCTGAAACTTGGCCGCAGCCCTGGCGCTAGCAATGCCCAAGCAATGCCCAAGCAATGAGAGTATTGCGCGCGGCTGATAAATAGTGTGGATGTGTTGACGTCCAGGGCTTTCCCTCGGTGTTCCTCGCCTTCGGGTGGCATGTTCGTATCCGAAGCTTGGTTTCTGACAGTGTCTGCTATACCAAGCTCGTGCGAACAGCCACCTACAGCCTACGGGGTAATTTATCGTGACTGTGGGACATTACCCTTGTCTGCTCGAGGGATTTGCGGATGGTAGCGCACACGGCTATAGCTGGGAATCGCCATTCACCATCAGTGAGTAACGACTCTTGGGTGCGGCTGGAAACAACACTATCGAAATGGTCTAAAAGCACTTCATCATTGCTAATGCTTCTCAGACGCCAGTCACAATCCCCGCCTTAGCTGGTCGTAGATATTTCGCCGATACCAAAGACAGCAGCCGCCGTTCTGTTCCCATGGGCCGTATCTCATTTTGCCATGCGTCGTAACCGGTACGGTCCCAAACATCAGCCAGGTCCGTCCATCTGTCAACGCCATCCCAAAGTTCCGCAAAGTCCAACCCCCCATGAACGTTTGTACACGAGTGCCCTCAACCCGCGTCAGCATCAAGTTGTGTCCTCATCTAGAAGCGCCCGCATAAAATCCCATGCCAGTGCTGTAAACCCAGTGGGTATCGTTCTTCACCCACGAACCCGAAATCAAATCCGCGCTTATTCTTCGTCGTCAACAACGGTAACGTCAACCACGTCCGAAATCCTATTCTTCGCGGGGTCTTCAAGACAAGGGACCATCGACTTGTACACAGTTGTTTCGTTTGCGGGCCTCGGCACGAAGTACAACTGGAAAACGCCCACAATCGCAACAAATCCAGCGGCCCACCATGCCAGACCGGTGAATCCAATATTTGAACCCCATTCATACAGAATTCCCGCGATAGGAGGCGCCACGCATCTGCAAGCCGCGCCAGCTGAAGCAGCAAGACCGTTGATTCGTCCAAGGTAGGTGGGAGAAGGGCTTGCTTGCTTGAGTAAGATCAAGAGCACGGGATAATCGAGAATCGAGAGGAAGTTCCGAATCGTTAGGCAGGTGTAGATGCCGGGGTAGAGGAGGGTCGAGGGAAGGAATGCCAGGTATGGCACAATGAAGAATGCAACTGGGTGTAACACCGTTACGAGAACAAAAACTCGCCAAGTGCCGAGGCGTTCGGCGACAAATGGAAAAATGACAGCCTGGATGAAGAGGGCAATGACCCCATTGACCGACATGATCACTCCAACAGCCTTGGTGGACAACCCTAGTCCGCTGCGGATATCAAATGGGCTGGCGGCCAGGACCGTAACGCCTTTGGCTGCCTTGTCCTGGTAGAAGATGGGAAGGAGGTGATCGTAGCACATCGAATGGTATGTGTAGATCGAGAGAGCCAGTGTGAGCATAACAATCTTTCTCGTGAGCCACTTGCCCGCGCTGTTGTCGCTGATGGAGGGTTCTCGGGAGGTTCCATCTTCATTCAGTCGCCATCGCTCGTTCTTTTGAACATCGACTCCAGTAAATGTCCCATACGAGTCCGAGTTCAGATCGACGGCGTTGTCAGCAATAGCACCCCCAGCGCTGATGACCGGCGTCTGTTCGGTAACGCTTTGGTAGAAGCTACCACGGCGGGGCTGTGTGCTGTTGTTCTTGAGATCTGGGTGTGTTTCCCTCAACCAGATGTAGGCGCTCACCATGCTAAAGAGCATAAAGAAAGCGCACACAAGGTTGGGAAGTAGGTAAGGAAAGCGACCAAATAGCCCATCTTCGGAGAAATGGTCTGGGTAGGAGGTTGCGGGATTTACGAGAATACCACCAATAGCCGGGCCGATGATGGTGCCAATAGCCCAGATGAAGGGCACGACGGCATATGCTTTGGGCTCCCATTCTGGTTTGGTAGTGAGTTCTCCAACCACGGTTTGTATGACACCTATGATTATATCAGCCATCTTCTTTTCTGTACCTTTTCTTGAGGCGCATACCAATGTTTCCGTTCAGCACACCGCCAAAGATCCGTCCGACGAGAGCCATTGTGAAGCTCGTAGAGAATCCGACAATCAGGAGGGATATCATGGTTCCAAAGCAGCCCAGGAGGAGGACCGGCCTTCGGCCGATGCGGTCGGAAAGTCCTCCCCATAGCAGCGAGCAGAGCGCTTCGGAGAAGGAGAAGGAGGCTATAAGGATGCCAGCCCAGAAGGAAGGATCAGGCATGCCAAATTGCTTGGTCATGATCCAGGCGTAGGGGAAAATGGCCGTAACGGCGATCGGCTCGGCCAGACGACATATTGCTGACAAGCGATCAGTCACCAAACGGTATGGGCGAGAGTGGTAACGACGAGATTGAACTTACCGATTATAAGGAATTGTCCAGTAGGAAACGAGTCGTCCGAGGAAGGAGAGCGATTCTTTGACCGTGTAAGTCTCATCTTTTTGAGCAAGCCCTATCTCTTACGACCAGTCCTCCTCACTGCGGTTTCCGATTTCGATTCTCAGCTCTAGTCAGTCAATCTAAGGCGATGTCGGGGAGGAAGACGGCTAGAGTGCAAGGTTGGACAGAGGCAGATGCTTGCACGGCAAAGAAACGTTATGCACGGCGAAGGTTGAGTGGTGAGTCTAGCAGACGGTAGAGAGGTACGGGGTTGGATGGTGCGATAGATCCCAAGCGAAATGGAAGAGAATGGATTCAGAACAGGACGACTACACAGTACGCAGTTCGAGTACACGATGGTGAAGTGGAGGCGTCGAAAAATTGGCAGTCATTCATCCCAGCCAACCCGCGTCGGAAGACCGATCCGCATCCCGATGCTTGCAGCCGACTTTGGGAAACCAACGCAAATGGAAAAGGATATACATGTGGAACTGCAATCGAGAATCACAAAGATGCCAGTTCCCTGCATCTCCCTTCATGGGTGACGTTTCCTTTGGTCGCAGCTAATTGATGAGAGCAGTGGCGTTTTAAGGGACTTGGGCGGCCTGCGTGCGGTATGAGAGTCAATTGCAGGCTTCCTCACCGCTGGACTTCCCGGGCGGTGAACGAAATCATCATGTGTCATTGGTCGCATTATCAGGGCCCTGCTGAAATGACGGATCTCGGAATTCAGCGCGTATCTCTGATTTGCTGGAAATCGGTAGAAGTGTCACTCGGTGTCCCGTCTACTTGGTTTTAAGAAAGCCGGTTTAGTACTCATTGGGGAGTGGCATAAGAACGATTAGCCCACATTGCTCCGCACCAACATCATAGCTCGCGCCATGGCTCGTTCAGAAGCAGGTACAATACGCAGGTGTTGCACAATAGACCCTTAGGCCTCTCTGCTGTGCTTGAGCCATCGGAGACTGTTTTGCTGCGAGAGAGGGCCGAAAGTGTTCCCAAGCACGGATGGTGCGTTTATCGTCCTGCTGCGGCCAGAGGCAAGAAGTACAGCGGTGCGTCATGGCCTCGCTGACAGCATTCCTGTCTCGGAAGTCGAGTGGAAAGATGGATGTTCGAAGGTCAGGGTCTCATCGGACGATGTGAGAGAGTCTGCCGAGAGAATGGTGCATCCGCATCTTGGGCAACCAGCACGGCAGACGTCAAACGGACCTGCGTCTGGGCACACTGGGGAACAATCCATACTGCTGGCAGAACAACCCATTGCCTATGGCCAGAACCCCTCCAGCGCTCACCGAGCTAGCACAAGCCATGCCGACAGCCGTACGGAGCAGCTATACCCCAAGCCGCCTAGGCTATCGGATGTTGAAAGCATTCCGCGGTGGCCCCCAGCCTCTGCGTCCTCGCTCTGGTGTCTTATGCACCTTCCAGAGCTAGTTTGTCAAAGACTATTCGAATGCCCACAGTGTGCTATGCGGCGCGCTTGCACCATTTGTCCCGTCAAACTGGGGTAGCAGTGGTCAGGAAACTGGAGACTTGACAGAGGTTCTGAGTGCCCAATAGCATGGACATGTTGAGGGTTCTAAAGAGCACCGGAACCACACGGAGAGCCAAATCGTTTTACTGACAGTGGCGCCAGTTTCCCTGGGACAGAAGATCCTACAGCCAGCCCTTATATCAGGTATCTGCGACCTTTTCCTCCGTCGTGGTCGCTTCGGTGGGAGTCTCACGTTTTTCGCGCAAACCAAGCTCAACCTCACCTCTGAGCACCTTGATAAGCGACAGGGCTCGGTCCTGCCCAGCTGGGGTACTTTTGCCCAAGTCATAGACGACGTTGACCAGAGCCAGCGAGGCCACGAAAACCCACACCTCTCCGCCTTTGATACCCTTCCACCATCGGTGCTTAACACCAACCTTCCACAACGAATCGATGCTCATCCTTGCGGCATATAAAGAATTAGCATGTCCAGCTTCCGTACGATCAAACAGCTGGAAAAGTCCTCCCAACAGCCCGCCCAAGAAGAATCGGAACTTCGGCTGGAACGCGCGGGGTAAGATGTTTTGGAACAGACATATCGTGCCCCAAGATGCCCCGATCGAGCCCGCCATTGCAATCGTCGACCTCAAAATGGATTCTGACAGACTATTCAAGCTGGCCACTGGCGCTCCGAGAAGTTTCTTGCCTCGCAATAATGCAAGTGCTCCGTAGTATTTGGTGAAGAACTTCGCAACCTCTGGAAAGGACAGTAGCATTTGCCGCAGGTAGGCCAGGAAGCAGGACGGATCCGACGGGTGAAGTAGAGCGCACGATAATTTCTGAATTCCTGGATGTGCTCGCGAGGTGATGGGTGAGATGATAGGATCGATGCTTGCCGGTAAGGTGTTGGCCATCTTGGGATGCAGAATTGGCGAGACAAAGGGCGGCCACCTCAGACGTGCCATTTGTGCTAGCGCATCCACAATGCTATCGGCCGCCGGCCAGGTCACTCTAGGGGAGAGATTTGGTGGAGGTGCCTGGATGTACTCGGGTGTGTATCCGATGACGAACGATCTGTATGCCTCGGGAAAGCAGTCGCGATCGAATACCAAAGCATGCAGCAGTTGACCTTGTGCTAGAGCGAACAAGATCCAGCTTCCCACCCAAGACGGTTTGCTTCGGATGAGCTTCGTGTGTTCAATAGCGGCGTACCCAATTTCTAAGGCCCGGCAGCCCACGTAGATCGATATCGTCATTCTGAGTTGGTCGGCCGGACAGATTCCCAGCGCAAGTCCGGACAGACTGGCTCCGATTGCCGGTGCAATGCGGGAAGTGAGGACCGCGTACATCCTTGGGTACCGTTCCTTGATGCTGCGGACTTTTTCGTGTAAAAGTTGCAGTCTCAGGCGGACGAATATGCGATAGAGTGTTGCGTGGAAGAACAGCAGAGACGACAATGACAGTGCCACCTTTAAATGGGACGCGACAAGCGGCTTTCGAGATCGAGTTGCTGTTTGAGGTCTTTGTACTGCAAGACGATCCAGGATCGCACCAATCGTCCTAAGAGTTCCATATGTGACCACGAACACCCGCGATGCTGAGCGGAATGCTGCAGCCTTGTGGTCATCGTATTGGACATCTGAGCTTGATGCACCATCGTGAAGCTGGGTTCGCTTGGTAGTAGTATCAGGCTGGGGGAACGGACTTCTTGATATCAGCCTCCGTATCAATGCGTACTCCCTTTCGTTCACGATCAAACGGACAGGAAGCTGATTGATCGCCATGTTGGGTTTCTCCTGTCGCTTTGGGACACTCCAATCGGTGCAGGTGGCGCGCACTCAGATGGCGGCGCAAGCTCGTCAGAACCTTGTGTCGAATCAACAGACCATCAATCAGCGCCTTGTGCTTTCTTCAAACCCATGACGCGACGGAATCAGAACAAGTCTCCTGTCGAGTCGATGACAACAATGATACTGTGTAGATGTGTTGTTCGGTCGAAAAGCCTCGGCATGATCGCAGAGGTGGCACATGAAAGAACACCACCGGCTCACATGCTGCACCCGCTTCCACTACGTCTGACCATATCTACCTTTAGATGCATTATCGGCCATCGCTCGACTGCAGTTCAGCCGTGAACACCACTGCCACCACAACTTGAAGTCGGCACGAGGCTTGTGCCCGCCTCATCCCCGCGACCATGCATCTGTTCACAATTCTTCTGGCTTTCCTCACGCTGCTTCTGACTCTGATCGGTCCCTCCGCGTGCGCGAAGTCCACAGCTACATCCTTCTGCAAGTGCATCTGCTTCAACAACAGCACCATAATCGCGCTGAACCCCCCTCCCTCCAGCACAAGCGCCGCCTCACTACATAACCTCGACATCCGCTCGCCCCATCCTGCGCCGGGCGACGATAGCTCCGGCTCGAACGGAGAATCCCACCGGCCACATCGCAAGCTCACGTGCGCGGACTGCACCCGCGCTTTCTGCCTGGATTACAACCTACCTATATGCAAGGATGCAAGGGAGGAGGATGTCTTCACGACATGTTTCCGTGCGCCTTCCCCGAAACTCCTCTTTCGCGGTGCAGGATCACTAACGGTGCTGGCATAGAGCGCGACTCTCTCAAAGACGAGACCGTGGTCGTGATATTCGTCTTCGCCACGGTGGGACTCCTCGCTTGGGCCGCAGTGAAACCCTGGGTAGATCGGCTGCGAGAACGGAATACGTTTATGCCCCTGGGACAGCATGATCGAGGACAGACTCACAGCATTGCGGCCGGGTCGGCCAAAACTTCGCGCCGCGCGGGGTTTGGAGGTCGCGCAGGAGGCTCAAGTGCAAGGAGTAGAGGAGCAGAGGATGAGGCAGGCCCTTTCCACGTCGGTTCTTACGATGAAGATATGCATGCTGAACAAGATGCCGTCGATATAGTCTCGGGCGTGCCGTCAGGCTCAAACTCGGGACCGGCATTTCGCTCTTGAAAACGATCATGATGGACTGAGATATGACATTGTCTTCCAGTTTTGCTCGCCATCGTATTAACGTCGAATACCCAGCTCGCAGGTATGCCTCTTGGTCAAGTCGTCTCTCATCCAAGCAGCCACCTAGCTCAAGAAACTCCCCATGCCGTACATATTTTCTAACCACCCCGATTATTGCCGAACCCGCATTTTGGAAGGTCCCCCTTTGCTATGCTCGAACGACAGATCACACATACATGAACGAGCCCGCCCGCTGTAACGCTATCATTGCCCCATGTTCCATGCATTTTTGCTTTTGCTCATTACGTCCTCACTTTTGCCTCATTTTCTGCCCATTTGGATGACACCAAGAAACCTACACGGTCGCGGTGAAGCACGTTGGTTTCCAGGATCAGCTCTTTGATGCCAACCGGTTCCCACGCTGCTGAATTGGCCATGCGCTCTTTGTTGGGGACGTGGGAGTCGTGGATCCTCTGGCGGCGGAGTTCGCGTTCGTTGACCACATCGACCATGAGTTTGGTGGTTGCAGCATCACGTATGGTGGGTGCTTGGATGAAGTTGTTGAATGCGAAGAGATTTTCGAAATCGACATTCAGCAAGATGTTGGAGGTGACGGTGTCTTTGAAGTTGGATCCTGTAGGGAGGATCTCAGACTGTGGCGAAGATGGTGACATGTCTGCAGATGATGGCATGGAGCCAAACACCATAGAGGCCAGCGCTGGGTTGTGCTTGGGACGGCCGTCTTCAACCTGGGGGAGACGCGAAGGGACTAGAGTGTGGTTCATGGCAGTAACCAGCTTGAAATTCTTGATATCGATATGATTGGCCAAGAACTGAAGGACCTGCTTGACAATGGAGCTGCTGGTGACGATGTAATCAGAGCCGGTCATGTTCTTTCCGTGGGACGGGGAAGGCGAGCTGGCAAGCTCCATCGCATATTTGTAAGTGATCTCAAGAATATCCCAGTCCAGGTAGGTGTTCAGAAGTCGTTCTGCACAGATAGAGACTGGCTCAAGTCCAAGTTCGATACCAGAGACCCAGTATGACAGTAGGTAGTCGAGGTTGTGGACTCTGATAGACTGGTAATCTGCACCTGGGTGCGGTTGGACGAAGAAATCCTTCCCCAGAACCGTGTCAGAGTAGAGGAAGCGTAACGCTGCCTCAAAAGCATGAGGCATGACATAACGGGCTGGATAGAGGGTTACAACGTTGCTGCCATAATTGTGGTTAGCTTGTTGTTGACGGGACACCAGCCTTCGTAGTCGTAGGCTTCGGAAGAGAATGACCGAGTGCGCGTAGCTGACAAAAGGCTGCGCATTGCTCGGATTGATCTGGATGACGATGTCGACACCTTCTTTCGTCGCGTTGAGCAGAAGCAAATGTTCTTGAAGCGAGGGAAGAGCATTGAACGACCGTGACGCAGTCGCAGGTGGAACAAATGAGCTGGTTGCTGCTTGATGATAACCATTCATCCCTGGTTCGCGAACTGCCTCCGCAGTAGAATCAGCTCGACCGCTGTCGTAAGTGTGGTTAAGCTGTTCCTCATGCTTGGGCTGCTCTTGCTGTAATGGAGGAGCCTCATTGTCCGTGGGCGTGGAGTCCGATGGGCTGTTTCCGTTCACATAAAGTTGTGTAGAACGAGGTTCGTTGGTCTGTTCGGAGAGTTTGGGACTAGAGGATACTGTTGGCTCTCCGTCACCAGCGTCTCCGACTGGACTATTGGTAGACTCCGGAAAGTGGCCATCTATGTCAACGCTGTTGCCTTGTTCTCCGTCTGACTCTGCGACAGAAATTTGCACGCTGGGATCTGCTGTATGACTGTTTGCTGCTTCGGCCACTGGAGCATGTCCGACATCAGCCTCGACCTCGTGACTAGCCAAGGCATTGTCCACCTCTTTCTCCTCTTCTGCGACATGGCTTTCAGGGTAGGTCGCGAGTTCCTCAGCCGGAGCGTCGCGCGGGGTGACTGGTTGTGATTTTTCTGCGATACGTCAGCGAAATCGCAGAGACGGATCTGGTGTATCAACCTGCTACAGGAGAACCTTCTTTCCGCGGAGAGCTTGTGTCTTCGGCCGCCTTATCACTAGGCCCTTCCGCAACAGACTGCGTCTCTGTATCAGGGACTCTACCATTGACCTGGAGTTGGGGTGCCGACTCTGAGGCAACCACCTCAGATTCGGGCTCAGGCTCAACTGTGACAGGTTTCGCTTTTCGAGGCCTCGACCCCAGGACCAGTGGTAATGCGGGCTGTACCATGCGGTTGTGCGCCTTCGACTTTTTGTTATTAACCGAATTAGAAGCCATATTGGAGGCGAAATGACGGTCCAAATGACGGGCTCCAAGAGCCGATCATGGAGAAGATCGGAAGCGAGCTCGGCCAAGAGGAATACGAGAAATATGAGGCAGCGAGGAAAACGGGTCGAAGACGGTTCTTTCTGTTCTGGAAGCTGATTAGCGTTGGCCACAAGAAGCTACCAAACTGATGGTGGACGAGGACGATGGTGTTGTCTGTCTGAATTCAAAGCCTCGGAGGGGCAGTTCATTCTTCACTTTGCGACCAGCTGGGGACGGAAAGAAAAACTACTCCACACTCCCGTTGCTCTTCGATCATGCAGTGTCGGTGAAATAAGCCCATTAGGCCATGCCCATCCATATCCGGGATAGCGTAAGAAGGCCGCTTTATCCAGCGGCAGCTCAGGCAGGTGGGCTGGTACAGAGTCCGGTTTGAAGTTGATGCCCACCGTCCTTCAGACCTACTGCTGTACTAAGCAAAAGAATCATTCCACGTGAAGGCAGAACAATTGGGGTAGTCAGTGGACGTGCTTTACGCCAATGAACGAAACAACAGCATGATCGCTTCTACGCTTAAGACGCACAACGTCACTCGCGGTGTGCCCAGAATCTGCGGCATACCGGACACGATTGACGAGGACTGACCTCTGCCAGACATTCACGGAGTTCGTTCAGACAGCGTTACGGGCCTAGATGAATGCCATGTTGCGTGCCTGCTCCTGTGATCGCTCCTGGAGGGTCTGCCGTTGTCTGGCTTCGAAGGCATGAGACGTGGCCATCATGGTCATCTTGTGGTGACAACAGGTAGCATTCTGAACGATGAGAGTCCTTGGCACATTGGAACGGCTTATCCCGCTCTGTTGGCCTAAGGAAGAAAGTCAGGAGCTTGTAGCTTTCGTACTCTTAGTATGCCTCTGATCTGTCCGTACAGAGCTGGATCATTGATGATGATGAGCCAGTCTTCTCAGCGGGCTGAGCTCTCGAAGATAGGTCTGGGAAGGCAGCTTTCTGTTGGACTCCAACCGTCATTGAAAGCTTCAAGCTTCACTTTCGTGCAATCGAAGTGTTTGATGTTCAAAGCACTCAATGGATGTACTTTCGCCAGCTGAAAGAGTTGACACCCAGCAGCAGTTACAGCTACACAGGCTACTGCACCCTCTCGTGGACGCGGCTACAGCTCTGGCGTGGTAACAGCGGACGACCATTCGAGGCACAACGCACCCAGGAAGAGAATACTGAGGCACGCTTGTGACTAGGCAATGATGCCACCAGGGTGATATCCATTGCCATGTACGTTATCACGATAAGCGAGGAGCGCATCAGCTTACAGTAAAGGAATCCCTCGATGACCATACTTGAACACGGCAAGCGGAAATGCAAGATCGTATCACAGGCATTTCATACCGCCCTTGAAACAACGAACAGGTTAGATGAGGCTTGGAATGTGAACGCTACAGACAGGCAATACCCACAGGGTACCCTGACCAGAACACCTACTGTCTACAGCACTTACTTCTACTCCGTACCTCGTACAGTAGCTGGTGGTCCCCCGCCTCGTTTGGCGAGTGGGCCATATGGCAGAAGCGCGAGACTACCAGCAGCGATTAGCGAGATCCAAGTGAGAGCATTGCTGCATATCATCGCTCAATCTACTGTATGACCTTGTCCTTTGTGGCGATGATGGTGCGACATCCTCTCGTGCCTGCGACCATAGCTGGACGAGTATACCCCAGAACGCGTCATGATTCCAGGACGAGCGCCCCGAGTTTGTGAATCCTCCGTTTACGCCGGAGATTTCTCTGCCAAAGCCGATACCTCGTATGACGTGGGAGAACAATTTGATGGCAAATTAAGCGGCGTCAGGCCAGAAGCTGGAGGCGGGGATCTGGAAGTTTAAGCCAAACACGCTAAAACAACCACAGGCAGAACGACACATGCAGTAATGCAAGACGCGTGTCGCGTCATTGGGAAATCATTGTTTACACCACGCGTTAACGGGTGAACTGGCCCGGAAGTCTAAAGGAGATTTGCATGCTCGCATCTCGGGCAGAAAGCAGTAGCAGATGTCAAACCTAGTCGAGAGGGGAAAATATGCGATAAAGCACCGTCTGAAGACAGATAGTATTCCGTGCACAGGCTATCACAGAGAGCATGCAATACTACTGTGGTACGGAATACTCCGTACTGTGCACGAGTTCTGTGTATCCAGAAAGAGCCAGTGCCTGTGCGGAAGTATGTGACGCTGAGGAAATTCAAGCCTCTTCATAGATCCATTGGAGCTTGTTGATCGTGAAAAGGCCCAAAAATAAAGCCCGTTTTGAGAAAAGCCAACCAATCAACTGGAATGAAGAAAAGGAATCGACTGCGAACGGCGCCTCAGCCTGGGCCTTCGAAGTGGATTTCGGGGCGGTTTTCGCTGAAGGTGGAGTGCACAATCTCCTCGTTAAGGGGCTTAATGGTTGGGCACCGCGACTGATTGGATTTTTGGAAAAAGCCCTATTGACCTTCGGGGCCCGCTAAGGTTCTTCCCGGACGCCGGAAGCGCCACCGAAGTCAACCCCCCGGCGCCCACTATTGTGGGTCAGCGGTTGCTTCTGGGTTTCAGTTCAACAGTCCAATCACTGGACGCACCTCGTCGGCGGCTCTTACACAGAAAAGGATGCTTGGGTGGTCCGGCGTGCCGGCCACGTTCCGCCGTTGTCCTGTCCCAGTACTACAAACTCTCCGACCACGCTGGAGCGGCACAGAAGTGCTCAGCGTTGAAAGAAGAGGCACACGATCTACAGGAGAACAAGAGACACTGGCTTCATTTGAGTCCCTTCGGCTGAAATATCCATCTGCGAACAGATACTGCCTGCTGTGCTCTCCCCTATTTTTCAGCGCTGTTACAGGACTCCCTGAGCAGGTGCCCAGTGCAGTCAGTTGCTTGCAGTTGATGCTTGCTGCATATGTCAGAACCCGACATGGAACGATAGCATGGATTTGCTTGCTTCGGGCTGTCAAACAGCTTACTCGTGGACTTGGAGCGTAGAGTTGACTGTCCCTGCGTGCTTCTGCTGGAAACCTCGGGGCGTGTTTTGTGGCCCAATCGCGCGTATGTCACATCGGTCTGTGACACGCTAAGTAGCAGATCCACGGCCTCATCTCAATTTTTCGCGGGTTCCATGGCACCACAAGCCTCTCCTTTCTCCTTTCGACTCCTCGTTGCTCATGTTTTCTGGCCTACGCGACCGGCGTCCCTCTTCCCACTGCCGCTTCCGCATCCGCTGGCTCGGGTTGCAGCCTCAATCTCACCTGCGACATCCTTCCGCCCACGCTCATCAGCCTCGAATCGTGCGTTGCTGCCTCTTGATTGCTCTGACAACCGTGTCACCAGCACAGCGGATCGTCCCTCGAGACACTTTGCTTGCATGCTCCTTTTCTCACTCGCTATCCGCTTGTGCTACGAGTTCAAACATTTCAGAATCTCCATGCAGCAGTATTAATGTTGGCGTTCGTTTCCCGTTTTCCCATGTGAAGCTTGACACCTGCCACTGGCCTCCGAAGAGACCACTTTTCATCCTTTTCACCTTCCTGTCTAGAAAAGCCACGTTACTGATCCGCGACACGGGCGTTTGATTAGCTTGGCCCTCGTTACCTTGCTAGGCTAGATCGTTCAGCCTTTTCCCACTTGAATCTTCCGCTTCCCCAAACGGCTGTCACGGTGGGCCAGCTGGAGCCGCGGTACCTGGCTCTAACCCATCGCGGACTCAGCGCCAAACAATACCCTCTTCTGCCTTGTCAAGCCTGCTCAGGCTGTGAAATCGGCATCTTGTCAGCGTCGCAACCCTGGCTCCCTACGCTTCACGCGTCGCTCCTTGTGCGTGACCGGGGTTGCAACTTCCATTATCAATCCTTGACCTGGACCTGCTCCACCTTCAAGCGTCCGAAGTATCACAGGCACAATCGCCTTTCCCTTGTGTCCCAGCACTCCTCGAGCTGGTGGCTAGGCGAGCACTTCCGTTCTGCTATTGTCTCCGGTGCTGTTTCTGTTCAACACTCGTTGTTCTCGAAGGCTGGTCCAGCTATCGCTTCCTTCTTCAACGCTGAGCCACCCACAACCCACCAAAGCGTCGTCGCCCAAGGCCCGATCGTCACTCTCGACTCAGGATATCCGTCGAGTAGAAGACGACGTCTGCAGGAGAGCGACCTGACTGACAGCTCTCACTACGGATAGCGTCCTGCATCACTTCTTGACGCTCATCCTTGTCCATCTGCCGGTGGAAGGGGCACGAAGTCCATGCCGACTTCAATACATCAACTGCGATACGCTCCTCTCAACCCATTCTTCCACTGTTGAATTGTTGACCAAGTTCATTTGCTCTCGCCTCAGCACCGCCACTCTTTTCCACCTGCTACAAGCAGACGACGCTCATTTCGTGGTTCAACATTGCACATACACTTCAAACGCCGCCTTGAGATATCACCAATCAGACACATCCTATCCTGACTGGCATTGACTTCCGCGATTGATAATTGGAAGCGTACTCGAAGAGGAGGAGTCCGGACAACTATCCATTCACTCACATTGACGATCACATCCGTCTTCCTCGACGTTCGCACGCCTGCCAGGGCGTGGAATCTCGGTCCCCCTCGAAAGGCACAGACGTTCCGGTTGACTGGCTCAGCCTAGATTCTAAGCGAACAACGTCGACTCGCAGAACGCTTGCGCACTCTCCAGCCTAGCTATCTGTGATATCTCTTCCTAATGGACTGATTTGTATTCAGAACTTTTCGAAGTCACTCATTTCATCTGTACGACCTACCCCCACGGTTCCCTTCCAGCCATACCGTCAACTGACGAACCTTTCAGGTCTCTCACTACCTACGCTCTTTACATTTTACAAGCCACATCCGTTCAATATGAACGTATTCAAGAAAAAAGGCAAGGCCAAGGATGATACCTATCTCATACCTTCGGCGGTATCATCAGACCCGGCCCTGCCGGCAAAACTGTCTCGAAGTCTCAAACGGAAGCAGAAGAATGTGGTTGAACCGATGCCGCAAATTGACCTCGCTACGGCGCTGCCAGATACAAATGACTTCCGCACGAGTTTGCTTATGCCGGGTCTCTCCGCACGGTTCAGTATGCTCCGCGAGCAAGACGACCCTAATACCAAGGTGGGGAAGGCAAGCGACGACAGCGTACTCTTTCCGAAAAGAGCATCTCGCCTGAACCTATTTGCACACAATCCATTGACGGATATTGCCGAGACCGAATCCATCCGAACATCTATTAAGGCCCCGTTCGCCGACGATGATCGATCTTACGCCATCTCCGAGGGCGGGGGTTATGCTAGCGACGATGCTGGTGCCGTCCTCTCCAGATCGAGGCCAACAGAAGGCAATATTCTTTTTGGTGGTCGGCAAAAGATGTATCGGGTACCTGCCGCAAGTGCGTCAGGCTCAACAGGAGACTCGACCGAAGGCCCCGTTTCCCCTCCTGCGCCTTTGACGTCGTCGAAGCATGTCTACCAGAACGATGTGGTTTTGTCTCCATATCAACAAATGCGCATGAAAGCTAGGGAAGAGCAAGAGCGTGACGAGTCCCGCGAGAGACCGACCAGCCCAGAACATGACCGTAGCAGCATCATCAACACCCCCTCGACTGGATTCAGCAAAAGCAGAGGTACCACATCGTCGACAGCGTCGGGTCCTTCCAACAGGCGCATTTCAACAGCTGCTACCTCAGTAATTTCTGATGTCTCCCATCCCCGACAAAGCAACACGGGTGCCGGTTTCAACGCCAGAATGCAGAGCTCTGAGTATGGCAGCGAGGAGAGCTTGCTGAAACGGAATCTCTCTTTTGAATCTCGAAAAGCATTTCCTGGGAACGACAACCAAGATCAGCCGCCTCTACCATCGTCTCCAGTCAACAGTCGGCGACCTCCGCAAACAGGGAATGTCCCCAACCTGTCAGATAAATATAGTCGTGGAGCATCTCCATTCTCCACCGCTATTCAACGGGCGACTAGTCCCACGCCGGCCATCCAATCACAGGCACTGGCGTCTCTTGACTTTGGTCTTAAGAACTCTATCAACCACTCGCGCAAATATCAGACGGCTTCCCCAACCAATGATGATGAGGAGGACGAAGTATACAACCGGAGTTTACAGCCCAACGATCGTGGCAAAGCGACGGCGATGGGACTGTTCAACCGCCCCCAACAACAATTTGACGAACACAAGTTTGAGGAGAGGCAGCTGCAAATGCACGGTGGCAGAGTCTCACCACCCACGTCCGGAGGCCCCGACTATGGTGGCATCACAGAGCGGGCGAACGAGCCAGGTCCGGTGGTCCTTTCAGGCATTCCAACATCGCCTTTCCAGAAAGGCTTTCCTCGAGGCCGGGAATCGAGCAATGCTTCTGTTACAGGTCGCTCGAGAGCACAATCGACTGCCTCTTCCGTCCAGTCCGCGCAAGTTCAAGCACATGCTGAAGCACTAATCAAACGTCAAAACCAGGAGTACTCTACGCTGCAAGCGCAACGGCAAGCTGCAGAGCCAATTGTTCGCTCCGCACCAATGCAGATTCCCAACTCTCTGATGGAGCAGCCAGCAGCGTCCAGGGGGACATTTTTCGACACCTTCGACGGCAGTGACGATGACGCCGACAGCCCCATGCTGGGTAGATTTGAGCCGGCGCCGCGAATGGCCCGAATAGAACTTCATCCGGCGCTTCGCGATGGCTCACATCCCGTCGGTTTCAAAGAGCAGGGCGCACCTGTTGCCGATCCAGCGCGACCCCAGTCGGATGCTTCAGCTGGCACTTCATCTCCCTCGGTGGTCCAGGATACTCCAGATACCTCGGACTCTCTCCATCGTTACTCTCAGGACAAGGTCAAAGACTCCCCCACCTTGGGGCCGACGACTGGGTTGGGCTTGAGCGGCTTGATTAGAACTCATTTGAGGCACGATAGCGATAGGTCGTCTATTCTTCCACCGTCGCCTTCATACCCACCATATGAGTCCGGCTTCTCTTCGAGTCCGTTCCGCGAGCCGGAATCATCGAGTGGCTTGGCTCAGAATGAGAGCTATCGAGTCTTTTCCCGCGAGCGAGAGCCATCTTTTGGCTCCACACAGCATGACAAATACCCTACTTCTCTTCGTGATCGCGAGCCGTCGGTTGCCTCCACTGCTCGCACAGTGAACCCTCCTGAGAGCACACACAGTGACCCCTGGGAATTTGACAACACTCATCGTACCCAACCGAGTCCCCTGGTAACTGTTCAGAACGATTCTATCCCAGCGATGTCTCAAAAAGCACAACAAATACTTGGTCAGGCAATGTCTCACAAGATGCAAGCCACGAGCAAGGCCCACCAGCTTTTGGGTGGCGATGCGCCCAGTATGAACGACAACCATCCGGCGAGCCGGACATGGCAGCACGATGTGCTCTCTCATCACCGCGGGGAAAGCACCGAGACACAGAAGGAGTTCGGCAATGAGCTAGCTGAGCGAGCGAGAAGAATTCAAGAAGGGTTGAGAGGAGTTGCGGATGCAGGGAAGCGTTCGCAGAGTCAAGATCGCCATAATCCCGCAGCCCAGGCTCTGCACGCGCTCCGCCACAAGAACAGCAAAACGGCTCTCATCCCCCGCAGCAACGAGCCCCAGCCCAAGGCCATGAAAATGCTTGGTATTGGTGGGGTCCAAAAGGCCGAGCCTATCTCACGACCCCCATATATAGGTGCCAGACGCGATTACGATTTCGACCAAGCATATGATGGCCAGGGCGAGCGACCTACACCAAGACCAAGACCTGCTGAATTTGAGCTACCCAGTGGACGGCGAACACCAGGGTTTGCTAGGCCGGAACCTCATCTTCATCACCCCAACGAAGAACTTGAGCGATCATATCAAATGCAGTCAGCGGCACTCAACTCTGGAAGGCCGAGGCGTGATCGTGCTGAATCCGAGGTAGCCGCGAGGTCAAGGAGCCGCCCTGGTCAAGGGCGCCTGAGAGACGATCCGCCATATTCGCCGGTAGAATATGGTAGACCTGGCCCACCCCATGCAGCAGGGTATCGTGAGCAGCACCGTACTTTCGGCCAAGGCGACGGCCCGAGTGGCTATGCTGGCCCTCACCCTTACCGTGGTCCCGGACGTGGGCCTCCTCCAGTAGATCCACGCACCTACGAGAGGTCTGCTTCAGCAATGTCGAATCGACGACCAAGTGGAACCGGTCCTCGACCTGGCCCTGGACCAAACAACTATTTCGATCTTCGTGCTCCAACCCCGACCATGGGTGGCACTCCCCAGCTTGGGGGTGGTGTTTTACCTCCAATGGGCGCACCCCGGCCATCGCCTCGCCCACCCTTTCCACACTCACCAATCAGTCCGTTCGCTCTCCAAGGGGGAATGTCACCTGGCCTTTCTGCCCCTTCCTCTACTGTACCATCCGCTTTACCTTCTCCCGCCGGTCCCCTTCCTCAGCCACCGCCCTCCGGTCGCTTTACACCTGCTGAAGGCCGCTCCACTCCCATAGGCAGCCGCAAGAAGTCAGTCACCAAGGGCATGATCTCCGAGCCGACCTTTATCTCCTCTACCTCTTCAGTTCCGTTGGTCGGTCTGCCGAGTAATCCGCGACCAAGCCAAATTGCAAGCCCGCCAGTTCCGGTGATGAATCCACGTCGACGTGGAAACACGACGACGGAAAAATCTGACGGAGCTCCAAGTCCTGGGATGCACGCTTCACAGATGAGCCCAATGCCTGAATCTCCCAACCGTGGGACCATGGATTTCGCTGGTTCTCAACCCGAGTATATCGAACACCAGCATTTGCAGCAGAAGGGTCCACCACGTCCACGCAATCGTCTTAGGAAGATCAGCAGTGAGGGTGGAAGCATGGCTGCTCGTGCACGGAACCAAGCTATGCTGTCGGAGTTCGGTCATGAGAGGCTTCGAAGCCCGGCTATCCCTGTTTTCCCGAACAGAAGTACAACTTCTCTGAGCGTCCATCAAGATGGTGGCATGTTTTGATTTTCGTTTTGGTCCCTCAATCTCAACCAACGCTTTTTCGGCTGCCCTAGTCACATTTCGACATACTCATTTTACCACCTGGCCTGTATCGTTCATGATCAAAAATAAGGGCTCTTCACAATATTTCCTACATTTGTTTGCAAACCAGCGATTTCGACTTCTGGATGAATTGGACTTCACGGATACTGCAACGGCTGGACGGCAACTTAGACCATTTTTTTGTGTTATTCAATGACTTCGACGCTTTTCTCTTCCGGTATGCGGAATATGACGATGGGTGGCCATACTGTGCTTTTGCGACAAAAATGTTTGCTATTCTGTTCGCCGACTGTGCGGTTTTTGGCGATAGAAACCTGCATGGAGTCTGTTTTATGCGATGCTGGTGTTGGAATCTGGAAACGGGGCCACGTCATCTTTGGACGTGTAGCGCGGGAGTCTGCTGGATCGTGAAAAGTCGAGGGAAGCAATATAAAAACCCGAACATACACATGGTAGTGAGTCCCGCGACTCGATGGGGTTGAAGGTATAGAAAATCCACTGGGGATAGAACAAGAGGGGAGTGATGGACGAGGGAGCAAAAAATCATTTGGAGCCTGAGAGTCCAGAACTGTCGGACATGTGTATCTTGTACCTGTACAACACTCGAGTATATAGTCGAAGAAGTAGAATGAGAGCAAGTACAAACATTTAACTGACTGTTCAGTACCTTGTCATCTAGAAGCGCGAAAGAGTGCCCATTCGGCCGAGCAGGCCGAGCAAGCCAAACCAGCAACCCAGTAACTATAGCAATGCAATGTACGGGGTACGGGCCAAGTCTGGTCTGAATAAACGAAGGAGCCGAAAGCCATGGCCGTTGGAAGTGACTGCTATAACTCCGTCCTCTCCATACCCCTGGTCGGGAAGTACGATAATCACGTACACAAAGGCACAAACTCCCTCTGCAGACGTCGAAACGAATGAACACGTGTATAGACAGGCGGGCTCGCTCCAACCTCGCATATTTGTCACCAATCAGCCGCCTCGATGAGCCTGATCAAAGTCAGGAGGATTAGCACGGTGTCTGTTTGCGCTGAACAGGGGCACAGAAAAGAAAAAGTCTCAACTCACCCTCGATGACCCAATGTCGATGGGCCCTTCACTCCTCGCCACGTCCGGCACACCGCTTAGGAGAACCGTATTCTGCAACCCCGTCTTTGCGGCGTCCGTGACGGCCTGGGCGCCCTGCTTCTGGCCCTCCTTGATGTGCTCGAGGAGCTTACTGTCGTCGGTATTACCTAGTAAGGCCTTGCGAGTCTGCTCGTCGCGCTGCATCTCCGCGGCCAGCGATTTGAGATGGCTGGTCATTTTCTCCTGCGCCGTAGCGTGCTTGGTCTGCAATACGGCGGAGATGCCCGTGGTCGTGGCTGTGGTCCAGGCCTCGATCTCAGCCAGGCGCGCCTGGATCTCCTGCTGAACGAGCGGGTCGTTGTCCGCGCCGGTGGCGTCGGCGGGCTTGTCGAGGTCGAGGTTGTCCGTGTCGTCTGGGTGGGCCGGGTCGAAGGGCGTGCGTGGGAAAGAGGCGCCCATCTTGCTGACCAGCGCGAGGCCGCCGCCGGAGATGCCGTCCGAGATGAATTTCCTGGACGTGTCGACGTACATGGAGGTGACGTCGCCGAAGAGGTCAAAGTACGCGGCCAGCGTGCAGGCCGCGGTGTAGAAGATCTGCAACGCCAAATCACTGACTTTGATGCCGCCGAGGCCGCCTCTCGCAATATTATCCTCCGAGTCCTGGACCTCGGTCTGCAAGTCTTTCAGGAAGGTGTTCATGTTCTCGTCGACCACCATTGCCACGAGCTTTGCGAGGGATTGGAAGTGCAGGACCAGCTTGTTGATCTCGATCTTGAAGTCCAGGAGGGTCATGTTGACGAGGGTCAGGATGGCGACTACCTCGTTCAAGATGTGTGCGTTCAGCTTGAAGTTGACGAGGTCGGCCTTCATCTTGCCCAGGGCGGCCTGGTCGTCGGCCAGTGTTTGGGATGCCGAGGTATAGTTTGTCAGGGCAGAGTTCAAGGCTTGTTGTTGCTCGTGCAGGTTGGCTGTCGCGCCGTCGAGGAGACTCTTGGCCGCTGAGGTGGTGGCACTGGCGTTGGCGGCTGTTGACGGGATGGCTTTGAATGTGGCACCGAGGGCACCGCTTGTACCTGGATTGGAATTGGCTGTCGTGCACAGTGATGCCAGACTTTGCGCCGCGTTCAGGATATCCTGCTGCCAGGCTTTGACCTTGTCGGACGCACTTGTCAACGAGTGGCCGTCCTTTGCTGCTGACTGGATGGCCTTTGCCGTCTGAATGGCGCTGTGGAGGACATCTTTGAGCTTCTGAGAAGGCGGCTTGTCGGTCAGTGACGAGGCTTCGGATGCCGTCTCCAGCTGGTTGATAATGTACGACAAAGCAGACGGATCACTTGATGGTGTCGTTGCCTTAGTGTCGACTTCATCCCAGTTAATGCCTCCGTCGGCACCGGAAGTGGCCAGGGTTTGCAAATGTGTGATGGTAGGCTTGTCCAAGGGGGCAAGGAGGTAGCCTGCATCGCCTGCGTAGTCGACTGTTTTGGGCGCGGTTGGGTTTTCGACAGGTACAGTGTTGGGATCAGAGGATTTGAAATCCTTGACAGTCTTTGTGATGTCAACGCCTGTTTTCTCGGCGACTTGCACTCCGCCCTCTACCTGTCCAGCAACAGTCTCGTTCATGACCAGCATAGGAACCACCTGGGTTATGACGTTGGTCAAGCAGTCGGTGACTGACATGGCTATCGCAGCACCCATGACCTGCATGGTATCTATTCACGTCAGCATACACCACCGATGAAGCCACCATCTCCCGCGGAAGGAAGCATCGTATTGTTGAGACATACTGGGGAAGTCATCACTGGCTTTCTTGTACCGCTCCCTCACGTCGTCAAGAAGCGCTTTGTTCTGTTCTAGCGTCGCAGAGGCGGTTTTGACGGCGGTTTCCTGGCCTTGCACTTTCAAAGATGCAGCCCAAGCTTGCATCTGTGCCTGTTTTGCGCTGTCCTCGCTTATGCTAGAGAGATCGACGGTAGCTTGACGCAGGGCCATGGACATGGCAAGTACGTGATCGAATGATTTCGAGACATCGGCAGTGTCCGCCTCTGCGACAAGAGCCTTAGTCCTGAGATCTTCCATTGCGTTCTTCAATCTGGCCAGGGCCTTGGGCGTCGGAGCCGTCTCCATTTCTGCCAATCCTGGAAAGATGGCGTCTCCGAGGATACTGAACACATCATCTGCCCGCGCGCTGATGCCGAAGAAGTTTGTCTCGGCCATGTCAAAAGCTGACACACAAGCGTTCACGACCGTTTCTAGACAGGCCGCCAGGCTGTGCTGTGTGGTGAATATGCTGCGGTCGATAACCTTTGCCATGTCCACACTTGCTGTTGCCGGAAGAGCTGCGTACATATTTGCCTTTGCTAGAGGCGCGATCGTGGTCGGTATGGAGACGAGAGCCGTGTTAAAGCTGTCATCAAATTGGACCGAGGCCTTGATCTTGGAGATGAACTGATCATTTACTGCGGTTTGAGGGTTGGTAACCCCGTTGCCACTGGACTGGGCCATGGTGACGGTATGGAGTCGTGGGTCAGAAACTGTGCTATGGATCTGGAGATAGAAGGCAATGACATTCTCGTCGAGAACGACCGCACGTAGGTTTATATAGCCAGACACTTGTCCTGCTTGCGACAAGACCGCATGGCCTCGGACAGTTGTCCTTGTGGACTCAACACCTACCTGAAAGGTTCCGATGGTAATGCCAAAGCACGGCTCATTTTGCTCAGCTGCAAAGAAGGGCTGCTGCAATGTGCAAGCATGGTGGCTGGCTGTCCTGTAGTATGCGGACAAGATATTGCTAAGCTTTACAGATCAGGCTTGGTAAGGTCAAAGTCCGCGAGCCTGAGCAGGGGCTGAAATTGCATTCAAGAAATGCAGCAGCATCAGAGCCGCTCGAGGCACGAACAGTGGCGAGCTGAAATCCATGGTAAGATGGCAGGTGTTAGCAAGTCGAGGCAGCAGCGAGAACAAAATGTAAAGAATTAATTAACGGTGGGGTCCGTGTTTTAAATTCTGTTAGCGTGGGATAACTGGCTGTGATTGGTCCGCTGTTTCAGCTCAATGAAACAGGAAGGTGTTCCTTACATTTTGCGGCTTCTCATTCCGTCATCTCCTCCTGAGCAGCCACTCTCACCGTCTTCATTTGGGGCTGACTTTTCTACCACAGATACGAGCGGAGCGATACCTGGCGCGAACAATGTCGCTCTCAGTGGTAAACATCCAGCTGACGTCTAGAACGCCACTTCTTTGGACACCTGCTGTATAGTCGCAAGAGCTGGGGTTCTTGAGGATGAAGTGCCAGAAGCATGGCCTCCAAGCTCTTCAAAAAGGGCTGCCTTTTCCCTTGGAGATAGCCAGGACCAGATTCATACTCCAGTAGATCGACAAAATGGGCTTCATTGATGACCTTGGCCACGCCTTTGAAAGCGCAGGCCAGACTATCAAAAATACCGCCGAATCTGCAGGAGGCGCCATTGCTGGAGCTGCGACCAAGGCCGGCACTACCATCAGTGACACGGCCACAGCAGGGGCAAACACGGTTGCGACTGGCGTTGTTAATGCCACCGAGGCCGCCCTCGAGGCCATGGACCCTGAGAGAAAGAAGCAGCGCGAGCGTATGCAACAGGCTCAGCAGGAATGGTCCAGACTGGATAACGAGGCCAACGAGGCTCTGAAGGCCGCACAAGTGCAGTCGCAGGCGCAAATTCCCGCGGAGCTGAATCCGATCAAAGCTCAAGCAGACACTCTTCACGTCCGGTTGACTCAATACCTCGGTCAGGCTGACACAATTCACACCCAGCTGCAGACAAAGGTCGAGCAAGACTACACCCAGGCCGTCCTGAATCTCAATTCTGGACTCGCCGGCCTGACACGCCTGGCCATGATCTTGCGGGGTCATTCTGTCGAAGAAATCCGCGAAGCAAAACTGGAGCAAGGCGGCGATATGGATCCTAACGACTTCCTCCTCCGGGTCATCGATGGCAGCCAAAAGGGTTTCTCGGATGCCATGAACTCTGCGTCCACGTTGTTGTCTCTGGTGGGAGACCTGACAGTGCAAGTTCGGGATTTGGACCAGGGCGAGATCCCCACCCTCTTGGCCGACATGGCTAGCTTTGGCGAATTCAGCTCGAAAACAATTACCGCGCAGAGGCAAAGCGCGGCAACCGCACAAAAGGCAATAGATGACCTCCAGAAGAACGTCCAGGAGCAGAAACAGGAAGTCGCAGATCACCTTCACATGAACATGACCGACGATCTCGCTGGCATAGGCGTAAGTTTCCATCGCTTACCACCTGAACTGTTGTGATGCCGCTAACTCTTCCATGCAGAAGGCTATACTCGACACTTTCGGTGCATCCTTTCCCGACGACAAGTGGGAAGAATTCCTGCAAAGTCACTATATCAACATCCAGAGTAGCAACAAGGACATCGTACAGAACCAGACAACTGCAGCAGTCGCCAACGGCATAGTCGAGCAGGCCACGCCAATTTTGGAAACCGTGAACAAGCTACAGCAACAGACTGCCAACACGCTAGCCTCTCTCGAAGCGCTGGCCCCTCAGCTTGAATCCCTGAAGGCAAACCTGAACGAGATGAGAATCCAGGTCGATGACATGGCAAAAGTTTTCACCACGCTCTCCGAATCCAAGCATCTCACCGTGTCGACCGCCCTGTACGTCAAAAAGCTCGGCCAAATCGGCGCCACCAGCTTCCGTGTCGACGCCTGCTGCAGCAGCTTCGCCGGCGCCATGTTCGCACAGCTCACGCAGATCGCCATACCCCAACCCGCAAGCAACGTGATTACTCGCAACAGTACGGCTCCGGCCGAGGACGTCCAGAAAGAGGTGTCCGCCGAATGGGAGGCTGCTCTGGCGTTGCCGCTACAGTGCTCTCTTCCACCCATTGACGGGAAGCAGCACGAGCACTTCACTCCGGAAGTCCAGGACCGGACTGGAGCGCTGATGCAAGAAGTCATTCAGGCCGACCAGAAGGGCATAGCGAGTTACTACACTCCGTGAGGTGGAGGTGAGGGTGGACGTGGACGTGGACGCGGACGTGGAAGTGGACGTGGACGAGGATGGAAGAGGCGGCGAGGTTTCCCATATATGCTCTTACAGTATGACCATCGGATCTGATGCAAACGTCTCCAATGTCTCACGGGCAGTGATTTATCTTGTAGGGTTGAAAGCCGTTAATATACTTACCAAACAGACACATTCTAGTGTACATACCGCGCGACACGCAGCACGTTGTGAACGGCGGCAACGCTGCAAGCTGAGTCTCGGCTCGAAAGAATCTTCCCCTCCAGTTGCCTTCCATTCATTTCGCACGTCCTTTGGGCCAGCACTGCTTTCACTGGCAAGTAGAAGGTGAATGCGTCGCGAGGCAACCTGGTCACCGCGATAAGGAGACTTTTCCCTACTATGCAAACCAAGCAAGCTATGTATAGGCATAGATAAGGGAGACGGCTGTGTAGGTCGACCGATAGTCATAGCGACAAATTGACTTGACGGAAGAGTAACAACCACGCATTGTGTATGTTTTGGAGCTGAATCTATACACATGAAGGAAGGATTCATGTAGATAATAGCACGAGGATTTCATCGCTCGCTCTGATGTCTGATGGGATTCTGCTTGCGTCCTGCATCACCCTCAGCAAGCAAGAAGCCAATTTGATCCACTTAATGCACGCCGAAGGCCCTCGGACGAGCTCGACAGCCACCGTTCAACTCCGCAACAGTCATTTACTTGCCTCGTCGGCGCTGCGAGAGCTGTGAGAAACACCCCAGAGGGCTCGCGAGTCAGAGGCTTAGATCATATAGCGGTACCCCTTCTGCAACCTCCTGGCCGCCGCGAGGTCGATGCCCTCGACCTCGGCCGTCCTCCTCAACTTTGCGAGATCGCGCTCCGTCAGCGGCACGTCCTCGTTCTCCATCCTCTCGAGCCGCTTGTTCTGCCTGCTCAGTTTGATGCGCATGCTCACGCCCATGATGGCCGCGACGACCTGCAGGCCGATACAGATGCCCAGGGCCAAGACATAGTGCGGGGCGTCCTGCTTCCGATATGTAAACGGCGTCCAGATGGACGCGGAGTTGCCGATCGAGTTGATAAAGGCGTACGCGGCGGCGCGTTTGGCCGGGGGTCGCGGGATGGCGGACGCGATCCACGCGTAGCAGGTCCCGTTCATGGCGAAGATGAAGATCAGGAGGAACAGGCTGAAGTAGCGGGGGCCGAAGGAGTCGGTGGTCATGAACACGACGCAGCCCACGATCGTGATGGGGATCGGGTACATGAAGAACCAGAAGCGGTTGCCCATGCGGTCCGACACGACCGAGTGGGCGAACGAGTAGAAGACCATGAAGATGTACGGTGGCGCGCAGAGCAGCAGGGAGATGATGCGGCTGTAGCCCAGCGTGGCCGTGAGGGTTGGGAAGAAGTTCTGAAAGCCCGCCGCGCCGGTGATGCACATGTAGGCGATGGCCAGCATGTAGGTCTTGGAGTCAGTCATGGCCAGTTTGAAGCCCTTCAGTTGGGACATGCCGCCTGCCTCGTCGACGTCCGCTTCGGCGGCTTCGACCGCGAGGCGGCGGTTGGCGACGTGTTTCATCTCGGGGGACAATCTCTTCCACGTGCTGGGGAAGTCCGGAAGGACGAAAATGATGACGATGCCAATGAAGACGGTAATGGCTCCTTCAATGATGTAGAGCCACTGCCTAGAAGCGGATGTCAGAACTGATTGCCAAGAGGTGGGAATCTCGGAGTCACTCACCATGCTGACAAGCCCATCTCACCGGCCAAACCGCTAAGAATACCAGCTGCGATGAGATTTCCAAAGGCACCACTGACGAGAGAGCCGGAGTAGAAGATCGACATTCGCAGGTTCAATTCTTTCTTGGTATACCACTTTGATAGGTAGAAAAGGACGCCTTTTTGAGAGAGTTAGAATTGGAGAGACTTCCCCTTCAAGGTAGAGCAAGGGCTTGCGTACCTGGGAAAAATGGTGCCTCCATGAAACCGAGCATGAGTCGGGCGACGACGATGCCTGCAAAGTTCTTGACCAGGCACGTCAGGGCCGAAACCAGGCCCCAGGCGCACACGAAAAAGCCCAAGTACAGTGAGGGTCGACCGAGGTGGTTGAGTAGTAGGTTGGAGGGCACCTGTGCGATAATGTAACTGACGAAGAGGATGGAAAGACCTGCAAGACTGATCAGAAGCTGGGAGCCGGCGAGGGGTGATTATTAGGTGTACCAGTTTGATATTGATCTCCACGCAAGTTCAGGTCCTCCTCAAGACCTTGTAGCCGAGCTGCAGCATAATTGTTCCTAAGGTTCCTGTCAGCTCCGACCAAACACGTGCAGACAGCAAGGACCTACCGGTCAATGTAATTCATCAGGTAGACGAGAACAACCAGAGGCATGATGCGCAGATCGATCTTGCGCACGAGCTTCTTCTCAATGGCAAGCTCCTCTTCAGTGAGGGCGCCAAAATGCATAGCCTCCTCGTGTGAGAGATTGCCCTTCTCTCCCAGGACCTCATGGTCGAGGATCACTCCATCGTGCCCGATTTTGTTGTCACCCATCTTGAGATCCAGCTGTCACAACGCAGCAGATGGAAATGCTCTGGTGGGAACTGGAAGGAGAGGAGAACGAATCTCGGATGATGCAGGATCGTCATCCTTTTTAAAGAACGGAGCTTGAGCTCAGAGCTACACATGGCCATCCCTCCCCCGGGTCCCAGGAAGCGAGGTCCGCCTCTTTGCCACACATGGAAGCAGAAATCGTGGGGATGATCGCATGGATCATGGCTAATGCAGGTGCCAGCTGGCCACTCGTGACCATGTCTGTGCCTGCTGGCGGAAGAATCAAGCTGGGGCAAGAAGCCTGGGCAGCCCTGGGCTGACGTTTGTGGAGTGCCAATATGTGCGCCCATTCCTGGGCAGAGGAGCTTAGACGGGAACACACCGGTGACGAGCCGGAAGAAGCCAAGCGCGCACGAGATATCGACCGGCTGCATGAGGGGATCGTGTCTTGGTGCATGGTATGGTTGGTTGTAACCGTCTGGCACTTGCCTGCACAGATCGATGTATTCCCCAGGCAAGAGCAGCGCAATCCAGAGTCTGTAACTGATAACAGGGTTTGACCCCCGTAACACCGGCATACGAAGTACTGTGTAAACTCTCTCTCGATACCCGAATCCGCAACAGTCTTCTGGCATTGCAGACCTCGGCCACGGCGTAGAAACCGTGCCCGATCCGTCGCCGTGTGGTCGACTGTGGCCCTTTCCCCGCAAACCACCCACCGCCCCGGCCTCCCCCATCACGGTTCACGCCACGGGGGTGGAGGCTTTCATGGTAATTTGCCCCTCCGCGGTTCAGCTAGCGGCTGTTTAGAGACCGGGCCGCCCATATCCAGTCCTTAAGCTTATCACGCGAGCCTCCTGGTAGGAGACGCGGTCTGGCAGGACGGAAGAAGTCAACTGCGCGGCGCAAATGACATCTACCGAGATGCATGCGGACTGCAACCTTGTAACTGACAAGCGAGAGACCGGCCGCCTGATTTTGGCGGAAAAGCTTCTCGGTACGGAGTACTCTAGCACATTTTCGAACAATGCAACCATTCGCTATCAGCACATCTGGGCTTGCAAAGCCTTTGATGCTGATGTTTAACCCTGGCTTGGCCCTCTGCATTTGAAGCAAATGCTCTTATCGCGGGCGTCCACTTTCGGTTAATTGTTCATGCCCATCGTGCTGCGGACCACCCGCGCACCAGTGTATTGTAATCAAAGTGCTTCCGTAGTCAGCGTCACCTAGTCGGTTTCCGAGCACGCTCAGTCTATGAGAGCTTCGAAACCCGTGGAGCCAGTTCTATTTTCCCCGTCTAAGCTCGCTTCGGTGCATATCATGCCGGTAAACTCTGCAGGGTCGAGTGCATGGGATTCTGGATCGACACCTACGCATTCGCGCTGCTCGGGCTTGCTGGGACATATGACATGTACAACTCAGACCGAGCCCTTCGGTACAAATGAGTAGACGATATGAAGCATATTCAATACATAAATAAGAACGAGGTTGTTAAGAGCTCGTAGCGTTGTCTAACGGGGCGCCATTGCGCGTCATCACTTTCCCTGGGAAGACACCAGATCCACATCATAAATCCATCATTTAATGGTGCAGCACCATCATCAAAAGCTTGAAGGTCTTCAGAGACGACTACCCTGCCGTTTGACCAAGCTATATCGGGGCATTTCAGTCTGACGGCCCCAAACCTAGCTTGACGTTAAGTCGTAAGTCGCATCGACAATGTACAGCTGAGGAGAATGTACGGTTCGGAAAGTTCGTGAGAAACGTGGCGGGTATCGAATCACCTTGGGACGTCTGGAGATAGTGCGAGACGTCCTTGAGGGCCTCTCTCGTGGCCATTCAGACATTTGGGCTGAGCAGATCATACTTGACACACATCTCCACACTTTCTGCACTGGCCTGGAAGAATCTTCTGGCTTCCAGTCCAACCCATATCTTCAACAGGGAGAAGTCACCTTCTCTGAAACTCTTCAACACAGCGCCTGGGTCTGATGATCCCAACTGTCTCAAGATGGGTAAGGCGCTCTTGAATAGATCGAGATCTGGATCCAGCGTGCGACCAATACCTTCGAGCAGCAGGATTGAGATGACCACGTTCACGAAATCGCCTTCCATCCTAACATGGTGAGCTCGAACCATTCCGAGGACTTCTGACAGGACGTCTCCGATCTTGATGTTGCCGAGAGCGAAGGTTTGACCCTTAACCGCTAAGACGAGATGCTGCATCTTTAAAGCAAAGACTTCGCCATCAACCACAGCGTCAGGTTGGCGACATCTTTCGATCATCAAATGGCCGGCCTTGTAGCCGTCGAACTCGGCGATAGAGCGGAAGAGGTCCAGGAAATTGGTTCTATTCTTCGCGTTCAATTCCGTGACCAGGCCCGTGTCGATGAAAATCAACTGCGGTATGTAACCGTCCCTCTCAATCTCCACAAGTGCCGCCTGCCATTCCTTCTTTTTGCCAATGTGTGGACGCAGGCGTGACAAGACGGCCTCAGAGGCGTCAATTTCGGAAGCAGTCGATGGCTGCGATGCATCTCGGGGCGACAGATAACTGGGTAGTTCTGGATGGGTGGGCTGGTAGAAGTTGACCATGATGTTGCCCGGATGGAGGTCGGCGTGGACGAAATTATCTATCAGAAGCATATGCAGAAAAGCATCCAAACCCTCGTTTGCGATATCTTTCTGAAAGACGCCACCTCCAGACTCCAAAAACGCTGCTAGCGGGATGCCCTGCGCAAATTCTTCAACGAGAACATTGCGGGTTGTGAAATCGGTGTACGGACAAGGGAACCATGCGGTCGTGCGACGCTGGAAATGTTTGCGAAGAATAGTTAGATTGGCAGCCTCGATGCGAAGATCCAGTTGCAGGCGCATCATTCCGCCAAAGGTGTATACCTCGTTGGGCAAATCCAGCCACTCCAGGGTGGGGATAGCATTGATGACGGCGGCGAAGACAGCCATGATCTTGAGATCGCGTCGGACGGTTCGCTCGACCTTAGGATGGAGGACCTTGATAGCCACATAAGCCGAAGGCACTCTCTGAGGACTAGATTTAACCAGGGCATCGACGTTCTTCTTGATGCGATGGCTTAGGCGGAGATTGTCGGACTCGTCGAGTCCACTATTGTCGAGTCCTGCCAGATCCGGCTTCAGCCTTGCTTTGTAGACCTGAGCAATGGCGCCGACACCCAAAGGTTTCTCGTCAAATTCCTCGAAGATTTCACCGAACGACCTCCCCCCAAATGCTTCGGAGATGGTCTTGATAGTATGGCGCAGGGAATGAGCAGGAGCGTTTGAATGCAGTTCTGACATCTGCCTGCACATCTCGGCCGGGAAGATGTCGCTCCTGGAGGCGGCCCATTGTCCGAGCTTGATGAAGGCCGGGCCAGCTCTCTCCATGGATTTCACGAGGAATCCATACCACCATATAGTACCGACTCTTTCGTCATCGTGATCTTTCCTCCTTGGACCCAGAAACGCAGCCGGTATCGTGACAATGACGGGCACGAAGATGAGGAGGAGGTGCAGGAAACGGAAACTCGTGGCTATGGGCTCGTAGACCCATTGGTCTAGCACATATACGACGGTTTTGTAGAAGCGGCGGATGCCACGGGCATCATCGGGAACCTCCTTGCTGATCTCCTGCCTAGACAACTCCAGCATGTGCATCTCGCCCGTCTTTCCATCGTCATGGTTCTCGCCCAGTTGAACAAAAGCGGCGGGAGAGATCGCGGTTGCCGCTGCCGCTGCTGCAAGGAGAGTAGGCGTGCGCCTTTGACGCGGGTCTTTTAGACTATATTTTCTGGTCCATCGGGCAAATGACTGCTGATGACGGGGAATGCGCACTCGGAAGGCGAAGTGAGAGAAGGTAGAGGGGAACTCCCTTCGGCCACAGAAGCGGCCGAAGATGAAGAAGGTCCGCATCAATGTTGAGAGTATAGGACACCACTTCTTCTATCGCCAGTACATGGTGAGGAGGGGATGAAGGAACGCGGGCGATTTGGTCACGATTCTGAGAGCGCGCGCTCTGGAACTCGACCGCCATGACGTCGGTGCGCTGATCCGGCTCCGGCCAACCACAAAAGCCAGTTGCCAGGCCTCAGTGTTGCTCGTTTACATTCACTTCACCCTCAACTTCAGTTCTATTGACTTACGGTTCACCATTGCTATAGGCAGATCAGCGCTCTCGTAACATTATGCTATCCCTTGTCCCAGAGGGTGCGACTAGAGTTCGACTCCTTCAAACTTGAAGGATCTATCTGAGAGACGCCGAACCGGATCCCGAGGACGGTAATTGAGCTTTTGGTGCGCGTCGACAGCTATGTACAGTACGTGAGGGCACCTAGAGCTGACGTCAAGGCGACACTTCATTCACGGTCATTGTGTGAATGGGTTCGTACTCATAGACGGCACAGCACCCGACGGCCCCCATCTCGGCCGGTCCATCGATCGCACTCCGAGCTTGCGTGCTCGTTGGCTGGTTGACGAGCGGAGCACCGCCCAGCACAGCCTTGCGGCTCCAAAATTGGGATCTGAGGCCCAGCCTGAGTCAGACCAAGACTGGCAGCCACGACCTCAAGCGTATACAGGGCTGAATACACGACATGGACTCTCATATTGCTTAGCGGTGCAGGTTGCTGTGATTGTGCTACTGTTCTCGTGTTCCTGTTTCTCGTCCTTCGTTCTGTCTACCTCTTTACACTCAGGTAATTTCCCACTCGATTGTTCCAACGACATCGATTGAGCGAACACTCACTCTCATTGTTTGCTTAGCCAGTATCCTAACAGCTCGGCCACTCTTCGTTACAAACAGTTACCTCTATTCTTGCTCAATCTCTTTTTGAACGCCCCTCCCCAACGAAGAAGCATCAACCACAGACAGAACCCACACCCGAGCCTCGCCTGAGTCCAGCCTGAGCCCTCACTCCAGAATGGTCCACCTCGTTTTATCCCTGCCGTTCCTTGCCCTTCTGTCGTCCCTCATCGCAACGATACAAGCTCAAGGCTTAAACAACCCGCAGCGCACATCCTCTACGACATCAACATCAACAACGACCCGCACATCATCCTCATCCCCCGCAGCACCAACAAGCACGTCCCTGCACGGCCAGTGCGTCGACGCCTGCATCGTCGCCAACCCCATCGTCAACCACTGCGACGGCACCGAGACCGGTTCCGCGCTCGACCAATGTAAATGCAAAAGCTACACCCCGTCCAACGACCCTCTGATCGGCTGTATCCAGAGCTGTCCGTCCGACGAACAATACAGCTTCGCCGAATCACTCCCCAGTCTGTGCGCCCAGACACTATTTCTAGGCCTGGATTTGACGGACGCGCCGAAGCCAAGCGCCGTGAACACCGCCGCTAGTGCGACGCTCGGCACAGCACAAGCGGAGAATTCAGGTACCGCTAGCGGTACCGGTACGGCGAGCGGGAATGGCGCCGTGACGTTGTGTGGAATGAGTGTGTTAGGTTTATTGGGTGTGACGTTGGGGGTTGCCTTGTTTTTGTGATCAGCGAAGGTGGCTACAAATTGGTGGAGAGATATCTCTGTGCAACTATGTAGCGGACAACATGGACAACAGAACAGGTCACGCGAACAACGAATATCTGTCTGGATTGAGGAGTAACGAGTCAGCGTTGCATGATGTATGATGTATGGTGCATTGGTGACTTGAGGTAATCATACATATCCAGTCAAGACAGGGACTTGGAAAACTGATCTACCAACTCAAGGGGCTATCGTGCGCGCCGATCACCGAGTAAAGCCGCATGGATACATTTTGCAGGTGACTGTAAATTGCAGAGGATAAATGGGAGTCCAATTAACCTGTACTTGGTCCTATGGGGGAAGTCTGGATGTGAGGGCGTCATTCCACACAGAGACAGATGTAGACATACAGAATAGTTGGACAGGACCTCAGTTCCAGACCTAGGTACCAAGCTTGACGTACATGTGCGTACCTGTCATTCGATCTACACATCTATCTACATATACACTTGCACTTCCACGACATTGATACAGGTAAGTATAAGTATATGATACATCGCTTGTCGGCGACATTGATACAGGTAAGTATAAGTATAATGATACATCGCTTGTCGGCGACATTGATACAGGTAAGTATAAGTATAATGATACATCGCTTGTCGGCGACATTGATACAGGTAAGTATAAGTATAATGATACATCGCTTGTCGGCGACATTGATACAGGTAAGTATAAGTATAATGATACATCGCTTGTCGGCATCCCGAGAACACTGTGGAACCTCCAACGTCTCCGTACTGTCTCCTCGTGACTTCACGCTCGTTCCCGGGTATGTAGGGCCACAACGGAAGTCGTTTGGGAGTGGTATCGAGGTATGTATGTTCCTTGAGAAACTGCTCCTCGTTCTACTTACTGTATCAATGCTATGCGTGGTCTTGGGCGTGCAATTCTGGTCTTGGAAAGAAGAAGGGAAGCCGCGTTCTTTTGAGCTTTGGAAATCATGCACGCATCCGACCAGAAACGACGCATGGCACAGTCTAGAGTCGGCAGCATAATTGGGAAAGGTCAAGGTAAAAGCAAAGAAGGGGCCGAAAGATAACACATACAACACATCCTCAACACCTCACCTTCGCGGAGATCGTGCAAAGATTCGCTTTACGCCGCCCAATGTCGAAGAGTTCTCACGCAGGATAGCAGCGTACTCTTTCCCTTCGTGGCCCTCGAACACCATCTCCAAGACATCTGCATAGTAGTCAAGCTCTTGAAGGGCCCTTCGCGAATGCAGAACGCGTCGCCGTTGGGTCGCTTCCCGGCCGGCCCCATGCTCAACAAAAGCTCGCGCTATTCGCGCCCAGGAAGGGTCCAGCTCGGAGCACAAATGCTTCTCACGCTCAGCCGAACGGAGGAAGAACTTCCAATCAGTCCGAGCACCTCGTTGACTGTTTGGATTTGCGCCGTGTTCGAGGAGAGCAGTCGCAGCAGATCCGAGCGGCTTACCCCTTACTAAACTGTGGTTTCTGATACTCGAGGGCAGATCCGCACCTATGCTGTACTCGAGTAGAGTAGCAGCTGATCCTGGAATCAATGGGCATTCGTACTGGCAGTTCATATCCAAAGATCCGGTTCTGATCATATGTGTTGCGTAATGTTCAACTGAAAAGGCCAGAGCCAACGCAACATAAGATCCGGGCGAAGAAGGCCAGTGCGGAGCGTGATGCTTGAGCAGGGATGTAAAAGTGTCGAAAAGTCTCGGATGGGCCGTGCCAGAAGATCGCTCCAGCTCTCTTACATGTTCCAAGAAGACGATAGAAAGCTCGAGCACATCAGGAAGCTGCGAATCGGCCATTTTCAGTTGCGCAAGCGTCGCTTTACACAGGAAATCGTTGGGATCAAAGTCGCCTGAAGAATACTCGTGCAAAACGCTCTGCGTGTCCTTCGACAGCAGAAAATCTCGCACGCTGCGGTGAAGAAAATCCACATAGTACTCCGTCTGGCAACCGATGGGCGGCCAAGAGTTCTGATCATGCTTCCGCGCTTCGAGCAAGCCTCTGCAGCGGCTCTCAAGTCTTCGTTCCATCACTCGCTGCCGAGCTTGAAGAGATTGTATATGAGAAACCTGCAACGGCGTTTTCTCGACAAAGTCTGGGACTTCCTCGTCAACAAAGAACAAGGACAGGAGTGGCGGCTTCCTTGTAGAAGCCAGCATTAATGTGAAATATCGAGACGCGTATTTGCGCTGCTGACGAGGGATGCCATCGATGATGCGTCGGAAGAACTCGTCCAGGTCGTCGGGGATCTCTTCAAGTCGGCGAGAAAGCGCCGTCATCGAGTCGCCATCAATTACCCCTTGGCATGATAACCGAACCACAAGATGCACCCAGAGGAATACTCCTTGGGCCCTCTTGACAATTTCCAAGACGAGTTCATTGCTTTCTTGTGGGTAGATTTGTTGTAACGGCCTGAAGGCTTTGAGATCTCCGAGCCTACCCTCCACAAAAATCTTGATGTCGTTGCGGGTCAAATTTTCCAGCCGTAAAGTCGGAAACCCTTCGAAGGCAGTCTGGAATATTGGATAACGCCGACTAGAGACGCATAGCTTGATCGAATCTGATTTGGACAAGGATGCCAAAAGTGCGAGAAGTTCAGTCTGTTGTTCGGGGTCGCCATGGAATTCGTCCAGGCCGTCTATGAAAATAAACAAACAATGTGTCTGCCTTGCCACCGCAACAAGCTCGTGGAACGCCTCAAGCAACTCGGAATTGGTCCAGGGAGGCAGGTTAGAGCCGAAGTCGGCGGCTCGCCAGCGCCAGGGGGCCACCTCAGGTATCAGGGAAGGCACTTGTGTCAGCAAGTCGTGAAGAAGGGACCTTAGCGAGCCATTGAGTGACTTCTGCGTCTCGGTGCCCGCCAGCCAGAAGAAGCAACTGGCGTATAATATAGATTTTGGATGGGCCCAGACAGCAAGCGCATTCTTGGTTCGCTCATCCTCTGACCAGTACCGCATTAGCGTGGACTTACCTGAGCCGGGCTTTCCAGAGATCCAGTAGAGCCCTCGAGCCGAACGCGCACCCTCAAGCCATTCTCGAAAGTTGGAGAATAATTGGTTTTGCGGGTCTGATGTCCGGAAAATCCAGTCGAACGTCTTTCGATGAGCAGGACGGATTTGAGACCGTCTTTCTCGAATTTGCGTGAAATAGAGGGTGCTTAAAATGTACTCTTTCAAGCGTTTGGAGCTGTCTTCGTTGATGCGGCTGTGAATATCAGATGAAACTCGGTCGATGGCGTTCTTTTGCTTGGAGATATACTGGTCCCGGTCCGCTTTGAGCCTAGTTAATTGATGTTTCCTGGGATTCTTGGCAAACTGGCGAGCAAATCCGGCGAGCGTCGACTGAAGTTCCGTACTGGACTGGCGGACGGCGTCCAGGATGCTGGCCTCCACGCGTTTGCCTTCACCACGAAGGTCCTCCAAGATTTGGTACTGGGAATCACTGACATCAGGTCAGCAAGTAGATCTGCACGACAGTGAGAATAACAGTGTATGTACCTCATCACTATTAATATGTTGAGAGACAGTGTTGTCTTTGGTCGTTCAACCGTTGTCGCATTGCCTCGATACCCTCTTTGTCCCATACAGCCTTGAAGACCTTGCGGAAGCTCTTCCATGCATTTTGCCCAGGTTCTACAGAGTACTCGCTCAATGTCTGACTAAATTCTGCAGCCATATCTCTGCATTCCTGGGAGACGGCCCTCAAGGCCGTTTCTGCTTCCGTCAATTTCTTCTTTTCAGCGGTCAAGATAGAGAGTGACTTCAGAAGGCCATCATCCAGGTCCTTGAGCCGATTTGAGGCCGCTATCATCTCTCCATGCTCGCCCAGCGTTCCGGTTGAGTTCCGTGCCAGTTCCCGACTTTTCGAGATCAATTTCGTGCCGAAGTCGATGAACTGGACCACGCTTGCAGCGATACTCAGCGCGCTGACTGGATCGAGGACCATAGCGGATGCAAGCCACGAGTTCGGTACCAGACAGTGGAGGTACTCCGTACACCTTGTCGATTCACGTGGGAAAGAGCAGACAGATTGAACGAGACCGCGAGACTGATGTACTGTGTCTGGTGCCTGCACCCTCTAAACCCGCTAAGACAAGGCAGACGATGCTGCGTCTCCTCCCCCAGGAACGACTGGGCATGATCTGCTGCCACAGGGCAAGTGCGTCAGGCCCTCGCTGCATATGGTGTTGGGTGGCTGTCAAGTGGCTGTGCAACCAATCACACAGAAAAACGCTAAAGGAGGAGGACAATGTACTCCGTGTAATGGCTCCCCGGGCAAAGTCATCCAAGAAGTTGCGATACCTGTAGTGATCGAGACTGAGGCCACGTTTGACGGAGACAACTTTGCGGTCTAGCGCAGCGGCACAATTGGGAGAACCACCGGTCACGACCGGTTTAGGCGCCAGGCGGCGGCGGTCTTCCCCATAGCCACCACCACAAGGTCCAGGGGAGGCGGTGGAGGTCCTCCTCCACCAGCACCGCCACCACCAACTCCCAAGCCCAAATGCAGCCCTAAGTACTGTAAGTCAAGACATGTCAAGAACATGTCAAGCTATGTCCCTCATCTTCTGTCCTAAACCATTACCAGCTAACAGGCTCTTCAGCGTCGAGCGCCCTGATATTCCTGATCCCCGCCCTAACCAATGTCGATGCACCGGCTGCGACTGCGACGATGGGTCGAGAAGGGGTTGTAGCCCGAACAACGGAGGGTGTTATGTCTAAAAGGCAGTCCCATTCCAGGTGATCAATGTGGCCCATTCCACGTCGCGTGTACTGAGATGGTGTATGTCATCATGTGTTTGCTTTTAGCCGAAGTCTGTATCCCGCCATGCCTTTAATCTCGAAACATCATAATAAGGAGTACGACTGGAGCCAAGCTCCGTGGTATGTTGGTTAGGTTCTGTGGCGAGTGGTACATTTGAAGGGGATGGTTTGGAGGGAGATGTTGAGCAGAGGAATTGGCTGGTTAGTGGGTTGACTTGGTTTGTGTACCTGGGCCGACTGTACGTGAGGACGTAGGATAGCGTGTCAAGACTCGCAGACAGGATCGAGAGTTTGCGATAGGACAAGATAGATACTGGAGAACGTGGTATCACATTGTGTAAACTGTTCTGGACCTTCTGTCAAAGGCCCTTCAGTCCTACTTCGTACACCTTAACCATCCTTCACCATTCCAAACCTCTGGCTAGTGTCTTCTCGCAACTAATTCCTCCCTCTCCTACTGACTCTAGTATCCTGTCGCAGAGGTTCGTCGCCGCTTGCGTGGTCTTAAGTCCTACACTCTGACCTCGTGAAGCTGGCCTCGCCGCCCAGATCTCCTGTCCAGCCTCTTCCTCAGCCTCGACCTGCTCTCCTAGAATCTTGACGATCATCTCCTGGAATGCTATCACGCCCTCCTCATGGAACGGATGCAGTCGCCCTCTTTCAAACACTGCGCGCTCGAGGTTCCTCTGCACCGCCTCACAGAGTGCAAAGTCCTCGTTGACAACGTTTCGATAGAAAGCAGTCATTCTTTCATGAGCCTCGGGTGTCGCGTGGGGTGTGTTGAGGCGGTAGACATCGTACTCCTGCCTCGTGGTCGTCGCCGAAGTTGGGATGCTGCGCATCAGATGCATGAAGCCCGTGCCGGGGTTGGGGCTGAAATGGCCGCCAGGAAAGACATGCGTGGCGGAACGGCCGGCGAAGCGTGTGGTGTCGAATTGGCTGGTAGAAAACACAGAGGGTTTTGGTTCGCTGAAGTGCGAGATGTAGTTGCTGGGTGTCGCAGGGACGACGTAGTATGTGTCGAGGGCTGTTGTTTTGGCTACGGACGGGTGCGCTGTGAGGCAGTGGTAGCACTGGAGAGGGATTGGTAAGTTAGCATTCTTACGCAGGTACGCAAATTGCTGTGCAACAGGGACGCACCTCATTGTAGTTGTCTTGCATGAGTTTCCAGTTGAATTTCCCCTCTTTGGTCCAGGTGAAGTCGTACTCCACGGCGTCCCAGTCAACGCCGGAATGCGTGAGCACATCTTGATCATCAAGCGCCCCGTACTGTGCTCTCCATGTGATTTCAGGTTCCGGTCGAGCGTCCAGGTTGGCGTATACAAAGCCATTTCTGTCCACGTGGACGTGGATGGGAAAGAGCTGGATACCCGACGTATCGAAGTCGGAGACGGACTCTGGAGTGAAGCGAGGGGCTTTGGTCAGCTTTCCGTTGAGGTCGTATGACCAGCCGTGGTATTTGCAGGAGAAGATCTTTGCTGTGCCACTCGTTTCTTGCACGATCGGAAAGGCACGATGTCTGGGTGCAGCGAATTGTCAAAAGATGGTCATCATCCACTCGGTCGTGTCCGACACTCGCGTGCTAGTAGAACCACGGCACCCACCTGCAGATGTTGTGGAATCCAACTATCCTCCCTGTCTTGTTCCTGACGATCACAAAGTTGAAACCGGCCATCTCATACTGCACGTAATCTCCCACGTTGCGATAGCGAGCCTTGTGCGAGACCAAGAACCATCGTTTCGAAAAGATGGCACGTCGCTCCAGCTGATAGATAGCCGGCGCGTGGTAGAATCCATCTGGCAGAGAGGACCCTGCGTCTTTTGAGAGCGTCTTCTTCGATAATCCTTCGAGATGCAGTCTATGGACGATCTCTGCCGGGCTTGGGCCAGCTGTAGTGGACGCTGGCATTTTGCGGGCTGTTTTCAATCTGCTCCAGCGTTGCCTCGCCTATAGGCCCCATGATAACAACATTCAAGTCTGCCTCCGCGCATAGATGTGGTGACCGAAGATACAAGAACGCTGCCTCACGGTTTGAACGTCTTCTCCATCCAGCTTCCTTTCCGGGAGCAGGGATCCGACGGACGTTATCCCACGGAACAAGGGAGACCTCGGAGCTGTCCACTGTCACGTCCAGCCATCATTGCCGCCTGGCTTGCACCTCACTGACTCGGTCGCGAGCCAAATGCCGATGTGCTGCTGCCACAGACAGCCAGATGCCGATATTTGCAGGAGAAAAGAAACGTATCTAAACCACCCCCAAGGGCCCCTCGCGGTGGCTTCCGCGTCGCCAAGGCTTCAATGGCGCTCAGCTTGCTACGGCTTCGGCGCATCTACGCTGCTTCCGCTCTCGACGAGCTGAACACCAGGTCGTGATGTCTCCAGTCCTTGCCATTGTGGGTATTTCTTCCAGCTAGTCCCCGTTGTCTACCTACCGCAGTCACGCCTGCAAGATGAGTCTTCGCATGTCATCCTTGGACCCGAATGAGCCCAGAGCAGCCAAAGGTTATGCCGGAAAGTCCAGTCGAGGTGAAGAAGCACTGACGCCAGACAGATTGCCGAACCTGCAACCGGAGACGCATCCGCTGCGACAGGTCGCTGCCGACTTGCAAGAAATGTGCTCTCAAAGAGCTGACGTGCCCCGGTTACGGGCTGAGGATCCAGTTCGGACAAGGCGTTGCGAGCAGAGGGAAACTCACGGGCAAGGCGCTGCCTATCATTGAACCTGCTCCTCGCGAAAGTGCCGGTTCCCAAGAGAACTTCAGCCCCAAGAGCACTACTCCTGGGGAGATCTCAGATGCAGGCGAGGACGGTTTCGAGTTCTCAACGACGACGTTGTCTGGCGCTAAACCAGTTGCCACATCACGGCCGTCCTATCGCTCCGTCCCATCCGGATATGACGGAGGTACCTTTCATAATCAGTTTGCGCTAGACCTCGAATTGTCATCGCATGTGCTGCCCGACTACTTGCAAGGAAGGCCGGTCAGAGAGCTCCTGCACTACTTCGACCATCATGTCGCTACTGTCATGCCATGGGTAGACGGGCCTGAAAATCCGTGGCGCAAGCTCCTGCTCCCTCTTGCGCTCGAATCAGAGTCGCTGCTTCTCGCCCTCCTGGCGCTGTCGGCGGAGCACTACACGTCCAGACGCGATTCAAGCTGGCCATTGAACGGCGGATTCCTATCTAGCAACTACCGGGATAGGAGCTTACAGCTTCTGGCTCGGGATCTGCGCGCAGAGGTCATTGAGGATGCAAATTCACCCCGGAAAACTCAGGCAAGCACCATCCTGGCCACTATCCTGGTACTGTGTAATCTCGAAATGATCAGGTGTGACACAACTACATGGCATGTTCATTGGAAAGCCGCCAGAACCATAACAAAGCGGTGGACTGCCACAGACCTTGCATCGACCATTCTGGATGATACATGCCGGTTTCTCCTCAAGGAAGCTTTCGTATACGATGTCTTTGGTTCCTCCACGACATTCGGTGACAATGATCAAATCCCTAGCTCGGTCTTGACAAAGCAGGAGGCCAATGTCTTCACAGATTGGCTGCAATTGATTCAAGACGTGACTCGCGCTGAAAGACGCCGCAACGACAATCCGTTCTCAGCTGAGGAAGCATCAGTGGCGTTGGCAAATATGCAGGGTTTGCAAGAGAAGTTCGAGTACGCTCGAGATCGTTCTCGGACATTCAGCAGGCGCTTCGACTTCGGCACACCTGGTCCACACAACGACTTTACTGTTCTCATTGATATCTTCCACTATGCTGGACTTGCATACAGTTTCCAAGCTCTTCTCAACACTCTCGACCATGCCGTTCAGGCGTCGCTTCAGGACCACGTCACCGGTGTCATCACTGCGATGGGCCAGATTCGGAACAAGGACGCCTATCAGCACGATCTCGTATGGCCGCTGTTTGTCGTGGGAACACAAAGCAGGCATAACAAGGATACCCAGGATTTCGCCGAGACCAAACTGCTGGAAGTCATGAACTCAACGGGCTTCTCCAACTGCTACCCAGCACTGGAGTTTCTGCGGCGTTTCTGGGCGACCGATCCCCTCGTCGTCGCAGATTGGATGCAGTTTGCTCGGCAGGAGTCTAGACAGGGCAAGCATTTTCTGGTGATATAAATGTCCTGTGCCGAAATCCGTACTCGTTGTGGAGCTGTCACCGGCATTCAACTTGGTCCATGTCCACAGACAAGCAATTACATGTCAACAGTTTCCTCGTCTTCGACCCCAAACAGGACACGCATGGGATCTTGATATTCCATGAAGCCGAGAGACGGACGGCAAATTCCATAACCTAAAAGCCTTTGTGCTTGTGGTGGCAGCCGCTTAGCCTTCTCGGGAGGCACCATGAGGAACTGGTTCTCAGCAGGACGATAGGTCGGCTTGCATAAGAAGATTCCAACCGTTTCGCGAGCTTGGTCTCTGGGATGCAGTCAGCAGGTTCCAAGGTTTCGCGGCTCGTCCAATCCCTACTTGGTAACATTAGCACCTCCAGCATGATATAGGTTGCCGACAAAGATGAAGGCATCACCAGGTTCCAACTCTGCTGGAATAGCTTCGTGATCGTATGGGCAACGGTCTGGACCCCAAACATGCGACCCAGGGATCGCAATTGTGGCGCCGTTCTCGGCTGTTGTCTTGGTCAAGGCAGTCACACACCCGAGCATCATGGGCATGTCGCAATTGCGAGTGTGATAGTCGCTACATCAAGTCAGCCAGTTTCCGAACGGGACACCAGGCAGCAGTCGTTTACGCGTCATCTCTGTGCAGTCCCTGTTGCCTACCGCCTGGATTCACACGGAAGCCGACACTCGAGGAGATGATCGGCTTCGCTGTGACGGTTTCTTGTCTCTGGCCAGTCCAGTACGTAAATGTCGAAGAGATCATCTTGTTTGCCACATTGATGTACGTGGGATTCATGGCTAACTCTACGCACCCTTCCGACCGGGCAAGCAGACCTGTAGCTCTCTGGGTCGTATGTGGGAAGAAACCTGAAGGGTCGACCATGTCTGTGTCGAAATAAGGCTTCAGCTCCGACTTGATACGGCTGGCTAGTTCTTTGGAGATGATGTTCTCCACGATAACACCACCGTCGCGTTCAATGATCTCGACCAGAAGATCCGTCGTCGTGGCCGGATCGTTCGCGTCATATCGTGCCAGGGTCGGCTTCTGGACGGCACCATTGGTAAAGCCGGCTCCTTTCTTGGACACGACCGGAGCTTCGATGATGTCCTCGACCGCAACTGGAGCCATCTTGTTTGCTTGAAGACCCCTGGGATATGTAACTGACCTGCGATAAACGCAGGTATGATAAGGCCACAGACTGCTTGGAAGTTTCCAGGAATGGACCAACGACTGCGGCCGTGCTAAGCGAAAGACTGATTGCATGAAAGAAGGGAGCTGGAATATGGCGTCTCACGATTTCTTATATAAGTTGGCCTGGTATATCGTGACGTTGTAGAAAGCATCAACTTCTCACCTCTCCTGCCCGGCCCGGAAAGGTGAGTCTTCTAGACTCCTAACAAGACAATGAGTTCGCGGCGGTTCTGGTGTACTCTCCGTCTCCCCCCACACATCTAAAGACAGCAGGTGAGTTGAGAACGCGCGGTGTTCTCAGAGGTCTGGTCAGCAATAGTGTTCGGAGAACTGTGGCTAGTGCTGTGGGATGGGCTTCCCCAAGGGGCTGGTGGATGGAGATGGTGTTGAAACTCGAGATACCCAGTCGTGCCAGTAAGTCGAGGTCCACAGTCCGTCTATCTGGAGATCTTGTGGTTGAAGCAACACACGGTTGGCTGGCAGCACATCACCATCCTGGCCTATTGATCCACGGATCCCGGCAGCAGGAACTTCTCCATCCACCGCCCAAAAGAAGCCTAGAGCAGGGTATCTCGGCTCCAGGTCGGGTCCCCACAAGGTCTTAACTAGATTCCTGGCCTTGCGGCTCGTCCCTTCTCCATCGAAGAGCCAAAGAAAACATCTGACCACCCATCGCCGAGGAGAGTATCTTTACCCAGCGATAAGGGACGTCTCACGGTATGCGCTTGTGAGTTGGATCATCAACACTCTGCAGCGCCACGACCCTCGCTTCGCATCGTTTGCCGCATCGGGCTTGGAGAGACGCGTCAGGAATTCTTTGGATCGCATCAATGGCGGCGCCGATAAGCGGCGCTGCACGTCCAATGGAGACCACGGTCCAACGCCCAATCTCTGGGCTACACCATGCACATGGCCGAAACCATGACAACTCCCCTTGTCTCTGTTCTAGCCTTACGCGGGGCCAGAATAGTCCATGCTGGAAAGATACAAGCTCATTAACTTAAGCTCGACTTGCCTTCAAGACTTCAGTCACCCTCAGGATTTTCTGTGGCAGCGGTCCTCGGCGACCTCCCTTGGGTTTGAACACCAAACCCTCGGAAGCGATCAAGATGAAAGACACGGGGTTCGAAACTGTGACGGAGGACTTGGACAACATGGCGACCCTCGAGGAGGCCAAGTCCATCAATAGCGACGACGCCCTCCTTATGTCCATGGGCAAGAAGCCAGAGTTGAAACGAGGTATGGTAACCCCGTCCACATCGTCATCCCTTCGGTGCTAAGTGTAAGCACAGTGTACAATTTCTGGACGCTATGCGCGTATCAGATCATGATTTCTTGCAGCTGGTCATGTCTGGTGGTCCTGTACTCGACCATCTTCGACGTTGGCGGGCCCTTTGCCCTCGTCTGGGGCACTCTCTTCGTCGCAGTGGGTCAGACTCTGTTGATGATGTCCTTGGCCGAGTACTGCACCATCTGGCCCACAGCGGGTGGCCAACAGTACTACGTCCAGGCCGTCGCCACCGGAAAGCTTCGACCCATCCTATCATACCTTGTTGGATGGGCCGTCATCGTCGGCGAAATCAGTACGGGGTCGAGCTGTGCGCTCAACAGCGCTGCGATCATTGCATCCTTCGTCGAGGTCACTCATCCGGAATTTGTCTGGCATCGTTGGATGACCTGGATCATCTACACGGCCTTCCTGATTGGGCCGATCGTCATGAACCTGAAGCAGTCCTGGCTTCCAGGCATGAACCTCTTTGGCGCCGTCTGGACCATTGCAGGCGGTATCGCGTGGGCGGTCGTCTTCGGCATCATGGCACCCAAGCACGACGCAAAATTCATCTTCACCAAGTTTATCAACAACTCGGGCTATACCAGCAGTGGTTGGGTGTTCATCATGTCCTTTTACTCGCCCATGTATGGCCTCTACGGCACGGACGGCATGATGCACCTGGTCGAGGAGATGAAGCATGCATCCAAGGAGGCTCCAGTGAGTAGTCCCGACCACGTCTCGACAGTTTTGGGCAGCGGCTGACGTATCTAGCGAGTGATGGTCTGGTCGATGATATTTTGCAGTGTCACCAGCTGGCTCGGCGCGATCCTTCTGCTCTGGACCGCTGGGGACTGGGAGGAATACATGCTCGGTACGCCAGAATTAGCGCCTCTCAGTCACCCCTTTCTCCTCCCTGGTTACTTGGCTAACATGCTTGACACTCCCAGCCTCGCAACCGTACATGAACTGGTGGATGGACGTCTGCAACTCCGTCTACGGCGGCGGCATCTTCTGCGCGCTCATCATGATCGGCCTGAACTTCTTCATCATCGTCGGCACCAACAACGCCGGCTCGCGCCTCGCTTGGAGCATGGCTCGCGACAAGGCATTCCCTTACTCAGACTACTTTGCCCACGTGAGCACGAGGTTCCATATCCCCTTAAGAGCGATGATTGCGATCCTAGTCGTCGACCTGGTCATTGGTGAGTAGCGTGCCCCAGCTCTCCGACGCATCCCGTTGCGCTAATGCTGGGCCAATGTAGGCCTCATCGTCCTAGGCAGCGACCTCGCCTTCGAATCGATCATCTCTGGCGGCGGCGTGACTCTACAGATCGGCTACGTGACGCCAATCATCGTGGTATGTGTGTCGCGAGCCGCCCTTTCGCTCTCCGTCGTGTACACACTTTCTCTGATACCCTTCTTCTCCAGGTCCTCATCCGCGGCCGCTCCATCCTGCCTCCTCGCCCGTACTTCGACCTCGGCCGCTGGGGATACCCCATCAACGTCATCTCCGTGTGCTGGTCCCTCGTCATCATCACCATGTATCTCTGCCCACTATATGTGCCCGTCACGATCGCCACGATTGACTACATGAACTGGAGCTGTCTGATCGTCGGGGCCACGATCCTGTTCCCAGGCATTTACTGGGTGTGGAGGGCCCGGTTCCGGTATATCAAGGAGGGAAACTCCGTGCTGGAGGATAACGTCGTCTGGATTGATGGAGTTGCTGTGAGTGGGCGGGAGGCCTTGAGGGAGGCGGCTATGCATTCTGAAGCGAAGGAAGTTAAGTAATATAGAGCGACAGTGTGACAGTTTTGGATTAACGGTCGGTGCCAAGCAGAGCATGGCCAGGCCGGTTGTATGTCGTACCTACATTATAAAGTTGTGCTAATTACATACATTGTTACGTGTGATGTGAGGTGATGCGATATAATACATTTGATTAAACATCTGTTGCTGTTGCTGCATTAATCGGACGTTAATCAGGCAGTGGCCAGTTGATGCTATAGCTCCGACCAAGAATATTCATATGGTACTCTACTGTCCTGTCTTGGCTGAGAGGGTAAGGCTGATCACAGGGAGATCGTCAGGCTTCACGAGAGTCAAGCAAGCGCGAGCAATGATAGCCCTGACTCCTGCCCAGCATGGGACCTGTATGATAAGAGGCGCTGCCAACCCGTCAAAAAGGAGGCCAACGTCCTGCCTGTGCTGCGGTAGCTAGAGATTCGACAGGTAGATGGACACGAGGGTGGTGAGGGAGGGAAGGAAGGGAGAGATCATTCATAAGCTTCGTAGGCGGGCACAGTCCCGGCCTCACGGCCACCCGAATCCTCTGTATAGAGCGAGCGGTTTTATTGATCTCTGTATCACTGCCCGCTGCTCACTGCTCACTGCTCATCACGAAACTACCTCACCAACCTTTGGAGCCCGATTCTTCAACCATTCCCTGGCTCTGTCGAGATCGCCTTTCTCGTCCTCAAGCGCTTTGGCACACCATTCCAGCTCATATTCCCCTTCGCCCATGATCATGCCGGCAAGATTTCTCCGCGATTGACTCGCTTCATCGACGCAGAAGATCAATGATGTGATCGTCCCGTTTGCGAGGTCGTTCATGATTGGCTTGATCATAGCTAAGCCATCTTTGGCGGATACGACTCGATCGTCGCCATGGACATTCTTATACGCTGTTCGGCAGAACTCCGCGTTGCGACACCAACTCTTACCACATCCGCCGGTCAATTGCTGAAGCAATCTTCTCTCGATTCTTCGCCGCAACATTTTGCCCTCAGGATCGTAGGATGTGACGTATAATGGACCGAAACATTCGTTGCACAGGCCGAGCTGCTCTTTCTGCACTCTTTGCTCGTCTTCAGACTTAATGACTCGTCCGCAAATGCGATTTGAGCAAAGCCTAGACTTCGGTCTGGAGAACCTTTCGCGATCGTGAAGGCGTAGATGGGTTTTCATGTCTCGTAGCCTGACAATCTTGTTGCAGAGATGGCATTCTGTTGTCCGTGCACCATCAGCCATCTCATGGGGAGTGAGCCCACTCATAAGCACTTCCGGGTCCGTAAAGGAAGGGTCTTCTGGACCTTGTTGAGGGACAACTAAGTGACAGAATTGGCATAAGATTTCTTTCCCTGGACAAGTCGTCGTTCGATGGTGGGCCAGGATCGGTACATCATAAGCCTGAAAGTCACATTCTGGGCATTGCAAAGGTGATTGTGGGTGGAAGATGGCGTCGTGCTTTTCGTGCGAAGCAGCATCGTTGCCGTGCTCTTCATCGTGGGGACAGTGCCAGTGGTTTTGCCAGGCGTCAGACTTCTTGAGGAACACCTCCGAGCACTTCGGACACAGGATGTTGTTCCTGTAGCAGAATGCCTCATGAAGAGGAAGCGTGCGCTTGGGAACCACTTGATGGCAGTTCTTGCACATCACATCATCGGGAGACAGTGCACCGGTCTCGTCGCCTGCATCGTCTGTCTGCGCAGGGGCGGAGACTTGAAGGCTGTAGGAGATTGGTCGGGCTGAATCCTGAGAGTCTTCTTTTCCGTTACTCCACGCGTGCACAGCAACGTTCAAGACCTCGGCATCCTCAAGGTCGACGCTGGTGTATGAGAGTTTCATTCTCTTCGTGGGTCGTACACTGAGATCACCGAAGACGTACTCGTCGTCGCGTGGCTTCGAGCGCTGTTTTGCTGAGAAAGGCGTAACCAGTAAATTCAGCCTGGTGTCATCGTCTAAAGCCTCCAAGGTAACTTCGAAATCGCGGGTTTTGTCCCATTCTTTCAATTCGTAGTCGACATATTGTCCAGGTAGAACTCTGCCTTGAATCTCGGTCCCAAACGTCACCGGGCCTCCTAATGAGCTTCCTTCGGGTGACTCGTGGCCCCGGTTCTTCTTTGCCAGTGTCTTCTTCAGAGTCTCTCGCGCTTGTTCCTCATTCAAAGGCTCAATGTCGACCTCGAGATCGGTATCAACAATACATATCCCGTCCTCGTCTGGTTCAAACTTGTCGACCAAGAACCGGAATCTTTCATGATGTGCACCAGGCACGACAAGCAACTCTCCGCGGGTCAGGGTGGTATAGTTATCCCGAAGATAACGCTCTAATAGAGACTTCCAATCTTCCGGGTCGTACCCAGCCTCCAAGGGTCGCAGCTTGACATAGGTGCCTTTCTCCAATTGCTTTGCATGTATAGTTATTACTTCTCCCTTAGATGTGTCTGTACCATTTGTCATGACCACGTCACCATCTGGAGTGCCTTCCCGGGTCGTGGAAGTAGACCGTGTGGCATTTTGCAGGCCCAGCGCCTCTTGCAGACCGCTGCTCAGGCCTATTGTACCTTCGGCGGCTGAAAATTCGCGGATCCCAGCGTATACTGCCCTTCCATTGAGCGGGTTGACAAGGCGGAAAGTGAGAGGATGGGGTAACTGTTGCTGACGGTCTTCAAAAGCTTCGCGAGCACGGCGCTCGGCTGCGAAAGAATAAGGGTTAAATGGATCGAAGGACGATGTCAGTTGTCTATTCGTGTTATTCTGGACTGACACCACGGGCGCAGCAGCCAAAAGTGATTCGAGGGCGGACTGTGGCAAGGTAATCTTGTCTCCAACGAGACGACGATTTGACGGCGCGACATGAAGTTGAGCCGTCCATTTCAAGGGCTCTGAAGACGGGGACATATTTGCTGCGTGTCTGTGAGGGTAGAAGACCTCAGCATATGAGGCCGATCGCGATATGACCCCATGATGAAAGTCAGATCAGGCAAAGAAAGGACGCGCAGTCGGTGACTTCGAGAAGCGTCGATGGCGACTGACAAATGACCATCTCGACAAATCGACGCCGTCTTTGGATGCAGCTTCGGTTTGAGTTTACTTTCGGACCATTTCCACTTTCGCTGTCAAACGCAAATAGTAAATAGATCCCAATTGCTGGCCGTTCCTCGCTGGATTCAGCGTATCCCGAATCCTGCATGTGAACCACTCGATCCTCTTACATAACCATCCCGCCGCAATGGTGCTGGGCAGGCGTCTGCAGACTCGCCACGCTCGTCGCTTGCACAGTCGGCGGACCACTGCGGCTGTGTCCATACACATTGACGGGCAGTCGTGGCAGCCATGGCCTATGGTGGCATTCCAAGCCGGCCCAGTCGATGATTATATAACGTTGTAGTCGCCTTATTGGACTCGGCTAAGCGTGCGACGGCATTTGGCGGAATGTACGACATGGTACTCCTTCAAAAGCTCTCAACCCTCGATTAAAGCAGACACGCAGCAATCGAGACTCAGCTTCTGCCGTGCTTGTCATTCTGAAGCCTTTCACGAGGGAGACCATCGCACTCTGTATTCGCTGGTTCTACAGGAAGCCGCGTTGTCCCGGGGTTGCACTGCAAATCTGCTCCTCAGTTGACTCTGCCTAAAGCGCTGAACATGGACTGAGAATTTCTACATTTCTGATGCACCTACCTGAACTTAACTGTCCGTCCTGAAAAAATCTGCTAACTACTGTCGAAGCTCATTCTTGGACGACATGACCGACGTCTCAAGGAAGGGCTCATTGAGCTTCCTCAACCCCTTTAAAACGAGATCCGGAAGCCGTTCAAGCTCGAGAGCGTCGTCCGTAGTTGACTTCAAGATTGGTGATGACGCAAGGAAATCCTCAATCTCAACCGCCACTATCAAAGAAACAAACTCCTCTGGTCGTACCTCTAGAGCAGGTTCTGCCAAGAACAGCCTCGAGTACACTCGGTCGTCTCGTCAGGGTTCCACCCTAGCCACCACAGGAGAAGATGGATGGGACAGAGATGCCCAGACCGGCGAGCGAAAAGATCATACTGATCTGTTACACAGTCTTGTCGATGAGAGTACAGCAGAATCTCTAGCTGACAAGGCTCAAGCCATGTTCATCGGGATTCCGGCTAAGCCCGCTGCGGATCTGTTCTCCAGGTTTCCCGAAGGTGTCTGGAGGCGGATTGTGGAATTCTTGGGTCCAGCAGATAAAGCCAGTCTCGCGTTCTCCTGCAAACCATTTCGGACTCTGCTAGGCACTAGGTCTTGGACCGACTTGAATAGCCCACAAAACCGAGACGCCAAATTCGATTTTCTTGGCCGGTTAGATGAACAGCTTCCTAACCATCTGCTTTGTTTTCAATGCGGAATATACCACGTCAGGACACAGAAGGGCCAGGAAGTCCTGCGTCCCACCAATGTCTCGAACCCCATCTTCAACTGCCCTAATGTCTTCAACCTCGAGAACAAAGTGGCACGACACCGAATCACTGTCGGACGCGCTCTCCCATTCCCATTTGTCCAACTCATTCTGCGAGGTCAGAAGTACTCGCCGGAGCACGGGATCCCCATCGACTCAATGTCACGACGGTACAAGGATCGAGATGGAGAGTGGACTCACCAAACACGCTACGTGGTCGTCAATGGCCATCTGCTGATGCGGGTCATCAGCTCGGCGTTCGCAACCCCGGCGCTACCTCCAGCAGGGCTACGCAGATTACTCTACTCACCCAGCGACAATTTCAATCCATACTTTTCTGTCTGCGCGCATTGGAGGGACGGCAATCTCATGCCTGCTGTCAAATGCGCTCTAAGTCACATTCCGAAACCGCCAGAGGGTAGTGGCATCGCAGGCACCAGTGCGAAGGTCCAGTATCATTTTCACAGACCTCATCCCATAATTACCTTGTGCTCCGAATGCAGACCCATGCGACGGTGTCCGGAGTGCCCGACCGAGTATCTCATTGAGATGAGAGTGCAAGAGGACCGAAGCGACCCCGACCCAAGGAAGTTGTTCAAGCACGCTGTCGTCGTCACACGATGGAGCGACCTTGGCGACGGGTCCTCTCCTAAGAGCCTGGAATGGGCTGCTTGCAATGGAGAAGCAGAATACGATTCCTTCACGGCTCTCGGAAAGCGTGCGATCTCTGGGACATTCGAGTCGCAGTTCACGGTCGACCAGATCCCGGGACAAAAGATGGTCTCGATGAATCCGAATAAGATCAAGCTTGGGGAAAAGGGGCACGATTGGTATTGATGAAGAGGAGGATGTATGTGGGATAATGTGGTGCAGACGATTTTTGAGGTCCGAACGACTGACCACAGTCGTCTATAATGAATACACAGAGATGAATGCCCATTCTCAGTCAAACGAGCAGGTATGATTGCGGAAAGAGATACCACCGCATAATGACCATCAGTCACTCCATCGGCAGCCTCATTCCGACCATGCACAGGAACAATGTGCACACTAGCCGGAAGATCGGAAGCAACTCACTGTATCCATCACGATCGTCTACCTCTGCGCCAAAAGTGCAGACCACGCCAACGTCTATCGCACATGTATAACGTCTCCTGCAAGTCAGGGTCGATAAACTGCATCGCGTCCAAAACAAGCAGTCTGGAATCCACCTATACAGAACAATGTCTACTTGTATCTCAGCGCCAGGAATAGCACTTCTCATTCAAAGCGAATGTGCTCTTCTCTTCTCTTACCTTGCAGCTCGACCTTCTCATCTTCCCCAGTAACCCATCCCATTCTTCTCGGCCCTCTCCCTCATGCGTCCTTTGTTCCACCGGAATTAAGTCCCTTCGCCTTCCATGCTCACTTCCCTCACGTCTCTACCCATACCGTAGGGCACCCTCCAGTCCTCCTATCCCCCTATTCCAACCCGGATCCCGGATCCCGAATCCCGCCTTGGTCCCTCATCACACCTAAACACACCACTCATACATACCGCGTACCGGCATACAGTACTAGTGTCGCTGTGTCTTTCTTACTTCTCGAGTCCTAAACCTTCTTCTTCTTCTTCTTTGCATTGTCCTTCGACTCCCCACTGCCCACCGATCGAACCCGACTAAAACCGTTTCGCACCCGACTTCCACTCCCCCGCGTCCTCGACCCCCTGCGCGACCTTCTTCGTCCCATTCTCGACGCCAGTCAGGGCATTACTCAACCCATCCCCCACGGGCTTCCCCGCACTCCCCGTCGCGCCCGTGATCGTGTCTCCCACCCCGCGGCCCAGCGCGCCCGTCACGCCGCCGACCGTGCGAGCCACGCCGCCTAGGGTGTTCTGTGAGCGGAGCGTTAGCGGGGACGCTAGTGACCGGGTGAGTGCGCGGGTGAGTGAGATGAGGGGGTGAGTGAGTAAATAAGTGAGTGATAGAGCGGGTGAGTGAGTGAGATGACTAAGCGCGTGAGATGAGTGCGCGAGTGAAATGAATGAGGTGAGTCGGACGAGTGAGTGAATGAGTGAAATGGGGTGGGAACTGTGAGGCGCAAAGCGAGAAGTATATAGTGCTGGGGGCTCAACTTACCCCGACGGTTGAGGTGACGAATTTGGCGGCGCCGGTGACGCCTTCGTCGGATGAGGAGGTATTGATGGGCATCCTGTTCTGCCGGCTTGTGTATGTCTGTCTGTGGTGCAGTGCTCGTAGGGTTTCGTTGGTAGGGAGAATTGATTGTACAGTATGTAGGTAGATTGAGAGGTAACTCGGAGCGGTGTTGACCGTACTTTGGGTAGATATATAGGCAATGGTATCTGGTATCTGGTATCTGATATCGGTATGGCTACCGATTCAAGCAACTGGCACGAGACGCGTAATTATCCGCTCAAGTCAAGGACTGAGTATGCTCGGTATGGTACGCGTCCCGAGTAACGCAATGCGTACACCTTGCAGTATATGAGGCCCTCGGAGGCCGCTCCTCCTGGAGACACAAAGGAGGGACACATGTGATGTCATACGTCTCCCGGTCCTTCGTTGGCACCAGCGGGTGTCGCTCGTCAACGCCTGACCCTGGCCGGGTACCACAGTAGTGTGGCCTGCGGCATCCTCCGCGCTGTGCGAATAGCAGAGTGCGGTCTTGCAGGGGTGGTGGGAGGATTTGTGGCTGTGCCAGGTGTGTGCTGGGACATATTGGACATGTCAGACGAAAGGTCATACGGCATGACAGAAAGCCACTTCTGGGCACTCGACCAGGCATAACTCGAGAGCTACACAGAAGCATCCGAATGTCACACGCTAACAGCATTGGTTGAGCTTGCGCCGAGTACCTCGTACTTTACACATTGGGTTCCACTTGCTCATTGTTGCCGTCCTGCTCACAAATTCGCCGAAAGCACCCATAGTGTGACCATGCCTGACCAGAACTGTTGAACTCCCGATCATGCTTGACCCCTGATAACCTTTGGTGATTCACGTCCAAAGCACTATGTCGGCATCGGTGCCTGATGTCCCGTAAAGCCCTCTTCCTCATATCCTTCGACGGGCGTGCAAGTGCAGAAGAGATTCGTATCGCCGTAGGCATCATCGACACGCGCCACCGAGGGCCAGAACTTCTTCTCCCTGAGCCACGGCAGTGGATATGCCGCTTGTTCTCTGGTGTACGGACGGTCCCAGTCGTTTCGCATGAGATCATGCTGTGGATGTGGTGACATGCGCAGAACATTACCTTCTCGCGGCATCTGGCCGTCCTCGATGGCTTTGATCTCCTTCCTGATCTCGATCAAGGCGTCGCAGAATCGGTCGAGTTCTTCCTTGGATTCTGACTCGGTGGGTTCAATCATGAGAGTGTTGGCGACAGGCCAGCTCATTGTAGGTGCGTGAAAGCCATAATCTTGCAGGCGTTTCGCAATATCAATGGCCTCGATAGCCGCAGTCTCCTTGAAGCCTCTCGCGTCAAGAATAAACTCATGCGCGCATCGGCCATTCTCATTGGTGTACAAGATCTTGTAGTGCGGCTTGAGGCGGGACATGATGTAGTTCGCATTCAACAATGCGACTTCCGTGCCGTGCTTCAACCCTTCGCTTCCCATGAGTTGGATATAGGCATAGCTGATGGGCAGGATAAGAGCACTACCCCAGGGGGCCGAACTAACAGGGGAGATAGCAGTCTTGGCTCGGTCTGGGCCAGGATGAGGATCCACGTGGGAATGTGTAGGCAGGAAGGGCTTGAGGTGTTCCTTGACACCAATGGGTCCGACGCCAGGACCTCCGCCACCATGAGGAATGCAAAACGTCTTGTGCAGATTCAGATGACAAACGTCGGCTCCGATATCCCCAGGGTTACACAAGCCGATTTGAGCATTGAGATTCGCCCCATCCATGTAGACTTGTCCCCCGTGTTCGTGAACGATCTCACAAACTTCCCGGATCGCCGGCTCGAAGACACCGAACGTGCTGGGATAGGTGATCATGATGGCAGCTAGGTCATCCTTATGCTTCTCGCATTTGTTCTTGAGGTCTTGAACGTCCAGATTGCCGGTCTTGGTGTCACACTTCAGAGGAACCACTTTCATTCCCGCCATGGCAGCCGACGCAGGATTTGTTCCATGCGCCGAGACCGGTATGAGGCAGACCTTTCGCTTGCTTTCTCCTCGGGTGGAATGGTACTTCTCAATCACACGCAAGCCAGCAAATTCACCCTGAGCACCTGAATTGGGCTGCAAGCTAACGGTATGCATGCCAGTGATCGAGGCCAGATTATCCGACAGTCTCTCGATGAGGGCTTGATATCCTCCCTGGCCCGGAGCGAAGGGATGATGTTTGTTCCATGCACTATTAGATATGGGTTGCATCTCTGTGGTTCCATTGAGCTTCATGGTGCATGATCCCAACGGTATCATTGAATGCACCAGAGATAGGTCTTTGGACTGCAAATGATGGATGTACCGAAGCAATTCAGTCTCCGAGTGATTGTGGTTGAAGACGGGATGGGTCAAGTAAGGTGTCGACCTTTGCAGCGAGCTCGAAGTATCATCGACTCTCGAGTGTATTCCTGGCTCGCCCAGAGCACGATTAAAAACGTCCTGTTCGATACCAAGCACTTGTGCCAGTAAAGACATACTCTTCAGGCCAGTACTCTCATCAATCGAAATGGCGAGCTGTAGTTTTTGTTCCGAATTTCCAGAGACTATTGTACGCAGAGAAACTGAAGCGGCCTCTGCCCGCGATAAGATCTCCTCATACTCGTTGCGATCTTGCACTTCCAACGTGACCGTATCGAAGAGTACAGCACCGTCTTCACGAAGCCCCTTTGTGACAACTTTGAGAGTAGAGCTGTGCTTCTCGACCAACGCTTGAAGAAACTTGGTGCTGGCCCAAACTTTATTGGCAATATCCCGCAGACCTTGTGGTCCATGGTAAATGGCATAAAAGGCGCTCATGTTGGCGAGAAGAGCCTGCGCAGTACATATATTGCTAGTGGCCTTTTCGCGTCTGATATGTTGCTCGCGTGTCTGCAGTGCCAGACGCAGAGCACGATTGCCGAGCCTGTCTTTCGAGACACCTACGAGCCGACCAGGTATCTTTCGTTTGTGCTTCTCACTGCAGGCAAAGAAGGCGGCGTGCGGTCCACCATAACCCATGGGCACGCCAAATCTTTGGGCGCTACCGAACGCGACATCTGCGCCAAACTCACCCGGAGGCTTCAAGAGAGTGAGGGCAAGCAAGTCTGTAGCGACGCAGAACGTGGCCTCGGCGGCATGTACGACGTTGGAGAGGTTTTGAAAGTCGTGTACACCTCCAGTTGTGTCTGGATATTGTGCGAGGACGCCGAACAATTTCTCCCCTTGGTCTTTTACAAGCTGACAATCATTGTCCAGAATATCTCCAACCACAATGTTGATGCCAAATCCGGTCGCACGTGATTCTAGGACCGCGATCGTCTGCGGATGGCAAAGATTGGACACGACAAACGTCTTTCCCGGCTTCTTCAGTCGAGCAGTTGAGAGCGCATTCATGGACAAGGTCATTGCTTCGGATGCAGCAGTGCCTTCATCAAGAATGGAGGCATTTGCTATCGCAAGACCTGTGAGGTCTGTGACAATCGTCTGAAAGTTGAGGAGCGACTCCAAGCGACCTTGACTGATCTCGGCTTGATATGGTGTGTAGCTTGTGTACCAAGCAGGGTTTTCCAAGACGTTTCTGAGAATAACCGCAGGAGGAACCGTACCGTAATACCCGCTGCCTATGAAATTGTGCCATGATCTGTTTCGCCTCCCAAGGGCCTGTAATTCACTTCGCACTTGTCCCTCCTTCTGGCCATGGGCATTGTTCTGTTTTCCGCGTGAAATTATGGTAGGGTTCTTCTGCCGGATTCCGGATGGTAGAGACTGGTGTATGAAGTCATCAAGATCTTTGACCGGCGGATCCAGCTTCTTGAGCATCTGCTCTTCATCCTCAGGTGAAGGACCAATGTGCCGCTGGCTAAATCGCTCGCTTGTCTCTGTAAAGGATAGTCGTTCTTGATTTGTTTTCGTTGGTGGCGGTCTACGGCCAGCGGGGTCATTCGGTTGTGCTGCAGTAGACATGCATCTCGTGCACATGCGACTCAGCTCGTTCCGTAGGAACCGTTGCCGCTGAACGACGCGGTGTGCTGAGCGAGCGGCGCGGGGCCACATGACGGAGGGGTTGGCCATGGTTTCGGGCCTTGACAGGGCCGCTGTTCAGTGCAATGGCATCGAGAAGAATGTTAGACGGCTGAGGGAAGACAGAGGATCAGAATATTGCAGATTTGTGTCGATATTGTAAAATGGGCAGTCATTGCCCAACATGCACGAGTATCCAGTAGTCACGCAGCTTCCACGCAGTTGAGAACCGGAGGACAGCGCAGGCGGCTTTGTGGCCGCAGCTGCAGCTACTAGTAACTTAATTACTCCGCCCGATAACAGATATGGGCGTCATCGGACCAATGAAAGCCAATGACCGCCCTTGAAGAAATGGGCCACAAACTGGAGCTGGTGAATTGGAAATAAGAACTCCGTAATTACTCTTCTCTCACCGTACCTTCAAACGACCAACATGCTAATGATACACCAATATCATTGATACAGAGGATGTCTAGGAAAGTGTTGTTACAGTCGCTTAACGCATCTCAGTCATGCAATCCTCATGGGCCATCATCTCTCTCACTTCATCTGCGTGCATAGTCGTCTCGCTTAATAACGATCATGACCTGAAGAGAACCAAGGTATTAGTACTGGAATTGATCAAGAGCTCATCGAGGATACCACTCACGTCCAAGAGGCTTAGCTCTCTTTCCGATATCTTTGGCTTGCTGTTGCTTGATCTTGGCGAGACGAGCCCTAACGTGACATGTCAATATCGACCAGAATACGTCAACGGTAAGTCAGGAACGTACTCCTCTTCAGCTTCACGCTCAAGCATCTTGACATGGTTCCTTGCCTCTTGGACAGCAGCTCGGGCTTGCACGAGTGCTCGGTCCGCCTCTCTTTCCGCGGTCTCTGCTGAAAGCACTCGCTCCCGAGCAGCAATGATGGATGAGTCTTCATGGTTGCGGTGGAACAGCCCGCCTGAACTGCGTGTTGAGCCGTGAGAAAGCTTGTTGCTTCCGTGACGGTTATTGCGGGTGTCTAGGTCCGAAGAGGATGCCGACGACGATCGGCGGCGGCTGAAGAAACCTTTGCGAGGACTGCCGCCCGCGGAAGAATTTGAGTATCTGGGATTTGTCGTGGTATGTGCATGTGTGGGAGTTGGCTCAGGGGCCGTGTTCTTGTGGCCGAAAAGAGGCATGTTGATGGATGGTTTGGCGACAGTGGCCTGTGAAAAATAGTGTGTTTATGGATTAGGCAATCGATCAGACAGAAATCTCAATGGTACGAGTATAATGTTGTTGCAACGGCCTTCAGCAACGTTATATAGCTGCATACCCGAACCCGGTGCAACTGACAGTGGTGGTGTCCTAGAATCAGGTTTTAGGTGTTGGTGTGACGTAGAACCGAGGACGAGGCTCACGAAAGGAGGGATCGGCAGCCTCGATGGCCCAAGCCAGCCAAATGACGCCACATATCAACCAGAAGACCACGCGCCCAGAGTCTTGGTGTCGCTTACTTCGGAACGAATTTGGACCCTTGAGAGCTGTTAGATTCATGTTTCCTCGTATCAGAGCACAGTAAGAGCATAGCCAGCCATCCTGGAATGATGGCATTTCACAGTTTGGTACTTTTTAGTGCGAAGACCATCTTCAAGAAGGGTAAATTGGAACGAAGATCCGGCACGCCTGTGGCTGAGGTGGTCTTGGACAAGCCAATCATCCAAGCAGTAAGGCTAGATTAGCAGAATGAAGGCCTGGGGACGGGCGGTGGGATCGAGGAAATATCTCGATGGAGCTGTCAATTTAGTATGGGATGTGCCTTTCTAAGTACCTCGTACTCCGTACAGCAGCCACGAGCCGTCCGCCACGAGCAGCTCACTACGAGGTACCACATCAAGCGCGATATCCGCATGATACTGTGTACACTCATGCGTGTGGCAGCCTTGCAGACTTTACCTTCGGCCGAAGAACATTGCATGTGCCTTCAAACTCGTAATATAGTTACAAGAAGTGTGCGACGCGTGCAACCGTCTGTGCTCGTTTCGTGTGTGCTGCTCTGTATTGATTTCCTGGCGCTCGAGAGCCATGACGTCAGTCCGGAAGCCTGGCCTTGCCCGGTCACTTCAGCCCGTCATGTGACTCAGGCTAGATACACGGTACATTTGCAGCTTATGTGCACCGTGCACAAGCACGTCAACTAACTGTCTAGGTAGATATACCTTCGCCAATCGCGGAGTACGACGCTTGTACCTCCGAGAGTATGTCTTTGACTCCAGCCGACAACAGCTCTCAATGTACTGTGTATGCAGAATGTACTTTAAATTCCGGGCTCCTCTCAAGCTTTCGCAATCCAGCCGGAGTGTATCATAAAGTCAAATATGCGATTGGCTTTATTGACATCGATCTGAGCAAGTGGTCAGTAAGGTCATCTCCGGACGAGGGTATTCACTCACCCTGCAGACTCCTCGAGCCTCTTTTTTCTTCATATGCCCGCCTTGTTTCATGGCTTCTTTCAGCAAGCCTTCTTTGAGGGCAAGATATGGTTTTGGTCGGATGTGGAGTGTGTTGCAGAGCTGGATTTCTTCTTCGCTCAGAAGCTGGAGATCCGGAGCGTATGTCTTGTCTTCTTCCATCCTCCAAGGAGTTGTGCCTGTCAGAGGCTGGACAACGTAGCGCACCTTAGGTTTCGGGCCTGCAGAGATATCTGGCCCATTTGCCTCTGCAAAAAGCTTGTCGAAGTCATTCTGTACAACCGGTTGAGTGTCGGTGAACTGAGGCACTGTCTTTGGCTTCCGCTGGAATCGAAGAGACAGTTCGGGTGTCGTCAGCTTGGAGGCCTCTGTGGGCAGCTCCGGTTGCTGTATTTGGCTGCCCTTCTTGGGAATCTGAGGCATCCTATCAAACTGGCCTTGAGGCTGATTGCGGAGCGCCCGAGCTTGCTTATCAGCTTCGTACTTTTCACCACCTCGCAAGTCGCTGATTCCCATCTGCTTCCACTCTTGTAACTGTGAGATGGCAATGCGTAAATTGTGCTCCAGGAGCAGATCCCGATTCAAAGCCTCAAAATCATCGTGGTTCATCATTCGGGCGAAAGGCTTGGCCTTGTGGAGCAAGTCCTTTTCTTCCTTCGTCCTCTTCTTGTCCAGCAGCTGGTTCTTCTTATAGTCCAGCAGGTTGTGTTCAAATATTATTCGCTTCCGATCCGTCCGAGCTTTTAATCTGGAGTTGTAGATATCGAAGACGGTCATTTTCAAGGTAGTTTCTTCATCCATCTCTCCCGTCACCGGATCAATGCCGTCGCCGGGCTCGAAGGTCATGTGCTGCACAGCTTCTTCGGCATCGTTGGCAAACTCAGTCTCAAACTCTAGACGACCGGGCATGAAGCCCTGCACCTCGTGACACGCGGGCACGGAAGCCGTAGGTTTCTGCTTCGGGGTGGCAGGAGGCGCCGCCTTGGCGGCTTCCTTGCGCTCTTCGATGCGCCGTTTCTTCCGAGCCTGGAATTCATCCTTAGGTATTCGTTGGAATAATCGCGTGTCGGCAGGGTCGGCCAATTCAGGCAGGGGAAACAATGGGCTGTTGATATAAGTATTGGTGTAGTGGTCGCGGACTTCGTCCTTCTCTCGATATCCTCCAATATGCTCCGCCACGTCGGCCCATGAACCAAGGCCATATTTCTCTGATCCTTCTAGCAAAAGCAATTCTTCGTCGGCGCCCCAGTCGTCGGTATAGATGGGGATGGAGTTCTGTTCGACTACATGGTACTCGTGTGTCCGAGGATCATGGGATTTAGAGTGCTCTCCGCGTGCGAAGCACGGCACGCACAGGTCGTATTCGCGGCAGACGGAATTTGCGCATGATATACGGACTGTCGACGTGATATCAATGGAACAAACGTCGCAATGGTATTTTGTGCCGCCATCACCTCCCCGAGAGGCGGCGTTCTTCCTTATTACACCCATACTCCGTTCAATACGAGCATCTTCTTCGGACTCGGAGTCTGGGGAGAGGTATTGCGCGTACTCCGGAGGGATTGTCGCGTCTTCGCAAGAGACGTCAGCTGGTGGGGCTGGAGACCGCTGAGGTGAAGAGGGTGACGCGGAGTTCTCAGAATCGGAGTGGTATACGTCGACGGTATAGCATACGCGCTTTCGTTTTCTGGTACTCCTGACTGGCCTCGAAGATGCTGGGAGTCTTTCTGGTGTGTCCGGAGGTGATATTGGGGGTGGAGGCAGGGGTCGGTGGGTGGTGTTTGTACGACGGACGTTGAAATTGGGGAGAAATCCGCCACCACCTGCGGTAGGAGCCATTCTGTTTGAGGGTCTGATCGATTCACGTGACTGTAATTGGCTCAACCAATGGACACCTCTGGTGGGCAGTTCGCCTTCTGGACCCTTTGATGAAGTCAGCAGCCTGCGCCTCGAACCTGAAACTTGCAACAGGCTCACCAGGTGACTTTCAGCACACCCAGGGACTTTTGGTGGGGTAGTTTCAGCGGCAGGATTACACCCGCACCTCGTAAATCGCCCCCGAAACAAACAGCTGGTTATGGTGTGTGCCACCTAAATCACCAAACACAACTGAGTGTTACTTGAGATCTCGCGATCGGTTGTGTTATTCATCACCAACTTGAATCACCAGATTCACTGCCTCACCCCGAGTCACTCACACTCACCACTCTGTCAACGCTCCTTATCGTCGTACCCGTCTTCACTTCGACTTCACCCTTCACTCACCTTCCCAGCTGCAGCCCCTCCTTTCACTGTTCGCCGCCTCCGCCTCCGCGCTCCTTGATATTGTCGGTCAACAACAATTCTCAGTCACAGCCTGCACCACGAATCACCACTTTACCTCTGGCTAGGAGGTCTTGATCTGCCGCCTTGACTATTCCGACCTTTGTTGTCGTTCGTAACGGAGGAGGCACAAGAAACAAGCGATCCAAAATGTCGTGGAAATTGACAAAGAGTAGGTGGTGACTTGAAAATAAATATTCCTGCGAGGACTTGTCACTGAGTAAGGCACAGAATTGAAGGAGACGCACCTCGCCCCTCTGATCAGTGGTTCGAGTCGAACTACGTCCACGTCGACAGTAAAGGCAGAGGATGCATCCCCTGCTCAGGAATCGCCTGACCTCTCGACAATCCACAGCAACACCAGCACAACTTCAGCAAATGGAATAGGTAGGTCAATATGGCGACTAATTCAACGACTATCGACTGTGGCGTCTTCGACTAACTTGCGGCAGCGGCCTCCGAGCAACTCACCTCACCCCCAGTCCAAACCACCAAGCCCGGTATTCTGATTGTGACGCTTCACGAAGGCAAAGGCTTCTCCTTGCCCCAACAGTACCAGTCAGTTTTTAACAACCACTATGGCTCGGGTCAGTCGGGATCGGTCAGACCAAGTTCATCCTACGCCGCAGGGTCCATGGCAGGATCATATGCCCCCAGCAATCGGCCAGTGTCAACCCACGCTGGAATCAATGCGGCTCCAACCATCCATGGAAGATACAGCAGCAAATACTTGCCTTATGCTCTGCTCGACTTCGACAAACTGCAAGTGTTTGTCGATGCAGTATCAGGCACGCCGGAGAATCCTTTGTGGGCTGGAGATAACACCTCCTTCAAATTTGACGTGTCAAGAGTGTGCGAGCTCAGCGTCCAGCTGTATCTCCGCAATCCTGCTGCAAGACCTGGCGTGGGTAGAAGTGAAGACATCTTTCTCGGCGGTGCCCGGGTCACCCCGAGATTCGAGGAGGCTCGGCAATTCGTTGCAGACCCGAAGAAGAGCAAGAAGGATAATGAGAAAGCTGAAGCGGCCTTCAATGCGCAGGAGAAGCAAGCAGGTCAGCTGGGGGCTGAGTGGGTGGACATACAGTTTGGTACCGGCTCTATTAAGGTTGGCGTCAACTATGTCGAAAATCGTCAAGGCAGCCTCAAAATCGATGATTTCGAGCTCCTCAAAGTTGTCGGCAGAGGCAGCTTCGGAAAAGTCATGCAGGTCATGAAGAAAGACACTGGTCGAATTTACGCCCTCAAGACCATTCGAAAGGCGCACATCATCTCTCGGTCCGAAGTGGCGCATACCCTAGCGGAAAGATCGGTGTTGGCGCAGATCAACAATCCTTTTATCACACCTCTCAAGTTCTCTTTCCAGTCGCCAGACAAGCTTTACTTCGTCTTGGCTTTTGTCAACGGAGGAGAGTTGTTCCACCATCTACAGAAAGAACAGCGTTTCGATATCAACCGATCCCGCTTCTACACCGCAGAGCTACTGTGCGCTTTGGAATGTCTGCACGGCTTCAAGGTCATCTACAGAGACTTGAAACCAGAGAACATTCTACTGGATTACACAGGGCACATTGCTCTGTGCGACTTCGGTTTGTGCAAGCTGGATATGAAGGACGAAGATCGTACAAACACTTTCTGTGGTACACCTGAATACCTCGCCCCTGAGCTTCTTCTCGGCCACGGCTACACGAAGACTGTCGATTGGTGGACTCTCGGTGTCCTCTTGTATGAGATGCTTACCGGCCTGCCCCCTTTCTACGACGAGAACACCAACGAAATGTACCGCAAGATTCTGCAAGAACCTCTACATTTCCCCGGCCCGGAGATCGTTCCTGCGGCAGCCAAGGATCTACTTCAGAAGCTGCTCGACCGCAACCCGGAGCGCCGGCTGGGAGCTGGGGGGGCGGCAGAGATCAAGGCTCATCACTTCTTTGCAGGCATTGACTGGAGGAAACTGTTACAGAGAAAGTACGAGCCAAGCTTCAAGCCCAATGTGGTGAGTATTCGTAGACTATGCCTATTATATCTTGTTACTAACATGGGCAGGTTGACGCACGCGATACAGCCAACTTCGACAAAGAATTCACGTCCGAGGTGCCCAAGGATTCGTATGTGGAGGGCCCGGTCCTTTCTCAGACCATGCAACAGCAGTTTGCCGGCTGGTCATACAATCGACCTGTTGCAGGATTAGGTGATGCCGGGGGCAGTGTCCGGGACCCGTCGTTTGGAAGCATTCAATAGAGAAACAAAGCGTCTTATCTCATGTGATGAGCCATGGAAAAGGTTTACGACCAGAACTTCAAACATTCGCATCATCGGGTCTGTCTTCTTGGGGAAAGTACAGCAGGAACTTCGAATGGCGGTAGAATCGTCCAGATCTTGGTCACCAATAGGACATGGCTTGAAGCGGCTTGTGCCATGTGCCCTTTCGTTGAGCTGAGCTTGAATATGAACGACACTGCGTCGCAATCAATGACATCCTCGTCTGCCTTTGTCTGCCGTACATGATCTTTCGGAGGCACAAATCACCTCGGGCTGCCATTCTGTCCGATTCCATCAACTCACCGTACAAAATTCCCTGGTATATCCCCCCGACACAGTTGTCCTCTCCTTTACAAGGTACGAGAATCGAGGTTCCCGACCACCTCACAGTGCCTGGCCATATCTGGAGCACGTGGCAGGAAGGGCAAGAGCGTGGTGAGGAATGCCATCAAGAGGCAGTAGCAGAGGCCATGTATATACACACCGTGCCTGCCTGAACCGCCTATTCCCGTGCCGCTACTTCATCCGCTCATTCAGACCAATTTTGCCGGATACTTTAGAGAATGAGTCCTACCTCACGTTGCGTTCATGGCTGGCTGAGGTCAATCGGCTACAGCACCCCAGTCGTCCACTGTCCCCAAACGGAGGAATCTTAGGCGATATCCTGCACCTCTTCGCCTATCATCTTATGCAGGGTCGCCGTACCGACTTCAGCTCCAGCAGCTAAAGAAACTCGCTTGCAAAGTCTCCAATCAACGTTCGTCGGCTTGTCCAAACGAAGCTTAGCAATAACCTCACCAAAGAAGTAACCATGTACGATGCCGTGTCTTTAAGAAGAGGGCGTCCTGCCTCGCCCACATGTCCACCACTTTGGCAAGTGTTTTAGAGTCTGCGAGAGCGAAACGGTTGCCTGGATTGGCTGTGCCCGCGCAATGAAGATCCTCATCATACCGTACGACGGGGGCAACCAGTCGCAGGCGAAAGCCTCTGAGGACGGGGTAACGCGAACTCAACATGCTGCACGTGAATACCACCGAAATGCAAAGCTGCGTAAGGCGAGAACCAAAGCCCGGGCCACAGAGGGTGGCGACCAGCGACAGCGAAAGGCAAAGAAAACAGGCGGGTCTACTGGCTCACCGGAGACAGAGGACGGTGAGAAGCTTCCTGTCAGGCAGCAGCAGCAGCAGTCATCTCTGCACACGCTCCTGGGAGTCAGTCGCGCCGATCCGTTCAAGACTGGGTGCAGTTCCGACGTTCCCGTCTACGTACACGAGATGTTAGATCATGCTATCTCGTACCAATGGTCGGAGTTTCGGCTCTCTGATGACGGAGCAGGACTGAACGCGCCTAAGGCCGAGATCATGCAGTCCGTGATGAAGTCCCCCCAAGCATGGTATGCCGTGATATTCGCCGGTGCTACTCACGACGCGTACCAACACGGTGCCTTTGGAGCGCCCAAGCAGAACGAGCAGCTCAGATTGTACTACAAAACAAAAGCCATCGAAGCGCTGCTGGAGGACATTGCTCAGAACGCCGATATGGTCTCCGAGGAGACGCTCCTGAGTATGATTGTTCTAGCTTCTCACGGTACGGGTGAGAAGCTCCGGGGCGCAGACTCGGCCAAGCGGCGAGATTTGCGCCTTCCTTTTGTCCCTCATGTGCATGGTGTGGAATACTACTCGGCCATGGATACGGGCTCGGAGCATCTGAACGCCGTGTACTCGCTGGTGGACAAGCGGGGAGGCCTTCGATCCATTCGGCTTAGAAGCCTGGCTATCTGTATCCAACTGTGAGTCCCTTTTGGGGTGTCTTCCGACATAGCTGACTTGAATACCGCAGGTACGACATCTATGCCTCTTGGAAGAAGTTACAGTCTCCTCATTTTGACCTCCTGGCGCCAACAGCATACGCCATTAGTCTAAGAGCCCACAAATCCGATGCCGTCGCGTGCGACTTGCTCGGGGAGCATGCGAATGGCTTTCACGCATTGCTCAGCATTTATAGTACCCTTGATCACCTCGTCGAGATCGCCGAACACGCGAGTATCTTCTCGGCAGACTTCGACCAACTAATCCGGTGCTACAGTCTTCCGAAAGAGCAACGGTGCCAGGGGAAAATGCCAAACATCGCGCTCGTGAAGTTCACCCGCTGGTGCGTGCTGCATGATATCCTGACGCTCCCTGCCCCTGCATCTGAGGCCGATCACGTCCTTGAGCTGGAGGAGCACACAATTTCCGAGATCTGTCGCCTCATTTTACTGGCATATGCCGTCTTCGCAATCGTTCCCATGTTACCGGAAAGCAAGATCCATGAGCGGTTGGCAGACAAGATCGAACGTGTTCTGCACGACGCCGTCGAGCTGGCGATCCCTGCGAGACACCCGGAACTTTTCCTCTGCGTCGTGGGCTGGGGTTTCATGTGCGCCCACAAGGCTGTCCGCTCTGGCAAGCTAGGGAAGCTGCTGCGGAGTTTCGTCGCGTTCTTGGAATATCAGGACGTAGTAAAGCTGCAGGCGGACGAATGGCCAGCCGTTGCGGACGTCATGAAGTCATTCCTGTGGTTGGACGCTTACTGCGAAGAGCCCGGCCAGAAGTTCTGGGCGTGCGCGTGCGGGCTCGCGCAGAAGTACTTCACCAGGGACTAAACACGAAGGTTGATATTTAAGCACAGCCAACCCAAACCAGCCAGCCAGATTCCCAGACTCAAGCCAACTGTTACGGACATGAGGACGAGCGCAGTCTCGGATATCCACGAAATATCCTTCGAGGTAGCCTGTCAAGCATTCAAGCTCCAAGGTTGCGCAAAAACACTTCTCACTGAGCCATGCATTCGACCCAGCTAGTGTCACCCTTTTAAAAGCACCCTAAACCACCACATCGGTCCGGTCTTTTATGTCCGAACGCTGATGAGTTCGTGGCGGTACTTCCGCGAGCCTAAAGATGATCAGGCAACCAGTAGTGAGGGACGCGGCAAGTTTCCTCAACGACAGCATGAGCGATCCATTGCGAGGCGCAATGCGCGGAACTAATGATGGTCAATCTCTTCCCAGGGCGAAATACCCAGAACTGGTCCGAGAGTCTAAGTATTGAAGCCAGAATGGAGAAGACACGATGAGCGATCCATTCCAGGGCGCCATGCCTGGCACCGATGATGAACACATGATCGGTCTTTCCCGAGGCCAAACGCTCATAACTGGTCTGATGGTCCGGGAATAGAAGAGAGACGAGGTTTCCGTCTCAGGAGGCGGAGGCATTCCGGTTCCGGACATATAGGCGTATCCTTACGTGCTCCTCCTGGGTCTAGGCCCCGCAGTCGAAAGAATCCCCGTGAGCCGGGAGAGGAGAAACGGGAGATTGCCACCCTCAGTACATACCCGGGGCTGTCCAGAACGGCCCTACAGGTATAGGTAGCAGCTCATGGCCTTGAAGATAGCTGTGTCGAACGAAAGTAGTGGGCCAGGGGGAAAGATTGTCTACATATTCCACTAGGAATCGAGTCTAGCAAGTTCTTTGTCTCATGCTGTATGTTGACTGATCCACGGGAATGCAGTGGGCAGTGGACGCCGATGAAATGAACAACGAATGGGCTGAAAATGCCTCCAGATACTCTGAAGTGGAGACAATCACTCCGGGCCCCTAAGGGAAACTGTTTCGATTTAGCCACTATGGAAGGACACGACGAGATGGGATCGTTCACTAAGCAGCGGAAGTGCAATGTTCAGCGCTCATAGTAATAGTGGTGGTGGTCGTGCTTTCTAAGGACGCGTGCAAAGGTATCTTCCCAACACGAGAGGGTACACCATAGCACGCCTTGAAGACGGTACCCACAAGGAAACGTTCATCCCACACCACTTCAGCATGAGCATTGTCGGCGAACGCCTAGACGAGGTAGATGTCTTGAAAGTCCCTGTCCATCCCCTCAAGCACGGAGGGCCGCGTTTTCTTCGGACTGTCGCCTATGAAATCGAGGATTTCGCCAGCCATCAACCCGTGGACATAGCATTCGCCCATAAGTTGGCAGACGGTGTCCCCCTCGTGTACCGTCGCGACGGTGGCCGACCCGCCGGTCAGGTCTAGGCAATTCATCCGCCGCGTTTCCGGCATCGGTGACTCCTGCAGCGCGTACAGCGCCCGGCCACCTTTCAGCATCCATAGACTGTCACCCGGCTGGAGCAGTAGGGGCCCTAGGCCCATCAGACCTCGACTGCCTTCAGAGGCGGGCTGAGTGAAGAACAAGCGCCGATGTCGAGTCGCTGTTTTCACCTGGACTAGATCGACGTCGCTGGGTTCTATATCCGCCCAGAGATCCACCGGCCGCTGTCGACCTGCGCTGATTGTCGTTGCAAAGACCCTTTCCATGGGTATGTTGTTCAAAGGGCACGTCATGTGGCGATCCGTAGGGAACAGCCAGGACCTCAGCGCCCGAACGTCGGGGTTGAGGGGAGCCTCATCAGAGACGGAACAGATGGTCGCTATACGAATGCCGGAGAGCCAGAGCAACCCCGGAGGTCGGGCTGGGTCATGGGTTCCAACGACAAGACTGTTTGCATATATGCCGCTGGCGGAGTACAGGCGGCCTTTGTCGCCGGCGTTTCCGTCAATCGGAGAAAAGCACGCGGGCCTCGTCCAGTTCGGCGTCCAGGACAGGAGCGAGATATTTTGAGCTTTCATCCCGTCGCAGTCGGAAAAGATGTCGAGACTCTTGTATCGTCTAAGCGCCCATATTGCAAAGTTGACGTACACAAAGGAAGCATCGGTGCTGTAATCGATCTCGAATTCCAAGCCCGGCTCGGAAGCATCTGATGCAAAGGCGACGAGACAGAAGATCTTGTCCCGGAGGTCGGTACATTCCGAGCCGCGGAATTGCCTGACCAGCGTCAGCAGCGGCGTCTCTGTCTGGGGCTGGGTTCGCAGGTGGTAGAACGAGTCCAACTGACCCAGGTTGGAAAACATATCCGAGGTGAACTGCAGAGTTTGAGGCATTGGGCTCGCCAGACGAAGCATGGCGACGTGCAGGAACTGGTAGAGCTTTCGCAGGGAAACGTGCGATGGCCCGCACAGGACCTGGGTGGAATGCGACGGAATGGCCGTAGCCTCTTGTCTAATCCACGTCCTCGAGAACCACGGTCTCGTCAAGACTTTCCGGACGGCCGTCCATTCGCGCTGCGACTCCGGGGTATCTGCCCAGGCGGCCTCCGCGAAGCTGTCGAGCAATCTGAAATGCATGGCGTGCAGGTCAACATGTTCGTTGTCGGGCTGTTGGATATGCTCAAACAATGCCGCGACCTCCTGGATCTTCCGAAAACCAAGGAGGCTGTCGTCACTTGCCGGTCCTAACCAGACTACCACGTGGCCAGCGTGCTCATAGATCTCGCGCATCATCATGATCTGCGCCGTCTTCTCCTCCGCGGAGGACTGGTCAATTGACAGCTGGTCGGACCAGAGATAGAACTCGTCGTCTCCATTGTCGAACAGCGTTTGTCGGATCGCTTGCAACAGACTGCGGGTGACCTCGAGCTCGTGTTCTTGATGCTGCGTATCGAATACTTGGAGCCGGACTTTGTCCCGAACATTGCCCCAGGTGTACGACAGAGCCAGATAGTTCGCCTTTACGCCGTTGATGGAGGCGCGGCCGTCCGACCAAGATCCATCCTCGGTGTTGGCAATAAGGCGACAAGGCAGAATCGTTATCAAGAGCTCACCTGAATCGCCGCGCCGAACCCGCGTCACGCGGGTATGGCGTGGGAGCAATGGCTCATACAGGACGCTCATGTCGGCGTCACGCGCAGAGATGTCGTCCTCGAGTTACTGTGCACATTATGCTTGTAAGCTGCTGATCCGAAGAGAGCCCTGGATTTCAAGCCACCCTTGGCGGGGTGCGATGGCAACATTAAGGGGGCCGTTGTCCAAGCGCCCTCAGCCATGTGAAGCGAGACTATCTCGCCTGTGTGCGAGTTCTAGACCGTTGCGAACAGCCACTCCGCACGTTGCACGAATAATCGCATCTGTTATTTCGATTGTAGCTGCTTGCTTGAAACGATTGAGAATGCAACGGCGTTGCGGGACGACTGTTTGAAAGTCCACGCTATAATTGTTGTACAGGGTTGCAATGCCCGGATTCGAGGAGAGGGAAGAAAGAGAGAGAATCAGGACAAACAGGTGGGCGGCGCATGGCAGCTACTGTAGGGGAATCGTCACGACAGCCTTACACCAGCCTCCGCCGAGTCCCTGAGATGAAGGAGCGCTTCCGGACAGCACGCCGTCTTTCCGAAATCACGTACATGTCTCCCTGGTTGCCAAAGAGTTGAGTCTACTCTTGGTCCCCTACGAAGTATAGAGTATCGTCTCCCAAAGTGAGCTCTCGCAAGGCCGCTCTTGGCCGATATCGCTCCTGCTTTCCCCGCATCTCTCAACCGCGTTGGAGATGCTCGTTACTCCGTAGTTCTGGTCGCGGCGGAGGCGGTGTCTAGGTAGTCACGGTGGTGTACATTATATGAGGTACCTGTAGTGTCTGACAGCTCCTGGGCCCCTCGACGAGTGAGCGCCTTGACCAGAAACTCTGTGTACAAGGCGAGCTTGCCCGGCAGCTCCACCATGGCAGCAAAGAACGTCCTCCGCAGGGCGATGCTCTACGGTCAGCGCCCGCTTTCACCTTACTCTCCCCTTACCGACCACTAACCATGACTCGTAGTTCCCGGCTCATCCCAACGCTTCCTTGACAAATCACGCAGCCTCACCGCAGACTGTATAGCCTACGACCTCGAAGACAGCGTCACGCCAGGCAAAAAGGCCGAGGCACGACACGCCGTGCGCAAAGCACTCGACACAGAGATTCCCAGCGGTATCAAAGAGCGGGCAGTGCGGATAAACAGCGTGGGCTCCGGCCTCGCCTTGGGGGATCTCGAAGAGGTGGTCAAGTCACCGAATCTGACGACATTGGTGGTACCCAAGGTGGAAAGCGCGAGCGATTTGACCTTCATCAGCGATGTGCTCGCCCACTCGCGATCCAAGGACTTCCTACAGGAAAAGGGCCAGATATCGATACTCGCGTTGATCGAGAGCGCAAAGTCTCTGATGAATTTGAATGAGATCTGTAAAGCGGCACCACACCTGCTGCAGGGCTTGGTCTTCGCGGCCGAGGACTTTGCGCTGGACATGAGCATCACGCGCACGCCTTCGCTGACGGAGATGCTCTTCGCGAGACAAGCCATCGCCACGGCCGCGCGGGCACATAACTTACCCTCGACGATCGATCTTGTCGCCACGGCGTATAAAGGCGAAGGCGACGACTCGCTACTGCAGCGAGAGTGCGAGGAGGGCAAAAGAATGGGCTATAATGGTAAGCAATGTATTCATCCGAGTCAGGTGGCGACGGTGCAGAAAATCTACTCGCCGAGTCAGGAGGAGGTCGGGTGGGCGGTCCGGATCGTCATCGCTCAGAAGAGAGCAGAGGAGTTGGGCAAGGGCGCGTGGAGCATGGATGGGAAGATGATTGATGCGCCGGTCGAGGGGAAGGCCAGAAGGATCGTGCAGAAGGCCGAGGTCATCGGGTTTGATGTCGAGAGTTTGAGGCAGAAATATAAGGATCAGCAGCCCGAATGATGTAGTAAGAGATGAGAGTCAAGATAGAGTAGAAAGTCTTTGTGTACAGTATCGGCTCCATTGTTTGTTGAAAATTCAAGGAGTTGATCATACTGGGACGGATTGCTCAGTACATTCAGAGATCCGCCACGGAATCGCGGCTTGTACTCTCCGTGAAGGACTCCGACCTAGCTGAACCACACCTCTGCATTCTGCTTGAAGCTGCCCACCAACTTTGCGGCGTACACCACGAAGTAGACGGCCAGGACTACCAAGAAGAAAATGACGAAGATGCCCTCGGAGCTGACACACCATGGAGGCAACTCCGGTAGCCAGTCCAGCCACGAGCTGTGTCGACGTCTCCGCTTCGCTATTCTCTTGCGTGCGCTGGCATTCAGCAAGCTCTTCTCTCTGGGGAATGTGAAGTCCCCAGTCCCCAAGTCGCCCTACAACTCCTTTTTCGTGCCTCTTACTTCTCCATTGGCGTTGGACTTGGTCTTCAGCTCCTTTCCGACGAACGCCTGCTTCTCCCTGCCATCGATCGCCTTCTTCTTGATCGTCAGGCAGTTGATGTCTAACACGTCGCAAATGCGATTGATGACCCTCACGGCCCACACAAAGTACTGGCCCATAGCGAACACAAAATATCCGTAGATGTACCATCTCTCATGCCGAGCTGAAATGGGTTCGAAGCCGAATAAGGGTAGCCATGCCATGATTCCCCCGACAGCGAGGGGAATCAATGCCACTGTGAAGTAAGGGAATGGCCGCCGGGTAAGATGGTGGAGGATGATCTTCGTGGTGAGACGTCCAAACACAAACGAGAGCGTAAGGCAAAATATAGCCAGGTGATTTTCCCGCAGGAGGATAGAGTATGGAGAGGCGCACCACGCACAGATCGAGGCTGTGTATATAATCATGGGTATCCACTCCAGAAAGACCGGCCAGAATGGGAGGTTTTGTTGTTTCCGCGCGCGGTAGACGTTGATGACGCATGAGGGCAGGTGGGCGAAGAGAAACGCTCCCAAGACGATAGGCAACCAAAAGTCCATGAAGACCATGTCACCGAGGTACTTGTCGAGGCCGACATAATCGGCCGCCCGATGTTGCCAAATCTCAGAGTCGAAGTAACCAGAGAGAATCATGAACGAACAAGCGATGATGAGTCCCTCAGTAGGGCCATTGAACGCCCCAAGGAAGAGCGTATGTGTGTGATATGTTTCCCAAGTGGAGAAGAACATTGGTAGACATGGCACAAGCGCCGTGAAGGCACCAATCTTGGTAGGCCCGAGGCCCATGGCGACCGTCTCAAGAAGGCTACCCAATGTACAATTGAGTGAATCGATACCATGGTCAAAGAGCTCACCGAGACCGCTGGAGGTCCCCGTCCGCCGGGCTTGTTTGCCGTCAATGTTATCCATCGTCGAATAAAGCCAAAGCCCAGCAGCAAAGCTATAGCACAGCCATGAGGGTGCCGGTCCGACTAGGTCTGGTACAAAGATATGTACCAAGAGGACGTTGAACAGGATGCAGCAGAAGCCGAGAAGCGTCACCATGTTCGGAGCGAGCCACATGGGCAGTAGCTTGACAGCCGCATTCCACTACAAAGGCGTAAGCTGCTTCCATGGCAAGGGATGTTTCATAGAAAACGTACGTAGTGTCGAAGTATATGGTTGGATATCCATGACTTGTCCACGCTTTGGTATTTGTACGTTTTCAGGTGGGCCATGGCCTCGTCCGACAGAGGATCGGCTATCGAGACAATGTGAGTATTTGGAGGCAGTTTACACGACAAAATGTTGTCCCGCCGAGGCCTACCTGAACCTGCCATGGCTGTGCTGTAGGTGTTGCCAAGTGTTGCGTTGGGCAGATGTAGCGCATGTGCTGAAAGAATGTGAGGGGGGACAGAAACTGAGTGGCCACCCGCAAAAGGTTCTATAAGTCTAAGTCATGCATGAGATGGTCTAGATATTGCGTATAGAACATAGAAAGAACTGAACTGAGCTCTCCATAATGAGCTGCAGACAGAAAGAGCCGGAGGGATAAAAATGGGAAATAGGGAGGCACGTGAAAGAGGGCGAAGCGCCTGCGCTTTGTGGATGTGCGCTGCCCTGTAGCTGCTTACGTAACAGTCGTTCGACGCGTTGACAAGGCAGGCGCAACTGCCATCGCGTTTTCGTCTCTGCCTCTTCCCATCGTCAGCCTCGCCTCAGATCTCGGAGAAGGTGCGTCTTGGACCTGTGAGTCGGATGCGCTTGTAACCCTACACGACCTTAGACTCGGACATCTAGAATATGAGATCAAGCACACTGCTCTGAGGTCCATGTGCGGATGACCATGATTCACGACAATCTAGCTCGCCTCTCATGAACCGGTGATGGAGTCACAGGAGGGCCAGCCGCCGGGTATACGAGAGCCCACATTTACTGTCGCGCATCAAAAGGTTGAGCTGGAGATAAGTTTCAACCAGGAGGTCATAGGAAGGACAGAGATCACCATCTACCCCGACTCTGCCGACCTCAAGGAGATCGCCCTGCATGGCCGACAATGTACGATCAACAAGGTCTTGGTGAACGGCATCCCATCTGCTTCCGTGCAACATGATGATCCTTGTGATCAGCTCAGATTACATGCTCCAGGGTCAGTCCACCAACACCACCTTCTTGCGGAGAAGATTGCGGGTTCGATCGGTGCTGAGCCGGAACCCGATATTATCATCACCCTCCCTAAGAAAGTACGCATTGTGCCTGTCGAGGTCGCAGAAGTACATACGCAGGCCGCAGGCACAATCAAGATCACAAATCCGCAATCTCAGGGCGCATCCGCCACCGAGGTCACCCAAGCACTAGCAGACACAACAGCAGCACAGTTTACACCTCTGACCGTCGTCATCGAATTCGAGTCATGTCACGCTAGGGAATCTCTACAATTTTCGACGGGCCGGCGCGGGAGTGGTCGATGGCCCCATGCATACACTCGAACCAAGATGGGTGCCGGCGGTGCTTCATCCCTGTTCCCGTGTGTCGACAAACTCAATAGTCGTTGTACCTGGGACATTTCCATCAAATGTCCCCGCTCCGTGGGCGACGCCATCAACCAGGCTATTTCGTCCGACCCTGCTGCACTCAGCCAGGATGTTGCAAATAATGACCCGGCGCGCCAAAGCTACGAGAGTATGGATATGGTCGTGATATGCTCGGGTGAGCTTACAGATGAGATCTTGGACAAACACGACCCATCCCTGAAGACCGTCGCATTTTCCTGCTCTCAGCAACTGGCCCCACAACAAATCGGGTTCGCAATTGGACCGTTCGAGCTGGTCAACTTGAGTGAGCTCCGAGATGCACAGCAAGTAGAGGACATTGGTCGCAATGCAGTCGAAGTCTTGGCATATTGTTTGCCAGGCCGAGCAGAGGAGACTAAGAATACTTGCTTACCCACGACTATGGCCATGGACTACGTTGTACAGAAGTACATCTCTTGTCCCGTCAAATCTTACGCCATGTGCTTCGTCGAGGACGCACCAGCTGAAACATTCGTCTTCGCAGGCGTAGCAGTCTGCAGCACTCGACTACTGTATCCGGAAGAAGTCATTGACCCAGCACAAGATGTCACTCGGACCTTGGTACACGCTATTGTATCCCAATGGATCGGCGTCAACATCATCGCGGCCAATCCCCAAGACAATTGGGTCATAATTGGAGGTGCTCATTTCATCACGAATCTCTTCATGAGAGAACTTTCGGGGAACAACGAGTACCGTGCTTACATTAAACGCCAGGCTGATACTGTCGTGGAGTTGGACTTCAATCGCCCCTCGATCTACGACATGGGCGCCATGTTTCATGTTGACCCGTCAGCATACGGTTTCATCGCCATGAAAGCTCCCGTAGTACTGTTCATTCTAGATCGCCGCATCGCAAAAAGAGAAGGCACTTCCAAAATGCCCGGTATCCTGGGAAAGATTCTCACGAGAGCTCGAACAGGGGACCTTGAAAACAACGCCCTCTCGACCGAACTGTTCCAGAAGACCACGGAACGCATGGGTCACGAGAAGATAGATGACTTTCTTGGACAGTGGGTCAAGGGGGCCGGCTGCCCTCGCTTTTTCGCCCGACAGAGATTCAACAAGAAGAAACTCGTGGTAGAGATGACCATTCAGCAAGAACAAGGCGATCGACAAACTTCACGGGATCTGAATCCCGAATCCTTCATGCGGGAAGTTCACGAGGACTTTCATGGCATTTGGGCTGCAGAGCCTCAGCAGGTGTTCACTGGCCCCATGACGATACGGATTCATGAGGCAGACGGCACTCCATACGAGCACATTGTGCAGATAAAGGACCCCAGTACCACCTTCGAAGTACCGTACAATACAAAATACAAACGTCTCAAAAGGAGCAAGAAGCAGAGAGCTCGAGCGAGTACTAGAGCTGCAGCTGAGCAAGTGGACGAGGAGAACGACGCCCTGGTCTATTGTCTAGGCGATGTACTACAGACTGAGGAGGAAATTGCAAAGTGGAGAATCCAAGAGTGGACTCAGGAGGAAGAAGACAAAATGAACATGGAGTCCTACGAATGGATCCGGCTGGACGCCGACTTCGAATGGATTTGCACAGTGAATCTCGCCATGCCGGGATACATGTACGTGTCCCAACTACAGCAAGATCGAGATGTTGTGGCGCATCTCGAGTCGATCCGGACCATTTCAAGATTTCCACCTCATGCGACCATGTCCTCCGTTATTGTCCGCACGTTGATGGATCGCCGGTATTTCCATGGTGTTCGAGCACTCGCAGCTAAAGCCCTGGTCAGACATGCGGCAGAAGAAGTCAGCAATATCGGATTCTACCATCTGAAGAAAGCCTTTGAAGAGCTGTTCTGTGTTACCGATCGCGGTTCGACCATGACTCGACCCAACGATTTCTCGGACCAACTGTTATACATGGTGCAGTGCGAGATCGTGGAAGCGATTGCCAAAGTCCGCGACCGCCGGGGACATACACCTAAAGAGGTCAGAGATTTCTTGCTCGATAAGTTAAAATTCAACGACAACTCGGTGAACGATTACTCTGATGCGCACTACGTTGCTCGATTGATGAAAGCATTGACCGAAGCGGCTATCGCGCGACCCCATTACACTGAGCGGGATGTGATCGGAGACTTCGACCTCGAAGATGAAGTGCACGAGCTGAAGCAGTTTGAACGCCAGTTTCTGGAGGAGATCGACCGTTACCGTAGAATGGATGAGTGGACATCATCCTACCAAAACCTGTACTCTCGCACTGCTTTGGAGTGTCAGGCCATGCTTGCGGCTTCAGGGATCGGAACATTCTCACCGCTGCACTTCCTACAGTATACCAGGCCAGGCAATTACGACATGTTGCGCCAAACGGCGTATGCAACTCTTCTGACACCCAAAATCTTCGATGATCCGGCAGTTTTGCGGTATGCGCTATACTGCATGGTGGCTGACCCGTCTCCATATATCCGTCAAAGCCTACAACGGGGCTTTGGCGTCGTGCTTGGTCGGCGAGCTATCGGCGACAAGAGCACGGCCACTCGGCCCGCCGCCGCTGAAGGTCTCGTCATCGAAGGCGCATCGATCGAGGAAGACGATGCATCGAAACGACAGGAGGAACTGGCCAGGCGACAGAACTTGGAAGCCGCGGTGAAAGCGTTGAAGAATGAACTCGGCGCGCATAAAGCCCTTCAAACAGCACTTTGGAATGCGGTCTGCTACAATCAGATCATACTGGAGGATTTGCAGATCTTACTAGACTTCTGCCGCTTGTTCTACGATCCTGTCAACGAGATGAAGGTCACACTGAGGCTGCCTCGCTACTGGAAGGTGCAGAGCTTAGGCAAGGTAAGTTCTGTCTTGCATTTTGTTTCCCCTTCATTCGGGCATCAGGCTAACGCACCCTTTCTCTGCAGGGCAAGCTCAAATTCTCGGAAACCCGCAAAGTCCGCGTGAAACCCGTGCCAAAATGGCACCCGCTGGCGCCTCCCGTGGCCATACCGCAACCACCAGCGCAAGCACGGCCTACCATTCCGAACCTGAAGCTGAAGTTGAACCTCAACAAGAACACCAGTGGAATGAATCCACAGCCGAGCATTTCACTAAATAATCCGAGTCCCACACCGCCTCCACCAAGTGCCCAACCGGCACCAGCGAGACCGTCGAGTTTTTCGACACAGCAGGGCCAACAGGTACAAACGCCGGTGGCAGAGCTTCAGAGAAGGATTACGTTGAAGATCCCGACTTTGAAGCTGAATAAGGGTCCGCCGCAGGGTGGTCCTTCATCTTGAGATCTGTTTTCGCCCACGACAACGGGCAATGTCTTTCCGGTTTATGGCTGAAAATGGCGCACGTCTCTCTTGGCCGGTCGGTTGGTCAATGGTAGGCCGGCAAGGTGGAAAGGTATCCTCGTAGGCTGAGCCGATGCACCACGCATGCGCACGATATCCTTAAGATAGCGCGCTTCCTCCATACGCAATCTTGTACCAGTAGCCACCAACCGTCCTCCATGCCGTATGGGACGCACACTTTGCTCGTGGCAAATGAGCCTTAGCTGCTCAGCCGCCGTCCTCATCGTTACGTCGTCCATTGTGCCCGCCAATCTATCGTCGATCATCCCCCATCCTCTCCAACGCCTCGAGCATAACCACGGAATTGCCGCGGATGACAACCATGCCCAGCCTCTCGCGGTCGCCGCCTGGCTTCTCCTCAACGGCCTCGTCGAGCACGATGTTCAAGAAGACCTAAAGTTGACGGATATAAATGTCAGCCTCGTCGCGTTGCGTTGCGTTTGTCTCGGGATTTTTCTGGACTCTTTTGTTTCGGCCACGCGGAAGGCATGGATGATCCCCTTTCTCTCGCTCTTTTACGCAGGAGAATATAGATAGAGTGTGTAGGTAAAGGGGGAACGAAGGGAGGGAAGATTCGAGCCTCTATCGGTCGCGTGATACGTACATCATAGCCGCGCAGGATGCCGATGACTTTTCTGTTGCCGTTCAGTTGCACGAAGAGGCGCTTTTCCATGTACTAAGGTGCGCCCGGAAGTTAGCCTAGTAGTCTAAGGTCGTGGACGGGGTGAGTTGCGCGGTTGGGATACACGGCATGACATATGGCATGGTATGGTATGGAATGGCATGGGGACTCTTTCTCTCTTACCTTTTTGAGTTCGGGTTGCGCTTGGGGCATGGTCGCGGTTGAGCGGAGGTTTCAAGCGGCGTTGTGTATTCGACGGCTCGGGCTTCTACTGGGAAGCTGAGGGGATGTGTGCGTTGTGCGGCCAAAGATTTGTGAGTGTGGTCGTTGCGTGTCGCTTTCGCTTTCGCAGCAGCCGCAGTTCGTGCTTTGTATTGGTGGTTGGAGAAATTCAGAAAGGTCGAGGTTCGGAGCGGAAGATTGTTGTGCCGGCGTGAGGGCAAAGACAGACACCATCACCACCGATGGGATAATGGACGTCGCTTTAATGTACAGTACTACTGCTTATCCTTGGGCACTTACGTGCTCCGTGTTCAAACAAACCCGCGCTCATCCCAATGCTCATGTACTTTTATTGTTCTTTCTGTTAAACACCATACTGGCCTCCCCTTTCTGACAGTGGTGCCGGAAGAGAGACAACCAAGACTTGGCCTTGATGGGCACGAAGTGGGTAACATCCGAGATGGCGGGAGTATCTTCCAGCTCGAGCTCAATGTCGCTGAAATCGTTGAGACATCGGTTGGGGCAGTGCACAATAGAGTGATTCAGCAGGCTGCTCCAAACTGTGAAAATCATCCCCTTGACAGTGTATTTTCCGGTCGTTCCCACTCTGGCAAACACGAGCGACACATCTGTGCCTCGGAATTGGGCCAATAAGTCCTTCTGCCGGACTACGCCCTGGTGTAAGTGAAGAGAAAACGGCATCTTTCCGAACGCACGAGGGAACCGGGGTGGAATCATCCCATCCTCGCCATCGTAATTGGGGCCGGTATATGCAGCAATGCTGAAGGCCGTCTCAATCTCCAACTTTGCAACTGCGTCATCCTGAAAGAGCTGGACGCTCCTTTCTAGTAGTAAGCGCTGATCGATTTGCAGGCCCCTTCTCAGGTGTTCTGCGTACCCGAAATCGACGTGTCTCGCCGATGATAAAGCCCGATAGTATAACAGGACTTCATCGATCATGTAGTCGACTCGCAGTGGTTGTCGTCCCTCCCAATCCACAATGCTGAGCAGCGCGTACACTTTATCCAGCACCACAGAGCATACACTGCCTCGGAATGTCTTGACCACGGCCAGCAGATCATTGCTAGGACGCGAGGCTGCTTCCCCCTCAAGACTGCGAGCGTAAGAATCATCGGCTAGTCTCCCACTGCCGCGGAAGAAGCTTCTCAGCTCCAATAGCATGCTGCAAAGATATGTCGCCACTTCGGCATGCTGAACACTCCAAAGCGTCCGTCCATGGGTCGCATACACCTTGGCAAATTGTCTCTCGGTGAATGTGTACTGACCATAGCAGAACAATAGATCGTGGGCGAGCAAGAGTTCCTGAGCGACCCACGTTCTCGTCCAGTACGGGGCACGACATGCGCGGGAAAGGTAGTTGTCACGCAAATGGTCTCTATCCACAACCTGCCGATCTCCGGCGCCCAACCACGCAATAACGCGATCAGCAGATGAGAAGGTGTGGCCCATTTGCTGGACTTGAGCGGCCTTCTCGTCCTGATCTAACGCGCGGTCAGTATATAGAATCTTCGTTCCTTGATCGAAGGCACAGAAAGAGACAACTCGATAAAAGCATCAACCGAGAGCTTGTGAAGCCTCGTTGACCACGTGCGCGTTTCCGTTATAGTGAAGGCAAGGAAGTAAAAGTTACCACCTACCGGTTTGACAGATACACAGTCCATCAATCCAAAGATAGCTAATCTCCATGTCTCGGGACAACACGGCTTGGTGAAGGAAGTCCCAGAGGTTTGAACGGATACGCAAGTCCACGCCATCGATGCAGATTGTCTTCTGATCTGTATCTTGTCCCCAGGCGTAGGAGACTGCTTGATAATGAGGCCTGCTTGGGTCTGAGAGACGAATGGTGATGAGGCTCAGATGCTGCAACGCCTCAACTGTGTGGTCGGATCCTGTGGGGAATTTCAGCAAACGGATAGAGTCAGAGTGCTCAAGGTGCCGATATAGGGTGTTCATAGTTCCGACGTCTTCAATGCCAAATATGCCGCGCTACTCAAAACGGGTGGGAGGCTTGTTTTGTGACGTTTAGCTGGTTAGGGTGAAAGTTCAGGATACTTTCAGCAGAAGAAGTGGACGTTAGGCTGCCAGGCAGACAGCCGGGCAAGAGCAAGGTTGTACATGAAGGACACACTGTAACGTGGCGCCCACGCTCAAGCCGCCAGAGTCAGCACGGCCACGCACCTGGAGAGAGGCAAGAGGCAGTGCCAGGCTGATAAGACTCTGACAAGGGCGTGAGCATGTTGTCAACACATACGCAAGCGAGGTGGGAAGCCACGAAGGGAGCAACGCGGTAGAGACCGCTGTCAAGCGCGATCATTGACTTCACTCACACATGCACAGCTCAGCCCATCCGGGAGCATAGACAGACAACTGCTTCACAGGCGAGGCTGAGCGAGGCTCAAAAGGTCCCGCGCTGTCTGACAAAACGTCTAGCATAGCTGCTGGTGGCTGCAGGATGAAAGCAGCGCCCTTGCGGGTAGATGACCTCGTCTGACAACCCAGATTTGTCCTCGCTCACCCTTTCCCCGCAATATCATTTCCTTCGCAAAGCGTTCAACCACTCTCACTCCAGAATTGTCCTCTCCCACAACCCTAATAGCCAGCACACCAATACAATGGCGTCGCTCTTCTCATCCCGGCGGAAACCCAAACGCATTACGCGGGACGAGCCTGAAGAAGAGGCGGACGACGGTGAAGAAGGTTCGTACATATCCAAACCCCAAGCCAGACCACCCTACTACTACACCTTTTCTGACACGACCCTGCGATAGTGTGAACAATTCCCACTGACGACGATATGTAGTCACGGGCCCCGTCGTCCGCCGACCGAACGCCAACGCCCCACGCACCAAGTCAAAACTACGAGTGTCCTTCAACCCGACCGAAGACGATGGCTCTGGTACGGGAAGAGAAACAGGGACAGGCGCTTCAACGCCGACCGAGACGGCCTTGCCACGAACGACAAAGCCCTCGAGGATAGACCTCGCACAGGACATCATCTCCCGGCGAGAGCGAGATGAAGAATCCCACGACCAATCTCGCACCCTCTACAACAAAGCCTACCTAGACGAACTCCGAAACTCGACTCCCTCAACTCCACGCGACATCTCCTCCCCACAAGCCACACCTTCTACAGATCTCATCGAACCGTCATCCCACCTCGAACTGGATCTCGAAGCTAAATTCGGCAAGCCCGCCTTGTCAACCACATCCGCGCACATCCCCTCCGCCGCGGAAATCAAGGAGAAGAAGGACCGCCGCGCCCGCCTCGCCAAGGAACAAGCCGCGAATGCCTATTCCAGCCGGGTCGGGGGAGGAAGCGCCGGCGAAGACTTCATATCGCTCGAGGACTACGACTCGGACGGCGAATTCCGCCCGCACCGCATGCAAGTCGGCCCTTCGATCTCTTCACAGGCCCGCGAGAAAGACACGCGGCTCGTGCATGAAGACGAAGACATCGCCGAAGGGTTCGATGAGTATGTCGAGGACTCAGGGCGCGTGACGCTCTCGAAACGCGGGCTGAAAGAGCAATCGCGCCAAGAGCGCGAAGCCATCCGCACCTTGATCGACCAAGCCGAGGGCTCCGCGTTAGAGGCCTCAGACAACACCGACGCGTCCGACTCGGACTACGAACGGCGCAAGGAATACGAGTTGGCGCAGACGCACCACGGCATGGACGGTCTACGCTGGCACTCGGCGCGGACGGCGCAGCTCTCGCGGCCTCAGCAACCGAGAGAAACGACGCCGATCCCCAAATTAAGCGTCGGCTTGACGCGATTGCGGGACATACTTTCGGCGCTGGAGTTTGAAAAGGCCCGGATCGTCAAGCGGAAAGCGGACATTGAGCGGGAAAGGGCCGACATCAAGGCCAGTCAGGACCATATCCAGCGGAGCTTGGAGGAGGCAGGCCAGGAACTGGAGAGGGTCAAGAGGGAGCATGCCGAGCAGATTAATGGCACCAACGGCGACGTGAACGGCCATGGGATGGATGCAGATACTGCTGGCACAGAGAGGGAGAAGGAGAGGGGGTTAGAGTCCTTTGGCGATAACGCTTGACGGCCCCAATGGTGGGTGTGAGGTCCAACTCTTGATCGTCTTGTAGAACGATGAGGTGAATGCCAGGTAGGACATGAACGGGCCAGTGAGAGACTTCTCAGCAGGACAGACCTACCTCAGTCGGCATGTTTCTTTGCTCGATCAAAATCATTCATCAGCCTGCTTTCGTCATTCAACTTTTCTTCATTTCGTTTTCTGCTGTTTCAGCTTTGACTACATGTCTGGCTCATTCTCCTCTGTTCTCATCTCGATGCATCCTCCGGCTATCGTCTAAGTCAGTGGTTCCAGCTTGGAGGAAACACCTAAGCCACTTATCACTCATGCCTTTGCAAATTCCCTCGTCAGCTTTGGGAAGAAAAGTGTTCCCGGAGCCCAAAATTGATTGACCTTGGTGGCTCAACAGCTCCGAAAGACGAAGGTGCAATCCAAGAAGCCCGCCTATCCTTCACCGTCCGTGATCCGGACCATGTCGTCCTTGAAACGCTCAGCCTTGCCGAGCCGTCGTCGCCGTGGCACTATTCGTCGCAGCAACGTCCCCACCGACCAATAGTGCGTGCGCCCGACATGTGCAACCGATACACCCACTTATCGGTAGTTTCCAGGAGGCGTCCTTTCTATCTCCAGCCTGTTGTGCGCCGCGAGCACCCGGACGAAAGCTGATACACAGTGACGCAAAGACTTCGCAGAGGACAAGCTCAGAGAGCAGAGAAGACAAAGAGCTAGAAGGCTGTTAGGCTCCTAGATGTCCACCAGAACCACATGAAACTTACATTGTTCGTAGCAGCGATGGCGATGCTGTCCTCGAACGGATGCCAACTCATGTGCAAGATCTTCTTGTTAAAGTCGATCTGGTCGGCATCGGTTTCCTTCCTCATTCTGCTTCCGGCACCAGTGGCGGCAGGGCTGCCTGCTCTTGAACCACCTTTCTTGGCACCATTGGGACTGGCCGAGTTGATGGGAGTCGGCACTCCAACTTTCTTTGCCTTGAAGGCCGATTTGTCTGCCTGAAGCACAACTTCAGTTTCCTGCTCGGGATCTGAGGGATAGATCATGAAATTGTTGTTGTAACTGCCAGTCATGACATTGCTTCCATCACCACTGAAGACCACCTCGAACTTGTCGAAAATGCTGTCATTTTCGTATGTGTCGCACAGACGAGGTCGCAGATGTTCATGAATAGGGATCGTCTTCACAGGCTGCCTCTCCATGTTGACATCCCAAATCTTCACGGTCAAGTAGTCTCGGGATAGAATATATCTGCCGTCGTGTGAGAATCGAACATCGGAAATGGAGGAGATGATCTCGGAAAAGAAGGATCGGGATGAAGGGTCTTCTTCTTGCTCGAACTCTGTAACCCGTTAGTATCGTCACCTTTCGGTGAGAGCAAGACTTTACGTTTGGCGTGCTGGTCGCACAGGGCGCTCTCCCGCATATCGGCCAATTTGATCGTGCCTTTCGAGCTCGCATACATGAACCAATTGCAGCTGTGAGGGTGGAACTCGGCCGCTGTGATGACTTCTGTTAGCTCTTCCATGTTCGCGGGTTTGATATCCACGATGTTGAAGCTCTGATCCTGGATATTGAGATTCCACAGGTTTATGCGCAAATCATCGCTGCTAATGAAGGTCTCGCCGTCGCTATTGACGGAGATGCTGTTGATGTGATAAGCGTGGGCATTGGCATAGGTGCGTCGAGGGACAGCAGCCACGACAGTATCGTGATGGGTCATTCTAGGAAGCTTCAGCTGCGAAGAATCCTTGAATTGAGGGCGCGAGGCTCCTCCGACGCCAGTACCAGCGCCAGCACCAGCCGGGGTCAGTTCGTTCGATAAATTGTTCTCAGCCACAACCTTGAGTGACTTCTCAAACACCTTCCATAGCTTGATGGTCTTATCGTTGGTGGAGAGGAGGTAATGTGAGGCATTTTGACGCTTGCACCACTTGATCTTGTTGATCTTTTCTTCTATCTCGAGGGATTTGAGGTAGTCAAATTCCGGCTCGTGAGACTGGAACTCGGTGTGGAATTTATACTCGCATGTCTTTTTCTGTGAGAGGGTCAGTAATCTGCTGCAAATAGGGTTGATAGTGGTCAGGCGCTGACTGTTTCGTTGCGCTCAAAGAGGACTACTCGGCCGCCTTTGTCTCCTGTAGCAAGATAGTTTCCGGTGTGGTCGAATTCAACGGTGGAGATGATATCGGCTTCTGTTATGTCTTCGACATCGCCTTTATCGCCAAAGCATTGGGTGAACTTCCAAGTGGGAGTTCCGTGTTCGGTTTCGACCATCTTTCATCACAGGGTGCGCTGCGGACGCAGACCAGATTGCCCGGCAGCACGCACACACCAAATGCACCCTTGTTCAACTTGATGATTTACCTCTGGCGGGGCATGGAGCAGTCGCGCGCCTACTCCGTAGTGGAGATTGTGTTTGCCGTCAATTCGGTTGCCAGATCGAGTGGGTGAAGTGGAAGTAACGAGAAAGTGACGAGGTTGGGCTGGGGTTGAAGATCGGAGGGTTTGGCTCAATTCTGTCAGCGATGTGGCTCAGGCAACAAAGCGCTGATGAAGTGCAGGTGGCGGGATGCTGTGAATGAGACGGAGGCTGTTCTCGTGACGAGGGCCGAGAGAGACACTGCAAAGAATGAAGGATATCGGATGTCAGCAGGGGGATGCAGTCAGTGGTCGTGTATGTCGTGACCGTGGGGAGGAAGGCAACTGGGCAGTTGATGAGGTACCTGGCAATGCTGCTTAACAAAGGGAGCAGGTTAGCCGCCTGCCTGGGCGCGTGGGCGGGTGCCCGCTAAGGCCCCTCGTAGCTTGTTGTCACCCACGTCACACCTGCTGCTTTCTGCTTTCACGCTTCCGGCTTCCTGCTTGGCGATAACCACCGTCGCTCCTTCTCAGCCTTGCAGACCTCGGACCAAGCTCACATGCTGTTCCTTTTGGCCTGTCGTTGGCCTGCTTCCTGTCACCTCTTTATCTCCTCTGTTCTTCCAGCGACTTTCTACCTTTTCCTTGTTCTCCGTCCATTGATCTGGAGCTATGGGCACAACGAATATCCGCTTGAATGACTTAGCCAAGTTTTCCAGGAAACATAGGAGCTTCCAGCGCGTGCGCTTGCCGACTGAGCAGGCAGGAAATGGACCGTTGGCCACGGCCGAAATCCCTCGCCGTCGAGCTGGAGCTAAGCCCACCGTCCATGTCCGCCCAAATAGCATAGTCAGGCTTTCCAGTAAAGATATAGGCTTTGGCCAGCGCATGCGCCGCCCGACTGAGAGATTCCTGGAGATACAGGGGGGAAATGGACCGTTGGCCACGGCCAAAAATCCGAGACAGGAGGATGTCGTCAAGAACCTGAATGGAGCCTCGGAACCGGATGCTGGGACGACAAGTAGACCGTCTCTTAACGTTCCGCAAAATCCATATTCCGAGAAATCGCCCATAGCACAGATGCTCAGTAAAGGTATGCTACTTGATGCGCTGGGCAAGCCTATAGTCTCGCCGATTCTCGCTCGGGATGCTTGCAAATGTGCGGACTGCATCGACCCTTCCGACCGACAACGCAATTTCTCCTACGCAAACATACCAACAGACATCAGCTTCTCCTCGGTATCTCACAACCCAAAGACCGGGGAGTCGCTCGTTAGCTGGCGCAACGACATCCCACCCCACTTCCCGGGCAAGGCATCATTATTCGATTGTGAGACCGTCGCGTCCCTGGAAAAGACGTTCCGCAACCCACTTTGGAGCTTGTATAACGTACCTCAGAGACTGTGGGACTCTGGTTCCTTCACTGGCGAGACCAACCGAATCGATTTCAACGAGTACCAGACCGATGACGACGTATTAGCTGAAACGTTGTACCTCCTATGGCGAGATGGCCTTGTCTTCGTCGACGGGGTGCCCGAATCGGAAGCGTCCGTCTCCCAGATTGTCACCCGCATTGGGCCGCTCATGAACACTTTCTATGGGACTACCTGGGACGTCAGGTCCGTACCGAACGCCAAAAATGTGGCCTATACCGCCAAGTATCTCGGATTCCACATGGACTTGCTCTATATGCGCGAACCCCCGGCCTTCCAATTCCTCCATTGTATACACAATGAAAGCGTGGGCGGCGAATCGAGATTTGCAGACACGTTCAAGGCCGTCGACCTCCTCCATGCTCGAGATCCTTCAAAAGTGGTTGCCCTCATGGATCAGGATATCCGCTACGAGTATGACAACGATGGTCATTTCTATTCAGACGCCAAACCTACGATCTTGAGGAATTTCGAACTACATGTACCCAACCGGCCAACTTACAACGCCCAAGACCCGCTGCTCATGTCCAACGTCGGCCGTGTCCATTGGTCGCCCCCTTTCGTCGGGGATCTGCAGCAAACGCAGCACGGCGAACTCGTACGCCTCGTTTCCGCAAGCAAGGCGTTTTCCGATATCCTCGAACGGCCAGAGATGGTCGTTCAGGAGAAAATGGACAGCGGGACTTGTGTCATCTTCGACAATCTACGGGTCGTACATGCCAGGAATGCCTTCGACCTGAACTCGGGTAGGAGGTGGTTGAAAGGGGCCTACCTTGCCAGACAGGACTTTGTGAGCAGGGCATCGGGCCTGCTTAGCCGGTTTCCGGCCGATACGTCTTTTCAAGCGTCGCAACCCGGTGACTGGCCTCTTCGCTAACGCCGCAGAAATGCTCGAATATGATGATCAGTTCTAAAAGAGAACTGCGCACTCCTTTTCCTTACTAGCAGGGTGGGACAACGGCACAAGGACGAACAAATCAGTCAACACGCACTCGCCGAGCCATTGTGGCCGTCAGCCGTACACGCTTCCAGCCAGCCATTTCCTATACTAGCAAAGGTGATCCGTGTTCCAGCTCCGGGCCTGACGAGACATCAGCCGTGGAGACATTTAGTAGGGCCGAAGGCAAATACAGCGCAAGCTATGTCTCCATGCATTCAAGTCGTTGCTACAAGCCATAGTCGAGTGAGATCACCAGATCAACATGCCATGGGCGAACGGATCAACGTCAGGTATTGTGCAGTCTCACGTTAATACAGTAATTCTTTGAAGACTAGCTGTCCACCGTCCTGCTTAACGTCGAAAAGGTTTCATGGTATCAGTCGCGACGTATTATACGCATGCGCGGAATTGTCATATCGCACCAAGCGAAAACAGTCTGTCAGAATCATATTCTTCATTCCATAAACACGTGGGCTCAATACTTCCAACAATCAATCAATACATTAGACTTTCTCACGCCGTTGCACTCGCCCTGTAGGGCTTGAAAAACTCCGGATCGGATTCTAGCTCTTCTCGAACCTGCGCCGTACATCATTGTTAGCACAGTCAATGGCGTGATAGGTGTAATAGCAGCGGAAAGAGAACATACGATATCCAGCCCGCCCACAAGTTCCCCGTCGGTGTATAATTGCGGGAAAGTGGGCCAGTCAGAAAAGGCCTTGAGGCCCTGGCGGACCTCGTCGTCGGCGAGGATGTTGAAGAATCTGCGCCATGGGGGTTAGTCAATCATCCGTCCATCTTCCAGCGGGACGGTTGAACAGGTGAATATGTGGATAGATGCAGAGCCTGTCTTGGTGTACTGCACTCCACGTTTCCATATTACTATGCCACGTACCCGTATTTCACCTGATTCTCACGCAAAATGCTGACAAGCTGGCGACTAAACCCGCATTGCGGCGCGGAGGGTGTCCCCTTCATAAAGAGCATGACTGGTCTAGAGCGTGCATCGTCAGTAAACGCCACCCCTCTGCCTTCCCCCTGAATCACTTACGCGGCCTTGACCAGCTTGCCCAGCCGCTCGGTCAACTCCTCCCGCTGATCCGTCCCGCCAGAGTACGCAGGTGCGGTCTGCGGATCGCTCTCCTTGGGCGCATACCCGCTGAGATCCTTGGTGGCTGTGCTTGTGTTTGTGTTCTCCGCGCCCCCGTTCGGCTCCTCCGAGGTGGACACGCTGCTCTGCTGTTTCTGGGGCTCGGCTGTGAGGGCGGGCGGGATTTTGGTCCCGCCGTTTACGCTCGCGGGCGTCGAGCCCGTGCCGGCGTACTTCTCCACCGCGGTGCGCACTTTCGTCGCGTCGGAGCCGGAGACGCTTTCCACCACTTTGCCATCCCGCACGATGACGGTGAAGGGCACGGCCGTCACGTCGTAGGTCTCGGAGATTTCGGGGATGTCTTCGGCGTTGATGGTCAGGAAGGAGAGGTCGGAGGCGCGGGATGAGGGATATGTGCTTGCGAGGGTGGAGAGGATGGTGGTCATCTGTGCGCACGGTGCGGCCCAGGGGGTGTGGAAGTAGAGGATGAAGACTGTGGAAGGGGAGGCAGAGGAGGTGAGGTTGTTGAATTGCTCTTCGGACGTGATTTCTTGAAGGCTGAGTGTCGCCATGGTGGCTGTACTCCAGGTTTCGGAGGAGTAGAAGTGTTGTCGAACGTGCAAGAGGAAGAACAGGAAGAACAGAAGCAGGTGCTGAAGCGCAGTGGTGGTATGGAGTAAAAGTTTAGTAATTGATAGAGGCACCGGAGAGGCATGATGGTGAAATTGCATTTCACCGATGACGCCATGCCCGTTATCGGCTACAGCCTTGCGTCGCCGCCTCGCCGATAAGGCTCTTGGCCTCTCCATTTAGGCGAGGTGATTACTCGTACGATACAGCATGGGAACGAAATCTTTCAATACATGTCATGATCGTCTTCCTTCTCCGTCCCCTCTTTGCGAGCCATACCTCTGGACTCATGTTGCACCGAGGCCAATGTCTCTCAGCCACGATACTGCAGTAATGCTGGCTGCAGACTGCCTGAAGAACCGATGTATGGCTTCAGCCTTGCCGTCGTTCAAATCATGAATGTGCCAGAACAGCGGCAGCTCTGTTCGATTAACTTGCCTGCACTTCTTCAGAATATACTTCGTTGCCGCATGGAAGTCATTGCCAGCTGTATAGTCGTCGAAATGACTCTTCATGGGCGACATGGCAATTCGGTCTTTGAATGCCGTCGCATTGGTGAGGACGAGCAGGATTATGCTCTTGGTAAAGTAGCTGGACAGACAGATACCTTTGAGGTAAGATAGTCTTTCTCGAAGTTCGTTGGTCTGATTGGCGTCATCGTGGTACCGGTCATAGCATGTCAGGTCGATGGGAAAGAGGCAGAACTGGACATCGGCAAACTGCGACATGATCTTCATGGCGTGCTGTTCCCGCAGTTCAATCACACGCAGTGTCGATGATGGCAATATCAATTCGGTTTCTCGCATTGTCTCGAAGTTCTCAGGCCCTCGAATGATGTCAATATTGTTAGGCTTGTAGTCAGGCCGACAAATCCTTTCGATCGCACTGAGGTAGCTGGGCCACTGTTAGCAATGACACGTTCCGGAAGTGCACGACTCACAAGGCAGTTTGTCCATCTTTCCGCATGGCTGAAAAGGCTTGTTGGACATGCCAGTTATTCCAGATGTGCTTCACAGAGGCTGCAATTTCTGTGGATACGCTCCATTCTGGCGCTCCAGATTTTGAAAACGCCAGGATGATGTCGGCATGGTCCCTGCTAGCTTGTCTCACGAATCCCCTTCCAAGATCCGTGACATAATCAAGAACAGCAACAAGAGCCTTGATAGCCAGGGATGTGATGGACCTTCTGTAGTCTTCAATTTCGGCATCCGAGAATGGTTGGCCATATCGTTGCCTCATCTGCTTGACGATGCTAGATCTGCCATGCTTGTCACCAACCGCAAGGATTTTGACTTCTTTGCTCAGTTTACGGGCATCTGCCTTTAGCACCAGATCGATTTTGGCTGAGTCCCTCGCTGTGGTCTTAAGCTGAAGAACGGGCGTGTCGGAAAGTGCCCGGCGTTGTCCTCTCTTCACGGCACGCTCTTCCGTAGGAGAATTAGCACGCCTCAGCATCGACCTGAAAGTGTTCTGATAGATCTTGTGTCTCAACAGTAGGCCATCGAAGTCGAACGTCCTTGAAAATTTCGTATCTGTCGAGAGGTTGGTCCTAAAGGTCGCAAAGGAAGCGGAATCCCGGAAGCCAATAAGCGAAGTAGCGTCGTCTTTCGCCCGATCGAAGACTTTTCTGCTCGCCTTCCTATGCAGCAGCTGTCCTTGATCCTGTGGTGTTAGGCTGCTTCAATTAGCAACAGCTTCTTCGGGAGCTGGGACTGACACATACCACCGAGTGGCCGTCAGGCACAGGTTGAGAGTGTTGATGTGAAGGGCGAGCCGGGCGAGGCAATCTTTGGTCGCTTGGTCCTCCAACAAGTAAATGACTTTGCTTCCAGGTCCGAGCAGCGCGTCGTCGCCCCACTGAAACTTTGAGATCTGGTTATGGATGTATTCGACAAGTAGTTTGCAATGCGCAACCGCATCTGAAAGGTCTAACAAGAGCTGGTAGTGTTGCGAATCGCCCTGTAAATTTTGCGCCCAACCTTGGACCTGAAGCAGTGCTCTCTGGATGATTCGTAGCTGACCCGTTAAAAGCGTGATATTGAGTTCTGCGTCTCGATACTTCTGGCGGAGTTGATTCAGGGCCACAACTGACTTCCCAATGATGGAGACAATGCTTGTGACGCCGGCTACCACCCCCAGCGCGCCAGAAAGAGGATCCATGAATAGTGCTGTGGAACACCCACCACGGAATCCTCAGCAAAGGTCTTGCAGGAAGTGGTCGAAATGGAGGCCCATGTTCTTGAGAAGAGCTACTTCTGCTCTGAAATATGGTCTGGTGACAGTCGGGTTCTCGAGCTTGTGCCTCGTGTCACCCTAGCAGGGCACTGAGTCGCTCTGGGGGAGCTGGAGAGCAGAAGGTCGGCTCAACGAGTGCAAGCACTAGCGGTGCCATGATGATACACCCCCGGGACGTGAGATTGGATGAATGCCCCTTAAGCGCACCTTATCTTGCGCCTAACCCCAGGCAAGCCATGCGGGAAAGCGTGCTGGGCCCCAGATAAAAATCCGGCATTCTGGTTCAAGGCTGGCCGCTAATGCGCGGACTCGGGCCATAGAACTAAAGTGGAAGAGCAAACACTCTGGCGTGAGAGAATGTCCCAGTGCAAGGATCAAACCTTCGTCCTGTACTCCGTACCACGTTCGGCTGGCCTTTTACCAATCCATGTTCTTGATTTCGCTTGCTCCCCCGTGTCCGCCGAGGCTTGCAAAACTGCTCAATCAAGCGAAGAGCCCTCGCGCCCAGTGAGCTGTTGCGTGGTAGTCCCCACGACGCCAGGTGCACAGACGAATGTGGGCGTTCAGGGGCGTGTTTGAACAGAGAATCTGCCTCATGTGATGAGTCTTCGTGCCTATTCTGATTGTCACAAGTCAGCAGCAATGCAGGCATAGAGCAGCGAATGGACGAGTCCATGCGTGGATGCAACAACGGCACAAGACTCCGCTACCTCGTACTCATTCTTGCAGTAACCTCTTGATCCGTACTTTCCCCGCAATGGCACGAGTGACCCTTGTCCGGCACACCCACGTTTTGCATAAGTACACAGTAGTTCCTTTTCTGAAGCACTTGCCATGTGCGCCTGTACTCGTTTGGTAGTGTTCCAACTTCCATCTTGAGGAATCGGGGTGATGAAGCGTGCTGCGAATCGTCAATCATCCAGGCCCCAGCAGACAGTGTTTAGCCTCCAATAGGACAGCCTCAATCGGCCTCTTACTCCGATGTAACCTATTCAGCTGCAGGGGCTAGTAGTTATATCTTGCAAAGAGTCTCAGCCATGATTGTCTGCGTGCACATGGTAATCGATTCATGTAGCGCAGAAACACGAGAAAGCATGAATCATACCTAGGCACGAGTGCGGAGTACTGGACTGGGATCGGGCACTCCAGGTTCCGGCTGCTGAGGCTTGTCAAAAAGCCTGACAGTGGGTGGGTGTCACCCAACGACTTGCTGATAGAGGACGCCCAAACGGCGGTGATTGGCACAAAGCCCTTGTCACATTGGCGTTCGGTGAGCTTCCAAGATGTTTCGAAATGACCGGTGTCGACATCCTTGCTGTGGTGGCTCAGCAAGTCCAAGAAGAATGCGAGCATGGATGAAAGTGAAGGCGCAGGAAAGACACCGCAGAGCTGGAATTCTTCACAGCTTGTGCGAGCCTGAGGGCTTCTCGGCCGCCTCCATGACTTCGCTAGTTACTGAACTGTAAGTGCCACAGAGATGCCCAGCCGCTTCCTAAGTTGGGGGCCCTCGAGCTTAGCTCGGGCACCAGTTCCGAAAGGCCTGCGAAACGTCACCACGAATCACCTCAGCTCCAACTTCCCGTCAGCAGAACTTCTTTTACACCAAGTTTCACATACCATCCACTGCAAGCAGGCGAGACAACGTGGACCCAGACGAATGCCACGTCAGGCACTCGCCTGGACATGGGATCAGTATTTGCCAGTGCATCCAAGATGTGATAGTTCGACCCCTGTCCCGCACCTGGACCTTCAGCCTCGGTCACTCCTTGCACACATGTCAAGTTGCAGAAGGAGTTTTGTGAAAGGCTTGCCGATTCTTCCCAATATCAAGTCCGCTATCGTTCATTCGTGTCGCTCGATGACCCTAGACCGCTCCCGGGGTGTTAGACAGTTGGCCGCAGTCCTAGGCTCAGCAACTCGTGCTTCAGGCTTTGGAACGAATTCAGCATGGGTGGCTGAGGCGGATAGTAGACGATCAGAACGAGAATGGATAGTATCTTACGTTGGCCGACCGGCCAAGCGAGCTATGAGTGCGAACGAGGACATCACGGTTGTAGTAGAGGAATCCAACGCATGAAGTCGATTGTGCCAGTCAGACGACTCGGCTGGGGGAAGGTGTTCATGTTCGTGGATCGCAAGGCTGACCTCGCGGCACAGGACTGTATCGACGTGAAAACACTTGCGTCGACCATCGACCACTACGTGTTCCCTTACGCCTACCATTCCACATCAAGCATCTTCTCTTGGCCGTTCATGTCACGTCAAAGCGAGAGCTTCCAGAAGTGGATCCCATTCAGAGTTTACGGCGGCACTCTATTTGCACGTTGCGGTGCTGGCGCGAGAGTTTCATCAATGACAGGATACGCCCGAGATGACCTTTGTGTGAAGAGGCACAAGGACGCAAGCACAAAGACACAACCGAGAATGACATGAAATACTATCCAGGATGGGTTCTGGGTGAGTGTTGTTTCCTGGATTAGAAGCTCTCTATACTAGCGATGCTTACTCTGTGGTGCTGCTTTATGTACTGTGAGGCTGGCTTCGTCATGCGATGCTGGGCGACGACGTTATTTTCGGCGGTCCACACACCAGAGCCGAGCACTCCGTCGACATCCCCAAACCCACTTCTGCTCCCCGTCATCCTCCCTTATGATGCCCCAAGACCACCGATTCCCCCGTGTACAGTAGGGGCGTCTATCGGACGCGATACGAAATACGCAGTCCCACCTTCTACTACAGGAATCTTTTCTCCGTCCCCACGTCTTCACTCCTTGGCAACATTCTCTGCAAACAACTTCCGATACACCGTCCTGCCAATCTTGTAAAACCACATGTGATTCAACGCCCCCAACACGATGGCCGAGAGAGCGTGCCCCGCCAGCAACCACGTCGGGATGCGATCATGCCCCACGGGTATGTCAGCCTCGTCGACGACATACGCGCGCCAAATGTCGAGGTAGAACCACGACTGGAGATAATTCCCATACAGGATACGCGACAGGAAGAACGAGACAAAGAACGCCAACCCGTTGGCGATCTGTATGGGTGTGCCCTCCATCTGCAACAGCCGCAGCACCGCCTGAATGTCCAGAAAGATGGTCGAGAACTCGAACAGAAACGACGCCGGCGCATACGTCATGAATGCAGGGCGCTAAGAGTACATGTGTCGCGTCAGAACGTGCCGCCTTGGATTCGCCTGTCGCCTGTGCGTCCGCGACGCGTCGAGACTGGCATAGGAAAGGAGATGCAGATTGAGAGTGGAATTGAGCTGGGAATTTGAAATAAGAGAACTCACATATCCACTCGTCATGAGGAACGACACGGCCACCGCGTGCGCGACCATCGCCCATCCAAACACCCGCCTATACCGCAGCATCATCATCAAGTGCCAGTAGAAGTAGCCGTTTCCGATCGTCAACACCACAGCGGTCGGGTCCGTGTACCCCCACACGCGCTCCTGCCAGGTCATGCGCTGTCTCTCGCGGTCGAACAGCACGACCTGGCCGGCAGCCACGCACAGCACGATCGCCTGGACGAACGACACGAGATTCTCATCCCAGTTGAGTTTCTGCCTGCCCCGAAGCGTGGGGTAGGACTTGGGGAACAAAGCGGTCGACAGCCATGGGCCCACGGACGTGTAGAGGAGGTGGTATGCCGAGAAGGTCACCACGATTCCAGGCAGGTAGGTCGGCAGGAGGGGCAGATTCAATGCGTCGCATGCTGTTTTGACGGGGTCGAAGATTTGCGCTTGGAGGGTCCGGGAACGGTCCATCGCGCCCGAACGTACCGTAATACTGTTGTGTCGTGTGACCGAGGTCAGGGGCAAGCAGGCGTGTGCTGACGACGAAAACGGAAAACAGACAGCACGGTACCTGATTTGGCGCCGAGAAACTACCCTTCGTGCCGGTTACGGCGTGTGTCGTCCGCTTGTTGTGTGCTGTGAGACCAGTGTACGAGTCACGTCGTAGTATGGGGTGCCATACCTCGAGTACTCGTACTCGTGGCAGAAGTGTTGGGCCGAACATCGGGCTTAGCCGCGTCATATTTTCTCGGCAACAAGGCGAGGCTGACGATCGCTCCTGGCAGTTGGGCAATAGTAATAATCAAGGGGCAGGCAGGTGGCATGTGCTAACTACAGTACGAGTACGGAGTACTGCGGCGCGTGCCATGATGCTGACCCCAGGGGATCCATGCCACCCATGCCTACCCCGGGACATCAATGAGGGGGCTCTACTCCGTACGAGGTACACAGTACCGGGACTCGTACACGTGGTACATACATACATAAACAGATTTATCGGATCGTGAGAACCACCACGGCCATCTGCCCACCCCCCAGCACCAGAGTAATTACCACCTTTCTCTCTCCTGGCTCTGATCTTTGATGTCCCTTCTTACAGCCACATTCTCCCGTGGTGAGTACGAGCACGAGTTTGAGTACGGTGCACTTGAACCTCGAGCCAAAAGGTAATCAACTACTCTTCCTCCGTTGCGTCCATACTGCCGCTTCCAAGCACGACGGTCTCAACTACTTACTGCGTCAGACCAGACCAGACCAGACCAGATCAGACCAGACCAGATCACACCAGACCAGATCACACCAGACCAGATCAGACCAGACCAGATCAGACCAGACCAGATCAGACCAGACCAGATCAGACCAGACCAGACCAGATCCGATCAGAATTCCCATCCTCTGAATCCGGACCCGACCAGACCGCCGGACGGGACTGGACAATAGTAGGTGTCGTGCGTGACCCTGTCGAAGTTCTGGTAGGGACATCTTGGGAGTAAGGCCTTCATCACTTCCAATCTCGGAGGCGATGCGACTGCCCTGTTCCAATGGCGCGGTGTACAATCATTCGAATGCTGCGCGGATCATTCTTGCTACAATGCGGGTTGCCGTTCTGATAAGGAGGGACGGGAAGTTGAGGAAGGGAAATCTCAGGCTCCATGAGGAGTGATGAATCCTCGTAACGTATGAAACTGTGCACAGGCATCCTCAAAACATGGCAAGAACAACCTCGGCCGGTTCGACGGAGAAGACATCGCATCTCAGCCTTTTTGATTCTCGACCCCGTACCGGAGTCGCCTGGTGTGTTCTGACCTTGTTCGTGCATGGAATCGACAATGTCAATCCATGGGGCACTCGCGACAGTCACCATGACCTTCGTCTTTATATAAAGACCATGGTTGTGGCAATATGTGGCATCGCTTCCGGGATGTATGTTTTCTGCACTGGTGAAGACTGGCCGACATACCGCATTCTTCTTGCGGATGACATTTCGCAGGAGCCCTGAAATCGCAAGACGGAGCAAAATGCAGTTTTGATCTCGCCTGATATCCATATCAGACTGGTACAGGTTGCCTGCAGTCCCTGCCCCCATCTCCTGTCCGTGCACTGGCGGATTCAACTGAACATGTACCGTAGGACTGCTTGCAGCCAGCCGATTGTGCACATGCAACCCGCTGGGATGAGCACAAGTTGAATTAAGCCGGCAGCAAGTGGCCTCGGCATCGTAGCCTTTCGATAGCCGGGCCAGGCAGGCTTCGATCTGATAGGATGTGTTCCAACTTCGGACTGCAACCAGTATGCCATATTCTCTGCCCATATCACATGTCCGCGTGCCCTTCCTCAACGTCTGCTATCATCTGCTTGCCGGCTGGCGTCTTTGAACACGGCGCAAGTGTCATGCTTTCGTACCGAAGTTCAGAATAAGTGAAGATGAGTGATGTTGTTGGTGTTGTCCGACCGTTGGCTCCGATGACTCCTGCCTGCTCACCAGCTCCAGAGCGGGCTGCAGGCTCAGCTCTCCATTCTGGTCGTTTGGAAGAGTGAGATGGCGAACCATACCTGCTTGTTCCCAGAGCTCCGCCATACGCCACGTCCGTCAACCTGTGGACGGGCGTGTAGAAGCTCCTGGCTAGGTGCGGCCCCGTGATAGCGGTCACACCGCTGACCATGGTTCTGTGGTCCACAGCCGAAGGAAGGCCCCACTGATAGCTGTCATGTCTCTAGCATCAATGGCCGGTTGGGGGTAGGCAGAGCACTGACAGAAGTACGTCCAATCAGATCTTTCTCGTAAAAGTAGGCCCCGGGCGGTTTTCGGGGTTATGCTGCGAGTTCATGCGTATTGAAAGCCCATATGAGGAGACTTCGGCGTCACCTCTTCCACTCTCCCCTTCCTCTCATGTATCCTTCAATGCTTCTCCAGACCTCTTCGACAATCTCTCTGTCCCTCCACCGCCGAGACATCCTCGTCTCCTGTTCGACACTTGTACCATGTGCCCTTTCGTCCCACCTCTCCACAGAGAAGCTCTTGACACTGCTGCCCCAGCCTTTCACTTCCGTGGGGATGGGTAGTCCCTTTTCGCCCACATAGATGCCCAACACATGCCCAAACAACTCCTGCGGTTCTCGCCATTTGTACCCTCTGAATTGCCATATCTGGCCCGTTGTGAATACAGCCACGACACGGGACCAGTAATCTGGTTTGAAGTGTTCGGGTGAGTCGACAAGGATGAAGCGGAAAGGCTTTTCGCCCAGAGAAGGCATGGTGCGAGTAATGTGTAGAAGATTGGCAGTTGTTTGAGTTGAGAGGGTCGGATGATCTGGCGGGACGAAGAGCCCAGTGTCAAGGAACGTTTTGATGTTGGACATGCGGAGCAGGGACGAAGCTGAAGGTGAGAGGAGGATGATGGGATCGGACCGTTTCGACGAGACGGCCGAGGATAATGGTTTGGACATGTTTGCAGCAGGACGAGCTGCTAGGGAGGCCGATTTTGCGGGGAGACCGCCAGGTCGTGAAGAAGAGGGAATGCCTTTTCGTCGGCCAAGGAAGGTTTCTGCGTGCTTGCGGACGTGCGAGAAGTCCTGCCAAAGTGTTAGCGCGAGGAGTGTGCAACAGCTAAAATATTGTCTCCCACTGTAGGCTTGATACCCCTCAACACGGTATTGTGGTCTCCCATCCTTCGTTCTCCGCTGTAAATAGCTTGGAGTCTGGCATCAATGACCTTGACAGGTCTGCCACCGGCGGTCTGCGTAACCCCAACTCCGGAGCCGCCGACCGTAGGCACAGCGGCACCACCAGCCACATCTGCGGCTCTGTTGACAGCATCGCCCAACGCGGTAGCTCCCTCGATGGGCTTGATGTGTTCCGACTCATCTGAGGCGCCTTCAAGCCATGTGATCAGGTCCAGACGCTCGACGAAGACCAGGTTTCGCACTTTCTGGCCTTCGGGTAACTGCTTGTCAAGCTCGGCCGCTCGCGAAATGTACTCTGGCACAGGCACATCCTTCTGCTGCCATGCGAAGAAGATGCTCCTTAGATCGACTCGGGCAGTGTCTGGATTATGTGATTCGAACCGGGTCCTGGTGTCCAACGGCAGGCACTGCGGAGAGGGGTAGGTAAAGTACAGATGCGTTGCTTCAACCAGCGAGTCCGTCTGGTTTGCGTCCGCCTCAGAAGGATCTGACGCGGTGGTAAGGAGCGGAGATTTCGAGGCAGCTATCGAGGAGCGCAAAAGCTGCAGTGCGTCCGGAGTCGCCATCTTCTTTTCTGAACGAGAGGGTCCTAGGACATGGGTATAGGCGAGTGTGTTGTGTGATTGCAGATTCGGAGGAAGCGAGGTCTAACCACGGACATTGCACTCTTGGTCGCTGTTGATCGAGGCCAGTGAAAGGCTTCACTTCAACGCGTACAGAGCACGTGACTAGTTCGTTCCTCGCGACTGCCCCTTCCAGAACCAGCCAAGCCGCCACCCCTTCCCACCACCTCGTCAGGCTTACTGGGGTCCTCTCACCCCTTCTACTGTGTACAAGAGCAGTCCAGCTCAACGCCCAGAGTTGAGGGATCCTTGCCAACCGCGCGTCCTCTGGCTCAGGCTACATGCGAGGCCATCCTCAGCAGTCAGCGTGCCATCCAATGTGTATCGGAATTGCAGGAACAGGATCTTCAGCACGGTCATCTCGCTTCCGCTTCGAGCCCATGCTCTCGAAAGTTCCCGTTCCAGTGGTGAGTGGAGCGTGGTAGGGCGGAGCCTGGGGCCACAGCTCCTGTGCCTGATTGCTTGGGAAGCGGTTTGGTCGCAGCACAGTGTACCCTACGGGCATGTGCCAGAATGCAATGTCGCCGGACTTGCACTCCCACAGGCAGGGCCGATTGGGAACAGCACTCGGATGGTATAGTCGTGTTATTGTTATTTCCCGTTTCCAACATAGCTACCACTGTACAAAGTACTCTCAACAAGACCACTCATGGGTTGCTGACCTCTGACAGCTCCTGCTCTGGATCACCAACGATCCTAATGCCAGGCCTCTCCCCCTTCGTCCACAAATTGCATCCTCCACAGGGGTATCTTTCCAATGCAAATGCTGTATGAATTGCGCATTACCCCAAGCTATGCAAGTCATAATAGAAACACCCCGGCCACCACCCGACCACGCTATGCAGAACACCCTGTACTTGGATTGTATGCACCACATGCGGCAAGATCCCGCCAATTGAAAATCAAATTATCCTCGCAATGCTGAGTGCCGCGAGAGTCGGAGGCACATGCTCGTCGAGGCCGCTAAAGTCCGCCAGCAATGAGGTAACGCCATTTTATACACAGATTCCGGGCGCAGAGTCTGAATTCGTTGAATCATCACATTGAAATGTGGATGTGAAAAGGTGCCGGCGAAGAAGCAAGACGTCTGCCGTTGAAACCATCTCTTCGAAGTCATCGTAGAAGGGATTCGGTGGAGAAGGTCATGATCTTGTATTCGATCGACTTACCGTTCGTTCGGGTATTGTCCGTTCGGAGATTGTTCGTTCGGGGCCAGGTGAAAGTGTCCGGTTCGAGCCAATCAAATCTATTTCGTGATCTCGAAGGACGGCGGCGTGTCTGGGATCTCGCAGGAATTTGGGTACGGAATCCTGGACATGGTTAGTTCGACCAATTCCCGCGCAGCAAGTGTGCGGAAACTCACACTGGCCATGAGCTTGAAGACAACGTTTTGGGCAAGCTCAAACAATTCCACCACCTCTTCAAGACTTCCACGCATTGATTCCTCATCTGTGTTGGTGCGAATCATGCGGCTGTCGAGTCGGTTGCGGAGGGAATGGTCGATGTTGAGCTCAGAGGGTGCTCCAGACGCAAGAAACGAGTTGTACAGGCCTAGATCAAATCAGTGTATTTCGGACAAAGGCCGTCGACGCACTTACCATAAGCTGCAGCTAGTGTCTCCCTGACGGCATCGGGCCGGTCCAACTTCCCTGCCTTCTCGAGAGCACGATAATTGCTGGTGAAATCCGACACGTCGAAATAGAACTGCAAGTTCTCCTCGCAGAGGGACTGTCGGAGAAATTCCTTGAACAATAGCCGAAGAGCCGCATCTTGGAGGATGACATTGAGTCGATTGACATTAGAATCCTTTGTAAGCCGGCTCTTGGGGTCTTTGATATCCCGACTATCCTCACTGTCGATACTCGGAGGTCGCGCAAGCCAACCACAAACCCGCTGCCCTCTCTCGGTTATGGTGTAGATAGCGTGCTTCGTCGGTTGGAAGTATGTCGCCATTGGGTTCGCGCGGACGTAGGCCCTGTCCTCCACTACAGGAACCATCAACTGCCACTTGACGAACAGCTCGGCCATCTCATACGTCTCTCTTCGATCGATGGTGGTACAACAGTCTAGTAACCAGTCGGACGCTGCTTTGCCAGTGAAGGTGTTATTCACCAGCTTATCCAAAACCCTCCGTTCCTTGGCCATCTTGATACCCACGAGTCCTGTAGCATACTCCGACACGGAGTCTGAGTCAGACAGAGACGTAGAGCTCTTCAGATTTGGACCTTCCGAGCCCATAAATCTGCGAAAGATGATCTCAATCGTTGGCCGATCCTGTACGAGTTTATCGGTAGCAGGATCTCGTTCCAAAGAAACCATCTGCATCTGGCTCCGACGAAGTACCGGTTCGATGTGCCGTGCGTTGATGCCATTGCGGCTGCAGAAACGGTGTAAAGTTGCTGAGCCTTTGGGAGTGAGTTGCCAAACACCACCTTTGGTCACAAACGCTGTGTTGGTTTTTGACTCAGCAGACTCAATCAGCCGTGCGTCTACAAAACGCTGGCAGACCGAGCGTGCCATTTCCTTGGCCATGGAGAACGTGGTTGTCGTAGTGGTAACGACCCATCTGGACGGATTCTTGGGGTCAGGTATCCGGTTAGACTGAGAGAATTTCAGAGAGCCCAAGTTAGTGATAGCCTCTTCTGATAAGAACGTTTCTTCGACCCTGGAGAACCTGACACGATGGGGCGTAAGCGGAAGACTGGTGATCAGAGTTGCGAACAAGTCTTGGAAATCTCTAGTGAAAGGTCTCTCATCGTCGGTCATGCGCAGGATCTTGGAAGATGTCTGGTGCATCTTGCCATCTCTCCGGTCCGGATTCGGCATTGGAGGGGCGGTGGCGATACTGGTTCTTGGTTCTTGACTGGCCAGCGGTGGCACTCCGCTTGTCCTGCGCGATTGCGCTGCAACTTGCACTTCGGGAGACGTTGGTGACCGCGGCAGAGTTGGTCGTAAACCCCCCAAAGATGCGGAATGTTTGGACAGGCTCCCCGACGAGGTCGCCGACCGCAGACCGGGCGTCGAATTGGTGCCCAGGGAGGCGAAGTTGGCGAAAGCGTTGGAGGTCTTCTCACGCGCCAGCGACGCCAGGGATCGTCTACTTTTGCTCTGCGAGAGACTGGTTGAACTTGAATGGTGGTGGTGAGGCGGGCGGGTCGGGTCTGTACGAGGCGAAGTCAAGATGGTGGGAGTGTCTTGAGCAGTGCTGGACAAGATAACTTGGGCAGTTAAATTTGGAGCAGTCGCCGAAGTCATGGGCTCGTCACTTGTCACATCGTTTGAGTCGGACATGGAGAAGACTGGAAATCACGCGGGTAAAGATGTTCAGGATTTGGACAGGTTCCGCACAGCATCGCACTCGTACTGGGCGGCGACTCGCTGAGGGCCAGAAAATCAGGACTGGCGGTCGACGGTAGTAGTGTGCCAGGAGCACCAACAGGGCGCAAGCCCACAACCCACGAAGAGCCGGGATTGCTTCACCACGAGACCACGAGGGCAGTGGAGCCACTTAAGCCGCAAGCTAAGCAAGATCCTGGTCAAGTGGAAGAAGTGGCCCTGGCAGGGGGGTCAAAGTGGGTATGGATTGTAATTCGAGAAGTGTTCGTTCCGGGCCACTTAGGTCGGTCGACTTGGGACCCCGTCGCCCAAACACCCAAGACGTCGTGAACAAGGGCCGCCAGGAGCTTGCTGACAGGGCAGTCGATGCAGATAAAGTTAGGCGTACGCTTTGGCGAGCACACCAGAGGCCTTGAACGATGGTTTGAACTGGCAGTGATCTCCACTGCTATCGTCTCAGAAACTTCTAGGCGGCCAAGTTTGTGGACTCAGGGCAAAGCTAATGCTCAAATCTGCCTGACTTGGTCTCTTTGAGCACAATCGGAGCCCTGCTCAGACGGTTTTGTGGTGCGAAGAGAGGGACTGCTGCTCTAGAAGAGGCCGGTCAGTAGGTGAGGCGTGATGCGGCACCCCGTGATGACTGAAGCAGAGCGGTATCGGTGAGGTGAGGTGGCAAGGGTGACGGAGCACGCGGGCGCGGAGAGAAATCCAATCGATGGAAATTTTCTTCACTTTAAGTCGGGGTAACGTAACATAAATGAGGATTTGCCGGGATGCCTATGCTGAATAAGAATACGAGGCACCTTGTGTGTGGTAAGAGGCAAGTATTCGAAGATCTCCGTGGACACCCACACTCCAGACGATATATGGGATTGAAAAGTCGACGAAAAGTGATGAAGGGCAAAAGCTGAGGCCACCGTTGGATACGGAGAAGTCGCCTTCCTCTTCTCTTCGATAACGCGGCTTTCTGTTCAGGCATTACAGAGATGGTGGCAGCAAGAAGCATCCCGCAACAGCCGCTAAACCGGCAGCCACGGCCTTTGGGCGTGGGCGAGGAAGGCGTGGGCAAGCTTTTTGGCACACCTCAGAAGTACCTCATAGAGGGGCAATTTTTACTGCAACCAGCAAGCGTCTCATTAAATTGACAGTATCTCACAGCTCATCAAAAGAAAGATGTTCCGATCATGATGGCAGATGGATACACCACGTTTAGATACTGTCTGCTTCAATCATACCAAAGCGAGGTCCGGCAGCATGTCAGAGCCTTGTTCACCAGGAGTATTTTGTCACAACGACACAGGAGACTGCCTCAAGAAATGTTTCCATCCCCACATGGCATGTCTGCAGCTAAATCCTCTTCTCAACTCACTATACGCTACTTCGTGCCCGGTGCCTAATCCTGCTGCAGGCTGCCTCTTTAGTGGCATTCTCGAGTGGAATGCAGAATACCTAGACGCGGGGTCGCACACACGTTGTGCAGACCGCTCGATAGGGATGGGTAATGCCCATTGAGTGAGCTCGTACGAGTAGGTCTAGCGTGCTTCGGCGATACATGTGAAAGCAACAAGGACAGAGGGTCTTTCGAATTAGAGGGCGACAAGTCACTACGTGGGTATGGTACGTACTGTAGGTGCTCGATAGACTGGCAAGAAGGACTCCAAGCAAGTCCATACTTTTAGGAGCACGACTGATGGAGACAACCCTTAAGGGAGCAATGGCTTTCACGAAGTCCAACCAGAACACGCCGTACGGGCTGAGAATTCTCATCAGCTTGCCCTCAGGCTAACTTGACCGAGAATTCACCATTTCTACTGTACATGGCGAGATTTGCCCCTCTTCTTCAAATAAGACCCCGGTGAAGTTCACGATCAACAGATGTGCAGCAACGTGCCTGTGAGGCTCTCCAAAACGTCGTTACCACCCTTAGCGAGGATGATCGCGAGGCCACTCATGTCGCCATGATCTGTTCTTCCGCAGCTCCGGACATGTCACCTATTTCGAGGAACAGACCCCGGCCGGTACCACCTGAAGAGTAGCTGGAACAATGACAGATGGATGGTGAACAGTAAGATCTACTGTGCAGGCGACTTGGGTGCAGAAAGCTGTCATCAGACAGATGGGCGTTATGATTTGACAGCATCGAAACTCTCAGTGCCGGTACGCCGTGGAAGCGCTCCCCTCGCCTCATAAGCTTCTAAATTATTCCTCCGAGTCGCGGAGCGCATGCAGGGGGTGAGGCAGAGGAGACGCCCAGTTGGTGGCACGGAAACTTCCAGGCTTGTTAACTTGCGGAAAGGCCCCGGGCACTTTCCGGTGCCCAGGCTGAGATGCCTCTTGACTCTCAGATGTCGTTGAATCTACGGCTGGGTCGAGCAATACCTGGTACGAGGTACACATGGGGCAGGGGAGATCAAAAAGTCCTCAACCAAGAGCCACACAAACCACGTAGACCTAAATCTGATAGGTCAACAAAGCCTACAACAAATACCCCGTACACAGTAGCCATTCGTGTCGGTGCGGAACTGATGACCAGTACGAGTATGGTGAGTATGATGGATCATGACGACGCTCTTCGAGGCGCAGTGTCAATTTCCGGTCAAAGGCGGTCCTAGCTGCGGCCGCGAGTCGGGACCGTCAGGCTGATCTTGAAGCGTCCCAAGGGTGGACGGTCTGAGGTCATGTTGGATGCTACGATCATCAGCCCAACGTGAAACGAACTATTGGGGGGCGTCATCCAATCTCAAACCAATGGCCGCTTGCCCAATTCCTGGAGTCGAGCAGACGACAAGTTTCGACTTTGGGAGCCTGCTCAAGCTAGAGGTGCACTTTAGGCTAGGCATGCCAGCACTTGGTCAGTAGACTAGGGGTTCAAGCCAGTTGCGGCTAAGCAGTCCGTTCGACCAGGGAGGCCACGTGGGAGATGAATGCCACTTGTCAGGGGCCACTGCAGATAGACGGCGAATCAGGCTGCAGCCTTATCGCAATCAAACAAGGCATTGTCGGGTGCGACTCCATGGCTGAGCTGGCTCCCTTCGAGTGCGCTTCGAGAAACATTCCAGGCCCACAATCGAAGCAGTTTAATCTCAGAACGGGTCCACTCCGCTGTCAACGTCGCACTGCCGAGTTTGTCAACGGCTTCGTCAACGGTCTTGGACAGGGCTGAAGCGAGCCAGCGGGATGGGACGATGATGTCAGGATCGAGAAGGGGGAAATTGTACTGTGTAGAATCCAACATGCAGGAGATGGGAGACTCCATGTTGGCAAGCCGCAGCTCCTCAAGCTAATACGCCCGACGCACATGAATGGATGCAAACAGGAACACGACATTGATATGTACATACCGAGTCCTCTGTACGAGGTACTGCATCTCGTTTTGCATCCTCCAATAATTCACTTCTGATTCACTTGGACAGTGACTGACTCTTCACTTGTCCCCCACTTTGAAGAGAATTTCGCCGGGCCGAGCGTGAGCCGGTGACCATCTAGCGCTGAAGTCCGCACCGCGCTTTGCTTTACTTGGCGCTGCCCCATTCAGCGTACCGTGGTACGAGGGCCCTCTTTCTCTGATTCGTCTCCACGGGGTGAGTCCATTTGCCACATTCGGTTTTCTGGCTCCCACTCCGCGGTACACAGTACAAGCCAACAAAGTAGCCTTCCCTTTGCTTTCTTGTTTCGCTCGCTCCAGTCAGTCCAGACCGCCTTGTCCGGTCGCAATGCTAACGTTGTGTCTTTCGTCCATTAGAGTTCGATCTATCAGACGTACTACGGAGGTCGTTCATGCAGCCTTGCCCATGAGCTCAGCTTTGTTGAACCCCGGAGCCGCTACACTCATGTAGCTGTCTCTCAAGGCTGGAAACTTCTTGGGAAAGGGGGGCGTACCTCCCAGCGGCCAATTTACACCACCTGAACCTATTTAATCATAGCTTTGCAAAGATCCAGCATCAGCCAGCTGTAACGATTTCGGACACGATCAACCTGGACGCTGGGGAAGGAGTGTAAAGCGACAGTAGCCAAGTGCGAAGGGCTATTCTGTGCCACCTTGGTGTCTGAAATATGGCCAGAACTCGCATGTGCTCACTCCTTCGAACCTCCAAGCCTCGATGGCTGCGTAGGTACCGTGTAAGTCTTCACCTACTACCCACTGCTGTCATTACAGAGCCTGTTCTGTGAACGTCTATTACAAAGCGACTTTGGTGGCACCAACTGGACGGGTCTCACCTGAGTTCCCGTGTCGGCATCCTAACTCTGCACATGGTTCTGATGCATGCAGCCACCCCTCCATGCGACGTATGGACCAGCCCGCTTCGTGTCCCGCTCTTGAGTCACTTCCCACTTTTTGTGCCGCCTACAAGCCTACACTCGTATTTCCCGCAGACAGAGTTCATATTTACTACCACTAGCAGCAAACTGTCCCGCTATCCTCATGTTTTCCACGTGGCCGGAGCTGAACACCCGTGTTTGTGGCTGCCACGAGGTCTACTGTGGGACACTATTGGGCTTGGGTCGCACAGCTCTGCCTGGGCATAGGCGCGGTACATTTGGTTTTGGCTCCTCGACATTATTCCTCTCTGCCTTCCTCTTTCGGACGCCTTCTTACTTCGAGACTTACACGGCGAACACGCTAGACGAGTCGCCGAGATGCCTTGGAGGTCCATGGCAGGGAATGACTCATTATTGCAAGCGGTAGATTCCAGGGCGACTCTGGTTTGGAACACATGGCCGCATTTGGAATCTCTCGACAGAACCCGGCCTCTGCGTATGCTCGCCTGGAGACACTTTTTGCTTTTGGGCGTGCAGAGAGAGTTACAGATTCATCGACGATGCATTTTCCCTCACTCCATGCGGAGTCAGTCCCAAGTTATCGCCGATCGACCTTCGTGCTGCTGGTCCAGCCTGATACTTTCGAGACCACTCGCATGACTTCGCATGCCAGAATGTACTTGCTGCCACGTACGCCCGGGGTTTACAAGCCATGACGAGGTCGATATGCGCACATCGACAGGGTTCTCAAGAAGTAGAAGCGCTCCTCCCTCCTTAGACAACCACTATTCAGGAGCCACAGGCACCAGAAACTGCAGAGCTATAGCACTGGAGCTCAACCACGTGGCGCGTGAAAAACTCCTATCCGCAAGCGCTCTTACTGCTTTCAAACTGAGCTGCCTTGCATGCTAGCATTCTAGTAAGACTCAGACATTGGGTCCACGTCGCCTTCCTGCAACCATTTTCCGTGAATTCCCAGTCTCAGTGCGCAGTTCCCGGGGACGTTGCAGATATGTAGCCAAACACCATGCCGTTGTGGGTACGGAACCCGACACTGTTGCACTATGACACAACCACGTGGCAGGAGGACCCAAGATCATGCAGGAGCCCGCAGCCGTCCACTGTGTACTCCGTACAACGCTGAGAATCTTATTCCAGATGAATTTCAAAAGTCCACATCCTTCCGATCGCATCTCCGACTATGACAGATACATATGATAGATGCATGGGACCAATGATGGGACCAATGAGCTGTAGGGTAAGTGTCTCCACCACCCTCAACATGCCGCTGCCACGTGGTCCTCTGCTGTGAGAGGTTACACAACATGCTGCGATGTTGTAGCGTAATTGACGTTGTGCGGACGGGAGAGTCCCATGGGCTGGTCACTCCTGCTGCACAACGTTGCTGGCGCCGGGATTTGCCATTGCTACACGGCACACTTTTCCAGGATACTCATGTACACGCAGCCGGGAACAAGCCATTGCCTTCGGTTTCAACACAGTCAGTCACGAAACGCCTGCCGCTACTACCCAAGGTGGGTTTCTCTTTCCCGGTGCGTCAGGTCTGTTCAAACAACCAGGGATGACAGGCAAGCTTGACACTTCTTGATCCAAAGCACACTGATATCCCGGCCACGGCGCTTGAGAAGTCTCCAAACCCCAAAACATCGACATCAGCCGCAACATTACCCTCTCCTCCAGCTGGGGCACAGTATACCCGCGAGACCACCCCCAGCAGGTCAAGCACCGTGTTACGAGTGGCCCCACCCCATCTGAGACAGCAATGCATCCAGCATGTTTGGAAATGAGCAACAGCAGGTTTTACAGCACGGGCTTTTTTATACCTCCCTTCAACGTTTGATGTCTGACTTCTTAACACCCGATCCGACTGTCTTTCAATATTGACGGTTCAGTATAGGGTCATCCTGCTCATCCTCCTAGGATAACACGATATAGCTGTCTACCTCCTGGATTAGCCTGACCACGAAGATGCCATGCTCAAGTCGTGGCAGAGTAGAGCAACCTCCCGGCGATGTGCAGTGAGCAAACAAGGGACTCGAGCAGACCTCTCAAGCACCCATCGTTAGCAGTCGAAGTCATCATTCCATGATTCGTGTGTTTCGTCGCTAGGCGGTTGGAATGTCACACCAACAAGCACGAGCAGGATCAGGATCAGGATCAGGAATTCCCAGCTCAAGCTCAGAGCCGGCACGCAAAGCCTATACACAAACAAATTCAAGGAGTAGAACATGATAGATAGGCACGTAGCTCGTCGTATCACTCTCCCTGCGCCTTTGGGATGTTCAACGTGGACTTTACTGGTCTACTTCAGCCATCCACCCTACCATTCCACCGGGTCGGTCTTGACCTCTCCACGATTCGTCTTCGGCACGGGCGCGGCCTCGACCTTGACGGGCCCTTTCCTCCATTTCTTGAGATACCCACTGCCATCCAACCAAGGGGTATCCAACGTGCGCTTCTCTTCGAATTGCTTTATAGCCTCCTCTTTCTGCATCGTCAAACCGATATCATCCAGTCCCTCGACCAGGCAGTGTTTTCTGAACTCCTCGACGTCGAATTTGGCGAGCTCATTGCCCTCGGCGTCGCGGATGACCTGGTTGGGGAGGTCGACTTCGATCTCGCGACCGGCACGGGCCTCGTCGGCAATCTTTTCCAGCTTCTGCTGGTCCGGCATGATGAGGGGGAGCATGCCGTTTTTGAACGTGTTGTTGAAGAAGATGTCGGCGTACGACGGGGCAATCACGCATTTGATGCCAAAGTCAAGAAGAGCCCAGGGGGCGTGCTCTCGCGAGGAGCCGCAGCCGAAGTTGGGCCCCGTAACGACCAAGATCTTGGAGTTTCGATAGGGTTCTTGGTTGAGCACGAAAGACGGGTTCTCGCTGCCATCTTCGTTATACCGGAGGGGATGGAAGAGTGCAGAGCCGAGACCCGTGCGCTTGATGGTCTTGAGGAATTGCTTCGGGATGATGGCGTCGGTGTCGATGTTGGCTTTGTCCAGTGGCGCGGCGATGCCCTTGAGGACCGTGAATTTGGGCAGGCCGCCTGATCCGGCTGCGGCTTTGGGTTCCACATGTAGATTTGTCGACGATTCTGTTGCGTCTGTGGGGATATCGAGAATGCGGTCGAGTTCTTCCTCGGAGTCGACTTCGGCGAATTCGGGGGCGACGTCGAGTTTGGGGGAGGCTTTGACTGGAGTGGCATTGTCGGTGAGCTTCCGTACGTCTGCGAGTTTGCCGACGATTGCGGCGGCGGCGGCCATGACTGGGGACACGAGATGTGTGCGACCTAGGGCGCCTTGTCGGCCTTCGAAATTCCGGTTCGACGTGCTGGCGCAGCGCTCTCGGGGGGACAAAATGTCGGGGTTCATGCCCAAGCACATTGAGCAGCCTGCTTCTCGCCATTCGAAGCCGGCATCCTCGAAGATCTTGTCGAGCCCCTCGCGTTCCGCTTGAACCTTGACATTGCCGGAGCCAGGTACGACCATGGCCCGTTTGATGTTGGAGGCGACCTTCTTGCCCTCGACGATCTTGGCCGCGGCGCGAAGATCCTCGATCCGAGCGTTCGTACATGAGCCGATGAAGATCTTGTCTAGCTCAATGTCTTCCATCTTGGTGCCGGCGGTAAGGCCCATATATTCGAGAGCGCGTTTGCAGCTGGCTTTCTTGTTGGAGTCTTCGAAATCGTCAGGTCCGGGAACAACCCCTGTGATGGGTACCACGTCCTGTGGAGATGTGCCCCAAGAGACTGTTGGTGCAATATCCTTTGCATCAATAAAGACCTCGATGTCGTACTTGGCTCCCTCGTCTGACTTTAAGCTTGACCAGTACTTGATGGCCTTCTTCCACTCGTTACTGTCAACTTTGGGTGCCAAGGGTCGGCCTTTCAGATAGTCGAATGTAGTCTGATCAGGTGCAATCATGCCGGCTCTGGCACCGGCCTCAATGGACATGTTGCAGATGGACATTCGAGCCTCCATGCTCAGACCTCGGATTGCCGAGCCGCTGTATTCAATGACTGCGCCCGTACCGCCAGCGGTACCAATGACGCCGATAATGTGCAGAATGACGTCCTTGCTGCTGACCCCAGGTGCCAGCTGGCCATCGACCTGTATGCGCATGTTTTTGCTCTTCTTTGTGATCAAGCATTGTGTGGCCAGCACGTGTTCAACCTCGCTAGTGCCGATCCCGAATGCCAAAGCGCCGAAAGCGCCATGGGTGGCGGTGTGGCTGTCGCCGCAGACCACGGTCGTCCCGGGCAGAGTGAAGCCTTGCTCGGGGCCGATGATGTGGACAATGCCCTGGTTCTTGTCGCCCAGGCCAAAGTATGTCAGGCCGAACTCCTTGACGTTGTCCTCGAGGGTCATGCACTGCAAGCGGCTGTCGTCCTCCTTGACAAACTCCGCGATGTTCTTGAAGTTCTTTCTGGGCGTCGTGGGGACATTGTGATCGGTGGTGGCGAGGGTACAGTCTGGTCGACGCACTTTCCGCTTCGCGTTCTTCAGGCCCTCAAAGGCTTGGGGGGATGTGACTTCGTGGACAAGGTGTCTGTCTGCGACATTGTTAGCACTGCTCTGAGGCCTCCAGGACAAGGTGTGGCGCACCGATGTAGAGGAGGGTAGTGCCATCTGCTTCTTCAGTGACGACGTGGTCTTGAAAGACTTTGTCGTACAATGTCCTTGGTCCCGACTCGATGGAAGGCATCTTGTCTGCTTCAGCAATTACACTCTTTCAAAACTCAGGCTGAGGGAGTGTCTACTCGAAGAAATATTCCAATAAGAGAACCTGCATTATAAGCAAAAGACTGGCAGCGGGAAATGTAACGTGTGGGGTGCCGATGTCGGACTGCTGGGATGACTTCACAGTGACTGTGATTGGCTTCCGTGGCAATAGTGGCTTTTGTGGCTGTGGTGGCTGTGGTGGAGGAATGGTTTTGCCGGAGCCGCAGCCTTAATAAACAATGAGTGTCTGCTGTACTCGAACGTGGTCCCTCATTCAATCGAACAAAAAATTCAAGTGGTTTGATCAGCTTCTATTATACCTTTCCCCCTCCCCTAAGCAGGTGTCGCGGCTCCGCATCCTCCCCGCAGGAGGGCGTTACGAGCAATCTTACGACAGCCACAGAGAGTACAACGGACGATACGCGCAAGACCCCAACTGCTCACACATACCTTTAGGAAAGGCCCGACCAACCGAACCACGTTTTGCCCCCAGGTATAGCCCTACTTTCAAGCAGAAGATGTAGGGGTCTCAGTCCCATGTTGATCAGGCAAGCGCCATACAGTAAGCAGAGCTGGGGATGTTGAATCCCCGGCATCATGCTTTACTGTTTGGCAACAACGGGCTGCGAATCACCGCTACCGCTGCAGACCGAGTCTTCTTTTCAGGCTATTTCGAGGCAACTTTGGGTGCACTTGAATTATATGCGTTGAATTGTTTGGAAAGTGAATGCTGCCGGCCTGGTCATGTGGTGGGCGAGGCAGGTCAACGACGAGGCTGCCAAATGTGAGAGGAGGACGCCTGGTGCAGTACTTACAGTTGGGGAGGTCGTTTTGCAGAAGCAACAGCCTACGAACATAGGCAGCATTACGCAATGGAAGACCGCCTTGTCATAGACACCTGTAGTCCAGTAACTTACAAGAGACGCTCCTCCCTCTTGTTCCACGATGGCTATCTTGATATTATGTGCTCTGGCTTGAGAAAGGACTCGGCAGAAGTAATGCATGCTTGGACCAATCAGAAGCTCGGACTCGAAGCGAAGATCAGCTGCGGCTTCGCGATCCCTCGTGCCCTTGCGTGCGACTCGGCTCACCAATCAACCAAGATCTGACATGGGCAAATAAGGAGCCTGCATCTCAGCGCCACCGTCGTAACAGCTGAGCTCCATTGCTACGGCGGCACAAAACCTGGGCATCTCGATCAACGACGACACCTAGGTAGTGAACGACATTTCAACGTTTCGACAAGTTCCTTATCGACTACGCGCCATTGGAACCTCTCCGACTCATGCAAGACGTCCCAACGAGCTGTCGGCAAGGCACGTACAGTTACATGTACGGGAAACGTCTCCTGTTGATCGATCGCGCCCCAACCTGCATCCGCTGGCCGGATGCCTAGACTTGGGCTCCGCGAACTGAGAAGCGCCCAAGGGATTTTTGTTCTCGCTACGACTTCCACTCGCCAACACAATGGCGTCTTGCTGACCATCACGACGGGGTGGTCATCGGCCAACCTGACCACCTGTCACTCGCGGCGCAATCTGTCGTCTACAGGACGACGGTATCAGTCTCAATCGAAGCTCGAACCTACCGGCACCGACAACGCTCTTACCACGAAAGGCAGGACCACCGCAGCCGCGATGGTCAGCAATGATCTCCCCGCCAGAGGCATCCCACCGCCTGTCGGGCCCATCAGCATCGTCTTCACCGACATAGTCAAGTCGACCAACATCTGGGAAAAGGACACCAACGCCATGATCTCGGCGATGCAACTCCACGACGACACGGTGCGCTCCCTCACGCTCTCGAACAACGGGTACGAGGTGAAGCAAAACGGCGATGGCTTCATGATTGCATTCCCGACGGCGACTTCAGCCGTCCAATTCTGTCTCGACGTCCAGGAAAAGCTGCTGGACGAAGAATGGCCCAAGGCGCTCCTGAAGCTGGCACCGGGCCAGGAAACGACGGATGACAAGGGCCACGTCCTGTTCCGCGGCCTGCAGCTCCGGATGAGCGCGCACTGGGGCGAACCGGTGAGCAAATGGAACGAAGTCATCCAAAGGATGGACTATTTGGGACCTGTCGTCAATCGGGCCGCACGATTCGTCCAAGTCACAGAGGGCGGACAAATCGTGGTATCCGAAGACTTCCTCGCGCAACTCCAGCGTGAGATGCAACAAGGTACGGATCGTAACGACGAGGAGTCCTCTTCGCAGAGAAGTCGATCTCAATCTCAGCCTCTCTCCTCAGGGAACAGCACAAACACAAGCACAGGGCAGGAGTCTCCACCACTTCCCGATCTCAGCATCCTCCGCTCCGAAGCCGGTCAACAGAACGTGACGACCCAGACTTTCCAGATCCGCGAACTGGGCAACTACGAATTCCAAGGGCTCGATGACCCCCAGAAATTGTACTTCATCGTGCCGCGCTCCTTGGAGGGACGGGTCGAGCACTGGCATCAGGTCATGCACGTCACGGGCGTCAAGGGAAACGTGAAGACGGACTGAGAGGACGGTCAACATAAAGGGCAACGTCAAGACGGATCGAGAGGGCCGCCAGTCAGCCTGACGAGGCGCCCCCAAGGATATGGTTGTTGCGCCGTGTTTCTCCTCCAAACAATCCGAACCAGTCATTGATGACGGGCAGAGTAAGTTATTCTTACTACTCAACCCTCAGGTCCGCGCCTCATGGGCACGGGACAAGCGGCGCAACGGCACAGGCGAAGGCTCAAACAGAGTCTATAGCCACAGAAGCGCGGTGGTCCGGCGCACGGCGAAGAATCGGGGAGCAGAGTGGCTTGGAGGACGGAGTGTGAGACGGGAGAACAATCACCGATCCATCTATCCTGGACTCTCCACCGTAATGAATCGCTACAAAAGAAGGACAGAAGAGAACGCCAGTAACTGCAAGTGGAAGAAGAAACCGGACACATTGTACATATAGTGCATTTTGGCAGTTAGATACGCGGCGACGAAGGAAGGCAAGGAGGCATTCTGAGCGCAGCAACGTAACACGCACACGCAGACACGAGGAGACTCGGTCCACAAAGCAACGACGCTCATCCAGGACAGAACTACAGTATCTCTTGGGTGACGATCCGGGAAGTCCTGCCGCGAGATTGTTTGATCCTAGGCCGGATATGCACGTGAATTCAATTCAATTGATTCGTCTTGTCTTGCCATCCGTCATGCATGCGCACTGGACCGTGTCTCCGAGGTCCTGACTGTATTTATTTGCCGTCGGCCAGTCTACAGTATCCCCTCGATGTCGGTAGGTGGTCAGTGCAATGCAATGCAATGCGATACAATGCAAGACAGTACATCGTCATAGTGTTGGCCACACACCAGTCCAATCTACGCGGCAGCCTCGACTTCAGTATCACCCTCCTCCGCAGTGGCACCATTCGTCTCCGTCTTCGCCTCGGTCGTCTCATCGTCCTCGTCAGCGTCGCCATTGACGTCGACCAACTCACCCTTGGCGCTCGTCGGAACTGCACTCGCCCTCTCCTCCTCCAATCGAAGGTATTCATCCCACTCGGGGAATAATTCCTCGTCCCCTTCCTGTCCTGGGACAGCCAGCAGTCGCGCTACCTTGCCCTTGCCCTGCTTCTCCAGCCCGTCCTTCCACTCGAGCGCCAGATCCTTGGTGAGCGACGGCTGATACGTCTGGCTGAACAGCACGGCTTCACTGAGGCGGCCAGTCCTCTTGAGCAGATCCACACACCGCGCCACGTCGCCTGTGCTCCACAACGCCGCAAATGCCACGTTGTTCGCACCGCTTTCTTCGGCTTGCGTCGCGAGGCGTACGAGTCCCTCTTTGTTGCCGCTGCTCGAGTACAACAGGAGCAAGGAACCGAGGTCTTTCGCATGCAGGAAACACTCCTCCGCAAGCTTGACGTCCCATGCCTCCAGTGCCTTATCAGCCACGCTTGCCCATCTACCTTGCGAGTCTGACTCGCGCGCAATACTCAGCGCGACTTGCAAGTTGTTCAGCCCCAGCGCGAGCTCGAACCGATGTTCCGGATCTGTTGCAACCTCGAGCGCGAGATCCTTGTGGCCCTGGGCTTCGAGGAACCGCGCGATCTTGTTCATCTGGTCGGCTGGGATTACGGGTAGGAGCTCTTGTGCGGAGTCGAGGTCACCTCGCAGGACGAGGGTCTGGTAGGTTAGAAGCGCGGTGGAGAGACGGTAGGATACCACACCGACGTCCTTGTCGCACAGGTAAACTCTTTCATCTCGCTGGAGGTACCGTAATAGGTACATAGGCTGGTCGAATTGTGCAATGTGCACGACTTGTTCGCCCAGTAAGTAGCTGAGACGGGTTGTCGTAGTGAAGAGGAAAGCATCGCCGACCCATTCGCCGGACTTGACGGATTCCTGGAGATCCGTGACTACGGAAAACGCTGCTTCGACGCCGTCTTCGTCTACTTGCCCGGAGTTCAGGCCGTCGAGGTAGGCTTCCCGGTCGAAGCGGAGGACGTATGTTGTGTCGGCACATGCGAGAGCCACGAGTTCGCCAGATTCGGACCAGTATACCTGTGCGGCATGTCAATATAGCTGTTCGAAAATTTTGAGAGTCAAGGGTGCTATACTTCTCTCGGCTCTACTTCGATTCGTCGGACCAAGGTGCCTGTTTCCCAATCGAACATGCCGATACCTCCCTGGCCTTTTACGCCGAGCAATGTACCACCGGCCAGTCCCTCTGCTTGAAAACCGACATCAAGGGCACCGCTTTCTTTCAGTTTCTTGAATAGTTTTACACTGGTGCTTGATTCTCGGATTGCGTAATCTGTGGGGTTTTGGTGTGACGCCCAGGCGAAGTCGAGTGCTGAGCCAAAGGCTTGATTTCTCCACGCAAGGGCAGTGTACTGGGACTGGTGAGCAACCGATGTACCAGAGGGGAGATTGGCAGTATGCTTACGATGATGAATTCTCCGTCGCCGCAGACACTGACGAAGCGGCCGTTGGGGGAATGTGTCAACGTTGTCGGATAGCTCGAGTTCAAGTTAGCCTCAGTTGGTTCATTCCACGAACGTACTCACATTTCAGTGGTGCCCATCTCTTTGCTCGGGAGAGCAATAGGTGCGCCATCTTTGATAGACGCATCGGCGCCCCTCACGATTGCAGACACCACCTCATTGTGGCGTGCCCAGACGAGCTTGCCAGTTCCGTCCATAGACACAGCCGGCTCCTCTCTGCCCATTTTGACAACCACGGCACCATCATCAAACCCCATAGCCACGCCTTGTTTGCCTCTCTGGTATGAAACACACCATGCTCTCTCCAAACCATAGCTGAGCGACTGCTCTAAACGATATGTATTGGCATGCCATATCTTGACCGTGCCATCTTCTGAGCCGGAGATTATGACAGGCAATTCGGGGTGGTAGCAAGCAAAGCTGACATTGCTGGTGTGTCCTTCAAGGGTTGCGATGAGGGCTTTTGTGGTGTAGTCCCACACTTTCACCGTCCGGTCATCTGACGTACTGAGCAAGTAGGGCTTGTCGCTGTGTGGGTAGTAGTCGATATGGTTGACGCCCTTCTCGTGGGCCTCTATTGTCTGCTTGGCAGTCGCATTGTCAATACTCCAGACCTTGATTGTGCGGTCCAAACACGCTGACGCAAAGACGTTGGTGTCCTTCGGGTTGATTGACAAGCCCATGACATAGTGTTGATGGCCCACAAATTCACGCACGCAGCGCCAGTCCTTCTCCCAATCGAACATGCGGATGGTCATGTCGTCTGAGGCTGTCAGTACAACGCTGAGGACAGGATGTACCACGATTGCGCGGATGTAGTCTGGATGTCTGCCACCTCGCTGTAAGCCCTTGTCCGATATCTCTTGGTGCTGGAGGTGCGCTTACGCTTCAAAGGATTTGACCTTTTCACTGGTATTCCAGTTGACCACTCTAAGCTGAAAGTCATCACTGCCACAGATTATCCAGTTCTTCCTCTCAATGAACCTTCCAGCCCGGACAGGCACGTCGGTGAGTTCGAACGTCTTGATGATGGACTGCGTTTCGTATGACCAGATGTGCGCATGGCCGTTGTACAGTGTCGTGAGGATCTTAGCCGTCAGTCAGCATGTGGAGGACGTAGAAATGTGCGAGCGCATCGTACCCATGGTTCGGTGCTATTCTCTGTCAGATTTGCGGTTCTTCTTGGAATTGGAGACTTGCCTGTGAAAATCAATGCCCTTCACTCGCTCCGAGCCTGTACGTGGTCAGCTAAAAGGTAAGTTGGCAGGCCCAAGGTCACCCACGAGCGAAGAGCTGCCGCTTGACGTCTAACCGCATCGTGGCATCAAGCGACCAAGGTTATCCCAAATATTAGTGGACCGCACACAAGATGGCTGCAGGTGGAATTATGACGAGGTTAGGGAGTGAGGGCAACGACAAGGAGACAGAGAACCGAGTTCCATAACATTCACTCATGTGAATCTCGGACCTCTCAGGACTCCCGGTGCTCAAGTTGTCCCTCCCTCCTGGATCCTTGGGACACATGTCAATTGATCGTCTCCGTACTCAAACTATTCGGCGCAGTTGCCTGATTAGTACAGAGCACAAAGCCTCTGGCGGAGCAAATGCCATTTGGCGCAGTGTCAAGTAATACTTGATTGATAGGTGGCCAGAGAGATACTGAGATGATTCTGAATGTTATTTCGTTTTAATTTACGCAATTCGTGATGGTCGCACACATGGTATCTATCTCTGAAAAAGCAAAGGCAAAGAGGCACCGACCTATTTTGATGCAACATCGCTAAGCCATCAGTTTCTCCAACTCAGCAGCCACCATGCCCATAATGAAGGGCTGTTGCGATGTAGTAAACATATATCCCCGACTGGTATATCTCAGCTCTTTCAAAAGCACCGGACTCCCCGCAAGGTATGCCCCCGGCAGGCCAAACGCTCGGTAGAACGAGCCAAATACCAGAAATTGGTGATCTCTGAGTCCGTCGGAGGAGCTGACCAACGCTTGCTCACCCTGCCAGGAGCTGCCTGCTGTACAGCCGGCATGGTTGTAGAGAAGGATTGTCATACCTGCAGAGCCGCGAGTTTGCTGTAATTTCTGCAGCAGGAGCCGTAAATTTGTCTGCTTGCCCTCCACGCCTAGAAACAATGTGATGTATGCAGACGGCCCACAGCCTCGAATCATTTCGAGCAGCGCGTCCATATTTGTGTACCGCTGAACTTTGGGTGCACCCTTTTTCGACGCGACGCGGAACCCATCGAGCACGGCTTGGGGCGCTGCCTGAGGGATGAGGAAGAAATGTTTCTTAAATCCTAACACCGGGCGACTGAGGGCTGCGATTGTTGACATGAGACCAATGTACGTGTCGGGATAAGTCATGGCTTCAGCCGTGCCGGTCAGTTTCGCAGCCATCTTTTCAACTTGGATGTGCAGTTCCGAAGTCCCCGTGATCCATCGGGCACCACCGGAACCAAGACCATATTGGAGGCGGGCTTCGTGGCCAGCGCGGAGAATGTCTCTGCCACCCATTGCTGTTTTGGTATCAAGTGTCTCTTGCTGGGTGAGCTCTCGGATCTGTTTAGACACTTCACAGGCCTCAAGCGTCTCTTGTCGGGTCGAAGGCTCATCGGGGTATGCGAACGATTCGGGCTGAGATGATGCTTGGTCAATCAGTCCGATGTTTAAAGCAGCCTCGACAATGGCAGCAACGATATCATTGACGGTATCGTTGTCGTGATCCGCCGAGAGACATATCCGCACACGAGACTCCCAGAAGGGAACGGCAGGAGCAGACACCGGTGTTGCAAGTAATCCGACCTTCCGTAATGCATATGACATCTTCGCTGCCATGCTAGGACGACCAGCGTAGACTGGTAATATGGGCGAGATGGCGTTGCCATAGACATGGACGCCTGCTCTATGCAGAGCTTCTCGAACGAAGATGGCGATCGCAGTCAACCGTCGCAGATGACGTTGCAGTAAGCTCGGCTGGCCCAGGACGTGCAAAGTCTGAATGATGGAGGAGGTGGGTAGAGGATCAGCACCAGCGGCGAGCATTTCGTCCCGGCGCCTGAGGATGGCAGGAGCAAATTGTGCCTTCCCACAGACGATGCCACCGATGGCGCCCACCGATTTAGACAAAGTTCCCGTTCGGAGGTCGAAGAGATCTGTTGAAACAGGCGCGTCGGGGTGCTGTTCGTTCCAAACCTCAATCGCTCCTCGACCAGTCCGGCCTAGGCACATCAATGAATGAGCTTCGTCGGCGAGGAGCGTGAAGTTATATTTCTTCTTGAGTCGGGCGAGATGATCGAGTGCCGGAACCGTGCCATCCATGCTGTGTTTGCTGTTAGCGGAGACTTGAGGGCGATATTAGACTGACTGACCTATAAAACCCCTCGATTGCGACGAGGATACTGGTAAAATTGCCTCGATGCTCTGAAAGAATTGCTTCCATCATCTTGAAGTTGCCGTGAGGGAATTTCTTGACAAGTCCAGCGTGACTCTGGAACGCGGCAACGTGCATTGAGTTATGACACTTGTCATCGAACATTACAAGCCAGTCCTGGTCCAAGAGTGCTGAAAAGGCCAGTAAGTTTGAGCCGTACCCTGTGCTAGTGGTGTAGCAGAATTCACTAGTGAAGAACTTCGCCAGACCGTCGTGCATGGCCGTCTCCAAGGAAGGAACTGCATAAGAGTTGGCGACGGGTAGGCTCTCGAGCGCCGATCGTTGAAGCTCTTCCGAGTCTTGCGTTAGGCCGTAGAAGCCAGCATAGTTGTGCGAAGCTGCTTGGATGACCGTGTGTCGGGTCCCGTGTCCATCTCGGATTTGAAGTCGAGGAGTCCAGCGACCGAGAGTGATGCGCTCATTCTTTCCTTTCCGGTTGTCAAGAGGATGCACGTAGCAATGATTGAATTTTCCTGCTTCTGAGATTGGCTGCTGGTTGTGCCTTGGTTGTTCGAGGCTGACTTTCCCGCGAGTGTACGCCAGTCTGAACCCTTCTGCAACTTTCGCCCATGGTTTTGTATTTGGTGGGGGGTAAACGTCGAGTTCTAATGGACAGTGTTGAACTCGATGAGACGAGGACTGGCATGAAAGCGAGGAGTAGGTAGACTCCGACTCCTAACATCAGGTAAGTGACTTTGGCTCAGAAGTTCGCGTTCGTCCGCCATGACTTACGTGAAGGGACCTCGTATCCGTCCAGGTATCCTCGCTCGATATCGACTGCGTCTCCTGAATTTGTATGATGATCGGCTCATCTGACGTCTTTTGCGCCTCCAAGGAGTCGATAATGGTCGGTCTCGCTCTGAATTCCATTCTGTAAGTCACTGATATCTGGCCCTTTAGAGTCTGTGTGAGACATACCGTTTCTTGTGCGGCGGCCTACAATGATATATGTCCGGGCGTCAAATTGTGGCGACAGCTCAAGCGCCCCAAGTCCCATGGTGCAGCCGCCTTAGGGCCATACCGCTTCCTTGGTCACTTTCCGTAATGAGAGGTATGCTGAACTGATGTGCTCGGTGAAATCAGCTCTGCCATTGCTAGAGGGGCACAGCCCTGCAGCGGAAGTCGAAACAATGGCCATTTCGTCCAGTCACTACTGCGTTTGAGACCCATTCCGGCGGCATCTGCCGGAGTCCAGATGTTTCGTGCTTGAATAGATAGCATATTTTGTGTACTTTGTCGGAATGGCTGGCTGAACACGACGAGTCTGATGACGAGACTGGCTGGGCATGAGTCTGGCCCAAATGGTGGTTCCGGTCTTGGTCTTGTTGCTCGCTTCAAATAGCCGGATCCACGCCACACAACGATGTATCCACAGATCAAGCGCTCACCGTGTATGGCCCTCGATGTGGATACTGGTCGAATTAAAGTAAAGGTTGGCTGTGCCAGCAAGGGCATAAGGTTGGAAGAATCGCGAAGCGGCACCTAGGGACCCGATAGCTTGAAGTCCCTTACCTAAACAGGAAACCGTTTGGCTATGACTAGCCCACCCAGGACAGCCCTACCGCAACCGAGGCATGCCCAGAAATGAAAGGCGCTTTGGATAGCCAGCCACAAGCCTTTTTGTGGCTGATATCGACTTGGATAAGTGGGGTTATCCTGCTTTGAAACTGTCACCGAGTCTGTGCAAAGCTGAACTGAGCTGTGATATAAGATTTGATTTTAGAGAAGGGAGGGAGCGCCGAGAAGGGTGCCAGGCGGTGAAGTACCTCAGCCCTTCGAGATGCAGCTGGAAGACGAGGATGGAAGGCGTGTATATACGAAGTAGACTAAACCCAATGCCCCTAGAGCAGATGGTTCCAGTTTTCGCTCCCGTGGAGTCGTTGTCAGTCTCGGCCACGTGGTCGACAGGTCACTCAACCGCTGTCTGCGACTGATTAGGTGCTGGTGTCTTCGGAGATGTCAAGATGGTTCTGACTGGCACAGCGCGACAGTACTTTTTCACTCGAAGCACTTGCAGTCCGTGGAACATACGATCGAAAGCCGCTTCTGTACAGTGAAGTATCTGAATGCAGCCCGCGTGCATTGTGTTTTGTATATGCAGATATTCTTGTACCTCATACCCAGGAACCATGGTATTCATCTTCAGCCAGCACTCGAGAGGACAACACCCTGGATCAGCCCGAGTCATGCCTGGATTCTCGTAGGCCCAAGCAAGAGAGTGGCACCCATATGCGGCATTGCTTGCTGTGTAGGGCCGAGCGCCATCTCGCAGCGGGAGTATCGGTATCCAGCTTGCTTATGGAACCAGAATCTGCGGGCAGCGTATGATGTGGACAAAGTACTGAGATAGAGTTGGAGGGGCTCGAGGCGGAGACGCTTGAGTCCTCTGTAGAGAAAGCTTGCATCAAAACCAAGTCACCTGGCGGTGCTGATTCAGCTGAAGAAATGCCAGAATGGGAGTAGCCAACCGCGATTAGTTGTCAGCGGACAGGACGCCTAAACTCAGCGTCCTAGATAACGCCAAATGTGAAGACTTCGCATCAGTTGGCAGCCCCCTCAACCGTGCACCGAGTGCAGCGCATCAACTTCAGGAACAGCCATCGTGGCCTGGGAACCGTGATGGATCGCCTCAAGCAGCTACCCAAATTGCCGCCTCGAGAACTGGCGTTGAGTGCCGCTGCAGTGACCGCCGCGCTGAGTGCCGTCATCTGGTGCGTGCGAGATTATCATGAATTCCTGGCCCTAGGCCGGGGTGGTGCCCCATATAACATCATGGGATGGGCCATCGTAACTCTGCTTCGGCCATTTGCCTTGTCCAAGCGCGACGCAAAACAAGTGTCAAGTTATCCAGCCGATGGTGCTCAAGAGGAGATCAAAGGCCTGCCGACAAGAGCAGGCTTACCTGCTTCCGTGGGAGGGATTGTCCCACATCGCCAGCTGTCGCAGCATCCACCCGACAAGATGAAGCAGGTACAATTTGCCCTTTGGTATCCGAAGCCACACCAGATTTTGACTGAAATCACAGTATATCACAAACCTGTTCAAGAATGCTGTTGCAAAGCACAGTGACATCTTAGAGGAGCGCCTATCTTTGTACGAGAGGCACAACCCAGCTCTTTTCGTGCACGCCAATATTCTGTCGAGCGACGATCCTGCCGTGCCGGAGACAGCACGGATTGCTCGAGGCGAGATCGGACACATCCACCCTGATGTGAGTTCTAAGCATTCTTTCGCCGGCTGCTCTGGAAAACGTTCAGGGTATTCTATGCGGCCGAAATATCTTGACCTGTTGGAGTTGCTGATTGGCTCGGGACATGTAGTTCTCGATTCACTTATATGTCGCTCCCGCGGACGCTCGACTCATCATTGAAAAAGGATGGGGCGAAAAGCATCGGTTGTCGAAGCCGGAAAACTCCTTGTTCAAGTTCAAAAGGTTCCACATCGCTGACACATATATTCTGATCTACGGACCGAGGGACGAAGAGGAGATCGACGTCGTACGCAAGATCCTCCAGAGCAGCATTCGCTTCATGACAGGGCGGCCCAACGTCGAGGTTTCCGAGTGGAGGACAGCTATAAGCCCTACTGAATAGATCACAGCTGGCGGGTGATCGGTATGTAAGTTACAATGGCATAGGCTGGAGAAATGATTGAGATAGAAGCAGCGTCATCACCAGCATATCAACATGATCTGTTGTACTTGCCGCCGTGAAGGCTTCGGATTCTTAGGGAGCGGAATTGGCGGGTCTCCTTCCAAGATCATCACCTCTTCTTCCGACCGGGACCGGTGTATAGACAGGAACGCTTCCCATCACCTAACTCTTTATGTCCGCGCCATCGGACTTGCTTGAGCACCCATGCCTGGGTCTGCTCACCAGACCTGGAGAGTACCGGAGGCTCTGGCAGGCACCGGGTGTTGCGTGTGCAACACGTCCTCTCATGCTCAGGTGCTCACGATAAACCAAGGATGCCCTGCGTAGAGGGCGGGTGAATGCGTCATGCCTTGCTTGCGCATCCTTGCTGCCTTGCTCTTAGCACTGAGAGCGAGGCTCAAAAAGTAAATACTGTATAATCGATACACGATATCTGATATATGACATATCAATGGACCTCTCTAGATCTATCTAATCATGTGGTTCAGCTGGCTCATGACTGTCCTCTGTGGCACGGTTCGAAGAACACTCATTGCCACATCTCCTCCCATCTCACCATGCCTCCTCCCCATTCAAAACGTGCCCACCTCCTCAGCGACAGTGAACCTCGCGCTCGTCCTCTCCCTCACCTCCTCAACACTCACCCCCTCAGCCACCTCCTTCAGCACCAACCCCCTCCCACCCACCCTATCGACCTCAAACACCGCCAGCTCCGTAATAATTAGACTGACGACCCCCTTCCCCGTCAGCGGCAACTCACACTCCTCGACAACTTTACTCCGTCCATCCCTATCACTGTGGTACGTGCAGACGATAATCTTGGTCTTATCAGGGTTAGACACGAGATCCATCGCGCCGCCCATCCCGTTAAACGCCTTGCCCGGGATGATATAGTTGGCCAGATCGCCCGAGGCACTCACCTGCAGCGCGCCTAGAAGAGACACATCGACGTGCCCGCCCCGGATCATGCCGAACGACTCGGCGCTGTCGAACGTGCTGGCGCCAGGAACCAGTGTGACGGCTTCTTTACCTGCGTTGATGGTGTCGGGGTCCGCCTCGTCGCGCGTGCGAGGGTAGGCGCCCATGCCCACGATCCCGTTCTCGGACTGTAGCCACACTTTCGTGGTGGGTGGCAAGAACGAGGGCGCCAGCGTGGGGATCCCGACGCCGAGGTTGACGTACGAGCCGTCCTTGAGTTCGCGGGCCGCGCGGCGCGCGATGCGCGTGCGTTTGCTTGCTTCGGCGTCGGCACCGTCGGCGGTAGTGGTACTATCGTGGTCCTTTGCCAGCACGATCTTCTCGATATGTTTGGCCGACGTGGCGGGGCAGATCCGATCGATATATATCCCCGGCAGATCGATGTGGTCGGGATGTAAACTCCCCACAGGCACGACGTGCTCGGCCTCGACAATGGCCAGCTTGGCCGCCTTGGGCATGAGCACGCCGTACGTTTTGGTGGTTGACCGGAAGATACAGTTGCCCGCGGTGTCGACCTTCCAGGCTCGCACGATGGCCACGTCGCCCCTCAGCGCCGTTTCGAGCAGGTACGTCCGCCCGTCGAAGATACGTGTCTCGCGCGGCCGGCCCGCCTCGGCGACGGCGTGTTTGCCTGTCGCTGCGTCACGGGGCCCCAGGCGATGCGGGATCCCGCCCGTCTCGATCAGCGTGCGTGCCCCTGTAGCGGTGAAGAACCCGGGGATGCCGGCCCCGGCGGCGCGCAGGCGCTCGGCGATAGTTCCCTGCGGGCATAGCTCCACGGCGACTTTGCCCTCGTGGTACTGTTTCCCCAGCGGCTTGTTGTTGCCTATGAAGGAGACGATCCAGCGCGAGACCTGGCCTGTCGGGCTGAGTTTGGCGAGGCCGTGCTCGCCGGCTCCCGCGTTGTTGGACACAACCGTTAGATTGCGCGTGCCTTTGTGGCGGATGGCGTCGATGAGGGTCTCTGTGGGTTTGCGAGGTCAGTAAGATCGTCTGCGAGCAGTTGCGGGACCAAGGAAAGATTTGAACATAGATAGATATCATGCTGCATACGAATGTGTGCGCGTGCCTATACATACCCGCCACGCCAGAGAGCCCGAACCCAGCCGACAAAATGACACTCCCGTCCTTGAGGTCCGCAATCGCGTCGTCGGCGCTCTTGTAGACCTTTGACGCGCCCTGCTCAGGGACCTCGATGCCGGCGTCAACGCGCTCTCGGTACTTCCTTGAGAAGACGCTGAACGGCTGCTTCTGCTTCTGCTGCTGCCCGTGTCGCTGCTTCGCCCGTGTCGAGATCAGGAATGTTCCCCATTCACCAACCCTCCGCCGCGTGTACGCTGCGGTTGCGGCTCCCTGTCTTAGAGTGCCCCAGAATGTAGCCCCCCTCAGGCAGGGGGATGCGTCCAGCAGAAATGACATTGTCGAAGAACCAGAAGTGTCTCAGTAGTCAAGTTGTACTCGGTCCTTCGAGTCTACTCCAACGGGGCGGCGTCAGTGGTGCTGTGGAAATCAAAGAACAAAAGCTATGCACCTTCAATCTTACTCTCCATCGGTATAATGCAGCCAACTACTTCTCTTAGCTGCCTCCGATTTCTGGCGTCTGACTGGAGGCGTTAAATGAGGCGGTCGATGTGTACGGACTTTCGCCGGTGTGGACTCCGACTTCGACTTCGACTTCGACCCCGACTTCAAGTTAACTCCGGGTATTGACCTGGGGCCGAGAGGAGAGCAGGGGTGTATTATTCTACAGGGCGCGTTTCGATGAAGCCAAACCTGTGCCGACATGGCTACGGTTTTCGACACGTGGTCGTCAAGCGTGCTTACAAAATGACAAAGCAATGACTGATATTTCTAGGTCTCAACACTATCAAAGCTGATCTGCATCCTTGTGCCGACACTGATGCTGATGCTCGCCCGTGTTCACGGCAACCCCATCCTCTTCGTCGTCCTCTCATTATGACCCCACGCATCGATACTGCCGTCATGTACTGTGCATCTCCTCATGTCCCGAGCATATTTCTCCATAAAGGTGCCCTCGCCGGCCTTGTGCATGACGCAGGTATTGTCCCAAACTATGAGATCTCCTTCGTTTTCCCATTCCACGCTGACGACATACCTGGGCTGCGAAGCATGAGCGAGCAATCGTTCAATGAGTTCCGTGCCCTGTGGCTGTGGCACACGCTCGTACGGCTGCTCTTTTGTGGGAGTGAAGCTGGCGGATCTGGGCTTCTTATACTCCAAATGATGCATGTGGTTGGCGATGTAGAGATTCGGGCGGCCGCTAGGCCTATGGGTCTGGACGATGTCGTGACGCCCATAAGGATACTTCTCCGGATCGATGTCCCGAAGCCATTCGCTGTCTTTTGGTGCCGCTTTCTTCCTGGAATGCATCAAGCTGTGGGCGCCGATGTATTCGTTCTCAAGGAGATCTTTCCTGAGGTCTTCAGGTAATTCGACAAATGCCGTTCTGGTGTCTGCGAAATCGGTATTGCCGCCGTGCCCTCTCGGTGGAAGTTGGTGGGCGCGCAAAAGACTGTAGCCTGCTCGCCGCGGATTGAAACTCGAATCGACGTGGAATATCGAGTTGCCCTATTATCCTGGTAAGCATTTCACTCGATTTGACCGTGCCGCCTCAGATCGTCGGGCTTACCAGACCCATGTGGTGCCGTTTGCTGCCAAGCTTGACAAGCGAGCCGTCATCCTCTTGGTTGGACACGTCGAACAGCTCGTCGAAGGGGAATCTGTTCTTGCGGCCCATCGCGAGGTAAGGCTTAACATCGTCTAGCTCGCCAAATAAGGCGGCAAAGGTAACGTGGCGGGCATCGTCGAGACTGGCTTTGCGGAAGACGAGCACCCCGTACTGCCAACATCATGTTAGCCCCTCCATGCTGGGCATGAGGATTAGGAAAGAATGCGAGTAGTATCTGACATACATCCACGATGGCACGATGTATCTCGTCGAAGACCTCTTTCTCCACCGGCTTGGAGAAATCAACGCCGGTGACCTCGGCAGCGAAGGTGGGTGCTAGCTTCTTCAGCTGTATGTGGTGATACTCAGTGTTTGTAGCGTGAGGCATCGTGTACAGTACGCTGACGGAGGACAGCTGTCGTACAACAGAAGCTCAGAACTCTCGTCTCAACGTGCGAACAATCCCTAGACGTGGTGGTACAGATATTTGTAGATTCTGAATTCGCACTTATTGCGCAAGGACGTCATGAATCAGGGTACAGCATCACCTCAAGTGAGCGTGTCCGTCTTGTACAAGTTTGCGAAGATGTACGGTCAATTAATGCCGCCCCCGCGGGCGATGACCCCGATCTCAGCCAGACAAGTGGCGTTTGCTCGCAGATGATGGGCGGACTTTCCCGCGGCAGCCTCTCAGCACGTTCTGCCGGCTTGCCGATAAGGCATGGAAACCTCTTATAGTCTGTCGTATATAGCTCGACGACTCTGTTGTGAAAACACAAGACGCCGAGTTTGGAAGACCTTGGATATGCGCCCCCGCGGGGTAGGGTGTAACCGAGGCTAGGTGGAAGAGGCGGCAGCTACCCCCATATCTGTGGAGAGGAGGACAGGGGTGCTGCCTTTCAAACAGAATGGACATTGCGAGGAGGTCTCCGTTGTCTTGCTCTTGGTGCAAGAAGAGCCATCAATGTCGGCCAAGCAGTACTACAGCGCTGCCAGACGAGAGACCAGACACCGACTCGGCCATCACTGTCCCGAGCTCCCAATCGCAAGGGGCTTGAAAAGTTTCCAGTGCGCACGATAGGAACAAGGCGAGCTACTGCACTTCGTATGGATAGGACGGCACGATCGTGCCATGCTTGCTTCGCGGTGCTTGTTCTTACGAGCAGAATGAGGTGGTTGTCCGCAGAAGTCGCGACGTACGCAACGAAGTGTCATGGCTGCTTGTTCCCTCTCGCTGCACCCCAGGCTCGATGGAAGGGAGTGAGGAAGCTGCAGCGGTGGAACTTGCACCCCTCTGGCGTGAGCAGCGAAGATCGACCTCGAGAGCCAATATGAATTGATGTCTAGGCCGGATGATCATTGTCGCACCTTTAGCACGGTTTCCGCTGCTCACTTCCACCGGCTCATTTCATCGCCTTGCCACGTTCTGGGCGTGCGGAGGGCGTGACATCCACTTCCCCATGTGGAGAATGATCCACGGCATGCGTCTCGTTTGTCTCCCTGTTCAAGCACTACTGGCCGGTTCAGCCTTAGCCATTTGCAGCGTGACAGCTGCTCACCGGGAACAAGGATACCCTGTTCCAGCCATCCGTCTTATCATGGCGAACCTCATGACAAGAAACCACCATCTTGGCAGGCGGTAGAAGTACCCCAGGAGCCGACGGCGTCTTCGCCGATGCTGCGAAGGGTTACGCCAAATGGAAGGAAGTTGGAATATGGTTGTAACAGAGGCGAAGATCGGCATTTCTCCAGCATGTGGTCATTCTATAGCTTACCGCCATCTGCTTCAAATTGAAGGCCAAATCCGGTTCTCCTCCTTCATTTCAATTCTTGCCCCTATCCATCAAGCTCTACAATATCACCATCCATGATGGCTGGCGTGACAACCCTCCCAGAACCCATCAACATGTCGAAAGGGATGGCTATTCATGCCGAAGGCATCCATGTGGAGAAGGTGCCAGAGCATGAACAGCTCGTCGACAGGTTGAACAACCTCGATCCGCCAGTGACGCCAGAGGAGGAGCGACGTGTAAGAAGGAAGATTGACCTTCGTCTACCACCATTTCTTTTGGTCTTGTACATCTTCACCTGGCTGGACAGAGGCGCCCTCGGTGAGTTTGCACGACCTCGATTGCAAGACCGAAAAGCTAAATCGTCAATCGAGGAAACGCCGCGTTGATGGATATCAAGACCGACCTCAACATCTCCGGAGCTCAATTCAGTCTTGCGGTGAGCATGTTCTTCGTAGGGACATGCGTGGCCGACCTCTTCACCAACATCGGCATGAGATATATCCGTCCGAGTCTCTACCTCGCAGGTGCAATGGTAGGTCTTGGTCCAAGAACCATCCGCGATGTGACAGCTCTTGACCGGATGGCAGGTCATTTGGGGCATCGTGGCAACGCTTCAAGCAGTCGCAGGGGGACCAGGAGGCATGTTTGCGATTAGATTCTTCCTTGGTATCTTCGAAGCGGCTTTCATTTCGGGTGCTCCATACTTGACGACGGTGGTATGTTGTTTAACCCGTGCTCGAATGAAATCCTTACTGATAGTCGCGGTCAGATGTATCCTCGAGCTGAGTGGGGAAAGCGTATCTGTGTCTACCTGTCTGCGACACCCATTGCTGGCGCTTTTGGAGGCTGGATCGCGTACGGGGTTGCACATATTAAGAACCCTAACATCGAGAACTGGCAGGTCCTCTTTATTCTGGAGGGTCTGCTCACCATTGCCTTTGGTATCCTCTGCATCTGGGTTCTTCCCGACCGTCCACACAACACCAAATGGCTTACGCCCCGGGAGCGCGACGTGGCCGACTGGCGCATGATGCGCGATGGCAACCGCACACACGGAAAGATCCAGTGGTCTACTGTCCTCAAGCAGCTCATGGACTGGCGTATGTGGATGAACATTGCCATTTACATGTGCCAGGTCGTATCCACGTACACCATTGCAACATTCACCCCTATCATCGTGAACACGATGGGATTCGACAAGGTCAAGGCCCAACTCATGGTCGCACCACCCTATTGCGTTGCATTCGTGATGGTGTTTGTGGTCGGGTACCTCTCCGACCGCTTCAAGTCATGTTCTGGTTTGCTAGTCATCAACTCGATCGTTGCGGCAATCGGTGACCTGATGCTTGTCCTTCTTCCCCATGAAAACAACCATGCCCGTTATGGAGCCACATTCCTCGTCATTACTGGGATCCTTTCTGGGGTGACTCTGTCAGTCGGCAACATCACGGGCAACTGCTGTGGGGACATCAAGAAAGGAATCGCAACAGGATTGTTCCAAGCTTTCGGATCAACAATGGGTGTAGCGACCGGCTATCTTTTCCCAGCAAGAGATGCTCCGGAGTATAAGATGGGCTTTTGGGTCCTGTTTGCGTGCACGTGCTTCACAGGTACGGGTTCTGCGGTCATGACGTTCATCAATATCCGCGAGAACAAGAGGAGAGATGCGGCGACTGGGCCTCCTCCAACCGACCGTGTGATTAACTTCGACGAGGATGGTTTGATGGAGAAACATCCTCACTGGAGATACTACAGATGAGCACGTTGCAGGGACAATAGGAAAGCTCCAGGATATGCCGTAAGCTGGTTGGAAACCGCGCATACTGCTTTGGAGCCATTTTGTCGCACTGTGAGAGAAAGAACAAGAGGCTGCAAAGCAGTGAGAGAAGGACCAAGGAAGGAATGCTGCCTATGTCCGCCAGCAGCATACAGCATGGAGATAATGTCCTTGTTAGAAGAAGCGAAGTGAATTGAATCTCAACATCTCCCGCTTCACGTGGATTAAAGTGCGGCCGAAGTTTAGCCATTACGGTGACGCATAGCCAACTTTTTCCATATAGACGCGACAATGGACGGCCGTATGCGCAACCGAGTCCTCTTCAAGGTTCCCTCTTCTCGTCGTAGCGAGAGACTCCAGTCAAAGTCTGAGCCGAAAGCTGCGCGCATGCCTCCGGAGGCAGAGAAGGCCGGCATGGACGAGACTTCTGGCCGCGGACATCGTGAGAAGAAGCCGAGTGAAAAGGTCAAGGAGCAAGTCTCCGGCAAGATTGACAAGAGCGAAGATGAGAAGCTGGTGGTGCTTCCTACCTACATTGCTCCCAATGACCCCAAGTTCCTGCAGGATCAAAAGGAGATCCCGAAGTTCTTGGACCACACCAAGATCTGCCCAAATGGCGACAAGATTGACTTTTGCACACTAGGCACACAGTAAGCGACCGCCTTCCCCTCAGACATGTACAGTGGCTAATATGTGGATAATGTAGCGTCGAGAGCAAGGAGAAGCGGTACTACATCCGCGCAAAACGAGATCCAGAAACATTCTATTTCCACACCGACGAACCTCCCCCACATTACGCCCGCCTGAGCGACGAGAATCATCCCCAATGTGGCGTCGAGAACCTGAAGAATGTATTCACCAGGGATATGCTGGGCAAGAGCGGGGAGTACGGCAGCTACACCACAAGAGCCAACGTGTTTGCGAGAGAAGGCCAGTTCTTCTTCGAGGCCAAGGTCATCAGCATCGCCCCGCCTGGTAGAGAAGACCCAAACCGCGCACTTGCCGAGACACAGACTCCTGATAGAACTGCAACCAATCGAGGCGGCCTGAGAGTCGGGCTCTGTCGGCGCGAACACCATTGGAGCGAGAACATGGGAACCAATGCGTACTCATACGCTGTCGTCTTGAGAAGTGGCAGAGCAAAAGAATATGGGAGCGTTCGTTTTAACACCGGCATGCACCACATGCAGGGAGAAGGCGGGCAGGACTTTGATGACCTGTCGCCTGGTGATGTTGTTGGTCTCATGATCACTTTGCCGCCCCTTGAGGTGCACAAGAAGGTGGTGGATGGCACATTTAATCCAGCAGAGTATCCTGAGCTCAAGTGCGGTCCGGCCGTTATCAAGAAGAAGCAGGGTGCCGGGAAGAAAACTGCTAAGAGCGGCCTCAAGCCCAAGGACGGTGCCGACGGTGCTAAGACCAAAGATGACACCGTCAAGAAGGCCACCAATGCTCGCGCAGAGACTCGCGCCACGCTTGCGGCAGCGCATGGGTGCAATATTCCTTCCGATCACGACATCATTCGCGACCGTAATCCGTTCCTGCACAAGGGGATGACCTACTTCGAATGTCCAGAATACACTCCGAATCCCGATTTGAGTCGCCCAACCCTGAACGCAAAGAACAAGTCCATCAACCCCGAGACGGGCAAGAGATATGACCTCCTGACCGAACCTCATCCCAACCACGAACTTCCTCATCTGCGAACCCTCCCTGGCAGCAAGATCGAACTGTGGGTCAATGGCAAATATCATGGTGTCATTTGGGAACATCTTTTCGCCTTCTTGCCGCCCGCATCTTACATTGACAAAGGCAGCCGAGTCGCGGTTGCAGGTCAGAGCGACGTTGATGACGGCCTGCTTGGCTACTATCCGGCGATTAGTCACTATACTGGCGGTGCCATTGAATGCAAATTCGATGGGCCATGGTGGTGTGGCTACGACAAAGACGGTCCATCACATCCAGCTGCCCGTGCCTTTGGTGACCGCTACAAGGAGCAAATTGTCGAAGACATGGTGAGCGACCTGGTTGATGAGATTTATCAAGAAAAGCTGCACGGTGATTCCGAGTGGATGAAGAAGCGCGTGTTGAATGCACCAGTGAATCTCCAGCACAGCTGAGTCAGGGTGGTGCGATCTTTCTTGGAGTTCTTGGACACGGTTGCTTCACGGTGGCGTTATGCATAGCAAGGTGTGACAGGAGTTTGGAGCATGTGGCGACAGACACTTCCAGATGGGGCTGGGTATGGAATTCGCATGGTCCCGAAATGAAAAGCAAATCTCGGGCAGGTGTTGTGCACATCGGACACGAACGATTAGGTTGCTGGTCATGGTTGGAAAAGTCGAATTACAGAGATACCCCATTTCCGCATCTGCTGTGAGGTAGAGGTGAGAAATAGCAACAACATAACATAGTTCATTGGAAACCCATGCGAGGTCGTCTTGATTCGCAGAAGAACGCCGTAGCCTAAAGTTGTATGCAAGGCGTGAGATTATCGAGTGTATACGGGCAGCGAATCTCTGCATGTCAGCAACTCTGGTCGATGCGGCCTATTGTGCTCTGACGAGTTTGTAAGTGATATTGCCCGATGAGACGGACCCCGACCAGTGACAATCCGGCCGGATTATGTGGGGAGAGCGAGACAATCCGAAATGTTGGCCATGGACATATCAATTCTATCTGCTCCGCATGGAGGACTCGTGGAAAAGGAAACTTGCCAGGCATAACGGAGTAGATGCCGTCTACCTGTGTTGGTGGTGGAGAAGGTCCCCTGAATCGCGTACCACAGTAGAGCACAGGTGTACGTCTCCTGAAGTGATTGCTGCCGCAGAGAGGCAGCAGGACCTGAGATTCGTCACACAAGCGGTGGGACAAGGAGTTGAAGCTGACGAGTCTGAGGCTGAGAAGCCGAGCTGAGTGTGGAGGAATGCGAGGGCTGAGGCAAGGATGAATGAATAGGGTGATTGCGACCGCCTGCATCTCGGTTTCAAGAACCGTGGTCTTACTGGCGAGTAAGAATAGGATCAGCACGGTGATTCGTTGTGACCCCTATGCGAGCCCCAGCCCATCCCTTACGCCCCTGCATCGCACTGCCAGTGGCATCCGAATTCTTGACACCTTGTCCTTTATTTATTGCGCTGCCTGCTCTCACACGCAAGCACATTCACAATTTCATCACCCAGAAACAGCCTTCACGCATTTGCTTTCGTCCCTCTTCACTTTTGATGGTTCTGTCCAATTTGTACTCTGACCCATGGGGGCCTGTGTCACCATGAACCCGCCGTGAGGACAGGTGGTCTCTTTTGGCCAGCACATCAAAAACACCTCATAATCCACATTCCAACTTGACACCTCCCCTCTTCCGTGCGCCACATCATTCGCTCGGGCAAATCGTCCATCACAACACCATGGCTGGCCCATCAGACATTGTCGACCCTTCCACCCTCAGCATAGCTGGTTACAGCCAGACCTACCCAACGACACCACCTATGTCAGATGATGGCCGAGAGGCCAGCCAACCAGCCTCTGAACAGCCGGCGAAGAAGAAGAGGAAAGCCTGGGGTCAACCTGTTCCAGAGATCAAACAGATCCTTCCTCCTCGAAAACGAGCCAAGACAGCAGAGGAGAAGGAACAGAGAAAGAATGAAAGAATTCTAAGAAACCGTAGGGCAGCAGACAAGTCTCGACAACGCCAAAAAGCTGCTGTTGCTGAGCTCGAGGTTCGGCAGATCCGGATAGAAAGAGAAAACGCCGCGCTCCGAGAACTGCTTGACCGTTATCAGTCGAGGTTCGGTGTTCAAGCAGACTTCCCCGTACCTCTTCCCACCGAACCTCCCCTAGTAGATCTCGACTCAGAACCATCTCCTTCAGATCTCCCGTCCAACTCCACACCAACGCCCTTCACTCCCTCTTCGTTCAACGACGGAACTGAAGTTGAGGCAGTCCAGCCTGTCCTTGTTCAGTCTGAACAACCGACACCGGTGAAGAATGAATCACCGGTTCTTGCACCTCAACTCAACCTCATCCACGAACATCCCGAAGCAGAGCAGACAAACTCACAGTCGATGCCGTCGCTCGCTGGCTTCCCCAATGTCTCCGGTATGACACAATATCCTGCTGTGGTATTGTGTGACCTGCAGTGTCAGCCGGAGACTTGGGCTATCAGCCTGCCAGCGTTCCCTTCGACCACCAAGACCAATCTTGGGATCAGCTACCTGCTCCAGGTCTTCCAGACTTTGACGATATTTCACTCCTTCTCGACGACAACGCTCTTACCAATGTGTCAGCTCTTCCAGATTTTGGCGCAGCGATTGTCAATGACCTCGACGGAGCAGGATTTCTCCTCCATCCTGACCAACTTCCCACTAATTCATTCTTTGATTTCGATGCCTTCGACACCGACCAGACCGGCGGTCTTCCGTACGAAGCTTCTGAGCCGACTACTAGCTTGCAGCCCACACATGGCGCGTCTCTTACTGACTGCGACAGACCGGGCTTTGCAGCAAGTGGTTAGCGAGGAGGGCTTCGCGGTAGACCCCGATCGTCGGTGGACATGGTCGAGTCTAATGACGATCAAGTGGGTCATTTTACGGTTGGAGAAAGAACATCGAAAAATTCGACGTCAAGTGTGGGAGAGGGGAGCACACGATCAGACTGGCGTTCCGGAATTGAGGGTCATGGCTGGCGTGGATTTTGGAGCCGTTGCCAGAAGTTCGTCGCTTTGGCAGGGAAATTGTATCACTAGCCACGGGGAACACGACAACAGCTGGGTATCAGCACAGGAGGTCCACTGAGATTGATAATGAAGCCAGATATTCCGTAGATGAGACAAGATCAACCAAAAGCGTTCAATCCAATCTACTCCGTACTCGTAATCTGTGAATCGCCTTGTGAGCTTCCCAGGTCTCGTCTCGTGATATCCGCTTGCTTTGAGAGTATCACGTGCATATTGCCCAAGCCTGCTAGTGCTTCGCCGTAAATAGTCCTTGGTGAAAATACGGTCGCGTCGCATTTTGGGAAGTGAGGAACGCGAACACAGCGGCCATCGAGACGTGCAACCCGCGGCACTACAAAAGTTGACGAGGGGTGATACGCAGTAGCCGTGCCTGCACGACGCACCGATGCCTCCCTTCAAGGATGAGCATGTGCTCGTAAGCCTTTTTTCACGCCCCGCGCATCAGCCTAGCCACCTTCACTAACACTTTCACTCAGATCATTGCACCCGGGTCGCAGATGACCGCAGCCCAACTCGGACTACCAGAGTCATTTACACCTCCAAGATATCGCTTCCCCACGCGCATGTTCCCGGGCACCAACTCTGGGGAATGGGAACCAGTCAAGATCCGGTCGAAGATTACAACCAAGCCGAAAGTGGTTGAAGCCATCCCTAAGATTGAGCCCGTCGAACCAGTACCGACTGAAGTCGACTCGAAGCCCAAAGTCCCGACGGATGGAGAGTCGCAGAAGCTCGAGCCAAGGGCCGACCAGGCAAACGGAGACCAGCCCAGGGTCGAGCAAGCCAAAGCGGAAGAACTACCAAAGATTGAACAGCCGAACGGCGACCAACCGAAAACCGACCACCACCAGGATGCCGACAAGTCTAGCGGCGAAAATTCGAATGGCGATCCGGTCGCTGGGGCAGATGTCGAGATGAAGGAAGCGCCTCCTGCTGAGGAAGGTCCAGGACCAGAAGCACAAGACACAGAGATGGAACCAATTCCTATAGAACAATCGCAGACCCAACCAGAACCTGCTCAAGAAGACCCGCTTGCTACCACCAGTATCGAAGACGACACCGCCGAGTCATTCGAAGATGACCACTGGTCCACGGAAGGTGCAGTTTACCCCATAGTGGCAGGCCGCATAGAAAACTGGTCCTGCTTCTTCGCCCTTCTCAGCCACATCTACAACATGATCTCCCCTCCATTCCACATGCCGGTATTGTTCGTCGCGCAACCGTGTTGGTCAGCCCGCGATCACGAAATGATTACCCAATATGTCTTTGAGAACTGGAAGATCCCCGCATTCTGTCTCATGGATTCGGCCTTGACAGCTTGTTACGCGTATGGAGTGCCCACAGCGCTGGTAGTGGATGTCGGCCATGAGAAATGCGACGTTAGTGCTGTCACGGAATTCCAGGTCAATGATATCGGACGCGGCACGGCTCTCGCCGAATGTGGGGGGCGATCTATGACTAGGCGGCTACTAGAGGCGCTGGAAAAGCAAGGATTTGACGAGGACATGGCCGAGCAGCTAAAGAAGAGTCCGATTTGCGAAATTCTATCCCCGGGTACACCTTATCCGCAAGCTACACCGAATGGCAAGCCTGCTCCTGCTGTTAACCCAGCTGCCGCGGCTTCTACCGGAGCATTGGATTCTGGAGCCGGCGCGAAAGATGGGGAGGGACTGAGACCCGGACAGGCGCCTCGAGGACCTGGCGTTGGCACGACCGTTGGTGAAGAAGGCGCTAACGGAGAAGATGAGAATGATGAAGGCGTCCTCGACGTTGCGGCCATCGTGGCGCGCGACAATGCCGCAGAAGTGCTTGCCAAGCGTGAACGGGAGAAGGCCGAGAAGGCAGCAGCAAAGAAAGGCTCGGCTGCCGAAGGACCCAGACCTATTCGGCTGCGAAACTCCGAAAGAGAGCGAGCCACCTTCACCTATGTCGACTACATCCCCCTTGATGAAGAATCTGCGACCGAGCAACCGTTGAGCCGCAAACGCAAGAGAGAGGTTGAAGTTGGGGTGGAGCGATTTATGGCGACAAATCCTCCGCCTGGCACGTGCGACGGTATTATCGATATCATTGCGGAAGCGATCCACCATGCTATATTAAGCGTGCCTGACGTCCCTCAGCGGTCAAATCTTTGGGACAATCTGATCGTCCTGGGCAATGGAAGCCGAGTCAGAGGTACCACACATTCCCTTCCCCTGTCTCATGCTACCAGCGGCTGCTAAATGATTCTCCAGGCTTCACACCCGCACTATTAGCTGCCCTCAACTCGCGCTACATCCTCTCACCTTCCACCGCCACAATTTTCACCTCCGAACTTCCCTCCAACTTTAGTACTCCCGTCGCCACCCCCGGCACAAACACCCCCGTCCCAGGCCAAGGGAACCACCCTCTCCATCACCCAGCTGGCCACGGCGTCAATCCACTACTAGTAGCCGCCACGAAGAACATGATGCAACCCAACCCACAACACTTGGCCGTGCCCGGCACGTCGACCGGCATCGGCACACCCGCCTCCCTAGACCCCAATCACCCCTTGTCTTCGCACCACTACCGCGGGCACAGCCAATCCCCGACGAGTATAAAAACCGTCAAGCCGCCCGAGTACTTTCCTGAGTGGAAGAACCCGGCCGTAGCAGGCATGGAAGAGGCGAGTTTTCTGGGCGCCCAGGTGGCGGCGAAGGTCATGTTTATCGTGGATCAGGGCAACAGTAAAGGCTTTTTGAGTCGAAGCGAGTATAACGAGTTGGGCCCGAGTGGGATTCATGAGTGTGCCATGTAGGATTGTATTCTGTCGTTCAATCGGGTCCTTGGGATTTACGCTTGACGGGGCTGGTTTGGGATGGAAGGCTTGGAAACTGCATCTAGATCCAGTTTTTGTTCCGGGTACTGTAGAAACAGCAGGGCAAGGCAGGCAATGTGCAAGGCAAGTCAAAACATCAAGAGAGAAGTTCCTGGAGGTTTCGGGAGGGTGCTGAGCTGGGGCGTCCGTGTATTGTACCCTCTGCGACTCTACCTGCCCGAGGCAAGCAAGGTCAGCATTGTGCCGTTGGGCATAAATCAGAATTACTGACAAATCAATGTCCGAAGGTCTACCTCGCCACAATCCTATCCATTTCACTCAGTATCTATTAGCACTTGGATACAGGCATGATTGCCGGGTCGAATTACTTAGTGCCTGAATGACGGAGCCGAAAAGAATTGTAGTTTACAAAGGTTATTCATCGTCAACCTATGCCTAGCCACGCTCTCATGAAGGAGTAGGCAGCAAGCAGGTCTCCCACCGGTCCAGTATCCCCCGCTGACCCTACGAAACTCAAGAACCACCCTTCTACCATCCACCTTGCAAGAAAACCCGAGATTGCCAACGCAGTCGCTACGACATAGCCACAGTCGAGAAGAATCAACAGCGCCTCGATATTGTTGAGGAGCACGGCCCAGCCCACATAGTTCGTCGCCCGAAACGCAAACCCAAATGAGTCACCCTCATTCGCCTCTGTCGGCCATATGACCAGCAGGATAGGGAACAGCTTGGTACAGCTCGAGACGAGCAAGGCGGTGCTGATGGCGCTAGGGTTCGCATGGCTCGCCGCAGTCGTAGTGGATGCTGGGGTTGGCGGCGGCGCGCCCTCATGGACATGGCCCTGACTCTGCGTGGGCTGGTTAGACGACAGGATTCTCGTCAACAGGCGGATGATTCCATGCTGCGCGCACGTCGCCAGGACATTCATCGTCAGGAAGAAGAGATATTGTGCCAGGATCGGCATCTCGCTGAGGCGTGAGTCGTCGACCCGGCCACCGCTCCCGGCGTTGGACTGCTCGACGCGCGCCCAGGTGATGTACACGTCAAACAGGACCAGTAGGGTGCCGAGTCTCAGGATGCTCGGGTCGAATTTGTCGTCGGAGCGTCCGAGCCGGTTGAACAGGAGGTGGCGGTACACCTTTTCTTGCAATTAGTCCTGTTCCTGTCCCTAGAAAGGTGGTGGAGACCTACTTGGGGTTTGATCAAGACCAGGTCGATGAACAAGACGACAAAGTCGTGCTCGACGTACTTGTCGGCAAAGCGTTTGCAGTTGGGACATTGGGTGAGACGGACCCCCTTTCCGAGTGTTCGGTCGTCGGCTTTGCTGTATATGGTGTACAGCTCCTTTACGGGCGTGCTGCATGTGATGCATATCGGCATGCCTGCCTCGATGTGGCTCTATCTCATCCGACGGTGTGATGCGAAGAGAGGGACATGGAGAGAGGACGGCGGAGACGAGTACACAGTATGTGACAAGCGGAGTGAGTGATGGTTAAGTACGCTCGGCCAATCAGCGAGGAGTTCTTCAGGGCCCCGTGGGAGGAAGCTTTGCCGGCCGCACCATCCGTTCTCTCGCTTTCAGCTGCTTGTCTTCTTCATGCGTTCTCCCATCGCGATCTCTGGTTTTCGGAATAGGCTCTTGAACGAGATTAAACTATTCTGCCTCGCGAGGCTGTATTGAATCACGACTGAAAGCTAAGCTCGTCGCTGGAGATCAATCAACATGCAGCGCTTCAAGTCTTGTCGTTCTTCGACGAATGCTCCGTTCTGGGCTTAGTCTCGGCCTCAGCAAAGCAACGCGAAATCGACCATGCTGTTTTAGGCTCTATTCGCGAAATGCCTCGCGGTCAAGACTCCATGCGATGAGGCTGTGATTTGGTCCTGGCGACAAAACAAGGTATCGTGTTGCCTTTCGTATTCTGGCTGGGGCTTCGAAAAGAGGGAGATGAGCAGGTAGGACAGCTATATCATGTCTCGTCCCCGTCGTCCTGTCGTGTACTTCATGCCTTTACTCCCACTCGTTGTCTTTTACATCCCATTACTCTCTCAAGACTGCTCGTAACTGCCCGCAACTCACAATGATCATCTATACATATCGCAAAATCAGAGCATACCGTGCGCGCGAGGCTGCCGAAGCCAAGGAGCAAGCACAGGTACAAGCAGGACCAACCTGCGGTTCAGATACGCCGACTACCACACGGGATACCCAGGTCCCACCAAAGGCTCCGAAAGCGCAGCCATGTCCACAGTGCGCACAGGAGAAGACCAAGGCTCGAAAATACCGGTGGAAGCTCCTTCTCTGCCTGACCCCTGCGTTCTTCGTCGCCAGCCTCGACTTGACCATCGTGGCAACAGCCCTGCCGCAGATCGCCTCCCACTTCGACAAGTTCAACCAGCTCAATTGGATCGTCACTGCATTTACCCTGACGTCCACGGCCTTCATACCAGTCTTCGGTCAGCTGGCTGATACCTTCGGCCGCCATGCCGCCCTCCAGTTCTCTGTGGTGCTTCTGGCCATTGGAAGTGTGCTCTGCGCAGCTGCACCCGACTGGGCTGTCCTGTTGCTTGGAAGGGCGCTGCAAGGAATTGGAACCGCGGGCATTTCCAACGTCGTGATGATCATCCTGGCCGACTTGGTCTCGCTCAGGGAGCAGGCCGTCAACACCAGTATCTTCCAGCTGCTGAACGGCATCGGGTACAGTAAGTTTTTATCTTCTCCGTGAGTTGAACACCACTTCTGACGTGGCAATTCTGCAGGCGTCGGTCCCGTCATTGGCGGCTACCTAACCAACTCGAACTGGCGGTACTGCTTCGTGCTCTGCGCGGGCGTGTCCGTCGTGAGCATCGTCGGCATTTTCCTCCTCCGCAACGACCTCAAGCCCGGCAGGGTCTCCATGTCTCGTCCACTGGCGGGCCAATCCCATCTCCAAGCACTAGCGTCGGGCCTCTCCACGCTCGACTATGGCGGAATCTGCCTCTTCATTCTGGGTGTTGGGCTCCTCATCCTCGGCACCGCCTGGGGCGGCTCGACCTACCCGTGGTCGTCAGGCGCAGTGCTCTCGTCCTTGATCCTGGGTGGCATTCTCTTCATTCTGTTTCTCGTCTATGAAATGCTCCTCTCCAACGAGGCCAAGTTCCTGGTGAGCTTTCCCCCGCGCGGCACAGCGCCGATGATCCCCTCCTCAATCCTCCACTCCAAGGACGTCAGCCTCGTCTGCGCGATCGCCTTCTCCACAGGTGCTGCGATCTACAGCGTCTTCTACTTCATCGGCATCTACTTCACGCTCGTGGAAGCCTTTGACGCCTCCGCCGCGGGCACCCAACTGCTGTACTACGTCCCCGGCATCGGCGCGGGCGTTTATCTAGCCATCTTCATCTGCAACGTGCACCCGCGCCAGACATTTTTGCCCTTACTGCTCGGCACCGTCGTCGAGACCGCGGGGATCGCGGCCCTCGCGTACGCAGTGCAAGCCCGCAACGAAACGCTCGTCAACGTCATGATGGCCCTCGCCGGCGCGGGGACGGGCATGCGCTTCATGCCCTCCAACCTGCACCTGGCCGGCATGTTCCGCGACAGGCTCGCGCCCGTGTTTTCCGTCCTCCGCTTCGCCATGCCCTTTGGCGGCACCCTGGCGCTCACGATCATGGGCTCGGTCTTCCAGAACCAGATGAGCGAGTATTTCGGCGCCGACGCGGTTGGTGTCACAAATGGAACGTCAGGCGCGACCACATTCAACCTGCACACCCAAGCCTCGCTGGACTTGATTAACGAGTTACCTTCGGAGATACAGGAGGCCATCCGCGCGCAAGGCGCCACCGCGACCATGTGGGCTTTCATTTCTATCCTGCCGATCTCGGCGCTCAGTCTGCTGGCGAGTTTGTTCCTGGGGAACGTGTGGATTAGCGGGACGAAAAAGGAGACGAAGATGAACGAGCGCCACATTGAAAATGAAGAGCAAGAGCGTGCCGAGGAGGCAGAAGAGACCAGAGAAAGGGAGCATGGGCTGTGTAGGAGGCATGCTACACAGGGGACAGAGGGTACTGCAGAAGCAACCGCGGCGGCTGAAGAGCAGAGAAATGAAGTCGAGTTCGTGAGCGAGGTGTACCTTCTCGCCATGGTGAGAGGGGACGTGAAGAGGTTGAAGAGGAGAGGCATTGCTGAGACGAAGGTGCCCGTAGGTCAGGATTACAGCGGAGAAGAGACACGGCTGCGACCCAGGTTGGACGAGGCTGGGACCCCAGTTCTCGAGAGCAAGTAGTCTCCTCATTGTTGGAAGAACTCATTCAAGATAGATTTGCATATGAGCAACGACGAGGTCTATATGATGGAAAGGTGCTCGACTCGCAGTTTCTCGTATCGTTCATTCATTCTATCTAATCGGCAATCTTTTTCCCGTCTGCCCAAGTGGGCTTCACCGTTCGACAGACCCCTTCATAATCAAGAAAGGTTTGACTTTTGTTCCCCTCGCTGACCAGAATGCCAGGGGTGGTCCAGAACATGGTCCAGTTCGTGCCTGGGATCTTCCAAGTCCCTCTCGATCGCTCAAAATACCATTTGTTTACAGGGTTGTCTTTCCGACTCCGCCAGCAGACACCGTTGGGAAAACACCCTCGCACCATTGCGTTGAACAGAATGTCCGCCACGCCGCCCGCTCCCTGAGCTTTCTTCAGGACGGCGAATTTGTCGAGGTACGGAACGAGTCGGTCGGTGTCGCTGTCCGAGCACCCGGGAGGCGTTTCCCAGGTCAGGATTGCGCCGCCTTCATATTCTCCTGCGATTATGACACCAGCGATACGGTCATTGACCCGTTTTAGATAGGCCTCGACGTCGAGTTTCCTGTTGAAAGAGTCGTCGATGAGGTACGTGAGTCGGTCCAGGTCAATCCTCGGATCAGTCAATTGCAATCGAGGCTTGGACGTCGCCGTCCAGGTCTGCGCTTCTGGGTTGGGTAACATAGTCACCGGCATGCCTCGCTTCACGAAGGTCGACGTGATCAAAGGGATTGCCGACGCGTCTTGTCCCAACCTGCCTGCCGGAAGAGAGGAAGAATATGCCGGCTTGTCGGTTAAGAGATTGTGGATTAGAGGATTCTTTTGTCTTCGCGTGCCAACACTGGAGACTCCATCGTCAGCCAACCTTGCTGAATTTGCAGCTTCGAGTGGGGTTGTCAGCAGTGCCGAGGACGAAGCTGGGAGCAGCCTCAGCGCCTCTTTGAACAATTTCAGGTTCGAGGCATGTTTCTGTGACACAGCATCGTCTGTTGAACTTCGTAGCTCCTCCTGCAAGGCCGAGTATTCTTGCTCCAAGTTGACGAAGACGTGTCGTTTGTCAAGAGCCTTTGTGCTCGGAATTGGACCAATCTCGTCCACGACGATGATTCTGTCCAAAGAAATGTTCCTATATCCGTGTTGCTCACCCACCTGGGTTTTTACCGGGACGCCTGCGAGCTCCCTCGTCAATGCTAGGGCTGCTTCATCAGCGCTGATTGAGACAGCCCGTGATAGCTCGGCTGAGTAAGCAATAGGCAATATGATGGGTATCCGGCGTCGTCTCAACGGACGAGTCAACAGTTTTCGAAGAAAGACTTGAGGACGACCATCCGGACCAAAACTCAGCACGTTGTCCAGGACTCTGGCTCCAGACTCGTGTAAGGAGTCAATTGCACTAGCGAGTCTGTTTGCGGCCAGGGTCAGTTGCTGGCGGCTCGCCTGTGGATCGTTCTGTAGAGGCTCCTCTAAGACAACGCAAGGTGCCATGCTCAATCGGGAGAGAGAAGATAGGGTCTGAGCGATCCCCATTATCAGGTCGTCGGCCATGGTAGAGACATTGCTGACCTTGATTAGTGCAACGTGTAGAAGTTCTTGCTCGTCGATTGCTTGCTCCTGCTCATGCTCGTTCGCATGTTGGGTGAAGACTGGGCTTGCTTCTGATGCTCGGGTACGACCCAACAGTTCTCCCGCTTCTATCTGAGGAATGGAATCCCGTGCGGCTGGCGTCTGCTCTCCGTTCGGCTTAGCCGGGTTCTTCAGGCGGGAGATATATGCCTTTGCATCTCTTTTTGTAACAGCGGAACTTAACAGATTTGTGAAGAACTCTCTGTTTGCCAGACGCTGTCTAGCCCTCTCGCTAAAAGAGCTCCTCTTGTCTTGCTCTAAGGCTCCCCGGTTCTCGCATGATGGGTTGTCCTCAGTGCGTTGCGTGGGTTGAGTAGAGTAAAGCCGAGGACGACAACGGGCAGGGTGGGACAGGAGGTATGCCCGTAAGGTCTCAGCGGCAACATTGGTGGTAGGCAAGCAGTGGGTGCGACCATATGTCATTGCTGTCTGGCTCATGCCTCGGTGGACAAGGATAAAGAGCCCAAGGCGGCAGAAGATATACCAAAAGGAGATCTAAAGAACAGCACACCTACAGTCAAGAGGTTCAGGCCCTCAGCGAATTTGAGTCACGCAGCCCTCATCGTCCTGCGAAGAGGAAAAAATTTGTGACGCACCTGCACACAAGCGAAGAGAAGGAACTGCAACCCACCAACGCAGCTTCACCGCCCGCAAACCTGGGGTCATCATTGGCGCTTATCGGAGGCACTATCATTCCCCCTTGGCAGGGACATAGGCGGCGCCACCAGTGCCCAGCCTGGTCTCGGGAGGGGCACTCTCTCCAATTTGCAGTAATTTTGGTCGGTGATTGTTTATCAGTCAAGGAGTGAAGTCCAGGCTCACGCGTCGCTCTTCTGAACGCAACACCTGGTCGTCCCTTGCGCGTTCACCAAATGCTGATAGCTGAACAATTGAAACTGGAACCCAACGACCCGGGTGTCCCCGGGACTGGTGAAAGTCCAGTCCAGTGTCCGTACGAATGTACAGACGCGTTGATATGGGATTTTGTCAGCTTCGGAATCTCCCCGCAATGTCGAAAGTACGACGAACCAAACGTCATGATGGGACACGGAGAGGAACAGATCAGGCTTGCTTCTTTGTACGATCACCTTCAATGACTATAAGAATATCAATGCTTGCAACGGCTCAATAGAGTCTCAGAGAGCACCGACAGAAGTCTACTGGCAACCTACGTCTCTCATACTCTTACCACGCCTCATTTTGAATTTCTCCTAGACGGACTCTGCAAAGATGGCACCTCAGTTGGCCTGGCTGGGTCTGGGAAACATGGGTAGGGTGAGTACTTCTCCCAGGACGCAAAGTCGAGCTGTGCTAACCACTGCTCAAGGGTATGTCGAAGAACATCGTAGAAAAGGGCAACCTCGACAAGCCTCTGATCCTCTACAACCGAACCATCCAAAAAGCCCACGACTTCTCGGCCCAAGTCGGCAACTCAACAGTTGCTTCCTCTCTCCAGGAAGCCGTCTCGAAGGCAGACATTATATTCTACTGCCTGGGCGAAGACCCGTCAGTGCTCGAGACACTCGAAGAGATCCTCAAGGTGGATGTCAAGGGAAAGATCATCGTGGACTGCAGCACCGTTCACCCAGACACGACGGCAAAGGAAGCCAAACTGGTTGAAGACAAAGGTGGCGACTTTGTCGCATGCCCTGTATTCGGTGCCCCGGCCATGGCGGACGCAGGTCAACTGATCTGCGTCATCGCGGGCAAGACCGAAGCAGTGCAGAAAGTGTTACCGTACTGCAAAGGTGTGATGGGCCGAGCGAACATTGACTTCTCGGGGCAAGAACCGAGCAAGGCCACTCTGCTCAAGGTGATCGGCAACACGTTCATTGTAGGTATGGTCACGGCACTTTCGGAGGGCCACGTCGTGGCAGAGAAATCTGGCCTGGGCGTTGAGGAACTGCACAAATTCATTGAAGTCATGTTCCCTGGCCCCTACACCGCTTACTCGACCCGATTAAAGACGGGAGATTACTACAATCGCCCGGAACCTCTGTTCGCCGTTGACCTGGCACGAAAAGATGCCAGACATGCAATGAACTTGGCCGAGACGAGTGGTTGCCGGATGAGGCAGGTTGAACTGGCGGATTCGTACTTGAAGACCGTGAAGGAGCAGAAGGGCGAGAAGGGTGATATTGCCGGCATCTACGGCGCCGTGAGGATGCAGGGCGGTTTGCCCTTTGATAACCAATGAGCGGGACCCTACAAGCAGTAAGCGAGAGCCTGCAACCCATAAGCTCTCGAGCAGGGCTGACATTCAGTGAAGCAATGCACTAAATAACAGGCAAGGCATCCTAGTCCGGCAGAAAGTCCATAGCACAGAACAAGAATGTGGAGTGCCACAGTGGCGAGGTTGTTTCCTGCAGAGAACGAACGGCTACAGTACAGTATTTGCGACGGGATCTGATCCACCCATTTGTGAGATTGCCCTCCCTGCTTCATACCATGCTGCTTTCCTCACTGAACACTACATAGTCATCTTCTCCGCTAAAGTGATTCTCTGTCATGGTAGTGCACCGCACTCAACCCAGTCAAATGACCTGTCATAGTACATAGTGAACAGTAAGCAACCAGCAGATACAGTCTGTAGCTACTGTAGCAAGCCAATCTTGAAGCAGAAGAACTGGAGACCCGCTACATACTGTAGCTTGTACCTCGTACTTAGGCCAACGAATGTAGATTCGCACAAATGAATGCTTCACTCTCTTAATGGTAATTATATGAATGCTTCAGTCTCTCAATGGTAATTATATGAATGCTTCACTCTCTTAACGGTAATGGTATTGGCTTGGTTGTGGACGGTGATCGACGGCCGTTTAATCCCCGTTTTCCCATCGCAGGGCAGGGCAGGGCAGGGAGAGCACGCAGGGCACCGAGGGACAGGGTACAGTAGTTAGGGGAGTGCAGCAATTAATTAGTGGCTCTACGGCCTGGACGGTGGACGGCAGACTGCATTACATACTGTATGCATGGGTGTATGCAATGCATGGTTCTTCCCTCCCTCCCACTGGCACTCCGGAAGCCGGCAGTCCACGGCCAATTCTGTGAAGAGTCTCGCCTCACCTCACCTCGCATGTCTCTTTTGTTGGTGAGCGCCAGAGAGTGGGGTGGGCAGATGGAACCGTTAGGGTACCTACGTAAAGACCACACTGCGCCCTAGAGTTCTGCCATCTGTGATACTGTAGCGATACAGTATACACTTACTCCGTACAATGATTGGCTATTTGCCCTGGCTCTCGATATCACATTGGAGCACGAGCTACTGTAGGATATCGTATGATGTATCCGTGAGGTGATGTGATGTGCTCTCGCCCTCTATGCCAGGTTGGAATAATTAGGATATGATGTTCCCGCTGGGTGGTATGTACTAGTGTGAGTATGTGATGAGGCGGAATGGGTTATGTGATACTCCGTACGTATGTGATATGTGGTATTGTGATATGTGACGTCCAACGTGACATTTCCATGCGATATATGGTATTGTGATAGTGGTGGTATCCTGATATGGCGCGGACAGAAAGGACGGTTAGCTAGGGGTACGTGTAGAGTTTGGCTCAAAGGTCAGAGTTCATGGTTCAGAACACCACACCACGTTACAGCACATCGCACATCGCACAGCACGACGTAGCACAGCACACCACCACCCTGCACCTCATGACCACTCATCTCACTGTCTGTCTGTCTTTCTCTCTTTCCGGCCGCTCGAGCGCGGTCCACAAATCCAACGTTCCAACAACTCCTTCTGCTCGTCTGCTTGGCCTTTCTGGCCCCCAGAACCAAAACAATGAAAATCGTGCCAGTATTCTTTCAAATGCTACAGAGAAGCAAGAAGCTAAAATGCTTCGTGCTGACTTCCCGTCCCGTCGCTGTCCCCGCCCTCACTCCGCGTCTCGTCCCACTGCTCGTGCGGATCCCACTCGAAGATATCCTGGATGCGGAGCTGCGCCTCACTTTCAGTTTCGACTTCTGCCCCCTCTTCCTGGACGAGTCCATCGTCTCTCCCGCTTCTAGCCGTTAACCCAGCTGCTCGAACAGTGGTTCTATTCCTGCCCCTACTCGCGCTCCTAGTCCGATTCAGACTGGTACTCCTGCTCCTGCTCCTCCGGCTTCTCCTCCTGACAGTCCACTTTCCCATCTCCTTCAAAAGGGTTTCCAGGTCGATTTTTATGCCCTGCGTGTACGCGTGGTTCTTGCCGAGCATTTTGACCCGCCCTTCCAGCACCTGCCAGTACAGCTGCTCCGTCCAGTCGAGCCGACCTTGCTGCTTGTACAGCAGGGCGAGGAGACGCATGCTCTCCAGCCGACGCGGGTGATTCTCGCCCAGCGTGTCCTTGGAGTCGCGGATCGCGTGCTGCAACACGTCGACGGCCTCGTCCAGCCGGTCCTGCCTGTGCAGGGCGCGGTGCAGGTTCGTGAGCGCCGAGATGGACTGCAGGTGACGCGGGCCCAGCACGCGGGCCGACACTTCGTAGACCTCGCGCAGCACGTGCTCGGCGCGCTGCGGCTGGGCCTCTACGTTCAGCATGAACCCGTAGCAGTACAGCGAGGCGATGGCGCGGGGGTCGTCGGCGCCGTGGCGGCGGACGAACGTGTCGTGCAGGGCGCGGAGCGTCGTGCTCGTGATGTCGCGGTGCCGCATCTGCCCATCCGCCACGTAGACCATCCAGCGCGCCATGGTGGTGACGGGGTCCTGGGGCCCTAGTGTGCGCATGGCCACGTGGTACGCTGATGTGATGATCGTCTTGGTCAGGTCGCCCTGGTCGTGCATCTGGAGGATCTGCACCGTCTGGTTGAGCGCAAGGAGGACCTTCGGGTCCTGGCGTGGGGCGAGCATACGTTCGAACTCGGCGTCCGCATCCGCCAGGCTGTGTCGCGATAATGCATGGTTCCCTCGCCGAAGGTAGATGCACGCGGCGAAGCAGCGCGCCACCCACCGCCACGAATGGTCGTGGCCACGGGAACTGGTGGGTAGGGCCATGGCCATCGCGGGCTGGGGCTCGGCGAAGTCATGCGTCACGTTGAGGATATTACGCGCCGGCGCCGGCGCCATCTCTAGATTTGGCAAGCTGATGAAGTGTTCGCGCGTCGACTCGTGGCACGTCGGGCAGATCTGCTCGTAGTCCATGCTGTCGCCGTCGGAGGAGGCGCTACTGGTTCTACTGCTGCTGTCTGTCATCATGAGGGACCAGGCGCGGATGTCGTCGTGGCCGCACAGCGATCGCAGCGGCGGGGCGTCGATGACCTGCAGGGCCATGAACTCGACGTCGCGCCCGAGCCGCCGGCAGGGCATCGTGGGGCTGGATGAGTCGTAGAAGCTGCTCGCATGGCGGACCTGGTCTTCGAACGGCACGGGCGGCTCATGGGTGGCAGAGAAGGTGTAGGATGAGGGCGTGCCTTGGGGTGAAGATACCAAATACCCGCCGCGTGACGAGTGGGGGGAGTTCGGCTGTGGCGGCCACGTGACGTTGCTTTCTTTAGACGCGAACCGACTACCTTGTCCCAGATGATGCTGTTGCTGCTGCGTAGATGGTGTCATCTGAGTGGCAAGCATCAGAGGAAAGGATGGCGAGGCTGTGGCGCGGGGTGATCGGGCCTTCTGTTGCAAGGTGGGCGAACCGTGGTGGATGGTGGTGAACGCGGAAGAAGACGGGAGCGCGGAGATGGACATGGAGGTCGAGGTGGGGGCTGTGGAATGCAAGGCTGATCCTGAGGCGGCCACGGAGTCAGACGCCGTGCCAGTCGGTGAGGATTCGGCCGCACTGATGTTTGCATTGAGGCTGAGATTGATGTTGGCAATGATGTCTGCCGGTCGGACCTTCGCTGGAGCGGACGACGCCGATGGCGTGTCGTCCGCCTCGACCTCGGGCTCGGGAGTGTACGCTCGAACATGGGCGTACTGCTCGGGCTGCTGGTGCTGGTCTCCGCCTTTACAGTCGACATTGGCTAGGGCAGATGCGAGGAAGTCCTCTTCGGTCATCTTCCGGCCCTTGACGTACTTGTGGAGGTCCTTGAGCGAGCGTTTGTGGCCATGTATCATGAAGGCCGTCGACCGCTTACCGCTCTTCTGGCGGTAGTGGTTGAGCACCGAGCATATCTGGTAGTCCTTGTCGGAGTAGTTCTTGCTGATTCCCCACTGCGAAAGCCGGGCTTTATACATGCGCTCACTATCGGCAGGCGACGAGGGGGGTTTCACATTAGCATCACGGCAATTAAGCGTACGTCGTGTGGGAAGCCGGGAAAGGATGAATTAATTGGAATGGCTGGGCTGGGCGGTGCGGCGGCGCCGGCGGCAGCGTGCAGAAGGGCAGACAGACAGGCAGGATCGAAAGTACACTCACGTAGCTCTAAAGCCGTATTTCCTCTCCATAATCTTACGGACATCTCGCAAGGGGTTCTTTTCGTACAGCACGCGGATTTCGTCCTTCACCGCCTGCCATTGAGCGGGAGCGGGGCCCTCGCGCGCCTCGAGCGGCCCAGGAGCGAGCGACGGCGGTGCTTGGGCCGTTGCTGGTGTCGGTGCTGGTGCTGGTGCTGGCGCTGATGCTCGTGCTTGAGCAACATTGCTGGTGTTGACGTTCCATCCATGGGGAAAACTACCCAGGCTCGCGGCCATTGACCCGGTGGTGTTGTTGTGCGCTGCCCAGTGCTCATCACTGCCTGAAACGAGGGAGGTTAGAATTAGAATGCCGAAGCTAAGAGCGAGACGCAGACAGCAGAAAGCTCTTCACATAAGGCTCGCCCTGGCTGCTTGCGCCCGGTCGGTAGGACGGGGAGTCGCAAGAGAAGTCGAGGAGGAGGGGTAGCGCTGGTGGCCCATGAACAAGGCAGGCTGGCTCGACTTCGACTGTCGTGGAACTTCATGAGACATGCATCCCAACGTTACGGTCCCAGTTTTCTGTGCCCGGCGTATGCACTGTCCTTCTGGGGCCCAATCAGGGGGATCTCCGGTGACAGCGGCGTGCTTCTAGCCTGACACGTAGCCGACAGAGTAAGATTGCGGGCAGAACAAAACTCTGAAACCTTGGAAACACATCCGCCCTCAACGGCAGTGGTCACCCCCAGGCTCTAACTCTGACAACGGGGATGGCTCGATCTCTAAAATACTTGTCATGCGTCACCTTGTCACCGTATATCGGGCACGCCCGTCACCGGCCTCGAGCCATTCACGATGGCCCGAATTCTCTGACCGCCGCCTGGAGGGCCTGTCAGTCGGGGGTGCCACCGAACCCCGAACACGAGCCAGCTGCGAATCAGCCCACGGCCGCAAGAGCTGGACAAACTTAATCTCGCAGGCGCGACTGGGTACAACGTCCTTTCCCACATCTATGTCCATCTGAACCCCGGCTGCGATCCGACACTCTTTGGCAACAGAGATGACTGCGTATCTACAGAGTATATACAATCGGTATGCAGGGCCAGGCAGGGGAAGGGGCACAATGTGATATGATGCCATAGCTGCAGCAAGGGTGCGTCTGGTGCCTGTCACCAGCTCGGTAGTACGCCGCCAGGCAACATGTCCTTTTACCGGCGTCTGTGCCTCCCCCGTCATCTACGAGGTAGTACCACCGTCGATCGAGCGTCGGTGACCGCATAGGCGTGCCACTCGACCACTTCATTCGATGCAATCTTCCCAAACCAGCAGTGCAGGCACAAAATGTCAGTCGCGCAAAATTTCCGGACGAAGCCTCCCAAGCCCGTGCGTCTAAACGGATGCTGTGTTGACGATCCGAAGGAGAGTTGAGCCGCAATCTAAAAGGCGCCACATGCAGCAACAGCTGTCAAAAAGGTGTCTTAGCTGGCGATGCTGGTTCGGCCTGCGCTAACAGCCTAGATTCCATACCAGCTCGTCGAGCCGGTCTGGGCTAGCACCTGACGGATGACGAGATGTCCAGGATAAGACAACCAAGGTTTCGACACGGCAAGAAATCGTCAGCCAGCACTTGCTAACAAGAGAACAGCCTCGACGAGTCCGCTGAGTCTTAGCAGCACCTCTCCAAGATCAGGTCGCAAGGTGGTTGTTTGCGTACCGTCGCCCCGAGCCACGCCCACATGCATAAACGCAAGTGCCGTTCTCACCAGGACAACAGCATTCACGCTTGAAGGCGGTCCAGACACCTCGATTCTCCAGATGAGCGAGAATCTCTGTGCTGTGCGCATCAACGAGCAGATCTCCGGCCCGACTGATCATAGCTTGCACCTCGACGCTCTTGCTGTTGGGCACTGTGTGATCGACTTATCGCTGGCTTTTCCGCATCGAATGTGTCAGGGCCGGGCTGCGCCGGAGGTTGCGGTCCTGGGCCTCCCCCACGGCTTGTTATAGCAGACTGATAAGCTGGTGGCGGCTCCGATTCCTGACGTGTTGGGTGCGTATATCCACCACTGCTGTATGTCGCCGCGGGGTATTGCCCTGGCTGTCCGCCTCGGCCCGGCGCAAATGCGGCAGCATTCATCGTGATATTGATGTTGGTGGGTGGGCTTACTGGTTGGGCGTACCCATACGAGCTTGCCTGGACACTCTGAGGCTGCGACTGCGAAGAATATTGGGTGTATTGGGCCTGATAATGAGGTTGTGAAGCGCTACTACTTGTACTCGGCTGGACGGGGCCCCTCTCTTGCGGTTCAGCCGTGGTTTCTCGCCGTGCTCGTGGTTGCTGGGGACGGTTTGTGCCACCTTCTGAGGGGCCCTTTTTGGCCCGACGTTTCGCGGTATCGGATTCTCGATAGTCGTACGGATTCCTTCTGTACTCTCCTATACACGACGTCAACTCCAACCACCATCCGGCCGGGGATATTGTGCTCACTGCTTTGCGTTTCCAAATCCCAGTCTTTAGAATCATTGATGAGATCGCGTATGCTAACCTAGACACAAGATGTTCAGCGAATGCGACCGTCAATCAGGAGAGCCTCTTACGGCATTGAGTGATCTTTTTGCAGAAACATTGAAGCCCGTCCGATTTTTATCCTGAAATAGTCAGCCAGGACCAATTGAGAATGCCACAACCACTCAATCGTACTGTGGGATGCTGAGCCGATGTAATCTTCGCCGTCCGGTCCACATAGCGATTGATATATTCCACCAGAACTGCCGCATTGATGTTTTCGCCCGGGACGAAGAAGTGGATGGGCTGGATGTCGTCGTCGGCGCTCTCGTCCGAATCGTTGTCATCGTCCCGCTTCTGTCTCTTTCCCGATTTTGAAGATTGCTTAGGCATCGCGATGGTGGAATCGAGGTGAGCAGGCTTGATGCCCAGGTCACGGGGAAATGCCGTTAGCGGCGGGTTTCCGGGTGGTGATGGACCTCGGTCGCGACAGAGGCTAGCGGTCCAAGGGAGAAGACGATGGGAAATCGAATGAGCATGCTTGAAGAAATGAGGCTGCGTCCAGATTCGATCACCCAGATGATTGACCTGAGGACAGAAAGTGACGATGATTGTGGCAATTCAGATGTGCAGCCGCAGGCCTCGCAGCGTGGCAGACGGTCAATCGTGGTGGTTCGCAGGCATGTGCAGCAGGAGCAGGAATCGATGAGCTGGCAGCATGGCTAACGAGAGCGAGCGATGCCACGGTGCATTAGTGAGAAGAAAACGACACGGCAGTCAAGAACAAATGAAAAGGCGCGGAAGAGGCTCCTCAGGAATCAGCAAGAACACATGATTGCGCACGGCGGGCAGGTCCAGCCTTTGCCCCGCCACCATCTGTTCTCACCTGTCGCTTCCCTAAGCGTAAGCGTGGCCTGGGTGGGTTCGTTTCCAAAACGTCACCTTGGTCACTTCGGAGCGAGGCACTCCGTGTACGACGGGGCCTGCTCGGGGCCGCACTCCATGGGAGAGGTCGACCAATCTACCGACCATTTGGCGGCCTCATCGCTGCGATTAGTGGTAGAAAGCAAGGGACTCCAGTACCTCGATATGGAACATGTACAGATCAGATCAACCACCCTTGAAGGGGTGAGGATGAGCAGGGTAGTAAATGTTGCTGGTACGCTCCGGCTGTAGTCGTGGGGCTGACAGCTCCTGACTACGCGGCCTAGTGATCGCGATCTGGGAATCTATGCAAGTAGGTTAGGATCTCGCGCCAAACATCGGCTCTGTTGTTCAAACAAGGTTGTTGCCAGATCTTCGGGCCGGGAGGCACTGGGTTCACCAGTATCTACAAGGCAGGCAAGAGGAAGAGCGGCTCAGACGTGCAGACAGACTTCACCGCTTCTTTCCATCGTACGGCAGGCCCGTCCCGCCTGAGGCTCGCAAATAGGCTTTGCGCGGGGCCGATCCAGGTGGTCATCAGCACACTACAATAAGGCTCAACCACGATCCTTGGCTCCTTCTGCTTCTCGTGGCTTCCGCTGGCATTGCGAATTTCTTCCTTGCAATGCATACAGTCTATTCCGAGTCTCACGGCAACTGAAAGCTAGCATCCTGCGTCAGAGGAATAGTCGTATTGATGATGACCGCCTTGCTCGCTCTGTTGTATGTGAAGTTCGACATGGGAGCGCCGGGAATGACGATGCCCTGAGGGGCAGAAGCAACATTCAGCACGGTGATTCTCTCGATGCTGACATTCGCCGGGTAGCTGTAGTCCCCGGACATAGAGAAGTGTCCACCAGCATATGTGAAGTTGATGAACGTGGTGCTGGTCTGCTCAATAGACAAGCCATCGTCAAGGTAAAGGGACCCATTAGCGGATCCGTCCCGACTCGGAGCGATCAAGAGGTTGAATCCTTTGGTTCGAAGCTTTGCTGTCGTGTTCGCGCTTTCGATGCGGAGGGGGAGGATGGCACCCCCGCGGACGTGTAGCGGAATGGTCGTAAAGTTGACGTTGGTCAAGTTGACCATCGAGCCATTGCCTTGCACTGGGGCGAAGCCGGCGTTCCAGTCGTAGAATGTGTCGTTGGGCAGATAGATACGGACAGACGTCTTGTTTTCAGCTAGGACAGGGGACACTAGAAGTGAGTCGCCGAAGAAGAACTGTGCGTCGATACCAAATGTCTTCGGATCCCTCGGGTAGATGTAGAACAGCGGGTTCAAAACAGGCTTGCCGGTCTGATTTTGAGCATAGAAAGCCGTATACAGGTAGTCCAGAGCACGGTAGCGGATGTCAATTGCGTTTCGCGCTGCTTGCGTGGTGAGCGGCCAGCGGTAGGCCTCTTGTGGCCTGTTCCCGAGTCTGTATATTTTGTTAATGACGTGCGGCATTCTGATACGAGATAATTGAAACCCACTCATTGTGGTTCCGATAGAAGGTCTGGAAAGCTCCTAGCATCATCCATCGGGCGCAAAGTCTTTCGGTAGTGTTTCCCCCGAAACCGCAGACATCTACCGTGGTGCATTAGCGCTATTCATTGTAGATTGAATGGGAGCTTACCAGAACCGACCATCGGCACTTGGAAGATGCTTGCAAAATTCAACATATCAGGAATGCTGATCTCATACTGACTCCAGTCTGCATGGTTATCGCCAGTCCAGTGGCCGACATGTGCACCAGCGCCAAGGAACGTGCTTCGTGTGATGACCAGCGGTCGCTCGCCCGGACGGCGATTGAGCAGAGCATTCCGGGAAGCCGAAGACATCATAGTCCCGTAGAGATTATGTGTATCGTACTCGACGAGACCATTGTAGTGGACAAGGTTAGTGTCAAGTGTCTTGTTTGACAGGCTCCCAGCGGCATTCCGGATCGTGTAAGGTGGATTGATCAGCTTTCGTCCTGGCAGACCCGTCTTATTACTTGTGGCCATGGTCTGTCGCTTAGTCGGTGGCTGGAAGTCTGCTGGGAAACCGGGCAAAGCCACAGCAGGGCCGTCTCTCACTGGTGGCGGCTTCGGAGGAAATCCTTGGGCTTTCGCAAACGCGGCTGGGTCCGAGCACGGGTAATTGCAGAAGCTAATGGCTGTCAGCAGAATTTGAAGCAGTGACAATGGGGCCCGTACTTTGCAGCTTCATTCATGTCGATCCAGAGCCCGGAAATGTCGACGCCTGTTTCGGGACTGAAGAAATTTTCAAACTCATCATTCCAGTAGCCTTGAGTCTCTGGGTGGAACCAATCGGGGAACACAGTTGGCCCTGGCCAGACCACGCCCACAAAGTTGGAGCCGTCCGTACTCTTCATGAAGATGTCCGTAGAGTTGCCGTTGTTGAAGGCCGAGTAACTCTGGGCCGCCACAGCTGGGTCGACCATGACGATATAGTGTTGCTGGTGGGCATGAAGGTAAGCGACAAGTTCGCGCATCTTGGCTAGAGGGAAGCGTTGCGGGTCCAATGTAAAGACTTTCCGAGCATCCTATCTCGTGTCAGCCGCAACTTAGTGGAGACCTTACTGAAAATCACCATGTAGTCGATGTCAGTCCACATAGTCTGTTATCGTCAGCAAGAGGTTTCAAAAGGGATAGCTTGGCGTACCTCCAACGGGATACCAGCAGTGCTATAATTGTGAACAACCTCAGCAACCTCGTAGACATCTCGATATCCGTATCTACAATTATGGTACCCAAACGTCCAGTATGCCATCATCGCGGGCTTTCCAACAACTTCGGAGATTTGTTGCGACACCTCGACAGGTGATGGTCCTGCAAGAAAGTAGAAGTCGAGGACTCCCCCAAGTGTGTTGTACTCGAGATATTGACCGGCAGTGTCATTGATTTTGATGTCCATGCCATTGGAGTTTAGAAAGAGAACGCCGTGCGTGCCTTTTGCTCCCCTGTGATCAATGTAGACTGGATGATTTCCGTACAAGTTCGTACCCTGGGGGATACCATAGGCATCGCGGGACCACAAAGTCCTGGTGTAATTAGATGTATTCAATCTGAAGTGGTCAGAGTGCTCGCCGAGGCCGTAAAGATTTGGGTGACTGGGCAGAGAGGTCCGAAGTCTGAGATATTGTGACTCGAATACCAAGGCGGATCCGGAGGTGTTGAAGAGCACTTCTCCGCTGGGACGAGAGACAGAGAAGGTGAAGGGATTCTCAGTGTAGTTGAAGACAAGCTGAGAATCGGCAGCAGCGACTCCTTCAGTCGCACTGGGTCGTGGGAAGACCGACTCCGGAACTTGGTAGACAGTCTGATTCAAATCCTGGATAATGACATGCAGTCTCGAAGCTGGCCACTGATCAGTGACCTAGCAGGATGGCATTGAAAAGTCGGCTCACCAGACTGATACTCCACCGTGAGTGTCAAATTCCGCAGGTCTGTGCCATAAATGTTACAGGCCGGTCCTGCAAGATTGAGATTAGCAGTGAGGCTATTCGAGGTCTGCTGGACATTGCTAGCGCGATAGCCAGGACAAGTCTTCTGAGCAACTGCCAGGCCTGAGCCCAGAACGCAGAACAGAGCGGTAATCAACAACATGGTAGCCGCTGTGTCAAGCCAAGCAGTGGTTGATGGAAGAAAGTCCACATCCTCCCTCAGATGCGGATGTACTGCTTAAGAACGCCAGAAAATCTTGCTTGACCACATGCCCAACTGCGGTCAGGTAGGATGTGCTGCTGGGTGGAGCTGTGGTTTCTGCGCCTTGCTACGAGGATTCGACCAGTCGCTGATTGCATAGTGAGAGCTCGACACGACATCGCGGGGGCAACGCAGCTTAGGGGACATAAGCTCCAGTAAGGCCACAGCTTCCCCAGCGTAGCATACCAATCGGCATCCCATCGGGCTGTGCGGAATGACGGTTTGGAACTGAATTCTGGGGAAGTCCAGGCGGCGCGGGCCAATAAAGCGGATGTAGTTCCTGACTAGAAGCCCTCCGAAGCCCTGCGAAGCCCTCATCACTTTATGGAATAGTCCAAAGCAGTAAGACTGCGGAGGAGCGCGAGGTACAGGGTGACGTTGGACGGTATCATGCCAAGCGGTGACATTGAGCTCTGCCCATTGAGGTCGAAGAACAGGGAGGGGTTCAAAGCTATTTCAGCGAGGATTTTAACCAGGCGAAGAAGTCTGAATAATCTCTCGCTCGCGCATGCCGAGGCACTGGAAGTTGGTCGAGACTTGCAATGGCACGAATAGTGTCGGTGGTGAGAATGGAAGGCTTTGTTTTGGAGTTTATTGGGTTGACCGTGTTCATCGAGTTTCGCATCTAGTCTTGGTTAGCCGCCACAAGCTTAACATCTGTGGCGTGGGTCTGGTGGTGGGCGCTCGAGATGCCCACGACGGCTGGGGAAGCCCTTGGAGATGGCGCCCCGCTGTGCCCAGGTCGCGTGGCTAGGGACGCCTAAGAAGGCCCTAAGGCTTGTTCGGACAACCAGCGTGTGACGTCGTCCACAAACCCCCTCAGCAATATTTTCCCGATTACTATGTTGCCCACTTGTTCCCATCCACAACCTACACCGAGGCTTACACACTAATATATGTATCACGAGTACGGAGCAATCATTCTTCTTTGGTCTACTACAGCCTTATCAGCTCTTTGCCCAGCCTTCTGCCGGGCTTCTTATGCCGACGGCACCACATAAATCGGAGAATCAGAGGAGATCCCCTCGTTAATCTGCCCCAAGCTAAACTCTTGGAAGGACCAGATATGGCAGGTCAGAGGGATTTGCTTCCGATAAGGTGGCTATCTCCTCGCTGTCTCGCCGACCGGCATTCCACACCGGTGCAAAATCCAGATGACCTACACCAAGTGCCACGCCCCGAGAAATTCCCAGTGCCTATATGAACAGCTAGCAAAAGGATAAAAAGGTAGGAAGGAAGGTATGTAGGCAGTGTAGAACCAGGTCCCAGCGCCATATCCGACAGGTCGAAACGGGTTCAGTGAAGATGTACGTCTTCAATGTTCTGGCCGTCTCATTACTAGCCCTTGGTGCCTCATCCCACGCACAAACAACACCCATTGATGTGCGCGAAGCAACCATCGCCAGTCTGCAAAGCTCCCTCTTCTCCGGTCTAACCAGCTGCCGCGGCATTGTCAGCGCCTTCATCGCTCGAATCGAGCACTTCAATCCGGACATCAACGCGATCATCAGTTTGAACCCGGAAGCCCTCTCCATAGCCGACATTTTGGACGAAGCGCTCTCCCAGGGGAATGCTACGGGACCACTGTTTTGTATCCCCATTCTGCTCAAGGACAACTACGATGCTCTCCCGATGAACACGACAGGCGGGTGTCTGGCGCTGAACTCGTCCAAGCCAACACAAGACGGTCCCGCCGTGCGCGCACTCCGCAATGCCGGTGCCGTGATCCTAGGCAAGTCCAATCTGCACGAGTTGGCTCTTGAGGGCCTCTCGGTCTCGAGCCTCGGTGGCCAGACGATCAACCCGTACGACTTCACCAGGACGCCCGGCGGTAGTTCAGGCGGCACGGGGGCCGCCATCGCGGCCTCGTTCGCAGTATTCGGCACGGGAACAGACACGGTCAACTCGCTCCGAAGTCCCGCCAGCGCGAACAGCCTGTTCAGCTTCCGGCCCACGCGCGGCTTGATCTCACGCACGGGCGTCATTCCCATCTCCTACACGCAGGACACCATCGGCGCGATAGGCCGTAGCCTGCCCGACATCGCAACAGCCCTCACAGTCATGTCATCCACGGGATACGACGCGGCCGACAACGCCACGTCGGCGCTCCCTGCCTCCGTACTAGGGACAGACTACACGACGTTCCTGACCCCCGGATCGACCTCCAGCCTGCGCGGCGTGCGCATCGGCGTGCTCGAAGGCTTCTTCAACCGCACGTCCAGCAACGAGACCACCCCGGTCAACGAGGCAATGGAGCACGTGCTCACCGTCCTGCGACAACAAGGCGCCACCATAGTCCCCATCGACGACACGACAACGTACAACGCCACGAGCATCTCGGCGCAAATGGACGTCCAAACGTCCGAATATCGCGAACTGCTCACCGGGTACCTCTCCTCGGACACGCTCACGGGCCCGCACCCCAAGTCGATGCCCGAGCTGTACACGCCCAACCGGACGCAACCAGAGTTCGTGGTCATCCCCTCGCAGTACAACTACATCGAGACGGCGCTGCGCACGTCCACCTCCAACTCGTCGTACTACCTGAAGCAGGCCCTGATCGCGAACCTCACCCGCACCCTGCACGCCACGATGCTCTCCAACGGGCTCACCTGCCTCATCTACCCGGAGCAGAAGAACCTGGTCGTGCCCATCGGCTCGCCCTCGCAGTCTGGGCGCAACGGCATCCTCGCAGCCCTGACCGGATCCCCCGTGATCACCATGCCCATCGGCTTCTCGCCGCCCAGCGGGACCGCCCCCATCGGCATCCCCATCGGGATGGAACTCCTGGGCGCCCCTTGGTCCGAGGGCACGCTTCTGCAGGTCGCAAAGGGGATTGACGACGCGTTGCACGCGCGGAGGATGCCCGTGACGCGCGGGCTGAATGAGACTGTCGAAGTCACGGCCGCGTATGCGCAGGTGCCGACCGTGACGCCGCTGGGCCCGCGGAACGTCCCCAGCGCGTATCCGTTGGGGGTGTACTGACCGACTCAGGGCGAAACGTCGCCCCCGCATATCCGTGGGCGTGTACTGACTGACTGTTCCAGCGTGGCGACCGCGGGACGTCCCCAGCGCGTATCCATTGCGCATGTACTGACCGACTGATTCAGCATGGCCACGGATGACAGTCCTAAAAATATACATAACAGCGCGTCATCGTGCTGAATCGGTGCATTGCGTGGGTGGCCGCCGCGTCCCGCATCTTCAAACACGAGAAGCACCGAGTGCGGACGAGTGAAGTACGAGTTCCGAGGCGGGTATCAATACTGTACATAGCCAGAATACTTACGAAATTCACACTACCTAGGTAGTCAACCACTAATTAGCACCGTGCGAGACCATCTCTCGCCATGCATGTACATGTGTGGACAATGTCTTGGCCGCTAAAGAATGTTCATCGAGCTACCTGCCTCCACTGATACTCGGTTGGACGGATGGCCTGGCGGGAAAACTCCACGGCCTTACATATACAGTAAGGCTTCGTTCCTCATTAACGCATGTCGTGTATACGTAACATTTAAACGTCGTAGTATGGTCATTCGGCTAGGCATCCCATCATGGTCCATTCTATCCTTGAGCTCAGCCTGACTCAACTGTGATCCATACGATGCAGCTAACGTCCCACGTAGGAGAAAGAGACCCTGTACTGTCCATGATTATGGCTGGCCCCTGCGTCGATCGCCACCAGCACAGAAGACCCTTGCAAGCTACTCAAAGAAATGTAGCAGCATTCGCGGCTGATCAAGCAAAGAATAGAAGGGCCTTCACATTACGTCGTAGCGGACTCGCCGGTCTTCTGACGCCTGAGCTCCTCCTCCCGCAGACTCTGCTTCTTGACATACTCGAGCACAATTTCTTCCTCTGTCTTCTCCCTCGAGAGCTCTTCCTGGTGCTTTTTCTCGTCTTGCTCGGACGCGGTGATTGCCTGTTGCAGTTCGTTGTCATCATCAATAACTGCCTCCTCGCTAGCCACCATGGCTCCTTTGGCAGTATCGTTAGTACTGGCTAGGGCGGCCTCTATTTCTGCGAGCTCTTGCTCTTTCTTCTTCAACTCGTTGTCGGAATGCAGCCTCTTGCTCTCCTCAATAGTGCGCTTGAACTCCTCGTCGTAGTCCGTGTCGATGCCCGAGTCACTGTCGTCCAAATGATGGTGCTGCGAGTCTTTGGGCCTGGCCCCTTGATCGTTCGCAGCTTGGGCAGCTTTATACTCCTCCAGGCTTGCTGTCAATACTTTGTGGAGTTCCGCGTCGTGCTCCTCTTCCGGCTTTTCGGCCTTTATTGAGACCACACGTGTCTGCTGAGCATGTTCTTCTTGGGCTCTCTTGAACTCTCTGATGCTGGCTTGGATGGCTTGCTGGTAAGCTGCATCGGGTCGCTTGTGGTTGTCACCTCCACCGTGCAATTCCCGGAGACTTGCCCTTAGTGCTCTTGCAACTATGGCATCTTCTTCCGGGTTGCCTCTGCTGGTGGACGTCACCGAATGCATGATGGCGTGCTCGTAGTCGTCGAAATCCTCACCCACTGCGTACGATGATTGAGAGTGCGTCTTACCGGCTGACGGGTCCAGGCTTGAGAGGGACTGAGTATGCGTGAGGTGTTGGCTGGTAGAGTGATCGAATGGACAGAACTTGCATCGGCTCTTGACCTTGCCACCGCTCTTACTCTTCCTTCTCTCCTCCCTGAGCACCTCTTTTTCCTGCCGCTCAATTTCTTTCTTCTCCTTCTTGAGCTGATCCCTCCTCTCGGCCAGGGTTTTTCGTTCATCCCAGCTGAGATGTCGCGTGTTTTTGAACCCGTGCACCAGTTCGACGGAGTTCGTATTGGATTTGGACAGAATGTGACTTTCAATCGCCTCCTTGCGGTCAGCTCCGTAAAGTTGCCCGTGTTTCCGCGTCTCGAGCTGGCTATCTTTCCAGGCCATGACGATTCTCTGCCTCTGTGCAGGACTGCTGTTCTTCCAGTCCTCGAATCCTTGAGCCGTGCGAGCAGCGATGATGTAGTTCTGCACAGAGCTTCCAAAGTGCTTTGAAATCTCGCTGTAGATACCTTTGGCAGTGTATCCGGGGAGACCCCAGATACCTGCAGCTGGCTTAAGTATCAAACCACCGATACCTTTCGCGGCGCCCTTGAAAAAGCCTGCAGCTCCCTCCTTTTTGGCCCCTTGCAGAGGCTGAGTCACGAGCCCGGTTATACCGTCATAGAATCCGTATCCGAATTCTCTGCCGGCGACTTTCAAACCAGACTGAAGACCCACAATCTTCTCGTTCTGCCGGACAGTATCGTCGCCGTATAGTTTTGGCGCGTTATGAAATCCCTTCGCCAATGACAAAGTGAAATCCATAGGCGACTTGACGCCCGCCGACACGATCTTACCCGCAGCCTTCGCACCAGAAAGGGCGGTCTCTAGTGTGACCTGGCCGACCTCCTCACTTGCCGAATCGCGATGTCTGCTTGCTGACCGGGAATGAGAGCGAGAACGGGAACGATGGTGTGACCAGCTTCCATGTCGGTGATGGGATTTCGTGGAACCATCGGCTGTCAGCACAGAGGACATGGACGGAGGTACAGAGGGTTCATTGAGCGGCGAAGGGGCACCCAGTGGTGAGAGAGGCGGTGACTGAACCGGTGTAACAGTGCTTGCTGGCGTGTTGGAGACATTGCCAGAAGATGTACGTTCTGACGGCGCAGTTGGTGTGTCCGTGCCACTGTGTCTTCTCTCATGAATCTCCTTTAGCTCCCCGTGTGCAGTCTTGAAAGATTTGAGAATCTCGACTGGGAAGTCCGCAATCCCCATTGAAAGGTTGCCCAGAGTGCCGATCAAGGCAGCCGCGCCTCCAGAAATCGGTTCCCAAGGCCCGTCTTCTGTCTCGTACTCTCGGGGTCGATACAGTTTCAGATCGGAGAAGTCCAGAAGCCCTTCAGTCCCGAGGACCGTAGCTGCAAGCGCTGACAGGCGAATGTCGGTTCGCTTCACACGCCACACTGCAACTCGAGAAGGGTCCAACGAGCACCTGAGGTTTGACATCTGCAATTGTTTGTGGAAGGACTCTGCTCCAGCCTCAGTACCCCTTTCGGCCTTAATTTTTGCGCTCAACTCTTTCGCTCGATCGAGCGATTCGGGCTTGAGTGCTTCCAGTATCGACTGGGCGAGTTTGCCGGCATTCAAATCCTTGTAGGCGACAGGCATTGGGCCTGCACCAGCTCTAGCCGTCATAGAACCCCAGAAAGGTTGATCGCCAAAGAACGGCACTACCACTGTTGGTCTCCCAGCCAAAATGCCAGCAGCCGTTGTGCCGGCCCCACCGTGATGGACAACACAAGAGACACGCTGGAACAGCCAATCATGAGGACAATTGCCGATCATGAAGACTCCTTCAGGAATCCCTAACTCGCTGGCACCAAGTCCGCCCCAGCCCTTGGAGACGATCGCCCGCTGGCCAGTCTTCTTGATAGCCTCGAATATCATCTTGGTCATGGCATTGGGATCATCAACCACAATTGAACCGAATCCGATGTAGACGGGAGGTGGCCCAGCCGCTAAGAAATCAGCCAGATCCTGTGGAGGTGTATAGTTCGTTGATAAATTGAGGAAGAAAAAGCCTGATATATCAATGTAACTACCCCAGTCTGCGGGCTTAGGGATCAAAGCAGGAGACCAGCAGTACGTCCATGGGATCCGTAATCGACTGACCATGCCAGGAGCCCACATGATGCTGACTGGTTCGAGGCCGAGACTCCTTTCCCGGAATTTGTTGATGACATCGCCCAACCCCTGCCAGGTTAGCATATCCACCAGCGCATAGGTGACAAAGTTCGTTACGGTGGGATCCGTGTTTGAAGATATGATGTTCGCGAGAGGGTGTGGGAAAGATTGTGTCGGTGACCAGGGCATGGTAAACATCAAATGCAGGGGAATACCAAGCTTTTCCGCAAGATGGACATGTGCGAAGCTAGGCGGGTTAGCAATGATGGCATCTGCCACAAAAGGTTTCAGGGTCGGATCCATGCGCATGGACAAGGCGCTGTCAAAACTGCGAGTGTCCATGTTGTCATCGTTGATCGGTGCCCCCATACCGTCCCCGGCCTCAATACAGGACCTCCAACACCCTGTGATGATTTCGTAGATACCTCTCCGTCGTTTGCCGACATCCCCACTCTTCAACGAGTCCATACCTGGCATGAGACCGGGGTTCTTGACCATGAAAGCCATGAGTTCGGCTGGGTCTCCCCCGATGCTAAAGAACTCGAGGCCGTTCTCTGTGACGAATTGTTTGAAGGTCGAATGGGTTGCTATTCTCACACGGTGGTTGTACTTGTTCTTCAGTACCTGTCCCAATGCCACAAATGGCTGGACATCCCCTCTGCTTCCCACGATTTGGATCACAATGTTCATGGGAGGTGGAGGGAGTCCGTCTACTTCTCCCAGTCCTTCGGGAATTTGGGGTCCCGCCGAGGGTTTGCATTTCGATAGATCGAGCTGGTGGCGCAGAGCGGGCAGAAGTAGGTTTGTGAGCTTCCCCTTGTGCTGGCAGATATTGATATTGACTCTGCCATCGCTGGCTACCTGTGCGCCTGTGTTCAGGCCATTCTGATCTATGTCCAACTCCCCATATGTCGTGCTGTTGTAGGCTGGGGGAGGCACCTCCTCCAGGTGGGGAGAAACACCGCCATGGTGCCGGACATGACCTTCAGGTGAAGAGCTTATATTCGTGTGCTCCTTGTGACCGCGGGCTTCATCCTCCTGAGCTGCCGCAGCGGCCGCGTTTGCTTCCTGTAGGATAATCTCAGGGATCCCTTCGGGTTGTCTCGGCGGGGTCGAGGGAGGATCAGCATTAGACATGATTGCGACTGGCGAGCATTAGCGTCCAGTTGAGGCTGAAGCAGGAAAGGCGACAGAGGGTGGGAAAGGAGTGGACAGGCAGTTAAAGTGCATGCAGGCGTGAGAGGGGTGAGCAAGGTGGACGGGCAGCGAGGATATCACGACCTTGTCACGGGAAGGTGAACTTCAGGTAGCCACGGCTTAAGATGTAGGTCAGGATGGATAAATCTTGACTGTCCCGTTGTCACATCTGCCGCTAACGGAGGCTGCATCTTGCGCGTGCGCCAATTCTATGGTGGCGACAATCGACATGGCTGTCATGCTGTCGACTTCCAAGATCTGAGATGCGCGAACCACAGAAACGAGATAGCAAGCTAATTAAATTAGGCCGCTCTCGCCAGGTGCCGCAACGGCTGGACTCTGGACTTTCGGGCGTGCCCCTCCCCGCAGCCCAGCCGCTAAGCAACGTCTTTGCCCGGCGGTCGTGCATGAGACCTGCCCGGAAAGGTGAAAGGGTCCACCACCGCGGTTCCATACAGGCGCCATCGGTCTCTCCGCCAAAGCTGAATCAGCATTGTTAGCATCAGCCCTAGGCGCGTTATCTCGACGTCCATCCCCTCTTGATGCCTTTTCTGGATACAAGTAAAAAGGCCCAACGTAGAGAGATTTAGATAAGCCGTCGAGGCATCCTAACCAGGGAAGCAAGTCATGCAAGGCTGGAGACTTCAGGTACATCTTGCGCTTCTCATTCGATGACCTTGCGCGCCGCCACCGCTCGCTTCGTCACACCGGGGCTGAGGTAATCGCAGGTAGTCTTGCCCCATTTTGTTCGTTCACCATCCCACTGGACGCTTCTTCCAAGAGCTGTCGTCGCTCGTCATCTCCTGTGCTTCCAGCCATTCGCAATCGTCTCGAACGTCTCAAACGTAATTTCGCCGTCTTCCGCTGCGTTCTTCCGGGCTACCAACTTTGCAATGAAGCGGTCAATCATGCCGACAATGTGGGCCCGGCCTGCGCTCTCTGGGTGCCAAATCATCCTAGATCGACAGTTTCGGATTAGCTAGCAATTCTTATGGAAGCTGCATTAGGCTCATGCACTCACGGATACACGGAGCCATAGCCTTTTCCAGGCCCCTCGTCCAACCAGCTTTCATTCTCCCAGAGCCAGTCAAATCGATCCCACCACATCTTCTCAACAAGATCGACGCCGACGTAGCCTTGTGTGTTGGCGGCATAGGGGTAAAATCCGAGCTGGGCGGGAGTCAGAAGATGCTTCAAGGGGCAGTCTCAGGTGACTTACAGGCGTCATATCCTCGGTGTACCAGCTGCCTGGGATCTCCACCAACGCCTTGTCAGCTTCGGCCGTACCAGGCTGCGGTTGCTCGAAGATTGGTGTTGGGACCATCCAGCTTTTGGCGTCCTTCTTGTAATCGGGCACATGCGGGGGTTCCTGCGGAAACGGGTTCACCAGGAAGTAAGGTAAAGAGTCATGCGCGTTCATGCTGCTGTCGTAAAGAAAGCCGTGGTCTTGGAGGAGTTGCACTGTCGTCTCCCGGATCTGGTACAGCGGTGCCCGGTATCCTACCGGCTTCTTACCTTGTCTCAGCTGTGTGACGAGGCCTATGCACTTCTGAAGAACGTCTTTTTCTTGCTCGACCGTCATGGCATATGCTCCTTCGTGGCTGTAGCCATGAAGACCAATTTCTGCTCCGCTTTCCACAATTTCCTTTGCCTGCATCGGGAATGTCTCCAAGCTGTGACCGGGCACAAACCAGGTAAGCTTGTCAGAGATGCCGTGCTTCTTAAAGAGGTGCAGCAACCTGCCCACGCCCACATTCGCGCTGAAGATACCTGCCGAATAATCCGATAGGGTATTGTTCGGATCATGACCAGTTCCCAGGTACCCTGATATCGCGTCGAAGTCGACAGAGAGACATATGCGTAACCGCCGCTTCCTTGCCGGCGGATGCAACGATGCAGGAATTGTTACACTTTGCAGCGGAGCCTGTTTCTCCCCCGACTTCAGTGCCTGGTCTTGACGCCAGATCAGTCGACCTTCCATTCCGCCGTCAACAGAGATACACTCCCCAGATATGTGGCCAGCAGCGCGATGACTGGCCAAGAATGCCATTGCACGAGCGACATCTTCAGGCTGTGCAATCTTCTTCAGCGCTACGGTGGACTGGCACTCCGCCCACATCTCGTATGGATCATCCAGGCGGTCACCAATGAGAGCTGTGTTGACCCATCCAGGAGCCACTGCATTGATTCGGGCTTTCGAATTCAGCCGCACGATTTCATTCTTCACAGTGCGGACGAGACCATACTGGAGGCCAGCCTTGCCGGATGCATATCTGCTCCAGTTTAGAATTTTGTTCACAAACTTGTCAGGTTACGTCGCGACTGACTCTGCATGTCCTTCCTGCCCAAACTTGCCAGTCTCGGAGCCCGTGATGACGATAGCAACGTTGTCAAGCTCCCTGTTCTGAGATTCTTGGGATCTTCTGACGGATAATAAGAAGTGCTTAACGGTCAGGAATGTCCCCTTGACATTGTTTGTATTGACCTGAGTGCGTAAGTAAACCGCCAAAGATTCGAGATGAGTGGGTGCCAAACCTTGTCCCAAAGACTCTCCTCAATCTCCCATATTGGCGGATGTGAGCTCTCATCCGTGATGCCCGCATTGGCAATCAGGATGTTCAAGGGCCCAAAATGGTTGGTGGCTGCCTTGAAGGCTTCGGCAACAGACGCTTCCGAGGTCAGATCGCCTTGTGAAATGAAAAGCCTTGACGACTGATCCGGGGTCGAGCACAGCTTGGAATCTTCAACCCGTCTACGGTCAAAAGCTGTAACGCGACACCCGGCAGCTTGAGAACAACAGTCAGAATCTGCTCGTTGGCCAAGGTTACAGGCGTACCAAGAAACTCCTTCACTGCAGCTGTTGCAATACCACCGGCCGCGCCGGTAATGAAGACATGCAAGCCTTCGAGCCCAAGGAACGACATCGCATCTATATTTATCTTGATCGATACCGTGTACGAGGAGGATAACCTGGATACCTAGGTAGTCACCACGTGCGGTTCTTCGTGAAGATTAATTTTCCGTTGACGCACTCCGATCGGATATAGCCCGGAGATCTCCATCTTCAAGTCGACGCGAACAACACGTGGGAGCTTACCTCAGTACCTAACATAGCTTGCAGCTGATGTCAGTGCACCTACAGACAAGTGTCCACTTACCGCCCAGTGCCTCCTTATTAGCTGGTACCGAGGGCGGAGATCCGCGTCGACTCTAGTTGCTGGCTGTAAGGTCCAAGGCATGATGATGTGCCCAGGCTCATCGGGGTTTTTGTCCTGCCTGATCAAATTTAGCTCCCTGATACAAGCTCCCGCGTGCTGACGCACAGTCTCTGGAGCTCGAACTCTGACTTGACTATTGTTGTCAGCTATCTCTGGCCGCCCAGTCCCCTATCAGAGTGCTCATCTAAGTTGATGTTTTGCTAGCTGCCTCCCAGACCCTTCGTTCTAGTGTGGCACCCAGGCAAGGGGGAATGTGTCCCGGCAAGCGAGTCATAGATTCGTGAAGGATCATGATCTTCGCTGTGACTGGCTGGAATATCTGATATCAGACCCAGGTCTCCTACCCAGGGACTCGTACTATTTGCGATGGATGTGCCTATCGCCCCAGCGAAGCTCGTGCTATCTGACCCGTCATATATACAAAAGAAATTGAAATGGAGATAACCAGCATATATCAGCTTTGGTGTCCATCTTTCGATCTGCCCTTGAAGCTAGCCTTACTCAAGGAATTATTCTTCGTTTCGTAAAATAGCAGAAGATGGCGGCACCGGTGATTTCAGATGACAAGAAAGACCCTCTTCCGGGTACCAACACAGATGACTTCCCGCCGGATACTGGCATCTCGGAACTCATCAACGCCTCTGGTCACGTACAAGAGCTCGAAAGGAACTTCAATCTCCTCTCTGCCGCCGGTGTTGGTCTCGTCGTCGGAAGTGCGTTTGACGACTCTTTCCGTGGGACCGACGAGACTAACCATTATACAGATGTATGGCCAGCTGTGGGAGGATCAATCCTGCTTGCCATCTTTAATGGCGGTCCACCTGGGGTCATCTACGAGTTTATCGCGGTTTCCGTCTTCTATTGGATAATCGCAGCCAGTCTGGCTGAGTTGGCCTCGGCCATTCCTTCCAGCGCCGGAGTGGTGAGTGTTGCTCTGAATCTGTGCCCGCTTGATGGAGTCTCGCCTCTAGTTGTCGCCAGACAGACGCGCAATGCTAACGACAACCCAGTACCACTGGGCCTCGGTGACCCCGGGTAAGAGTTGGGGTCGCATTATTGGGTACACTCCTCCCTGAAAGTGTCTTTGATATGCACACTACTAATATCGATATCAGCTTCTATGCTGGATATTGGAATTGGTTGGCGTGGGTATTTGGGGCAGCATCGATGAGTTCCATTCTTGGTTTGTCGCTTACCTTACCTCTTACACCACATGCTCACGTCTTCAGCAAACACCTTTGTGCAGATGTATGCCGTGGAACACCCAGATCTGGTAGTGCAGCGCTGGCACGTCTTCGTCACTTACCTGGTGAGAGACCGCAACCCCGTGAAAACAGCCTTCTCTCGTCGCGGCGTTATTGCTGACCAGCTTTGAGATCGTGACCTGGCTTGGCTGCCTGTCTGTCTGTTTCTTCAATCGGGCGATGCCTTACCTTAATACCGTCGGCATCATTCTCATCTTGGTGGGGCTCTTGGTGACGGTAATTGTTGTGTAAGAGGACTTGGGAATTTGCGACGACCGAAGACATTGACATGCTTTAGTGCCGCCATACCCGGCTCGGGCAATCACCCCCCGCATGCTTCCTCCAGCTTCGTCTGGTCCGAATGGAGCGCGGATATAGGATATCCAAATGGGTGAGTTTCGAACGTCCTGGAAAGGTCGGACCGCGCTGACGAAATGATCTCCCTAGATTTGTCTTCGTTGCCGGAATGCTCAATGGAGCGTACTCAGTCGGTACGCCCGATGCTGTCAGGTATGATGATGTTTTCCGCTTAACATTCTAGACTTCGATGTACTGATCGTGTTCCTGACAGCCACATTGCTGAAGAGGTTCCAAATCCTGGCAAGAATATTCCGATCGCCATTGGACTGCAAATGGGCATAGGTTTCATCACAGGGCTGGTCTATATCATCGCCATTGTAAGTGCATTCGTCAATCGTTGCGCAGTGTCGAAACAGTTAGGGATTGTCCCATGCCGGAGTCACAGACTGTCCTAACTGTAAAATAACTGACGTGATGTCTCTCCCGCAACGATGCTAAATCAACGGAATCACTAGATGTACGCCATCAGCGACTACGATGCGCTCTTCGATGCAGGTTTTCCGCTTGCGGAGATATATCGTCAGGCCACAGGCTCAGCTGGTGGTGCTATTGGCTTGCTGATCCCCTTCCTCTTGTGTATAACGACATGCCTTGTGGGCGTATACATCACGGCGGGCCGAACACTGTGGACTTTAGGGCGAGACGAGGCGACTCCGTTCCACAAATACGTCGGCAAGGTCTCACCTAGATTTGGAATGCCATTGGTTGCGACGCTGAGTTGCGGCTGTCTTGTAACCGTTCTTGGATGGTGAGTCGTAGGTAAACCCTGCTCGGCAAAGGCTAACGGTTGTGCAGCATTTATGTCGGGAGTGCCACGGCCTTCAATGCGTTCGTTGGCTCATTCGTACTGATGTCTTCCGCAAGGTGATTGCTCTTGTACTGCACATTTCCGGGAAGAGCTGACAGAAGAGTAGTTATATCGCCGCAATCCTCCCTCACCTCTTGACCCGCCGCAAAAACATTGTATTTGGGCCATTCACCTTGGGCAAATTCGGCGTGGTTCTGAATTCTATTGCCTGCGGATATATGATCGTCTGGTTCGTCATCTACTGTTTCCCATTCGGTCTTCCGACGAACGCCGAGAACATGAACTACGCATGCCTAATTTGGGGCGGATTGACCGTCTTTGTGACGGTCTGGTGGTTGATCGGCGCGAGAAAGGGATACGTCGGACCTAAGCTGGCTGGCGGCATCGACTCTCCAGTTGAGCATATGAGAAAGCCAAGTGTAGAGAAGCGTGCTTCGGTATAGATTTGCGTTAGGTGATGTTCAGTTGCAACAATCTAGTCTCTCAGCCTAGAATGCAACCTGTTTGTAGAAATAGAGGGTTGACCAGGGTGGAAGAGAAAGCTGTATTGAATATAGGGAATAACTTTCGTCCACCGCGGTCCAGGGATAATTGGATCAGTTTGGCCAACGCAGGGTTTCGCTGTGCTGATGTAAGTGCAGTCCACTCTGGATCTGTTCACGTTCTCAGAGCTTTGGAAAGCTATCCATCTGATAGAATGCCGGTTTGTGACCAGTACTCAGCGACATAGCATATTCGTAAATTTTCTCGGTCAAAGAGTGGTGAAAGTCTACTGGGAAGCGTAGAGACCATGATCAAGGGAATCGGTAAAACCGCGGTAGTATTTGATCACGTGTCAGCCTTGGCGGCAGTAGCGCGAAAACACTATCCCACAAACCTCGAAATCGCCGGCGGACCATACCTCGAACATTGCATTGACACCAGCAACACCACGCCCCTAACGCCGGATCGCAACCATGTCGGACAACGGCGAGGTCGAGGTTGAAAACCCAGTCAGCAGCTGGCCAGTGCTGCCCAAAGACGTCACCGCAGAACTCGGCAGCATCAAGCTGTTCAACAGTGCGTCTAGTTGCCTTGCTATTATCTGTATGGGCCAGCGACAGAGGCTAACGCATGAGTCTAGAATGGAGTTACGAAGACGTTGAAGTCAGAGATATTTCGTTGACGTGCGCCGCGCTCGACTCTTCACGAATGTTCAAAGACTGATCATTTTTGCAGCGATTACATCCAAATCCGATCACCCGTCTACATCTCCCACTCCGCCGGTCGTTATGCCGCAAAGCGATTCCGAAAGGCACAATGCCCTATCATCGAGCGGTTGACAAATTCTCTCATGATGAACGGTCGCAACAACGGCAAGAAGTTGATGGCTATCCGAATTGTGGCACATGCTTTTGAGATCGTAGGTTTTGCGGCGGGCAAGAGAAGACGGGCAGGAAAGAACTGACAGTACTAGATCCACATCATGACCGACCAGAACCCTATTCAAATTGCAGTCGATGCCATCGTCAACTGCGGTCCCCGTGAAGACAGCACCAGAATTGGAAGCGCCGGTACTGTTCGAAGACAAGCCGTCGATGTCTCCCCTCTCCGGCGTGTCAACCAGGCCATTGCCCTCCTCACCATCGGTGCCCGCGAGGCTGCTTTCCGAAACGTCAAGAGCATTGCTGAATGCCTTGCTGAAGAGCTAATCAATGCTGCGAAGGGAAGCAGCAACTCCTACGCCATCAAGAAGAAGGATGAGTTGGAGCGTGTCGCCAAGAGCAATCGGTAAAGCTTTCACTGGAATATGGTGTTGTTGGTATCGGACATGGAGCGCCTTGTGTCTGTGACCGTCGATGGTAACATGTGGATGGGTCCAGTTGATGACCGCCTCCGTGAAGAAGAGCCGCGAGGCAAGGCAGACGCGTAACTGGTAGTCAGGACCAGCGATTCGGCTTACAGTTAAGACCGAATTTTACTGAATCCAAAAATGGCATGAACTTGAAACACTTTTAACCGTACCAGTCTACAAGAGTTATTGACGCATCTCTACGGAACCTTGGCGCATTCACTGTCGACTACGAGGCTAATGCGATGAGCATAGTACCAGTTTTTTGGTCTGGACTTCGACCTGGGTATGAGAAGGTATAATTCATTCCTTGACCATCGCATCATCATGAGGTAGGTGCGAAGCGGACCCTAATCACGTCCCCCATACGAGCGACGCAGGAGCGAGGAAGCGACGTGCACATTGAGGACAGGATCGACCGGATCTACAAGCGAACTTCACCTTTGAGCCTCAGATCCTCACAGATCCGCCATCAACACCCATCTACCTATACCGTGTATTTACCCTCTCTCGCGCCAGTTTCCCATGCCAAGAGTCAGTAACGTACGGGCTAAGCTGGAGCTGTGTCATCTTGGTGAGGAGCAACACCACAGTGATGATTCCAGCTGATAGTCCTCGGCCAGGAGTGGGTGGCAAGTTGTTCCATTCAGCAAGCATTATCAGTTTTGTCATCCTTTCTGTTACCGACCTCGCCCCCTTCTATCCCACGAGTCTTCGTCAGACCACCCCAATTTGTGAACCAGCGATAATCTTCCCGGTGCCTGCGGCCTCTTTCCTCTCGCACGTGAGCACGTGCGTGACGAATCGCGCTGGCTTGCGGTGGCATTTGCTGAGGAGGCCTTGTGGGTTTGACCCATTGCTGGCGAACTCGGCCTGATCTCCTGCAGCCAACGTCATATCTCATGTCCCTGCCGATACAGCGGCCTCCTGTCTCCGAACGTCTCCATCATGTTCCTTTCGCGCACCTCCCTCATATATGCCATTTGCTCTGGTTTCTTCTGGTTGAAATTATCGGCTGCGGGATCTGCTTTGCCGAACAATCTTTGGGTTGCGAAACCCACGACAACCGAAGCCGCAGCTGCTATTATGACGATCAGGACGATCAACGTATCGGAGAGAGCAGCCATAGTGGTCGTTGTATGTGGGCTGCGAAGTTGGCGCTAGGGTGTTCAAGGCTGTAACGGCACTTGTGCCGGTAAGAGGGTGCTCCAGGTAGTGAACTGGGTTAGAAAAGAATGTGAACTGCTCTGGTCCACCGGCGATGACCAAGAGCAAATGAGAAACAGAAGTCAACTGGCAGGCTCTCACAGATGAGCATCGAGTGCGGCGCGATGCATGGGCGAGCATGGTACATATACTCGATCAAGTGCACCACTAATTACATGGAAATCAAATGAATCCTTACCTGTTGAGATAGCGTAGCGACACTCACCAATGTAACACGCGGGACAAGCCATCGGTTGTGGGTTTCTAGACCCTCCGAATTGTGCCATGATTGTGCGAACTCAGATTGAAGGCTTTCAAAGCCGCTGCCGACAGCGAGTGAGGCATCAGTCCCAAGTCGATATGAAAGTCCCGGAATAGAAAGGCGCATAACAGCCACGCTAACCGCATTGTAGCACTTTGGCGAACGAGTCCAATCAACCCACACGGACAATACACTCGAGCTCCACTGACGTCTCGGACAACACCCCCTGGAAGAAAGCTTGATTGCTCATTTCGACCGAGGAATCTGGGTCGCGGGATGATTGCTCTGCCAAGCACGTCGATGCGAAGATGGAAGACTCTGACGAGAATGTTCACTCCCGAAAATTGAGGGGCTGACTTCAATTCCTGCGGAAGTCAACCAGTCAGACACGTGGTGCCTGTGGACAGGATCTGGATCTCTGCCACTGCTTGTGCTTTTCGATGCGTGGCCAACGCCCGGCAAAGCGCCAATATTAATGACCGAAAGCCGGCTTCATGCGTGCTGGCAGGCCTGGGAAGGAACGCTCCAGATACGGGTGCCTTACCTGCAAGTGAGTTTCATCCCATATGACTGCGAGCTAACCTGCTGATATGTCTCAGAATTCGTAAGTTTTCTTCTCAATAAGTCCTTGCGAATGGTCACTATATTACCTGCCAGTACCGTTACCATTTGACGTATCGTCTGATAACCGTGTAGGGAGAGTGAAATGCGACCAAACAAGGCCCCAGTGTAGAAGGTGTGTTTGTCCCAAATTCTGATCACCCGGTCGCTCATTGTCGCGTCGCTAGGTGTCTAGACACTGGGCGAAAATGCGAAGGTCCGGTACCTCGACGGATCCAGTTTTTCGGCGACGAATCTGCCACACCGAGCAACGCAGTCCTGTTACCGGAGGTAAACCTCTTCGCGCCGCAGCATAATGATGAGGAAAGATGGGCCTTTAACTACTTCCTCCATCGTGCTGCACCGATCTTCGCTGGCGTCGTCGATGGCCCCTTTTGGCTGGAATTAGTCCCCCGACTCGCACAATCTCATGCCTTTGTTTGGAATGTGGTGATTGCCTCCAGCTGGATATTCGAGCACGTAAATTACAACGACCTCGAGACCGCCTACACACCTTGTGATGCAAGTGCAGTCACGGACGTGGAGCACCGAAAGGCGCTGAAATGGTACCAAAGAGCTCTAATCGACTTCCGTCACCTTCTGGAAAGAGGGGAGGCGGACAATGATTACATCCTCCTGAGTTGTATCCTCTTCGCCGGTCTGGAGTTCCAGCAGTGAGTCACTCGCACCAGCAATCAGTGCCCTGTTCCGAGCCCCTTTGACCTGAGCCCCACTGACACTGGTTTGACACTGACGAAATTACAGGAGGCAAGTGGGCAACGCATGGCGTCTTATAGATACTGCATTTACACTCATCGACCAGAGTCTCTCCATGTCCCAGACACAGATGTCGAAACTGAAGGATCCGACCCTCTACGAATTCGTCACTGCTTTCTTTTCACGCAAAGCGGTCTTCATGGGACCGCTTGGGAGACCAATACCGCTCAAATGGAACATTCACCCCGCAAAGGAGACATTGCTGCCTTCAATGAAGTCTTCCCTGGCCGTACTCGAGGACGCTAAGGCGCAATTGGAAAGCCTCATGTACCAATCTTACGAAGTCGTGCGGGTGGGCCATCTGTTGTACCACGACGACTATGAAATGCAGAAATTGAAGCCCAGACAAGAGCTACATCTCAAAGCGGTGCAACAGTGGAAGGACACATTCCACCAGCTGTGCGTAAACGGGCAGGGTGATGAGAGGGGCTGCATCGTGTCGACTCTCCTTATGTACTGGGAGATGTGCTACATTTTGCTGGCCGTCTGCACCAGTCCGCTGCAGACGTCTTTCGACAAACATATGAACGGTTTCGCGGCCATCGTTGATGACGCCCAAATTGTTCTTCAGTGCATTGCTGCATCGGATAAAGAAGGCCAAGAACTCCTACGCGATGGCGACGTTATTCCTCCTCTTCTGTTCACGGCCACCAAATGCCGCGATCCGATTCTGCGGCGGAAGGCTTTGCAGTTACTCAGGCAGGCTCCATACCGAACTGGCTTGTGGTCTTCGGTAGCGTCGCCTGGCCTTGTGGAGAAAATGATTGCTGTCGAAGAAGATGGCGTGCACTTCTCAGCATATCCGGTTCCTTCGCCATCGATCTGTCCACCGCCAGAGGAGCGACGAATACACCACTTTGCCATTGTCAGAGGAGAGACTAGCGATGGTGGTCGTCGCCTCAAAGTTCGGCTGACCAAGGCTGCACCTGATACAATGGGCTCGTTGAGAATGGTCCATGAAGAGATTTGGGTGGAGGAACGCACGGAGAGCTGGCCTTGAAGGCGCGCATGGCAACTTCCGTGCGAGCAATAGCTCCGGACCTGAAAAGGCGCCTTCAGCGTGGAGTTTCCATCAGCACTCCAAGCAGTCTCCTTACGGTTCTCCCTCGACCCCGGCAGCATGACGACGATTGGACCACACGTCCACTTAACCATATTTTGCATGCGGTACGGCGGCACAGGGTGCGACAGCCAACGGACTGGCCTTGATTGTCATCGCAAAGTTCCTGATTGAGTCACGGATTTAGCCACTAACCCGGAGGTCCCTCCCATTTCTGCCACGCGATTACGCTGCACCTCAATGCGGCGAGGTCATTCTCTCGGGGGAGCACTGTCTGAACGGACGATCAGCAATGGTCGTGCGAATGAAAGGACCACGGTGTTATGTGAGCTTTGGAACGTTGCTGCAAACACTTACGAGCCAGCCAGTAATCCTCCAAATTCCGAAACGGCGTCATTGCGGGAGCTCCAGCAATTAACAACCCTGCTGGAGCCTTATGCTGAAGGAACAGTTTCACCTCTGCCGGCTAAATTTATACTGGCTATCGCAGGCGAGCGTACCGAACCAGCAGACCACCTCGACTGCGACACTTGTCATCACTACGCAGGTGACGGGGACGCCATCAAGCCAAAATCCTGATCGCGCTCGGAGAAGAGTATCTGGATCGAACTGGGCGATACACCAAACAGTTCCTTTGCAACATATTTCTGAGTACTCCGTAGAGTCAACATGAAGATGAATCGCGACACGAAATACGAGCAATAGGCGACCAGGCCCAGAATTGATTGATTTGTAATGACAGATAAATTCTGTCCCTTCGTGCCTGGTTCGTGCTGCTTCTATCCGGTCTGGTTCGTCAGACTTAGCTATTTCTTGCCGCAGATTGATCTAATCAAGATAAGATCCAGTTCAGAAAAAAAGTCTAGAACTTCAGTTTTTCTAGACCCCACCTCTGCATTGCCTGCATTCAACCATACCCTACGCAAGCACGGACCAAGAAGAGGGACTTCCTCACCGAAGCCGCGAGCATGGGCAAGCGCAAACTCGGTGCCCTCGAAAAAGTCGACGCCGACCTCGCGAACTTGCAGAATAAAATCAAACGAGATCCTCAATCCTACCACACCGACTTCCTGCACCAGTACATCCAGTATGAGAACCAGCGGCAGATATTCCTGCAAGCGCCCACGTCCGCGACAGACAGCGGCCTCATCTCCTTCCGCGAGCTGATCGACTTTGTGGCCCACGTGGCGAACTGTTACAAGGAGGAGACGAGGGAGTTTCCACGCCAGCTGGTCGAGATCCTGTCGGCGCATCATGCGCGGTTGGAGAGCGAGTTGCGGGAAAAGATCGTGGGGAGTCTGGTGCTACTGAGGAAAAAGGAAATCATCGACTCGAATACCTTACTTCAATGTTTCTTCCCGGTGTTGACGAACACGCCGAGCAAGTCGCTGCGGGCACTTCTGTATCAGAAGATCCTGAGCGATTTACGCGGTGCGAACGCGAAGACCACGAACCACAGGTTGAACAGGAGCGTGCAGACGACGCTGCATCATCTTGTGACGGAGGATCGGGCGTCGGCGAAGGCGCTGTGGGCGGTCAAGATCACGAGAGAGATGTGGAAGAGGCAGATCTGGACGGATGCAAAGGCTGCGGAGATCATGAAGGAAGCGGCGCTGGCAGATAATGAGAAGTGCATTGTCGGAGGGGTGCGCTTCTTTCTGGGTGGAGATAGAGAGCGAGAAGAACTCGAGGATGAGAGTTCTGATGACGACGTTGCCATTGATATGGGCAAATTGCGGCATCAGGTGGGCGTCAACAAGAAGAGTAAAAAGGCTGAGCGGAGGCTCGAGAAGGCGGCTGCGACGGTGAAGAAGAAGGAAAAGAAGAAAAGTCAGCCCCATCCCTTAAACTTCTCGGCCTTGCACTTGTTGCATGATCCGCAGGGCTTTGCGGAGACGCTGTTCTCGAAGCATCTACAGAACACGAAGTCCAAGTTGAATCTGGAGCAGAAGTTGCTCGTCTTGCAACTTGTGTCACGGCTGATCGGCCTGCACAAGTTGACTGTCATCAGCTTCTACTCCTATTTCTTGAAATACCTTACACCGCGACAGCCGTCGGTCACGTCGTTTCTGGCATCGTTGGCACAATCGACGCATAATCTGGTGCCGCCGGATATACTGGAGCCATTGGTACAGAAGGTTGCAAACGAGTTTGTTTCCGAAGCCGCTGCTGGGGAGGTGGCCGCAGCCGGGATCAACGCTATTCGAGAGATTTGTGTGCGACAGCCTCTGGCCATGAATGATACACTGTTGCAGGATCTGGTTATGTATAAGAAGAGCAAGGACAAGGGGGTCATGATGGCGGCCAAAGGTCTAATGGGCCTATACAGGCAAGTCGGTGCTGAGATGCTTAGAAAGAAAGACCGTGGCAGGGATGCTACCCTTGGCTTGAAGTCTGGTGAGCAGAAACAACAGCGATTCGGTGAGGAGGCGGTCGGAGAAATTGAAGGCATAGACCTCCTTGAGAAATGGAAGGAAGAGGAGCGACAGAGGAAGAGACTCGAAAAAAGTCTTCCGGCAGATGGCTCTGACAATGAAGATGAGGATGATGACGAAGAAGACTGGAATGCCTGGAATGTGCAAGACGACGAAGACAGCGATGACTCGGGTGGATGGATCAACGTCGAAAGTGACGAAGAGATCAATATCAGTGACAGCGAGGACGAGCAACCGGCAGCCAAGAAGGTGCGATTCGAAGCTCATGTGTCGGATGACAAAGAGAATGGAGTTGTAGAGAAACCCATTGAGGGGGAAGAAGCAGCCACCACGCAATCCAAGACGAACCTTGCCACGACTCGCATTCTGACGCCGGCCGACCTTGCAAAGTTGCAAGAACTTCGCGCAACAGCCTCAGTATCATCGCTGATGAAGAAAACTCATCACGCATCACAAAATACACAACAGACGAATTCCCAGCGCCATGTGGACGACCCTCTGACAGCCGCCGAGATCGAAGGTTTAGCAAACCTTTCACGAGGCAAGGCAACCCGTGCTCAAAAATTAGCTTTACTACAAGAACATAAAGCTGATCGCGAGGAGCATAAATCCAAGGCGGCAAGGAAGAAGGAGCGCAAAGAATCTGAGGGAAAGAGCACCACGAACAAGGAGAAGGCGCGGAAGAAAAACTTCCTCATGACGCTGGGTAAGGCTAAGTCGAAGGGCAAGAGAAGCCTTGTTGAGCATCGCAAGATTTTGAAAGCGCATGCTGAGAGAGGGAAAAAGGGCGGGAGGAGAGGCAATCGAGGGTAGATCTGTCTCCTTGTTGTAGACAAGTTATCCTAGAATTGCGCAACTCATTCTATCGCAGTCGATGGAGGACGACCATAATTATGGAGTATTGTGTCCGCAATCCGTATCTGGCACTCCTTACGCGTGGCATGTTGAGATGCAATCTCCTCTCAACCATTTTCCTGCGGTCAGCCTGCTTGTCCAGCCACGACGACCCCGCCCAATGAAAAGCCCACGCGCCAAATCGGAAGCCTCGCGTCAGTTTCGTGTCAACCTGCAGGATTTCAGGAACAGGGAACACGAGTTCGGCACTGGCGACCGTTTTGGCCAATCGTGAGACTCAGTCCGTGCCCAGCCCCGGACTTTGCAGGTGAGCGTCCGCAGCCGAAGAGTGAAACTGACACCTCTAGCGGCGGAAGCAGGGCCACTATTAATACCGCCATGCATGAATTTCAGGGACTCCAGGAGGCTGGGGCTTGCGATTACTGGTTGGCTGCGGATTTTCAGGCCAGCTCAAAGCAGAGCAAGGACAAAGTGAGGAAAGCGTGTGGCTTTTTTGACGGTTCCTCGTCTCTTGTCTCTCGTCGTTCGCTTGACGATTCAGTCGCTCCGGAAACTTGATAAGGATAAGGACAAGCTGACTGGCACATCCCGCAGCACGCTCCCGATTCCTTGTCCAGCATTCTGCAAGATTCAATCGTGACTTGCCGGACTCCAGAGTTCAGCAGTCCATCTCTCGTTTAATTTTATCTGACCTGGACCTCCTTCTTGACCAGCTCCTTCTCCCTTTTACTGCTCTGCTCTCTTACTCTCGTTCTCACTTACCCGCTGCCTCTCGGACACAAGCTCGACTCACTCGATACCACTCATTTCAGAGCATTACTATCTCAACCTTTAGACCCTGCTATTAAGTTAGTACGGCAATCTGTTCATCGTCCTCACATTCGCTTCAGAACCCACACCCGCCTCGTCTCTCACGATTGACACAGCACGACACGCTGCACCTTATCCTTCTCCTCATTGAGCCCTTGCAGTCATTCCTCACCCGTTCGACTATTAAACACACCATTACGCCCCTATAAACAGCATCATAATGGACGTCATGCAAGACTTTTCCCTTCCCGTCCCCTCTATTGAGGCAGCCTCACCTCTTTCCAAGCGACGTCGATTCGCTCCCGTGTCCCTGCCTTCCATCATTCCGGTCTCCGACAATTCGGACATCGAGCACCACACCTTTGACTCGCCGTTGCTCTTGCAGCTTTGCGAACAAGCGCCGGACCGGGCAGAAATCGAGGCAGGCCTTCTCCATGTCGGCATGAGGGTCAGAAAATCGGTCGCTGAAGGGTACAAAACTCAGCAAAAGAAGTTTACTCCTCGCCCTTTCTTTGACGCAAGACGGCTTTCTCCCGAGACTCAAGCTGCGCTCGCGGGTGGCAGTTCCACCAGCACGAACGAGCTTGCCCCTCTCGGTGCTGCGTCCCAGAATCTAAGCACTGCTACTTATTGCGGTATCAGCCTGGCCTTCCTTTCAGACTATGGTGATGACTGGGCCACTCCATCAATCTCTCAACAATCCCTCTGGTCTTATTCGACCAGCCACAAGCGCTCATATGACACCGACTCAGACAGCGACGAGAGCCAGGACTGGCAACCGCACACCCCCAACCTGGTTGCTGATGCAGGAATGCACCTGCCGGTCGATTATTTCGCCATTGACATGGACACCATGAGTGATGTCAACCCCATGGCTCAGATTGGCGAGCGCACGAGGCAGAACTTTAACGGTAGACGCATGGCCATGCCCAAGTCCCGCAGTCGATTCCACCATCAGGCCGAGCCGCAGATACCCTCTACCTCCACAGTCAACCCTTTTGCGAATTTCGCAGCTCCACAGTCAGGCGCTCTGTTCGGCGGACATTTTGGCCACAAGCGAATGATGAGCTGTGGTATGGAAGCCGCCGCAGATTTTGGTGAAGCGCCTTTCTTGCAGCGACGCGAGGACATCGAGATGGACTGCTCTTGAACAGCCGATGACTCCAGTTTATTCTACATTTATATTTACCATTGGGGTTTATTGTTATGCATGGAATTGATTTTATGAATTCAGGAATCGTCGAACCCATTTGGAGGCGGCGTTCGGCGCGAACCGCGACATGACCTGAAGATGCGTTTGCATTTGTGGTTCAACGAAGTGGGGAGGGGGCGCAAGCGCCGAACGGCGAACAAACAACGCTTTGGGGAAATCATTGTAAATTATGTGGTTATGCGAGACGGGTCATCATGGGAGAGACACCAGGCACCGAAGTTTGTATAAAAGGGCCTCCCTGAATTGCCGGGTTGGAAAATGCCTGCATTTAGCACAGCTTATATGCCTCTAGTTAATGGAAGAACAGGACAGTCGGCAGTAGTTGGAAATGACTGCAAGGGCATGGAACTCATGGTCATGCTCTGCATGAGAAAATCTGGACGTCAGCTAGATAGTAGAAAAATGAAAGCATCAAGTGAATTGAAAGGCGTTGGACTTCATCCTTTACCTACCATACTGAGTATGCCCTTTCAAGGTTGAGTGGACTGTGCACAGCACGACATGTACACTCAGCAGCAAGGGGCTGCAATCGCATCTGTCGACTACAGAAGTCGGTCCTCGAAACTTTGAAATGCATCGTCCAACTCAGGGGTGCGTAGTGGTTACTGTACGCTGACATATAAAGCGATCATGTTACGGAATATGTACCAGCTCACTCACCTACTCACTCTTTCATTCACTCCGTCTTTTGCTCGCTTGCTCACGGTGCCATCCGTCCTGGCCACTCTGTACGTATGTATTCAAGCGCAGTACTGACGCATAATACAGTATCACCGCGGCATGGCATGGCTTTTACTGCGTACCTAACGATATATATTACAGCACAAAACGTAGCACAGAATATGACGCACACACAAAAGCGCCGCGAACACGAACTCCGTGCCAGCATGCAAGATTACGGAGGCCCTTTATCGGAGCCCTTTATCCTGCCTCAAGGGCTTGTTGCAACTTCGGTACATTGATTTTGACACTCCACGCCACATCACATCGCATTACGGTACGTACTCTGGCTGCGCATTATCCAAGTGTCTACATACAGTAGGAGGCGTGGGAGCGCTCACCCTGCCCTCTACTCGTTTCTCTCGTACACGCACGTCTCTGCAGCCCAAGGCGCCTTCATTACTTAGAATGCAATGTAAGCTGTAATGTTCGTCGAAAAGCGGAGCGTTTTCAAAAAGCAAACCTGCCCGGCGCGCTTGCCTGGCTGATCTCCCTCACCGTCCTGACACCGCCGAGGCCTGCATTCTCCTTGCCAATCCCATTGACGACGACGGGCCTACCCTTGGTCGGACTTCTGGCTCCGCCACCGGTGTTCTCCTTTCCCACGTTGCCGCCTTCGAGCGATCTCTTCAAGTTGACGCTTCGGGCTCGGTCTCGTCGCGCGCGGATCTGCGCGAGTGCGGCTTCGCGGCTGATGGGCGTGCCGGGGACGTTGGTGAGCATAGCTTGGTGGGAGGAGGTGACGAAGGTCGGCCGGGATGCGGACTGGGGATAGGTGATGGTTGACGGGGGGATATTTTCGGTGCAAATGTTGAGGACTTCGGTTTGAGCATGCTCGTGCAGGGTCGAGCGTGGGTGGTGCTCCGGACTGAACACGTCGTCTGCTTCTGGATTGCTGCGGAGGGGGACTCTTGTCGTGGTAGTTGTGGCGATGGTTTGTGGTGGGCTTGTCGTTTCCCGTTCGGTGCCGGTTTGCTGCACCTGCGCTAGAGTATGCATGGATCTCGCTTGCTTGTGGACAGGTGTCATTGGGAAGACGGTGCTTGCCGCGGGCGACGCAGACGTGTCCTTGACGAATGCAGATTGCATGTCTGAGTCATTGTGGTGAGACATTACTGTTGAGGTCACCAAGGGTGACTGGGTTCGAAGATTAGGTTTTGATTGAGCTCGTCTGTGCAAGCTCGTCCGTGGTGGCGAGTCCTTGAGCGCTACCTTGGTGATGGTCGTTGTCGTTGCTGATTTCGGTATGGCCTGCGTTCGATCTCTAGCAGCAGGTCGGATGCTATCGCGGGATGATCTGGCTGAACGAGGTGATTCTGGAACCAGACGGATGGGTGAATTTGCATTCAAAATACCCATCGCTGTAGAAGGACGTCTGGGCGGAAGTTGTTTCGGGGGTGAAAGGTCGAACAAATCTGCGTCGAGTACAGCTGAGGCACTCTCCGTGTGTCGAAGAGGTGGAGCCACAGCTCTCAGGTCGGCGTTGCTTGTGGTTGAAGTTGAAAAGGCAAAGGTTTTGGAGCCGGTGGCCTGCTCAACCAGGACTTGTGTGATCTCCTCCAGTTGAGCGGTAGGCTCTAGTGTAGTATTGCTCGAGTCCAATTCCATTGGGTCAGGCTCAGGAAGGGGGACTTCTATGGCTTGTTCGAGGACCAAAGGCGACTCCAAGCATCGACTACCCAGGTCTGGGGTCGGTTCTGGAGGCAGTCTCGCTGTCTCAGGCATTTTCGGCACAAGGTATTGTTCTTTGGGCGCGCTGTCCTTAAGCACAACCTCCTCTGTTTCCTTCGAGATCTTTCTCTTCTTCGACACTTGCTGCTGCTGCATCTTTGCATCATAAACCGCATCATGGACAAATCTCTCACCGTTCGACTCTGCCAGACGGCAAGGGCAAGCCTTAAATTGGCACTGCATATGCATAAGGTGGATCAAGTCGGCGTCTTCGGTGTGCTTCCGCTTTGCCCAGGTAAGTTCTTGCTTCAAAAATTGAATCTCCTCTTCAGGCGCCATCTTCTCTCTTTCCGACTGCTTACTGAAGTAATTCAGATGCGATATCACAGAGGAGAAGTCCGGGATCTGTGGTGCGCGCAGACGTGGTAGTCTCTCGGTCGTGATGCGGCTCCTAGATGCTGTACTTTCAGAAGATACAGGCCGAGGATCACTCACGCTGTGCGCGTGATGCGCCCACTGACTCTTGATTGCTTCTCTTACCGCCATGATCGATGCGGATCTATCGTCCTGTGCCTCTTCCTTTCTCGGCTCGGTCTCTGCCACGGAATCGGTCTGGATCCCCTTCTCGAAGGTGGTGCTCTTCTCAATAGCGTTGGTTTTGGCTTCCACAAGCGCAGCATCCCTCTCCCTCTCGACCACCTTCAACTGGTCTTTGACCTGCTCTAATTCTCCCACTGTCCCAGCCAGGGCATAAGCCCTCTCAAAACTCTCCTGCCTCGACTTCTCTTTTTCACTCTTCTCATGCTGGATGTCTGCCTGGCATTTCTTTAACTCTGCCCTTGTCTCCTGAAGGTCCTGTCTAGCTTCAACAACAGCCAACTCAGCCCGGTATGTTTCTTTACGGCAGCGCTTGATTTCCTTCGTGTAGGACTCTTGGTCGCGGACCCGCTTCTTTTTGTCGGCTTGGAGCTCCTCGAGTAGGTCTTCGACGCGTTGGGAGAGCATTCGTTCGCGCTTCTTACGGGAAGCGAGTTCTTCTCTGGCGCGCTCGAGTTCGGCGGATAGTGTTGCGAGGCTTGCTTGGGCTTCTTCGTAGCCCATTATGGCTCGTTGGAAAGCTGCATTGCTGCCGTTGACCTCGCTCTTGATGGGAGAGGCATTTTCCGAAGGTGCAGCGGCTCTTCTGGAGCGGGTTGGCGAGGATTGCGTGCTGCCGTTGGCCAGGCTGTTGAGGAATGCAACTTTCGTCTGAACATCGGATGCCATAGAGTCGCGCGTACGTGGACGGTCATGGTCCACGAGATAGCTGTGTAGGGAGGGTGACTGAGGGATTCGTTGCTGGTTCATACGCTCGGGTGATAGCTGGTGCAGAGGCGTTGCAGGTGGAGGGCATTGAAGGGGGTTTGGACTAATGTGCGGATTTTGGTCTTCCATGGTATCGTCGACGGCTATTACCGATCCCATCATGCCAACAGAGCAGAAGTGTCCTTTGTTATAGACCTGTCATGTTCCGAACTGAGGTGATACGTATTGCAAGGGTAGCCATGAAGAGTGCAGCACGCTCAGAAGTTTGATTTATTGTTTACACCCCTAATCGGGAAAGGCGGCCTTGGCACCGTCATGTTCTGCTTAGTCATTCATTGGCTCCCACTGGACTTTACACGAGGACAACAGCTTCCTCGAGTGCCTCTGCCGCCTCTGCATCCAGAAACAACTCTCCTCTCATAATCCCTTGGATATACGCCTCGCCGATAAGCACGTAATGATCTGAAGCAGCTGCTGTCGTCTCTCCCGCGTTGCTGTCTGCCATCACCTTTCGAACGACCAACGGCACATTCGCCCCCCTGAAAACGTAGCACATATCTCCCGCCTCAACTGCCCTATGACCGACGCCGTAGTATCCCCTGCTTGTGCGGAAAAGGCGCCGATTGTGCAAAGCTCTACGTTGATTGCTTCCGCCGTAAGTCAGTGCTTCCAGTTTGATTGAGTTCTGCTCGTCTTCCTTGCGCTGAACATTGTTATCTCGTATGTCCTCTTTGGATGCAGGTCTCTGGTCGGTATCCGTGCCACCGAGCAGCATTTTATACGCCTGGTAGACAGCACGGTGGTGATCGGGATCATCTTCCGAAGGCCCTTCATCTGCGCCGCGACCTGCGGCAAGAGTGAGGCTGAATGCATATTCTTGGTCTTGAGTGCTCGAACCATATATTGTGTTGTTATCGTCATGCTTCTGGAGCTCCCACCAGAGCTGCTGCAGAGGCGCCTTCGCCTTCTGCGGTTCAAGTCGGAGTTCGTCGGAGTCGAATGGTCGAGAGGTCCAACTGATGGAATCCACTATAATGCCATACAGGATCAACGAAGATCCCGCTGGTGAAACTTCAGACCGAAAGGCATTCGAGTTGGTCCCACCCGCTCGATACCACATATCTGTGTAGCCGAGCCAGTAGACCCGCCAACCTTCGTCCCAACGGGGAACCCAAGAAGGACGTCGACCGGAAAGCGACGGAGAGCCTTGGGTATGGTCCACACATGTCAGCACCGTCCATGGGTTTGAATCAGTGTCCAGGATGCGTCTCGCGATGTCCAAGTAGACTTGATCGACAGATAAGCTGTAATCGGGGACCAGAAGTCTCGTCTGCGCCAAAGGTTCACACCCGGCACTTGGATGGCCCAGAAAAGCATACACACGATCTCTTTGGTCGGTGGCTTTGTAACCCCGTGAGTCGTTTAGTATGTTGATGAAGCTTGCTTGGCCTTGATTGTCGTTCAGCGATCGGGTCATTGGCAGTTCGTTCCTCCAAGAGCTGGGATTGCCATAGGACCGCCACAGGTCTTCGTAAAAATCCCAGATCATGCCAGACTTGATATTTCCAACATGTGAGGATACGTCGGGACGGGATGCCACAATCAGCATCAGCTCCACGAGGTAGGCCCAATTCAATGAGGAGTTCCCATAAAGTACGACTCCTGATCTAGCCAGGCCGATTTCTTGTAGCACCCACACCCTGCTAAACCATTCAGTGTCCATCAGTCTCTGCACCATTTCCCATTGCTGGGTGTCTGAACAAATACGACCGCTTTCCGGCGTGATGGTGGGGAAAAGACTGACGCCTCCGTATTCGGCGATCAAGTCAGCAAGAATGGTGGTTGTGTCCCTGATCAACGTGAAGCACTCTTTCGCTTCATCCCTAAGATCTGGTCCAATCCAGATAGTGACGCGGTCCGCGCTGGAATATATCTCACTCATTTGCTGCACCTGAGATTGATGTCAGAACTGTCAGACTTCCGGGACTCGTCGCGGATAGCTCGTAGTGCCCATACGCTCAGAACTTACTTGGCTCGATCGCTCCTCTATGTTCTCCTGGTCGATACATACGGCGTCCGCCCAGAGATACCTGATCTCGTTCCGCTGGCGTATATGCTTCAGTGCACAGGCTAGATTCTCTCCAATGCGCATGACTCGACCGTCGCAATCCATTTCAACTGCGTCTACATCGCCGACACCCCAGACATAAGACAATGCTTCAAATGAGGACGGGGCGGCAGCATCATGGATCTTTCGAGCTTCCAGGCTGCATGAAAGTCGGTCGTTGGCCGATCCAGGATGAAGTCTTATGATTCGTGTCCAGCCTTTGATGGGCAGCGGTGTGTACTGGTACTTCAACGCGAGAGGTGCCGACGCCTCAGCACGAATCACTAACGATAGGTCTGGGACTGTGACTGTTGACATGATTTTCTGAGTTTGGGACGGCAAAGGTCAGGCTAGCATGGCTCTGTGAAGCGGTCGACAGCGCAGCACCTGAGATGCGCACATGGCGATTGATGCGAGAACTTTGAAGAGCGCATGTTCTCGTGCTGGCGATGGTAAGGCTGAAAACCTGACTGACACTGGACAAAGGAGAGTCCAGGCTCGGGAACTTTCGGTGCACAGCAGGAGGCTATGCGCATCTCGCTTGCATGCCTTTCACCGCTGCGTTCAAGGTCATAGCGAATCAGATTCCACGATTTCCCGCCGTGGTTAGAAGCCATCAGGGAAGTAAGGGGGTCAAATACGAAATATCGCTTGAGCGGCCTCGTCCTCAGGGTCTCATTCTGTCCGAGTGGGTAGAGCTTGTTGTAGTTTAAGAGTTAGGAAGCTCGAACTAAACCCTGCTGCTTGCAGTGTCGTGACAACTTAAGGGAGGTAAGGTGAATTTAAAATTGTCCGGCCTTCGATCTCAAGCCTTTGAAAGAGGAATCATCGTCACCTGTCCGTCATAGGTTCCCCACCAAATCCCCCTCCCTAGGTAGTCCGTCCTGCGTAGGCGTTACTACGCAACCCTTCCTCGACAAGGTCTTGAATGATTCCAATGTCTATAATCATTCACCTGAAGGGCTTCTTCAACATCAAACATGCTCACCGATGGATAGGTTCGCGTCACGCTGATCATGACGTCGCGCCTACTGAAATACTGTAGTGATAAGGATCCGCGTCACAAGACTGGAAAAGTACACAATAGTGGTGGTAGCCCATCTTCCCCATCAGCTTCAGCGCTGAAAACTTCCGTGTAATTCGATCCTAAAGCTGAAATGACTACGGTTATGAATTGGATAAAAACGATTTGTGTTGCAATCGACCATAGGATATGGAAAACAGGGCTTCCCGTTCGCTCAGCCGTACTTAAGCCATATGCCGGTCAGTTAGTACTAAGGTGGGTGACCACTTGGGAATCCTGGCTGTTGATTGTTTTTGCTCATAAACAAAGATAAGAACCGCGTCCGCCGGAGTACTCCGTAATCTTTTTAATATATTTTAAAGCTACAAAGATGTAGGCGAGGAGTTGGACCTCTACAGCCTGGCCTTTGCCGAGAAAGCATGAGCATTGCTTCGTACTCCGAACTGTATCTCTGATCCCACTTTCTACGGAGATCCTCAGCCCCGCATCATCCTCTCCTACCACAGTACGGAGTACTCGTACATACTCTTCACCAGGTAATATTACTCCCCATGACCCTCAACATCATGACCTCAGCATCCCGCTGTACGGAATGAGCCTGTACATCATCGTATGCTTGTAGTTTCCTACGTTTGGTTCTCGACGGGGCGTAAGATGCGCATCGAGCATCGAGCATCGAGAGTCGGCTCTGTCTCGAGACATCGAAATTGCCTGTTCAGGCATCATTGCTGAAGAAGGCTAGTCCTAATTCCTGTGCATGTGAATTCCCCTACCTGGTACGCTATTCCGCACTGGTTACCTTCTCATCAACCCAGCGAATGACTTCGTGAATGACCAATTCATCGGTCGCTATTTCCCCCGGTGTGATTCTGTGAGGGCCTCAGCTCGATGCATTCTTCCCGGCTTGGAATCGCGACTCGTCTAGCTCTCGGTCGTTACAGCCTGTTTGCACACTGCGGACGATGACGACTGCGGAAGGCCTCCTGTCCAAACATCAGGCCGGCCAGAACTCGTTAGTACATGTGTACGAAATAACACATGCCCTCGGCGGCGAGGCTGACAAATGCGCCGGCCCGAGCTCCTTGCAATCTGAATTCCATCGAATGGCAAGCACAGCGAGCCCGAGGGTTCGTGCACACTCAAGGACGGCGCTGTGCTCGGATCCGGGCGGGCATATCCACCCATACCAAGACATTGGGGCCGGCATCGTACGGCCCGGTCAGCAGACGAGTATCCTTGAATCGATCATTGAAGGTATAAAGAGCTGGAAGAATCCCCCTTCTGCTCCATGCTCCTGAGAAAAAGGTACTGTATATCGACTCACGTCCCAATTTGAGCCCCCATCGTCGAGAAAAGCAGTTCGCTCCCTGCCCCTCGTCCTCCTTCTACACTCTCGCGGACATCCGGCCAGCAAACCGGTGAGCCAAATCCACAACAACCAGCGAGAAGAATCCGGCGACTCAACAATGTCCCATCTCACCTACTTCAACTACCCCGGCTTCGGCGAGCAGATGGCGGACATGTACAGCCAAGCCGTCCGTGTGGGTGATCGGATCGAGTTAGCCGGACAAGGTACGTAAAGTGCATGCGATCTGTCTGCGATGTTCGAGATGACGAAGGAAAGAGCCGCCCAGATCGTGGCAGATCTTCAGCTTGATATCCCCCCATAGGGACATCTTGTGTGACAGCAGTTCCACCACATCGCCTCCCCTCCTTAACGTTCAACTCCTACGTATCTAACACAAAACTGTACCTCCGTAGGCGGCTGGGATCCCACGACCGGCGCCCTCCCCGCGGACACACCCGCGACCACGCAAATCGAACAGGCGTTCAAGAACATCGACCTCGCGCTGCGCCACGCGGGCGCTTCAGGCGGGTGGACCCAGGTGTTCCGCGTGAACAGCTACCACATCCCGCTGGACGACTCCGTGCTCGCGAAGATGAAGGCCGAATTCGAGAAGTGGATGGGCACCCACAGGCCGATCTGGACGTGTGTCGAGGTGCCGAAGCTGGGGCTTGAGAACATGAAGGTTGAGATTGAGGTTGTTGCGCACGTACAGTAATTGGCTGTATAGGTAGCTTTACGGGCATGTATATGCAGTATTACAGTACACAGAAACAGTCACAGCGCTTCTAGCTCGAGATGCCTAGTTCCCAACCACCTTCTGCGAAGCCCCCTCGATGTGAGGATGGCCTTTGCCGGGTGTAACGCCAGGAATCCGGCCCTTGTACTGCGGAATCCACTCGTTCTCGAATTTGCCCCGCGGCTGCCTCAGTCCGTTCTTGACCCGCCGCACGAACCGGCCGTGCGATTTGCTGCCCAAGACGCCGCCCTCGTCACGCGACCAGACGACTTCCCCCCTGCTGATCGTGTAGCGTGGCCAGTTGCCGAACTTGATGCCTTCAAACGGCGTGTAGTCGCACGTGTGGTGCAGCATCTCGTTCGTCAGGTCGAACGAGACCGCCTCGTCGGGATACCAGACGACGATGTCGGCGTCATACCCTGCAGCCAGGCTCCCCTTTGTATTGAGACCGTATAGCTTGGCCGGATTGGAAGACGTGACTTCGACGAATTTCTGCACGCTGATCCGTCCCTCCTGGGCGCCCTTGTAGATTAGGGGCAGTCGGGTCTCGACGCCCGGCAGTCCGTTCGGTATGTCGGTGAAGCGGGAGACACCGTCCTTTAAGCCCATCTGCTTGCCGAGTGGGTGGTGGAAGCTGAATGGGCAGTGGTCGCTGGAGACGGTGGTGAAGGTGCCGTTCGCAATCGCTTCCCACAGGGCGTCCAGATCGGCTGGGCTGTCTCGTAGAGGAGGCGAGCACACGCACTTGGCACCCTCGAAGTTCTCGCCTCGGAGTCGGTCCCGGAGCAAGTACAGGTACTGCGGGCACGTCTCGGCGTGGATGGGGAGCAGTTTGGTCTGCGCGTCGCGGACATGGCGCGCCGCGACGGCGCTGGACACGTGGACCAGTAGGATGGGCGTGTCCATGAGTTGAGCAAGGCTGATCGCTCGATACGTCGCTTCATCTTCGGCGACCTTGGGTCGTGCAACCGAGTGATAGTAAGGGTCACCCAGCTTCTGCTCGTACAGCTGCTCGATGATCAGGTCGATCATATCACTGTTCTCGGCGTGGATCATGGTCGTCATGCCCAGGGCCCGGGTAGCGAGCATGATGTTCAAGATCTCCCGATCCTTCAGCTTGAGCGGGTCGTACGTCATGTACAGTTTGACAGAAGTGATGCCTTGCTCGACCATGAGGGGCAGTTCTTGCTCCACGATTGGTCGTGTCGGGTTGGTCAGGATCAAGTGAAAGGAATAGTCACAGTATGTCAGACCGGCCGCCTTAGCTGCGCGTTAGATGTCGTGCAAATCGGGGTTCACAACGGTCTGTTGGACTTACCTTTTTGTGGTAGGCCTCGACCACAGGCAGGACACTGTCGTCGGTCTTGGCCTGAAACGCGAACGTAACGATGGTAGTGGTGCCGCCGGCAATGGCGCTTCTTGAACCGTCCTCGAAATTGTCGCCCAGGGCGCCATTGATGTGCTGGTCCAGGTGAACGTGAGTGTCGACGCCTCCAGGTGTCACGTATGCGCCCTGGGCGTCAACCACCTTCTTGGCGGTGAATATGCCTTGAAGAGCTCCGATGCATAGGATCTTGCCGTCCTTGACGGCGATGTCTGAGGCTGGAGGATAAATCAGATCACTTGGCGAGACCTGGCTGTGGTTAGCACTTCGCAACTCGCTCAGTCAGTAGTGCATTGCTCACGATGATACCGTTTGTGACCAAAAGATCGCATTCCAGCGTCAACGGAGCGTAGCTGCCCATTGTAGCAGGGCTCTGTTATGGAAGATACGAACAGACCAGTCCAACTTCCTTCGTTGCTGGTCAGTGGGATGTAGTCAAGCGGATGGCGGCGATGAACCTCTATCTCAACCCAACTGAGTGACGAAAGTCGAATAGGTAATTCGTATTTGTGGTGATCCAAACCGACGTGCGATTGCTGCCGGCTTGTCTGTTTCCGAGAGCCATTATCCCGTGCCGTTGTAGATGCCGAGCCATTTTCGAATTTGGTATTGAGATCTCCGCCTCGAAGCATCCACCCAGTACTATGGTAGTTGATATTGAACTTAAGACGGCAGGCTTAATTCCCATTGGGCAAGGCTGCGGTTCGTATCAGATGCAGGGGTTCTGGGCAAAGGGCCACCGGCTATACTCCGCTCAGGCGCTCTACTCCGACGCCTGAATTGAGAAGATACCTGGCTTGCTGGCGAATGGCCGTTAATTGTGGCAGCAATTCAAGGTCGGCCGTTATCGCGGATTTGTCCATCGGACGCCACTGCACACGCCAGTAGCTTACCACGTGGGTAACGTGTACCCAGTTCCCGGACAGACAGGCCCACTCCGTAAACCAATACCAGCGCATCCACCTATGTAGTCTTGTCTGTGGGCTAGCATCCAAGTCTCAATGCACCATATGGGTCCGGAAATTGTGCATTCTGATCATCTCTTAGACTTGGATTTGTGTTGCCATGTGGTCATAATCCACAACGATAACAGACCGGCTTCCAATGTAAATTATGTGCAGCGAGGTCGGTTAGCCGCCACTCGACTTTCCCTTCGAGTCGTGAGATAGACCCGAGCAGCCGTTCGCGGCATTCGTGGCGAGTATTCGGGCAGCTTATCTCTCTCAATCAAGGTGTAGATCATCGGATCATCGGGAGCATGGCCAGGCTGGGCCCTCGTAGCTCCCTTGTCCGCCTCCTACCCACAATTCGAGTTCTCGAGATGGCCGGGTACCTCGGGTACACTGTAGATAAGGTAGGAAGTCAGCTGCGTAGCCTTTGGACGGCAAGGGTATATTAGGATAGGTCTGGTTGTACGTCGAAAGGGCGTCCTGGTGAATGCTGCATACTCGCCAACAACGGACTCACGAGCACTCGGCGAGGCCTGCCACCATCCGCCATGGCCTTCAAGCAGTTTTGGGATGAGCACGTGGTGCTCAAGCGACATCCAGGCTCGTTTGGCGCAGGCGATCCTGCTGCCCTCAAATATACCAATGAGGACATGGATCCTATCAAGAGGAAGGACCGTACATACGCCTGGTACCAGATGGGTTTGTTCTGGATTGCTGAAGGCTTCAACGCGGCCCAGCTCGAGGTCTCGAGTGCAGCATTCTCGCTCGGCCTGAATCCTGGTCTCTGCGTCGTGGCCTGCCTCGTTGGCAATCTTATCGTCTCCTGGCCTTGCGCAGCGTCTGGCTACCTAGGTAGCAAGCTCGGAACGAACTTTCCCGGAACCGTCAGAGCGTCATTCGGTATGATCGGATCGAAATGGGCGATGATTGTTAGAGGCGTGCCTTGTATCATCTACTACGGCATCCAGTGCAGTCTGGCTGGACAGGCAGTGCAAGCCTGCACCACAGCAATCTGGCCTTCGTTTGCTCACTGGCACCTCGACGCCTTCCCGAAGTCGGCAAACATCACCCCCCCTCAGCTTTTGTCCTTCACCATCTTCTGGCTATTGTCGTTGCCATTTCTCTGGCTGCCGATTAAGACGCTGCGGTATCTATTTGTCGTCAAAAGCGTTCTGGTACCTTTGTTCTGGACGGCACTATTCACCTGGTCAATTACTGCAGCTGGAGGATGGCCGAAAGTTTGGAGAGAACCCAGCAAGCCACTTGATGGGTGGTCTGTCGGCTACCTCTTCGGAATTTGTGTTAATGCAGCCATTTCGGGCAACGCGACATTTGCGGTCAACATCATGGATATTTCCCGACACTCCAAGAACGATACAGCAGCGTGGGCAACGCAGCTGTTTGCCTTACCTGTCCTGGTGACCCTAACTGAATTCCTGGGATGTACCATGGCGGTGGCCTCGTCTGTCGTATATGGGCACGTCGAATGGAACCCACTGAGTGTGATCAACAACTTCGACAACAGAGCCGGCAAGTTCTTCGCGGGTGCCTGCTTTATTTTCTTCAACATCATGACGAACGTTACCGGCAATTCGGTCCCCCTGGCAAATGACTTGACCGGGTTGTTCCCCAAGTACATTAACATTCGGCGCGGGCAGTTTATCTGCGCCGTCATCTCATTCGCCATCTGTCCGTGGGAGATTCAGGCCAAGGCCACGACCTTCTTGGCTTTCTTAGGAGCATATACCTTGTTCCTTGGTGCTACCACAGGTGTGATCATGGTGGACTACTTCTGGGTCCGGAGAGGATACGGCATCAACATCTCGCATCTCTTCAAGCCTCATGGCATCTACTGGTATGATTTCGGCTTCAACTGGCGAGCATTCGTTGCGTGGTTTGTTGCGATTGCGCCGCTCTTCCCAGGCATGTTGTACAGCATGGGCGTGCCGGTTGCCAACCGAGGCATCCTCAACATGTACTCGTGGAATTATGTACTCGTGGTTGTCTTCTCCGGGCTCGTGTATTTCATCTGCACAACTCTTTCGCCCATCCCCGTCAGGACTGAGGAGGAGGATTACGGGAAGTTGTACCTGATTGAGGGTCTGGAGCCGACCAGCGAGACCGCGTCGAGCACTGGTTACAAGGCAGACAGCGACATCGAAAAGCGTGTCATCGACGCAAAGATCGCGCCAACCACGATCGATCCCGTTGCGTAGGATCTGAGGCACATGAGCCGCAAACCAATGTACATAGAGTTGAACAAGAGCTGAATCTCGATGCAATATTTAATACAAAGTGGCATTGTCCCTCGTGGCGCGATTTGGCAAACCTGCCAAGAGCTCGGCACGGGCCCATTCATGTAAGCAACACTTTTCAATCCAATGTTGAGCCAATCGGAGCGCCACCGCATCCTCAGCCTTGCACTCCTTAATGACATCGTCCAGATCGCGACATTCGTGTAAATGAAGCAACGCACATCTCCATGTTCAGTAACCCATTTTTTGATATCTCTGGCTTGGTTCGCCGACGTTTTTGATAGACCGACATTCACTCTTTGCCCCTGGCACCAGCCCTCCAGATCATACCTACAGCGGTTTACGTCCCTTCATTCGAACTAGACGAGCAAGCGCCCAAGTAGTCATTGTCAAATCCAACCAATCCGACAGTTGAAATTTCCACTTGGACCGCCCAAAGACTCCTTTAGGATAGTTCCATCGGGACATAGGCGACTTGTGCTCGAGACCCAGCTAGGTCCAAGCCGAGTCCACCAACCAATCTGCAAGCATGGCTCAAGATCAAGAACAATCGACATACGACCCGGCCACCACATCCTCAAAAACCGGCACCTTCTACTTCGCGTTCGGCTCCAACTTGTCGGCTCACCAAATGTCCCTCCGTCTCCGACACTCTCCATCATCCAGTATTCCCGTCGCTATAGGCCGACTGGATTCGCACGCCTGGATAATCTGCGAAAGGGGATACGCCAACGTCGTGGCGTTGCCGCAGTCCAACGCCGCCACTGACGCCAACACCGTCTGGGGTGTTCTTTACAACATGCACCCCGTGGACGAGGCCCGACTGGATCTCTACGAGGGACAAAATGAGGCAAGAAACCCCAATCCCATACGGAACAACGACCCGGAGACGCAGATGATCAAGCGGTTCGAGCAGGGAGGCTGGGATTACAACAAGCATTACTTGCCCATTACTGTGACGAAGTGGCTGAGAGATCCGCGCGAGTATGGGATCGATGTGCCTGATTGGGGTGCTGCTCAGTCCGTGAATGGGGAAGCATCCAGTCCGGCTGGAGCCCATAACACCACGGTCCGCGCACTGGTTTATGTGGACGAGTACCGGACCACCCCTGGGAAGATCGTCCATGAATATATCGGACGGATGAATCGTGGGATCGAAGAGTCCGTGCGCCTCGGGTTGCCGCAGTCGTGGGTGGACAACGTGATGAGGAAGTTCATTCCCCCGGGTATTTACGTCGACCATGACGGCTATGTGGGCACGGATGATGGGTATGTCGAGGCGGAAGCGACAGAGACGGATGAGCATGTCACGGAGAAGATGCTGAGAGAGATGGGAGAAGGGGAGAAGGCGGCGTGGAGGTCATAGTTCTGTACAGAGAGGATTCTCGGCATACCTCAGGATCGATATAGGATGTGGACACGGGTTCTAGAATAGAATTCGTCATCCTACGGTACTTAGACACGGGAGTGCATAGAGACCTCATCAGTGCTCAACCTCACTAGGTCCCTTGGCTTAGACACGCTTCAGCGGCTACCTTCCTGTCGGGCCTCTTAGGCGTGCGATAGAACAAGCTGTCCGCTGGTGTGAACTATGGCCGGCGCACAGCCTCTGCTTTGCCCAGGCCAAGGTCTAGTCGACATCATAGCAATTGTAGTTCAGCCACGACCTGAGCATTATGTGCTTTTAGAGGTCGAGTGTGGTGTCAGCTTTTAGGCTGAAATCGATATCACAGCAATTGTATCTCGCCCACGAAGTGAGGATTATGTCCCTTTGAGCGGTCTACAGTGGGCCGTGACGCTACATTAGTTCTATTTCCAGCACAATGAAACCACGTTGTAAGTGTACGAGTAGCATAAGCGAGGTTTGATGTGTTCGGGTCGACTGCCCGTCAAACCTCTGACGCGATACGCCTAGCGGCTGCTTCACGAGTTCTTCAAGGCTATAGACAGTGTAGGTGATGTCGCGAATGAGGTCGGGGTAGGTGATCCGAATTTCCAAGTAACGGCGGGGGTCGACCGCGAGGATCGACGGCGCGGATAAATGTGGTCGCTTGTATCGGCTTCACACGGGCGAGACGCGCTCTTGAAATCTGAAACCGCTTGCCAAATGGAGACGCTCACGACGTCGTCAATGAAGACATAGCTGGATGGATCCGTGGCGGACTTCGTAGCTCGTGTCTCGAGATCCCTGTGAGATGCGGCCGGGAATCAAGTATACCCGGGTGCATACAAGGCTTCGAAGAGACTCGAGGCTCGATCGCCACGTCAAGTAATATGAATTCGTGCGCAGCGCCTCAGTGCCTGCCGCAAGAGTGTTGGTCGGTGCAATTGAAGCTTCGTCCAGCATTCTAAAAGGGAAATTGTCTTGTCGAAGCAAGCCCGTCAGTGCCGTCGTCGGGGTCATGGGAATCCTATCCTGAATTCGTGACGATTAAGACCAGGCCGGGAAGCTCTCCATGCCGCACGATCTTGTTCATAGCCTTTATCTCCTTTCTTGACGACCTAACCTGCCACCCATGGCCCATGGGAAGCTAGCGGCAAGTTGCGCAAGATCTCTGGTCAGCGCGTCGAGCGATCCCTTGTTCCGAGGAGGTGTCGCTGATTCGAAGCATAAGCACTGCTGGGGTCTATCACTCGAAAAGTCCACCTTGTTGGGGGAGGGTACGAAGACGTACCTCGAGGTCTTCCATTTGCCGAGCGTGAAGAGAGATTTGGCCAACCTGCCCTCAACATTGGCGCAAGAAATCCATTATTTGTGTCAGGCTTCGAACCCACCTCCGTTCCCAATCAGTTTGCAGACGTAGAAAATCATCCACGATCTTCGTGGTGGCATTCGTGGAGGTTGACAGATTGACGAAAGAAACGATTCAGTCCTGCTTGCCGAAGAGGAAGAATCGGTTTTGACCGATCGCGGACCAACGTGCTCTTGTTCGAGCCTCGCATCGCTCAGCGTAGACCTCTTCCAACAACAACAAGAAGAACAACAACATTCGCTGTACGAGCGTCAGGGCATGAATGAGTTTTGAGGCTCTACTCTACGTGCTGTGAAGTGGCGTGAATTCGTCCCTTTACACATCAAGTTCATCATAAAAGACTGCAAGATCGATCTTACTAGAAATATCCGACTTGCGGTGACGTCGCGCGTTTCGAAAGAACCGCAACACCTCCTGGTTCCACGGGCGTTTCCTCTTCATGCCAGGCGAGCCTCGGGAGATTTTGTGTTTCCGCCATCACAAGACCCGCCATGCACCACCACGTTGTCGTCGACCAAGATCTTACTCGTACTACACCTCCCGACTCACAAATGCCTCCCTTGCAATTACCGCCAAACCTCAAGTTCGGCCCCTTCAGCGTCACATCACAAGTCTTCCATCTCTCACCGTCACGCCTCTCATTCGGCTTGGTGAACCTCAAACCACTACTGCCGGGACACATCCTGGTCTGTCCAGTCCGGAGCGTGCCTCGGCTCTCGCAACTCAGCGCCACGGAAACGGCAGACTTGTTCAACACCGTAAGGCACGTGTCGCGGACGCTTCAGCGCGTATACCGCGCGACATCATTCAACTTCGCCGTCCAAGACGGAGTGGATGCCGGGCAGTCCGTTCCGCATGTTCACGTCCATGTGATCCCGCGGCAGAACGGGGATTACGACGACCGAGGCGGCGGGGATCGGATCTACGATGCCATGGATGGAGAGGAAGGAGATATTGGCAAGGCGTTCCTTGAGATGCAGAGGATGCGGGATCAGAGGCTGAAGGATGGGACGAGGGATTTTGCGGGCGGGCCGGATAGCGATAGGAAAGCAAGGAGTGAGGAGGAGATGAAGAGGGAAGCGGAATGGTTGAGGAGTGAGATCGAAAAGGATAGGGTAGAGGGAGAGGGTGAGGCATGACCGTCTCTGTCCCGTGCTTGTTCTGATCTCCGGAGTTGAAGACATGAAGTCTGCGTGAGCAGATCTAGAACCACGTGTAGAAAACACCACGTGGAGAACGCAAAACTCCATCTATCGTTATCTGGGTATCTTGCTTGCGTGACTGATTTCCATCTTGTTGCACACTTGGCCAGAATGCATCACTGTGCGTGCCCGTTCATTTGAGTGTCCGTGACCCCATTACCCAAAGGCTGAGCGGTCCTGCTATTGTTGCCGTAGTACTCATCCTGTTGTTCCTTGATAGTTGCTGCCCGCGTCGGCTCTCTCGGTGCCAAGTCCTTGCTCTTCCACAGTTCCGTCCTTTCGTTGAGGATGTCTTGCGCCCAAGTCTTCATCTCCTCCAAGGCGATCTTTTTCGCTACCCAGCTGAACTCACTAAGATCAATGGTGCACTCGTTTGCCCGCTCATACTCCACCATCTGCAAGATCAGTTCTATCTTGTCGACGTCGTGGACGAACTTTGACTCCACTGTCTCACTGTCTTCATATTCTTGCCATGCTGCACGGATGTCTTTCCCTGGGAGGCCCCCATGTACTTTCCCCAGTAGTGACTGAGCCACCCAATCCATCGTCTCAGCTTCGCGTCGGCTCTTCTCCACCTTCGGCACACCATCCACCGGCGTCAGATCTCCAACGAGCCCCTCGGCCATGTCATGAACCAATGCCATCCTCGTACAGCGCGGAATATCTAGTCGCGAACTCAGCTCAGGCGGTGCGAGCATGGTGATCAGCGACATTCGATACATATGATCTGCTATTGACTCGCCCTTGTCGATGCCAAACCTTCGCCATCCTTCGCGCTTTTCCAGTTTCAGACGTTCGAGATAGTGGAAGAAGGGTACAGGCGAGGATGAGTTCTCGGTTGGCGGGTTGGGCAGGTCCTTCAAGACTCCCCGGACGGACCAAGGGTTTGGTTTAGGGAGAGACGATGTGTGAGACGACCGGAGCGTGTATAGAGGTTGAGTAGGTGGGACTGAGCGCGATCAGCGTAAATCCAGGGTTGGGCAAAGGGCCAACTTACTCTCAGGTCTATCGGCCATTGTGTTCTGACGTGTATGTGATGTTCACTGGGGTGTTGCAGGATGGGATTGCGAAGTGGGACGATTTGAGGAAACAGAAATCACAGTGACTGTAAAGGACCACCCAGAAATATACTGCCGTCCCCCTGAAGCGCTTCTATACAGGCAAACATGCAGGACGGAGAAGAAAGGCTGAAAATTGTTGATGATCAAACACCAAGTGAGAATCAGAAAGGCGACTCACTGACTTTTGTTTTCGTTGTTTACCTGCAGTGGCCCGCAACGCAGCGTTCGGCCCGACGCCCGCCGCTGGGGAAGACGTCATTCCCAGGCACCGTCACAACGGACGATGCTTCCAGGCGAGACCACGGAGTAGAGTCATCACTGTATCTGTGGACCGGCTCTGCACGTCGACTGTTGTCTGCCCGCATACATTGCTTGCTGATCAGGAGTAGGATGATTCACCGTTGACAATCTTAAGCGCGACATAACTACCAAAGGGCAACGCAGCGATACATGTCGATGAGGAAAGAAGTAGTTGCAAAAACCGAGCTCAATCTGTAGAGATAGATCTGCCCTGTTCTTAACCTCCGCTTCAGGATCCGAACCCTCTGCGGGCAAACGCTGGGCAGCCAGGCTGAGTGAAGCCTCTTGGCAGAAGCCTATTTCGACGAAGTTGAGGCGCCAAGTCAGTGTAATTGTAGTGTTGATGCCTGGAAAAAGTGCATAAAACGCGACTTCGCGACTCCTCCCCACAATCTCATACAGTACCTTCCCCAGGACAAGCACAACGCGTTACAGCAACATCGCAATTCATCATGGAAGCGAGTTCCTCCATCCCACCGTTGCAATACCTTGTTGCCTACGTCCTACCCGCAATGCTTATTGGGGTTTTCGTCGGTTCTCTGGCCAGTCCCCATAATATATCAGCCGCAGTGGTAGGTTTTCCTCTTCTCGCTAGCGGGCCGTGACTCACGTCGCGTTCCACACCGTCTAACGGAGTCCGCAGCTGTTTCCTCAGCCCACTGATAAGCCCATGCATCCATTTCTTTACCTGTTCGCAACTCGAGATTTGTGCCTAGGGGTCGCTCTGCTGACCCTGGAGGCGTACAATGAATGGCGCGCGGTGACCATTCTGATGGCATGTATTTGTCTCAACGGCATTGGTGACTTTCTGCTTGCGGGCACTTCGGGCAGAGGTTGGTGGCCTTCATTCACCACCCACGGTATTCCTACTATTGTCGGCTACTGGGCGGTGTGGAAGTTATGGCAGGAATATTGGTGAGGGCGCTCCATGATCCTGATGTATCAAAACAAGGACCTGAATGGGTGAGCGGACCACAATACTCTACTCTGCGGTTTCACAGTGACTCCCAGTCCGATATATGCACTCAAGTTACATTGCCACGCGCAATATGTGCTGCCACGGTCCGGCCACTTCTTTCGAGATGGAACTATGTTCCACCTGAGCGTCAGATATCGGTTGAAATCCGCGTGGGTTTGGTTCCGTCCACTATGAGACAATACTTATCACGGTCATTGACGTCGCGCTGGAGGCTAAGCTTCTCATAGCCTGATTTACGCCTTTTTCAGACAAGAAAGCCTCCCCACCCACGCTGTGCAATGATGCTCCATCACGCTATAGTCGTTGGGCCCCTTTCTCAACAGGTACGGGAAGGTGGCGCCTCGGAATACCGCGACCTCATCGCCAAGATGGGCGTCGCCAGGAAGCAACACCAGTGTCTACCTTTCTAGGCACAACCACAGCCAACTTTGCCAACTTCAAGTCCAGTCCCATATATTCCAGCTTTAGCCCTCCTTCCCGCTCCAGCAGCAGCTTGGCTTTGTCATCCTAATCTGCCGCAGGGCACTTTCGAGATTTTGCGTGAAGAACGGATGACCGTAAATCATGATGCGCTGATCTATTTTCGGTTCGCCCCAGGTATAAGAAAGAGCCTCGTAGCGTTTTTATGCCGGACAGTGCTGGCCCTACGAACTGAGATGAAGCAGTGATCCAGTAATGCATTTGTTTCCTCAGTCGCGTTTTCAGCGCAAGAAGACGAATCTCGGCCGCTCCGAAATCGAGAGAATTGTATTTGTACTGCTCATCTGAGCTTCGATGACAGGAAGCCGCTCGGTTTCCGCCGAGGTAGAGTCGTTCGGATCTCCATTCGTTCCTGCACCAGGCTGCGTGATGTTCAAATGCTTCAAGATGGCGCCCACGGCCGAGTCAAGGTGGTCGAGCTGCCGTTTGATGGTTTCCCGCTTCTGCCAGACAGGCGCGACCATAGGATGGCGTTCGTAGTCGGCTCCAAAGTGAGCTGCCATTAGTGTCGATAGGAGCGTAGTTGCAAGCAATGCGGAAAAGGTTGATTTATAGCGGCTTGACTGATATCCGAACTAGTACTCCGTACCATACTCGCATTAAGGAGGCAGCCTCATTTTCATATGCTTTATTAGCGTTCTGGCATCTCGGCTCAGGTTTCGCTCTGACCCCTCTATGATCTGACCAGCGCGTTCTTTCCACTGATTGTATCGATCACTTTCGATTGAGGCACGATCTGAGGCTTACAAGTATATGAGACCTTCCGGTGAGAATCGTGTGACAATGCACATCATCGAGTTGCAGTTGCCCGACCCAATCGACTGCATGTGCTGCTCTGAGAGAAAGGAGCCTCGAACCAGGCTCTGCGCAACAGCGGGAACGGGGCGATTGCTTACAGTATGTAGCTCCATGATCGACAGGAACCGGCCCCGCCAAAATTCCCCGCAGGCCCCGCATCTCGACACGGGGTCCGAGGGACCTCACAATTGACGCGCTTCCCTTACTTAACATGCAAACATGGAGCGACCACCAGCAACTCATCCCCAATGGATCCCACGAAGCAACATCTCCATCTTCATCCACGCGTTACACCTTCTCGACCTCGACCTCCTCCCCGACTGGCCCGGCATCACCGAGTCCCTCTTCACCTCCAAACCCGTGCACACCCAGCAAACACGCGTCAAATCCACAGAATGGGGCCTCTATCACCTCTTCCGCCTCTACTCCCTTCCAGACACACAGTCGCGGCTGTCTCCACACTTCCCGTCCACCACGTCGTTACAGAGCAAGAACCTCCGCGCGGCGCTGTATAAATGGCTGGGGGAGCTGAAGTCGACGGCAGTCCTGCCGAGGGAAGTTGTCCTGCGAAAGACGATGCTCGATGAATGCAAAGGCGAGAAATTCGAGGAGGTGCTCGCCAGGTTCGCGATGGTCGTGCTCAAGAAAACTCGGTTTCCCAGGGACCAGGAAAGGATAACGCGAGAAAGACATGTCAATGTCAGTGAGCAGGATGTCGGGACTCTCGTGCCGTTGATCATGGCACATCGGGCGTCTCTGCAGCGGTCGCTCAAGGCACGGCAGGATCTAAGGGACAAGGCGACGGCATTTTCGGAGCGGTTGGCGCAACTGCAGCAGGAGATTCTCCCCGAGTTACAAGATCTGCCGGCTGAGAGCGACAGCGTTGAAGTCCTACCGGCGAGAGAATACGAACTGCTCCGACAACAAGTCGATCTGGCGTTTGCAACTGACAGGCGCTGGGCGAGGTATGTCTTCGAAGGCACTGCAGGACAGGTTTCCGCGGCCTCGATGCAGAAGAGATTACCTGAATGGCCATTCGATGACCCTGGCCCCGACCTCGACCTGAGGGCTGTAATGCCAAAGGACAACTCGTCTTCGGACGGCGCCATAACGGGTCCAGAAGAGGATGTTGACGAACCAATGCGCGAGCTCCAACTTTTGATGTCTCAAAACGAGGATCGGCTCGCGCACCTGACGCGATTGCAGGGGTCTCTCCTCCCGTCAACGGAATCCGAAAGCCACCTAGAAGATGTGGCACCAGAATTACCCGACTTCGGTGTGGTTGAGCTTCACCACGGCACATCCCCAACAAGACAGCCCGTCTCTAGTACGCCGAAGCTGAGATTTCATAAACACCAGGACCTCACGCTCAGCCCTTGACTCCAAACGCTCACGTCCCCCAAGACAAAGTCATGCCTCGACGTATCGCGGTTTCGCCGACTCCCTTACGTCACGGCTGGCTGTTCAGGTCCGACACACCGGATCCATCACGATACTGGTCTCGGGGCAGGGCACCCACGCTCAGCCATGGACTCTAAACGCTCATGTCCCGCAAGACAAGCCGCACGTCGAGGTGTCGCTGTGTCAGCGTACCCCTCATGTCACAGCTGGCTGTCAAGGTACGATCCGCGCACGAATCACACTTCTGGACTTGAGTCGACACTCATGTCTGGATTTTGGGAAGTCACCATTTCGATGTATCCTCCCGCCCAATCAATCGAAACATGTCTAGATACTTAGATAGATAGCTGTTGCTGAGTCTGGCTTTGGCCTTGACACCGCCGCCTCTTACCACCCAACGGCTCTGTAGCTCTTGCTGAGCCTGCCTATGCTCTGACACTGCCGGCTTTACACCCTAGAATGGTGTTCCACTTGTTCAGTGCGAGCGACCTTGAAAGTGCCGTGAAACCCGCCGTCGTTTTGATTTCCTAGAGTGACAACGAATGACTGTCTACGACCGGCGCAGAAGTTCTGGTCTATTTAAGAATCTCGAGAGGACTGGCTACTAGAGCGACGGCTAACCAATGGCTTGGAGTGATGCAGAACTTCTGGTCTATTGAATCCTCCGGGAAGAAACTTGAGAATGGCATTTGAGAGCAAAGACATTCATAGAGAGACTTGGTTTGAAGCAATTTCATTCATTAAAAGAATCGTCGTGATCCGCGGGTATCATCCAGAAAATTCCCATAATGAACCCAAGAACAATGTCCAGATTGAAAAAGAGCGATGGGAGAAAGAAATGGGCGAGAGGCGAGCACTTACTCGTTCTCCGACCTTCCATGCGCTTGGTCATGCATGCCCACACTTCGGGGTCTGGTTTCCCCTTGCTTGGCGCGGCACCGGGCTTCTGGCTTTCGCGCTTCTCTCTACTCGAGTCGTGGATCGTGGATTTAGCACCCCTCATCCACCGACACGCTGGACCACTCATCCTCACTGCGCTCCTCGAACTCATCTCTAGCTCCGGTGCCAGACTGTGCAGACTCACGGACCTCCTAAGCCCGCGGCCAGTGCCTGGCATCTTCAGCTCCCCATGCAGCGATAGCCCCCTTGACGTCTCTATACTCGTCGTATCCCTCATCCAGGTCGACATCCTCGTCTCCCATCTCAACCTCAATTCGACTTCCTAGGGCGGCCTGGCCCTCCCTGATCATCGCCTGCAGACGATCGTTGAAGCGGTTCATGGTTTGGTCCTGCTTGGCCTCCTTTTTGCGCATCTTTTGCTCGAACTTCCGGACCTCGGGTGACTGCTTCAGCGAGGGACTTGTTTGAGACACAGACACCGAGGATTGCCGGCGTGGAGAGGCAAGTGAGGCACGATTTGCGTGACTGCTACCAGGACGAGTTGGTTGACGCTTCCCGGTATTTTCTTGGGAGTTGGTTGTAGGTAATGAGGGTATTGAACGGTGGAGTTGGTGCTTCGTTGTGGGAATCGAGCTGCTTGACGAGCGCGGTGAGGCGTAGGATGCCGATGATCTCGCTGTTGACGACCTGGGAGTGAGACACGGACGGGATGATAGAGTGTGACTCGGCTGCCGCGGCTCATGCGATGGTCGTGCATTGTAGAGATTTGCCGTGCTGGCTCTGGACTTTTTCCGGACTGGGCTCGATTCCCTCGATCTTGAACTGCCGTGGCTGTCCTCGACCACCACCCAGCTGTTGTAGCGTGAGATCGGCGGGGCTTCCTCCTGCCGGCGCCTACAGGGTGTCAAGTCATTGTTCTGCTCTTCATCGACATTTAACTTGGACATGTAGTCCTCGATAAACTCCGGTCCCTCGTCCGGAAAACCCCCTGGCAGCGGTGTTATCTCCTGATCCATTCTTCTCGAAGACGCGCCGTTGCCATAATCAGAAAAATCATCCTTCGTGCCGACTTCGGTCCAAGTGCTTGCGGCCAGTCCAGGCGTGCCGGTATCGAATTGATAACCGCCGCCGCCGCCGGCATAGAACCCGCTGAAAGTGGTGTTCCAGCAGAAATTGATGAATTTGCCGGCGAACCCACCGGTGAAAGCCCACACCGTCTTTCCCCAGCCCTTTATTGGCGGTGAGGGCGGCGAGAGTCTTCGCTTGCTCCTCCGGTTCTGATCTGGTGCGGGTGTCTTTGGGAAATAGGAGTCTGAGGTGTGGAGTGAGTTTCGCGAGCTGTACCTGCTTGGGCGGCAGTCTATCTCGTAGTCATATTCGTGGGCATCTTCCTCATGCTGCGTTCTGGAAGCAGTAGGTGTGTCGAGGCCGCCTGCGATGCGGTAGTTCGTGTTGACTAGCGGTGAGGGACTCAGGACCCCGGTGTGCGCCGATCTAGAGCGGTTGTGAGAAGCATCTCGAAGAATGGATCCTGTATTGAGCCGCGGTCGCTTGCGACTGTACCGCTGGTCATCCGAGAAATGAGATGGTTTTGTCTCCGACTGACGACGAAGTTGCTGAGACTGTTGTGAGGAAGGGGAGGAAGTGTTCAGAGGACTATCGCGATCTGGAGGCAGGAACGGAGATGCTTTGAATTTCGCGCAGCGGAAAGAAAAGTCGTTGTCAGGCAGGAATGTGCCTGGCATGGGGTTGGGCTCCATGACCACGGTCATGTCATCGGACAAGATGCTCGGTCAGCTGAGGAGGACGGCTTGGGTATAGCGAAGAGGCATGCAGCGTTCTCTGTAAAGCTGCCGGCCGGCTTGGTTATAGCGAAGAGGCATGCAGTGTTATCTGTGAATTTGGTCTGGCACTCATGGCGCGAAGGTGTTGCAGCTTCCGTGACGTGGTCAGCATCGCGCGGTGGTTAGAGGGCAGTGAGGTGTTCGCACCCACTCTGAGTTGGCAGGGTCCAGGGTCCAGGCGCCAGCTTCTGAACACGAAGTGAGCGATGGGTAAGGGACAAATGAGAAGTTGGGCATGGCGTCATTGTTGACTTTTGCAGTTGATGCAGCAACCAGCACCAAGGCGTCAAAGTCGAAGCGTGCACACCACTCGTACCCACTTACATAGCTTTGCTCAGAAAAAGTATTCTTACGGAACACAAGAAAGCATCCATGTCAAGCGCTTTCGGGTACATTCATTGGCGATCTTGATGGGTTCATATGAGCTGTGATGATTTTATCGACGGATCAGGAGCACAGTTGTTCCCTTGGTCACTCCAGTGGACAGCATTTCAGCCCGCTGTACGTGCAATGATTCCAAAGGACAAAACAAGGACTCCTTGTGAAAAGCGGTCATCTAAGACCCTCCACTCCAGTGTGGCAGTCGCAGGACTCTGGTTGTGCGCTCTACTGATCTCCTCTTTCCCAACGGACCGCATTCGCTGTGATATACTGCGCATGCCAAAACGACAAAGCAAAAGCTACTAACTGTACGACAATCGCAATCGGCGGTATGGATTCACGAAGCCTTGCCCAGGCGCCTGCATCGTTGAGCTTCGCAATGCCCAGCTGCAACAGCTCAGCGAGGTTCGCACTATATCTCAGCACCAGAAAAACAAACAGCCATTTCTTCAGGTATGGGAAGTACCGTAGCATTTGCATGTGCTGCCTCAGCCAGACCAGAAGGCACGCAGCCGTAATGGGAGGCCACCAGCAAGTTCCGATGCTCCAGCGACGGGACCGAGACAAATCTACGCCGTTGCGCCATATCAGAACGGCATCTGATACCCAGAGGCTCCACAGCGGAGGGTAGATAGCAAAAAGTATGAGACCCGGGACACCAATCCCTGCCATGACACATAACCCAAAGAAGACCAGTTCCCGATGGAAGTGTTCACGTTGGAAGAGCTCCTTGATATTCACAGGCGTGAGGATGTCCTTGAAAGTCACTGATTCCTGCCGCCGAAGCATGGTCATGGACCTTCGAACCCAGAGGAAAAGACCGTACGGGGATGATGTCCATCTGTGGTTATCTTCGGCGATGTGCAGATTCATATAGGGGACCGGCGACGGGAAGAAGTCGTCCTTGGGAACAGGCCTCCATTGAGCCACGGCCCGAACACCGTGTCCTAAGTAGAATTTGAAGAAGGTTCTGGAGGGACTCTTCAGACCGGGATGGCTTCCGCTTTCATATGCTGCAGTCTGATGGCCTCCAAGCAAACTCAGCGAGATTTCGGGGATTCCATCGCGCCAATTTCGATCAGCCAGAATGGTGAATCGTTGGGGATACGCCCAAAATGCACGACGGTATCGGCAGGTGATTAAAAATTGCTGGGGATGCTGTGCACATGCGCATTTCTTACCACACCCGCAGTAGATCCAGCCATGATTTGCCGACGAGCGTTCGGCACCATATTCCCAGGAGGCTCCATAGTCCAAAGCATAAGACCGTATGCCTCCTTGAACCGCGGTGTTCCAGGACGCCGCCATGGAGGCGAGCTCGATGAAATAGGACGAAGTGATTTTGAGTCGTATACACCCATGAGACTCCCTTGATGCAATTTCAACTCTCCTATCGATCAATGCCACGACCTTTTCCACCTTGTCCCAGCCTTTAGTGTATCTTTCGAGGTTACCTATCACGCGCACAGGCTCGTATTTATCGCGGACGAACAGGTTCGGCCCTACCTCTCTCAACACGAGGGCCAAGAGTGATTTCCTGTTCTCCTCGATGCAGTTCAGCGGCGCCAGGTACAGTTTACGGTTCGGAGGAGGACGTTTCCCTCGACAGGGTCGGCGCTGCAACACTTCGTACAACGTCACAAGCATGGAGACACCCCTCTTAGTTACTTCAAACACCGGCCTGAGTGCGTGGTTTGGCCTGGGACGATAATATTGTGACTTGGAAAAGCATCTGACTTCGGGCGCAAGCAAGCCTGGACATAATGACATTCAGCCCACAACGCAGACGAGCACGGGGGGAAGAGATCACTTACTTTCACAGTCCTTGCCGTCTTCGAGATGCGTCCAGGCAAATATTGATTCGTCATCTGACACCTTCATGATCTCGGATTGCAGTCTCCGAAACGCCGCCTTTCCTTCACCATACAGCAACGGCATATGGACACCAAAGATGCCTAAGAGACAGTACGCCTCGTCCTCAAGCCTTGTGGTCTCTCGTTCGGACGCCCAATGCATCCTCCTTGCAATGCTGGCGCGGTTCATTTTGAAGTCGTGGATGTCGTCGCCTGTGATTCCACAAGCTCTGGCAATTTCATCGCCGAGGGAGGTTCGAGTACCCAAGACATTCCACGCTTCGTCCAGGAAGACGACATGTTTTGGCGCGAGTAATTCTTGAAGTGTCCAGCCTCGTGTCCACCATTTGCGATATGCAAACCTCTGAGACGACGGGCCACTTAAATACGCATAACACACGCACGCCTCCGCGTACCATCTGAACATGGAATTGATGGCTTCCGACAACTCGACACTGCTACTCTTGTCGATACAACAGGTATCGATCCATATCCAATCCCAGCCATCTCGAGCGGCCACCTTGCAGCAATTCCGTACTTTATCCCACCCCCTCTTCCAACGATGGTTTCCAGTAAAGAGATCTTGAAAAAGGACCTCTTCCTTCTCCCACGTGTGGGAGAGAATGGCGTAGTCTGGTACATCACCATAGAACTCCTTGATCTTCTCCGTCCGCGTGCTCAGCAAGCGCATCGTCACCTGTCGACAAAATGAAACACCAGTATCAGGAGCAAGCGTTGAACAAAAGCTTCGACTTCTGTTTGATGAAAGAAGAAACGCGAAGATCAACGTCCACGAAATGCCTGTCTTTGAGGCGTGGATGAGACCTGGTTACCAGGCTAGAAATCATGTAGGAGCCTTGCCGAGCCTCAACTAGAAGCGGAAGCGAATGCTGTCTTGTTCCTGGAATGAGGTACTGAGAAGTTCCGGCCCATTATTTGCTTCTTATTTGGTACATAGGAATCGAGAAATGCCTTCGTCGGACCCGAGATCGGAATGTGGACGACAGGAGAGTGGGTTGTGAGGTGGAAGAGATATCTTCCTTCGTCCCACCTGCCGACTTTGTGGCCTCGCATATCCAGCTGAGATTGGTGGGCCTACGTAGTCGGGGGCGCGCCTACTGTCGCAGGCTGCGGGAAAGGTTAGCGCCCAAATACGTCAGATTGCTAAGCCATTCCGGGGTAAAAGTCTACGTGTTAGTATTCTCCATGGGTCGCCAGATTGCCGACGGCCCGCTCCGAACCTCAGCGCCTTGCGGCTGGCGACCGGACCTGATGGTCTGGATGAAGCCGACGACGGAGCGAATCTGGAGATTACGTAGTAGCGACCCACGTACGTAGTGACAGGCGCAGGTCACTAAGCATTCTCGTTGCCGACCCTGAAATCTGCAACGATCTGGAATCGAGAGCCTGAAGTTGACTCTTACTCGATCTCCCCATAGAGTGTATGTTCCGCGCCTCGCCATCGGTTTATTTCGATTGGATCGAATCGAATAGGACGGCCCCGGCAGTGTCGACACGCATGAGACCCTCGAATTGGACGCGCTGCACTACATCTGGAGCCACATGTGGTGCGAGCTTGACCTGCTTTGTGTTTTTGTGCTGCTCGATGCTGGTCAGCGATAGAAAGTGCGGACTTCATAAAGTACGCTCTCCTTCGACGCGTCGGAGTCGTCGTCCGGGTAAAGAAAGAAGCATTCTTCAACCTCGGGATTCTGGTGGCACAATGTACAATCGTGTGGTCTCGATTGTCTGCGTGTAGAAAATGGCCAGCTGGTGGCGTGGTGCGGTTTATCTGGTCTGTGCAGGTTGGAAAATAGACCAGGAGAATTCGAGCGCACGGTGTAGTATCGCGGGTTCGCCTGTCGCGTCGCTGTTAGTACAAGCAAGTCTTGGTGAGATTGACGGAAGAAATAAAAAGGAAACTCGGGGTGTGGTGTTGTGCCATGTCTTACATCCCCGTGCAACTGGTCTTCACTCGGGAAAAAAAAACTCGCCCAAAAAATGGCAAAAAAAAGGCACAAATCAGATATTTACCTGGGTTCGAACACTCGCACTTCTTTACCCTCGAACATACTAATCAGCGATTCCCCTATCACAGTGCCAGATCCGCGAGATACAGTAGACACTGTACCCCCGTTGTCAACAGTCACCGGGCAGAACCCCAACCTGAACTCACTCCTTGAAGGTCATGTTTCGAGAGATGGTAGACCAGATATGTACTTGGGTTGATTTGCGAACAGATTTATATTTGTTAATGTGATATGCCTATTTTTTTCAGTCAGTCGCGGGGTGTGCTAGGCTGCTTCACTGCGGAACGCGTACCTCAGCCTTGTTGCTGCCATATCATTCACAGCCTTGAGCCTCGCGCGTGCAATCCACGACAGTGAATACTGAGTCGGAGGCGCCAAGCCCACATTCACTGTTTCTGTATTGTTTCTGCTGAAACTTGTGTTATGACTACCATCCTCGGTGTCCGCATCCGTGGTTTTTTTCGTCTCCCTTGTCACCGTGCCTGCATATTGCGTTCAGTTACCAATATGGGAAAGCGTAAGAGACGGTTGCCAACGGGCACCGACATACTCACAGAGGAGAAAGAAGACGATGAGCAATTGCCATTGCAGAAGGTCCTCCACGTACGCATCGTTGTTGAGCACCGCGCTTCGACCCAGCTATGCGCTATCTCGACATATCAAGCCACAACGATCCGGCAATTCCTACAAACAATCCACAGTCAAGTCCCGGTGACAGCGGAAAAGACACTCTTCGGGAAGCCGGTCGCGAAAGTCGTGCTTCTTCTTCAGGAAACCGGCCAAAGGAACATGAAACGGAGACGATTTACCACAATCGACACCACGGACAACGCATTTTATGCGAATTGGTATGAACGCAATGTGCTCAAAAGTCCGAGGACAGACCTCCAAAGTTTGAGAATTGAGGTGCATATGCTGGTGGATGTGAACGAAGACATTGCCGAAGAGCATGCAAGATGGTATACTGCAGCCAAGGAAGCAGGAAACGGCGGCGTGGCGGTGGCGAGCTTAAGGACACCATACCGACTGATTTCCAGGCCATAGCTTAGCTTGAAGGGGGTCCATTCTTTCAACAATATCCCCCTGGCGCAAATTTCAGAGATGGATGCCGTGGACTGCATGCTTGCCACTGTATATCGACCAACGCCCTCCACGGAGGAATGGTTGCCGAAGCACACTGAGAGCCTTTGCACGAAGAACCAGAAGAACACAAAAAGACCAAACAAGCGTCTGAGGGCAGAGGACGGAAAGAATTCTGCTCTAGGGGATGAAGAGGAAGGAGCAAGACCGGATGTTGACGCTGAAACGAACGAGGTTAGAGAGATTGGCATTGAAGGGGATGAGGAGGACGCCGATGCTGGATTCAGCGGGTTTGGAGATGACATTGGCCGTGCTCTGGCTGAGGCAACGGAGGGAACTGGAGAAGAAGCTCAGGGTCAGCAAGCCCTTCACAACGTCCTCGTCGACTGGAAGATGGAGATGAGTTTGCGACCGAAGACAACAGGGTAGTGGCTGTTCGCTGACTACGTACTCCTATAGCGCAAGCTGGATGCTGAACGACGCCGATCAACGACATGTTTCCAAGATGATCTTTGTGGGTGCAGATTGGTTGTGGCGTCCAACAGCAGCAGTCCGCCTTAGAAAGGTCCGCTGGTAGAGGAAGTGTTACCATGCGAGAACGTCTTCAGTAAGCGCATAGGCAGAGACCTCGTGGCTCCCTAAATCCATAAGTGACCGGGATCGAGATGCTGGTGAAGACGAAGTGAAAACTGTTGTACCTCGAAATTAGTGGCTCCCTTGGCATGGCGGGGCGAATGAACTTTGGCAGTGGCGTCCCAAGGCAATTCCAGACCTGATCGCAGCGTCGACCATTAACACTATGAATACGTATGTAAAAACACGAGCTGCTCTGTACAGACGAAGATAACTCCGGCTCGACCTCCATGGCAACGTGGCCACGGTACACTAGAGCAAATGACCGAAAAGTAGACCGCCTTCTATTCATACTCGGGCTGCGGATCAAAACCTCAACCACACATACTGATGCGGCTTCATGTGAATGCCCGCCTCCCTCAAATTAATCACATACCCACTGACCAGATCGATCGCCTCGACCGGCATGCTCAGAAACCTATCGCGCCCGATCCACTGACTCTCATCCGAGAAGTTGCACAAGCAAAGCACGCTCGAACTCTGCCCGGGTCTCTGGTACCCCAAGATCGTGGGATTGCCCGTGTAGAAGCCGACCGCCCTCCCGCCGCCGAGTTCCTCGGTCGCCCTGCGCAGTCGAATGAGATGCCTGATGCCCGCATAGATCTTCCCAGGGATGGTGGAGGGGTCGTGTCGCTCGGCGTACCGGCTTTCCGGGTAGAAAGGACGGTTGACCCAGCGGGAGTCGTCCATCTTGGCCGGGTCGTTGAGGTAGCTGTAGTCGTTGAGCTGGCCGACTTCGTCGCCCAGGTAGATCAGGGGGATGCCGCCCGTGGACATGGCGATAGAGTATGCCATGAGGATGCGTTCGATTGCATGGTCCTGCATCGACTCCAGCCCGGCCAAGGATGCCGTCGTGCCTGATATCCTGCAATCGCCTGTCCGCGGGTTATCTTGGAAGGGCACGCCGCGGGCGAAACTGCCAGGGTGGCGGTTGACGAAGAAAGCGTTCAGGAATTTCCTGTGGTTGGCGCCTTCTTTGCCTAGTTCTCGGGCGTCTTCGTCGGAGAAGGTCCAGCCTATATCGTCGTGGGAGCGGACGTAGTTGACCCATGCACAGCCGCGGGCGATGTTATGCCTCCGTTCAATTGCTTGAGAGAGCATGGAGACATCCCTTGTGGCCAGTGCTTCCCACGTCAAGGCCATCTGAAGAGGGTTGTAGGAGAGTTGGCATTCGTACTTGTCAACGTATTGGACCACAAAATCGGGGTGGACGATTGCTTCGGACTTGAAAAGCACGGACGGGGCGGCGATGCGACAGAGCGCGTTGAAGGCCCGGAGCAGCTTGTGCACTTCCGGGAGGTTCTCGCAGTCGGTGTTCATCTGTTTCCACATGAAGGCTACAGCGTCCATGCGGAAGAAGTCGACTCCAATATTGGCCAAATAGAGCATCTCGGCCGCCATCGCTCGGAATACTGCGGGATTGGAATAGTTCAGATCCCACTGGAAGTGATAGAAGGTGGACCATACAAAGCGTCCGTCTGGTAGCTGGATGAAGGACCCAGGATGATCATCGGGAAAGATCTCGCGAGTCGAGCACTCAAACGCTGATGGGACGGCGCGGTCGGGGAATATCCAGTACATAGCAGAATGCTCTGGGTCGCCCTCGGCTGCTTTCTTCGCCCACTGGTGCTCATTCGAGGTATGGTTGAACACCAGATCCAGCACCAGGCTGATACCGGCTTCTCTCAACGCAGTGGCCAAATCTCTGAGTTCGTCGATGGTGCCAAGTTCAGGCTGGACGTCTCGATAGCTTGACACGGCGTATCCACCATCGTTGAGGGGCTGAGGTGCGAGGAAGAGAGGCATCAAATGCAGATAAGTCAACCCCAACTCCTTGAAATACGGAATCCGCGCCTTGATCCCGGCCAGATTGCCTGCATACCGGTCGACGTAGCAGACCCCTCCCACCATCTGATTCGACAGATACCATTCGGGATCCAGTTCTCGCTGCTTGTCAATTTTCCGTAGTTCCGGCGACCTCGTCTGCCAGCTCTTTCCGCACATTGTGATCAGATCCACGAGTTGATCTAAGCAGTCGTGCCGATAGCCATAGAGTTCGGCGAAGATACCAAAGATGGTGATAAAGTTCATATCCAGCCTCTCAAAGAAGTCCTTGTCCTTAAGTACAGAGCGGCCATCTTCAGTCTCCCGGAGTTCCTGTAGAATGTATGCTTTGGCGGCTCGCGCTTGCTGCTCGACAGAGAGCCTGTTCACCATTGCCGGGGCCGACTTGGATGCCGCAGGCGAATAACGGTGAGCAAATCACCAAGATGCCACGAGTTGTTGGTCCGTGACGTCCGGAAATAGAGAACAAGATGGTGAAATCACGAGTTGCTTTCGACTCTTCGGATACTCATAGAGACCTAACAATGATAACAACTCACCTGGTCCGTCACGACATCGTAAGGAAGTTGTGAGAGATTGAGCAGTTATAATGGCTCCCAGCTGAGCACGCATCGACACGGCTCTTCTCTCGGCCAAATTTGTCTTGCTAGAAGGGCCGAGTGGGAAAGCGACTCCATTTTGGCCATTGCGCTGGTGTAGTCAAGCCTCTGAATCCTAGAACACGCGAAGCCGGACGGCAGGGGCTATATGGATATATGAGCTCCAGGCGTCCTTCATATGGTGTGCTACCCGAAGAGGAGACTTAGAATACGTGAAGAAAGGGACAGACAGTCTGGCTGGCAGTGGTACAGTGGAAAACTACATCAGGAAAAGGCCGGTGGCAAATCTTCAGCCGTGGCATTCGCCCAGCGTTAGTCGTACAGACTCGGTACCGGCCACAAATGGTGGACGTTGTGAACATTCCGGATGCAGAGATGGCACGATCGGCGTAAGTCTCAAGGTTAAAATCTATTATCATTCCATGGGGAGCGATCGTGGCTCTTGTTTACACGAATGTAGAATGTACGTCCGCCCGAAACCATACCATCTCATCTCGCTAATGAACAACGCCCATCATGACCAACATGAAAAGAAAACGCTTCCATCTCAACGCACAGGTCCTGCAATTGAAAACCCCATCCCCGGACTTTGTACAATAACTCCCACCGAATCTGAGAATCCTTCAGAATGCGGAAACAGCTACAGCGATAGCCTGGCTTTCGCTGTGGCTGATGCTGACATTCACATTCTTGACGCCAGCTTGCTTGGCAGCCTCGAGAGCAGCTCCATGGAGCTCAACCTTGGGGGCACCGTTCTCGTTGGCGAGTATCTCAATGTCGTGCAAAGGAGCGCCTGCGCCTTTGCCGCAAACTCCCAGCGACTTGAACACCGCTTCCTTCGCGCTCCACCGTCCGGCATAGGACGCTTGAGGAGATGCGGCCTTGTTGCAGTAGGCTCGCTCCTGCTCGGTAAAGTTTCTGCTGACGAAGGTCTCGTTCTCAATGTTGATGGCACGAATGTCCTCGACGTCAACGCCGACCTTGGAGCCCTCGGCAGCGCTGGCCTTTGTCAAAGATTCCAGCATAGCCTTGGTTTCCGACGCAGTTTGCCTCACTGATTTACTGGGCGACACAGGAGTGTACACGAGTTCGCCAGATTTCTTGTCGGCGGAGACACGCTGATCGGGATTGAGGAAGACCTTCTGCATGATCTCATCTGGATAAGGCGCCTTGGTCTTGGCGACAAAGATGGTGTTGTTGATCATGCCGTTGTGGAAGAACCTGTACGCCTTCTTCTGTCTGGCTTCGACCTTCATCTTGTAGCGCTGGAACTCGGCCTCATCCAATGCAGCATAGAGATACCTAGGATGGATACCAATGGCTTGAGCACCTTTCTGGCCGAAACCAAAAGACGTGACTGAAAATGCCTTGATGCCGTCGGTCTGGAGTGAGCGGCTTGGATAGACGATGTAGTCGAATTTCTCCATCACCTGATCGACATTGTCGGCGTTGCGGTTGCCAGGTACCAGACCGCTGTTGAGAACTTGCAGGCAGCCATTGAACATCCAAGCACCTGCAGCACCCTTGGGATGACCGGTCAGATACTTCTGGAAGATACCGAGTAGAGCATTGCCCTTCTTGCGGCCGAGGTGAGCCATTTGCTTGCAAATGACCTCGGATTCGTTCTTGTCGTTAGCAACCGTGGAGGTACCATGGAAGGAAGCGACATCAAGATCATCGATAGTGAGACCCCAGGTCGCCAGAGCACCACGGAGAGGAGCAATGGAAGAATCTTGCTTCCAGAAGTTGTTGCCCAAGCTGAATTGGGCCTCCTTCTCCTGTCTGATGGCCTCCTTTTCAATATGAGCTGCACGCTCTTCCATATATTCGGTCTCATTGAAGCCAAAGCCGGCTTGCGCCTTCATCGCTGCGACTTCTTCATGAAGGTACAAAAGCTCTGACTCTTGCCAGTTCTTGATGGCACGTCGTCGAAGATCGAGCTGTCTCCTGCGGTAGTTGATATCGAGTAGAGGCGACGGGAACCTGCCTGGGTTCTCACGGGCCGTGGTCAACACGCCTTGACCAGGAGCTGGCACGGATCGCCCAATCTTGTCGGTTGCTGTCGACACGAGGCCAAGGATACCGTAGATGGGGGTACCCATGTCCAACGCGAGACGAGCTGTCATAATAATTTGCATACCGCAACCTTGGGATTCCATGAAACCGTTTCGGGTCGTGGTAGTAGGGCGGGACATCTCTCTCGGTGTGCGGCCGTGGGCAAACTCGTCTTCGGCGTTGCTGGTGGCCTTCATGTTGGCGAATTCGTAAGAGCCCTCTTCTTGGAAGTCATCAAAACCACCAACGAAGCAGACGCGAGCCTTGCCTTCGATGATAGTTTCGTAGCCAATGTCAATGGACTCGACAGCCGTCGCGCAAGCACCGACTGGGGTCTTGATCGGACCGGTGGATGACAAGAGCAACATGTTCACCCAAGCAGCCATGGTGTTGATGAAAGACTCCTGGAGGATGTCCTTTTGGACGGGCTTGTCCATGAATCTGTCCTTGTACATGCCACGAAGTGCGGTAGTACCACCAATGCCAGAACCCACGCAGTTGCCCACCTCTGACAGGTGGACGTACTTGTAGAACTCGTACGGGTCGGTAACACCAGCAGAGAGGAGTGCTTCTGCGGTACAGACGAGGACGAACAGAGTGACCTGGTCGACTTGGGAGATGATGTCGTCCGGGATTCCATAGGTCTTCGCGTTCCAGCCGGTAGGGATCTGTCCAGCGACCAAGCGATCAAATCTGAGAGCCTTCGGAATGAGGAGGGTCGCGTTCTTCTTCAGACGGACGCTGTACTCTCCAGATTCAAGCTCGAAGACCTCGACCTTTTCGCCGTGCTGCCGCTTGAATTCTTCGGCAGTCTCCTTAGAGGCCTCGAATGGGTCAAGATCTTCCTCAATCTGAATCTCCTGGAGCAGCTGCTTCTTGTTGGGGTCGTAGCCATTGAAGAGCTCAGGCTCAATAAGGCGAATACCAGAGTGCTCCAGGATCTGCTTCTCATACTTAGCTTTGACGTCTTTGTCGTCGACTGGCTCGCCCGTCTTGGCATCAACCCAGCCAGAGTAGGATTTGCCCTTCAGCGGTCCGTTGTGATTCTTGATGAGCCCTGTCATCCAGGCCATTTCCACGCAGCCTTCCAATGAAAACTCGCCGTAGGCTTCCATTTCCCAGCGGGTACGAGAGTTGCCCCATGGGCCGATTTCAGAGAATCCCGTGACAACAACAACCTTGTCAAGGTCCACCATGCCCTTCAGCTTGGCATTGTGTGGCTCAATTTCGTTCTTCCAGTCAGGCAGTTCAGGGAAGTCGAATTTGAGGTTTGCTCTGGGCTCGATGGTGACCTTCTTGTATAGAGCCTCGCTATCTTCGCCGTTCACGATCTTGTTCTCAAGAGACGTCTCCCTGGTGACGGCCTGGCGAATGGCGCTGGTTTCCATGATCTCAGCTCGAAGCTTGGTCATGAGATCCTTGAGATCGGGAAGGAACTGAAGTCCACCATTCAAGTCGGCAAAGACAGGTTCTTCCTGGCAGAGATCGACGATGGCAGGAGACATCAGACCAAGCAAGTTGAAAGCCATTTCTTGCTGCGAGAAGGTCCGGACACCATATTTCTCAACGCCGTCCGCAACGATGTTGTTGCCGCTCATTAGACCGGTGCCACGAGTCCAGCCAATGACAGCACCGCAGATGGTGAGGTAGTCGCCCCAGCTCTCAGAAGACCAACGGTTGAACAAGGTCTCCAGAGCGAGTTTGGACTCGGAGTAGAGACCATCGTTACCGAAGGTCCCGTGGTTGGGCGAAAGAGGGAGCATGACTTGGGCAGGTCGAGTATTGAACCCACTCTCGAATTTCTTCGACTTGACGCAGCCAAGCAGTCGGATGAGGTTGGTCAACATGATGCGGTGAGCAAGCTCGGACTTGGAGTCGATGCTGTCAATCTCACGGCCGTTCTCAGGAATGGCAGCGAACGGAACAATAAAGTCGAGATCCCAGCCCAACCCCTTCTTGGTGTCGTAGATGTAGTCGATGAGGGCTTCCACATCTTGCTTGCTACCTTGATTGAACGGCACAACCACAAGCTGAGAGCCACGGCCACCGAATCGAGCATACATGGATTGGTAGTACTCGGTGACTTCGCGAGAGTAGCGGCTTGTGGTGACAACAACCTTGGCTCCACCGCTGATCAGGCCTTGCAAGACCTCAGCACCGATAGACCCGGCACCAGCACCAGTCATCAGTGCCATCTTCCCTTGAAAGCTGAGACCGGATTTTGCAGCATTCTCGAGCCCTTCAAGGTAGACACCGGTCAACTTCTTACTGTAATCCCAGCCGTGTTCCTCCTTCTTCTTCAGGTGAAGGAATGGGATTGTCTCAGTTTTACCCTGCTTGACGTTTCCGTTCATGGTGGCTCGAGTCAAACCATTGCGGCCAGGTTTCTTGACGTCTCCGTTTTCCTGAGGCATGATCTGAGACTCGTTCATTGCTAGTGCGCGAACCACGTCCTTGTACAGAGAGTTAAATTGCAGCTGGGACGCCTTGGAGAGTTTATGCTGCTTTCGGATCAACTTGTACACGTTGCGCAGGTCGTTTTGGACCTTGGTGCGGTTGCTGTACTCCGAAATCTTGCCGCCCTCAGCCATCTCACGTACGTAGTGTTCGAGCTTGCGGGCACTTTGCCGGGGAACCTCTTTGTAGTCGAGATTACCTCGCGCGTCAATGGTGGTTTGTGGACCAGTAGGGATCATAACATCTTTGTAGACTGGTGCT